TCCAGGACCACCATTCAACCATAAAATCAAAGGTTCGTTTTCAGGGTCGTTTCTGCTCTCGAAAAACCAATAGAAAAAATGTTTATCCTCAGAGACGATATCCAAGTAACCTGCATATTGATTGACACCAGTGTCAATTCCTAAAGATTTTAATGGCGAATCAGTGGAATTTGTATATCTTTTTAATAAATTCTTATCATTTTTTAGATTATTATTAAATTCTTTATCTGTTGTTTCATTTTTATCACTTTCAATTACTGATGAAAGTTGGCTTGCAATTTTTACTTTTTCCGATAAATTAAATTGGTTCCATAAATTAACATTTATGTTATTGGCATTGGAAAAATTGTATAAACTCGTTTTAATTTTGTTTAGTAGTGACGTTTGATGATTGATGGATATATTAATTGATGTAGCTAAGGATATTTTGAATGTTAAATTCAAGACAAAAAAAACAAGTAAAAAACACTTCATGTTTTACCCCGTCACCAAAATGAAATAATAATGTATAAGAAAACTAAAAAAAGAGAGCACGAATAGTGTAAAACAGAAGTTAGAAAAAAACCAGACAATTCAATGTTTATTTATAAATTTGGAAAAACATTGCATTATTTTGAAAACAATTTGAAGTTCATGTTTGGGACCATCTGTTTGTTTTACTAGTAGTCCGAATAGGAAACTCGACTTCGTCTGGGAAAATACATTTGTCAAGATGAGTACTATTGAGGGAATGTGCTGAGTTGTGTGATACAATTCAGCAAATAGTGCAAAGAGCAAACTGTAATATACCAGTTGAAATTCAGCATTTCAAACAGTGGTTGTAGATTATTACCAGAGGTTTCATCGAAGTTGTTTGAAATCCGAATTAGGAAAGCAAGGAGATATAAAAATAAAAATAAAAAAGTAATGACTAAGCGCACGTGTGCTTAGTCATGTTTATTGCGTGATTGCGTCCACGTCGCTGGTTTTAGAGGCCGAGCCTTTGTTTTTGCATGTGAAAGAACCGGGACCAAAAGGGCAAAGCTCTCGAAGGAAGCAGAAAAAACTGATACAAAGAACAAGGAGCGTTTAGCACATGAAAATGGTTTAGTGTGCTAAAAATCATCTTATGCTGTGTATCGCTATATAAATCACTCAATTCCTGAGCTGTCTTTAAGGTCGACTAGTTTTCTTTATTACAAATACTTCTTTTCATTTTCTATTCAATTATTTTCTGCTCAAATACTGTTCAATTCTAAATTATTTGCTTTATTTTAATACCAATAGTTTGCCAAATTCAAGATGTCTAATCCAGAACCAACTACAGAGGTCGCTTCCAGTTCTTCAAATTCAGTTGAAATCCCAACTAAATCATTAGATCATTTAAAAACATATCCAATATTCAACGAATTGGTCAATTACTTAACATCCTTAAGTTTTGTTGCTTACCTTTCATCATTTTTATCATCATTCGAAGTCAAGGATAAATTAGATAACGTATCTAAAAAGATTCCATCAAACTATAAGGGGTTTTTGGTTACTTATATCAGTCAATTTGATCAAATTTTTAATGATTTTGTTTTGGAAAAAGGGTTAGATAGCAACTTTCCTAATTTAAAAAGTTTGAATTCTGATGATTTGAAAAATGTTAAACCAAGCTTAGTCTTGAATGATTTTGTTACTTATTTGAAAAATTTATTTAACAAGTCTGTTAATGATGTTAAAACTTATAAGGATAAAGAAAAAAAAAATGTTTTAAAAAAAGTCAATCCCGTTGTTTCTCCAGTCAATGATAAATTAGAATCTTTCATCAATAGCTATTTGCCTTCTGACAATAACGAAGAAGGAACAGCTTTAAAAAAGAGAAATGTAACAACTAATGAAAAAACTAGTATTAATGAAGATGATGATGAAGTCCTAAGAATGTATGCATTGGCTTCCTCAGCTTATCAAAAAGTCAAACCAATTGCATCCGCCAAATCTCAAGAACTATCTCAAGTTCCAAGAAAATTATCTGATCATATTAATAATGTTTATGCTGAAAATTTAAAAATCTCTGAAAACTCAAAGTCAAAAGCCATTAAATTGACTGGAACCGATTTGTCAAATGAATTCAGCACAGTATTAAATCCTCTTGTTACTCCTTTAAAAGCTACATTGGAATCAAAGCTTACTCAAGTCAACGATAAGATTAACGAAGTCATTGACAACACTAAGAATAACTTGGATTCATTTGTTGGGAAAATCCAAAGTTCAGAATCATCTCCAGCTGATGCTCCAACTGATGCTCCGGTGGCTCCAACTGATGCGTCTGCTGTTAATTAAGCCTGCTGATATCGTAGTGCTCTTTACTATATTTTTACGTATACATATATGATTTGGTTGATTTAGAGAATATAAATTTTCCGTCACATCTCTATACTATCTGGTTTTATTTCATGGTTCAGTTCTTTTTTATGGGCTCAATTGACCCCCTGGGTTTGTCTGTGTTTTCTGTGTCTTTGTCGAGTGTTCATTTTCGTTTTATATACTATAAACTAAATCTAAATACCTTAGTTCGCATCTCATCAGTCTCTGGGCCGTTCAGTAGAGCTCTATACTAGGGCTCCAACAGGTCATGCCAGGGTTTTCTACGTACTGCATGTGACCTGGATATTTCCGGTTTCCTCTGGGCCGGATCTGCGCTTATCAGCTCGGTTTTGATAAGGCGAGGACAAATTGATAAGAAAAGAAAAATGGGCGAGATTTGAATCAGCTTGGAATCAGACTTTGGTCTCCAGCGATGGTCGCTTCGATGGTTAATATACTCACAACTGTGCTACTTGTCTCTAGAAATGAGGTAAGTTTGCTGCTGTTGTTGATTCTAGTCTGCTGGATTAAAGTTATCTCACTAGTGTCCCTGATTTGCAGACAGTATCACATATCTCCCACATCCAAGAGCGCTTTAGAATGAGAGTAACTTAAACAACTCACAAATTACTGCTGAGAAAACCCAGAGAAAACAATAACCATCATCTATGGAAATGTTTTGTAATCCTTTGAATGGAAATTATAATTTTACAGTTATCATCACTTCCTTTATCCAGAAATTTTGCTGTTGTTTCCTATTTTTTGGTTAATTTTACAAAATTTTACTGAATACAATATCTACAAATCTTATTTTTTTTGGTTTTTTTTGATTTGCTACTAGAATTTGACTTTGTTCAGTAACCAAATTGTGTAAAAAAAAGATTTAAATTGTGATAAGAATAACTTAATAACTTGAAATTAGATCACCAAATATTTTTTTTCTATTTACCAATACTTAATTAAATTAAATTGGATTAGTTTTTTGTTTTTTCTTTGTTTGCTATTAAGTAAATCAGTACCTCATATATATTATGTATATGGGTCAATGTTTGTAGAATTCAAATTCAATGAACACCAATGAAACACTACTCAATAAAGGATAATCATCACCACCACTAACTTTGCGAAAAAAGTGATGCACAGCAATTAATCTGAATAACTTTTCACGGTTTTGCAATCTATTTAGCAATTCTTTTTCGTAATTTTTGATTTTATCATATAATAGCAGGAGACAAATTAAAATCAAACACAGAATAATACAACACAACACCATTTTTATATTTATTTGAATGAGTTTAAATCATAACTCATCGAAAGATAAGAAAAGTGAGGAGCAGCTAAAATTTTGCAAGTTTCCATTTTATCAAGTTTTTCCTTGAGTTGTAAGTCCATTTTTTATTACTTACGAATTTTCTAACTAAGAAAAAAAAAGATCTTATCAAATTTCTGTTTTCTTTTTATTTTTATTCTTATTTTTATTTTAATTATCAGCTGAAAAAATACCTCTAAACTAAATTAGTGCATTTTTGTGTTTTTGGAATATCACAAATTTGACCAAATACTTCAATAGACCCAAGCCTGATATTTTATTATCTTATCTTTTTATTGATAATTATTGTACTGTTTAAGCATTTTATTTTATTTTATTTTATTTTATTTTATTTTATTTTATTTTATTTTATTTTATTTTATTTTATTTTATTTTATTTTATTTTATTTTATTTTATTTTATTTTATTTTATATATTGTTTTACTCTATCTTATTTCACTACTCTTTTTTGCCTTCAATAAATATAATTATGAATAACCAATTACGTACTCTTGACTACCTTTTCATGAAGCAGTTACACTTGCATTAGTAGTTGTTTGATGTTGAATTATGAATATTTACTTTTTATGAATTCCTTCATAAAAATGTTTGAATTTCAGTCTAAAATTCTGCTTATTTACCTATTTACTAGCCTTTTCTCATTTCCAGTTAAATTTGCACATTAGTTTATCATCAGAATATTGATAGTTTAATACTTGGTTTTATTTACCTACAGATTAGCCTATTGTTGTGGATAATTATTCTCTTAACCCATACAGATACTGTCAATGCATGTTTAAAAGAGATTTAAAAGTATTTAAAAGTATTCATTTAATTAAAAGAAAACCTTTAAATCTGTTATCAATAAGTCAATAATTGAATAGTTTACAGTTATTCAGAATCAATCAACATACGTGAATTCCTACTTTTCGCTATTACTTGAATAAAAATTAGATTATGAATTGTAAAATTATCAATTAAAATTAAATAAATGCCAAATTGAAAAATTAAATAATTAAGTAGTAAATTAAGAAAAAAAAAAAAAGGTAGGAAAATTTAAAGAGGAATATCAAAATCAGATAATAAAATATATTAAATATTAGCAAAGCACCTAAAAATCTAATTAAACTTGTAAAAAACAGAAATAGAATTGAAAAATACCAATTTTTTTCATATTCTAAGAAAAAAAATAAAAAATAAAAAATGACTAATATGAAAAATTGACCAAAACATGTAAAGGAAAAAAAAATTAGAGTTAAAGAGGGAAAGGGAAAATAAACCAACATTAAAAAAAAGACAAAAAAAACAATGAAAAAATAAAAGTAAAATAAAATAAAATGAAATAAAATAAAATAAAATAAAATAGAACGATCATAATTAGAAACACAAAGAAAGAAAAAAAAAAGAGAGTGATTAGATAAGATAAGTTAAAACCAACTTGGTCGATTATGGACGAGAGTTGAGATTTGAATTTGCATAGTTAAAATTTTGCGAGGAAGAGCCATAATTGTAGGCCAAATTCGAGTTTTGATTGTATGAGTTATCATAAGAATAAGAAGCACCAGATACTGAGGATAGTGGAGAATTGCTGGCAGTAGTAGAAATATTAGAAGAGTGGTTAGCAGAAAAGGAATTTGGGTAGGAGTTTGTGGTTGTAGGGAACTTGAAGTTGTTATAATTGTTAATGTAATTTGGGTTATTGGTGTTATTGGCAAGAGAAGAGGTATTATTTTGAGATGAGGAATAGTCATCCAAAAGACTATATGGAGTCAAATTGGTTTGGCCTATTATCATTTGAGAATCGTTTTTATAGAAAGGTTGGTTGTAGTTGTTTAAAGTGGGCATGTTTGACTTTGAAGAGGGAGGAGTTAGTAAAGAGAAGGAAGAAGGAGGGTTTGTGTTGTATATGAGGTCGTTTGGTAGCGAAGGATTATGAGGATTATAAGAGTTTGGAATTGAATTCAAAGGAAGGGAGTTTTCAGATAGACTTGGTAAAGAGTTTGCTCTTTCCTTTTGTTGCAATTTTGAAGATTCAGCAGCTTTCTTTCTTCTTTCTCTGAGCTGTGCTCTGATTTCTCTGAATTCTTCAGGTTTTCTCTTCAAACCATGGTTTTGAGTTAAAACATGAGCATTAAGATGGTTTAAAGTGCCATAACCTTTTGTGCAACCACTCCATTTACACATGTAGACTCTTTCAATTTCATCGTGTTTTCTTCTTGGTCTCTTTTTTTTCTCCAATGGACGTTTATCGGTGGGAGATTTGGATAGATCATAAGAATTCTTCAATGGGTATCTTGATTTTAAATCGAGGTCGCCGTTGATTGTGTTTATGGTCAAGCCATTAGGGTTATTATTATTATTGTTATTGTTGGCGTTATTAAGGTTATTGAGACCATTGATGTTATTCATGTTGCTATTGAGATTGTTAATGTTATTCATGTTGTTGTTATTGTTGTTGTTCATGTTGGCAGAGTTGTTATTAGCAACGGGATTAAAATAGGAATAAGGGTTATTGAAAGATTGGTTAAAAGTGTTTGAAGGATTTTGGGATTTATTCAACAGATTGGGCAAAGGCAACAGAAGAGAGTTGGAAGGTTTATTTTCAAAAGGTGGGAAGGCAAAGTGAGAAGATGGATCAGATAGTTCAGTGGAAAAGGGATTAGCAGTGTTTGTACTTGACATTTTGAGTAGATTGGTTGATAAGCAAAAGAGTCAGAAGAAAAAGTAGATAGATATGGAAATTAGTGGTATGTGATTATAGTCATAGAGATCAGAGAATAAAAGAACAAGCAAAAAGAAAAAAAGAGACAATAAAGCGAGATGAAATTAATTAATTAATTAATTATGAAATAGAATAGAAGAAAATTAAATAGATCTGGATCTATATAAATTGAGACTAACAATAGGATATCAGGCTAAGGGAAGATAATAAAAAACAAAAAACAACAGAAGCAAGAAAAACAATATAGAAGTTTAAAATAAATTACAAGTGAAATAATACTGCTTATATGTGATTGTGCAGTTGAAGATAAACTAGAAGGAATCTTAAGAAATAAAATTGATGTTTAAAATTGATAAAAGAAAATTGTTCAAAAATCAAAAATCAAAAACCAAATAAAAATAAAGCAAAGTAAAATAAAGTAAAATAAAATCAAAAAAAATCAAAATAACATATTTGGTTTTTTAATAAAAGCTAAAGAAAAAAAAGTGAATTCAGACAAAAATTGAATTCATGTAAATCCAAAAGCTAAAAGTTAAAAGCAGCTTGAACTGTAAACATATTCACAATTTTTTTTACAATAATCTAAAAACAAACTTTAGGGAAAGTAATAAAATTTAATAGATTATTGATATCATTTTTTTGTGAAATCCAAATCGTATCAAAATTAGTGAGAGATTATGAAATTGAGTATCAAGAGTATGACATTAGAAAACATTTATTATTTAATATTATTTAGTAGTATTTATAACCATAAGCGTTGCAAATTGACAATATATTGGGACATTGCAAATAGGGAAAACAAGTTTCTGAGCAGACCAGGAATTGCACTCCTGAACTATCAAAAGCCTACAAAGTAATACAAAGTGCTACAAAGTGCCTGCAAAACAACCAAAGCATCTGGAAGAGCTGTGGATTGGCTACAGATTACTCTTCCAGCACCATTCTTTCCATATACCTCAAAGCTGCTGTGGAATCTGTTCACATTTGGTGCGTGCTGCAGAATCGGAACATATTGGCCTTTTGATCTGGAAGGTGTCTCTGATAACAGGCGGGCATCGTTACCCGGCGTGTTCGACAACCGAGCGCTCGCTACGGACGAGGCGTCTCTGTTATTAGGCACCTTTCATCGACGGACAGCTCCAGACAGCTCCAACACCCCTTTTATCAGGTGCAGGCGACTCTGTTCACTCTGTTCAGAGGAAAGGAGCTGAAGGAGCAGTTGCGACAGAGGTGGGAGAGAAAGGAGAGCAAAAGAAAGCAAGCAAAAGAAAGAAACAAAACGAGCATCGCCTAATAACATATGCAGTTATAATTGCACAAAAGGGAAGTATACATTAATAAGAAAAAACAAAAAAGAATTGTGTTTATGGTTTGCAATTAGAATTCACAATAAAGGGATAGACTTTACTGACAATTGTGGGCTACTTTGCTTGGGTTTTACTTGTAACTGGTAATCTCCTTCTATTTACTGGCCACTGTTTATTGAAATGATATCTGTCCATAGTCCAATATCCACTGATTTCTTGAGTCTGGATATCTTTCTGAATGCATTGATTAGATATGTTTTCTATTACATCAAGCTGAATAATCTTGAGCCGGTCTAAAATATCTTTAATCTGTAGCACTCTATTTTGACTGTAGTAACAATAGATAAATGTCTATCGACTGGCATTGGATTTGTCTTATGTTTATATTTCTAATATTCTAGTATCTCTAATATTAGAAATACTGCTAGCTATTTTTATGTGCTAATAATAATAATAAAAATATAATAAAAATATAATAAAAATAATGTATGATTATTTGTCTTTTGATTGCTATTTTCCTACAATAATGATTTTGGTTCTAATTTTAATTTCAATTCTGATTCTAATTCTAATTTTGATTACAATTCATGATCCTTCTGGATCATATACCAAACCCATGTTGGCCCATGGTCTGTGTCTCACCATTCCTTCAGCACAATGTGGTTTCGTAATGTTAATGATACCGATAGAGTTCTGGTCAATAGTGCGAATGGTATCAACAGAGTTGAGTGTAGCAAGACAAAATAACAATACAGCCCTGGCAAAAGAAACATCTCCTCTTTATTGCAATATAGTTCACAGATCGTACACCACAGCAAATCTAGAAATCAGCTTAAAGCTCAATCAGCCCAATCAGCCCAATCAGCCCAAACCTCTGAAGGCACTTGATTAAGATAAAGCGTTTTTGTAAGGTGCACAAAAGGTGCACAAAAACTGGAAGTTTGGTGGGCGAAAACAGCTGAAGGTTTGGTCATTTAATGCAGGCTTTAGAGTTGTCCTTATCTAAGGTTCACCGCTACACCTGCGCAACGCGGACTGGGTTTCCCTCTCCCATTTCCATTGCCATTTCCTGGCCCTTTTCTGCTGCCTGTGAGGAAGCTGCTGCAAAGTCGCCCACCAAACCTCCAGCACATTCCGGACCGACTCCTGCTCTGGACCTGCTCTCCGGCGAGACCTCTCCAGCCAATCATCGCCGGCTCCTTTGCTGCTCCTATCTGAAACCCCCAACACTGCTCTGTTTCTGATAACATGCTTTGGGTCAGAATCCACTTATCGTGATAGGCTTTTCTGATGCCTTCTTCTGATTGGTCGCCGTGGCATGCTCCAGGAATCTTGCACTTTTATGTTCATGTTCATGTTCATAACTGAAAATCTCTCGGAGCTATATCTTGATAAATAGTGATTATCACAGCAGTTGATGATAACGAGCAACAAATCATCAGTTGTCAATGGTTATTCATTTGAATAATCCTACACTACATGATTTTATTTAAACCTTTTTTTACTTTCTATTATCTTGTTTTTGCATTTCCTTGGATTTCACTTGATTTCATTTGAGTTTTATTTAACAGCAATTTTAAAAGTCTCATACAATCTTACTTGTTTTATAGATAATTATCTGATACCAACTTAAGGTTTAACCACACCTATTTACAATCACCTACATTGATCTATTTAGAGGGGGAAATCGGAATCAGAAAATTTTATTTCAACCAAAGTATATTTTTTTGAGAATTTAAAAATTAACAATTAACAATTATAAATTATAAATTAAAATTAATAATTGAAAATCAAAAATCAAAAATTAAAAATTAAAAATTAAAAAATTATCAAAAAATTGCTTGTCATATTTTGTAAAACTATTCATATTCAATTTATTCAATAATTGTGGAAATGAATAATTTTAATCAAACAAGGTGCAAGAAATGTTGAAAATAATACTTGAACATAATAATTTTATATAAACAGGGCTCAAAAATAAATCCAAAAATAAGCAAAATAATTAAAATAATTAAAACAATTGATACCTAAAACAGCTACAATAATTAAAATACTTTAGGTGAAATTTTAACCACCAAAACCACGTTTTTCTACATGTTTTTCGAAATGTTTCTCTACATTCTATGTATGCAATGTATCACAGAATTCTATTGTTTCATATCAGCCATATCGAGGTTTTTATCAATCTACTGATCTAGCAACATTAGTTTTGTATATTCTGTTAACAAAGTTTAGCCACATTTTATCATCCCAATTCTAAATTCTTATTTCCAATTTTCAATTTCCAGTTTCCATTCTGTCCAATTTCCGTTCTGTCCAATTTGATAAAATAATATTGACATAAAACTTGCACTTCCCATTTATTTGTTTAATATTATTATTTACCTAACACTCTCACTTTTTTAGTTCCTCGTTGCCCACAATCCGTCGCTTTCAATTTGTCCAACTCTTGTTTTTTGCTAATTTACTGCTCATATCATCAAAATTAAAATCCGTCAAAAATTCAAAAAAAAGCTTTAATTTCCTACTAGTGTAGTTATCATTCATTGCAACTTTTAACATTTCACTATATTTCATTAAGGCGAATAAAAACTAAATTGAAAATGTCAATCCAAATTCAATTTTCACCTCTCCCTTTTCCTGTTTTGTTTTTTAACTTCTATTTTTGCCAAATACAAGTAACCATATTAGCGACAGCCCACTCTTTGCTCTCCCTCTTCGCTTTCCCTCTTCACCCTCACCATCAGCACTCATTCACAAGCCCTCCCTAATAATACCACGACCAAATGGTTATATCTCCAATGCTCGTCTCCAAACTTGACCATACTGCGGGAAGACGCATATCATGCGGATGTGACATAATCCCACGTGAAATTACGTGTATCAAACGCACTCGCGCACAGACATGCATAGTCTCTTCTCGTCATTAAAACGATTTAGTCTCAGCGACTTTGACACATTTGGGCTTGTTTTTTAGTACACGTTTGAAGCTGCGTAATGTTGGTGAGATTATCCAGCCATAGCTCGAGCATGGTCTGAGAAATGTGCAATTGACAACTTCGTTGACACTTTATTGACATTATTGTGGGACGTTAGCCTTTTCACTCGTTCTCTTTAGTCTAACAGGTATTTTTTGTATTAATGATCGGAAATAAATGAATAAAACTAGCCTAAAATAATGGAATATAACCAAAGGATCTAAATAAAATAAAATAAAATAAAATAAAATAAAATAAAATAAAATAAAATAAAATAAGAAAATCAAAACAAAACAAAATAAAGTAAAATACTTGAGAATACTTGAAAATATGACAATAATAGTAACAAAATTTATCCTTAAAATATAGCTAAAGTGAATAAAACAAATGTAAAGATTATTAAAAAAAGATTCATTAAAAAAAAAATTTAATCAATTATAAGGTAGTGAAAGAGAGAACTAAAAAGAATATTATAATTTGCAAAAAGAAAAGAGTAAAAAGAGAGAATTTATAAATTATCAATAGTAAAAAAATACAAATAGAATTGTTAAAATATGAAACTTGAAAATTGAAAAATTGGAAAATTAGAAAATCTGAAATTGAGATAAAAATTTATAAATGAGTAAATGAGCGAATAAATAAGTCGTTGAACCAATTATTCAGCATATGATCAAGTTGGAAAAAAAAAATAATTAAACCTGGAACTTGTTATTTCTGTAAAAGGATGGCTCGTTAGAATCGTTCGTACTTCCATAAGTATTGTACAAATTATACTCATCTAATATACTAAATTTGGTCGGCTGTTGAGGAACTGATAGTCCTTGTTTATGCAATGCTTGTTCTCTTAATCTGTTTAATGTTGGACTGTAGACGTGAGAAATTTCATCATAAATAACAGGATAATTTTTATCACCGAATGGTCTTAATCTTTTAGCCTTGAGATATAATTTATTATCCTTTTCAAATTCCTCGGGAACAAGTCCAAATGCTTTTAAAGCTGATAGACCATCTGAATAAGCATCAATAGTTTTTACGCTTGACATTGAGGAAGTCAGGTTATGTTGATAAACATATGAATGCATTTGAGATTTTAAGTGAGGTTTTGGATACTTTGATTTATTTTTCTTTAGAGGTGAAGGGTTTAATTTCGTGACATCAGTTTGACTAATGGATTTTAAAATTGGTTTTCTAACGTCATCAATTGGATTTAAATAAGTGATTGAGCTCGAATTTGAATTAGAATTTTGATTTGAATTTGAATTTGAATTAGGATTGAGATTTGAAATTGGAGTTTGATTTTGATTCATACTTATATTGATACTAGAATCATTTATGTTTGAATCATTATTAGAATTAATATTAATATTTTTGGAGTGAAAACTTGAAGCAGTCTTTGAAGATGAACATGAATCAGATCTTTGTAAATTTATAGGAAGCAAATAAGATTGTTTATAGATTGATTTATTTGAACTAATCTTATTGGAAGAGGTTTGTGATTTATTTTCATTGTTACTATTATTATAATTATTATAATTATTAAAATCAATGACGAAATTTTGATCAGAATTCATAATTTCGTTTCTATCAGGCAACCAATATTTATGTTTACCGCCATCATAATATCTTAAACCTTTGTTTAATCTGGCATACCTTGAAGATGATGAAGGATGACTAATTAAGGCTTCGACGCTATCGAAATTTTTATAATCATAGCTTGAGCCGTTAAAAGTTACTCTAAAATCATAAATCAAATCACCAATACCAAAGGAATCCTTTAATGCCATTTTAAATGTTAGTCTACAAGAATTTGGCAAAGTTTTGAAATCAAATGCCTTGTAGGTGAAAGATTTCCAATGGCCAATTGCGAATAGGATTAATTCAGCGCATAATAAAGCGTTTTGAATAGAAGTGGATAAGTTGTATTCATTTGATTCAGGTTCTTTGGGCAAATCGATATCTGTATCATTTTTAATATTATCGAGATAACCTAGATAATTCAAGATTCCCAAGATTATTCCCTGCCAATAAGAAGCAAAAATGATCAATTTAACACATAAGAATTTTCCCCATGGATTAAAAGGCATCAAATCATTATAAAGACATTTCCAAAAGATGGCTAGATTGTATAGAGATAAGGAGACCGAGAAATTGTAGGCGATATTTAGCCAGAGATAAGAGCTCCAAATGGATAAATCGTTTACATCGTACCAACCAAAGAATTCAGTGATTGCAATTAATAAACATAGGATTGGTTTGATCCAAACGTATTGTAGGATGCCCCTTTTAATTGACAAAAAAGTGTAAGGGTCACTGATATCAATTGGATTAAAAAACAAGCTAAAAGGAAGAGGATGAGCAATTGGTTTTCTGCCTGAAGTGAAGATTATGATATTTCTCTCGCCACCTAGGATATCAGTTAGTAAGGTGAAGAATGTATAAATCACAAAGGATTCGTAGATTTCTCTTATTGGTTCGATGTATTTTGATATATTCGGAGCAATTAGATTTAGAAAACAAGATAAAGCGTATAAGGGCAATATCATTTGAATTCTGTTGATTAATCTTTGCTGTAGAGGTTTTCTGTAATTTAGTAGATGTAAAGATATGGAGGTTAATGAAATGATTACAGCCAAAAAACTACTTATCCCACATATTACGACAATATACCTAGCAAAAAAGGAAGAAAATAAAACAAGAAGATTAGTTAGTAAAAAAACAGATAGAAAAAAACAACATTAAAAGAAAATGAGAACATACAAAGGTAGAATTAAAGTCATTTGTTAGTGAAACGATATAAGGCTTGAGATGATATGAGATGGAAGCAAGAATGAGAAGTCGAGAGCAGAGAATGAAACAATAGGGAGTATAAGTATGGTCGTGGTTGTGATTATGATTATGATTATGATTATGGTTATGACAGATAATAAAATTGATAATAAATATTATATCTAGGCAAGTAGGAGAAATGAAGGCAAAGGTGGAGGGAGCCACTCAAAACAGCATAAAAGTGCAAAAAGAGCAACCAGAACTTTGCAGAGTAAACCAGAACAAACCAGAACAAGAGCTAGAGGGCTCTATTGGAAATGTAGAGATAGAATAGAATAGGAAGAAAAGTGGATGAAAGCAGTATAGATATTGATCAAGAGAAGAGAGAAGGAAGGAAATGTTGGGACAAACGAAGGATTTACACGCGAATAGGAAAATAAGTAAATAGAGAGCTACACGAATGGAGAGCAATAGGATGATATAATATAATATAAATTTTATATATTTATATAGAATAAAATCGTAACAGAAGTGAATAAAAGTAGAAGAGTCATAAAATGAGAATAAAAGAGTAAGAATAGAAATAAAAACGAGACAAAAAATCAAGAAAAAAGATTAGTGAATGGAGATTCGAATGATAGAGAATGAGAAGAGGTAAAAACAATAGAAAAAGAATTAGATAAATAGATAATGAATATTTTCTGGAAATTATATTTTATTCTGTTTCTCTTTGAATTCTAAAAATTATAAATTATAAATATAAATTAAATGAAAAAAAAATGGGGAAAAAAAAATAGAAAATTAGAAGTGGATTTTATTGGATTAAAATATTTTTTTTTAATGAGGTTTTTTTTTAAGATATTTTATAGTATTTTATAGTATTTTTTTGATTTTTTTTGATTTTTTTGATTATTTTTAAATTTTTTGAGTTTTTTTTGTTTTTTTTGAATTATTTATTTTTTGAAATATTTATTTTTTGAAATTGAGGAAACTTAAAGTCAAATTAGGAGAAATTATTAACAAGATGTGAATGTGATGTGAATGTGATGAGAATAAGATATTTTTATTATATTTGTATGATATTATCATGATTAGGAAATTAAATATGCTTTTGCCATTTCATAGGCAGTCCAACATATGGCAGTACTAGGGATGTTGAAGAGAATTCTTGGTCTTAGACCTTTAAAAAAGTTTGAGTAGTGACCATTTGAAGATTTGATGTAGATGAAGGCATCTTTGAAGCCGTCGATTCTGTATATTTTTTCGTTGTTTTGGTGGAATAAGAGGCCTCTTGTTTGTAGGATTGTTTTGATACAGTCGAGGGGGGTTGTGATTGCAGCAGCAAAGGCACCAGCAATACCACCAGAGATACAGTGCAATAGAGGGTTGTAGTTGTGGTCTGGGTTTAGAATTGAGGAGGAGTATTCGTAGATACCGAAATTTATGGCAGCGAAGGGGATGTTTAAAAGTAAAGTTGTGGGATAGGATATGTAGAAGGCCTTTATGGACTCGTTTTTGTAGATTTGCCTTGACAATTGGAAGAGGTTGATCTTTTTCTTTGGAATGGCATTGGCGTTGTAGTTGATGGCCTGCATTCTTTGTTTGAGGGTATCGAAGGGAGTCATTAGGGCATCGCTAGCAGTTGTAGCACAGATACCAGATAGAGAAGCGATTAAAGGGTGGTTTTCGTCGGTTATGAAGGATTTGTTGGATGTGTTGATGTGTTGGGGGACCTTTTTGTCTGAGTTTATGAGATGGTTGACGAGGAAAGTCTTTGTGTTTTCAAAGACACTAAAGTAGATGGCATGGGCAGGACCAGCGCCCAAGATAACAGAGGAGATACCTCTCCAAAGCGCAAAGGTGCCTTCTTGGGAGGATATTTTTGCTATTGAGGCGAATATACTGTTGGGGAGGATGTGGTTTTTGAGCAATCTGATGCTGTTTATGTTGGAGGGAGATATGGTGGGCATTATCTGCATTCTTGTTTTAATGGCGTCAATTGGAAACATGAGGGTGTGTTCCATCATCCCAGCAAAGGCACCAGCTAGCAATTGAGCAGCAAAGGGAGAGTTCTCAGGGAGGGCCTCATAGTCGATTTCGATTTTGTTTGCGAGGTCGATGGAGGGATCACTAGATGTGGTGGTGGTGGTGGGTGTAGATGTGGATGTGGATGTGGATGTGGATGTGGAGGAGGAGGAGGAGGAGGAGGAGGAATCTATTTCTATCAAGTGAGAGCTGTTAGAGGACATGGGAATTAGATCAGAAGGATTTTGGAGAACCTTTTGCGAAGGCATTTTTAGGTTGTAGCGTCGAGAAAGATTTGAAACAGAAGGAAAAAATCGAAGTAAGGGAAGAGATGGTAGAGGAGAGATGAGAAGAGGCAGCAGTGGTAAGAGAAAAGAAAGAAAAAAAAAAGAACAGGAAGATATATGACCAATTTAAACTAGCCCCAGCAGAAAGAAGGATATCAAATGAAATCAAACATAATCGACAATTTATAGAAAATAGCTAAAACGTAAAAAATTTTCAATTCATCCAGCACCAAATCCAAAAGCATCTCCAGCAATTCCTCAAAAGCACCACCGCCAGACCCAACGTCTCATAATTTTCACACCCAGACCCCTGGCCAGACCCTGTCAGTGCTTGGAGGGTTTGCTCCAGCCGTACTGGCCCCGGTCCTACGCGCGCGAACAACACCCACTGGGCCGCCCATGTCCGTCTGTGCCAAACCCACCCCGGGCTGGCAGCAGGGGGTCTGGTGCGATAAGACACACCCCAGGACGGAGCTCCGTGGCGCTGATCCGGAACACGTCCACAGTGCGTCCACAGTGCGTCCGGGGCCTATCTCGCACCCCGGAAGACCCAATCCGTGCGAGCCCTAGTAGCCCTACAGCCGAGCCCTAATGCGATAGCAACGATAACAAGGCTCTTCCGAAGCAGCAGCAGAAGCAGCAGAAGCAGCAGAAGCAACACAAATGCCCAGCTACTCCAAAGAAGACACGCTTTTCGACCAGGCTGCTGCCGGTTTTCCCGACAGATACTCGCCCATATCCTCGCGCCACAGACACAGATACCCCCTCTACACCCACCACTACCACGAGAAACACAACGAGAAACATACCTCCTCCAGCTCCAGCTCCAGCTCCAGCTCCCTGCCCAATTCTAGAAGAACAAAGTACCTGATCCTTCTCCTTTCCTTGCTTCTTGTTGTCTTCTACTACTCACCTGTCTTATCCTTTTTCCATCCTCACTCCCACCCTCCCACAGAACACGATTTCGTCCATAACTGTCACCTAAAACCCTTCTTCCACAACAAATACTACAACAAGAACAAACTAGACTTATCCAACAAGGCCTCCCAACGAAAGTTCTTTGAAAATTTCGACTTGGCTGCTCCAAACTCTTTGTCCAGTGATTTCCTCAACAACATCAACAACTCCAACAACATCTCCAACCCAGTCAAGGAAATCTTCCAGGTCTCCTCTCCAATCAATTTGGCAAACTACTCCCTTTTCCATACTCAACCTCTCTTGCTCAATTACACCTTTGGTGACTCTTGGGGCAAACCCTCTATTTCCACCATAATCCCACCGGTTCTAAAAAATCTTGTCCCAGATTACCAGTTCTACAAAGACAACAACCTCTTCAAAATCCTACTAGAAATCAACATCACCTCAAATGGCGTCCAGTACGACAGATTGGCCCATTTGTATCTCAACAAAATTCCAATCTGGAGAACAAGTACTCCAGAACCTGGCAACTCCAGAATTCACTCCTCCTTCAGAAAGGACGTCTCCACTTACCTTTCCCTCTTCGAAAACGATCAATTGGAATTGATGTTCCAGCTAGACAACCTCCTAACCGGCAGACTAACTGGCAAATTCAACATCTCCATCTCTTCCTACTACTACAAAGCCTCTTCTCCATCCACCATCTCCCTTCTTGACAGTAACAGCAACAACAACAACGACAACTTTAACGAAGACACCCTCAACTTGTACCAAAACAACAGTGACATCCTCCTAAACTCTCTTTTCTCCATCTACAACAAACCGGCAAACAAAATCATCCCCATCATCAACAAGAAAATCAACTCAAGACCCCCCTTGGTCTACCTCCCTTCCTCAAACCTCATCTTTCCAATCCAAAAATTACCCTCAAACACAACAAGAGTCAAATTGGCCCTCTTCATCTCCGGCAACGCTGCTGAAGAATTTTGGTACTCAAACGTCCTCGACCCTTATAAAAACAAATTCTCCGATAATGGCCATCAACTACTTGGCCATGGACCCTGCAGACTCATAAACATCTACTTGAACAACAAACTCATCTCAATTCAAAACCCTACTCCTGTGATCTTCACAGGTGGTATCTCTCCTGCTCTCTGGTCCCCAGTGGTTTCAACTGGTGCCTACGATCTAAAGGCTCTTGAATTCGACCTCACTCCCTACCTACCTCTATTCTGGTCAAACATCAACGACCTCAAAATTGAAGTCTCAAACTGCCTCCGCAACAAAATGTCTCCCCAATCAATTGGCCAAAACTGGATCACAACTGGCAATCTACTAATCTGGCAAAATGATCAAATCTTAAACTCAAATGGAAAAATCCTATCAACAAACAACACAAACAACGTCTTCTCAAACGTAATCGACTCCTCCTCAAAGGACCTATCCCAATTTATCAACTCGTCAAATAAATTTTCCATAAAATCAAAATTGAACTTCAACTTGCAAAACAATAAAAACATCTCCGTCATTATCGATAACAATCGTCATGTCAAAAACTCAAACATCCAATACTACAAAAAAAACGCTGATTCTCAATCTGTCCTATCAATTATCGAATTCAAAAACTCTTTTGGTCTAATCAACTACAAAGACTATCTATCCAATAACTACAACTCCTCCATCTCACTAAACACAACTTCAACTTATCCGTTAAATATCCAAATGGATTTCGACTCAATCTCCGATTCTTACGACATTAAATATTTTGTCAAACTATTCAAAGCCATCAACCACAAAATTAACATGAATAACGACAAATTCTCAATCCAAAAGAAAAATGAACAAAAGGGTAATTCAACTTTTATAATCTCACCAAAGAGAAATCATGGTTTTGGCTCAATGAAAACTAACGTCCTCCTATCTAGTAAAGGCTTTGAAAATAATGATAATCTAAATTACACAAGAAAAGTCTTAGCTGTCAATGGCTCAATCCAATATGACATTGTTAATGGCGAATTCAAAAACAAAGATTATTATTTAAATAACTTTTTCAACAAAGATATTCTTAACCAAAATGCCCTAAATGATAGCAACATCCAAAATAATGTTTGCTCGTTTTATGAAAAATTAAATGACGATAAATGCTTTTCTTCATGGTTAAATCTTGATAAAGAAAAAACTCAATTTAATAAACATTTATCCTTCTTAAAAAATGATCCAAATTATCAAGGAATGCTTTCACATTTAGAAGACTTGTATAAGGAGGACCAAATAGATAAGGAGGTTTTCAGCTCTTTCTTATCTTCTTTAGTTGACAATTATTAAGCAAATGAAAAAAAAAAAAAAGGAAAAGAAAAAAAAGAAAAACACTTATTTTGAAGCTTATAAAAATTGAGAGATGAAAATTCCAACTTAAACATATCAAACCTACTTTTTAATTCTTTATACATATTCATTACTTATCACTATGATTTTTATAACATTTATATATATATACATTAATTTATACTTATTTTCATATTTACATTTATGTTTACAATTATATTTATGTCTATTTATTTTTCATTTTATCTTGTAATGATTCTTGATTTTGAGTTCTTTTCATTTTATAATTCAATAAGTAAAAAAAGTTCATTTATTCATTACCTTCAAGACAAACATGAAAATTAAAGTGTGATTTAGATTTTTTTTTGTTTCAAACTAACTGATGTCAAGTAAAACAAATTGCAATATCAAATTAATGAAATAATCAATTATCGGGTTGTCATTATTTTAGAAGCATAATTATTAATCGACTCAAGTCGAATATCGAAATGGGTAAAATGAATCATTTGGCGTTTTTTTTGTTTTTTTTTGATTGAGAAAAAGAAGATGAATAATAATATTCTTTGAGATTAAAACATCATAAAAAAAATTAAACCAATGGATCATTTAAATTGGGTAAATGTATTTGTCTGCTTCTTTTTTTTTGCGTGTAATTACAAGAGACCAAAATTAATAAAATGTGAATTTTATAAATAACATACAAAATAGTATAAGAATATTTATATATATATATAAAAACTGTACGATAGGATAATTGGAAGCAGTTAAAGAAAAATTTTACACATTGCCGAAATATAAGAAAAAGTAGAAAGTTATCAAAACGTAAATTAATTAAATGAGTAAATAATTAAATAAAAGAAACAAAGAACTGTTTCTTTTAACAAAACAAATTGAATATTAGAAAATAAAAATTGAAGAAAGTAACACACAACTATATCAAAACGTTGGGAATTTGAACTTTTGAAGTCAGTAAAATAATAATAAAATAATAATTAAATAAGTGTTATTAAATAATTTTTGAAATGTGACAAAATTTTGTTAAAAGTAACGAAATAATAAAGTAAAAAGAGAGAAAAAAAAAGAGAAAAAGTGAGCAAGAAGCAAGAAAGCAAGAAGTAAGAAGTAAGAAGTAAGTAAAACAACGAAGTGGGTGTAAAACAAACAAGGCAAAAAGGGAGCCAATTAGTTCAATAATGACAAAATTGATTGGATTTAAATTCTTTTTGCTTTTATCTCAAAAAAAGGGAGGGGCTATAAAAAAAGGATGATAAAGAGAAGAGTAATCAGTGAGTATTTAAATGTGGTTTTATTTCTTGGTTTCTTCAGCCTTTCTATTTGGAGTAAGTGTTGAAAGCATAAAAAGTAATAAAATTTATCGTAAACAAATTTGAAATTTAAAGTATTTGGATACGTTAGATTTATTGATCAAAGTTATATAAAAGTTAGAAAAGCTAGAAAAATTAGAAAACTTATATGAAAATTACATGAAAATTAGATAATTATATAAATAGTGGGATTCAGAATGTATTAAAATTAAATTGTCTTCAATTAATAACGTTTTTGCCTGAGATATTTACTTTGATACGATAAATATAAAGTAAATAAAAATCAAGATAATCTAGAATAAGTACACAAATTACATTAAATAGGAGAATACGATAATTATATAAAGTGAAAAGTGAACAAAAAAAAACGAGGATTGATAGAATTGGTAGATTTGATAGAATTGATTGAATATATATTAAAAAAACAACTCATCAAAAGAAATTGTTAAAGAGAACGTAATTCAGAATGGTCTAAAATCATTGTAACAAATAAAGTAAATAGGAAGTAAATATGAGATCAAGACAATGACAACAGTAGTGATAATGATAAGAAAATTGAATGTTTAATGGAATTTTAAAGAACTGGATAAAATGGAAAGAATTAAATAAATGAAAAGAATACAGTTCAAAAAAAAGTATAAAAAAGTATAAAAAAACAACCAAAAAATCAGAAAAAATCAGTCAAAAAACCAGAAAATAACACAAATGAAATTGGTAAGCTTCAAAAGTATAAAGAGAAAAGATAAAGAACTAAAAAGAGAAGTAAGCCTGAAAAGCAAACTTGTAGACAAAGTAGAAACCTTTGAACTAAGAGAGGAAGATTGAAGAGGACAGACTTGGTAATAAACCAGAGACCAACGATTAATCCATAATTAATCCCTAACGGTAAAATAAAAGTTGTTTAAAACAGAAGAGTGGTTAAAACAGATTCAAAAAGCACTATAAGCAGTGCAAGATTTTTGGGTAGAGTAAAATACGCAGAATTTCTAACATTTAGAACGAAAAACTGTATAGAAAGTGTGATTCATAATTGAATTTATGGGCGAGATTATGGTTTTGTTATAGTTTTGTTATAGTTTTGGAGGTTTTCAGTGAAACCATAGTTATAGCAAAACTGCAGACCAAGCAGGTACTAGAAAACAACAACAGAAAACAGATAATTAATAATCTGCAGCTAACAATTAATAATAAAAAGGAGGAGTAAATTTTAAACAATTGTAACAGCAGTCAATAACCCAACATTTCTGAGATATTCATTTACAAGCCAGATTGGGCTCTGTATCGAGGTTGCTGTTCAACGAAAAAAGTCCACGCAGCTTTCACAAACAAACCACAGCACAGCCAGCACAAAACAATGCAAACAACAGCCAGGGACCCCCTTTCCATAGCGAGAGAGCAGCAAATTCAGTTGGTTTGCGTTGGAATTGGGCATTTTCTCAGAGACCCCTGCGCACGCTGATTGGCCAGTTTTTTTTGACTTGTATCTGTGGGAACATGCACAAAGCAAACAGTATGCGCATATATACGAGTGATAGTGCGTGGAACGTCGTGAGGCTTCCAGAAGGAGTAGGACCCCGATAAGGGGGGTTTGTGTAGTACAGACCCTCAAATGAGGGTCTCATTGCTAGTTTCCTCAAGCCTTTTTTTTTCAAAATTTTTGATTGGTTTTGGAGGAATTTCTTTGAGGAAAAGTGCTGAAAGCGTTGGATTTGTTGAATGTGTTGAAGGAGTTGCTTCAAAGAGAAGGCACCTGTGCTGCAGCTGCCTTGTTGCGCCAGGTAGCTCTTTGAAGGCTTTTTGGAAGCAGCGAAAGCATTCAATTTGGAGCTCTTTGGGCTGTTTTCTGCAACCTTTTGCAATGTTTTGCAAAACATTTATCATATTTTGCAACTGCTTCCAAATAATTGAAATGAATAAACTCAAAGCCTATTGTTACCGTTATACTTGAGGTTTATTTCACTTATTACCAGAAAATTTTTTCACTCATACTAATCTTCTGCTATTTTTCAAAGTTAAAACAATTCTTTAAAAGACTAAACATTAACTGCAAATTATATTCATGTTGAATAACAAGACTCAATTCCCTAATCTTATGTCTTGCTGTTTATTACGATAGTAATTATTATCTCAATCTGTTTAAGATAGTAAACACTTCTAGTCGCATTCGTTTTGATTTCTTATTTTCTTGGTTAATGTGTCTTATTTGAAAAAATTTAGCTCTATTTTGAATTTTAATTTATTTTTTAGTAATTTACTTAATACTTAATCTGTTTAATATTTAAATAGTTGATTAATTTATTTTTACTTTTGCTTTAGCTTTTATTTTTATTTTTACTTTAATTTTGTATTTTTACTTTAATTTTTTATTAAATTTCACTGAAATTGATATTTTTTTTCGTTTTTTGGTTTGTTTTTTCAATTTCTAACAACTTTCTTTCAAATTTTTCAATTATAATTGTTATTTCTTTCCACTTTTATTCAAATTATCAATATTCATATTATTCATTCTATCTATTTTATTTAATTCAAAATTATATATATTATCGATATCAACCACTTTTAACCTTCATTCTTTTTTTTTCAATTTTTCATTTAAAATTTTTATTCGTTTTACTCTTTTTCTCTCTTTTGTTCATTTTATTGAATCATATCCAATATACTTTATACTATACTATACTATACTATACTATACTATATCATCTTACCATATACTATCTTATACTATCTTATACCATCTGATAATATCTTATATTTTATACATTTTTACGAGTCTACACTATCTCTCATACCTCACTCAATTCCACTCAAGTCCATCTAACAAAGTTCAGCTCAATTCAATTCATTTTTATCTTTTTTCAATTCTTTTGATTTTATTTCAATTCCTTGATTCCTGATAAAATTGATAAAATTGATAGTTAGCCAACTTAATTGAATGAATTCAAATAAATTATCTCAAAAATGAATAATAACAACCTCAATATTAACCCAAATTTAAATATAAACAATTACAACAACTACAGCAATTACAATATTAATAACAACTCTGCTAACATCTCAAATAACTCTATCATAAATCCTAACATGAATAACCTCAATTATAACTATAACTATAACTACAACTACAATCCTGACCTATCCTCCTCTTCTTCCTCAAACCTTCAATTCTCGAGAAGCATGGCCTTTTCCAATCCAACTTCTTTAAATTCAAATTCAAATTCAAATTCTAATATACAAAATCAATATCAACAACAAAATCAATCACTACAATCATTTCCAAGCAATCAAAATTTTTACAGCACTATTCAACCTCTGCAATTAACTAATAATAGCTCGATTCCTATTCAATCAAACTCATCAAACCAAATCTTCTCGTGCGATTATCCGGATTGTGACACAAACAGACGATTCCAAAATGATAAACAATTAAAGAAACATAATTATGATTGCCATGATAACGTTTTCTTTTGCACTTTATGCTGCGATAAATTTCCTAGAAATGATAACTGTAGAAGACATGTTAACATGAAGCATAAAATCCCAGTGGGAAAATCCGGCAAATATGAATTAATAGATAAATACATTTTAAGAATTAAAAGAAAAGATATGAAGGATGGTAACTTTAGAAACATAGCTAATGAAATCCAAAAATATATCGTTAAAAGAGATCTCAAGCCTGAATCCTCTGTAATGAAAAATCTAACCCTTATTCGTAACGATATAGATAATTTTCGCTCTCAACCTCAACAATTCTTTCATGATAATCATTCAAATAACCAAAATATTCACAATCCGCAAACACCAAATATCAATTCCACTTATCTTGAAAGATCTGTGTCTTTTCAAAATTTCAATGTCAATAATGCTTTTACATCCCAATCTTCTTCTCAAAGTCTCAATCAATTTAACAGTATACCTACTAATTCGACTGCAAATACTAAAAATAACAATAATAACCTCATGAACTCTCAAATCCAACCACTCCAATCAATCCAATCAATCCAACCTTTAACTTCTGTTCCTCAAAATGTTCCAACCACTAAAAACTCTCGAATTAGATTACCTCCAATCTCAGCTTTGCAATTAACTCCATCGACTGATACCAATGCAAAATTACCTCCTTTAAATTTTAATCATAAACAAAGCTAATTCTTTGATAAAACATGTTATCTATACCAACAAACAGCAGTGTTACCTATATTGATTTTTTTTTCCTATTTTGAATGTATTCTACAACCGAACAAACCGTTGGACTGATCCAATTAGTTTTCATTTTTTGTTTTTTTTATATAATTTTCTTTAATAGCATTAATAGTCTTTTGAAGTTGTTTTTTTTCCTATTTTATAGTGTTTTTTTGATCATTTTTTATTTCTCAGATCTTATGCATTTATGTTCTATACTATATGCTTCATAGATTGTTGTATTTTATTGTTTTTCTAATTTAAAGTTTTCTTTATATTTTTGCATTGTCCATTTTTTCAATGAATGAAAAATGGTTCTTTTTATTTAATTAATTTATACTGAATTTAATTTGGCATAATAAATTTATATTAAGTTGTTTATCCTGTCCATTTTTATCTTTAAACCCATCAGTTGCTTTAAACAAAAACTTAATCAAGCTCATTTGTTCAAAAAAATAAAAATCAATTTAAAATAAAATAAAATAAAATAAAATAAAATAAAATAAAATAAAATAAAATAAAATAAAATAAAATAAAATAAAAAAATCATGCAAAGTATATGACTATACTTGTAAATGAATTAAGAAACAGGCAAACAAATAACATGGCGGGATAAGACTTTATGCATATTTAGTTAAAAGGTTTTAATGAATGAGATACATGAATTGATTAGATTAAAATTTAGATTACCATTTTTTTTCTCCAAGAAACAGGAAAAAAACAATAATCAGATGTCGACTTTGATATATTTTTTATTTTTATTATTAATGTTTTCTATAATTTACAGTTTTTTTAGACTTTATTAGACTATTAGACTTTAATTGAGTGGAATTGATACAAAATTTGGTTATGAAAATTATTCATTTCAACATTAGAAGCATTTTTTTTCAACCTATTGTTTCTTTAAACTTGGGCTGAAATTATATTTTCCCGGGAATATGATCATAGATATGATTATTTCTTCAGTTAGTGGCCCCTACTTTCAATTTCAAAGTTAAAAAACCAACTAGTGTCTTGTGGTTTTTTTATAAAACACATCAATGTAGTGATCTTATCTATTATCATATCACTTTCAACTGATTCTAAAACAAAACACCCTGGAAAGCATTCACCAGACTAATAAGAAGTTAAAAATTAAAGCAAATATCGTAACTCAAGAAACAAATTTCCCTGATAAAAAACTCCTTTTATTTTGTTTGACAATGAAATTTTTCTCCTTCTGATTCAAACTATAGACTTCAAAACACATATTCTTGTTTTTCAAAACACCTCAAATAATTGAGGAAAAAGGAAAATCCTAAATCTAAATGTTAATGCATCTTCACTTAAAATTGTAATTCTTGGAAATAGCATAAAAGTCCAAGAAGTTCCTTCAAATTATTGTGTGAATTTTTCAAACCTTCTTCGAAACATCCTCAGCAAAAACAGATGGACTTAGTGAACCACTGACAAGAAACAGGGAAAGAACTCACTGAAGTCTGTAATGCCATCCAGAAATCAACTACTCATCCCAAAACAACCCCCTTCAAACCCAATAGCAAAACCACCACCTCCTGCCTTTTCTTGCCTTTTGTCCAACTCTGATAAGAAAACGTTCTTTTCTTCAATCTCAGCTCTTCGGATTATCCCCGCTCCGGATGCACGCGAATGGAAAAACTCAGACGCATCCGGATAAACTCAATCAAAATACGCATAATAGTGCAGCTAACCACGTATCCAAGCAAACGGAATTAAAAGCCCCGAACTAATTCCGTACTTGACTTGGGTGAACCGTAATTTTGTTCGTAACGCAAATACACAACACAATGGATTTAGTCCTTGAAAATATTGTTAGATCCAAAGATATCGTTACTGATTTTTACAAGTTTTATAGAAGTGATTCACCAAAACTGGTATCCTTTATTTGGCATAATTAAAAACTGGGTTTTAGCATATTTTTCTTTCAAGAATGAACATGACGGCAGGAATTTCGCAGAAGTGTATCGTTTTCAACACCTATGGTTTTCTTTGGATCACCCAACCAGTAAACCAACAATGCACATAGAGACTAACAATCTAGATCTGGTTGGTAACAACAGACTGGTTTCTCAGGATAATGTCAAGGATGGTGGGAAACTATTTGTTCCCAATATAAGCAAGGAGAATAAGATAGAACAGAATGACAAAATCATTGGGTTGACACAACCCACAGGCTATCAGAGTTTGATATTGAACCTATTACCATCAAATAGAAACCGATTGAGCATGGTTATGTCCTTGATTAAGGCATTTGAATTGGATCAATATTTTAAACAAATTCAGGTGAAAAATACTAATAAAGTTGAACTATGCAAATTTCACGATAAGGACTATATTAATTTTTTATTAATGGAAAGAGTGTCAGTTGATTTGGAGATTGGAAAACAGAATTACGATCAGATCAAAGGATTCCAACTACACAACAATAATAATAAAATTAATGATCGAAATAATATTGGTGAAATAAATGGTGTTTCTGATGATGAAAAAGAAAATTCTAACAAATTAAAATTAGAATTAGAATCAGAATTGGAATTAGATTCTCAATCTGAATCTAAATCTGAGCCAGGAAATGACTTAGAAAGTGATATCGACTCAGATTTTGACTCTTTATCAGATGATGATGATGATGATGATGATTCCATTATACATGACCATGAATTATATGATACTGATAAAAAAAGATTAATATTAAAACATTATGGTTTAATCTATGATTCTCCATTATTTCCATTTTTACCAGAATACGTTAAAATATTAGGTGGATCAACACTTCAATGCGCTAAATGGATTATAAACAAATATAAAAAAAATGAAAAAAGTCAAATTATTGGAGTAAATTGGATCGGTGGAAGACATCATGGCAAAAAATCAAAAGCTGCTGGGTTTTGTTATATTAATGATATTAATTTAGGTATCATTAAACTTCGAACCATGTTTCCAAAAATTGTTTATATAGATTTTGATCTTCATTATGGTGACGGAGTCTCTCAAGCATTTCAATTTTCTCAAAATGTACTAACGATTTCATTACATCGATTTGATGGAAGGTTTTTTTATCCAGGAACTGGAGGTCTTCATGAACAAGGAAAGGGTCCTGGTCTTGAATATATGGTCAATTTGCCTTTAAATAAAGGTCTAAATGATGAGAGTCTTTTAAAGTTGTATAATGAAATAATAGAACCAACTGTTAAGAGATATAGACCCAATATAATGGTGATTCAATTTGGGTGCGATGGTCATTTTTCGGATGAACACAAACAATGGAATTTGACATACAAGGGCTATGGAGATGTTTTGGAAAAATTAATTGAATTGAAGATTAACATGATGGTATTAGGAGGAGGTGGGTATAATAATAAAAGCGTATCGAAATGCTGGACTTATTTAACGGCAATAATCGCAGGAAAACGGTTAGAAGCAGATAAAGATTGGGATTTGATTCCTGATCATGAGTATATTGAAGAGTATGAAAAAGATAGTTTTATGTTTTGGGGAATTGATGATTATGAAAGAAAAGGATTGAGAATTAAAAATGAGAATACTGGTGAGTATATTATTAGATTAATTGAAAATGTTAATTCTAGAATAATACACTAAATGGTCGAACAATAAAAGAAATGGGTAATTATATTTTAGATAAAAAATTCTATTTAATAAAAAGTTATTTTTTTTTTTTTTTTCTAAAATAGTTTATAAGTTCTTGCAATTTTTATACCAGCAGCGACATTTTGGACTCTAGCATCTAAATAGTAGCCTTGTTCTTCTAGTTTATTCAACTCTTCAGGCAAATCCTTTAATAAGACCGTAAAATTTTCAATAAATTCATTTTCTTCCAATTGAGGAACAGGATTTTTATTTCTTTCATCATTGAGATCTATTTCAACCACAACAAGGCTTAGATTTGTATTACAAAATCCTGGATCATTATAGATTATTGGGGATTGATCAATTACTTTTGAACCAAAATAGCCAGTCTCTTCTTTCAACTCTCTTAGAGCACATTCTTCGATTGTTTCATTTGGGTCCATTAAACCAGCAGGTGTCTCTATACAAACACCACCAAGAGGAGCTCTGAATTGCTTTTGAAGAACAACTTCAGTACCTGTCGGCTTTAAGAGAATGGCTAATACACCAACGCCATCGACATCCGATCCCTCAACTCTTGTTGTTCTGGAAGCACATTCCCAATCGCGATTTTTTCCAAGAGGATCAATATATTTGATTTTCTCGAGTTTCATCCATTTAGCGTCTTTCGAGCTCTAAACATACGAGAAATTAGACAGAGATTAGTGGAATGAATCGAAAGAGTGATAGAAATGCAAAATGTGATTATTTCATACCAAATTGATAACTTCAGTTACTTTAGCATCTTCGGGTTTTCCCTTGGAATAAGAAGCCATTTTGAGAAGTTTGGTGAAATTAAAGAATCGGGGGAATTGAAAAGAACGAAAAAATGGGGTTCTTTTATAGTGAAACGAAGCAAAGTAGTTCTTTGGTATAAAGGTGTTGATAGACATAAAATAGTAGAGTGAGCCGAGAGAAGATTCAAAACAAGATCAAGTGAAATTTGGATGTGGCAACGCGGGGTCATGCAAGCGTACGCGTGTTTTTGATTCGATTGACGCACTTTTTTTGTAGTAGGGAAAAAGAAGGATTGAGGTGAGAGAGAAGGAAAGATTGCTGTGGTATTGATAGGTGGGAGTATAACAGAAAGAGAGCAAGATAGGAAGAATGTCACTAAGTAATGCTGAATTGAAAGCGCAAATCTCAGCGCGGTTGGTGGAGTCAGGAGAATACGATACGATCTTGACATTTTTGAAAGAGAGGTTATATGAGTGTGGGTGGTACGATGAGGTGAAATTGTTGGCTAATAGTGAGATATCTAACGAGGACAACTTGAATTTCAACAGGATTAATTTTGTGTTGGAGCCAAAAGCGATGGATTTGGTGCCTGATGGAGTTAAAAAAGAGTCTTTGGTTAAGATAGCCGAGTTTTTGGAGAGTATAATAGAGTGATTACCATTAGAAAGTTACGAGAATGTTTATAAAAGATATAAAATAAAAAATAAAAAATAAAATAAAATAAAATAAAATAAAATAAATACACAATAAATATAAGAGTAAAAGAGACCACGAGAGTTGAATAATCTATAAAATATGTAAATTATATAGAATATGTACTTAAAAAGTAATGTGAAAATGTAATGTGAAAATGTAAGTTGCAAGTAAAATGATTAAATGATAAAAGTAATGATGGAATTAGGCAGATAAGACACGAAGAGTATTTGAATGGCCTAAACCTCTAGTCCAACCTTGGATTGCAATAATTGGATCACCCTTTTGGATCATACCAGATTCAATAGCATCAGCGATTACGGTTTGTAATCTTAATTCGATATCAGATTGCCAATCTTCTAGTGCATCGAATTTGTATTCGAATGGGTAGACACCTCTATACAAGTGAACGTATCTTGCAACGTGAGGTCTTCTTGTTAGCATTATGATTGGGCAGTTTGGTCTGTATTTGGAGACTAGTCTTGCAGTTGTACCAGTTGTGGATAGGACGATGATTGCCTTTGCATCTTGGTCATAAGCAGCGGAGACAGCAGCACAAGCGATTGTTTCGACAGTTTCAGTTGGTTTTGTGGTTGCTTCTCTAATATCGTTGAAGGAAACATTGTGGGTTAGAGCTTGTTCAGCGATTATACAGGTGTTGTGCATCATGGTGACAGCTTCTATAGGATAATTGCCCTTTGCAGTTTCACCGGACAACATGACACAGTCAGCACCATCTAGAATGGCGTTGCCGACATCAGAAACCTCAGCTCTTGTTGGTCTTGGGTTATAAGTCATTGATTCTAGCATTTGGGTAGCGCAGATGACAGGTTTACCAGCCAAGTTGCATTTAGCGATTAATTTTTTTTGTGCTAAAAAGACTTCTGGAGCAGGAATTTCAATACCTAGATCACCTCTTGCGACCATGACACCGTCGGTTACCTTTAGGATTTCATCAAAGTTATCGACACCTTGTTGCGATTCTATTTTGACAATGACCTGGATGTTTTCGCCTTCTTTTCCAAGGACTTCTCTAATGTCCAAGACATCCTGGGCGGTTCTAATGAAGGAAGCAAAGATCATATGGACTTTGTTTTTGACAGCGAATCTTAAATCTTGTTTGTCCTTTTCAGATAGAGCAGGTAGATCGACATCGGTACCAGGTAGGTTTACACCCTTGTGGGAGGATATCTTTCCAGCGTTTATGGAGATGACTCTTAAGTTGCTGTCGTCGATGATTTCAAGAACTTCAAAGGAGAGAACACCATCGTCGATGTAGATGATTCTGCCGGGCTCAATGACTTTGGTTATGTTTTTGTAGTCGAGGTACATGATTTTGTCATTGGAGGAAGTTTTATAGGCGTCGTCGGTGGTGAAGATCATTTCATGGTTGGGGGGAATTGGAAAGTCAAAGTCATCGACAGTGGTACCAGTTCTGATTTCCGGACCTTTTGTATCCAAGGCGATACCTAAGGGAGAGCCTGGATAGATTAGTTCAGATTTTCTTGAATTGTCAATGACAGATTGATGGTATTCATAGGAACCATGGGAGAAGTTCATACGACAGATGTTCAAGCCTGCTTTTCTTAGTTTTGTTATCATTTCAACACTGTTGGTCTTGGGACCAATTGTGCAAATGATGGAAGAACGACGAAGTGTTTGGAGTGGAGCATCTTCGATGCTGATGTTGGCTAACCAAGATATTCTAGAGACCATTGTGGGCGGCAGAGGAAGCAGAGGGGGTGGAGGAAGCAAGTAGCGGAGGACTTAAGAGGCAATTGAGCTGGCAAGGTGAGAAACAGCAGAGAAACAGCAGAGAAGCAAGTAAGAGAGAAGGGAAACAAGGGTATATATAGAAGGAGAGATAAGAGAAAGTTTTACAGCCAAAGAACAAGCTAGTACAGAAAACGCAGGAGTCAGGAACAGCAACCAGGACGTGGAAAAACAGCAAAGGCAGCAGGAGCAGTCAGAAGAGTCAGCACAGGAAACAGAGCAATGCTGGAGAGCGAGGATGGTGAGCTGAAAAGGCCCCAGAGGTACCTTCTTCCTGGGGGTCTTATATAGACAAATGGAGCCAGCGGCAGCAGGGGCACCATCTGAGGCCCCTGCCGAACTGCAATTGCAGCGTCAGCAGGTGCGCGCGTGGCCTGATCCGCACACGTCCGGCCCGTGGAAACGGGAGGATGCAGATGCACACGTGGTGCGAGGAGTGGGCGTGGTGCGCGAGGGTTTTGTGGCTCCTGTGCTTCTCCAGATGGAAGGCACTCTGGGGCACAATGCTCCGACCCCGCAACGCGCTTTTCCAGCACCGGGCGTGGGTGCCTTCACTCGGTGGCGCGACGGCTACTTCCTGTGCTGACGCTGCCGACACCTTCAACGTCTTGTCGTACAACCTCCTCTTCCGCCACTACGTCCATCCCTCGACCTTCGGCTATGTCAAGAAGCAGCATCTCGACTGGCGCTACCGGTTTGGCTTGATCAACCAGATCATTCTTGGGGCTGATGGTGCTGGCGCTTGTGCTGGCGCTGGTGGTGTTTCTGCTGCTGATGCTGCTAGTGATGGTGATAGGCTCATAGCCGATATTATGTGTTTCCAGGAAATGGAATGCTCGGTCTACCAAAACTACTGGAAGGACCAGTTTTTAAAGAGAAACTACGACTCCATCTATCTAATGAAGCACTTCTTGAACAACAATTCCAACATCGATATAACCAAAAACGAAATGGATGGGCTATCCATTTTCATAAACTCAGACAAGTTCAAAGTGCTCAATGTTTTGCCATTAAACTTCCAAAATTTCTTCAACAAAAGCGACCAATTCATTCCATTTCTCAAAAACAAATCAAACCACTCTCTATTCAACCACAGAGTAACCAACAGAAATCAAATTGCCATCGTTTTGCTCCTAAAAAACATCAAAACAAACCATCTACTAATAGTTCTAAACACTCATCTTTACTGGAACCCCAAATTCAACGACACAAAACTATTCCAATTGCTATCCTTGGTATCAATTCTTAAAGACTACTCGTCCTTTCTATTGAACAAAACATCTCTCAACTTATCCCAGTTTAACAACCACATTTTCAAAGAGTTATACAACTTTAATACAGTATCTCCAAATAACAACTTCATTTCAACACTCAATCAAAATGATAATCAATATAATAATCAAAATGATAATCAAAATGAGGAAACAATCAACGCTTATAAATCTCTTCACCAAATCCCAATTCTCTTTATGGGCGATTTCAACTCTCAGCCAAACTCTTTGATCTACAAATTCTTATCCTATGGCTCATTAAACTTGTTCAATATTTTCAACCAAAAGGGCCCCAATGCCAATTCGTATTACCAACACCAACACCAACACCAACACCAACACCAACACCAACATCACTCTTTCGATGCAATAGACTCCTCTCTTGACAAAAACTCAAGAATAAACAACAACAACAAACAAGGCTTCAATCTCAATTACAACTTCAACGACTACAACCCCTTCAACAACCTCTCTTCTGATCCATATGCCCATATTCTCCAGAACCCCTTCAACTTTTCCTCAGCTTACAACGAATTGTACTTTTCACACTCCTTTCCCTACACAAGCTTCACCAACAAGCTCAAGGGCGTCTTCGACTACATCTTCTACTCCTCCAACGACCTCCATGCTTCCAACAACTGCTTTCACTTGAAGCTATCCCATCTTCTCGGCCCTATCTCTCCCAATTACTGCTTTCAAAACAACGCCATTCCCAACAAACACTTTCCCAGCGACCACCTTCCTTTGCTCTGCCAGTTCCACCTAGGCGACTTCCACAAACGATCCTCTCTCTTCAACACACATCCCTAGCCTTTCCTCTATATATTCTCTTCTGCTTCCTCTTTCTTTCCCTCTGTACTATACTACTTCAATAAACTCTGTAGCTCATTTCACTCGCTCACTCGTCCTCCCTGTCCTCTTCTCCAGGCTCTTCTTCGGATCTCTCCTGCTGTTCAAGCGAAACTCTTTCCAGCTAATGACTGTTCTTCTAATTCGATCTGCTGCTGGGTGCAATTAATTAAACTCTCTTTCTCTACCTCTCTACCTCTCATCTACTCTCAACCTTCTTCCTTCCTTCCCACATCTACTGCTACTGCTGCTGCTACTTCTTCTTCTTCTCCAGTTGCACTCTCTCCTTCTATGACTTTCTCACAATTCTCTGCTTGTCCAATGTGACATAAAATTGCCCAACCACCAATACCTTACTATTTTCTTTATTTTCCTTGTTCATATTCTTACTATTCCTTACTCTTCTACTCTCCCTATACTATTTTTTTTTCTCTCTCTAACGATGTTAACTCTGAAGAAACCTCTATTATTTCCTTTGAAACCCTCCAATTTTTCACCTTCATCTTCCAATCTACTAATATCAAAAAACTATTCTCATTCCTATTCGTATTCCATCCGTTGCCAATATTCGTTTACATATCCTCCTTCATCTCTTCACTCATCTTCGATAACTAATCAATACACATCCAATAACCTTCCCTCTCACCAATTTAATCCCCTTTACCTAACATCAAATATCCACACTTCCTCAACTCCTAAATCTCCAGATCCTTCTCGTGTATCAACACCTCCAAATAACCTCAACCCCCTTATAATAACAGACACTTCTTCCGATAACAACAAAACAATCTCCTCAAAGGAACCTGTAATCGACAAAATCAAAATCTCACAATGGAAAATAATATTCCAATTATTAACCAAACTATGGCCAAAAAAGGATTACCTATCAAAATTTAAAATCACCTTTGCCTTCGCACTACTAATTTCCTCAAAAGTATTAAACGTCCAGGTCCCCTTCTATTTAAAATCAATAATTGATTCAATGAATATAGACTGGATCTCCCAAGTCTCCCCGGTTTCAACTGTTATAGGTTCTGCTATCTTTGCTTATGGGGCTGCAAAATTCGGCTCTGTTCTACTATCTGAACTAAGAAATGCTGTCTTTGCAAGAGTAGCCCAAAATGCCATCAAAAGAGTAGCAACTGATACTTTTAGACATCTCCTAAACCTAGATTTAAGCTTCCAATTGTTCAGACAAACTGGCGGCTTGATCAAAGCTATTGACAGAGGAATTAAAGGAATAGCATACATCCTAACTGCAATGGTCTTTCACATCTTACCAACAAGTTTTGAAATTGCAATGGTTTGCTCAATTATCACCTACAACTATGGCTCTGTTTTTGGTGGTGTTACCTTTTTAACAATCCTATTTTATGCTTATTTCACAATCAAGACAACTATCTGGAGAGCTCGCTTTAGAACTCAAATGAACAAAGCTGACCAAACTGTCGCAAGTATAGCAACTGATTCTCTACTAAATTACGACGCTGTCAAATACTTTAATAACGAATCTTATCAATGTTTGAAATACAACGCTGCCTTTAAAAAATACAATGAATCAATGATCGATGTACAAACTTCGCTAGCTTTCATGAACTCAGGCCAGAGTTTGATCTTCACAACCGCTGTCACAACAATGATGTATGTAGCATGCAATGGAATAGCTAATGGTTCACTAACTGTTGGTGATTTAGTCCTAATCAATCAATTAGCATTTCAACTATCAGGGCCTTTGGTGTTCTTTGGCACTGTTTATAGAGACTTGAAACAGTCTCTTTTAGATATGGACACCTTATACAAATTCTTAAAAGTCCCCGTCGAAATCAAAGATAAACCAGATGCTAAAATGTTTCAATATAAAGGTGGCGAGATTAAATTCGAAAATGTATCTTTCAGTTACACTCCAGGAATCCCAATACTTAAAAATGCAAACTTCACTATTCCTCCCGGTAAAAAAGTTGCCTTAGTTGGTCCCTCAGGTTCTGGTAAGTCAACAATTGTTAAATTAATCTTCAGATTTTATGATGTGGATTCTGGTAGAATCCTAATTGACGGTCAAGATATTAAAGATGTATCATTAGAATCTCTAAGAAGAGCAATTGGCGTTGTTCCTCAAGATACTCTTCTATTCAATGATACAATTTATCAAAATATTCACTATGGTGATTTCACAGCTTCTTATCAAGACGTGAGTAAAGCTATAATGGATGTTAAACTTGATAGATTAATATATGAGTTGCCTGATGGCTTAAATACTGTTGTAGGTGAAAGAGGTTTAATGCTCTCTGCTGGTGAAAAACAAAGAATCTCGATTGCTAGGTTATTATTGAAAAAGGCTCCGATTATTTGTTTCGATGAGGCTACGTCTTCTCTTGATACTCAAAATGAACAAAGTATTTTGAGAGTCATAAGAAATATATATAGAGAGAAAAACAATACCCAAATTGCCATTGCCCATAAGTTGAAAACAATATCGGATAGTGATAAAATTATAGTTTTGGAGAAAGGTCAAGTAATTGAAAGAGGTAAGCATAAAGATTTGCTAAATAATAAGAAAAGTTTATATTCAGAATTATGGAATATTCAAGAAAATCTAGATATGGAAGAACAGTCTTTAAAAGATGACGAAACAAGATTAAATCAATGGAAAGAAAGGATAAAGGATAGATTGTGATTATCAATATATTTTTTTATTTTAAATTTACATCTCCATTTAATTTTTTACAAACTATTCAAATCAAAGACAACTATTATAGATAAAAAGTATAGAAAATTAATATAGAAAATAAATAAAAGATAATTTTCTTTTTGTTTTCTTACTGATATACTAATAATTTATTTTTAAAACTAACCATGTTGAATGTAAATTTAAAGAAAAGAAAAATGAAACTAAAAACCAAAAAAAAAGTATATATATAAATGTAATCATAAGCACATCACAATTAAAGAAGAAAAAAAAAATTATAAAAAAAGTTGACAGTTAAAAAAAATTTATAATATTGATATCTGTTGTGTTGAATTCAAGATAATCAAATTAAACAATTCTAAAGTATGTGAAAAAAAAATATTAAATATTGAATATTTAAAATAAACCTTCAATTTCACCATCGTCATTGACTTCAACGTTCATGAAACCACAATGAGTTGGTAGACCAGGAATTGTTTGAATCTCAGCAGCCAAGGCATAAAGGTAACCAGCACCAATACTCGCTCTAACATCTCTAATTGGGAAAGTAAAACCAGTTGGAACACCTTTTAAAGCAGCATCATGAGACAAAGAATATTGAGTCTTAGCAATACAAATTGGTAAATTACCAAAACCTTGTTTAGTGTAAAGATCGATTTTCTTTTGAGCTTCTGGTAAGAATTCAACATCTTTGGCACCATACATAACTTTAGCAATAGTTGAAATTTTTTCATCGATAGTTGATTCAGTTGGGTAAAGAAATTTGAAATTTTTTGGTAAATTAGAAGCTTCAATAATACCACGAGCTAAGTCGACAGCACCTTTACCACCTTCTTGCCAATGGTTTGAGACAATAGCATCGATGGCGCCAGCTTTGATTGAGGCTTCACGAATAACTTCATGTTCTTTGTCAGTATCAGAAGTCATTTTGTTAATGGCGACAACAACAGGTAAACCATATTCTTTTGCATTAAAGATATGTTTGGCTAAATTAGCACAACCTTTTTCTAATAATTCAATATTTTCTTGAGTGTATGCAGCAGCTAATGGGGCGCCAGCTTTAACTTCAGGACCGCCGCCATGAACTTTTAAGGCTCTAACAGTTGCAACAATAACAACTACATCAGGAACCAAACCGGAAGATCTACATTTAATGTTGATAAATCTCTCACCACCCATTGTGAAATCGAAACCGGCTTCGGTGATAACATAACCTTGATTTGATTTAGTTTCTTCATCAGATAAATTTGGATCAGTACCAGCTAATTTCAAGGCAATTTTATCTGCTAAAACTGAATTGGCACCAATTGAGATGTTTGCAAAAGGACCAGCGTGAATTAAAACAGGAGTACCTTCTAAAGTTTGCATAATGGTTGGTTTGATGGCATCAACTAATAAGGCAGTCAATGCACCAGCAGCACCAATATCCTCACAAGTAATTGGAACACCAGCTTTTGAAGAAGCAACCACAATTCTACCTAATCTTTCTCTCAAGTCCGAAAGAGAGTTAGCCAAAGCTAAAATGGCCATACACTCAGAAGCAACAGAGATATCAAATCCAGTTTTTCTTGTCATACCTCTTTCTGTTGGAGCTTCACCAATTGTGATACCTCTAAGAAATCTATCATTGCAATCGACTACTCTTCTCCAAGTGATTGAATCAGGGTCAATGTCTAATCTAACAAACTTCGAGACTTCTTCTGGAGTTAAATCGTTTGGTTCGGTTTTATTAATTCCTAATTTTCCCAATCTTCTTAACATGGATTTGGTAAAAGTTCTCTTACCCTTTTTAGCAGGAACTAATCTTCTATATAAAGCAGGATCCTTTTGAGTGTTTTCATGGAAAATTCTTGTGTCAATTGCGGCAGCCAATAAATTATTGGCCATTGAAATAGCATGAATGTCACCAGTAAGATGCATATTGAACTCATCCATTGGGATAACTTGAGAGTAACCACCACCGGCAGCACCACCTTTGATGCCAAAAGTGGGACCCATTGAAGGTTGACGAACATTTGCAAATACAGTTTTGTTTAAATGAGCACCTAAAGCTTGAGCCAAACCAACAGTGGTAGTTGATTTACCTTCACCCAATGGAGTTGGAGTAATTCCGGTCACTAAGATATATTTACCATTTTTCTTGTGAGCAAGACGATCCAAAATGTTTAATTTAATTTTAGCCTTTGTGGATCCATATGGCTCTAATTCACTAGGCAAAATACCAGATTCTTCAGCAATAGTTGTGATCAATTTGGGCTTTTGAGCTCTGGAAATTTCATAATCAGAAGGAACTGGATCTAGTAAGTTCAACTTTAATGGGGTAAAGGAAGACATGGCTGATTCTTTAAGATGAGCGTATTAAACACAGACTGCTTAGGTATTAGCAAGAAAATACAAAACTGTACAAATCTGGGAGAAGCAGAAAAAAGAAATCTAAAAACAAAAAAAAGCGAAAAGACAAAACGAAAAAGATTGGTTTATATACTGCTCTCAAACATCATCAAGACCAATCCGAAATGCATCTGCTGAAAGGATTTGAAAATTTTCAATAATCGATCGCAAGTTTAAATTGGAGCTGATTCTTCGATTCTCATCACTGCACAAAAATTCAGAAGCTGCTGACTCGGGACAAATCCACACTGTTGGATTTTTTTTTCTTTTTGTTACTCGTTTCAAAGCCCTAGACATAGGGCTTTATGCTTGTCAAATTTGATCAGTTCGATCCTTATCGATAGATGAGGAGGTTTCCAAAGAAATACATGGGTTTGATTGCAGTTGCAAGTGGAGTCAAAGCTAGAATTGTGTTTGAATATATAGGGAGTGTCTCTTTGCGAAGTTAAGTGTTTTTTTGCAGATGAATATATCACCTCCAACCCCGAATTCAATTAACAATGATTCCCAGAAAATTGTTAAGTTAACTAACAAAAGTAATAAAACCAACAATCCAAACAAGATCAGCAGGATCAGTAAACTCGGCAGTAAGAGCAATGTGTTGCCAAAGAATGGTAAGTCCAAGTCTTTGAGTGGTGAAGAAAAGAAAAAAGCTAGGGCAGAAAGAGCGAAGCTCTGGTTGAAGAAGAAGAAAGAACAAGAACAGCAAAAGAAAACAGTCCGAACAAATGATCCAAATCTTAAGAATATTAATGTTACTAAAACTGTTGATAACTTGTCTGATACTAAGATCCAAATTGAAGACACACACCATGTAATTAATGAAAATACTGATGGGAAAAAAATTGCGAAAATTGGTAAAACAAGTGGGACTAAAAAAATCGACAAACACATTCATGAAATGCTGAATAATCATTTAATAAAAAGACCTCATTTAGATCAGATAAAGTCGGCTAATAATGATAATAACAGTATGAAAAAAACGATTTTAAAAAAACCAACTAAGATAATTAAAAAAACAATTTTAGTAAAAAAGCCTTTAATTAAAAAATTATCAGCATTTGACATTGATAATGACTCTAATTCTACTAAAATTACTAAAATTACTAAAATTACTAAAATTATTAAACCCAATATTAACACTAATAATAAAATTAACTCAATTTTTAATATTGATGAAAAAAATTCAACTAAGAATCGTAAGTTTAAAAATCAAAGTTTTTCTACTAAAAATAATATCAAAAAATATAATAGTATCAAAACTAATCAATTGAATGATAATCTAGGCAATGGAAAAGTTGCAAATAAAAACAAACAAGGTGATAAACAGAACGGAAAATATGATAACAAACATATTGAAAAGGAAGAAGAGGACGACCCCTTGGATAAATTTATGTCAAATTTGTCTCAACCTCAAAACCAAAATCAACCTCAACCTCAACCTCAACCTCAACTCCAAAATCAAAACCAAGACAAGGATAAAGACATAAAAATGAACGAATTGGTTGATGATGATGAAAATAGGAAAGATATAATAATGAGTGAAGGTAATGAATTTAATAGTGAAAAAATGAATAAAAATTCAATAAATGGTAATAATAATTTAAATAATATCATTGATAATCAATTTGAAAGCGAAAGTGACACTAATATATCCTCTATTAATAATCAAAGATTCGATCTTGATGACGATACCTCAACTAATAATAATAATTCTCCACAAGATTTATTAAATTCCCTAGAGAAGAAAAATAAAAAAGAAGTGACTAGAGTTGATCATTCAAAAATCAATTATGAGCCCTTTAGGAAGAATTTCTACAATTCCAACAATATTAATAATCAATTATCTGATATTGAACTAAAGAATTTGAGATTAAAATTGGATAATATTAAGATTAAAGGAAAAAATTGTCCCAATCCAATATTAAAATGGTCTCAATTAGGTTTACCATCAAATATAATGACTATTTTAATTAGTGATTTAAAATTTGATAAACCCTCTCCAATTCAATCTCAATCTCTACCCGCAATAATGTCAGGTAGAGATGTAATTGGTATTGCAAACACTGGATCAGGAAAGACTTTATCATTTTTATTGCCTTTGTTCAGACATATTAAAGATCAACGACCATTAAAGAAGAATGAAGGACCAATATCATTGATTTTAACTCCAACAAGAGAGTTAGCTTTACAAATTAAAAAAGAGATTACAAAATTTAATACGTCTATATCTTCATTAAGAGTTTGTTGTGCATATGGCGGTGCACCGATAAAAGATCAAATTGCTGAATTAAAGAAAAAATGTGAAATTTTGATTGGAACGCCAGGTAGAATTATTGATTTATTGGTAGCAAATAGTGGTCGAGTTTTAAATTTAAAGCGAGTAACTTATTTAGTATTAGATGAAGCAGATCGATTATATGATTCAGGATTTGAACCTCAAATTCAAAAAATTATTCAACAAGTTAGACCGGATAGACAAACCATTTTATTCTCTGCGACGTTTCCACCGAAGATGGAAGCGTTAGCTAAAAGAATTTTAAACAGACCAATTGAAATAACTGTCGGTGGAAAAAGTTCAGTTGGAGCAGAGATTGAACAGGTTATTGAAATCTTTAAAGAAAAGGATAATAGCAATAATAATAATTCAAATTTGTCAGTATCAGAACAGAAATTTTTCAAGTTATTAGAGATTATCGGAAACTATAAAAATGAAGATTCCAATGGTAAAATATTAATCTTTGTGGAAAGACAAGATTATTGCGATTTATTATTAAATAAGTTATCTGCAAAGGGATATGAAAAGGATCTTTTAACATTACACGGTGGTAAGAATCAGGCCGATAGAGATAACACGATATTGGACTTTAAGAAAGATAATCTAAAGAAAAACATATTAATTGCAACATCTGTTGCAGCTAGAGGATTAGATGTGAATAACTTGAGATTGGTTATAAATTATGATGCACCTAATCATATGGAAGATTATGTTCATAGAGTGGGTAGGACAGGTAGAGCAGGCAATATAGGAAAGGCCATAACATTTATTGTTGATACCCAGGAAAGAATTGCTAACGATATATTGAAAGCGATGAAATTGAGTAAGATTTCAGAAGAGAAGATTCCTGCAGAATTGATCAAAATCTCTAAAAATTTCACAGAGAAACTTAATAATGGTAAAGAAAAGAAATATGTGTTGGCAGGATTCACAGGCCATGGTTTGGAAAAACTTGAGGAAAAAAGAGATTTAACGAGAAAATTGGAAAGAAAGACGTTTGCGGGAAATGATAATGACAATGAAGGTAATGGTGATGGTAAAGGTAGTGGAAACGACAACGAAAACGATAAGGTGACTATCAATGCCAGAGCACAGTTGGCCAAATTATCTGATTTTGAGGTGCATGAAGGACGTGCTACTGATTCTCCAGATTCAGGAGCATTTCACTCTAAGATCAACGTCAACGACTTGCCGCAAAAGGCTCGTTGGATTGTCACCAATCGAGAAAATCTTGCCAAAGTGATCGAAGAGACTGGGACATCGATAACCACCAAGGGCAAGTTTTACAATAAGAACGAGGCACCGAAGAAGGACACAGACGAGCCCAAGTTGTACTTGCTTGTCGAGGGCGATACAAACTACCAGGTGCTAGCTGCTGTTGGGTTGATAAAGAACCTGATGATGGAGGGAATCAAGGTCGCGATGAACGAGGAGAGCAAAAAGGGAGGACGATACACTGTCACATAAGCCAACTACATAAACTACATAAATACGACAATACATGCCACCAAGAGTCGAACATTTTAGCAATGTCTTAATCTCCACAAAACGCTCCAAAAATCCACCACAAAAGAACGAAAATTGCCTAAAAAGCACCCGCTGCTGTGGTTTTACAATATGCAATTACATACCATTTAATGCATATACATGCATGTACAAAGTCCAAAGCGGAAAATTGTAAATATTGACTTGATATAAGGCCGGAGCATTTGAAGCAAAACCAGTGTTTGCCTCAGCTTCTGCTGCTTCTCGTCTCAACTGTTCTTTTTTGCACTAAAGTTTGCTTCTCGATCTGCTCCCTACTAGTTTGCGATAATGGACTCGTTTTGGGTCTTAAATGCCTCCAAGTCGACTACCAGAAACAATATTCCAGGTTCTGCCTCATGGATAGCATCTGAACTAGAAAACTTGAACCATGAAACAATCCAATCTGTTGAGAATTTCTACAACCACACCTTGACAGACAACTTCAATTGGCTCGAGCAGCAGATGAACGAAATCTTGGATCCCACCGTCAATCCAAATTCAAATGAAAATATCGCTTTGTTGCTCAAGTCTCCCAAAAAATACAAGGAATCAAAGAACACTCAAAATCAAACCAACGCAAGTCAAAATGTTGAAAAATTTGACAAATTTGATATTGAAACCAATAGAAATACTTTGCTCATCCAGGAAAATTTGAAAAAGGATACAACATTCAATAAAAATGCATATTTCAACAAGAACAATAGCTCACTAAATGAAACAGCAAACAAATTGGTTCCTCAACATTTGGATTTTGAAAAACTAAAAATAATTGATGATCCTGAGTTATCTCCAATAAAATTGCTGCCAATAAAAACAAATAACTTATCTCCCATCAAACTACTGCCAATAAAGAACAACAGTTTAACATTCAACACCAATAGCAGAATAGTTTTTGATAATACCAATACAGAATTAAAACTAAAAGATCCCTTTGTTAAATTCAAGTCTATCAAAAACACCGATCCTTCAATTTCTTTATCCTTTCGATCTTTGGGTAGAGTGAGGCTCGATCCACCACAGTTGGATAAAGCATTATATGCTCAACCTTCTCCAGAACCTTCACCTAAAAAGTTATTTGAAATATTTGATAATTTTGACAATTTCTATAAAAACGGTGATCAATATACCACCACAACAATTTCTTCGAGTTCTTTAAATCCTGTGGCTGAAAAATCCTTGACTGAAAAATCGTATCAAAATCAGCAGCTAGAACTTGGTTTAACTAAAATCGATCTCAATGATATATTAGAATCAACCAACTATAAATTGAATCTGACCAGTTTGTTTCATAGTATCAATAACATTAAAAACATTGCAAACAATACAAACAACCATGACAAAAACTCTGATTCATCAGATTCAATTTATAAAGACGCAAACTTATCAATACTCGAAAAAAAAATGGATACTGAAATAAATAACACAAAAAGCAAAATTAATAAAAACATTAATACTAATGATAAAAATAATAAAAGGAAACCACAAAATATAAATAATTATAATTTGACCTTATCTTCCTCAAGCTCAATGAGTTCCTCAACTAATGGAACTGATGAAACTTCTCTTAATTCTGAAAAATCAAACCCACTCAAGAACAGTTCTAGCAAAAGTAACTCAAGTGATTTTAAAGATAGACCTCATACCCCAATTTCTAACACTAATATACCCATAAAAAAAATTGGTTTTAAAGAAAACTATATAATCGATACCAGCAAAAAACAAGATATTAATAATATCAATGATAATAATATTCACAATAACCAACCCGAAATACCCTATCAAATTATTAGAGAGACTACAAAAATTGAATATAACGATAAAATATCTGATAATAAAAAAGAAAAAGAAAAAGAACAACCTAGAAACCGTTCTTTATCAAGAAAAAGTTCAAATCCAAGATTATCAATGACAACAACAATGCATTTTGCTTCTCTTCCAACGCGTGAACCATTATCAATTAAATCAAAGCGAAAAACTCTATCTGATTCTCTTGACATGTCAAATATTGAATACCATAATGTTAACTTAACTCCGTCAAAGAACCCAATTAATATCTCAAAACTGAGTGATATAATAGTTGATGAAATATTTAAACGAACAAACAATGTCAACTTTTCACCTAAACACAATGATATTACCGATTCTAATAACAATATCAATAATAATAATAATAATAATAATAATAATAATAATAGTAATAGTAATAAAATTTCCAATAATATAGATAAACAAATATCTGAAGGAATTTCAAAACAATTTAGTTTAATATCAAAAACAATATCACAAATCGAGCAGATATCTAAAATAAAAACAAACGAATCATATGGAAATAAGGATAATGAAACAAATAAGTTAACATTAGATGTGTGCTTATCAAAGATAATTCCTAGTGGAAGTTCATCTGGAATTTCAACAAATCCTTCAACTTCATTTGAGTCTACAGACTTAGAAAAACTAGAAAAAGTTTCATTGAGTGACGATGTTAAGAAAATGGTGAAGCTTAACCGGAAAAACATCAATAAAGAGTTGAAAGACGTTAAAAAGCACAAACACGATAATTATGAAAATGAAAGTAGAGTTGATATTAATGAAGTTGAGATTAAAAAAGAAGAATTAAACAAAAGAGAAGAATTGAATAAAGAAGGAGAATTGAATAAAATTAATTCATTAGATAATAAAATGAGTAAAATGGGAACTATTGAAATTAAAAAAACTACATCAAATTCGAGTAATAATGGAGTTTCCAATAATTTATTTTCGAATACATTTAATAAAGCCAAAAGAATATTTTTTGGACATTCCCATCAAAATTCTATAAAGATAAATGAAAAAAACAGTTTGATAAAGTCCAATGAAAAGATATTTTCTGAAAAAAAGGCATTTCAGCCAAAGTTTACTCCATTGAAAAAAAGCAATACAGTTCAATTGAAGCCGTATAGATCATTATCACCAGTTAAATTTCAACCCAAAGATAATTTTGGATTTAATGGAAAGAGGATGAATAGAAGTCAAAGTCCAGTTCGGAATAATAATAGTAATAGTAATAGTAATAGTAATGTGACACCAAATAGAATAATTATCAAAAATGAAGATTTAATATCTAGATTAATGACACCGACTGAAGCTAGTTCAGCTAAAAAGAAGGTGTTTACAAGTCGATTTAATACTATAAATGAGAGTTCCAATTTGAAGAAGAATGCGAATAGTAAATTTAATAAAAATAGTAATATGGAGTTATTGAGGACCTCACCATCCAAGCTCCCGTTATTAAAGAACTCGCCATCCAAGATTCCGGTTTTAAAGAAATCACCTATCCGAGGACAAGAGGTGGTGGAATATAAATTTGTAAGGAATGGAATAAGAAAGAATAATAATAATAATAATAATAATAATAATAATAATAATAANAATAATAATAATAATAATAATAATAATAATAATAATAATAATAATAATAATAATAATAATAATAATAATAATAATAATAATAATAATAATAATAAGAATGAACAAGTTCGGACACCACCTCGTAAAAGGGTTGAAGCAGAAAAACGGTTGTCTACAGTTGTATTGAAAGAATTTAAATTGAGTCCCAAAAAGACCTCACCAATTAGGAGTAAATTTAAGGAATATGGCGAAAGAGATAGTAAGTCACCATCTAGAATTCCTGTATGTATAAAGACGAGCAAAGAAGAAAATGGATTGGGAGATAAAAAGAGGAAGCAGAATGAGGTACATGATAAACCTAGAAAGCGAGTTTCATCGGGAAAGCTTTTATTGAAAAATAATGATAGAGTGATTTATAATGATAGAGTGATTTATAAAGCTAGATTTATTGATAGTGATGAGTTTAAGACACCGATGAAGCGCGATGGAGTAGGGAGGATTATGAATGGAGTTTGTGTGAAAAATGAGAAAGGCAAAGAAAATGTGGAATGTGAGCATTTGAGACAAAATCATTTCCAGAGACAAGTATATAGTCAGAACAAGTTGAGGAGTCATAATCATCTTTTGAAGCACAGTGTTAGCACTAGTACTAGTACTAGTGCTAATAATAATAATAATAATAATAATAATAATAATAATAAATTTAATGGATCAATTTTGATGAAGAATACATTATTGAAAAATGCAGTATCGCTTGAAAGATTAAATTCGTATAAGAATGGAAGTAGTACAAGTGATAGTAATAATAGTTACAATAGTTATAATAGTAATTTGAGTGAGGAGGAGATTCGAAAGATTGAGAGATTGAACACACCAATTGACACTTCAAACAATAGCATATTGGATAACCAATCGTTTAATGGGACATTGCCGGAGATTTGTTCTGAATCTGAGGATGATGAAGAAGGGAAGGTACTAAAAGGATGGGCAAATTCGCCGGATTTACGACGATTGTTAATCAAACAGAGAGGAATTGATCCTGAATCATTGTTTGGACCAATTGAGCCCCCGAGGATGTCGGATATTTTCAATCAGAAAGATAAATCGAAGAACCGAAGCTCGACAGGAATTTGGAATGGACAGGACGTATTAAATTTTCAGGAGATTGAAAGTTACAAGAAACGGATGGGATACAAGAGACATGAGAAGTGATTTATAGAAGCATTGAAATGAAGATTAGGAGTGTGTATTGGTTTTTGTATGATGGCGATCCTATTAGCCGTTGGAAAGGAGGACACAGTAGATATAAAATGTATGAAATGGCGAAAGGTAAACAGAGGTTCTCCATCGAAAAAGGCAGATTAATAATTTAATGATCAACCAGATGTGATGATGGGACGATGTTTTACAGGCATTTTTCGTATATATAGATGGTGAGATGAGTAATTCAAGCAATTTTTACGTGAAGAGTAAAGCGTCTACAAAAATAACCAAAAAAGGATGGAGTGCAAGAACTAGTTAATAATATTAGAAAACGTTGGGGTAATAGCCAGATTCGGAGGAAGATAAATACAGTGCAAGCCAAAGCATCACTGGAGAAGAAAGGAAGAGGAAGCTGTGCAACAAATAGCAGATAATAATAAATATTATCTAAACATTGTACAAACATAAATGGAGTGTTAGTGAATATTCCTGTTGCAAATGAAAACCGGGCCTGCGAGACCGAATCAAGAGCAGAATAGAGCCCACATGCACGGGAAAGGCGGTGGAAGCGGGAGAAACTCCCACGTGAGTGTGAAGCGCGGCAACTGGCCCCTGCGCAAACGCAACACGCAGCGGTGCCGACAAGTAACCGACCAGCCTGAGGGAAAGACCCCCTGCACATCCACCGCCGCGCGCCTCGGAATGCAGGGGCAGCAGGGGCAGCAGGAGAAGCAGAAACGGCAAAACCAGCAGGAGGGGTGTGGCGCGTGGAGGGCGAACTGCAAGTGCGTGTGCTGCGCGTGCCGCCGCCGCCGACACGCAGGGCTGGGCCGGGCTGGAGAATCCCACACTGACTTCTTTTCTTTAACTTCTGCCTTCGTTAGCCTTCCTGACGACTTTTCTCTGGTCTAACTATCTTGATCTCTTCTTACTCTTGATTCTCGTTATTCTCTTCGCTTTTGCTTTCGTTTGGCTTTGGTTCTGCTTATTCTTATTCCTGTTCTTCTTTTATTTCTGCTTTTCTCCTTCTCTTCCTCCTCCTCTCATTTCTTGCCCCATTCTTCCTTTCTGCTTCCTCATATTCATATATATTCACAGATATTCACACATCTATCTATCTTGGATCTCACTCCTCTATCACACTACCTCTCTTTTCTCTCATCGTCCTGGTCTTTTGATCTATATCCTATTCTACTTCTTTCTAAATAAATAAATAAATAAATAAATAAATCAATAAATAAACATCAAAAAAAAAATACAATTAGTAAACCATTAACACTGTACCAATTTTTTTCAATTTCTATTATTTATCACTAATCTGCTTGATCAAATTTCAATCCAACTTTTATTTTAATCATCCATTCACTTACTGATCCATTGATTTACTTTGTTTTTCCATTATTCAATTTATACTTCAATCTATAATTCATTCTACGATCTATTCTGCAATCTATTTTACAATCCATTTCACTCTATTCATTTTTCTAAATGATACATTTCTTCATAATAATCTTAAACACATTATTGATATAATTAGTAAACAAAATAATTAACAAATCCAATTAATTAATTGATTAATTAATTAAAAAAATCAATTAAAATCAATTAAAATCAACTAAAATGAACTCAATTTCAATATCAAATCTACAAAGAAAAAAAAGCTCTCTTTTAATCCCAATCAACGAAGAATCTTTTGATCCAATAAAAGAAAACTCTTCAACTCAACTGTCAATTCTAACAATTAACAATAATATTAATAGTATTAATAATAATAATAATAACATTAATAACATTAATGACATTAATAATATTAGCCCTACAAATAATACTGGTATTAATCTTATCAATAATCCTACTTATAACCCTAGTAATAATCCTAGTAATAATCCTAGTAATAATCCCTGCATTAATCCTAATCCTAATCCTAACAATAACAATAACAATAACAATATTAAACCTAATAATAAACTCAACAACAATGCAATATCAAACTCATATGAAAACATAAACAATATATCCTCCAATCTCATGTCAAGAAGTAGCAGCATATCCCAATACTCACTTAATGACCACTACTCTAATATCAATAATCCAAATAACACCAACAACGCCATCATTAACAACAACGCTAACACTAACGCCATCACCAACAATAAAGCCAACAATAATAACAACTTTAATTCATCTCTTATCTCCTTATCTTCTCTCAAAATGAACAACAGTTCAAAAATTAAACCAAAACTAAAATCAAAATCAAAAAAGAAATCCTCTTCAAAACACCCGAAATTGGTTCAGCTAAAAGTCGAAAAGGAAATAGTCGACTCAATCCCAACTCTCAATATTCCATTTCAACTAAATACAACTTCGATTTTAAATCTAAATCAAAATCAAATCCAAATCCAAAACCAAAATCAAATTCAAAATCAAAATCAAAATCAAAACCAAAATCAAACCCAAAGCCAAATCCAAATCCAAAGCCAAATCCAAAGTCAAACCCAAATCCAAAACATAAATCAAAATCAATCCCAAATTCAAATCCAAAATCCAATCCAATCCCAACTCCAATTCCAAAATCAAAATCAAATAACTGTCCAAAATAACCCAATCACAATCCAAAACTCAACTTCAAATTCAAACTCAAATCACAATTCCAACTCAAATTCCAACCAAAATTCAAATCTAAACCTCAATCTAATTGAAACATCAGATTCAGACTTTAACAACACAAACAATGCTGGCCCTTACAATACTCCGGTCTTTACCAATTCGTTCCTATACAATAATTCCCCCATAAAATTAAACAAAATGTCTTCCTCAAATGCTTTACAATTCAATTCAATCAATCAACAACAACAACAACAACAAATCAACTACAACTACAACTACAACAGCGACACTGACCAATTCCCTGTTTCTCCTTTAGTTCCTCAAAACTATAACTACACATCAAGAAAACTAAGATCCTCAAATATACCTCAATCACAACAGTTCCAAAATGATAACTCCTCAATTTATAGTAACTCGTCCTTTTATAACAATAACACCAACAACAACAACACAATTCACTCGAAAAATTTCGCTCAAAAGAATCAAAAAAACTCATCCATATTTCCTGCCTTCACTTCAACCACCGTCAGCGAAACAAATTCAACCGATTCTGATGAAACTTTTGTTTACGAATCTTCTCAGGATTTCAATAAAAGACTTAAAAATCTTAATGATGATCAAAAATCTCAATTGCTAATTAACCAAAATCAAGAAATCCAAAATCAAGAAATACAAAATCAAAATCAAAATCAAAATCAAAATCAAAATCAAAATCAAAATCAAGAAAACCAAAACCAAAACCAAACCGTAAACAATAACTCTATTCACAATTACAACACAAGCTCTAACCCAACAATCAAAAGAAATAACATTCAGAGACTCAATTCCTATCTCACAAACCCAAACATAAACCAGCTAATCAACAACAACATGAACCATTCAAACTACAACTCTGATGCTGAAAACGATAACAAAAGCACTCTAAGTCTTGCAGATGTCCTCTCACCACCTCCTCTTCTCACTACAACCTCGAACTTCAGCAGCACTCTTAACACCCTCGCCAACAATTCCAATGGTCCTCCTTCAACATTTGCTAGAAAGTTCTTCATGACAACCCCCATCTTGGCTCGCAGAAACTCCAATAGAGTTCAAAGTGGCATCAGTGACCCATCAAAACCACAGACTTTATCCTCTGTTACTTCACCCAATGCAAACCAAATGCTGTCCTCCACAAAAAAGAGACTCTCTCGAACAAATCTCTCCAACTTGGCTCTCACAAACCCAAGCATCATCAATTTGATTCAGGAGCACAATCCACGCAGGAACAGCAGCTACTCCTCCAATATCAAACGATACCACTTCAACCCCAGCTCCGGAGAATCCGACAGCGATTCTTTTGAGAATGAGTTTTATATCAACGAAAACACCCCTTTGAACCTCGATATCAATTCTGTCAAGGGCTGTCAAGATCAAACTCAACCTCAGTCTCAACCCCAAGGGCAAGGTCAAGAGCAAAGTCAGAGCCAAGTTCAAGACCAACCTCAAAACCGATCCCAAAATCAAAGTCAAAATCAAAACCAAACTCAGGACCCAGGTCAATCTCAATGCGAATCTCAAAACCAAAATCAAAACTCTCCTCCAATACCAAACTCTCCTCCACAATCACAACCAAACAAACGACTCCTGTCAAATATCAACAATAATCAAAATTTGACTTTCCACGAAACTCTTTCGAAAATAAGTGCTAAAGATACATATAAAGGTACTCGTACTCGTCCAAATTTAAATATAAACACTTCAAACTATGATAAAACTGCTACAAATTCACCAATGAAAACTCCCTTAAAATTTGCTTCCCGAAGAACAAACAGTTACTACTATGGTGCCACTCCCCAACAGCCACCCAACAACAATGGCTCTTATTTACTAACTCCCTCACTTTTAAATGGTGACACATTTTATAATGCCAAATCCAATAATCCTACTGATAACGGCAATAATTCTTCTATCGACTTACCTTTCTCAACTCCATTAAACTCAAGACCAAGATTGATAAGAATCGATGAAAGCAATAATAATAATAGATATTATAAATCATCTTCTAAAAAAAACCATAATTTTTTATTGAGACTATTTTTAAATATGCTAATGTTTTTGCTTGTTACTTTAATCTTTTTATTTTTTATAACTTATACTCATTTAAGCAAACCTTTAAACCATTTAAAAATCGACAAAATTAATCATGTTTTAAATGCCGAAAATCTTTTAATGTTTGACTTAAATATAGAAGCTTATAATCCCAATTGGAATGACATTAAAATATTTCATGCTGATTTGGATATTTTTGCTAAAACTGCTTATGCAAATGATCCCGATGATCTTGATGACAATAATGGTGAAAAAGATAACGACCCAAGGGATTCAGATGGACCCATTGAAGAAACAGTTTTATTGGGAAATGTTTTAGAATTAGATACTCCATTTGATTTTCCTGGTGTTGTTTCATTTGGAAGTTTATTTAATTATTCAACAGATATTCCCGAAATTTATAAAAGCACTGGTCAAGTTAAATTAGTTAACCCATGTGCTCCGATAAATGATGATAAGAAACATACCATTGATGATGGTAGTCAAACTGATCCAATTGATCATGATCCCGATAAACACCATCATGATGATGATGACGATGATGATGATGGTGGGGATGGTGGAGATGATGATAATGATCTGTTTGATTTCTCAAAATTTTTGAAAAAACTAAGAAAATTTATTAAAGAAAAACTAGGCAATTTTTGTTTAAGTGAAGATTGCTCAGATAGTTTAGATGATTTAAAATTAACTAAATCTGAAAATTTCAATATAAAAAACTCGACCAAGTTTGATCTAGTTTCTACATCATATAATCACTTAGAAAAACCAGAAATTAGATGGAAAAGAATTTCATCTCATCCTTATCTTTTAATTGTCAGAGGAATGCTTAAATATAAATTACCACTTTCAAACACATGGAGGTTAATTAGTATTTATGAAACAATAAATGTGAATGACTCCTAAACTCACTTTTTTTATTCAATTTGTTTATCCTTTCAAATTCTTCAGTCCACATTTTTTTTTCTACCAAAATCTCATTTTTTTTTTGCTTTTATTATTTCATAAGTTGTCTAAACTTTGACAATTGTATTATTTGATCTATTTCAAATTCATATAAATATATTTATTTGGTTTGTTTTTATTTTTTTTCTTCTGGTTGAGTTTTTAGTGGTGCTTGCTTTTTCTTCTTTTTTTTTGCACAATATCCAAAAATCTTACTTAAAAAAAACAAAAAACATAAAAGAACAAAAAAATCTTGTTAAAAAATATAAAAACATAAAAAATTATAAAAAACTAGACACAAAAAGACTAAGAATAACGAATATGTATTATATTTTTTTTTTCTTGCTGGTCATTTTATTCATATTTCTTCACACATTTTTTTTTAATATAAATTACTTTTTTTATTTCATTCATATTTTTGGGGAGTTTTTTTTCTTGACCTTTTTTTTACTGCTTTTTTGGGGGTGAAATTATCAATCAAAATCATTAAATAAGAATTATTAAAATATGAGAATTTGCAACTAAACATCAATATTATATTTCCCAAATAAAATTGAGATCAACAATTATTGATATTAAGAGTGGTTTTAGTGTACAAGGATATGAGCATGCTGCTCCTCCACAAGACGTCTAAATCAGCCATAGAAAAGCTAGGCTTACTTAATTATTAGCCAAATAAATCATTTTCCTATCTACTATCACGCGTAAATACAGTAATAAAAGATAATTTGAATATTCCAACAACAGCACCTCCATTGATAACTTGATTATATCGAGAATCTCACTTTGGAATCTGTTGAGATTTGGTACACGTGATTAACAATTCAGCGCATATAGATTACTTAGTTGTAAGTATCCTTATTTCCTAGGGATAAGAGGAGTGTGCAATAAGGTAATTAGGAGTAACATTAAAGGAACAGACTGTAAGACTACAGAGTAGCAGGCTTATTTCCAAGGGGAAACGAGCTTTCCAGACGTCACGTTACCCATCTTAGCGAGGGTAGACTCTCAAGAGATGAAAAGCAATAAGAAGGGTAACGGGCTTTTTCCCTTTGAGAAGCAGCTTCTGAGTCTGTTCAGGAAGCAGAAGCAGCAGTCTTTGGAAGTGTGGTAGTCTGCTTGAGATGTTTGGGCCTGGAAGGTTGCGTGGTGCTGCTAAAGGTAACGAAACCTCCCTGCCGTTTATTTTGCCTTGCGTAATACTCTTGCTCTCAGTGCTCAGTTGGCTCTGCTCCCAATTGTTCGCAAGGCCCTGGAAATGAGAGCAACTTGACTACTTTGCAATTGATTGTTTTTTTTGCTGTTCAGCTCTGATTGCTGCTTCTTCTCCAGATTACATGGGGCCTCAGTTCAAGAATGCGTTGCTGTAATAGAGTGGTTATCAAGTGGTTATCAAGGCCATTCAATGTCTGGCTGCATCACGCTGTTTTGCTATATAATATATGAAAGCTCAGATCTATTTTCACCAATGCTATCAATTTAAAATGCAAGCTTTTTTTTATAATAATTTTCAATCCATGAGTTTTTTCATATCTGTGTCTATTAACTTCAAGGAAGATTATACGAAAAATCAGATTTATGTTCATTTATGCTGATAATTCAAATGTGCTATTGTTGATAACAATGGGAGCTATCTTCCAATAACATTTGATTTCAAGCTTCCTACGCTTCCTACAAGTCCTAAAACAAAGATACATTTGTTCAAAATGGTTGTGGTGTCTTCTCTTGCTATTGAAATTTCTGCTTTATTTTTAGGTTTATTTCAATGTATATGTTGCTTTTAGGGTTTGTATTCGGGAAAGTTAAAATGAGCTCAATATTTATATTATGATCACAAATTAGTCTCAATGATATAATCACAAAAATCTGACAAGTTACCAAAGAAATTATTGAATATGGATTAAATTTATCAATGTTCTTGTGTGCAATTTATAAAATTAAAAAACAAAATTTGAGAACAATGTTGAATTTTTATCAAAAAGAGTGCGTTGAATTGAGGATTGAATATTTTGTAAATCAAAAATTAAAGGCTCTGTTTCAATTTACTCTAAAAGTCTTTTATTTTTTTTTTTGATTCTGATTCCTATTTATCTTTTTGTTATCAAGTTTTATTATTCAATTACCAAAATCAATTAATTTGGAATCTAATCAATTAAAAGTGGTGTTCCCTGTTGTTTTTTTGAGAGAGAGAAACAGTGATTATAAAAAGAATTTCATATAAATTCATCTTCTTCTGCAATATTTAGTTATGATAAAATTGTTTCAATTCATAATTATTCTCAGCTTTGATTATTCTAAATGACAATTCAAAAAGAAAATTACACTCAAGATATTTCATTTGATGATCTCTCAAAAGTCAAGGCTATTTCCGCCGAAAAAGAGATTAAATTTGAAAAAAAGGTCGATTATATTGGAACATTTAAAAAGGAAAATATTAAAATTTTATTAGAAAAAACTGGTCATGGTACAGATGATACCTTGGTTCAAAATTTGCCCGATGATACCGAGTTTATCTTGAACAAGATTTATCAATTGACTGTTGAAGAGTCGATAAAGATTTTAGAAAATGCTATTGAATACCACAATGATGACCCGAATTTTCCAAACGATGATTATGAATTAATGAAAACTTTGGTTAAAAAATCAGACTTAGAAAAGGATAAAAATGAAGATGAATTATTTCAAATCAAATTACTTGCCTCTTTAATCCATTACCTTTCTCCTTATCCCGAAGTTCGTGCTGTTACAGATCCATTTGATGAACCTGATATACCAATTGAAACTATTAGATCGTACACTTTAGCTATTCTTTGGGTTCTCATTGGTTCTGCGGTCAACGAGTTTTTTTCACATCGTTATCCATCAATTTCTTTGTCGTCATCTGTTATTCAAATTTTAATGTATCCTTGTGGTAAATTTTGGGCATGGTGTGTTCCTGATTGGGGTTTTACTTATAAAGGAAAAAGAATTTCTTTGAACCCTGGTCCTTGGACTTATAAAGAGCAGATGTTTTCAACTTTATTGTATGCAATAACTTCGCCAGGTGTTTATATTACTTATAACGTTGTAGTTCAAAAATTAGAAATTTTTTATAACAACAAATGGTGTGATTTTGGTTTTCAATTCTTATTGGCAATGTCCACTCAATTTCTCGGATTTGGTATTGCTGGAATTTTGAGGAAGTTTGTTGTCTATCCTGTTAGAGCTATGTGGCCAACAATTCTACCAACATTAGCTTTGAATCGTGCTCTATTAAAACCGGAAAAAAAGGAAAGGATTCATGGCTGGAAATTGACCAAATATCAATTTTTTTTTATTTTCTTCTTGTTTATGTTTTTGTATTTTTGGCTTCCAAATTATTTATTTCAAGCATTATCTTATTTTAACTGGATCACTTGGATTGATAAAAATAATTTTAATTTGGCTGTTATTTGTGGTCAAGTTCTTGGTCTTGGGCTAAATCCTATTCCAACATTTGATTGGAATGTTGCAAATTACTTGACACCTTTAACTGTTCCGTTTTTTGCTAACATGAATATTGTTGTGGGCATTTTTTTGGCATTTTTTGCTATCACCGGTGTGTATTATAACAATTATTATTGGTCTGCTTATTTACCTGTTAACTCAAATGCCATTTTCACAAATAAAGGTGAATCATATCAAGTTACTCAAATTCTTACAAATGGACTACTTGATAAACAAAAATATCAATCTTATTCTCCACCTTATTATACTGCTGCAAATTTAGTGGTTTATGGCGCTTTTTTTGCAATTTATCCTTTTTCATTTATGTATACTTGTTATATTGAGCGAAGATCTTTGATAGAATCATTGAAGGAAGTAAAAAAAACAATTCAAAATTGGAAAAGATCTAATTTTGAGGGATTTACTGATCCACATTCTCGAATGATGGCCAAGTATAAGGAGGTTCCTGACTGGTGGTTTTTGATAATTGTTATTGTATCCTTGGTTTTTGCAATTCTTGCAGTTAGTTTATATCCCACACATACCCCTGTTTGGTTAATATTTATGGCATTTGGCATGAATATTGTTTTCCTTATTCCATTTGCACTTATTTATTCAACGACAGGATTTTCATTAGGTTTAAATGTTTTAGTTGAATTAATTTGCGGTTATGCTTTGCCTGGAAACGGGGTTGCATTGATGACAATTAAAGCATTGGGATATAATATTGGTGGTCAGGCTGATAACTATATTTCTAATCAGAAAATGGCCCATTATTCTAAAATTCCACCATTAGCTTTGTTTCGAGGGCAGATCATCACAACAACTATTCAGGTCTTGGTTGTATTGGGTGTTGTGAATTGGCAAATTAGCAATGTTGATAATTTTTGTCAGCCTGGTCAAAAACAAAGATTTACTTGTCCTTCAGAAAAGACGTTTTATTCAGCATCCGTATTTTGGGGTGTTATTGGACCAAAGAGAGTTTTTAGTGAAATATACCCTTTATTGGAGAAATGTTTTCTCATTGGATTTCTTTTGGGAATCTTTTTTATTTTGGTTAAAAGATTTTTACCAAGATATTTCCCAAATATAATTCAGCCAACTCTTATTATGGGAGGTTTTATTCAAGTTTTTGCACCATATAACTTGATGTATGTTATCCCAGGAATTTATTTATCATTTACCTTTATGTACTATATCAAAAAACACTACCTAGCCTGGTTTGAGAAATATAATTATGTCTTAGTAAGTTCATTTGATGCTGGTGTTGCGTTCTCTGCTCTAATAATGTTTTTTGCAGTTCAATATCACAACATTAATGTTAACTGGTGGGGAAACCTGATTTCGTTTGAAGGTGTAGATGGAGGCGTTGGAAGACAGTCATTATTGGATGTAGCTTCAACAACAAAAAAGTATTTTGGATACGATAACTGGAGTTAATAATATAGAAGAATAATTAGATAAGAACATAGTTGTTTACTTGTGTTTTTTTAAAAGAAATTTTGTTGAACTTTTTGTTGAACTTTTTATTGAACTTTTTATTGAATTTTTTATTTTATCTATTTTTTATTTATTTATCTATCTTTAAGAAGTCGAATTTTAGAAACAAAATATTGTTCTTGATAGAGGTTGATTCTAAATTTTATTTATGCACAATCTTTATGTCCAACTCACATGAAAATCTTAAAAATATTTTTTAATCTTATTTTCTTATCAGTTCAGATATAAAAAGATTGATAATTTTAGCAGAAATAGGATTTATAGTTTTTTAAATAGTAATAGTAGATCAGTAAAGTTATAAAAATAAAGTTTGATTTTATTTACCCGATTTAATCGAAAATAAATAATAATAACAATAAATTAAATATATATAGAAATTTACTAAAGAAAACGGGAACAAAAAATGGTTGAAAAACTAAGCCAATAGATTAAAGTTCTTCTAAAAGCTTTTTAGACAAAACAATAAAAAAAACAGAGAAAAAACAGGAAAAAAACAGTGAAAATAGTGGAAAAGTAAATGTGTAATAAAAAAATACTTAAACAGCTCTTTGTTTACTTGGTTCAAATGGAAACAATAAAGCTGCAAGACCAATTACACCAATGGCAGCACCACAAACCCAAATTGGAACAGCACTTGAAGTGTCACCATAATAGGCGATAACAGGGACGATAATACCAGCAGCTCTATTCATAACTAAAGATAAAGACGAGCCAGTAGCTCTGCAAGTACTTGGTAAAACTTCGGGAGTGAAACCATATAGACAACCATAGTAAATATAGATACAAATATAAGAAGCACAGGCAAACCCAACATTTGCAGCTCTTGTTCTAACAGATGTGTAAGCGAATAAGAAAACCATTGAAGAAAGACCGCCAACACATAAAGCACCTCTTCTTCCAACTTTTGGAGTCAAAATCAAAAGAGTAGCCAAAGCAGGGCCAAAGATGGAAACAAAAGTTGAAATAGTGGAATCACCATAAACACCATCAATAGTACTTGCGCTGGTGGTTGCACCCCTAGTAGCTAAATAGACTGGTAAGAAATTTGCGTAAAGAGAATAACAAATACCAATTAAAAACCATGATAAAAATAACAAAATAGTATTTCTTGCCATCAATTTTGTGGAAAATAGTTCTTTAATGTTTTGTTTACTTTCAATTAAAAAAGCTTTAACACTCGGTTTATTTAAGAAATCTTGTTTATTAACTTCACCGCATTCTTTTAATTGTTCAACAGTGAGAGAGCAAGTTCTATTGTATTTTTTAGCAATGTTTTGTAAAAGAGCAACAGCTTCTTCGTCTTTACCAATTGTGATTAAAAATTTTGGAGATTCATCCAATTTGAAAACAAATAAACGGCAACAGGCTAGAACAAATACAATTGCAGAATTGATATACCAAACGTATCTCCAACCTCTGTTGATGTGTGATGGGCAGAATTCGATACTTGAACAGCTGTTATTGGGAAGCATACCCCATGCAACAAACATACCAATTGTTTGACCGATAGCCCACCAACAAGCAAAAGTTGTTGTTAAAAATTGCCATTTAAAGGGCAAATATTCTAGGAAAACAGTTGCATCAATTGCTAGGTTACCACCTAGAGCAAAAGAACTTAAGGCCAAAAAGATGCAGTAGGTTGAGAAACTGCTCATTGCACCAACTAAGAAACTGAAGATGGAGGCTAGCATTAATGAAGTATTGAATGCAATTTTTCTACCAATGATATCTGCTGAGACACCCCAGAACACACAACCAACCAATAATGAAGCATACAAGACGTGTGTTGAAACAGGATAGGTTTGTCCAAACTGAAAATTAACATAAGTCGCAACAGTACTTTGACACATACCCAATAAAGAATCAGCAGCATAACCAAAACCAGCAATACAAAAAACTTTGAAATGATACCAAGTGAATCCAATTTCTTCAAGAGCATCGTTAATCAAATGCATTTTTTTTGTAAGAGCAATATCACTGGTTGTTAATAAAACCATATCCTTTTGGTTTGAGGCATTGACAGGATTAAGAACACCATTTTCGAGATCAAGACTATTGACTGTTGGAGAAGATTTTTCTTTATTTTCAATCTCGGCCATTTTGATAATATATGAGACGGTATTATAAGATAAGTGATAATGTTAATGAGTAAGATAAAAATATAACATTAGAAAAATAACAAAAGATTTTCAATTATATTTATATTGGTTCAAAGGATTCAGAAGAGAAATTTTAAGTTTTGTTATCTTGTTAGCTGTATTGAAATTGAAATAACAGAAAAGAATATCATAAAATATTGATTTGATAATCATGAAGAAACACACTATCATTGGAACAGTTTATTAAAGTAAGTAAACAAAAAAGAAAAAGGAAGAGGATTTGATAAATCTAAATGAAGGTTTTCATAATGAGTGTTGGGAGGGTCGAATTTTCCAGACATAATTGATAAAGAATAGAATAAATAACGTCAAGATAGAGAACTTTAATACCAAGTTGATTTATTCTCTAAAATAAAAATACATATTGGTGAAAACCTATCATCATCAACAAACAACCGATTATCTTTTGCATAGCTTTGGTGTGCAAAAGATGTATAGAAAGGGTGCTACTCAGTGATAGGTCAAATCAGAGGTGAAAAAAAACGGAAGGCCAGCCCCGTTTTCGTGAGACATAAACATGATTTCCTTCCGTCACAGAGGAAAAATGGGGCAACTGACAGGGCTCATTGTGGATGTTGGATGCAGGGTTTATTTCAGAACAGAGCTAGGTTCGTGGGCCGTTGAGAAAAAGTCCAAAGTCTTTATCAGAAAGCAGAATAATTCTAGATAATTGGTTCAAATTGCTTTTTTTTTTAGCATACTTGGTAGCATACTTAGAGTGTAGTAGTTTTAGTGAATTGTCTGCTTTTTTCTTTAGTCGAAACTGGTAAGCATAAAGAATATTCTTTCGCGATAAAAAAAATACCCTACGATTCCAGGACACAGAAATTGTTTATACATTCTTTCAGCCAGCGGTTGTTTGAAATTTCATAATAGAGCTTTTGGGTTATCTTTTATCCCAAGATGGATAATTAATAAAGAAACAGCACCAGAAAACCTAGACCAGATAAATGAATTACAATCATGTGTTTTCTATATACACCAGAAAACACAAAACTAACAGAAGCAAATCAGTCAACTATTCTTTCTAGTTCTTTGATCTGATCTTTTGGACAACCCCTACTAACAGAACACAATGTACTAAAAAAAAGAAACCATCCAGAAAGGAGGAACGAGACCTAAACACCAACGGTTTTGAAACAGCTAAGCTTTTTGGCCGTTTTCTGTTTCCGGAATAAACTGAAAAGCCACGCGACATCCAGAACCAGCTGTATGGTTCGCCGCAACATTTGATAGAAATGTCAGCCCTACAATTTCAGAAAAGCACGTGTTTTCAAAAAGGGCTATATATCTGTGACAAAAGCAGTCTGGTTGTCTCTTTTTGTGATGCTGAGCAGAAAAAAGTCGCTTTCGGCTGCAAAGTCAGCACTTACATAAGCCATTTGAAAATTGTTTGGCGAGCTTTCCTCCATTTCACGTACCGTGAATATGAAGAATCTTTCAATCACTATTGTTTGTAGAGGTAAAGGATTTGGTTTCAATATATTCACAACAGAAAGATTTTATATCTTAGTATTAATTAAAGAATAGATACATCAATATGAAGGTATGTTCTGGCTCCTGGGATCGTATATCTTACTGTCATAATATCAGAACTAGAGTCAAATGAATTACAAGGCTAAATTCAATATCGCCAATTCTTTCATTCTTTTATTTTCATCAATTTGTCAATTTTCAAGCTTTGTCAATGATAGCTTTAAAGTATTTAATTGCGTTGAAATTGGTTATATGTATTTTAAAAAAACAAAGCAGATCTCATACCTCATAAAATCAAATCAATAAACTAATGAAAGCAAAACAATAGGTTAAATCTATGTTTTGATATTTTTTCAAGATTTTTTCAAAATTTAAAATAAATAAAGTCAATTGAAATTAATTACTTTTAAAAATTAATTAAAGATTTTTGCTAAAATTAAAACAAATAACCACACTGAAATTGACTTTTCATGATTAAAACTCTTTAATCAAATGTTTGAATTTACAAAAAAGCTTTAAGAAATTTAATTGAGTGAAATATAACAAAATAAAATTAAATAAAGTTAAAAAAATTCAATCCAATTTAATTAGATTTAACGAATTAAAATGTGTTTTTATCTTCATGCAAAGCAAATGTAGATATTTATCATTTTTTTTTGTTTTTTCAAACAAAAAAAGCAATAATATTAAATAAAATAAAATAATATAAAATGATATAATATAATATAATATAAAATAATATAAAAAACGATAATTGAATGAAATCTTTAGAAAAAGCCTTTTGTTAAAATCATTTGAAAAACTTATCTTGTTTTACTAGTTCAAAAATATTGATATTATTATAAAATCAGTACTGATTATTATTTCATTAACAAATAGAAAAAAAGAAAATTAAACTAAAATGCTCAAATTTAAATTTAATTTCAATCATACTAATCATTTATCTTTTTATAGCTTAATATTGCATATCCACCAAACGGTACTCAAAAATGTATTGAAATTGATGATGAACATCGTCTTCGTGTCTTTTACGACAAACGTATGGGTCAAGAAGTTGAAGGTGATTCTGTTGGTGATGAATTCAAAGGTTATATTTTCAAAATCACCGGTGGTAATGATAAACAAGGTTTCCCAATGAAACAAGGTGTTATGCATCACACTCGTGTTCGTTTATTATTATCTGCTGGGCACTCTTGTTATCGTCCAAGAAGAACTGGTGAACGTAAAAGAAAATCCGTTAGAGGTTGTATTGTTGGTTCTGATTTAGCTGTTTTATCTTTAGTTATTGTCAAACAAGGTGACAAAAATGTTGCCGGTCTTACTGACGTTTCTGTTCCAAAAAGATTAGGTCCAAAACGTGCCAACAATATTAGAAAATTATTTGGTTTAAACAAAGATGATGATGTTAGAAAATTCGTCATTAGAAGAGAAGTCACCGGCAAAAATGGAAAAACTTATACCAAAGCTCCAAAGATTCAACGTTTAGTTACTCCTCAAACTTTACAAAGAAAACGTCACTTGAAGGCTGCCAAAATCAGAAATGCTCAAGCTCAACGTGATGCTGCCGCTGAATATGCTCAATTATTGGCTCAAAGATTACATGAACGTAAAGCTGCCAAAGCTGAAATCAGAAAACGTCGTGCTTCTTCTCTTAAGGCTTAATTTATTATATTTTAATTAATACATATTTTACAATTTTGTTTTAAGGATATATTAAATTGTTCTATATTTATACATAATGTCTCCTTTGTAGTGTAACAAAACTTTTTAATAAAAAGAAAAAAAACATTTAAAAAAGAGTAAAATAGCATGTTCACATTTAATAATGAAAGTTAAATGATGCATTTGTTTCAAGCTTTCAGTTTAGTTAAAAGATGAAATTAATCATTCTAGGCATGCTATCTAACACAATGCTCAAAAAAAAAAAATAAAAAGGCAAAATAAAACAATATAGTGAAAAAATAATATAAGTCTATTAAACAAGAGTAACAAGTTCTTCAGCACTAGTTGGATGAATTGCAACACAGCTATCAAAATCTGCTTTAGTTGCACCCATTTTAATGGCTACACCAAAACCTTGTAAAATTTCAGCCGAACTATCACCAACAATATGTAAACCGACGACTTTTTCATTTTCACCAGCGCAAATTAATTTGTAACTTGTTGGTGATTTTTCTTCAAGCATTGCATAATACATTGAAGTAAATCTAGATTTATAAATTTTAATATTTTGCTGACCATATTTTTCAATTGCTTCCTTTTCGGTTAAACCAATTGAACCAGCTTCAGGATGAGAAAAAACGACTGAAGGGACATTTTCAAAATCTTGTTTTTGATTTTTAAATTTTTCAGGGCCAAATAGTCTATTTGCTAATTTTCTACCAGTGGCAATTGCCACAGGAGTTAATTCAACCTTTCCCACAACATCACCTAGGGAATAAATATTCTTTGCTGTTGTTTGTTGATATTCATCGGCTTTGACTTGACCTAAATCATTTAATTCAACACCAACATTATCTAAACCGATTCCTGATAAGGATCTACGACCAATTGACCAGATTAAACCGTCTACTTCCAAAACTTTGCCATTATCTAAAGAGACCGATAAGCTGCCAGATTCTACATTCTTTTCAATTGACTTTACTTGTGAATTTTTATGAATGTTAATTCCCTTTTTAATATAATAATCAGTTATGGTATTTTGAATTGATTCGTCAAATTTTCTTAAAACTGTGGAGCCTCTAATGATTAACTCAACTTCAGAACCTAAATTGTGCAAGACACCTGCTAATTCTACAGCAATATAACCAGCGCCGACAATAACAACTTTTGAAGGCAATTTTTCCAACTTGAAGAAACCGTCGCTATCAATACCCAATTCTGCTCCAGGAATATCAGGGGGATGAACAGGGGAACCCCCAGTGGCAATCAAGATACGATCTGCAGTGAATGTTTTTGAATCAGTGTGGGTTTTGACCACAACTTTACCACCTTTATCAAAGGTAGCATAGCCATAAATAAAATCGACTTTTTCCTTTGCCAAATTTCTTTCATAGATTTGATTCAATCTTTGAATATAAGCATCTTTTTTAGGTTTAAAGGCACTGTAATTAAAAGTAGCATCGCTGACATTTTCAGCATTGAAACAGTATCCTTGCAATTGTTTGATTTTTTCAGCCAAATCAGAAGCATACCACATCACTTTTTTGGGGACACAACCGGCATTAACACAAGTCCCACCCATTTTACTTGCTTCAATTAGCAAGACTTTTGCGCCGTAAGAAGCAGCTCTTCTGGAGGACGCTACGCCGCCGGAACCACCTCCAATGACTAAATAGTTGTAATGATCCAAGTAAGTTTTATTTGTGCTTGACATTGCTCTAGTAAATTTTTGCATTGAGATAAAAGCTTGCAAGAAACTAGAAAAGAGAAACAACGAGATAGATTGGTTTATATAATCCAGCAATATAGATCAGCTTGACAGTAACAAATTTCAACAGCCAGAATCCGAAGCCCAATTAGTAATGGAAGCACCTTTATCACAGTTTGGAGAAATGGTGTCAGTTTTTTTAAACGGATTTTGAAGTGGAGGGCAGGTGATCCGTGTACGTGGTCTCGGCATGGGATTTGCAAGCCGGTTCAAATCCCGCATAGAGCAAGATTAGATAATTCACGTGGTGTACTTGGTTAGTTCTGTTTTCATAGGGGTTTCTAGAATAATGAGCTAAATAATAGAGCCAGTTCTGAGCTGCTTTTTTCTTACTTTGTGAGAGATACCTGCTGCAATGGAGAATATCGTGACACACACGTGCAAAGATTGGTGCACTCAGTGGAGCTACTTTTGAAAGCTGTCCCGACGTTTCCCTAAAAAAAAAATCGGTGCAGAACAATTTTTCTGTTGGTGAATAATTTTCACCGGCTTCAAGAAATCTCCAGCTTGCTCACCAATTCTCGTAATAACTTTAATTCACCACAATCAACTCTTACCAGGTCAGATCATATGATTTGAATCTTCTTCTTGCACATCTAACAGGACCCAATTAAAATCTCATAGGAAATCAAATTATACCATACTATATCCCAGCATTTACCATCAAAATGGCCGAAAATAAGAAAGACATTAAGAAAGAAAATGAATTATTACCGGCATCCTTGGTGCCTGTTAGGCCAACTCCCTTGAGTTCGAAAGATAAAGTAACAAAAAGACTCATTGTTGTTTTAGCCCAAGCTTGTTTAGAATCCCATAAAATGAGTACTGGAAACCCTGGAGGTGACAAGTATTCTTTGCTAAACTGTGATGACCATCAGGCTTTGTTAAGAAAAATGGGCAGAGATATCGCTGAAGCAAGACCTGATATTACCCACCAATGTTTGCTAACATTACTAGATTCCCCCATTAGTAAGGCAGGGAAATTGCAAGTTTATATACAAACTGCAAGAGGTGTATTGATAGAGATCAATCCCAGTGTTCGAATTCCCAGAACATTCAAGAGATTTTCTGGGTTAATGGTTCAATTATTACATAGATTGTCCATAAGATCTGTCAACTCAGAAGAAAAATTGTTGAAGGTAATCAAAAATCCCATAACAGACCACTTGCCAACTAAATGCCGTAAAATCACCTTATCCTTTGATGCTAAAGTAACAAGAGTCCAAGACTACATCAAGACCTTGGATGACGATGAAAGCATATGTGTATTCGTTGGTGCCATGGCAAGAGGCAAAGACAACTTTGCTGATGAGTATATCGACGAAAAAATTGGTGTATCCAATTACCCTTTATCAGCCTCTGTCGCCTGTAGCAAGTTCTGCCACGGGTGTGAAGACGTCTGGAATATTCTCTGATATGGCAACGACACCAGCTGTGTTTCAACAATCAAGCAACAGTCAGCTTTGCAAAACTCGTTTCAACCACTTCTAATGAACCCCTTATGAAAATGATTTCAACATTGTTATCCTCTCAAAATACACACCTTTCTTTTCAGCCATATAAAGATCCACATTGTGGCCTCTTCCAGCCGAGCACTCTTTTCGTCTCACCGAGAACCTTTCAAATAGCAACTATTGTCATCGCAATGCAGTGAACGTGATTCTGGGCGCAATCTCCCAACCTTATTCTACTCATTTGACGACCTCTTCGTCATCTTCCTCTCTATATATTTCTATATCTTTGCCCTAAATAACTTGAAAACCAAATATAATACACATCTCTCAGTGCTCCGGCTAAGTTGTTCCTCCAATACTATCTGTGTCCCCGAAATGTCTAGAACTTCCACCATAAGACCTGGGATTTACCAATCAGACGGAAAACCCTTATCCAAAGCTGCTATTTACCAAAACAACTTGAAGACTGGCCTATACATCAACCCAAACTCTCCTTCCACTGGCTTGCCTTCCAATTACAAGGGCACTTCAGCTGCTGTCAAAGCTGTCAATACCGACCTATCCGTTCCTGTCTACAGGAGAGACTTGTCATCAGAGGCTGCTTCTGCTGCCTTGAATGCCAAATCAGATTCCTCTCCTGTTGCATGGAAAAGAGAGAAAGTCGATTCCGGTGCTGAAAATGCTGCTTTAAAGGCTAGAAACCAGTCTCAAAAAACTACCAGTCTTGCAAATTCTATAAAGCCTTTCTCCTCAAAGTCCCTGAACAGTTCAAGCATTTTTGCTAATAGCGCTGCTAAATCCTTGTCTTCAAAAGACGCTTGCTCCTTTGCTGGTGAGCGTTTGCCTGATTTGTATACTTTGGACTCTCCTAGAACTTCAAATCATAAATCAAATAACAAAAATTTCAATATCAATAAACTTCACGAAAAGGCTAATAAAAACGCAAATGACAATATCAAAGAAAGATTGAGCCCTTCAAAGATCAACCATAGAATCGGCGTCCCATCAACAAAAGCAAACTCCATTGTCTCTTCTCAATATTCATCTGCTGGTGCTTTGAAATCTACACGTTCAAATACAATTACAAGTGATCTTCAAAATAGTAATAACTCCTCGAATCATGCAAAAATAAGCCAAATGGATTTAAAAGTGTTGGAGCAAGCAAAGCTAATTGCTAATCAAAAATTAAAACAAATTGATGAACAAAATGGCAAGACTTACTTATTGGGTAATCCAGAATTTAACGCTCATGCAATGAAAATCGCACAGCAAAAGGCCAATGAAAGGTATCAGAAAAATACTCAACTTGAAGGCAAAATCAATGTTGGTCTAGGAAAATACGTTAACGCCGTTGACGTTAATAATCTTGCTAGAAGTAATATCGCTCCAGTAATTGAAGATATTAATGCTGCAGTTGCTGAACAAAGAAGAATAGATTTTGAATATGAAGAAGAACAAAGACTAATCGCTGAAGAACAGCAAAGGTTGAAAAATGAAAACTATCAAAATGCTTTATTATCAAAAAGACAAAAAAAAGAAGAAAAATTAGAAAAGAAAAGAAATATTCAAGCACAAAAACATGAAAATAAGCATCTCAAGGAAGACTTGATTAATGAAAACGAAGCTGAATTACGTCAAAAAGAGCAGCATTTGGCTCAATTAAAAGCTCAGGAAAGTCAGCTTCAGCAAGAAATTGAAAAGGAAAAATCAGATATTTTGGAAAAATACAGAAAAGAAGAAAATGATTTAATTTTAAAAACAAAAAATCAGATTTCAATTTTAAAAAGAGAAAAACAACTAGAAATTTCTGAAGATTCTGAACATGCTGAACATGCTGAACATGCCGAAAATGTCGAAATTGCTCATAAAACGGATGTCGAACCAAACACCAACATTTCAAAACCTAAAGATAACTCAAGCCCAACAACTGACAAGCCACCTGGAATGTTTCTGGAATCTTGGTAGTTCTCATCAATCTTCTATAAACAAAAAAATTACTTGTTTTTATTTATTTATAATCCTATTTTTCTTTTCCTTTCTTTTCTCTTATTTTTAGTTATGGTTTTTCATTAATGTTAGTTATTATTGTTCAAGGTTAGTTTATTGTTTTTTAAATTTATAGTAATTAATTTTTCTTTTCAAATCTTTATCAATTTTTTTTTATCTAAATAATCATATCTGTAGGAAATCTAAAATTTTATTTTCTATATTTATAAAAATCAAAAGGACGCCTTTATAATTACATGTTAATAATATTTACAATATAAACTATTTGACTTTACCATACACTTCTTCCAAGTACTTTTCTGAGACAAGAGCATTTTGTTCTTTTGAAAGATTTGGTTGAACTTTTTTAATAAGTTCTTTAGTACGAGAAATTCTTTCTTCAATCTTATTATCAAATAAAAGCATATCGCCTCTTAATTCGCTATCATCGTTTTCAATTAATTCTCTCTTAATGGCCTTTTTAATGATTTTTTCAGTTTTCTTTGCAGCCTTTCCATATTCAAATTGCACATTTGTTCCAGAAAATAATTTGCTTAAATTATTAACCCTTGGAAGAACATGAGTACTTTTATAACCAGAAGGCCAGGAATCACCCATTTTAGCTTTTCTTGCATCATAATAATGCTGTTTACCATAAGATTTTGGAATATTCCATTTTTCAAATGAGCCAAAAGGAGTCAAAACATCTAGGACAACATGCCCTTTTTTCTTTTCAGGCAGATCAATTATTCTTGGCCACAATGAGCTGTCATTTCTATCTAAACAGTCCTGTTTTATTTTACTAAGAAGTTCTTCTGTTTTCAAAATTGAATTTTGATCCTTGAATTTTCTTAAGGTTTCTAGTCTTTTACTAGTAACTTGAGATTCTAATCGTTTTTCTTCGATTTTTTGAATTGTTTCAGGATCGTTTTTAGACCTTTCGAAGATCAAAAAACAAAAATTTGCAATTTCAAAATTTTTACCTCCAGCTCTACCTGTTCCACTTTTTGCTATGTTTTTAAGACCAAAGGGGTTAGAAGTTGAAAATTCTCCAGTTTTATACAATCCTAATAACTTTGGATCCCATGTGGCAGCTAATCTTCTTCCCTTTTTCAATTCCATTGTGAATTTTGGTCTTTCTAATGAAACTGAAAACTTCAACCATCTCAATTTCGAGCCATTTTTTTCATCAATTAGTAAAGGATTTTTGGTAACTAATTGACAAGGAAGATGGTGTGGATATGGAGATAAAATGGATAAATAATAATCAGTTTTCAATTCTTTTTCAATTTCTATTGCCTTTTCTTGTATTGAATCCTTTACGGATAATATATCAAAATTTTCATGTAAATCCTTTTCATAATCAAGATCATTCTCATGAATTTGACCATATTTTTCATTTAATTCAGATTCCAAATCTGATATCTTTTGTTTTCTATTGAATTTTTTATTGTTAGCAGAATCTGTATTTAACAATTTATTAACGACTTTCATGGTTGAACCTCTAATCCAAGGTCTTGGAATCTTTCCGTATTCAAATTTAGAATAGTTTGAAGGTCTCATGGTGATTTCTCTAGCTCTTGAAAGGATTTCGAAACCCCAAAATGTTCCTCTTTCTATAAGAACTAAATGGCCTTCAGGTTCTAATAAATCTAATAATTTTTCAAGGTTATTATCAATTTGACGAGGAAATAACTTTTCATCTTCTAATAATTGATGAGTTGCAATGATTAAATCATATTTTCTAGGAGAGTTTTTCGTTGGTAAATGATCAAGAAATTTAGAGTTTATTTTAATCTTTTTAACATCAATTTGACCATCAAGCTGTGGTTCGGCACTTTCGTAATCGTTTTTACTAATGTTATCATCTTGATTATTGCTAGTATCATTGCTGTCATTATTATCCTTATCTGATGAGTTATCGATATCAGATCTAGGCACTTCAGACAATTGTCTACTTAGCAAGACTTTGGCTCTATTTTCCATTACATAATTGGAATGTTTTATATAAATATCTCTAACTTGTGGTTGAAAATCTTCACCCATTAATTCATTTAGTGCTAACATCCCAGTTGCAGGACCTTGTTCAGTTACCAATATTTTCTGGGGATTGAAAGTTTTGTCTTTGCTTGAGACATTTCCTTTTAATTCGGCTAATACCTGAAAGATGGAGGCATAATTTTGAGGAAACAAAACACATATACTGGTATCAACTTCATAGGGAGTTGTAGGTGGTTTGTGTAAAGGATTGAATCTTAGATGCAAAAAGTAACTGGTAGCATACTCTCTTAATTTAGCTGGTTCATATTTTCTCAAAAAATAGTCATTGATTGTATCAGATAAAATAGTGGGAATTTTCACTTGACCAAAGCGATTGAACTTTCCCAGTAGGGCATTGTCAGAGAGTCTGGCTTGCTGTGAGGTTCGTGCTTTTGTATTCTTCAAAGTGAAGTCTGGATTTCTAAAGGGACTGATATCAAAAGAAAGGCTTTTGTCAGAATTATCTCCAGTAATAAAAAAGTCAGAGTTATCGAAGGATGAATAGTCGATTTTGTCGCTGCTTTTCAATATCTCCTCAGGGTTGGTATCGGGTTTCTGATCTAGGAGAGAATTGTTTAATGTTGAAAAACTTGCAAAAGAAGTCCTTATTTGTCTAGGTATTCCATTATGGACAGCCACTCTTCTGTTTGCATTTCTCGCTAGTATTTTGAACATTATATAGTTATGCTTTCGTTGGATCAGATTCGAAACAGAAAAAACTCCAGAAAAAATATTTTCAAAAACTCAATCGGGAGATATCCGATCTTGAACCACGTGCCTTACCGGATTTGCATTGACAAATTTCCCATTACTTTGGTAGGACTGTTTCTCGAAGGGGTTTTGAGAGAGCAACTTCATGGCGAGGTCTGCTGTTTTTTCCTCTGGGGCTTCTCCAAAAAAGTTCCAAAAGTGCTTTGAAAATTCTTCTTAAGCTGCTGTTGTGTCTCTTCTGTCAAATCCAAAAGCTTCCAGCCAAAAGCCATTCTTTGGCAAAGAGCGCGGGAGTTTCCAAATCGGGAATTTTTCCAACTCCGAAACGTTTTCTAATTGTGGATTTTATGCTCAAGAATGAAATCATCTGTAATTGCAAATCTTCCAGTTCCAATTGTATAAAAGAAAGAAGGGCGCCCTTTCTGTTCAGTGTGGGCATTCTGGCTTTACTACACTCGACATCCAACACTAGACACTCGACACAGCACCTAATCTACCACAAGTTTCACAAATGTGCACAGAACAAGCTTTTCAAGGTTTTGGTCTTACCCAAAAAGAACCTGAAAACTGGTCAACTTTATCCAAGATCGAATTTTTGCCCAAAACATTTGATGTCAACGATATCGATATCAAAATCGAGGCCTGTGGTCTTTGCGCCTCTGATATCCACACATTAAAAGCTGACTGGAGCAAGAACTATTTTTATCCATTGGTTGTTGGCCATGAGGTTATTGGAAAAGTGACCAAGGTTGGCTCAAATGTCAAAACTTTGAAGGTTGGTGACAGAGTTGGTGTTGGTGCTCAAGCATTTTCTTGTTTAGACTGTGAGCTATGCAAGTCTGACAACGAGCCATATTGTCCAAAGTCTGTCTTTACCTATAACAGCAGGTATCCTGATGGACGTAATGGTTTTGGTGGTTATGCTTCTGATATTAGAGTTCATGAACATTTTGCTTTCAAAATACCTGACAACTTGCCTTCTGAATCAACTGCACCAATGTTATGCGCTGGTATAACTGTTTTTTCTCCATTGGTTCGTGCAAAGGTAGGACCGGGCTCAAAAGTTGGTATTATTGGTATTGGTGGTTTGGGCCATTTTGGTATCTTATTTGCCAAAGCCTTAGGTGCTGAAGTTTATGCTTTTTCGAGAAATGATAGCAAAAAAGAGGATTGTTTGGCCCTAGGCGTCGACCACTACATTGCAACTGGAAATGACCCAAACTGGTTTGAACCTTATCAATACAAATTGGATTTGATTGTTTGTACTGCAAATTCAACCGAAAATTTCAATTTGAGTTCCTATTTAGCTACTTTAACTATCGGTGGAAAATTTGTTAACGTTGGTTTGCCCACTCAAGGCAATTTCGATATCAATGCCAGATCGTTTATGAAAAATGCTTGTTTCATGGGTGCTAGTTTGTTAGGCTCAAGAAAGGAAATCGAATACATGTTGCAATTGGCAAGTGAAAACAATATTCATGGCTGGGTTGAAACCATTCCAATTTCTATAGAAAATTGCAAAAAGGCCTTGGAGAGAACCGACAAAAACGACATTCGTTTCAGATTTACTTTTGTCGACTACGATAAGGCCTTTGGAAACTAGACTAGACTAGACTAGACTCTTTCTGCTTGCTTCTGATATATAGATTCTACATTATACTGAACTTACACCAGTTCTCGATACCAACTCGCTCATCATCTTGTTTTCGTGCGTTTTTCTTTTTTTGATGCGTAAAACACAAAAAGTGATTTGAGGACAATTTCAAATCCACGGCTGTGGTAACTCGTTATCCTCCAGAAAAAATTGAAAAATATTTTTTATTCCTTATCTTCACTCATCACACTGAAATATATAACAAAAACTAATAAACAATAAACAATTAGAACAACCAAACATGACTGTGGCGCCAGAAACTATCCGATCTCCTGAATTCGTTCCAAGAGCAACCAGACTGGCACAGAGACCAGTTAAGATATCTGCGTTATGCGAATTATGCCACTCAAGAAAGGCTGCTGTGAAAAGACCAAAAAACCTACAGAAATTATGTCAATTATGTTTTTTCAATGTTTTTGAAACAGAAATACACCAGACTATTACCAATAATAATTTGTACCATCGTGGTGAAAAACTAGCTCTTGGTGCCTCAGGTGGAAAAGATTCCACTGTTTTAGCCTATGTCATGAAAACATTGAATGATCGTTATGATTATGGTCTTGATTTAGTGTTATTAAGCATAGATGAAGGAATCGTTGGCTACAGAGATGACTCTTTAGCCACTGTAAAGAGAAACCAGGTTCAATATGGTCTACCTCTAGAAATTGTCTCCTATAAAGATTTGTATAATTGGACCATGGATGAAATAGTAACCTGTTGTGGCATAAGAAACTCCTGCACTTATTGTGGTGTTCTAAGAAGACAAGCTTTGGATCGTGGTGCATTAAAACTAGGTATAAATCATGTTGTGACTGGCCACAACGCTGATGATATGGCTGAAACTGTTCTAATGAATATTTTAAGAGGTGACTTAGCAAGATTAGAAAAATCAACTGCTATTATAACAGAATCAGCTGGTTCTCCGGTAAAGAGATCAAAACCATTTAAATTCACTTATCAAAAGGAGATTGTGTTGTATGCTCATTTCAAAAAATTGGATTATTTTTCAACTGAATGTACTTATGCTCCGGAAGCCTTTAGAGGAACCGCCAGAGAATTAATGAAACAACTTGAAAAATCAAGATCAAGTACTGTTATCGATATCATATATAGTGGAGAAAATCTCTTGTTGCAGCCCAAAAGAATTAACAAACAAAAACAATTTAGAAAGGTAAAGACAATTGACAAAAAGACTGCAGAAAATGGTCAAAACAATAATAAAAACAGAGAAATGGAAGTATTATCTGATGGTTCTATTTCTTTAGGTCACGATCGAGCAAAGTATAAAGATGGTAATAAATGTTTAAAATGCGGCTACTTATCATCAAATAAAATATGTAAAGCATGTGTGCTATTGCAAACATTGGAGAAAATGAAACCAAAAATAACAATAGATAATAATATTTCAACTGATGGAGCTGCAAAAGTGTTGAGAAGTTTGGAAACGTTGTCATTTTAATCAAATATTAAATATGTATTAATTTTTATTTTCTATTCAATATACTATAATATTTTATATTCTACATAATTATAGAAAAAAAACAGAAAAATAAAATTAGAATAAATAAATAGGTAGTTAAAAATACAAAAGAAAGAATAAATCCACTAGCAGAAATAAAAAAAAACAAAAATGTAAAATAAATTTTAAATAAATTTTAACGTCTTTTTGATTTCGAATTCATATTTTGTGACCTACCACTTGATTTAATTGGCTTCCCACTAGGAGAAAAATTCTGATTAGAAATATTAATTGGGGGTAATATGCCACTATAATTAGTAGCAAAAACAGGAATATTTTCACTAAATTTAATACCATCAGCATTAGTTTCCTCATCATACACGATATCCTTTGGATTAATGTCAGAAAGAATATTTGATAATATTCTTTGAAGCTTCAAATAATTTTTTTTTTCTTCAATAGTAGGTTTTGAAATTCTATTTAGAGTAGCTATTCTTTTATTTCTCAAATCATTTAATTTTAATATTAATTTACTAGCTAATTGTTGCTGGGTCCCATTTTTAAAAGCATGGATTTCTTCATCGTCAATTGTGAGATGCAAAGGATTGAATTGCAAAAGATTCTCAAGATTTATCTTATTTGACTCTCGAGGATTTTCTTTTTTATTTATTTCGCTTTCATTGATTTCTGTTGTTTCATCAGTCATTAATACATCAGTCTCATCAACTTGATTTTTATTATTATCAATAACGATAGTAGCAATTTTATTACTATTATTGTTATTACTATTATTGTTGTTATTACTATTATTATTATTATTTTCATTTAAAACTGAATTTTGCTCAATTTTTTTCAAGTTTCCATTAGTCTGAATGCTTGAATCAGACTTTAAATCAGCTTTAAGATCACTTTTTTTCTGGTTGATTGAATCATAATAATTTTGTTTTATATTGAGTAATTCTTTCAAACCTAATTGTTCAAACCATGATTTTTCAACCGATTTAATTGAAAAAATGAAATTTTTTTCATCTACAAAAGGAAACTTAATTGAGAGAGAATTGAGATGACCATTCCAATGCTTTTCAGGTAAAAAATACCAATTTGGATGACAAAATGGATTTAAGATTATATTATTATTAATATCAGAGTTGTAATTAAAACTTCTATTATTGCTAATTGAAGAATTTAAAGAACCAAGATTAGCGACAGGATAAGAATATGATTGGGGTAAGATTGTCAAAGTTTTGAAAATATTATTTTTATTATTTTCAGTTTCAGTTTCAGTTTCAGTTTCATTTTTAATGTCGATGTTATCGACCAAAGATGATTTATTAATTAAAGATGAAAATAAGGGCATATTATTAGTAACATTGTTATTATTTGATTGAAAATAAATGGCTTCATTATTTGGTATGTTAAAGGAAATCTCAATTTTTTTTAAATCTTTGTTTAAATGATTGGTAAGAAGTTGAGCTAAAACGGGAGAAATTGAGTTGAAGTCATCATCATTTATAATTTTTTTGTTAATATCAAAGTTATTATTAATGTCATTTTTATTGTTAAAGTCAAAGTTATTAATGTTATTTGCGGTATTACTATGAATATTACCATTACTATTACTATTACTATTACTATTACTATTATTATTATTATTATTATTATTATTATTACTGTTATTATTATTATTATTATTACTGTTATTATTATTATTATTATTACTGTTATTATTATTATTATTATTAGCAATGATGTTATTGACATTATTTGCATTTTTATCAATTTTGTCATTTGTATTGTTTGTCATTTCTGTATCATTTGAATTCTTGGTGTTATTATTAATATTTTTGGACTTTGATTTTGATTTTGATTTGCTTCTTGTTTTCATTCTTGTCCTTTTATTTTTGTCCACTTTGTTGTTATTTATATTGATAGTATCATTGTTAGTATTAGAAACAATTTCAATAGGTTTATAAGAAGATAATAAAGCCCTCAAGTTGAATGACTTATTTAGTATTAAATTTAAAGAAATTTGATAAAACTTGTCAATGTTATTGTAAACGATTGAACCAGCTTTATTCATTTTTGTTAAATTGTAGATTAAAATGAAACAAGATAATTTGATATCATGGAATAGTTTATAAATTAGAAAATCATTTTCTTTACTTAAATTACTCAGATCAATTTGAATATTGGAAATATTGGGATTGAAATAATATAGTTTACTCTCATACTTTTTAAGAAGTGAGGTTGCTTGATTGTTTTTGAAATCTTCTAGAAATTCCTGGGTAATAAGTTTAGGTTTTCTCTTAATAGGATTAGAATTCTCGATGCTCAGATCAAGTTTTTTGTGAGATTGATCAAGAGACTGGTACTCAGGGTCCTCTTGTTTGTTAAATTTGTCTGGGTTGCCATTGGAGGATATATGAGTGTCATTTTTGATTCTGATTTTATCATTACCAGTCTCTGGAGTGATTTTGCTGTCATTACCGAGGTTTTCCACATCATCTTCATATAGGAAATTGTCTAAATATTTCAAATAAGCATCTTGAATATGGTTGAAATCAGCTTCAAAAAACTGGGAGGGAAACAAATTATTCAAAACGAGATCATCCTTGTCTAGCTCCTTTAAGACAACAAATAGATTGTCGACAAACTCGTTGTAGACATGCTTGACATTGATGTTCTGGTCTTGTTGGTCTGCAGACATGTTGATGATAAGCAAGATATCAACAAAAAATTGATAGCTCAGGCAGATGTGAATAATGAACTGTCTTTAGTTAATTGTCCTTCCTCTGAAAGCAAAAAAAAAACGGTGTACATGCAAAAACATTAAAAAAGCGGGCCGAGCTGGGAATTGAACCCAGGGCCTCTCGCACCCAAAGCGAGAATCATACCACTAGACCACACGGCCAAACCCTTTCTTTTCAAAATAAACCCAGGCTATTTACAGCCACATATTAGTAAGCAGAAAGAAGTAAATATCAGGTGACTTTGCTGTTTTAGGTAACATATTTGATAGAGGCCTACAGAAACTATATGTTTTTGTCTCCCATGCATGGCAATTTATAAAATAAACAAGATACAACATCTATTTCTTATTTAAATTCATTCGTCCTTGATGTGAGTTTTCTTCCCTTTAGGGTTTTCTCACATCCATGGTAAAATTACAGGGACAGTTTTCGTAGTTTTATATACTGTAGTAAACAGCACCGTGCAAGAACCCCAATAGGTGTGTTCTTAGCAGTTATTTTTTTAAAAAAAAAAGGTAACATATTTGATCAGATCAAAGAGTGAGGTGAAAATAAGTGCTGTTTCGCAGAAGGAAGTGGTGAAAATAATGGAGGTTTTGTTTGCGGAATTGGGAAGTCAGTGCTGAGGGTATTATGGTTTATTGTTTATAGTGAATTGTTGATATGATGGCATTGGTATGTACTTGATACGTTGCCAGCGCTAGAGATGGATGCTTTAATCTTCAAGCAACGATGTACAAACTACAATTATCAGTTTTTATCAATTATTTATCAGTTCGAAAATCTAAAAATCTTTATTTAAAGTCAAGGGAAAAAAACAAAAATAATATAAAAATAATGGCTAAAGAAAAAAACATGATATCGTTAAAGAAATAAAATTTAAAAACCTGTCATTAGTGTTATTCATCGCTTATTTTCTGTGGGCTTTAACAATGTTAACAATGTCACCAACTGAATTTGGATTAGATAATGTACTGACATCACCTAATTGGTCTTCTTCGTGAACCAAAATCTTCCTTAAGATTCTTCTCATAATCTTACCAGATCTTGTTTTTGGTAAGTCATCAACAATAAAGATTTCCTTTGGAGCAGCAAATGGACCAATTTCTTTTCTAACAGTTAAGATGATATCCTTTTTGATCTTTTCAGCTTCAGCACCACTTATACCAGCTTTCAAGGCAACGAATGTAGCAACAGCTTGACCGGTTAATTCGTTAGGGAATCCAACGGCAGCGTTTTCAGAAACGTTTGGATTTTCCAAGATGGCAGCTTCAATTTCAGCAGTAGAAAGACGGTGACCTGAAACGTTAACAACATCATCAACTCTACCAAGAATCCAGAAGAAACCATCTTTATCTCTTGCAGCACCATCACCAGTGAAGAAGTAACCTGGGAATGGATGGAAGTAGGTTTCCAAGTATCTCTTATAGTCTTTCCAGACAGTTCTAGTTAATGATGGCCATGCGGAAGCGAAAGCAAGAACACCTTCAACATCATTTTCTTTCAATTCTTCACCAGTTTGAGGATCCAAGATGGCACATTTAACACCAAAGAATGGTAATGAACATGAACCAGGTTTCAATGGAGTAACACCAGCAATTGGACAAAGAACTGGAGCAGATGTTTCAGTTTGCCAGAAGGTATCTAAAATAGAGGCTCTCTTTCTGGCGATGGTTTCGTAATACCATTCCCATACATCAGGAGCAATTGGTTCACCGACGGTACCTAAAGCACGTAAAGTTGATAAATCGTATGGTTTAATCAAGTGGTCGCCAGCTCTCTTTAGTAAACGCAAAGCGGTTGGAGCAACATAGAATTGGGTACATTTGTAATCATCAATGATATCCCAAAATCTGGTTGGAGTTGGGTAAACTGGAGTACCTTCATACAAGACGGTGGTTGCACCAATTGCTAATGGAGCATAACAAACATAGGTGTGACCTAAAACCCAACCAATATCAGCAGCAGTGAAAATGGTATCTTCTGGATGTAAGTCAAAAACATATTTAGCGGTAACAATGGCGTTTAATAAGTAACCAGCAGTTGAGTGGACTAAACCCTTTGGTTTACCGGTTGAACCAGAAGTGTATAACAAGTATAAGGGATCTTCAGAATTAACAGGAACAGGAGGAACATAGTTTCTGTATTTTGGTAAATTTTCGTGCCACCACAAGTCAACTTTTGAGTTGAATGGGACAGATTCATCACCAGTTCTTTTAAAGACAATGACATTTTTAACTTGGGGACATTCTTTAATGGATTGGTCAACAATTCTCTTGGTTTCAATGGTTCTGCCACCTCTTTTAGATTGATCAGAAGTAATGACAACTTGTGAGTAAGCATCGTTAATACGGTCTCTTAAAGCAGTAGCAGAGAAACCTGCAAAGACAACAGAGTGAATGGCACCAATACGGTTAATAGCCATGATGGTAATAATGGCTTCTGGGATCATTGGCAAGTAAACAGCAACGGTGTCACCCTTTTTAACACCTAATTCAAGCAAAACTTGAGCTAATTGAGAGACTTGGGCTAATAATTCACCATAGGTGACTTTGTAACCAGAATTTGGTTCATCACCTTCATAAATGATAGCTGGTTTGTCAGGGTTTTTGAAAGCATGACGGTCAACACAGTTGTAAGAGGCGTTTAATTGACCACCAACAAACCAAGAGTTATAAAAGCCATGTTCAGGAAATTTGGCAATTTCAAAATCTCTGTGCCAGTGTAAATTTTCTCTTGCTAATTTTGAGTAAAATTTATTTGGTTGTTCAATAGATTCAGTGTACATTTCCTGGTACTGTTCAAAAGAAGTAATGTATGGTTCTACACCTTCTGGACGATTTTTGAAAAATTCAGTTGGTGGTTGAATTTTTTCAACGTGAGCAGAGAGATGTTCATCGTGGTGACCCATTTTGAGATAAGAATAGAGTGAGATAAGTTATATTACTGTTGGTTGAAATTGAAGCCGATATTGGTATCGGTATTGGTATTGAAATTAGAAAGAGATTGATGGGTTTTTTCTGGATTGTTTTTTTTTTCTTTTTTCCCTTGATAGATGATATAAGCAAGAATAGGAAGAATAAAAACGACTCAAGAGGGAGAATTGAAAAAGTATTTATAGACAAAAACCCTGATATTGATCTGGCAATCAAATAACTGGATGTATAAAAGAATCAGACAACATCGCGATATGATTTGAACAGATTTAGTGTTTAATTACTGATTAATACCACATATCACAAGAATTGCAAGGAATTATGGCCCGGAAGTTGAGACGAAATAATCGAAAACTAAGTATTGAATTGAGTTATAAAGTTCCATGAAAGAGAAGAATAATTTAATAGAGAGCGAGATTATTAGTTGGATGTGGAATTTTAGCAGAAAAGAGCATCGAAGAAAGCAGCAAGAAAGCTTGAGTGAGAGAGGGACAGAGGTATGATAGCAAGATAGTGGACCATCGTAGTGGGATGCAGGAAGTGAGTGCAGGTGGACATTATTGGTGTAATTTGGAGAGATGAGCAAAATGGGCAGGGAGAGCTACCCAGAAGTATGGAGGTAGGGTGCTGTTGATAACGCACATCGGTCGCTACACACGAGGAAAATGCCCGCAGGGTCAGCAGTTACTCCACAACTGCCCAGCTGGCCAATGGGAGCAGTGAGGAAGTGCATTGGCACAAAGTGAGCAAGTTTAATAAAGCTTGTAAAAAGAAAAGCCTTTCCAGCAGAAACGGAGTTGTTTCGCTCGTCCAGATCGATATTCTCCCTCAAATCACGAGAGCAGCTTTTGTGCTGAGGCCCAAAACGACGAGAGATGGTGTGTGAGACACGGTTCATCAGCCAAGAGCGCACTGTGCAGCAGGCTGCGCAGCTTTTTGTGGAGTAGCTGGCAGCAAACATGCGGCTGCAGCTTTAGGCCCACACGGCTGCAACTGGGATCAAAACTTCCTTTGCTCCTCTGCGGGTCGCATCACAGACATGATACCAGCAGCACAAACAGCAGTGTGGAGCTGCGCAGGTCCTGTCTCCATTGAGAAATGAGGAGAAGACGCGTTTCGGATAACGCGGGGTAAGAGCCTGGACGAGATCCTGAGCCCACTGTTCCATCGCGCAACGGTTTGAGAGCACCGTGGCAAGACCGTGGAAGGAAGCGGACTGGGTTTGATTGGAGGGGCGGTGTGCGGTGCGCAAGATGCTCGTGGTGCTCGAGCCGCTGGAGAAGAAAGGACGATGGGAACCGCTAGAATCGATAGAAGGCCGGTCTGGTGAACCAGCTGACTGCTTTAACTGATTTAGTGCATGCTGAGTGTCGGTAGGATTGGAGTTGGGCTGTTGTGTCGCTGAATGGTTCTTGATGGTATTGGTTGATGTTGGTTATTATTGAATAATTTGAGATAATGAATAATGTCGAGTGGTAAGCGATTCTCTTGGTGGATATTGAGTAGATTCACAGCAACTATGCTGGATGGTAACTGAATTGCTCTCCTAACTCTTTTCTTTTAATTGAATTTTGCTGCTCAACTCATTGGAAGTTGGTTGTCTTGTGGTAAATTTGCTGCTTATTCAACTTGCTTTTACGATATTCTTTGACTGTACTTTTCAGCTTTGAAATCCTTATAAATATCAAGATATTTGATGTTAAATTTGTTCAACCACATCAGAGTGAAAAAGAGCGAAAGTTGGGCTATTTATAAGCTATTATAACAATCAAAATATAAACATTATCCACATCAAATGGAGACTACTTAGTCACTATTTCCAAATTGGATGATGATGGTGATTCATTTATCTTCAAACTTATTTAAAGTTTTCATGGCTCGAAATCATTTTCTTAACTTATCTTATTCCCTATTATGTTTTAATCATTGATAGACCAATTTGCAGAAACAGAATTGTTTGCTGTTATGTTGTTGTTGCAAACTTAAACATAAATGCTGTTTTTTTTAGCTAACTTTATTGCTTTTTACTTTTAAACAATAACAGAAATTCTCATAATAATAAAATCTCACTTTTGTTTACTGGTTTTGCCAATGCACAATTTTATCCTCTTTATCCCTTTTAATTGAATTTTATTTTTTTTTTTCCATAAATCAGCATTTTATGCTTTCAATTAATTTCACAATACAAAAACTCGCGGTTGTTTATTTGGGGGTTAACTCTCAAATTCATAACAAAAACAGCAACACAATTATCAAACAAAACCACATCTGGAAATAAAAAATTACTTTAACCAAACACCTCCTTCAATCTTGAGAATAAATCAGGAAATTTCCTATTTCCTATTTAGCAATATTTAATTGGGGTTTTCTTCTCCATTATTATTGTTATTATTTTATTTACTCAAAGTTAGAACCAGCGCTGCATATCCTTAGACCCTTGCTCTGATTCAAATAATCTTACAGAATTATTATCACGTTAATCACTATTATTCATAACACTAATGAAAATTCTTCTATTTTGAAACCTAAATTGATAGACATCAAAATAATATAACCAAAAAAAACAAAAAAATACTAAATCATTAAAATGACAAGCAATTTACAGTTTCTCTACAAATAATTTTTTGGTTTGGTGGTTTGTTTTTATTATTATCGTATTTCGATCATTTATATTTCTATAAATGTTATAACAATTATTAGCTTATATATTATCTTAATTTTAAAGTTTTTGCTAAAAACATCCATTAAGTCAGTACTAGCTTATCTTATCTTATTATATTATAATTTACTTATTTTTTTTATCCAGTTTTGATTCAAAATCTTACGGTATTATCATATACATCTATGTCACCTCAAAATAAAAATAAGAGAATTGAAATATGGTAAAAGTATCATATGCATGTAACTGCATGAGTTATGCATTATTTTGAAATCAGACATCTTCTGTCAAAAAAAATGAAAAAAAGTTTATCATTTTGGCTGATCTATTTTGAAACTGTCACTTTTTTTTCATTTCTTTTTCTAGTGGAGATTGTTCGAGTTATATTCACTTAGTAACATAAAAAAAAAATATCAAGAGTTGCAAGTCAAGTATTTCTTACAAGGATTTTTAAAAAGTAATTTGTAAATATCTATTATTTAAACTATAATTATAAAATTCATCAACAAAAAAAAAATGAGATCATTCTCTCTTTTCCTATTCCCTTTTATAATTTTGACAAAAGAAAGAAAGAATCAAAAAAGGATCAATTGAGCAAAAAAATTAAAAAAAGCAAAATCATTAATATCGACATAAAAGATAACTTTATTTTCTGGTAGCTTGAACAGATGAAATGATTTGAGTAACGGCTTCTGGGTTAGATAAAGTACTTATATCACCTAATTGGTCTTCTTCATGTGCTAATACTTTTCTTAAGATTCTTCTCATGATCTTACCAGATCTGGTTTTTGGCAAGTCATCAACAATCAAGACTAATTTTGGAGCAGCAAATGGACCAATTTCTTTTCTAACAGTTTGAGTTAATTCTTTCTTGGCAAGACTAATCTGGTCTTCGGATAAATCTTTTCTCTTCAATGAAACAAAAGCAGCAACAGCTTGACCGGTTAATTCATCAGCAAAACCAACAACAGCGTTTTCAGCGACGTTTGGATTTTCCAAGATGGCAGCTTCAATTTCAGCAGTAGAAAGACGGTGACCTGAAACGTTAACAACATCATCAACTCTACCGAGAACCCAGTAAAAGCCATCAGAGTCTCTAGCACCACCATCACCAGTGAAGAAGTAACCTGGATATGGGTTAAAGTAAGTGTCCAAATATCTGGAGTAATCTTTCCAGATGGATCTGGTCATTGATGGCCATGAAGCCTTGATACACAAGACACCTTCAACGTTATTGCCTTTTAATTCTTGGCCAGAAACTGGATCAACAATAGCTGGGTTGATACCAAAGAATGGCAAGGAGGCAGAACCTGGTTTCATTGGAGTAATACCAGCTAATGGGGCAATTAAATGAGAACCATTTTCGGTTTGCCAGTATGTATCTTGGATGGTACATCTACCTCTGCCAATTTTTTCGTAATACCATTCCCAAACTTCAGCAGCAATTGGTTCACCGACGGAACCCAAGACTCTTAATGATGATAGGTCGTATTTTTCAATAAAGTGGTCGCCAGCTCTTTTCAATAGACGCAAAGCAGTTGGAGCAACGTAAAATTGGGTGACTTTATATTTATCAACAATTTCCCAGTATCTTGAAAAGTTTGGATAAGCAGGAGTACCTTCAAAGACAACAGTGGTGGCACCAACTGCTAATGGACCATAAACAACATAGGTGTGACCAGTAATCCAACCAATGTCACCAGCAGTGAAAAAAACATCTTGTTGATTGACATCAAAGGTGTATTTTGTGGTTAATAGAGCATTTAATAAATAGCCGGCGGTTGTGTGTTGAATACCCTTTGGTTTACCAGTTGAACCAGAGGTATATAATAAGAATAAGGTATCTTCAGAGTTAACAGGAACAGGAGGGGTGTAGGTCTTGTATTTTGGTAATTCTTCATGGTACCAGACATCTCTGCCTTCAATAAATGGAACACTTTTGTTACCAGTTCTCTTAACGACAATGACATTTCTGACATTTGGACATTCTTTTAAGGCTTCGTCAACAATTTTTTTTGTTTCAATGGATTTACCACCTCTTTTGGACTCATCAGTGGTGATAACGACTCTTGAATCAGCATCGTTAATACGGTCTCTTAAAGAACCAGAGGAGAAACCAGCAAAGACAACAGAGTGAACAGCACCGATTCTAACAATGGCCAAGATGGTGGCAATAGCTTCTGGAATCATTGGCAAGTAGACGGCAACGGTGTCACCTTTTTTAACACCCAATTCAGTCAAGACTTGAGCTAATTGAGAGACTTCAGCTAATAATTCACCATAGGTGACAATTCTTCCTTCACCAGGTTCATCTGCTTCATAAACAATAGCTGGTTTGTCTGGATTTTTGAAAGCATGACGATCAACACAGTTGTAGGAGGCGTTGATTTCACCATTGAGGAACCAGGAGGTATTGAAGCCGGTCAATGGATATTTGGTGACGTCGAAATCTTTGATCCAGTCCAATTCCTTTCTGGCAATACGACCATAAAATTCTGTTGGGTTTTCAATTGACTCATTGTATAATGTTTTGTATTCTTCAAAGTTTTTCAAGATTGGAGAAGATGGATGATTTTTTTGGTATTCAGAGGTTGGCTCAATTTGATTGACATGCATCAAGTGTTCATTCTCTAATTGAGGCATTGTGGAGGAAGAGTAATCGACAATAGAAGAGAGGTTGCAAGAATCGAGATTAGGTGAAGAGGTTGAGGAAGAAGAAGAGAATATTGGTAGAAAGACAGTTCTTGAGTATGAGAGCTATCAAAGAAATATGAGATGATGATGGGAAAAGAAAACGAGAAGGAAAAGCATGGGATCCAAAGTCTTTTTATATCGCAAGAGGAGCTCGGGCCCAGATCCAGCTGAAGGCCTGGGTCTTGTCGCCCAACACCAGTGGAAGAAGCTGGGTGGGGAGGCGCGCTGCCGGTGCTTCTGCGCCCGCTGCTTGTGCTGGAAAGGGTTGGGAAAAGGGAACGCGACATCCTCCTCTTTGTGCTCTCGCTTCTCGTTTCGTGGTCTCTGTGCCATGGTGGGGCTTCCCCTTTCGTTTCGCTCCTTGCAAACCTCCCTGAATTGGCTCGCCCTTTGCTTTCTGTGCTGCTTTTGCTGGGCTTCGTGCTTTGTTTTTGGGAGGCTTCCTGTGCTCCCCTCACTCGCCAGCGCTCTTGTCCATGCAGCGCAGACTCGATCTGTCAAAGCTTAATAGACCCTGTCCGTCTATTGTCCCTCGTCGCCAGGGTCTGTATGTATTTCGCTGGAGCTCGTCCAGTGGAGAGCCCTGACGGAGCAACCCCCAGAGACCCCCAAAGCTTATTTCTACGTGCTCTACTCCACAAATTCATGCTCAGACTATTCGGGGCTGCTTATTGGCTGGCAGCTGTCGATGTAAGGGCTCGCAAACTTAGCTGACGAGCCGATGTTGATTTCACACGTTGCCTCCAATCTAACGTTTCCCTAATTGTTTGCCACTTTTCAGATCGCCAGCTGAAAACTGCCATTCTACCTTTGTTAAATCTTGCTGTTTGCCAATCAGCTGTTCTCTTCAAGTAATCATCGTGAATCATCTCTCATCTTGACTACCGTTTTGGGCTTCCCCAGTATCTCCAATGTTTCCTGTTCTTTATCGACATCACCATGCTCATTCTTGTCCATCAATTTACGGTTTTCGGTTTTGCAAATTGGTTCACTTTTATCAATCGCCACTGGACTACACTAGTGATTTAAACAATTTTATTTGATCTAATATGATATATATTCCAACCGGATTCTCTCCAATCGAATAATCACCATTTATCCATCTTTCAATGGCATTTCTTGTAAAACTGTGAACATAGCAAAACCACTCATTCAAATGAAGGAGCATCTCCAAAATTAAAAGTCACAAATTGCAATTGTTCCGTGCTTTTCAAGTTCCTTATTGCTTTTTTCTTTTTTTTCTCATCTTCTATTGTTGTTTCAACAGAATATTATTACCAATCAGTCCCACCATTATGGCTTATTACCTAATCAATTGAATCACATTTTATGTTCATTTGCATCAAAATCCAGTATCTCAATCCACAAAAGCAAAAGAAAATCACTTGTTATGTATATTATTGATAATATTGACATGTCTGAAATTTGTAAAGTTGCATTTCATCATTCCATTCAGTGAGCTTTCCTAATTGATTACAAATAAAACCATCCCACTGGTTTGCAAATCGGTGACTCTCTATTTTGCAAATTTATCTTATTCATTTTCTTATCTCCCTTATCACTAATTCCAATTAATAAATAAATAATTAAATAAGTAAATGAATAAATAAATAAATTAATAAGCAAATAAATTAATAAATCAATAAATTAAATAATTTGCCATTATTTTATGTAAAAATCACGGAATTCCTTGTTTGATAAAGAATATTTTCCAAAATTAGTGCTTCAAACATAATAATATTATTATTATGAATTCAATGGAAAATATCTTGTTTTTCCCTGTCTTATCAAATGAATATATAAACACGTTATTATATAATCAAATTAATCGTTTATATTAGAACTTAACAAAGAAAAAAAACGATGTTTATCATTATCATTATCATTATCATTATCATCTTATCAATATCAACAATAGCGGTTATTTTCTTCTACACATCACATTTGTATACTAAGTTTTACTTGTAATAAAAATTAGTTGGTTAGTCTATTAATTTTTATTTTTCACATATTAGTAGTTTATTTTGTTTAAATCTCACTCATTCAACTCAAGTTTTATTCAAATTTCGCACTTATCACTTAAATAAGTTATTTTAATCCCAGCATTATGTTTCTTCTTTTAGAAAAATCCGCATTTAATTGCCAATAATCCCATTTCAACACTGTTTATTGCTGTTCTTTTTCGCCTATTCACAAAATATTTTTTTGAGGATCGCCTTAATTCCCTCCATATTTTCCCATTGAGTTAAATGAAAAATCTGTCAAAAGCGTTGAATCTAATTTTATTTCACCAAATTTTAAATTCAAACTCAAATCTCAAATGGCGCCAGCAACAGTTTTCATGCTGGTGCAATTTATAATAAACTCACATAAACACATCTTTATCCTCAATTGTTTTCAACAAAAAAAAAAGAGAGAAAAAAAATATATCATGGCTTTATTCTTCCTCATTCGGAAAGTGCTTCCATGCTTCTTGCTCATGTTCACAATATTTGCTCATTACAACACATTCTCAATTGAATTATCAAAGCAAAACAATTAATCAAATTTGTTCATTTAATCTTATTATCGACAAACAAAAACAAATCATATTTCCTCACAAGATAACAAACATATCCATAACTAATATCACTTATACCCATTAAATTCATTAGACAATAAAAATTCAATTGTTTTAGTCTATTTTTCTTAACTCCTTCTCACAAACAAATAAACTCAACACTTATATATGCATGGAAGGGTGTGCTTCTTCTATGTTAACTTCAATCAAGTCACGTTTTTTATGAAATTTTCTTTTACTTCTCTACAAAAACTAAAATCCCGCCAGTGGGGAATTAGAGCAACCATAACCATAACCATATTAACAAAATAAATTATATTGATAAAAATATACCCAATCTTTCTAAAACCATATCATAACAATAATACCAACACTTGAAATAACAAGCTTCATTTTTATCATCTACCAATTAATCAATGCGAGTATTGATTAATTAATCACCTAACTATGAATTCTATGAATGAGCATTTTCAAAATGTGAATATCTGAGTTTTTCATCTCTCATAGTTATGACCAAAGAGGTAACTTGGCCCATATTTCACAACAAACAAAAATAAAAATTGTACTATTGTTATTATCCCTAAAGCTGTGGTTATTATAAAACAGAATTGAAAATAATAATCACAATTTACATCAATGTTTATTTATTACATTAATATCTCGCTTTCAATGGAACTGGCAAGCCGATAAAACGTTTTCAGCAATTTTTCTAAACCTGATCATTCATTCTTTTGTGTAAATATTATCTTCAAACAAACTTTGAGAAATTTATTTTCGCCCGTTCGCCATTCAGCAAAATGGTTCAATTTTTGCACTTGATAATATAATTATTTGAAAAACCTCCTGCTCACAGTTTCGCAAAAACCAGAGGAGCACGAGCAATAATAATCACCCTTATTCTAATTTTATTGACTTGTATCACAAATAACGAATAGTTTCCAGAAACCATTTAAAGGGCTTAATGTTAAAATGAGCCTTGACCACGTTCAGCAAAAGCTTGGACTAACGGATTGTATTGCCTAATTTAGTTGCGCTTACAATTGTAACCGCTGTTACCATGCGTTTGTTTGTAAAAACAGAATATAAACTCTTTTGTCAGAACGAAAAAGCATGAACACGTTGCAAACACAGCGGAAACTCCTTGCCAAAACAGAACATATGCCACGCTCCACGGTTCAGACCATCCAGAGAGCTTTTGTACATGTTTTAACCGAAGGCACCTGCCCACAGATTTTGCCAATAAATCATGTAGATGTGTGCAGCTGTGTACTGCGCTGCAAAACGGTTATTTCTTATTTTTTCGTTTTCTTCAATTTTTTAGCAATCCTGCATTAACGAACACTTTAACGGAAAAAACGATCATTTGCATGACATTAACAATCAAATTGTGGAATTAAAAAAAAAACTCTTAAAGATGGAATCATAATCAAAACAGATATATAAAAAAATTAACCATATTCCTCTGATGGCTTCCTATAACTTCCAAGTAGAAGAATTTGCTCATTTTAGTTGATATATATAACCTTCAAAACCTCCTTTACTGTTTGTTTTTCTTCTTCTATTTTGTTTCTGCTCAACAATAATTTTGTCAATTCACAGCATTCCTTTCTTTTTTTGAATAATTTTTTTTTCGCAGCATTTACTTTAATTCTCCATAATTTAATTTTTCATTCACGCTTCTTGCTTTATGCTAATTTCTCTAATCTACAATGCGTTTTTTGAAATCTCACTCAAACAATTCTTCTGAACATTCGTCTCACTCAAGAATAATTCCAAATTTAAATGACCTTGCCAACTCTATCATCGTCAATAAGAAGCCCTACACATTAACTCTTTCACTCGAAAGTCCACCTTTAATATTTTACGGCTCTCCAAAAAATTCAAGTGGTGCTTTATTATCTGGTTTACTCATTCTCAAGATCCCCAACAAAAACTCTTCCGATTCTATCCCCTCTGATCCAACCACAATCAATTCAGTCCAAATAAAATTACTTCAAATAGTTAACTACTCTAAACCCTTTTTACCACCTTCCTCAGTTATATCTTCTTGTTCCAAATGCAAACACAAAACAACAGAATTGGCAAGATGGGATGTCTTAGTTTCTTCAACTGCTTTCTCTCCAGGTCGTCAAGTTTATCCCTTTTCTCATCTTTTGCCTGGATCTTTACCTGCAAGCAGCGTCCTTGGTTCAACCCATACTGCTACTATAACTTATCAATTAGTTGCTACATCAAAATGTCTATACAAAAATAAAGAAACAACTGTTGACACAACATTACCTCTAAAAATAATGAGATCCTTTTTAAAAGAACAGGATAAACATTCTCTCAGAGTATTTCCTCCAACAAATGTTACTGCAAGTGCTACTTTACCTAACGTAATCTACCCTAAATCCAATTTTTCAATTGAATTAAAACTAGACGGAATGGTAGACAAAGAAAATAAAAAAAGATGGAGAATGAGAAGAATGAATTGGAGAATAGAAGAAAATGTGAAAGTTCGAGCAAATTGTTGTTCAAGTTCTTACCATGATACTAAACTAAAAGTCATACAGCAACACATTAAAGAAACTCAACACACTTTCCCTCCTAAAAAATTATCAACCTTTAACATGATTTTTACCAATTCATCTGTCAGTTCTGTGGATCAATCTCAACAAAATAGAGAATTAGACGATGAGCTTTTTGACAATAATCAAAATAATTCAACTCCAAGCTCAAATGATAATTTATCAGAAAGTAATACCAACCAAAGTGAGAATGAAATATCTGATCATGATCTGGTTTTTTCTAACCACGATAGACCTGCAACTCCTTCTACTCCATTATCCATTACTTCTTCCACTTCTTCTGCTCCTCAAACTAAATCTAAAGAAGAAGAGGCTCTTTTTCTTGAAGAGTTGAGAACTATTGCTTTTGGTAGCGCTAAAAGTGGATGGAAATCAGATTTCACTGGAAATGGCTGCATTGAATTAGTTGCAAATATTGATGTTCAACGTGTTTCAACTGGGTTTTCTAATTATATTCATTCATCTTCCTCAACAAAATTAGTCCCAAGCAACACTTTAACTCAAGGTGCTAATATGTCTTGTGATATATCCGATCCAACTCTTGGTATATATGTCAATCATGTCTTAGTGGTTGAAGTCGTGATAGCAGAAGAATCAGTTCAACCTCGTGCAAAAGACTATATAACAAACCCTCCAGCTCCCCATCAAAAAACAAGCCCAACTCATTCCGCAAATTCCAACTCAAACCCTCCCAATAATAACAGCGAACTGAAAGCTTCTAATGAAATAACTGATTCAACTGAATCTGGGATCCCTACAGGAAGTGCCAGAGTACTTCGAATGCAATTTAACTTAAATGTTGCTGAAAGATCTGGTTTTGGTATCGCTTGGGATGATGAAGTCCCTCCAACTTATGAAGCTGTCAAATCTTTATCACCACCCACTTATGCTGAAGTCACTGATTCTCCTTCTTTATTATGTCTATCTCCATTGCTTCAAGCTCACGTATCGAGCCATTCAACATCAACTAATAGCAACTACAACTTGTTTAATCTTTCAAATCCATCTAATGAAAGATCGGCAGTCTTTTACGGATTTGGTCAAACTCCTGCTATGATTCCAATGAGAAGTTCCAATGGCTCAAGCTCAGAAAGCTTTTTTGGAGTAATTGATTCTAACATGATTGATGATTTACAAATTTAATCATACTAAATTCAAAATTTGATGCTTTTTATTATATTAATCTTTTTATCGTTTTAATTGGTGTATTTTTCTATTTTTGGTAACCCTCTATGGTTTTATTATAAGTTCAATTTTAAGAAAGCTCTTTAATCTTTTTTTTATGCTATTTTATTCACATTTTAAGATTCTCACGAAACTCATGAAACTTTATTTCAAAATTGGTTTTAATATTTAAGACCAGAAATCATTGTCTACCCTGTATTAGTATTTTCATAGTTTATAATGTTCTATAGTTCAAAACACGCAAATAAAATTCAAAGTCTTCATAAATTTTATTTTCGTACTCTTTATCTTATCTACTTCCAACTGTAGCTTTTATCAAAGGCAATTGTTAGCTTTTGTTATTCATTCTGTGGTTTTTTCAGTGATAAAAACCTACCGTATTCTGTCGCCAGTCCAATGGATTGTTCTCGATTCGGAATGACGAAAATTGGTTACAAAAATCCATCTTCCAAGAATAATCACAAAAGTAATATATTGCAAGAAAATAGAGACAACAAATTATAACCAAAGATGTTTGTTGAGTAAATTCCCTGGGGTTCTCTTTTTTTGAATTTTTATAAATTTGGAATTAATCAGGTTAATTGAATTGATACCTTATCTTTACAAAAGGTGTGATAAGTTTTCAATTGAGATATAATGGAGTTCATTATCAAGTCAATAATATTGATTTTAATTTCTGATATAATACAAACTTTAAACTGTCTTCCTGAAAATTCTGACATCTTTATTCCAACTTCTAGTGTCAAAAGTTTGGCAACATCAACTTCGGCTTTAAATAAATTAAACAATAGTAACAATATCTTAAACTTTACTGGTAAACCTGACTATGAAAACTATGTCAATGACAATGAATATGAAGTAAACAATGATCGTGATGATGATATTCCATTAGAACAATGGAATGAGGACTCAAATGAAAACATTTTCAACAATGCTCTTGATACTCGTACAAAAATCGCTTTCAGTTTTTTAGGACTTTTTTTAGCGAATGGAGCTTTTGCTGCTAGTATTCCACCAGTTCTTTTGTTTTGTGTTACTGATCCCACTTTGGTTATATGTGGTGGAACATTGCTTGTTTTTGGAATTACTGCAACAGTTGCTATTCTTTATGATCTTGCTTTTGCTTATGAAATTCGTGATACACCAGAGATTTTTAATATAACTGATTATAATAGTGAGGACAGCAATTACTTTACTAGCGTTGAGTTTTCTACCAAATTAATCGAAAATTATGCAAAAAATCTATTACCAGATCAGTATGTCAACATTGGAAATGTTCAATTTTATAATTCCAAAAATTTATTGATTGCCAAAGATATCGATTATGGGTCTCAAGAAGTTTCATATATAAGTTTTGATTTTAATATTTTTTATAAAATTAAAAAGATCAGAGATTTTACGAAAAGAGTCAAAGGATTTTTCAAAATGTCAATGGCTTTGTATCTACCTGATAAGAATGGAAAAATTGGAGCTGTAGTTTTGTTTAAAAAAAATGTTGACAGAAATATTAAAGTGTTTGATAAGACATTGAATATTATTGTTGGCAATAATGAAGGACTAAAATTTGAGATTGTAGCTGACTACAGAAAAATAAAAGAGTTAAATATAACACAAATTTTACAAAATTATTTCAAGAATCTTATAAAAAATCGTGGAAAGACAATAAATGTGAAACATGAGCTATATGGGTTTTCTCTTAACATTATGGGAGTCAATCGAGATCAATTTGGTTTTAGTAATAATTTAGTATCTTATTAAAGGCTGATTTTTAGTATTATAGATACACCAAAACCAAAGTGAAAAGAAAGTGCAGTATTTCATTTTATAAATAAGCTTTGCTTTCAACCATACTAAAATAAATATATAAATGGCAAACTGAAATCAAAGATTACTATTTTTTACAAAAAGTTTTCGGTAATTACAATGAATAAAATTTTTTATTTAAGTTATCTATATTTATTATTATCGAGATCTCTATCACTATTATTGTTATTACTGTAATAGAATAAAATGACAATAAAGTTAGTGTTTGTGCTATCAAGTATTATTGTGTTTAATAGAAAGGTTTTTATTATATTAAAGATATAGAATATAAAATATTTTTGCTAAAATTTACTAAAATAAAAACTCTAAGAAATCATTTCTTCAAAAAAAAAGTGAAAAGTAATAAATGCATGTCAATGTAATTTAATGCACACACACAGATAGAATACATAAATGATTATTCAATTTGATATTATTTTTGATTGTGTTTCATTTAATTTTCTGGTTTTTCTTCATATATCTGGTATTAGAAAACATAATAGTCACAGTGTTTTGAGTTATTTTTTACATCCACTCACACATATTATATCAGATAGTTGAAGTTTGTTATTTGATAGATTTAAATTTTTTAGAATTCTGTTAAAAGATAAATCTAGATTGCTTAAATTTATCAAAGTTGACAAGTTTTTAATTTCGGATGGATTTTATTTAGAAAGTTTCAAGTCAATAGGTATTTTATCTATTGGTATATCTTTACTTGTTTGAACGTAATAAGGAGAGATCTTTAAAACTTTTAAATTGACAAAATTTGATAGGTTTTTTGACTATTTTAATTCTATTATGATTTAAATCTAAATGGTTTATGCTATTGAGAAAACAACTTTTCTCAAGCAATATCTTTTTCATAGATACGACGTTTGTAAGATTTGGAAAGGATGAAAGTTCATAGTATAAAGATAATTCAAAACAAGTTAATGAGTTTGCATTGTTTAGAAGTAAATATGTGAAAAGTTTTGCACATTTAGTGTCCCAGTTTTTTTCCTCATCATCGGCATCATTAAAACATAATGTCTTTAAATCTGTTTTCAAAAGTAAAGCATTTTTTAAATTAGTATATTGCGATCTTATTCGCCATGAACAAAAATGTTTATATGCTTTGTATCCATCAGTGCGGATGTATGTATCCGTATGCAAAATTACACAATTTTTCAAACATAATACTAAACAGGAAACTCGGTGCTACAACGCAAACGCATGTTTAAACGCGCTGGAGTATGCTTATACACATATAATTGCGCAACAAAAGAAACGCATTTGCGCCATTGGAGCAAGTGCGTCGGAAAACGGCACGCATTCTTTTTTTTGGTTCAGGGAGTGAAACGCTGTTTTTTTGCCATGAGTGCAATTTTTCTGTTTTACCTTTGTTATTTTCTATTATATGCTTTAACCCATACTCCAATATATTGGTTTTTCATCTTCTGACTGGAGCTTGAGTTTGAATTGCATTGTGTTGATTTGTATTTCACTGTCTATATCCTTGTTTTTCTTTTTGTTCTACTTGTTCTTTTGTTTTTGCTGTTCTTGTCAATTTTGCTGCTTTAATTTTTGGTTTTTTTCCCACTTTAAGACCTCAATCTTATGTCTGAATTAACTTCTTTAACTCTACCAGTATGGACAAAATTTCCAGTGACTATTACTAAAATTGCAGTTACCAACAACCAGCAGATCAACAAACAAGATCAGTTCTTGACTTTCAATTATGACTCTCTTGAAGAAGTTCCTGACAGTGAGTTGGACATGGAAACTTTAAATAAGCTTCAAAATAGTAATCTTAGTAATGAATCATTAAACAATAGTAACTCAATAGATGATAATTTAAATCAGATCTTTGAAAGGCCTAAAAAGATTTACAAATTACCTGCTGTTTTCTATTCCCCTTTTACCGGAATCATAAAAGAGATCAATGTCAAAATCAATGATGTAATTGATAACCCAGCTTTTGTTATAGCAAAAATTAGAGAGCCATGCTCTCATTCAATTCAATTTGCTGGATTATGCGCTTCCTGTGGAGCCATAATTGATGATAATGATAACTACCATAAAAATTCTATAACAATATCAGCATTAGAAAATAATCTTAAAGTGTCTTTAAAAGAAGCTGAAAAATCCGAAAAGAAAAAATTATTAAATCTAATCAGTTTGAAAAAATTGATCTTAGTAGTAGATTTGGATCAAACTATAATCCATACAACTGTTGATCCGACTGTATATAAATGGCAAAATGACCCATCAAATCCAAATTACAATGTTTTAAAAGATGTCAAATCTTTTACTTTGAATGAAGATTTACCCTTTTTAATTTCGAGAAAAAACAATATGAACAAGTCAAATAAATGTTGGTATTATGTCAAGTTGAGACCTAATCTAAAAAGATTTTTAGATAAAATTTCAACGTATTATGAATTACATATTTACACAATGGCAACAAGATCCTATGCAAAGGAAATCGCCAAAATAATTGACCCGGATGGAATTTATTTTGGCGATAGAATATTAAGTAGAGATGAAAGTGGTTCATTATCTCAAAAATCATTAACTAAACTATTTCCGGTTGATACTTCTATGGTTGTAATAATCGATGATAGAGGTGATGTTTGGGATTGGTGTCCTAATTTAATTAAAGTGATTCCATACGATTTCTTTATCGGTATCGGTGATATTAATTCAACTTATTTACCGAGACAAAATCTCTTATTATCTCCTTCAAAAAGATTTAAAGAAATTGAACAAATCGAAGAAAAAATTATGGAAAATACTCAATTAAAAATAAGTAAACTAATAAATGATAAGCCACTAATTGATAATAATGAAAATAATAGTAAGAACACTACCCTTAATAACAATGAGATCAATAGTCATGATAATGGAAACAATAATAACATTAATAATATTATTGATAATATCAATTTTTATAATTCCAATGAAAATTTCAATATTGATAAAGATATAATATCAGATCTTGAAGTACTGAAAAATAAAGAAATTGAATTAGAAAGATCTCTTTCACTTGAAGTACAGCAGAATGAAAGACCTTTGGAAAGATTACAAGAAGATTTACAAAATTTAACAAATTCTCAAAATATAGAAAACAATGACCAACAAAATCCTATAGAAAAGGAAATTCAGGAAAAAGAAATAAATGGAATAAAAGAGGTAAAAAAAGCTGAAGAAATAAAGGAAAAAAAAGATGATTTGGATGATAAAAATAATCAAACAAATGAGAAAGGAAATGTTGATAACAACGGAAAAAATGAAAATGGTGAAATAAATAATGCAATTTCTCCTATTACCATAGATAATAATAATAATAGTAACAGTGATAATGATGATTCAAATACAACCACAAATACAACCACAAATACTAGTGATTATATTGATAATAATAAAAGTCCCAAAACAAGAAGATTACTATATGATGACGATACCGAATTAGAATCCTTGGAAAAAATTTTAATTAAAATTTATAATACTTATTATGATGAATTGAAGATTTTACAACCAAATGCATTCAATGGTGATAATAATAATAACAATAGCAAAAACAACAAAAATAATAATATCAATAATAAAAGAAATAATAAAATCAGAAATAGAAAAGGCAATCATAATAAAATTAACTTGAATTTAATACCAGATATTGAAAATATAATACCAACAATGAGAAATGAAGTATTCAAAGGTTGTTATTTCTTATTCTCTGGGATTTTTCCAACCCATTCTGATATTAGAGATTTAGATACAAATAATTGGATTACGTCATTTGGAGGTGAAGTATGTAGAAGTTTGACAAGTAAAGTTACGCATTTAATTTGTCGAAACCCAACCACATTAAAGGCTAGAATGGCCAGACACTTTTATAAAGATAAAGTCAAGATAGTTCATCCAGATTGGCTATTCAAGTGTGTTAAAAACTGGGAAAGATGTGATGAAAAGGAATTTGAGTTTTTAGCCAATGATGAAAATGAAATTAAAGTCACTGAAAAAGAAATTAAAGAGTTTAAAAAGATGCAAAAAGAGGAAATGGATAATTATGAATTTATGAATTTACTTTATAATGGTAATAAAGATGGTATCAGCAACATCAATCGTACAAATAACGATAAAAATGGTGATAGTCTCAAAGTGAGTAATAATTACGACAATATAAGTATCAATGGCAATAAAGAGATAAATAAAGATGAAAATGAAAATGAAAATGAAAATGAAAATAGAAATGGAAATGGCAATAATAACAATAACGAGACTTCATACCCAGTGAAGCAGGCTGATCGAGATCTGGTGTTAGATAGCATATCTGAATCGTGGAACGGAGACATTGATAAAGAAATCGAAGACTTTATCAACGACAGTTCTTCTGATGAAGATGATGAAGATGGCGAAGACGAAGAAGAGGCTGAACTTGAGAATAAAAAAGGAGCCAGGTCATTGGTGATACTAAATGGCAACAACAAACGAGAAGCAAACGATGATTTGCAACTGGTTGGTAGCAAAAAAAACAAAACCAACTATGACGAGGAGGAAAGCAATGCCGATGATCTTTTTGCAGAGTTTGAAAAAGAACTAGATGGACTCATAGACGAGGATATGAGATCTTGATGGTGGTTTCTGAATTCTTTTGTATTTTGTAGTAATTTGTAGTAGTTTGTAAGTTCTGTATTTTATAGTTTCTAAATAAAAAGCAGCTGCTTTTTGTTCCTCGAAATATGCCCTTTTGATGGGTGCAGGATGTTGCACGAATTTTTTGAAGGCAGTCTTGAGAGATTGAATATAAAAGTTGCTTAGCGAAAGACTACAAAAAGATTGTAAGAGACAACAAAAAACTGTGAGAGACAATGAGCAGAAATTACTATGGAGGACAATTAGAGACAGATCTACGGGAATTTGCTGAGTATGACTTCAAGCATTCAGCTCAACGATTGGATGTGCCCTCAAAATACTTACTTTCCAAGGCCATAAAAAAGAAAAATGGATATGATCAATTGAAGAGGACCATGGTCTCACGAACCATTTATGTTCAAGTGCTCGACTTCTCTATCACAGAGGAGCAGATTTACCAAATGTTTTCAAAAGTTGGAGAGGTTGAAAAAGTTATAGCAGGGTTGAATAGTCAAAGTCAGGAACCCTGTGGATTTTGGTTTATTATTTTTGAGAATCAAGAGGGCGTATTTCAAGCGATCAAGTACTTGAACCAAACCAAACTTATGAATCATTTTCTTCAAATTGATTTAGATCTGGGGTTTAAAAGTGGTAGAGAATTTGGTAGAGGGGTTAAAGGAGGATTGAAAGAACTAGATGAAGCAAAGATAGCTGCTGAACAAGAAGCAGATATGTATATTGAAGCAGATAAAACTGGGACACTTCCAGCAAATAATTCAATTTTGGAACCAAAAAATATTATAGATCCAGGAGAAAATATGATGGCTATGGATATAAATAGCGGCGGATATGAGAATAGTGGTGGATATCATGGTAAAAAACAGGGATACGTGAGAAGAGGATATAAGAGATATAAAGGTGGAAATAGTTACAATAATGACTATAACAGTGGCTATAATAACAGTGGCTATAATAACAGCGGTTATAACGGTGGATATGGTAATAATACCAACGATAATGGTTACAATGGCGGATATAATGGTAATAGTTATGGTGATGGCTACAATAGGTATAATGGTGGTTACAATGATGGTTATAATGCTGGATATAATGAATTTGGTGGCGATTTTACTGGAAATAACATTGACGATGTCAATAACAATAGTAACAGCGGATATAATACTTACAATGGTGGATATAATAATGGATTTATGAATAATGAGTTTAATAGCGGGTATAATAATTCTAACAGTTTCAATAGTCTTAATAATCCTATTAATGAGTATAATAACAATAGTAATAATAGTAATGCTGAATATAACGGAGGGTATGATAATGATCTTCCTGATGATGGTGGATATAATAACTCTAGATATAATAATTCTGGATATAATGAAGATTATAATGGTGGATATAACAATGGCAACAATATGAATATGGGTAATGAGAATAACAATAATTGAATTAGATAAGTTGATTCAAAAAATATATACAAAATAAATATATAAATATATGTGATTAAAAAATGGTTAAAAGATGGTTAAAAGATGGTTAAAAGTTGATTAAAAGTTGATTAATTTTTTTTACCCAGTGGATTTATAAGATTTTTTTCTATAAAATATTGAGTATAAACAGCACCTTTTGATAACAATAAAGCACCAATTAAGGCCTTGAGAACTTCAGCATAGATTGTGTCGTTATCTTTATTTATTGCCCTTTTAGAAGTTGGTTTCCAGAACAAAATTTTGGAAAATTGTTTTGATCTTGAAATTTTTGCCAAATTCGAAACTGATAAGAAATTGATCTTGTCTTTACGAAATAAATCAGCAAAATTAAACTCATTTATTAAGAAATTATAGTTTTTATAATTGTGGAAACTTTTAAATTTCGAATTGGTAAAATATTCTTGATCAATTGGTTTTTGTAGACTTTGGTGTATTGTGTTAATAAAATATGTTTTTTTTAAGAACTTGAAACCTATAACAGATAATTTTTCACTGTAAGGAAAATGGCCATGAGAGAAGGATTTATGGGTTAAAATCTGGAGTAAAAGCTTGTCAGAAATCTGGTTTTTGTCGATTAAATCGGGGTCAATCGAATGAAAATAGGACTTTATAGGCTTCAAGGATTCTTGAATTTCTTCGGGAGACCCAGAATATTCATGAGATTCAGAAGCTTCAGAAGCTTCAGGAACTTTAGAAACTTCCTTTATTGGCGAGTATTTGATGCCACTGGGGGAAATTAGATAATCATTGGGATCTCTAAGGGCACCGGGCTGTCTTTTGCCAGAATGAAGCACGATATTACGAGCAAAAGTGGAACGCCACAAGAAGTAAGAAGGGGAAGCTAGAGCCTTTATGCAATACATTTTCTGAAGATGAACCAAGAGCCAAAATTCGTATCCAACCACAGACCAACTTCCAACTCTCCAACGATTCGATCAACTGAAAAAAAACGAACAAAAATAAAAATCGCTGAAAAGAGAAGCCGTTACCCTGTCTAAAGTTCAATGTGTTGTGACCTTCGACAACCGATTTCCGGCCGTTTGTTACGAGTTAATACGCTTTCAAGCATTCGTTCTAGTCGTTCAAATCCGGATGCAACATTCGATTCAATTAACTCAACTCTCTGTTTTAATTCATTGATTTTGGAAGCCATTGATGGAGTATCAAGTTCTCTTTTGTTATCACTATCAGTGTTCTTGACTTGGATGTTGTCAGGTTGAAAGTCGTCGAAGAAAGGATAGAGATTTCTTCTAGTGCTCATGACTTAGTAGACTTCTCTCTCCTTTTCCTCTTGGTTTATTTTATTTCTATCTAGCTATTTAGTGATCATATTTATATTGTTTGGATTGCAATCTTTATCAAGGTATTTGTGAATTAAATGTTTTTTGCAGAAACACAATTTTCGTTTCATAAGTGGTTAAGTCTTGTGTATTTCGTTTAGGGCAACGGACCATAATTGCTTCACGAACGTCCGAGTTCGGATTGTGTTTTCCGGCCGCACCTCGTTCAACACAATGCTTATATAACGTTGCGTGCCAAATATGCTTACACAATCACAAGTGACACAGCGCTGATATAAACACACATGCGCTGAGTAAGCGGAACAGCGCTTGGTTCTAATGCCGAGCGCGTGACCGTTGATTTTTGGGGCACGCTGATTGGCCGGTTGCAGCGCCATCGCGCCGGCTTTTTCCGAGTGCTGATTGGCCAGCAAGAAAAAAGCTTTTTGGCCATTCGCTGCTTTAGGTTTTGGTCTTTTCAGGGCTTTGGCGACGATTTGAGAACGAAAGTAGTTGATTATATTTGAATATATTTAGTCACAATTCTCTGATTATATTTGACTGTGTTTGGTTGGTTCTCGTTGCATTTCATGAGCTGGTCTGTGTTTTCTTCATTTCTTTCTTTCTTTCTTTGTTAATCGTACTTAATCCTTCTAGATCTCTGTCTGTTTGCATTTACTTCTTATTACCGCTGCATCTTCATTCTATCTGTTTTCATCCTCAATCTTAATCCCACAATTACTGGTTTTCTTTCCATATTTCTACATTTCGATACTTTGATACTTTCAAAATGGTCTTTAAACCCTTTGCCAACTTTTCACGAAATTCTTCTACGTTGAGAAACTCCTCATCAACTATAAAGAAAACCCCATCTTTTTTTGACTCAACTTTCCACTTGAAAAATTATAACCAATTAACGAATAATGATTTATTCACCTCCAATAACATCAAAATCAATAACATAAAGGTCAACTCGACCACCAATAATAACAATAAGAACAACTACAACTACAACTCAAACTATCCCAAGCACTCAACCAATTTCTACAACTACTACTCGATATCCCTAGATCACATATCGAGATTGTCCTTGTTCAACCAAGTCAACAACAATCTATTAAATAACAACAACTCCAATAATAACCAGATTGATGAACTACAATCCTCAAACAGATCCATAATTGATAACGAATTACTAAAGATAAAACTCAATAATTCCAATAATAATAATCTCTCTAAATATAACTCCTCTTTGATTCATAATAATTTCATTGACAATAATTTATTGTTAAATGACAAATTGAATCTTCTACCTATATTGAATAATATAAATCACATCAGCAGCCAACTTGAAAATGAAAATGACATCAATAACAACACCCAAATGATTGTTGATAACAGTTTTTCTAATAATTCTCAACTCGATAACTCTCCAACTATATCTGAATCTTTGTTTCAAGATAAAGAGCCCAATTTACAACAAACTGCTCAACAACAGAATACAATTAATCATACTTACAATCAAAACAATCTCAACACTAATAACAATAACAGCAAAAATAACCGCAACAACCATAACTTGATAAATAAAAATATTCTCAATCTCAACTATTTGAATATTCAAAAAACCAATAATAATCTATTTCTTAATAAAAATAACTCTAACTCTGCAAGCTATAACAACAGCCCCCAAAATAACAATAACCCCCTTAATAACGCCGCTTTTTTATTGGACGATTTCCAATTGCTAAGCATACCAAAGGAAATAAAATTTTCAAACTCATTAGATAAATCCTTTCATTCCTCTTTAATTAATGAAATTAACACCTCAATTCAAAATTCAAATTACTTGAAAATTTACCCTATATATCAAGTCATAAAGAGAAATAACTTGCCCATATCTTTAGATCTTTACAATCTAGTTCTACAATCTTTAATTAAAAGAAATTTGACATCCGAAACAATTGAAGAAAAATTAACTAATTTATTAAACGTTTACACAGATTTAATATCTTCAATTAATAACTTTGATTTAAAACCAAATTCTAAAACTTACGAATTGGTCTTAAATGGTCTATTATCCGGCTCTTTAAACTCCTTTAAATCTTCTTTAGACATAATCAACAACAACTCTATAAACATTAAAAATAATAACAATATAATAGACAATGGTAATGACTACTTTAAATTGGCTATTGATATCTTCATAGCTTCAAATTTAAAACATTTCCATTATTTTAATCAACTAGTTTATGACAATTTGCTAATTGGTATTAATTTATTCAATTACAAATTTTCATCAATTGACCAATTTATAAGCTTTTTAAATATTCTAAATAATGCCAACTTAAACTCAAATTTCGTTAAATCAGAAATTTATTATTTGTCATTAATTAAATATTTATCAACTTTAAATAACCTATCACAAAATGATTTAATTCGTTTAAATAATATTCTTCAAAATATTGATGTTGACAATAATAATAATAATGATAATAATAATCCTCTCAACAATAATATTGATAACAATATTCCTTATAACATTCAATTTATCTTAAATCTTTACAATGATTTCAAGAAAAATTCAGTTAATAATCTCTCTTTATTAAACCATCAATTTGAAATATATTCTATTTTATTAAATTCTTTAATAATTTCAAACCAATTGAATTTATCAACTAAAATTCTTGATTCCATTTTATTATCAATAAAACAGAAAACTTTATTGAATTTAAACTATACAACAAATTTAAACCAAAATTCAAACACAACCTTTAATATTGATGAAAAAAACTTTAAAAATTTAAACAATGTCATCAACTCCTATATCATCTCTTTAATTAACTTGAATTTTGAAAAGGGTTACCAAATTTTTGCTAAATTTTTAAAATTTAATTTAATTAATATTGATATTAATGATCCAAATAATTATAATAATCATAATGATATCTTTTTAACTTTTTTATCTAATCTTAATAATAAAACTTCTAATTTAGATGTCATTGACAACATTTTTTTAAACTACATTAATAATAATAATAATTTATTATCAAATTTTAAATTTTTTGATGATACTAATACTAATACTAATACTAATACAATTTCAAACTCTTCAATGAGTAATATTTCTAATTTATCTAATTTCTTATTGCATAACGACAACGAAGGAAAAATCCAATTATTGATGTCTTCCATTTTTAATAATATAACTTTTAAAAATAACAATTCAGTGAACAATAATTTGTCTAATATTATATCAAATTATTTGCTCTCAATTTTAGAAAGAAATAAAAATGTGATTGTTAATGAATTTTTAACTTTTGATTATGATTTAGAAAATGAGTACTTATTTTTATCTCACAATTCTGAATTATTGATTAAAAACTTGAACTTGAATTCGTTTATTAAATTAATCGAATACATGTTGAAGAACCCATTAGTTTATGATTTTAATCAAATTTTAATTGTTTTGAATCATTATACTAAGTTCAATGCTAAATCCTCATCAAATGGCATAATAATCAATGAATCGAATAATAATGTTAATAATATTGATCCCAATGATATCCTATTGAATTTGGTTTCAAATAAATTATTTTTAAACCAATTAAAACTTGGAAATAAATACAATTTCCCAAATTTCTTGGATTCATTTTTCTTCAATTCATGCATCTCAAATTTTGATTTGCAGTCGTTTTATTCATTCATTGAAAATTCCAATAATAACAGTATTGAAAATAATAAATACTTTGGAGTATTGAATGTTTTTTATGAATATTGGAATCATTCAACCTTTAGAAACATGTTTGTTAATAAGTTTAATAATCAAGTTGATAATATTAATGCCGTTGCTAATGGCAATGCCAGTGTCAATGCCAATACTAATTTTAATACCAATACTGATTTAGAAACTAATAAACATGAATTATTTCAAACATTTTATTTCCATTCAATTTTGATTTATGAATTGTTTCAAAATTTAGATAATTATTATCTTGAGTATAATATCAATTTAAATTTTAAAGAATCATTGAATATTATTCAAAATTCTAAAGATTGTGATTTATCAAAGAATGAACAAAATTTCATTATACAATTTAATTTTTTAAATAATTTTAAAATCTTATTATTTGATAATTTTAATAAGATGCTCAAGGCTTATAATATTAAAAAGGAAGAATTTTGCAAATTTTTCCAAGATGAAAATGTTGATAAGTTGGATTTTGCTACTGATGTCATAAATACACTATAATCTGTGTTTTTTTTTTGTTTTCTTTGTGTTTTTCTTTACTTTTTTCGATTCTTTTCGTTTTTTTTAGTGTATTTTTAAATTTTTGTAATATTTTTGTAATATTTTTGTAGTTCTAGTTTAATATAGTAATTTTTTATTTTATAATTTTTAATGAAAAAAATAGAGGTAGTTCTAATTATTGTAGTGTTCATTTTATGTTTGAACTATGTGATGTGAGGTTTTTCGTTTGACCCATCATTACTTGAAATATTTATTGGTAAGCTGAGTTACAGAGGGATGTTCCTGAGTTAAGATTGATTTGATAGGTTGTGGGGGGGGGGAGATTGGTATTTGTGGTTAAAAGGCTTTGGGTATAATAACAAGAAGCAATTCTGAACCATATTGTTGAAAACATGAAATATTCAATAATTGAGATAAAGTAAAGTGAGATGCCTATTTATTTTACAATTCTATGGTTCTGCAGTACAATCGAATATTCATCGGAAATTATCGAAAACAATCGAATCGGCCAATGTTTCAAAATATAAAAACCTCACACTCAATAAGTGGGATATATAAGCTGACTAAGATTAGTGACATTATCGGGATTAACTACAAAAAAAAACTTTCCAAACAAAACTTCGTTTAAAGTTAAAATAGGAGACATTGTCAATAATTCAGTTACCCCGGTTTTTATGTTTAAACTGTGGCAGTGGAAAAACTGAATTTGGCAAAGTAGGTTGTTGACGATGCAAGCCACTGTATTTTGGCTTTCGTTTTTTCGCGTTTTCTTGATAATAATTTTTGAATAAATTTATCACCGGGAACACTTTGGATAAAGATTACAAATAAAAAACAATTTAATGAATACTTTTTCTAAATACATCGAGCAGTTACTACAAATTGATGACAAATTGATGACAAATTGATGACAAATTGATGATATGCTGTCTTTTTTTGAACCATAATCCAGTAGATTTAACACAACGGAAAAATCAAAGAAATCTAATGCCTTTTTTGATTCTAAGGATTTTGTACAAGTGGTTGAAAACATGCTAGTTCATATCAAGTATAAAGATACAAGACTCAAATACCTTGCTGATACTGGCAAAAATAAACATAGCGAAGAATAATAAACTTCAGCTGGTTGGCTGGTTCCTCCACCACAACAAGCGAATACACTGCTTTTTTGGTTGCACTTGCAGACCTCAGAGGTCAGCTGTGCGGGCGCACAGAGATCCGAATATGGAAATGTATCAGCACACGCACACACGCATCCAGCGTGTGCACAGACCCCCGTCAAGGGGTTTCAGGCGTGTCCCGTCATTTCCGTTCAGACGCGTCAGACGCTTCCGACGGCTTCGACTAGTGCCGGCAAGGTCCAAACACGTGTTTCACGTGCCGAGCTGACTCGTCCCGTGACCGCCGGCTGGGATGCTCGGGCTGTGCGAAGTGGCCGCAGTTTCCATTCCGCGTGCTTCCGCACTTGTTTTGCGTTTGCTCTGTGAGAGAAAAAAGCTGTCCACCACAAGCAACAAAATCTTCTCGACTGCTCTTCGTCCTGAGCAAATATATAAAATCCTTCTCTGCTTATACCTATTGTGGAGCCTGTGCCAGATCTCTTCTCTTCGTCTTTTCCACATCTCACTACCTCTCCCTCTTCTCCCTCAGGCATCTTCTCTTGCTTGCCATCCATACGACACTGGTTCTTGTTGCTCAATATCTTATCCTATTTTTCCTTTTTTTTCTTGTTCGTTTCTGATCACACTATCAAGACTGAAAAACGCTGATAGACAACCTCTTGGAGCTGATCTTCCATACTTTCTCATATCTATATCCTTATAAATATATATAAATATATTCTCGAAATGCCCATGATGAACCCAGTAAAGTTATTTAACTATTACTTTCTATCAGAAAAACCTCCTGGCTCAACTATCTCTGATTTGAATTTAAATTTTAATCCCAAGACAACCTTTAGCAATCTCAAAAATTACAAATTCAAATTCAATGATTTTCTTCATTTCACTTTTTTATCCATAGTATTAGTCTTCTCTTTTTTTGTCTTGCCTGTCAATTTCTTTTTGAAATTTTGTTTCTTCTTTCTTGTATGCTGTTTATTCTTCTTGCCCCCAATTCTTAACCAGTTTTTCTTACCTGCTTTGCCTGTTTTGACGTGGGTTTTTTTATTCTTTATTTGTGGAAAGATTCCCAACCAATATAGACCTCCAATCAGTGTCAAAATTCTACCTTCAATTGAAACCATTTTTTATGGTGATAACTTGAGCGATGTCCTAGCCTCAAAAACTTACAAAGTCTTAGACTTATTGGCCTGGTTGCCTTATGGTATCTTGCATTTTAGTATTCCATTTGTTATTGCTGCTTTAGTCTTTATCTTTGGTCCTCCAACTGCTGTCAATTCTTTTGCCTTTGCCTTTGGTTATATGAATCTATTTGGCGTTTTAATTCAAATCTTGTTTCCAGCTGCTCCACCATGGTATAAATTGATCAACGGCTTGAATCCTGCAAATTACTCAATGAATGGTAACCCAGGTGGTTTGCAAAGAATCGATCAGATTTTGGGTATTGATATGTACACTTCAACCTTCACCAATGCTCCTGTTCCATTTGGTGCTTTTCCTTCTCTACATTCAGGTTGTGCAACTATGAATGCCCTCTTTTTATCATACATCTTCCCACGTTTTAAACCTCTTTGGTTATCCTATCTCTGCTGGCTTTGGTGGTCCACGATGTACTTGACTCACCATTACTTTGTAGATTTGATGGCAGGCTCGGTTTTATCCTATGTCATTTTTACTTATACAAAATATAAAATGTTACCAACCATTGATAACTCTTGTTTTTGCCGTTGGTCTTACACAGAACTAAACTACATCAATATCTCCCACTCTGATCCTTTATCAATTAATAACTCTATCACCAATAATATCAGCAATAGTTATACAAATAACTCAAATATCCACAACAACAATAACGGCAATAATAATAATAATAATAATAACAATAATAATAATAATAATAATAACTGTGAGGGTGACATCGAAATGGATAATCTCAACTCAAGAATCTCAATGTCGTCTTCCTTAGATCCAAATCTCAATAACATCATATTAAACAGTAATAATATCAACAACAATGCCAACAATATTAACAGCATCAATAACATGGAATTCGAAATGGGTACAAGTAACCTAATCTCAAGACCCTCATCCTCAATTTCTAGAAAATCTCTAAATATCATCACCCATAATTTAGATAACTCAGATAGAGCCTCAAGTATTGATTCTCAATTATCCTCAATTTTTGATCATTCATCTCCAATTTCTTCCTCAACATCAGCTCATACTTCAATGGATCTTCCATTTAATTATCAACCAAATTTCCAATACAATAAAAGATCAGACTAAAATGAATAAGAAATTTATTCAATTTATCTAATAATAATAATAATAATATTATTATTATTATTATTATTATTATTATTATTATTACTCTCAAACTAATTTAGTTTTTTTCACCTTTTTACATTTTTTTTTGTTTTTTTTCCATTCGTCATTTCATAATCTTTTTATCCTTTAATAACTAATTACTAATAATTAATTTAATTGATAAATCAAAAAATAAATTTATATTGTTTTGGTTTTTTCTTCTTTCTATTTTCTCTATTTTCTCTTTTTTCTCGTTTCTTTTTTTTTCCTTTGTTTTTACTTTAAAGTATCAATGGATTTAAAGATTTTTTTGTTGTATCTTATCTTACTATGGATTATCAATCTATTACTTTTAATTTTTTGTCTTTTCGTTTGTTTTTTTTGTTTTTTCCTTCGTTAATTTTCGTTTAAACTTGATCATTTTTTTAATTTTTTTAAAAATTTTTTTCTATTATACAATTTTTTTGGCATTGAAGGCAGTAAAAAAGAAATCAATCACATGAGTTTCAAAGGCAATTATCAAAAATAATAAAAAGATTAATGAAAAGGAAACACTTACAAATAAAAATTTTATTACAATTTAATTTTTTTTTAGTATTAATGGCAAAGTTTAGATTTAGATTTTTTTTTGTTTTTTTTGGTAATTTATAATTTTATTTCAAATTTACTTTATTTTTATTTTTAGTTTTTTTATTCAACAGATAGACCGATTTTCATAATAATATCAACATCTTTTATCTTGTTCTCCTGAAAATTGTTCTTTAAAGATTTTATTTTTCTGTTTTATACTATCGACAAATAAACATTTTTTGACTAACCACCATAATATTCACCCAAAATCACCAAAATCACTAAACGCACCAATGACGTTGCTTCAAGTAATTCTTGTGCACGTGACATCTTTTTATTTTCAAACTCTACCAGAAAAAAATTAATTCGATAATCTGATATGGAACTTGAATTAATAATTTGCAATAAACTTTATTTTGTTTTATTTTCCTCTTTTTTCTTTTTTTTTGCTCAAAGTTCTGTTTTATTTGATTTTCATTTTTAGTATTAATCTGGAAAAATGGGTTGGTTTTGGGCTTCTGATCCGGTTTCTTCTGCATGTTGTCAAACTAATTCGAGCTTAGATGGCTCGTGTTGTGAGATCAAATCTGAACCTGCTCCAACTTGTCCTGTTGGTTTTGGTAAAAATAACTCGCCTAATGCTACGAAAAATAACAACGATTTGATGATTCCAGCTGTTTGCCCAGTTAAAGGTGAAAAAAATACTTTAAACCCTTTAAATAACATGCCTCACTTTATCGATACAAAAAAACTCCCTGGTCAACAGTTAGATTTGCCAATAGAGAGAATTATTTCTTCTATTCCAAGAGGCACCAGTGAAAATGAAGGAAACTGGGAATATCCTTCCCCTCAACAGATGTTTAATGCTATGATTCGAAAAGGAAAAGGTGAAGTACCTGAGGATGCTGTTGAAAGTATGGTTGATGTTCATAATTTTCTTAATGAAGGTGCCTGGCAACAGATTTTAGAATGGGAACAACCTTACATTGAAAGAACAAATACTTCTCCAAGATTGTTAAAATTTACTGGAAGACCATCTGATTTGTCTCCAAAAGCAAGAATGTATTTGCTTTTAGGAAAAATATTTCCAGAAACCTACAACACCGAGCCTCCATTTGATAGACATGACTGGACTGTTTTAAGAAAAAAATCATCATTTTTCGGTGACAGTACTTCATTAGAAAATGGAAATGAAGCTGATAAAAACGATTGGCAGAAAGTAAGGTACGTTATTGATTATTATGGAGGTCCTGATGATGCCCATGGAATGCCAACTTTTTTCCTTGATGTTAGACCTGCTTTAGATAATTTTACAAATGCCAAAGATAGGTTTCAACATTGGGCTGGTCCTTTATGGAGAAAAGCAATGGGTGATATCGAAGATGATAATTAAAACATTAACAAGAAATCGACTCTGAAAACCAAGAATACATTTCCATTGTCCCAATTATGATTTTAAATTTAACTTATTTATTTATTTATTTTAATTTTTTTTTGTGTTTTTTTTGTGTTTTTTTTGTCACAATTTTTTTCTTTCCTTTTCTTTCCTTTTCTTTTCTTTTCTTTTTGATTTGTTTTTTATTATTGTATTTTTCTTTGCACTTAGTCTGGTCTCTTTTACTATTATTTTTATCACTAGTGTTGAGTTATTCTATCTTTCATTATTCTGATATTCACCGTCTATATATATTTTATACCTTTATATACACTCTTAAATAAATCAACGTAATTAACTTTTGTTTGTGAGTAAGATACAGATATATGCAGTTAATTGCATGTTTGTTTTAGATCCAGAACAACGGCGCCGAAACCATAAAATTCAACAAAGCAAGAAAAAGCAAACAAAAAGATGGTTGAGAGTTTTATTTCTTTGTGAATTGCTATATCAAAACATTGGGAATAATTGCTCTGATTACCATAGCGATTTAAGCCAAAGCCAAAGCCGAAACCAGTAACAACTGAATTTTCATTTATAAATGTGTTTTTTTGAAAACTTGATGATTTTTGATTATATTTGTTTTAAATGGGTTTGAGTGTTTTTTTCATTTGACATCAATTTAGCACTTGAAAATGAGTCGCCTTTCTGATTGTTCTATAGATGAAGGCAGAAATCACAAAATTCGAAAATTGATTTCAAACTATCAGAATCATACAAGTCACAATCTTACTAAAGATAGTAATCATGATGACAGTGACGATGATGTTAAAGGTGATGGTAATTTGATTGAACCCAATACCCCAAAAAAGAAAAAAACATTTATAACTGATTTGCCATTTTATTTTATAAAAAAAATATTATCTTGTTTGGGTTTTGATAAACTTTTGTTATTCACATTACATGACAACAAATTTATTAGAGATTTTTCTTTGAAAATTGTATTTTTATCAGTTGTTTTGGTAAAAATTGACAAGACAAAAAATGATGCCTCAACGAATTCCAAAAAATGTTTTAGACCAAATCAAAAACAGGTTAATCTTGAAAATCTTTGGATTGATATTTCTCATATTTCTTTGTTTACCTCTCAATTAGCTTATACTAGATGTTTGATTATAAATTTACAAATTAAACATGCGTTGATATATTTTCCAAATTTAAAAAGCATTTTATCTTTGGGTCTCAATTTGAAAAAAATCGTTATTAAGATCAGGGATTTATCTGATAAAAGTTTAGCAGAAAACATCAGCGATTTGTTTAATGATCTTGCGCTCTATAATTCAACTTCTTTGGATTCGATTGAATTTTCTTTGCAAAAAAATAAAGATTTTCAAGCTCCATCAACTTTTATATCATCATCTTATTTTTCAAATTTAGTTAATTTGAAAGATTTAAATTTAAGCTCTAATAATGTTTTCAAATTTAATGTGATATCAAACTTGCTGCGATTGAAACGTTTAGATTTATCGAATAGTAATTTAACTAAAACTCAAAACATAAACAATTTGATCAATCTAGAGGAATTAAATCTATCCTCTAATAAGATTGAAAAGATTGATATGATGCCGTATTTAATCAGTTTAAAAGTTTTGAATTTGTCTTACAATAATATCAAAAAAATCGAAAACCTATGGGATTTATTTAATCTCGAAGTGCTAAACCTTTCTTGGAATAGTATAGAGAAGATTGAAAATTTGTCTAATTTAACTCACCTTACGCATTTAAACCTATCAGTTAATCATATTAATAAAATGGAAAATGTGTCAGCTTTAGTTAGCCTAGTGGAAATAGACTTATCATTGAATAATATTCAAGAAATTGAAGATAGTTCTATTTTGGATAAAATAAAACTTATAAATTCAGAAAATAACATTGCTTTATATATCAATCAAATGCAAGACTTACTCAGGTAAAAAAAAAAATTATTGGTAATTATTTAGCACTTTTCAAAGTCAGTATTGATAACATATATAAATATATTTAGCAATAAAAAATTTCAAATTCAATACCTTTATGATTTTATTTTACCCATAAAATATTTTCGATATATCATTAACAACTAAATTATGACGTTGATTGTTTTATCATAAAAAAATCTGGTACTAGTGGTGGACAAAAAAAGTGCCCATTCCAGCTCGATTTGAGGACAAGAAAAATACCCCTCGTGCACATGAAAGAATGTTGTGATACTAAAGGGGAATGCAATCGATGGTTGAGGGAACTTAGTAATCTCTGGAAAGGCGGGTAATGGTTCACTATTTTTAGTCTTTTTTTACTAATGTTTTATTCTGTTTTGTTGTAGCGAATTCATAATTATATATTAAGGTAAACAAATATATAGAAAGAAAGAACGTAGAAGAGAACTCCAGCTCCTTTTATAGGGGACTGGGTTACATCCCAAAGCGTGACGGGAGCAGACCGACAATAAATGCCGAGGGATAGGTAGAGACCGAATCTAGAGATCCGGCTGCTTCATAACATGATTAACGTTGTGAATGTCCATTTTTAATATTGTCAATTATATATGAAATTTTGCCAATTGTTTTGCACCGGCATTATTTTCGTAAAGCAAATCGAATCAATTTCTCATTCAGTTCTACGGATCACATGACTGATGTTCCAATTATTTTTCAATTAAGCCCGATTTGGAAAAGAGTATTTTTCTTGTCCTCAAATCGAGCTGGAATGGGCACTTTTCTTGTCCACCACTAGTATTGTAGCAATTAATGCATGTTAATGCATTTTATTTTGAAAAAACCTGCCTTTGCATGGAATTTTAGATGACTTTTTCAATAAAAAATTTCTATAATTTTGTTAAATGAGTGAGAAATAAATCAATTTGATTAACCAGTTTAAAATTGAAACTCAGATTGTGATATTTTTGGTTTCATATTTCCGGTTTTCATGTTGATGTAACATTGTCATTCAACAGATAATTTATTTTTTTGCCATTTGAATCAATTAAATTGAAGTGTCAATTATAAACATATGATAGCGAAAAAAATAAATAAATTATTTCATTATCTGTAAATCACTTTTTTCGGTATTAAATGTTCTTCATCATATTTTTGCTTGAATGATGATTAAATTGATGGTTTCGATTATCTGAAATGATCTTTTCAATATCAAAAAGTATATTGTGCAGAAAGTGTAATATCATTATGAATATCTCACTCTCTACCTATTGAGTTAAACCAGTCCCTGTACTGTTGGTAGATGTAGCATATTCATAATCACGCATTACACGTGATCTTATGCATAGTACCATATTAGTGGATATAAATTATAATTGCAGTATTTGGCATGCATTATGCGTCTTTTGGCAGCTTCAACTTTTTGAGGGATATCCAAACATTGGTTTCAACAATTTTTTGCCAGCTCATAATGGTGGTGGTGCTAGAGATGCTGAAGATGTTTGAAATCCTCTATTGTTGCCTTTGGTATCAGGGATTTCTGAAGATAGATCATCGGTTTAATTGATGTGCTGCGTTGGTGTAGAATTTTGGAATTCAAGTGATATTGAAAGTAAGGCAAAGCAAAGCACCTATTTTTAAGCATTTTAACTTCAATTCAATTTAATTTATCAATTAACCTAATGGTTCATCATCTAATTATTCGACTGATAAAGGGTCCATTAATACTTGCATAATGAAAAATATTAAAGATTTTTCTCATTCGACTTTTCTTTTACTGGCCATTTAATAATTAGGTTCTTGGCTCAACATTACTCAAGGCTCCAATTAATATCCAATTTATTATTATTGAATACAGAAAATTTATAGTTGCACCTATTTTTCATGTAAATTTCCTTTTCACTATACAAAATCACATTCAAGACTCTCTTGATTTATTATTTTAATTTATATTCATTAGTTTTCTACAAATTGATTTGCTACAGAAAAATTCCTCAAAACCCTAATTAAATTGAAGTTTCCCACTTATAAAATCTAAAAGTTTTTAGATCTAAAAAGATAATTTCTTATTATAATTGGGGTTATTGACTAATTCAACAATTTTTTATAAAAGAAATTAGTATTTGTGTGATATTTAGTCGATCGTTTAAATTAAGTATCCAATGTGAAAAAATTTTTTTTTGTGAATAATAAAAGTGGATAACACTGGATGATTCAGATGATTAAATATAATATTACTTATATTAATTGGACTGATTTCTTGGGCTTGAGTATTTTCATAATTTGGGGTTTTTTAACTATAATATTAATGAAATCAAATACAGATTTTCATTTAATATTTTTTTAATCACTGATAAATTAATTATTGGAACTAATACTGGAAAGATTTAACAAAATTTATTAATATGAAAAAAAAAAATTGTTGTAAATGTTAGCAATTTTTGGCTAAAATCTAGATTGTATCAGAAAATACTAATTTTTTTGGTTTTTTTAACTGAATTTTATTCAAATTATGGTATTTTTATTTGAATTAAACTTTTTCAAAATTAATTACTCACGAAATTATCAGAAACATAATTATATTTTGTGAAAAAAAATCATGGTAATTTAATTTTATTTTATCTTTTGAAATAACAATACATTAAGTGTATATGAACAATATCTTTTTTTTGGTGAATGTTAAATAATAACTATTTTAAACAAAAATTCATCTATGATGAAATGAATTTACTTTAAATTCTTAAAATTATAAATTGCATTTTTGAGTTAGTTTTGAATAATTTATTGATTAAATAGTTTGCAATATTGACGGAACTTAGACTAGAACTAGTTTTAAAGTAAATTGGAATAAATTAAAAAGAAAAAATAGAATAGAATAAAAACATAAAGTGAAAAAAAATCATTTTAAATCAAAAAAGATTAGATGAGGAAGGCAGCAAAACCAGCTAATAAAGCAGCACCAGCAAATTGAGCTCTGTTAGCACCACCGGTATATTCAGAAACAGAAGCAGCTGGAGAAGATTCAACTGGAGAAGAAACAGCTGGGGAAGAAACAGCTGGAGATGATTCAACTGGGGAAGAAACAGCTGGAGATGATTCAACTGGGGAAGAAACAGCTGGAGATGATTCAACTGGGGAAGAAACAGCTGGGGATGATTCAACTGGGGAAGAAACAGCTGGGGATGATTCAACTGGGGATGATTCAACTGGGGATGATTCAACTGGAGTGGATTCAACTGGGGATGATTCAACTGGAGTGGATTCAACTGGGGATGATTCAGCTGGAGTGGATTCAACTGGGGATGATTCAACTGGGGATGATTCAGCTGGAGTGGATTCGGCTGGAGTGGATTCGGCTGTAGAAGTTTCAGAAGCGGAAAGACATTCAGTACCAGTTGGTTCAGTTGGAACATTACCACAAGCAGCTAATGGAGCAGTTAAGAATGAACCATAGTCAGACCATAAACACCAACCACATTCTAAACAGCTGTCAAGAAGGGCTTGGAAATCAGAATCACCACTAGAAGGACATAAACAGTCATCGGTGTATGGACCACTATCGGAGGAACCATCTTCAGCACAAGCTCTAGCAGCAATAATTAAGTTACCACAAGAAGCATGACAAGCGTAAGAAGCTGCTGGATTTGCTAAAGCATTTGGAATAGCAACTGGTAGTGGGTTTGCAATTGGACTTGCAGAGACATAAGAAGCAATTGCCAAAAGAGAAACTAAGGTCAATTTGAACATTTTTGAGATGGCTTAGAAAATTAAGTGAAAATAGGGTAAAAATAAAGTAAAAATTAAAGGTATTTCAAAATTTAGCGAATGGAAATTATAAATATGGTTATAATTATTAATATAAAAGATTAGATTATTATATTGGTGAAGATAAGAAAAAAAACTACAAGATAAAAACAAGAAATCAGAAGGATATATATATGCCTGGAAATTTCAATTGGCATTGAATTTTTCTGAAAAAAACTTGCTTGAAGATCATAATAGACAGGATCTATTTAGGTTGCATGAAATATGAAATACGGAATGAGATAAAATGGAAATTACAGTAGCTCAAGTCATATCCTCATATGGCTATTCTAGAGTTAGAATAATAGATTTTTTAGATAGATTTTTTAGATGAATTTTGAAAATTTTGAAGAATCAGAAACCTTACACTCAAAAAAATAGCTTTAAAATTAGTATGTACTAAAACACACCCTATAACCAGCGACCAAATAGTAATGATATTCAACAGAAAAACAAGATTTTATCCCCAATTACTCCAGTTTGGAATTTAAGATTATTCGAAATTTTTTTGTTTAAAAGGTTTTCAGCTAGCAGTGATGTGAGACATTGTTTGGCATAAATCAAGAGATGTAACTATTTACCTCTGACATCTCAGGAAGAGAAGTAATTCCAGCCAATAGATACATGATTAATAATGTTTGATTGGTCAGTAGAAAAAATATTTTCTATTAAAAGAGAACTCAAAATCATACTACCGTTACATGATGGGCTAATCGAATTTGAGTATATACAAAGATGAAGGCCTTTTCTGATCTCAATTGATCATCTCTGTATCTCCTGGTCAAAGTAAGAGGTTTCGATGTCTTGATATGAAATTATCTTGAAAAAGGAAATAGATGAAAACATTCCATTCATTAAACTGATACAAGTCTACTATTAGTAATGACTGGCATACACAAGAGTTTGGCTTTCCCTCACCAAACTCCAGTGGGTGAAACACTCTGAACTGTTGGAGATTTTTTAGTAACCTATGTTTTTGGGCCCAATTCAGTAGTCTGTATTTTGGGTTTCTATTGGTATGCCGAAAAAACACTAGGCTCTTGAATTGCTCTCAAACTTAGAAAACAAAACCTGTGTTTTATCTTTTTTTTGTTATGTTTTTTCCTTCCTGCTGCTCGATATGTCCGATAAATCAAAAATAAGGGTTTGAAAAGCTAAATGAAAAGTCTCTCTTACTCGAACACCTGCAACCGGGAATTACAATAGAATTATCGATTCCATCTTTCTGTTTTGATATAGCTCTGCTTTGATATTGCTCTGGGCCTGATATTTTATCGTTGATATCTTCATTTTCAAGCCATATTGCTACTCAATGTAAAGCTATAATCTCATCTCATTAGACCTCTTGCATGGGGATAGTTTAAATAGATCTAGAATGGAGTCAGGCAGGAGGTTGAGGCATGGGTTCAACTTTTGGGTACGTGGAAAAGACAAGCAAAATATTTTGATAATATACAGTTCTGGGTCACCATTGGTCTATTGAACAAACCAAAATTATGAAAGAAAAGTTGTTTTTTAGCATATTTTCAAAGCTGTTTTGCACAACAAAATTGGTTAAATCAGCAAAAACAACATCTAGACGATATTGAATGTCAGTTACAAAGTATCTAGGCAAGCACTTCCCTATTACAATTGAACAATATTTAAATGGAAATTGCGATTTTCTATTTTCTATCTTCTATTTTCTTTTTTTTTTGATATCGGATATCAATGATATCAATTTTATTCTTCGCAATTTCAAATGAGATGAAATAATACCAAGTTGATTCTTATAATCATCCCAAATAAAAAATATTTTTTGAGTTCAAAAAACAAATAAAAATTTTGATTGAATTTAAAACTTTTAAAAAATTAATCGTCTTGTTATTCTAATCTTCAATTCTCGATTTTCTCTTTAGATTCCTAAAAATCGTTTTTATCAGCTAAGTCAATTGATGTGTGAGTAAAAATCTTTCTTAACTAAACAATTGATAATTATCAAAAAAATCAAGTCTCTTGTTTTTGTGAATTGCTAAATTTCAATTCGTTTTATAAGCTAATAATTATTCTATGCTATAGTCGGGAATCTTTTAACAAAAAAATAGCCAGCAAAGTAAAACCTTTTGCAGAGAGAAGATAAGTGTGCCAATAAAAATACAAAGAATACAAAAAAGTAAAAAGCAACTGAAACAAAAATGATTGAAACCTGCAAAAAAATGACAATTCCAAGTAAAAAAACAAACATTTTTGAAGAATCTAAGTTAACTTAAAGAAAACACAGAATTTTAAATATTAGTCGTAGTTCTAAAATTAGATTTATCTGGTATAATAAAAACAAAATAGATTAGCAAAATAAATGTGCAAAAAACACTGGAAAGTAACTTTAAGAGAATCCTGCTATTTTGCTTAAATTATTGAAAAAAAATAATTTTATCATTTATAAAATCTCAATAAAGTATTCTAGGTTTGTTTTATAATAAATTCATGGCGTTTTTTATTTTAATTTGAGTAAATTTTGTGAAAAAAATATTGGATCTGTCGGCTTTAGTAAATTAATTTATAATCAACACATTAATTTCAATAAAAAAAAACAATCAAAACAAAATATTAAATAAACCCATGTATTTATATCAAACCATTTCATTTGACTTGAAATCTGGAAAACAGTTGGATTTTTGGTTTTGAGTAAACCCAGAAATTGCACTTAAGTTAATGGATAGGAAACTCCATTGATTAAGGTTATTATCTTGAAGAAAATAAATACTGCCAAAATTTTTAACCAAGAAAACCAAAAACATTCCATAAACTGGTAGGAGCTGAAATTACTATATTAAATAAAATTAAAATTATAAATAAAAGCCACCAAACGGTTTGTCTATAAAGTCTAGTGTGTGTGGGAATTTCGTAATATGATAAAAACAAAGAAACATACAAATCAAGAACTTATTAAAGAACTTATTTCAGAATTGAGCGTACTTATAAGGGTAAATATTTTTTGTTGTTTGAAAGCTTCAAAACTGATTCTCTCTTGGCTCAAGTTACTAATTGATGATAAGTATCCTGTAATTTGCAATTACATTCAAAACTAAGTTCCAATAACTCTTGTATTATAGCGTTCAAAGATATATGATTGTGTTGATAAAATAACTGCTAAGATAACAGAAATATAGTGCCAAATTTTAGCATTTAAGGAATAAACATTGAATAATCAGTAATCAAGTATCAAAACATCATGATTTTTTAATCTATAGTTCCAATGACAGCAAAGTCTCTGTTCTTAGCTGATACCTATTCTAAGCTTTCTGAAAGAATTAAATGAATTTCTCTTTAGTGCTCTCTGTTTAGAAATTGTTTCAATCGAATCAAAATCAATAATACAGTAACCAAAGCTTTCAATGCAGCATGAACAAAGTTTATTTTTATGCTTTCTGTCAAAAGTCCAAATTGCAACTATAGTCCAATTAACTAATTGGTATTTTCATTTCAGTTGCAGCTCAAAAACAGTAACCACATTTTTTTGAAAACTCTTCAATTTTGGTTTCCATGTCTTCAAAAGCTATTGGAATCCTAGTATGTTTAGCAACAGATATTCAATTTCCAGATCTAGCTGACGCACTCAATTGTACTCATTATTTCATTTTGATGTGACTGTTCTTAAATATAATCATCTGCCTCTGTTTTAGTTTCCAACTGTCCTCAAAACCACCAAAAACACAAAACCGAAACGAGTAGTTGCCGCAAAAAAGTTACCCGTCGAAATGCTTAATCATCGCTGACCAATCATAACTGTATATTTATGCACACATATGTATAAACCGCATTACTGCATTCTTGAGATGATTTTGCTACTGGACTAAAAAAGATCTGGTTAATTTTATGTAATAATAGTAACAAATAAGAAATAAAAAATAAACCAACAGCCGATAAAAAATAAATGTAACAAAATAAAAAGATGATAATAAAAATTAACTAAATTAAATACACAAGAATACGGCCAAAAACTAATTTTAAAATGTGAAATATAGGGCAAGATGTATATAGGGACATGAAAAAGAAAAGGTAAAGAAAAAAAAAAATGAAATTCAAAAACAGTAATAAAAAAAATAATGAAGAAATGGAAATAATAACATGAAATTCAAAATTCTAGATGTTCTTTCTTTATATTGCAACGTTAAAATAAAAAATTATAGAACAAAACCAAAAAGAAAAAAAAAGAAAAGAAAAGAAAAAAAAGGGAAAAAAAACCAAAAATTCCTTTTATAATAAATTAGTTTCTTTAATCATAGCTATTTAACTTGAAATACTATCTGGTTTTGAAACTCGGTTCCCTTGAAATCTGATTGTATTATTATTTAAAGTTAAATTGCTTATAGGCTCTTCGTACCTTGGAACAGAATCTCTAAGATCATCATCAGTTAATGCTATGTAATTTGCAGTGGCAGAATATCTACTGTTTGTGATCCGCCGTATTCTTTCTCTTTCTCTATCTGGATCATCATCAGGATAATCATCATTGATTTGACTGTCATTGTTTTGTTTTGAGATAGTTACTTGTGAATTATTATGATTATCACTTGACTTTTCGGAATCTAATGTATCACTATCATTTGTTTTTATTGGATCAAATCTTTCAGCCATTATTGTATCTTGACCAACAAATTCACTCGGAATTTCATTTATAGGTTGTTGAATAGACTGAAGCAAATTTGGTGGTAAAGGGGGAAGCTCAGGGACAATAGGCAAATTATCCGTTTCTGATCTCAATGACTGTTGCTCAATTACAAAAGATTCAGATAAATTTGGGGGTTCTAATGGTGGCTCTGATGGCAATAATAAATTTTCTTTCAATTTTAATAATTCTTTTTCAGACAAGTTACTATTGACCAAGGGTGAAAACGATATTGAACTGTTATTATTATTATTATTATTATTATTATTAAGATTTATGTTTGAATTATTATCGCGAATTTCCCCATATTTGGGTAATGATGAGATAAAATTTGAACCAGACAAATCTAAGTTTGTCGGTATGGGCGGTATAGGAAAATGTAAATTAATATCATTATCATTATTATTGTTATTATTGATGTTATTATTATTATTGTTGATGTCATTATTATTAGTAGTAATAGTTGTGGTAGTATTTATATCTCCATTTTCTGTGGAGTTTTGATTAGAAATGCAAACAGTTGAAGAATTGTTAGAATTGTTAGAATTATTTATATTAGGGTTTGAAAAGTTTAATTTTAAATTTATGTCAGAAGGAGATCTGTTTTTGTTGTAATTTACAGCTATATTGTTGTTGTTGATGATATTATTGATATTGGTATTGTTTGGGGAGTTTTGTTGTTGTTGTTGTTGTTGTTGTTGTTGTTGTTGTTGTTGTTTTATTAGATCATTGTTTCTTTCAGTTCCAATAATAATTTCAGTTGTTAAGGTTAAAACATCTTTCATCCTTCTTAATTTATCAACGTTGAAAATTAGATCATTGTTAGATTTAAACAATGAATCGCCATCTTTTAGTAGTTGTAGATAATGATCGTTATTGATGTCGTTTGCCACTATTGGAGAAGAGCTTTTGATTATAGCAGAGTTTAAAGCGTTTGAGTCATAACTAGATGAACCATCAGAGACAGCACCATTGCCTAATAATAGAGAAACGGTATTTTTTTGATTTGATAGATTGACCAAGACTTCGATGTAATACTGGAAGGAGATTAATGGGGAGCCAACGATGGTTGGGAATATATCATAGGGGATTCTTAGCATTGTGCTAACTTCAGCGTTTAGAGTTTTGGGATCAACTATGAGAGGTTTGATGGTTTGAGCTAGGTCTTTTCTGAAGGACTGAACAGCGCCATTGGGACTGTTATCAACTCTGCAAATGCGTATTAGGGTTATTATTATGCCATTGATTGATTGTAAATTTTTGATGTGCTGTAGGTAAACAGTTATTGGGATTAGGTCACCTTTCAAGTAGCCTAGGGTTGGAACAATGACAAGTAATTTGATTGAATTTTTGAGAGAGTTTTTTAGGGATGTAGAATTTGATATTGAATTTGGATTTGAGTTTGAGTTTGAGTTTGTCATTGAGTTTGATATGGAGTTTGGATTACTAGTTAGAGTGAGAGAGGAATCATCGTCAGTTGATTTGTTTGAAGAGGAATTTCCAGAGTTGAGGGTTGTTGAGGAGGATAAGCCCTTTTTGATGTATTTTGGTTTTGGTTTTACGGTTAGGACTCTTGGTTTTGGTTTTGATAAGTTTGATATATTGATGGGACATAGAATGGATATATTTCTTTCACAAACAGCTATTAGATTTGAGTGGGAAGATACTGAGTCGTCAGAGTCGTCATCAGAGTTGCTATTGCTATTGTTATTGCAGTAGTTGTTGTTATGTGTAACATTTGAAGATGAGGACTTGTTGTTGAGTTTGTATAGTTTTGAAAATCGTTTTGGGTGATTGTGGTCATGGTTGTGATGGATGTGGGTTGAAGATAGAGAATGGGACGATGAGGGAGATATAGAGGGAGAGTTTATGGAGTTGTGGATGATTTTAGCCTTTAATGAATAGGAGATTGAGCCTTTTTCAAAACGAATGGAGGTGAAGATGTGATTTTTGGGTAGTTTAATTTCAAAGGGAAATTTGTGTTTACCTTTACTTAGAGAAGGTAGATTGTTTATGCTTATATTGGCAGGTGTGTCATTATTTGTGTTATTGTTGTTGTGAATGTTGTTGGCACCATATAAGATTGATTTGTTGGAAAAGAGGGAGACCTTTCTTGTTGAGGAAGAGACAGGAGTAGTTGAGCCATAAGATTTTATTTTGACAGAGCCATTGATGGATAGTTCAATAGTGATGTTGATAATTTTTTTCTTCAAGGATAGGATGAGGTCGCCTTTGATCAAGTCACCAGGTTTGAAGCAGATCTTTGTGGGGTCGCTTAAGGATAGATAAAACTCTTCTATAGCATTTAGATTATCAAGTCTTAGGTTTTTTGAAATATTAGAAATGGTGGATGAAAGAACTTTAGTTCTTGAAGGTAGTAGTTTGTTTACTGCTCGCCTCATCGGCGGCTACTTTGTGGACTGGATAGATAATGGTAGGTAGTGGAAAAGGAGAAAAAGAGAAACCCAGAGCAAGTGAAGGGAGTGTGTCTGAGAGAAGATGGGAACAGAGGTGAGAGCAGATGAAACCGCAGGAGGATTATCTTGTATTGCTGGGTGGGAAAAGGGCGACGAAAAAGAGATGAGGAATTAGGAGCAAGGTAAGAACCAAGAAAAATAAGAACGAAACAAGAAGCAAAACAAGAGTTTTGAGAGGGCTTGAGCAATAAATAAGGAATAGAAACTTTGTGTTTGGCTTGAGTTGTGCTTTCTGTAGTATTGTTATTAAGGAATTTGAATACGCAGAAATGCTTGTTGGCGAGGTGGTGTCTTTTTTGATTGGGAGCACAGGGAGAATTGAACCGGAGGTGGCAGCAGAGGCAGCAAAGGCAGCGAACGCAGCAGAAGAGGCAGAGGAGACAGAACAGGGGTCTGGGCCGGGACACGCGTTTCAGAGACCAGAGGCGGCGGAGGGGGCAGAGGGGGCAGAGGAAACAGCAGCAGGAGCAGGACGATTGGCTGTGCGAGTCGTGAAGCAGGGTATTATTAGAACTATTAGAATTCAGCAACAAGAAACAAGAAGCTTTTTTTCTCTTGTTTTTTGAAAACAGCAAAAGAACAGACACACCCAAGGGAGGGCTGCACACACCACACGCAGCAAATGACCAACCAATTTCCGTGCTTCCAGCGGTCCCACCGCTCCCGTCAGCTCTCTGATTGGCTGCTGAGCCAGGGCCGCTTCTAGCGCCGCTCTTGCCCGCGTTATTGTTCTGCCTGAACAAGCTTTTTTTTTACTAGCCCTGTTCTAGTGGGAATCCACTTCTTTGAGCCAGCGTACACACAGCATTTCTCCCCGCGAGTGCAGGACGTATTCTCCGCGAAAGCCACGTCGATTTATCATGGAAAAGCTTGGGCGGAAACAGACAGCAAAAACAAGCAATTGCACCAGCAAAAATTGCTTGTATGTTTACTCATTTCATATCCCTTTACAGAATTATATCAGCGACGTCAACATTTATCGTGCTATATAATAAAGCTTGTCTCCAGAATGTTCAACCCTATCTGGTGCCCAGTTGGTCTCGGATTCTGGCCACTTCCTCGCTCCTCATGCCTATAATCTTCACTCCGTGAGCTAGATATTTTTCGTCCGTCGCCTTGTCGTTTTCGGGAGCAACACTCTTGCAGACGTCCTTCAACACATATGTGTGGAACTTCTTGAGCCTGGCGCAGCTGATGGAAGAGTGTAACACGCAATAGTCGTAGGCAATACCGACGAAATATACATCCGTAATCTCGTTCTCATCCAAAATCGCCTCCATCTCCGTATGGTGCGAATTCCAGACATCGTTGAAACATGAGTAATATTCTCGATCTTTTAAATATCCCTTCTCGACCACTTTAACTCTTCCATTCCCATATTTCTCTTTTAATCTCTCAAACTTTTCTCTAAACTCATAGCCAAACTCGCTTCCCTTTTCATTTTGAATGCAGTGGTCTGGCCAAACAACTTGTTTTGCCTTAATTGCGCCTTTTGTTCCTGGCTGGCTGAATTCAACTAAACTGAACTCTTTTACATTGTTATTGCTAGCAAACGAACAGTGGTCTTTGGGATGCCAGTCCTTACTGGCAATTACCAACTTCCACTTGTACTTGTCCAAGTTGATCAACTCATTTACATCCCCGATAATTTCTCGTCCATCTTTAACAGCTAAACTACCATTAGGAGGTAGGAAATCCTCTTGTAGGTCAATTATTACCAATGCTCTACTAATTGTCATTGTCCTATTTGTATTTCAATCACACTTTTCCTGACTGACTTCAAAAAATATACTGTACTTTAATATCTCTTATATTTATAAAATTATACAATTACATCAAACATTAATACACCAAAATATCCTTATCAATTTACCTGTGTTTTGGTAAATTATTGCTCAGATCACATGTTCCATTCAAATTTAATATCCCTTCTCATTCAATTCTCAATTCTCAGTTCTTAAGTGCTTTCAATATTTTCAAATATTTTCAAATTTTATCGAATTTTATCAAATATACAAAGAATCACTAAAAACAACACAATTGTTAATTAGTCAAAACAATTATAGATTAAATAATTCTGTTTGAATTTTTCTAAATTTTTTCAACTTTTTCCATCTTTTAAATTCTTTTTATTTACTGATTCCTTTGTTTAATTTTTCTTCAATTGTTTTCTTTTTATCTTCTGAATGTTCCTTAGCTATTCAACCTACAATTTTTGTACTGTAGATGAAATCATGATCACTATCACTATCTAAATATTTATTTAGGAAATTCAATAAGGTGTTTCCTTAAACTGAAACTGAAACTGAAACTCAACCAAGCTCAATCAATACCAATCATAACATCGTCCTTTCACAATAGATACAACTAAAATCAGGTACCTCCTACCATTATCTCTATTTAAAATACCATCTCTATTTAAGATACGCCTCATATCCAATGCTTTCAATTCTTTCAATTTTCCCATTCACTTCCTTTTCCATCTCTGCCATATATCTTTCCATTTGCTCTCTATACTCAGGAATAAATGAAGACAAAATCCTAATAGCCAATAACGCAGCATTGGTCGAGTTGTTAATTGCAACCGTTGCAACTGGAATACCTCGGGGCATTTGAACAATTGAATATAATGAGTCAACTCCATCGAGACTCGACCCTTTAACAGGAACACCTATAACTGGCAATGTAGTCATAGCTGCAACCATACCTGGAAGATGGGCTGCACCACCAGCTCCTGCAATAATAACCTTCAACCCTCTATCTCCAGCACCTTTAGCATATTCCACCATACGCAATGGTGTTCGGTGCGCAGAAACTATTGAAAGCTCAAATGGAATGTTAAATTTTTTGAGAATATTGGCTCCAACTGCCATCACAGGTAAATCTGAATCTGATCCCATAACAACACCAATTAAGGGCGTTTTTGATGTTCCAGCAATTGAACTTGGAACCTTTGATGAAACACCACTCATTATATAATCCAACTTCTTCTTGTTTTCTTCCATTGAACTACCCACAATATTGATATGCCCAACTTTTCTCTCATGTCTGCTTGATTTACCATAGAGATAAACAGATGCACCTGCCGTTTCAAATGCTCTATGACAAGCCTTCAACTCTCCATTTGGCTCTTTAAACCCAATAACATTTAACATGATAGCATTAGTGGTGTTTGTTGAAAATGAAGTAGCGCCTTCTGGAATTGGCAACCCCATAACTGCTCTGATATGTGCTTCGAATTGAGAACAAACACACGCATCAATAGTATAATGGCCTGAATTGTGAGGCCTTGGAGCTATTTCATTGATAAGAAGCTCTCCGTCCTCTAAAAGAAACATTTCTACACCAAAAATACCAGCACCAGCTTCTTTAAGAGAACCGACAGCCTTCTTGGCCAATTCCTGGGCTGCAACTTGAATCTTAGAAGATACTTCGGCAGGTGCATAAACAATATGGCATATATTGTTTTTGTGAATAGTTTCAACTGTTGGGTATGTATGAACACTTCCATCCTGGGTTAAAACAACCATAACTGCAAGCTCCTTGATAAATGGACACCATTTTTCGGCATATAATAAATTGTTGTTTTTTAAAAACTCCAAGCCCTTTGGAACGTCTTCTTTGGAATTAACAACAAAATTTCCTCTACCGTCATAAGCCAAGGTTCTAGATTTTAACATGAAGGGATATCCAAACTTCCCGCCGATTTTTATCAATGACTCCTCGCTTTTTTCGACAGAGGCAGATTCGGCAACATTGATATCATTATGAATAAAATGAATTTTTTGAATATATTTATCTTGGATCAACTTGATAATCTTTGGTGATGGGAAGATTTTCAAGCTGGGTTTTGATTTTTGAATATCAATTAATATATCAGCATTAATGTGTTCAATTTCAATGGTGATCACATCGGATTTTTCACAAAGCTTTTTGATAGACTCAGCATCCTTGAACGAACCATCAATATGTTCAGTAGAATTAGATATTTGTTTTGCCGATGTATTAATACCACTATCTAAAATATATGTTTTTATGTTCAAGCGATTAGCAACCTCAAGGACCATACGACCAAGCTGGCCCCCACCAAGAATACCTAATACTTTGTCATCCATAATTCAACAGTATCAATCAACTATCTTCTACAAACTGGCCTGCTTTTCAAAGGAAAGAAAAAATAAAAAAGTTGATGAGCATTGGACAAATAAAAGTTCTATAAAGGGTAAAAAAATACTTGAGTCACATGCTGGTAAATCGATACAAAAAAAAAATCAATCATTTTCCGAAAGAAATTCTCTACAAAACCAACTTCAATCAACGGTTCGAACCACACCCAATCACTCATCACTCACTAAAATCCGGTATTTTTATTGGAGAGATCAGTTCCATTTAATAAAATATATCTAAATCTTTCATAAACCTGGTCCAATTTGACCTGGTTTTTGCTAACATTTTTATCAAATAACCCACCAATTGTGCCCAAGAGTATATTCATACCGTTTTCTGTGGAGACGATATTAAGAACTAGAGAGGTTGATAATGTTCCCATATTTTGGCTCAACAACATATTGGTTATTTTGTAATTATTCTCGCCAAAATTTTTATTGTTTACAACATTGAATCCCAAATTAGATATTCTTAGTGAATCTGTTTTAAGTTGACCCAACCTGCTATTGATTGCCCTTTCAAGAGCATCAGTCTCTGAATCCAAATATTTTCTCATGCCCATGCCTTCATAAACGGATTCCATATAGTTTTTAATGTTTTCAGATCTCTTTTTGTTGATCACTTTAACCAAGTTCCAACTAAAAGGGTTCATGTTGTTATACAAAACTTGTCTTTCGATTCCATAAAAACCCAAGGAGACAAAGCATCCGTATAAAATGTCATTGTCTGTTTTATATTCATCCATAAATGCTCTTAGGTTTATTGGAAAGGCAAATTCTCCTGTTGATGGTGCTTCGTTTATATCCAATGCATAATTGGAAATTGCAGATATGAATGCAGCATGGATAAATGAGTTCATTTTAACATTGTGTGTTTTACACAAGGACAAAATTTTTAAATTTTCTTGATGATTAAATTTTATGATTTTGAAAACTGTTGGATAGTCAGTTGTATTGAATATTTTGTTGAAATTAAAACAATTTATTTTGCCTTCTTTATCATCGACAGAATCGTATTTTTTCAAGGGTTTTAGTTTGTTAATTAGAAACTTTTCTCTGAACGATTTTGAGGGAATAACATCAAGGATTTCATCAATTGGTTTTGGTATTGCAGCTAGCAATGAGTAATCCTTTTGAAAGTCAAACAAGGAATTATTTTCTAGCAAATCGCCAATAGTGTAGGTATCTTTTATTTTGTTAACCTCATTAACTAAATCAATTTGAAATCTAACAGCACTCATGCCATCTAACATATGGTCACAGATGAAACTGACGTGGATGTCATTTAAAACCTCAATTTTCCAAAATGGTTTATTTTTTTTATAAAGTTGAAAAAAATCATAGTTTCTGTCTAGTTTGAGTAAATACTGCTCGTCAATCTCAGTTTTATAGTTGGCATCATACTCGAAATTTAAGACATCGGATATTCTAATTTTTGAGCAAGGCGTTAAAATGTATTCTAATTTAGTTCTTTTGTCAAAATCTTTGTCCTTCACAATTCTCAAAGCTAGATAACTGTGTTTTAGTAAAATGTTTCTGGTTGCTGTTATGATAAGTTCTTTTGGTAATGGTTTATTGAAGGTGGTATTAATTAGCAAATGCTTGTGGGCTTTAATATTATTGAATGCGATCCAAAATTGTTCAGCATATCCTGCTGATCTTGTAAACCTTCTGGCTATGTCCTCCATGTTAAACCACTGACCCAATTGGTTTTGGCTTTGACTTTGATCAAAAGGTCCCAGAGCATGCTTTTTCAGTTTTTTTCAAAAGGAAGAAAGCCCTTTTATAAAGAAAACCATCCCAGCACAGCACAGTGCAAAAAATAATGCAAATTGCAAAAACTAATGCAAATTACAGAAAACTTAGACAAGCCAAATTCCCTAGATAAGATAAAACAAGAGACTGCTCCATTTTACGACAACTCTCGAGTCCCAAGACTCAAGGACACCATTTTTGTCTCTTTGCTGACTCTTCGGCCCCAGCGGTGTGGTGCCGGTATATGTTGAAGGCTGCAAGCTTAAAACCAGATTACCGGCTCTGATCACATATGCTGGATGTTAGGGGGTTGGATTTGCAGACCCCGTATACACAGACCCCAGGACAAAAGACCGATAAAGCCCAGCTGACCGGAAACCACGTGCAGTCCGACGCATGGCTTTTCAGGACAGGTAAAGGGGAACAGTGGATTCAATAAATAGAAATTTCACTGGTATACCACCATAGGCCCATCTGGATAGCTGATCTGTTAATCTCATAGGATAGTAACATACCTCACCATTGTGGAAGAGAATCTTCAACACACAAACAGTATTACGGAGCGCTTCTTTCAATTGCTGAATAATGGATGGAGACTCTGTAGTTCAGGTGAATATTTCTGGTGTCCCCAAGATACCAGATGACCATTCCAAGTCTGATCTCAAATCCAGCGAAAACACAAAAACTGTCAAAGAAACAACTAAAGAAATTCTTCAAAATGGGAATCTGAACGAAGATTATCAAGAGGATTTTGAAACAAAAACAAATAAAAATCCAGCAGCAAGTGCTGTTGAATCTCCCCAGCAAATTGGCTTATCTTCAACAGTTTCCTCAGCCAATACTAATCAAAACGGGCAAAGTCAAGAACTCAATACAGAACAATCTCACAAAGAATCTGATTCAACTAATGGAATTCTTCAATCAACCTCAATAACTCCAATTATTACTTTTGGGCCTGATTCAAATTTACCAATTGAGAAAATACCTTCATTGGATTCAAAAAACGACCAAGATCAGCTTAATTCAGAATCAGACTTCAAAATTGAGCAGCCGGAATCACTGGACATTCAATCAGAATCACCAAACAACTCTAATTCTAATTCTATACTTCAATCTGAATCAAATAGTGGTTTAGAAGCTCAACCAGAGCTGAACTCACAGGATGGAGCGACCCCTCAATCAGAAAACGAAACAAAAAACGAAACAGAAAAAGAAACGGAAAACGAACCAGAACCAGAACAACAGCCTAAAGTAGAAGCAGAACCCAAAGCTGAGGCACCACCAGAAGCAGGACCTAAATATTTAGATTCAATTCCCACTTCTTCAACCTCAACTTTAAGTTTTCTTAAAGTCGTCGAAAAAAAACTATCATCAAAAAGTTTTAGGTTGAGTAAAGAACAAAAAGAAATTTTGTCTTTATTTCAATCAAATGTTACAAATAACCAAATTCCTCTCACTAATATAATATCTTTGTTGAGATCTTCTAAACAGAACATGGAGCTAAAACTCATATTAATTGATTTGATTTCAAAAATATTTGTTTTTGATGCTTTGAATTATTCAACGATATTATATTCAAATTCGTCTGATTCATTCATATCAAACTCAATTGATGCCATTAATGATCTCTTTAACAATGAAGATATCAACGATAAACTAGAGCTAAGCATTGTTCAAACAATCATGTCCATAATATTAAACTCAAAAAAACCAATTCATGGAGTCAAATTATTGAATTCAATACGATTGATTTATAATATCTACGTTGTAAGTATTGTTCCTATGAACCAACAAATTTGTGAAGCGAGTTTAAATCAAATTATTGATTTTATTTATGATAAAGTCGACAAAATAAATGAAAACTACTCATTAACTGCTTCATCAGTTCCTATAACAACTTCAAACTCTCACTCAAACTCAAATTTAAGCTCTTTCTCTTCTGCTAATCTTGAATCTCAACCAAAAGTTACTTTGGCTAACCTTGAAAACTTAAATGAAATCGATGACAAAAAATTCGACGAATCTACCTCAAACTTAACAAATAACAATGAAGATGACCTAATCATCAAAGATGCATTTTTAATCTTTAGAACCATGTCAAAGATTTCTTCAAAGCAATTAGATTCTTCAACTCTTGATCCAAGGTCTCAACCTGTTAGATCAAAACTATTGGGCTTGAAGATAATTCACTCAATTTTAAACAACCACATTGACATATTTTTATCAAATAAAATTTATTTACTATCAAATTCTACAAACGAAAAAACAAAATTAATAGATGCAGTAAGAAATTACCTCCTATTAACCATTTTTAAAAACTCAGTTTACCGTATCAATAAAGTCTTTGAGATTACTTTGAATATTTTTTTTATCATGGTGATAAATTTAAGAGCCGTCTTTAAACAGGAGATTTCCTTGATAATCAGTGAAGTTTATTTCAACTTGGTTTTAATTTCCTCATCAACTAAATTTCAAAAAGATGAATTTTTAAGATTTATTTACCGGATTGGCAATGACCCAAGATGTTTAATTGAATTTTATATTAATTATGACTGTGATGCTAGCTACCCCAACATTGTTGAAAGAATTACAAACTATCTTGTTAAAACAGAAAATGTCCATTACAGAGAGTCTTTAGCTAGACAAAGAAACGCAAATTCAAACAGTGATGCATTTCATTATGATACTTCGGCCTTAAATTGCATTGTTGGAATGTTGAGATCATTAGCTACATGGGCATCAAAGGCCACCATTCCCCCAAAGGCTAGAAATTCAAGTATATCAAGCGTCACGAACAATAATAGAAAACGTTCAAATACAAATGGCTCATCATTAAGCTACAATACAACATCAAAAAACCCTCCTTTAACTCCCCTTGAATCCTCATTTGGATTTCCTGAGAATTTAAACCAAAGCAACTTGAGTTTTTCAGATTCAACTGATGCATTGGCAAAAGAAAATGATGACCCCAATTCATTTGGATATCTCAAACAAAGGAAAACTGCGTTATATGAGGGTATCAGGTCATTTAATTACAAGCCGTCAAGAGGTATTACCAGATTAATTGCTGATGGATTTATTTCATCAGAAAGTGCTGTTGATATTGCCAAATTTTTATTATTAAACAATAACAAAGGCATTGATAAAAAAGTACTTGGCGAATATTTAGGAGAAGGAGAAGACTTTAACATTGAAGTAATGCATGAATTTGTAGATTTAATGAATTTTAAAAATCTTAGATTTATTGATGCAATAAGGTTTTTTTTGCAAAGTTTTAGGTTACCAGGTGAGGCTCAAAAAATAGATAGATTTATGTTAAAATTTGCAGAAAGATATCATGAAAATAACCCAAACATATTTGCAAATGCTGTTACTCCTTATATTTTGTCTTACTCTGTTATCTTGCTTAATACGGACATGTATAATCTGCAAGTTAAAGTGAAAATGAACAATCAAGATTTTATTAAAAATAATTCAGGTATTGATGATGGAAAAGACTTGCCTGTTGAATTCTTAAACAACATTTATAATGATATTGCAAAAAATGAAATTAAACTAGTTAGTGAGCACCAAGAGGCATTGTTTAAGAATAATGATAGATCATTACCACAAATCAATACATTTTCCTCTTTGTTTGGAAATAAAGAAGCGGCTGAAAATGAGTCCTATAATTTAATTACAAAAGAAATATCAACTAAAACTGAAAAACTTTTTAAAAATCTTGACAAACAAAACAGAATAAATCGAGGAATTGAGAAACCCGAAAACGAAAATAACTATTCATTGATAGTTTCATTTGGAAATAATACTACGTCTAATAACAAGTTTTTTTCGGCATCCCATATTGAACACGTCAAATCGATATTTGAAACTTTATGGATGTCATTTTTAGGTGCTTTAACTCCCCCCTTTAAGGAATATGATGATGATGATATTTCTCAAATTTGTTTAGAAGGAATTAAACTTTCCATTAAAATTTCGTGTATTTTTGACATTGATTATGCTAGAGCTTCATTTGTAAATGCGTTGATTCAGTTTACAAATCTTCAAAATTTGGAAGAAATAAAAGAGAAAAATATTAAAGCAATCAAAATCTTGCTAGATATTTGCATTAGTGATGGAAACAATCTTAAATCAACATGGAAAGAAATAATATTTTGCATTTCTCAATTGGAAAGATTGCAATTAATTGCTCAGGGTATTGAACCTAACAATATACCCGATGTGTCAAATGTGAGATTTGCTAGCAGAAGTTCAATCGAAAGCACAAGATCTACAGCTACGGCCTTTTCCAATGGAAAATTATTTAGTTTTCTTAATTCAAAGAAAGATCCTTCTGAGCTTGCTCAATTGCATCATCAAAATCAAAAATTAAATCCTGATATGGTAAATTTGGTCAGGTCTAGTGAGATTACAGTTGGTATTGATAGAGTCTTTTCTAATAGTGCAATCCTCACAAGTGGTATTTTTGATTTTGTTTCTGCTTTATCAGAAGTTGCTAATGAAGAAATTGAAAGTTCTGGGAGCTCTGGAAATCCTAGAATTTTTGCACTTCAAAAAATGGTTGATGTCTGTTACTATTCTATGGATAGAATTCGATTGGAATGGTCTCAATTGTGGGCAATAATGGAAAAAACATTTAATACTATAGGTTCTAGTCCTAATCAACATGTTGTCATTTTTGCGTTAGACTCGCTTAAACAGCTATCTATGAGGTTTTTAGATATTGAAGAGTTGGCTCACTTCAAGTTTCAAAAAGAGTTTTTAAAGAGCTTTGGGGTAATAATAAGAGAAAATGAGGACATTGAGATTCAACAGTTAATTTTGGATATCATTCAAAACATGATTGATTCTAAGGCTAAAAAAATAAAGTCTGGATGGTTTTCAATATTTAATGTTTTAAAAATCACATCTAATAATGTGAATGAAGATATAATTTGGAAAAGTTACAAGTTGCTTAATAAGATTAGTAAAAATTATTTAGTTGGTGTATATTATCAGGAGAGTTTTGAAGGATTTGTTGATTGTTTAGTGACATTGGCTGAAAATGAGAGATTTCAAAAGATAAGTTTACATGCTATTGAAGATATGAAATTATTGATTAGAAAAATTTCTTCATTAACAGAAAACGGGTCTGCATTACTTGGCGAGGAGAATGAATATGAAATTAATTCTGAGGTGCCTCAAACATTAAAGAAGGATGATTCATTTAAATCAATTCAAAAGAAGCTTTGGTTTCCGATACTATTTGGATTGCATGATGTTATTATGAAATCAGAAGACCTTGAGGTTCGATCTAGAGCTCTTAACTATTTGTTTGATTCATTGGTTTCGTATGGATCAGCTTTTAGTATTGAATTTTGGGATGATGTTTGCAAAAAATTACTTTTTCCGATATTTGGGGTTTTAAGTAAACATTGGGAGTTGAGTCATTCTGGAAGTCATGATGATTTATCAGTATGGTTGTCAACCACACTAATTCAGGCATTGAGAAATATGATTGCCTTATTTACACATTTTGACAATTTGTTGCATTTGTTGGATGAATATTTGCTGTTGTTAGAATCCTGTATTCTTCAAGAAAACGATACGATTTCGAGAATTGGGCGATCATGTTTGCAGCAATTAATTTTGCAAAACATGAGTAAATTTGATGGTGAACATTGGGATAAAATATTGATATGCTTCAAACATTTGTTCAAGTTGACTACTGCAATTGAATTGTTTAAGGCCGACCCATTAAAACAATCCGCTGAACAGGGAGTATCAAGTGGTTCATCGATTAAAAGTAATGAAATTGGGGTATCTAGAGAGAATGGAAAAACAGCAAATGACACTGAGCAGCAAGACAACGAAGAAGATGCATTGGACGTTTCGTCGAGTAAGGCGAACAATAAAAACGGGAAAACTGTTGATGACGTTGTTCGTAAGAAGGCAAAGGAAAAAAGCACTATTGTTGTGAAATGCGTGTTGCAGTTGTTAGTGATTGAGACTGTTTCTGAATTATTTGAGGATGAAACGTTTTACGATTTGATTCCCACCGATAACTTACTACAGTTAAGTCAGTGTTTGAAAGAGAGTTACAGATTTTCGAGAAAATTTAATGACGATTACAATTTACGGGTAAGGTTATGGAACTCTGGAGTGATTGAAAGGTTGCCTAATTTATTAAGACAGGAGTCGTCATCGTCGGCTGTTTTTGTAAATATAATGTTCAGGCTAATAATCGATAAAGAAAAGGCTACCAAGAACCAAAAAGATTTGATGCTAAAGGAGTTAATACCTCTATGTGTTGCCATTGTTCAAAAATATATTGAGCTAGACGATGTGTCGCAGCAAAGAAACATCAATACCTGGCGACCTGTTGTTGTTGAGATTCTACAAGGCTACTACGAGCTAGATGACGACGACTTCATCACCAACTGTCCTGTTGTGTACGAGTTGGTGTTGAACATCCTTGACAAGGCGTTGCCCACCGAAATGCGTTCTGTGATCAAGTCCTTCTTGACACGAGTAGGAGAGGTGTATTTGAAGATATAACACTGAATTGGCTGCTCTGCTTTTTTCTGACTTTTCTGACTTTTTTTGTTTTATAAAACCACAATAAAATCGTTTCTGTGAGAGAGAACGCATTCCAAGGAATTCCAAAAGAATCACGCGTGAACCAGGCCGGTTTCACAATTACGGTTTTCAGACCCTCAAACAGGGGTCTGTCACTTTTGTGTTTGAAAGCCGGGGTTGGTAAAAATTTTTCCAGAGTTTTTTCAGAGAGTTGTGAATTGTATTGAAGCTTTTTAACTCAAATATAAAAGAACCATCAACGATCTGTCTCTCGTCTCTTCGTCCTCCAGCCTTTGATCTAGCCTACTCTCAGTCCAGTAATTCTCTTCTCTTGTCTTCCTTCCAATGTCCCAACAAGCTACAAAACTCTCTTTCGGTCCTTCATGGTATGTGTTGTGTTGGTGTTGTCTCGCTGTGAAGCTCCAGCTCGAAATAGGGATTTTCAGCTGTTTGCCTGGCCTGCTAGTGTTTGCTTTGGCCCTGGGTCTTCCTCTGATGCCTCTAATTCTGTTCAATTACTAACCAATTACATGTGTAATCCACCACTTCTCATAGGATGCGTCCCAACTCTAATCTATCAGATGAAAATTCGTCCAACAGGTATCATAATCATGCCCGTAATCACAACAACAATAAAAAAATAAATTCAAACAAAAGATATAACAACAATAACTCCAGCCACAACTATAATTATAGCAATAATTATAACAGCAGCAGCAGCAGCAATAACAGTATCAGCAACAATATCGGCAGCAGTGCTAATTCTACCTCCTCTTTGTTATCTTCGACTACTCCTACTATTTTTAAGGTTGATTTGCCAGACAGAGACCCTGGAGATAAGAGGTATTCCATTGATGAGTTGGTTGATGTTTTTGATCAATTGAAGAATCAAAAGTTTTTCAACTATACCATCAACACTGTCACAAGAAAAAAAATTTACAATTATATTTCTGACGATTTTCAAAAAATTTTATTTTTAATGTTTAAAGATTTAAATAATGTTCAAAATCACAACAAGTCGTATTCAAATAACTCGCAAAAGCCCTATCACTACCATAGCTTGAATCAAAACCAAAACCAAAACCAAAACCAAAATCAAGTTCAAACCGATTCTTCCATTGCAATTTCAATCACAGGTGCAGATTTAGATTCAAATTTAGATTCAAATTTAACTTCAAACTTGTCTTCAAATTCTTTATCAAAGGATAAAAATAAGTTTAACTTATCTATTAAGGCTCCTTCATCTTCATCAACTTTATCAGGAAATCGAAATTTTTCTACAACTCCTAGATCTGCTCGTTTTTCTAAAAACTCGTTATCCTCAAAACCAAACCAATCTTCTAATACAAACCCGAATGTAACTCCCTCTTCAACTTCCAACTTAAATCAAGCTTCCAACGCAAATGAAGAATCCGCAAGTTTATTATCCTCCTTACCAAGCAAAAATAAACGAAATCTATCTTTAGATATTAATCAGGTTGAAAAAAGCTTTGATGATTTAAAATTTAATGATCCAGATAATTCTTTGCATCCAAAAAATGTTGCTAATTCTCCTTGGTTACCAAATTTTAGTAATCCTGCAACTCCTTTGTTTTTAAACACATTTTCTTCTTTACTATCCCCAATTCCTACAACTTTGCAATCTCCTTCTTTTTTCGATTCAAAACTCTCTGAAAACAATGTTAATAATGAAATTAACAATGAATCCATTGACCATTCTTCTCAATCCAAAGAGATTCAAAATAATGACTCACTCAACAATAATGACCAAACTTCCTCTATTGACTCTTCAAACAACAATAACCTCAATTCTTCAAACTTCATTTCGAATTCAAATCACATCAATCCTATTAATCCTATTAATCCGATTAACCCCATCCTATCATCAAACTCTATTGACTCTATCAAAAACCCTATCCTCAACCCGAATAACACAACCATTAACCAAAAAAATCCCTCAAATAATCAACCTCAAGCCATATCTAATTCTGTTGTTTCTGATTTAAATTTTCTTCGGAACCCTTTAAATTCTTCTTTGCGTCACAACTCAAGTAACCCTCATTTGAATTCAATGTCTCATTCTAGTTCAAATTTAAGTTTAAACAATAACTTGGATTTGAATTCAATTAACTCTCCACCACCTCCACCACCAAACTTATTTCCAAATCAATTGCATTCTTTAATTCCACCTCCAAATATTTCTCTACAACAACCTTCGGAAATCAAATGGTATTATCTTGATCCATCAAATCAAGAACAAGGCCCATTCGATGGTATAATGATGAATAGATGGTATGGTGTCAACTACCTAACTCCCGAGCTTAGAATCAGAAGAGCTGACGAAGTCCAATTTAGAACTTTGAACGAATTTTGCATATCAATTAATAATTTTATAGAACCCTTTTTAGTTCCATTGCCTTCACTTTCATCACCTAATATTCTACAAAGTCAGCATCAGCAACAAATTCCTCAGTCTCAATTTTTTAACCAATCAGCTTTATTTCCGAACCAACAATTTTTGCAACAACAACCACAACAAAATCCATCCAATGCCTGGATGACAAATGCATCAAACCTTCCAGTTTTCCATCAAACACTTACTCCAATCGCCTCAAACTGGAACATTGCATCTTTAACTACACCATCTCAAGCAACAACAAGAGATTATATCTCAAACACAAACATCGGAATTCCTGCAAGAACTCAATCTCAATTTTTCAACGATAACAATAATATAGCAAACCAACATAATAATAACAATATAAACCCCAATGCTATTAACACTTCAAATATTAACAATGCCACAATCAATAGCAATAACATCAATAACAGCCTTTCAAACACCCCAATTATCAATAATGACAATCAATCCAATATTAGTACTCCTCAAAGTTTGCACGCTTCAATTCATTCACTTTCAAATATTCAAACTCAAAATATCGGATTTCAACAATTAAATCAACAATCCCCTACAATAAACTTTCAAAACATTGATTCTTCCAATCCAGACATTAAAACTGATCATATTTTGAATCAAATACATACTGTTATTAATGAAGAAATTGATTCCGATCCAATTCCTATTAATAATGAGCCGGTCGTTCAAAGTGAAAATACGATTTCTACAAACTCTCCTATTTTGAAAAATGAACTGGTCAATTCTTTACCTCAACAATGGAAATCTGAAAGATTTGATTCTACTTCATCTCAAGATAATCATCAATTATCGAAAGAAATTTCCAAAGATAGTATTAAAAAGGAAATTCCTATTGAAGTAAATAAACAAGATGTTGAAGATCTTTCAGAAGTTGAAACTACACAAAAACCAGAAGTTTTATCAGAAAAAGCAGACGAAAAGGCTGTGCAACCAAAATCAAAATCAAAATCAAATAATGGAAAAGAACGAAATGCAGTAAAAGAACCTAAAGCTGAAACCAAAGAAATCATTGAGTTAGTTAAAACCCAAACTGTTTCGCCAAAACCTACCCCAGTTAAACCTAAGTTAGCGCCATGGGCAAATGCTAATAAAAAATCAACTCAGGCCCCACCAAAATCACTAAAAGAAATCCAACAAATTGAAACTGCAAAAAGAGAAAAAGAACAAAAATTGCAAGAAAAACAAAGAGAAACCAAAAGTAAATTATTGGTCCAAAAAATACTTGCTGAAGAAGCCACTACCCAAGCTGCAAAACCTGCTCCAATGGGTTGGGCTATTTCCAAAACTACAAGTAATACTGTTAAGAAAACTTTAACTGAAATTCAAAAGGAAGAAGCTGATATTGCCGCTGTTAAAGCTAGAGCCGTTAGTAACTTGGTTAGCAGCAAAGCGTCCGCCAAAAAAGCTTCGTTTGCTTCAACTATTTCATCTACTAGCACTACAAACAAATGGACAGTTGTTGGTTCTGCCAAAAAATCTCAGTCAGTTAAAGCTTCCACTCCAAAGATCACAAATAACGCTTCAAAACCAACCACTCCAGCAATTTTAAGATCTGTTTCTGCTGTTCCAGTCCCCAGAGTCTCAACAAACAACAGTGCTCAAAATAGCAGTTCAAGGTCTAAACGAGAATTCTTACAATGGTGTAGAGCTGAATTACACAATTTAAACAAAAATATTAAAAAAGAAGATTTGTTAAAAATTTTTTTTACATTGCCAGCAGATAACACTTCGATGGATTTAATTAGCGATTCTATTTATTCTGCCTCAACAACTTTGAACGGTAGAAGATTTTCTGAAGAGTTCATTAAAAGGAGAAAAAACGTTGAAAAGCTATTTATTTCCAACATTGATTGGGACGAAGCGTTGAAAGCTGATCTTGATTTCAACAACGACGATTCTGAATGGACCACATCAGTGAAAAGTTCTAAGAGAAAAAACAGACGTTAAGCCAATAGAGCGATTTTTGTTCTATTTCTTTATTTGAAAATTAAGTAAATGAATCACTTTTCATTTGACTGCATATATGTATATATTTAAAATAATAAGTACATATTTTGAATTTGTTTTTGTAGGAAATATTTTTTTTAAAAAACTAAAGTTTGTTTCTATTTTGGGTCTAGCGTTAATGCTATTACAATATAAACAAAAAGAATTTGAATTTTTAAAATACTTTATAAAAGAAAAAACATAACAATAAAAAGAAATTTAACTAACCACATTTAAATAATATAACAAGAACAAAAAATTGAAATAGGAATGATAGTAATGATAATAAACAATTTTTTAAAATAAAAACGATACTACTTGATTTCGATGCATTTTAAACAAAATAAAATTTAATTATAACTGCGATTATAAGAACTGTTATTATTGTTACGATAGTAAAAACTCCCGTTATTGTTGCGATGGCGGTTATAATTAGTTCTATGGCTATTATAACGACGATTGGGATTATAATACAGTGTGTAATGAAAGACTTCACTGCACCAGCCAGGCATATCTAGACCACTATTATACAATTTTCTTTCCTGATTAAAAACATTTTCCATGCCAAAGGTATCTTCTAGCCAAGGGTGGTTGATCATTCCACCAGCATCGGCTCTTTTTTTAGGGTTTAAATTGAGCATTGGTAAAAGAAAATCGCTAATTTGCCTTGATTCAAGCTCAGAAAACTTATATTTTTCTTTCAAGACTCTTTTCAAATCCCAAAATCTTAAACTTGATAAATTTTGCAAGTGGTAATTATCATTGAAAAACGAAGAGCTTTTTGAGCAGCCATTAACTAGATTGACTAGATCATGGTCTTCGTGAGGATTTGGACAAGATAGAAGTTCGACAATTTGAGCTAAATGGTCGTCATCTCTTGAATAAGAATGACCTTCAATGGGTTCAAAAAGATAATCACCAGTTAATAATTCGAAAATCAAACAAGCAAAAGACCAAACATCAGCAGAACAACCCCAAGAACCACCCATGATGATTTCTGGAGCTCTATATTGTCTTGTTTGAATATCATTAGTAAAGTGTTTATCTATCCAACAAGCATTACCTAAATCAGCAATTTTTGCGTTTATGAGATTACTGTCATTATAAAGACGATCATTTAGTTGATTGTTATTGTTGATTTTTTGATCTGGAAGATCTGTATCATGATTTGAGCCTGAAGAGGGTGGGGTTGGAAAATTTGAATTGTTGACGATATTGTTTGAAATTGTCATTAAAGATAGAGAAGATAGAAAATTATCAGAGTGGAGTATTTTATTTGGAGAATCTAGTTTGGAGGAAGAGTCATTTGATGAGGTAATAGAGGAAGGGGAAGAAGATGAAGAGGAAGAAGCAGAAGCGGAAGAAGAATTAGCATAAGAGTTACAAGAAGGAGGGTGGATATTATTATTTGATTGATGAGGAATAGGAATATTAGAATATGAATTTTTGATTAGAGAGGGTATTGGTTCTGATTTGATGATTTTGTAGTGATCTATATTTTCTTTTTTTTTAGTGTTTGAGATGATTTCGCCTAATTTAGCGTAATTGACTTTAATACTGTTGTTATTGTTGTTATTGTTATTAATTTTTTTTCTTGAAATGGATATGTCAGATAAAAAGTCCTGATAAAATCTTAGAATTTTTAGTAGGTTTTTTTTATTTGATATTAGATCGATTAGTTTTAGGACGTTGGTGTTGTTGATTTTTAGTAGGATATTTTCTGGTTTAAGATCAGTGTGTATTATACCGCAGTTTCTATGTAAGAAATCCAAGGCGAATAGGATTTGTTTAGCGATTTGTTTGACTAGAATGGTTGGAATGCCATTGTGTTTGAATTTTTTGATTAGGGATAATAGATTTTCGCCGAGAATTTCAAAAATCATAACAATGTGATTACCGTTGGGGCCATTAATAGTGAAGTCATCTAATAATTTGATGACATTATGCTGACCTATATTGTTATTGTTATTGGTATTGAAATTTTTAACTTTTTTTAATAATTTGATTTCATCTATTGAAGTTTCAGTATAATGTTTTGCAGAACGAACAATTTTAACTGCAACGTATTCTTGAAAATCGTTATCTAAGTTATTTAACTCGTTATTTAAATTTTTATTTAAATCATCTAAATCACCCAAATCATCCAAACCACCCAAATCACTCAAATCATTTGACTGAACTTCCGAATTTTTGATTTCAATTTTCTTAGCTCTAGCTAGCCAAACAGTTGAAAAATGGCCCCAGCCTAATTTTCGAATTAAAGTGTAGGATATATTGTTTTGATCATTTGTCAAGACCTCACCTATGTAGGCAGGATGATAACCGTTGGGGACGTAATCTTTTAGTTCTTCCTCACTTTTCAGTTCTTTTTCAGTTAGCGAAACCGAGTTATTTATGATAAGCGAATTGAACTTGTCGTTATTTAGAAAGAGATCGTTGATTTCGGTGTAGGTCATTGAGGAAATGCTAAGAAACTTTGAGTTTGACTTTGACGATCTCGTTTTCATGTTTCGTTTGGGGGTGGTGTTTGATTTGAGCAAATTCGATATTTTCAACTTGGTGGTGTCGATTTGCTGAAGGATTCTTTGGGAGTCGTCCAAAAGAGCAGCTAGAGGGTCTCTCATCAAGGCAGCATCGTCAGCATTGAGGGTAGAAGCAGTCTGAGCAGCCCTTTCGAAGGAGGTTTCAAGAGAAGAAGAGCAGTCCATTTCGCAAGCTGGACCATGGTGGTGCAGAGCATCAGAGGAGCAGGCGTTGGAGGGTGGAGGCGACATAGAGGTGGCCATCTTGCCATGGAAGAAGAGACGAAGAAGCAGCACTTGAAGAAGAAGGCGAAGAAGTTTTCCATCAGCACTACACCGCAAAAAACGCTGAACGACCGTCCTTCGGGACATTTGGTCAATTTGTTACAAATACAGAGAAGATTAGCATGGCCCCTGCATAAGGATGACACGCTTTACAAAGAGATTTTACCTGTTTTTTTGTCTGGGTGCTCAAGCAGCAGAGTCCTCTGCTGCTGCTGCTGCTGCTGCTTTCAGAGCTGCCTCCAGAGCTGCTTCCAGAGCTGGGGCAGCAAGAAAGAACTGTGCCAGGCTGTGTCGTCGGTTCGACTCCTGCCGGGGGCCTTCTGAGTTTTTCTGGTGGTTGTGCTGATTTTGCTTCGAACTGTGTATTAGTGTCTGTGTACTATTGAAAGACAGAGCTCTCTGAGCTGGGTGTGGCCTTTGCCAGTGTGGTCTATATACTTGTAGACGCATCCACTGAGAAACTTGGTGTTGTCGCCCAACATGCTGCTTGCCATTTTGAGCTGCGCATTGGTCCTGTAAGCATCGCTACTTTCAACCTGCCTGCAGATATCTCTGCAATAGCTGATGAAGTTGACAAGAATTTCAGCTTTGCCATCCACCAAATGCACAACTGTCTTTTGGTACTTGTTTGCGTCTTCTTTGTTTCCACCCGAATTCAGCCTTTCATATTCAATAAACAAAATCGATAGCGTCTTGATTTTCGGCATTAGATAGTTAATAGGAATGGTTTTGCCAGCTTTCTTGATTCCTAAAATGTTTTCATCTGTAAATTCAAACAAATTTGCATCAATTAGTTTAACTATACTTTCATTAAAGTCGTCACCATTGCTATCATCAACACTATTCAATTTCAAATAACTATTATTAATAATTGACAATAATTCATTAACACTCAAATAACTTTCAAACTCATTTATCTCAATCACCTCATTATTAACAGCAGCATTGTGATTTGAAAACGGAAACTTGTATAAAACTGTATTTATCAATAAATCTAGTATTTTATTTTCCTTTTGAAAACTCGTCATAAATTCATTGAATTTATGATAGTTTTTATTCAGTTTTAAGAAATTTTCAAAGTAATTTCCAAGAAATTTTAATATAATCTTGAAATTGATATTTAGAATTGGATAAAATTTAAATTTAAAATTCTTTTTAATCAATTTATTTATTTTAATCAAATTGTTGTTATTAATTAAAAATATTTCATTGATATTAATTTCATTAGTATTAATTTTATTAATATTATTCAATTTGTAATTATCTTTTAAATCTTTTAGATCACTTGCTATTTTCTCATCCTTTAAATCCGCTTCAATCGTATCAATTGGTGCTGTTGTCAACACTTTCAATAAAAAAAATAAACTTTGGCAATAATATGGACTTTCAATAAACGATTTATTATAACTTTTTTCATCAATGTCACTACTCAAATCAACTAGTCCAATAACCCTGTTCATTAAATCAGGATAGCTGTTAATTAAAAAAACCCTGACACCTTTACTAGAAATCGAATTGTCAATTATTAAAAACATTGACGTCAATATCAAATTATTCTCAAGATCTATTTCACTCGATGCTTCATTGTAAATCAAATCCAAAACAAACTTCAAATCATTCAAATTGTCGTACTTTAAATTGCTCGATAAATTGGCAAAACACACATAAACACCCTCTGTTATTGTTGAAAACAATGTTTTTTCATTGGATGCATCATCGTCCTCATACACTTGTTTATTAATCTCGTCAATTTCTATCAAATGCTTGTACAATTCGTTAATTAAGTAAATCAATGACGTTAACCAATTCCGTCTTTTATAATCAAATGATATGATCTCTGATAATATTTTCAATATTTGAGGAAATCCAATTAATATTCGGTAAATCGAAAACGATTCATCAGAATAATCACTCTCATATCCCTGGATCGCTACTGCTTTTCTATTTTCATTCAAACTGTCCTTAAACATTACTAAAATCGAAGATAAAATTCTCCTGAAAACATCAATCCAACTATCTAAAATTGTATAATCAATTCCAATGCACTGCTGTCCTTGGTTGAATTCAGTGTAATAATTTAGTAATTCTATAATGATTTGAAATTCTTGCAGAAAAAATGACAATAAACGAGTCGAAATGTGTAAGTGATCAACATTAAACATTTTAATAGAACTTAGTAAACAAGTTAATAACCGATAACGTTCAATAAGCAATATAACCAACTTTTTCCCAGTCTCGCTATACTTATCATCAATTAACACAATGTTTTTCAACAAGTGCAGGATTCGAAGTGAGATAACAAGAATCTGCTCATGGTGTTTGTCACCAGAACCTTGAGACGAAGCTCCAGACAAAAGTCTTTCGAGAAATGTCACCACATTCTGAACAAACACATTTCGCTCCATCAAATTAAGACGACTTGGATCACTATTAGCACAAAAGTTCACCAAGACTCGCAAAAGCTCCATTAAAAGCTCGTAGATATTGGTATCATCGTCTGGATGGGCGAAGAACAAAGCTGTATAAAAATTGAAATCCAGTACTATATCATCAATCACATCAAGTATCCTGGGGTGCAGTCGAAAGTCATCGTCGCTGTAACCCAAAAATCTAGCAATGTTGGTCAAGGCATCGAGATAGTTCTGGCGCAGGTTGTTTGATACCTTAGTGTTGTTGTTCTGTGAAATGCATAACAGCTTGAATTGCGTCAATGCAAGCTGGTTTTGTTTGGAAATAACCAAAGTCGCCATCCTAGAGTAGTTGGGAAAGAGGGTATACAAACCAAAGAAGTGCTGCTTCTTCTGCTTCTTCTGCTTCTTCTGCTTCTTCTGCTTCTTCTGCTTCTTCTGCTGCTTCTGCTGCTTCTGCTTCCTTGTTGCCACCTCAAACAGGACTCATTAGGGCTCTAACAACCCTCGGATGTGTTGAGCGGAACTGAAAACGTCTCACGTGCGCATTTTTCACCTGAAGTGTGATTTGGTTTTGTTTAAACACATTTTCTCTTTCGTCCCAATCAGTAGTTTTCGTTCTGGCTTGTTTGGCGTATTTTGTGTGTTCCTTCTATTTCGTCTGATTTTAAAAGATACCTTGACATCCTTTTATAGTCGAGGGAAATTGTTTTCCACTGCTCTATTTGACTTCCACTTTTTTTTTAGCTGAATTAAAACAAAGGAACGAATATTTTTTTGTCAGGTAATTTTCTTTGTTTCTCACTTCATTATGAATGGCCATACCAAGACCTATGGAGTCACAGATCCCATTTCTTTAGCGGCTTCAAGTGATGCTGAAAATAAACTAAACAATCAATTGATTGTTGAATTGAAATTGCAAAACTCCTTTGAATCCGAAAGTGAAACTCGTAAAAGAGTCGAAGTTCTTCAAATCTTGCAACAATTGGCTGAGAATTTTGTCTATAAAGTTTCAATCAGTAAAAACATGTCCGAAGGCATGGCCAAGGATGCTGGTGGAAAAATCTTTACTTTTGGTTCCTATCGATTGGGTGTTTATGGCCCAGGAAGTGATATCGATACTTTAATAGTTGTCCCTAAACATGTTTCCAGAGAGGACTTTTTCACTGTGTTTGATCAACTATTAAGAGAAAGAAAAGAACTAGATGAAATTGCTCCCGTACCCGACGCTTATGTTCCAATCATCAAAATCAAATTTTCTGGAATTTCAATTGATTGTATTTGTGCAAGATTAGATATCAGTAGAGTACCTAGTAATTTAACTCTTAGCGATAAAAACTTGTTAAGGAATCTAGATGATAAAGATTTAAGAGCTGTTAATGGTACAAGAGTTACTGATGAAATTTTGCAATTGGTCCCAAAACCAATGGTTTTTAGATACGCTCTAAGAGCCATTAAACTATGGGCTAAAAAAAGAGCCGTTTATGGAAATGTTTATGGATTTCCTGGTGGTGTTGCTTGGGCAATGTTAGTAGCAAGAATTTGTCAATTATATCCAAATGTTTGTGCTGCCGTTATTGTCGACAAATTTTTCTATATATTGACCCAATGGAACTGGCCCCAGCCTGTCTACTTGAAACCAATTGAAGATGGTCCTTTGCAAGTCCGGGTCTGGAACCCTAGATTATATGCTCAAGATAGACAACACAAAATGCCTGTTATAACACCTGCATACCCATCAATGTGTGCAACTCACAACATCACTGCTTCCACAAAAAAAATCATAACTAACGAATTAATTCGGGGGAGCAAAATAATGAATGATATCTCAAACGGTGTGAAAACTTGGAAGGATTTATTTGTTAAACATGATTTCTTCCACAAATATAAAATATACTTGGCTGTTGTAGCTGTAACAAGAGGCAATGATGAGCAGCATTTAAAATGGAGTGGATGGATTGAATCAAGAGTCCGTTTATTTGTCGGAAAATTAGAAAATCATAAAGGAATAGCTATGGCTCATCCATTCGTTCAAGATTTTCAGCAGTCCTTTTTAGTTCAAGGTGATAGTAAAAACAGTCATCTTGATAACGATAACGATAATAATAATAATAATAATAATAATAATAATAATAATAATAATAATAATAATAATAATAATAATAATAATAATAATAATAATAATAATAATAATNTAATAATAATAATAATAATAATAATAATAATAATAATAATAATAATAATAATAATAATAATAATAATAATAATAATAATAATAATAATAATAATAGTGATAATAATAGTAATAATGATAATATCAAAGATGATAACACACATCCGGAAAAACTCCTAAAAAGAAATATAGACCCACTAATAAGTATGTTAGGATCAAAAGAAGTAAATGATCTTATTGCATCAAATCCTACGATATATACCGAAATAACTGAAGACAATAAGAATAATCCAAATATAAAATCTATATTGAAAAAGATTAATGAAGATAATAACGATGCATCAAATAATAGTGATAATGATGAAAATGGAAACATAGCTACAAACATCAATGGCAATAGCCTGGAAAGCAATGAAAACAATTTGATTCAGAATGACAGTCTAAATATCAGTGTTGTTCATGGAAACACCCTTGAAAACGGCGATAAAACAGACAATTTGATAGACCATCAGTTAGATATTAATAAAAAATACGCTCAACTACACTCAACTACACTATACGTCGGGTTGGAAATAAACTTGAATAGCAATAACAACAACGCTGGAAATAGTGCCAATGGTAACAGCCCAGGTGAAAGGAAATTAGACATTCGTGCCCTATGCCAGGATTTTTACCTTGTCTGTCGCAGCCTCCAGGAGTACGATGAAACTACATACGATATTTCGATCAAGAGCATCAAATTGTACAACTTGCCAGATTTTGTGTACGATTTGGCCAAGGGCGAAAAAAGGCCTTTGAAGGGAAACAAAAACAAGAAACGAAAAAACGATAAAAACAGCAAAAAACCGAAAAAAATAAAAAACACTCTGAAAGGCAAAAACTAGCGATTGTGTAACCAGAGTCGATACCCATTTAGTTCCCGGCAAATCTCCAGGGCTCCCAACGATTCTTAAAAACTTTTAGTGCGTATTGATATTTTTTGATTTTATATCCCATCTATAGCTTTGTTAGTTTCGTATATACCTCAGATTTAATAAACATCATATGGCCGTGCTGGGATGCACAGCCCTGCGTGTAAATCTGGACACGTCTTTCGGCTTCGCTTCTGGACCAAGCTCTGTATAAAAGTAGGTATCCCGTGACTATCACGTGCAGTATATCTGGTCTAGGATGGCCAATCAGAGGCCAGCTTTAGCAAATACAAAGGCCTCCAGTTCAAACAGCGACTGTCGTTTTTTTCATAGGTGGAAAAGTGAGCAGATTCTGTGATTTAAGTTTTCTGGGAGTATATTAATATATCAGCACAAATCATTATTGCCAACCATCCACAGAACAACCAGTGGTAGTCCTGCTGACCCAGATTTCTTTCTTCTATATTCTAGTCTGTTTCTTTCTCCATATTCAACGCCAGTGCCCTCCACAATTATATTCAGAGTATGTTTGCACCTTTTGCCTTTTTTCTAGGAAATTCAGCGAGAAACAGTGAAATATCATTCAAAAAACTGTATAGACAGAAACATTTGAAAAATTAGACATTCAAACCAAAATCAATATTGCATTACTTGTGAGCATTTATAAAATAATTACCAAATGGTCCTTTGTTAGACAGATCGAAAATATTGAAAAATCCTTCAAAAAAGAGAAAAATCAACTCAAATTAATATGCTCTCAAAATATTATTGGTAAAAACATTTTCTGCTTTTTTTTAGATCAATGAATTTAGATAAACAATGCAGTCATCCAGATTGTGTGATTGTTTTAAACAGTTCAAATAATATAATCTAAATGAAAAATGAAAAATGAAAAATAAAAAATAAAAACAAAGAATTGAAAATTGAAAATTAAATTACTGTTTTTTAATCTTGATTTTCATCTAAATTTATACTAACAATTATTGATTGTTTTTTTGATCATATTTTAGAATGTTTGCTCTTCGTACCAAATCTGCATTCAGTGCTGCTAGGTTGATTTCTTCACCAGTCAACTCCACTAGATTTTTCTCCATCTCAAGATTTGTTTTAAATTCAAATTCCAACCCAAATACTCCAGTTAAAACTGCCAACTCTTTAAGTGAAGTTGAAGGTCCAGAAACTCTTATTGGTCCTGGTGCCAAACCAGACACTGTTCCAACCGATTTAGAACAAGCTACTGGTTTAGAAAGATTGGAATTATTAGGTAAATTTGATGGTATTGATTTCTTTGATCAAAAACCTTTGGATGCCTCAAGAAGAGGTACAATTGCTGACCCAATTGTTGTAGATTCATTCGATGATAACAGATTTGTCGGTTGTACTGGTTATCCAGCTGATTCCCATGAGGTCTTATGGTTAAATCCAACTGTCGACCAAGTCGCAAGATGTTGGGAATGTGGTTCAGTTTATAAAGTAAATAGAGTTACAATTCCACAAGCTGATCCTCACCACCATTAAATTGAAATTCAGAAATCAAATTGAAATTGAAATTGAAATTGAGATTGAGATTCAAATTTAATAAACTCAATTAATTTAATTTACTTTACACCAAATTAATCTGAATTAACCTGTATTAAACTAGATTTATCCAAGTTAACCTAGATTAAGCTCTTTTAATTTGTCTTTGATTCATTGTTTCTATCTTTCAATTTAAACGATATAATAACGATAGTCAACTGTACTAACCTTTATCTTTTATCTAACTCTTCAATCTTCAGCTTATTAAACAATCTTTATTTTTTTTTCCCCATTAATTTCAATTTTTCTTATAGTTTTCATTATTTTTATTTTTATTTTTATTTTTATTTTTATTTTATTTCTTTAATATATATCTGGTTTTAAATTATAAATATAATTATATTCTTAAATACAAATAAAAAACGTATAACATGTCGTGGCAAATGGTCACTTGTTCTATAATCTACCTAAAAGTTATATCAAAAAAATTATAATAGTTAATGAGTAATTTATTGATGAAATAGTTGTGAAATTTTTATATATTAAAAGATTACTAGAAATTCTTAAAAATAATTTAATATCCAAAATATCATTATTCAATCATAAAAAGAAAAAAAAAACAATTAGTTATAATTACAAAGTAATTAACAGAAAATTTAAAATTCAATTGCTTAGATTTTTTCAGAAACAAGACCATGTTTCCAAACAATAACGTATGGAGTAGTACCATCTTCACGATAGTTTAATAAGATAACCATACCATCTGGGTTCATAGACTCTGTGGTGTAGAAATCAAAATCTTTGAAATTCTTAATAATCTTTTTAGCATAAACAGAAGCACCCTTTTCGAAAGCTTTTTGTTCTTCTGGTTGATCAGCTAATTTAGCTTTAATAACCTTCATATAGGCTTTAAGATGAGTAAGATAACTCTTCTTGTCAAAACCAGTGGATTGTAAACGGAAAGAGTTAACAATGTTGTTAACAGTTTCAACACCATCTTCTAATTCTTCACCAGCATCTTCGGCAGATGGGTTAGCACCAATATCAACATCAGCACCTGGTTTGACTTGGATCATTTGACAGTTAACTTCGTAGACAACATTGTCGACTAAATTTAAGTCGTAGGCATCAGATAAGACTTCGTCGCTGGTAATAATATCTTTAAAAATAAGCATGGTGAATTATGATAATGGAGCTAAATAATAAACAAAAAATAATTCAATTGTTTGCTTCAACTTATAAAGTTTTTTCACATAACAAGAAAAAAGAAAAAAAAAAAAATTGAAAAATAGGGAATTTGAAGCTATCCGGGTAAATCAACCACGTGTTTTGAAAATTCTGCAAACAAACGCGACTGCGCGTTAGATGCAAATATCAATGGTTTAATGCATATATACGCGTGTTGAATTAGTTACCGTCATGGTGGTTTGTTTCTTCAAGGTTTTGGATCTTGAGGTGCTTTTGCTTCTTGAGCATTTACTGTTTTTGGTGTTACAATAAAGCAGGTATCTTCTAAAGAAATGCTTTTATCAATATATTTTACTATTTTGACATTGAAACCTCGTTGTTCGACTGCGTATTTCCTGCTTTCGTCGATAATTCTTCTCACTCTAAATCCAATTTTTTCTCTTTCTAGGACATTTAACCCAGAGGGATGATCATTAATATCATCATCTTTCATGTTGGGTCTTCTTCCACAAGTGGCCCAGGATGATAGTTTGATTAGTTGATTGAAATCTTTTTGATCAACGATTCCTAATTTTCTGAAATAATCTCTGGATTCAGGTAATAAACAGGTGTAATCACAACGATGTCTGCAACACATTGCAATAATCAAACCCGAGAATCTTTCTAGCAATAATTTGCTATTAAAGATACATCTTAATGTTAAATCAGTTGCAGCTCCACATAAATGTTTTGAGATTCCTATAAATGTGCGGGTTTGATTTTGATTTTGATTTTGATTGAAATTAGTATCGTTTTGGATGACCTGATCTAAACTTAGATCTTTGATATCAATTTTAATTCTTTTAATATATGGCTGAGAGTTGAATAGACTGTTTGTATTTTCATTAATGTTTTTAATTTTAAAATCATCAAAATCTTTTATCATTTTAGAATCCATTTTTAACCGGACAGGAGATCTATCGATTAATAAAAAATTTGGTATAGTAACATTTTTGTTATTGTTATTTAGTAGGGATTCTTGAATCGATGATTTTAAGATATATCTGGATAGCTCAGCTCTGCCACAACCAAATTCGATATAGGTGAAATTGGTAATGTAGTTGTTATGAGGATTTGGAAATAGATTTAAATCGATTAGTTGTTTAATTAAAGATGATTGTTGTAGAATGTGTTTTTGGTTATGCAATTGTTCGATTCTTTTTTCGATTATTGAATTTTCACGAAAGGTTTTAAATTCATTTAAAAGTGGAGAAGAATTGTAATTTTTAATATTAAAGTAAATTTTATTGACTAAATTGATGAAATACTCATAATTTATTTTATTTGTTTCATCATCATTAAATTGAACAAAGTTTTGGGTATTTAGGTTAAAGTCGTTAATAAACCATGGATCGGTATTTTGTTTATTTTGTTTGACTTTGTTACATTTAATTAGATGTTTTTTCAAGTCGAATTGCCAAACTGAATGTTTTGGATCAATTGGACAAGGAATTCTTTTATTGTCATTAGTATTAGTATTATTATTAGTATTATTATTGTCGTTAGTAATGTTATTATTGATTGAATTATTTTGATAGATTAAATGTTCAGCACAATAGGTGTTTTCTTTTTTTCTTGTCATTGCACATCTTCTATTTTTCTTAGGTAGTATATATTCACATTGTAATCTTTGTGATTTTGAATCAGTATTTTTTTTTAGATTATATTTTTGACGTTTAATTTTATTTTTGGATATATTAGTATTAGTATTAGTATTAGTATTAGTATTAGTATTAGTATTAGTATTAATATTGATATTGATATTGATATTGATATTGATATTATTGTTAATTGGATTTTTTTCAGTGGAATTGGATAAAGATCTTTTCAGTTGATTATTCAAGTTATTGTTATTATTTTTATCATTACTAATTTGATTTACATTTAAAGTTTGATTTATATTTGAAGATATCATTTTTATATAAATTTTAAAATGAAATGTCAAAAATACAAGGAAATGAAAAGAAAAAGAATTGAAAATTTTGGAAAAATAATAAATAGAAAAGACCCGCTACAATGGAAGAAATAGAAATATGCATGAATAGACAGTTGATTGCATTAACATGGCATACAATTTTAATTTGTAAGAAGTCATTTTTTAGTTGAGGTTGGGGAAAATATTCATTTAAATTGAATAAAAAGATTGAGAATAAACCACTTGGAAAAACAGTTTAAAGCAATAATTTTGGAAAATGATATAAAAAGAGGATGATTTTGTTTGATAAAAAATTAGAGTAAATTAGAATAATAGTCCGGGATGAGTCTAAGCAAATATTTAACGGCTAATAATAAATTGAACATTAGTAAAGTGATTGTCAATGGTGATAAACAACATCAAAGATATTATGTGGTTTGTTTGCTTAATAGAAGTTATATTGGAGACAAGTTAGGATTGATTTACGAGAAAGAAAATGCAGCTGATATGGTGAATGCAGAGGGACAACGAGACAAGGCGATTGAGCAGGAAAGGAAGGAGCAGATAGATATTGAAAATAAAGGATGGGAGCAATTAAAGAGATTCGGAGGAAATTGCAGAGAAATTAATGAGGATGAGAACAATTAGGTGGAAAATCGAGCGAAAAGAAAACAAGAAAACAAGAAAACAAGAAAACAAGAAAAAAGAAAAACAAAAATGATGCTTATTCATTAAAAACTGGGTTATCAGAAGAATATTTGTTTATCTCGAGACAACTTAAGTAATTGTCTGGAGAGTATTTAGCTTGAATAGCGCTGATTAGTGGTAATCGCAGAATAGAATTATGATGTAAAGTGAAAGTGATTCCATGTTTCCAACAATAGCATGCTCTGATAAGCAGAGCCGGAGATGGATGAAGGAACTCGTCTGACTCAGCAAGGCAGGTGCCGAAACAGTAGGGGAAGTACCTTAAAAAAGGGTGCATACATCCTTGCACACACACAGACCATCCTGTTCAAAAACAAAAAACAGGTGATTTCCCACACTTTAGCGCTCACGTCAACGTCAAATCAGAACACAGCACCGAGCGCTCTCTAATTGAATACCGGAGGTGTGTTATCCGTTACCAATGGCGTTTTCTGTTGTCTTTTCTATCGCATTTCCTGAGCCATTCCCAAAACATTGCCAATGGCACGATGCCAGCGAGCAGAAACAGCTTAAATACTTCCCCAGGGACTGGCTTTTCTGCTTCCTGCTCTCGTCACAGTCTCCATTAATTCTCCGCCAAACATTTCCAGCAATTTTCTACTATGAGCAGTGCTTTATTCACAATGATACGCCCCATGGTCTCCAAAAACAACGGTGTTGTGAGGAATGCCAAAGACAAGTTCCTTCGAGACATCAAAGACAACAACAGTAACAGCAGCCATCTCTCTATGCTCCCCTCCTCCAGCTTTACAAACTTGTTTCCCAACGTGGAGCCCTCCTCGCCTCTCGTTCAGAACTCGCCATTGCTTCTCAGATCCAGCCAGACACACAGCCAGATAGAAAGTGTGGAGGACTTGGAAACAGAGATACACAAGAGGTTTGCCGGTCTCGTCGTTGCTGAGTTCAACAAAGCTGCTGGTGCAGGGCACCTTGACAGCAGAGTGGTGCACACACTCTCTGACTTGGAGAGTGAGGTGTGTGCGAGTATACTCGTTGGCTAGTCCACTCTAAATCTCTTATGCACTTCTCGCTTTTATTTTTAGTTAGATATCTCTTATGCCCACGTTTACGCCCATTCCCGCATGTTCCCGATTATTGCCGTTATTTTATACCTCTCTTTATACCTCTTTTATACCTCCTTTATACCTCCTTTATACCTCTTTTATACTACACATTTTCCGCTTACATAAGCACCCACTACTAGTCACTTACTGAGCACGTGATCATGGTCCCAAAAGGGCAATCTCTGTTTACGCCAGGAGATACTTTTCATCAAAGCTGGAGGGCGCTTTGATTTGCCAATTACTTTTATTTTGAGGTCGTAATACTCTCAAGACCTGTTAACTTTTGCTGTTGTTTTCTTGCACTCCTCGGTTCTGTTCTGCTACTCCATTTTTTCTGCAAAATGGGTGACAACGTCCAGCTTTTCAATCTTCCCTATATCGAATTCAACTTTACTTTTATAAATACTGACTATTTACCTGACTTCAATTACAAACTATACCTAAATGACATCAACAACTTTATAAACAACAACATCAATATCTTCGAAATATTTGCCAAAAAATTCAACTTGAACTTGAACTACTTGAATTTTTACACCGATGACAACGACAACAACACCAATACTGATGATACTGACTCCAAAATTAATAGCCCAAATAGCGACAAAAAAAATTACAGGTTAATTGATTTGCTAAATTTCAAAAACATCCTCAACATTAACCAAAACAACATCAAGATTAAAATTAATTGCTACATTTTAAATCACTTGCAGATTAATAATTTTCATTTGTACCAGTCTTTAAACAATGACTCAACTTTCCTTAGATTTTATTCTCTAAATAACTCAAACAATTATTTAGACAACCAAAATCAATTTCAAGACTACAACCAAAACACTATCACCTTACGATTTCTCAATAAATTTAACAACACATCCCTTGATCTATCAAACTCCTCTTCTCACTCCCTTTCTAACCCAGCTTCTAACATATCTTTCAATCCAACCTCTTTCAACAAATACTTACCAATATCCTCCCCTGACTTGAATTTATCTTTCAAAACTGATAATAAAAAACCAATTTCCTTCAGTTTGAATCTGATCATTCAGTATTATTTCAAATACTTATTTGTCATCACCAACTATTCCAATTCTTTGACCAACTTACAGAATTTATCTTCACCATCTTCATTAAATTCAACCGATCCTTCTGTCTTAGTTTTTAAAAAACGCTATAAAAAATTCTTACATTTCATCAGACAAAATTTCAAGTTTTTCAAAATTTACTACAAATTCAACTGCATTTTAATCTTAGATAACAATTTCAACGAAATTGATCACCAAAGTTCAATATCAACAATAAATAGAATCACCTCAAAAAACTTATCCTCTTTCTCAAACCTAGAAATTTATCCCATAGAATTTAACGAATCCTATACTCTATACGATAATAAACAAGTCTATAACTCAAATGATTACGTTATTAAAAACTCTCAAAAAATCAAATCCTTTTTAAAACTACAAAACTCAAATTTACGTTCTCAAAAAAAATTCTCTTCAATATTAAATAAAAAAGTTTTTGATTCAAATTATTCAAATTTCATAAACAAACCCAATAAAAATTATACCACCACCACCACCACTACTAACAACAACAACAAACCAATGAGTAAAAATAAAAACTTTTTAGTCAAAAATTCCTTTGACATTTTAAACTCCTTTAACAACACAACCCAACCAAATGGCACCTCTAAAAGACGCTCTAGTAAAAACAATAATGAAAATACTTCAGATCAAAAGCCAAACCCAACTCAAAAAAATAGCTGGGAATTTATTAATCTAATTAATGACATTCTCAGCAATAACAATGGTTCCTCTTCCAAAAATTTTGATGATGTCGGCGTCAACATCAAATTAAATCATCCAGATTATACCTCATCCAATAATAGATATTCCACTGAAAAACATCAATTACCAGATCCAATTGTCTCAAAAGATTCAAAAGGTTCAAGTAGCTTTATAGCTCTTTCTAATTCTAATTCTGATTCCAATTCCGATTCCAATTCTAATTCCAATCCCAATCTACGTTCAAAGTCATCTTTTAGAAATTATTCGCACCAAAAGACAATAAACGTCTCAAAAAGATCAAGATATAATTCAAGTTCAATTTCAAATCCAAAATCAATATCAATATCAAGATCAAGATCAAGATCAAGATCTAGATCAAATCCAATTTCAAATTCAAAATCAACTTCTTCAATTTCTCAAAACAAGAATTTTATTTTTATTGATGATTCTGATTCCGACTCTAGTTTTGAAACAGAAAATCAACTCAAAATGAAACCTGATACCCCTATTGAAACCAGAAGAATGTCAAAGAGAAACCAATCTTTTTATAGAAAATCAAAAGATGATACCAAATATACAAGTTTAGCTATTGACTTAACCGATTCTGATTCAGAAAAACCTTCTTCCGAATTAACCCCTCAACTTGATGAAACTCAAAAGGTTTTAAAAAAAGAAATTGGTTTTTCCAAATTAAATCCCAAGCAAAACTTCAAACAAAAATCTATTGCCCAACAACTTTCTGATTTTACTTCTTCCTCTTCTAATGAGGACGATTTTGATTTTATAACTTCCCTTCCTTATTCCGAAAATCAACCTTCTAGAAAGAAAAAAAAACCTAAAAGGTATTCTCCTACAGAAAATGAAAATGAAAATGAATCTACTAAAAATATTTTACCAACAATCCGAAGAAAAATCGCCAAAAGAGATCAACTTGATGACCAAAATAATGATAAAGTTTTTCAACTTAGTAGTAGCAATGAAAGCTCCAACGACTCGGGTTTCAATAAAAGAAAAAAGCTAGATTTAAGTTCAGATGATGAAAATTCAAATTACTATGGTGATAATGACGATGATAAGGATAATAGTAAAGCTGATCTAGCTTCCAATCACATAAGAAAGAGATTAAGAACTGCCACACAAGAAAATCAAAAAAATAATTTTGTTGAAAAAAAAGCTGATGTGGTAATTTTGTCTGATTCTGAGGTAGAAGTGTTAACAAACAAGAATTCAAAAATTATAGATACCGAAGCTACACCCCATCCTCAATTAGAGAAAAAAGATAGCTCTATTCCGAAAATTCAACACGAAATGAACCATCAACCGCCTAAGTCGAGACGAGGTAGAAAACCCAAATCAACTACCCAAAATAGGTTTTTGAACAGAAAGATCACAAGAAGATCAACAAAACAGAACGAAAAACCATTTTCTCATAATAAGGTAATTTCTGATTTTGAATCTGATGAAGATTCTAATGAAGATTTTACATTGATTTCATCTACTATTAAAAAACAGGACTTGGATGGCAATTTGACGAGAAGATTAAGAACTTCAACCATTTTAAAGATTTCTCCAAAGAAATTAACATCCAAAAAAGGTGAAAATTTAGAAAAAAATAGAAAGACGGTTTTTGGAAGACCAAATATTAAATCAAAAGATTTGAAGAATGTAAAAGATGAAAATAATAAACATTATGTTATTAACATTGAAGATAAAGATGAGGAAGACAAATTTGAATCATCCACTGTTGAAATAAATAAAAATGATGACTTGGAATCAGAATTGGAATCTGAAGAACATCGTGTTTCTGAAACTAACATTAATCAAACAAAGAACAAAAGAAAATCAAAGCGTAAAGAAGATAAAGAGGATAAAATAGATAAAGAGGACATTGAACTAAAGAATAAATATGTTATTGTTTCAGAAGACGAAGTAAAAACTGATATTTTTGAAATCAACAATCAACAAAGAACTAAATCAAAAAACATACAAAATAAGGATAAAGAAAACCATAAAAGTGATACAACCGTGGCTGTTGAGAAATATATTAAATTATCAAAGGGAAGAAAAATGAGCACTGGAAGGATTAAAAAGCCTATTTCTAAAGGGGCAAGGCATTCTTCAAGATTGCAAACAACCGCTAAAATTCAAAAGAAAAGTGGAGAAATTATTGATATACTGGATTCATCAAGTGAAGATGAAAATAATGAAGATGAACTTCAATCTAAGGTTAAGATTGTTAAATCTAAATCATCAGAAGGTTTATTTGTTAGCGATGAATCAGAAGAAACTATTAATGTGGATGATGTGACATCTGCAAAATTGGACGAGCCTTCTGTTGTGATTAAAGCCAAAGAGGAATCTATTATCACTGATTCAAGCCCAGTTAACAATGAAAAGACCATAAATGAAATAAAGCTAAAATCATTTGTTGAAAATTCTCCAATTCAATCTTCTTTTACTACCAGTGAAATTTTCAAAGGATTTGTTAGTAAGATAGTTAGTAGCTTTCGTCCTAGATCTGAAACCTCTATTTCATCTTCTATTAACGAAAACCAAAATAAAGCTGAAACGGAAATTCAAGAAAAAATTGATGAAAAGGTTGATGAGAACGTTCAAGAAAAGGTTGAAGTTGAGAAAAAAAATGTAGACAATAAAAACTCCTTCAGTGATGCCAGTATGGACGAAGTTTTTGTTGAAGCCTCAGAAATAATTACTTTTATTTCTTCAGATGAAAATGATGAGGGTTATTATCAGAAACTGGATTTAGTTTACAATGAAGATGAAATTTTTATTGAAAAAACTCAAATGTTTTTTTTTGAAGAAGATGCTTTCATTCAAAGTTCTTTAAAAGACGTTGCAGAAAAGATTGAAAACTCGGATAAATTGGTTTTTAGTGATAAAAAAGTCAATGAGAGTAAAATTTTGTCTGAAGTAAACAATAATCTTGATAGGATAAAAGTTGATACTGAAATTGAAAAAAAGAACGAAGGGGAAACAGTTGATAAGTTGTCAAGTGAAAAAAGTATTGATAAGAATCCAGAAAATACCCTGGATTCAATTTCAGATGATGTAGTAAATTCTGAAAAAGAAGAAATTAAAAATATTATTAATCAAGCTTTGAAAGTTGATTCAAACAAAGAAAGCTCTGAAAACGATGAAAACATTAAAAGCAGAATTTCTAACCAAGATTTTACTCTAGAAAAAATTAATGGAAAAACAAGTGAAAAAGAGAAAGAAGCTATTCTTGATAAAATTGATATTCAAAACTCAAATATCGAAAGTCACAATGTTCAAAATGCTGATGAAGAAAAAGATAATGAACAAAGTACTAATAACAAAAATACTGAAAGACTTACTTGGGAAAAAATTGAAGCTGAAAATGAAACCGATGAAAACGAGAAGAATGAAGGAGGAGATAATCAAAACAAAAAGAATGAAAAAATTACTGAAGAAAAAATTAATCAAAAGAAAGGCGTTGAAAATATTACTGAAGCGGATGATGAATATAAGCAAGCATCTGACTTGAAAAGCTCGGAAACAAACAACGAAATAGATGAATTTATCAAAAATAAAATCGATACTACAAACGATAATATAGTTTCCAACACTAGTTTATCAGATGATTATTTTTTTATCAGTAAAAATGAGGAAGCAGAGTTGTTTCAGGCCATTTCTAATGATCTTGATATTACACAACCACCAAAGCAAAAACCGGCACAAAACAATATTGGCAATGGTATCGATTTATCTAGGAAACTAGAAAACTCGATAGGTGAAACAAATATCCAAGGTATTGAAAATAACGGAGTTAAATTTGAAGATAAAACAGTTGAAAATAATGAAATATTTGTTTCCGTTTTCAGTTCTCAAACATATAAAATGTTTGCTGAAAGTGATGAAGAAAATTTTGAGATTTTAGAAAAGGATTGATAATTATTTATTTTGTTTAAAGAGAAAAACAAACATGCTGGAAATTTGAGTCTAAATTGTATTTTACTTTGTTATTACTTAGCCAAAGATTGGATTGTGCTGATTTTGTGATATCTTATTTAATTACTTTAAAGAAAGAATTCACATGTCTCTGTTTTTACTTTTTTTTGTTTTGATTTTATTTATCTTTTTAATTGTTTTGTATTGTATTATTAATTTTTTTTCTTTTAAAGCATCATGTATAATCTCAATTTATAATAATAAAAGTTTTATTGATATCATATTTAAATAAATTCATTCATCAGCTAGATTTAAGCCATTTGATGAGATTCAGAATAAAGGAGCAATAACTGATATTCATTTATTAGCTTTTGTTTTTATTTATTTGAGAAGAAAATTGAGGCAATTAAAAATCAAACAAAAATAAGTAAAAAAAAGAATATTTGAAAATCAAAAAGAAGATAATATATAGTTAAAAAACTAAATATAAAATAATAAAATAACATTGTAATAAAGAAGGTGGACAAAATTTTAAAATTAAAAATATTTTAATTACACACTAGCTACTTTGAAATTCTTGCATTAATAGTTATAGGAGGAGATTTGGGTATTTGAGAATGATCAAATCTGTGGTTATTAGTATTGTCACTACTATTAGTAACATTAATAGTGTTTTTGCCAATTAAATTGATTAATTTCTCATTTTTATTTTCATCATCATCATCATTATTAGCAGTAACAGCGGTGTCAGTGGCATCATTATTAAGATTATTGATATTGCTGTTATCATTATTGATTTTATCGATATTATTATCGATGCTACCATCAATGCTACCATCAATACTGGCATCAATATTTGCATCAATATTAGCATTTATATTATTTAAATTGGATAAATTTAAATTATCATTACTGTTGATTTCATCATCAGAATTCAAATTTATACTTGCACCTGCAAATGCATTAAGGTTAGAAGTTGGAGAAGATCCAACTCTATGGTTTAAAGCTCTTGAACTTGATGAAGAAATTGAGTTATTTTTCTTTCTGTTTGTATATCTTTTTGTTGGTATTTTAACACCTTGTTCAGCAAAAATAGTACTTAAAGGGCTTGAGGGCGTAACACCAGGAAACTTTTTAGCACTATAAACAGTGAAAGGTTCGCTAAAAGTTGATTTTAAAATTGGAATTGACCAATTCATTTGATTTGATGAATCATCTACTGGAGAATTTGGAGATGAGGGCGAATCATTACCTAATGAAGAATCAGTAGATTTTAATAGGTAGTAAGGAGAAATTTTAAAAAGACAAAACTTCAAAGTAAATTTACCTTCAATTCTAACGGACAAGTCAGGGAAAACAAACCATAAGCCCCTGGTATTACTGGTATCGTTTAATTCTAGAACATTTGAAACAGTATTACCAATTAAATTTCTAGTTGGGGAAGTTGGGTCCAAGACCTTGTCGTATATTAAAGTTGAATGAACATTTGGGATTTCTGGTTGTTCATTATCAAGACTATTGATATTATTATTTTCATTGTTATTAGCATTATTGTTATTGTCGTCGTTAATAATAGACATGACGTTGTTATTTGCATTTTCAAGTGCATTTGTCATTGCTACATCATTTTGAATATTAGAGGCTCCGTTATTGGCGTTATCATCATTGTTACCATTAACATTGCCATTACCGTTTCTATTGACTTGGTCACTATGGTTATCTTGGATATTTAATTGAGATTTGTAGTTGGTTAGATTTGTGTCTATTTTGTCTAACAAGTTGTCGTTTGAAGTAAAGATATTATTATCGTTACTATCATTACTGATTTGGTTGTTGTTACTATTATTAGTATTGTTATTGATATCGTTAGTGTTATCATTAGTATTACCGTTATTACTATTGTGACTATTGGTAAGACTGTTGAATTTATTGATATTATCAATATTTTCCATATTATCAATATTAGTCATGTTATTGCTAATTATAGTGTCAATATTGCTCATACTGTTATTGTCGATCTGGTTTTGCAAATCATTAAAGGTTTTGTTTGAGCTAAAATCGTTGTAATTATAGCCATTTTGGGCTAATTGATTTAATTGAGTCAAATGGCTCAAATGATTCAAATCATTAGTTAAAGCGTTGTTCAAAGAATTGCTCAAAGAATTGTTCAAAGAGTTATGATTTAATCTTGGAACTGACTGCGATGAAGTTGATTGGGTTGAAATGATAGACAAGTTAATCTTTTTATCGGCGTTCCATAACTCAGCTACAAGCATATAATTTAATCTGTCCTTAATATGATATAGGTTGATTGGAGTGTTATCGTGTTTGTTCAAGATAACGAGCTGGATGCATGGTGGAGGAGAAATTTGTCTTCTATCTTTGTCTCCAAGGCCACACATTCGAGCCCTTACAGGCTGCTGGCCAATTATTAGTTGATAAGCATAGTCCTCTTCACAGACAGCAACAACAGAGCAAAGTTAGTTGATAGACTCCTTTATTGATGGTTAGAAACCCATCAGCATCGCAATCACAGTGACAAAAAGTAGTGGGAACAGATGCAGACGCCAAACAGTGAGGAGGCAGCACCAGCACAGCAGCAATACATACCCTCAGATAGCTCATTCATCGTCAAACAGCTGGCAACACTCTCGAATCAGACGTAGTCAGATACTTCCAGCTGGCAGTGCTTCCTGTGCTTCTTCTGCTTCTTCTGCTGGGCTGAGGACATCCTTCGAGGAAGGAACGACCCACCACATTGGTTGCAATGGTCACAAGAAATTAGTCACGTGTAATTCGCGTGACATACGCGTGTAATAAGTCTCTATATTATCTAGGATAGAACACGAGTCTATGGTTATTACTGGGTTCTATCTATATATTATTATTGGTGAATAATATGTATTTAGCTATTTATATTAAAACTTATTCCTTCTTGTTCTTTTTCTCTTTTAATTCCTTGTTGAATTCCTACTCTTTATATATTGATATTTCTATTAAACTTGGGGCAGTCTGCTTCAAGAACTGAAACACTATTTGTGACGAGTCCCTTTTGAATTGAGTCTTGCTTTGATTACCTAATAAAATCATGTGTCATAAGAATTGCACACGCATGACCACATTTGCCACTGTATTTCCAGAATGGTGTTGTAGCAGTGTTGTGGCGGAAGAGTCAGCTATAGTATGGTGGGTTTATTGCTTTTGCTGCTTTACTGTCGACATATAGGAGTGGCCTTACTTCTTGCCATCTTTCTTGTTCTTGTTCTTACCCTTTTTGTTAGCACCACCGGCTTGCGCAGCATTGGTCTTGTTTTTCTGGCTCTTTTTCTTCTTGCCTGTCTTCTTGGTCCCAGAAGAACCACTATTTTCCTTCTGCATCGCCACTCCAGCAGAGACAGAAGCTGCGCTCTGTAAAGGAATTGGAGCACATGGTATCTCAGCTGGTTTTATTCCAAGTCCAGGATTTCCAGCTGAATTGCTAAAACCGCTTTGAAGAGCATTTAAACTGGCATTGATACTGGTGCTTGCCAATATGTTCGAGCTAGAGATATCGTTTCCATCTTTATTCTTGTCTTCATTTCCACTTGTAACTTGTTTTTTACCAGTATCTGTATGCGGCATATCATCAACTATAAGTTCTCCTCGCTGTTTTCTCTTTAGTTGATTGATTTCCTTTAAATAATACTTTGTAAGAGTCTCGAGATTCTCAACCTCCTTCTTGAACACATGAATCAATTTCTCTCTTTTTTGAATCAATTCTTCCCTTTCAATTTTTTTCTTGTTTAAATACTCATTTTTCAAATTTTCTATTTCTTTATAATTTTTATTATACTCAGCTAAATTTCGGTTTTTTTTACCTAAAAACTTCTCTTTTTTAGCATTGACTGCTTTTAATTCATTATTTAATTTATTTATTTGTTTTTCGTATTCTCGAACCTCACTATCTTGCTGTTTTTCAAAATTTTGAAATTTTCTTTGCAATTTCTCAAAATTAAATTTCTTTTCCAAATATAAATCTTGTAAATCATTCTCTTGATCTCCTAAGTTTTCCTCTTCCTTTTCTAAACGCAATGCTTCAGCTTCTAAGACACATTCTTCATGTTGTAATCTTTCTATCTTAATAACTGTTTTATCTGTTGTTGATTCACTTTCAACTCGAGATTTCAATTGATTAACTTCACTTTTTATTCCGTTAATCATTTTACTTGACTGCTTTCGAATGTTTTTCAATTTATTTCGATTGATATTAATCAAAACATTTGTGGTCTTCAAACTTTGTTGTAATGTATCCAATGGAGTCAATTTCTTATTAACAATTAATTCGTTATTATTGTTATCTCCATTTGAACTATTATTGCCGCCACTATTGCCACTATTATTATTGCCACTATTCTTATTAGTCCCTAATGTGCTAACTGTATGAGTAGCTAATAATAATTCTACTGTTTCTTCTTTATTATCAATAATATTAATTTTCTTATAATTGGGCACTAAATCAATAAATTCCAAGTCATATTGAATATTTGGACCAAGTCCCCCAACAATAATCAATTCGTTATTATTAAATGACCCACTTGAAACTTGTCTCCAAATGACTTTATTAACTTTCACAATTAAATCATTTATAATAATATCATTGATTTGAACTCCAATTGTCGTTTCGCTAATAAAGCAAATAAATGATCTGATGGTTATATCTGGTAAAACATAGTTTTCTTTAACTGTAACTGTTTTTTCATTTTCCAATTCATCGTCCAATGAGGTTTTACCCGAAAATATGTCTGGTCTTGTGAACATTGATTTTGTTGCTGCAACTAATGACCACAATGGTTGGCTTTCTCTAATCTGTGCTAATTTTTTATTAGATTTTCTAATAATAGGAGACAAGTTAAATGGTAATGTACAAAAATTTTCAAAATTAGTTGCAACAACTGTAGATGTTGAAAATAAATTGTTAATTATAGACTCGTTAATTTCGTTTTCATTCATGTTATTATTACTTGGATATGCAGCAGGTGCCAAATCATTTGAATCCGAGTTTTGATTATTTCGTTTTTGATTATAATTTTGTGCGATATTGTTTTCAGTCTCACAATATTTTCCATTCGTTCTATTATTAGCATTGCTATTGTTGCTGTTATTGTTGTTGTTATTGTTATTTTTGTTGCTGTTTTTGTTATTATTATTGTTATTAATATTGTTATTATTATTGTTATTATTATTGTTATTATTATTATTATTATTATTATTTGAATTTAAATTTTCGTTAATATTTTTATTATCAGAGCTATTTTGTTCATTTGCATTATTTGGGTTATTATTACTAGATGAAGATTGTTTGTTCAAATCACAGTTATCATAAGGTAGTCTTAGATTAGCCACCTCATTTGGAATTTCAATATTTACTTGTTCATCATTATCAAAATTATTAAAGTTTGAATTAATAATATTATTTGAGAGTTGATTTTGAATTATATTAGATAAATTTATACTATTATTGGAGATGTTATTATTGGAAGTGTTATTATTGGAAGTATTATTATTATTATTATTATTATTATTATTATTATTATTATTATTATTATTATTATTAATTAATCCCTGAACTTTTGACAAAGGAGATAAAGTCGATAACTGATCTAAGGATTGAGAATAAATTTTAATTAAAAAGAAATTTCTAATACCCGGAGATATTCCAAGTAATAAAGCATGAAAGGATAAGCCAGAGTATAGATGAGAAGTTATGAAAAAGGAGGCCTTCCAATAGGACTTTGAAAAATTCTTAAAAGAAAACCAATCAAAAGAAAAACCAGGAATATTTGTGGTGTCGTTAAGTAAAACATTTGTAGCAACATTAATAGTCGTGGTAACTATTTGAGTATTTTGAGTAATTGAAGTTATATTTTTGCTACTGTCAATAATAAAATTATTACCGTTATTATTATTATTATTATTGTTATTATTATTTAATAAATTATTTATAAAACTTAATATAAAATTTAAACAATTTTCAAAACTTAAATTTAGACTATAATTTAAGTTAAATAAGTTTGATTGAAAAGAACTATCTAAATCCTTTAAAATTTTAAAATAATTTAAATAATTTTCAATTAAAAAACTGAAAAATAAATTTGACAATTTTTCAAAGATTATGATTAAGAGAGAAGTCAAAATTGCTCTTAGAAAGAGACTTTTGGAACCAGTTAAAGATGAAGCTAAAGTTGATTTTGCCAATAAAATTATAAATCTAATTATCGAAGGAGGACATAGATAGTTTAAAATTAATGATATAGTTATGTCGACTAACAAAGAAAAAGAAGCAGGAAGCAATAGAGTTTGAAAATGGTTAATTGGACTTATACTGCTAGTTGTGTTTGAGTTCTGTAAAGTGGACAGGTTATTATTAGGATTTGTAGCATTTAAGGGAGGTGAAGGGGGCACTATAGATATGAAAGGAGCTTGTAAATTGTTAGTATTATTGGTGCTATTGTTACTATTGTTGCTACTATTATTAGCAGTAAAATTAGTGCTGTTAGCATTGGAGGAGATGTTAATGTTACTGGAATTGCTGATGGTGGTACTACCAGTGTTGGTATTAGTGGCTGTGGAAGAGCTTGACAGATTTGACGACTTGAAGGAAGTGCCCAATAATTTGGCAACAATTGCTCTTGAAGAAGCCGACAAAGCATACAAGCCCAACAAGATGCAACTCAAGGATTGTGGGAAACAGATAAATATCAAAGTAAGAGCCATTGTGTCAGCTAGAGAATGACCAGGTATCAAGGTCTCGGTGAGCTCCATATTGCTGCTGGCATTGGTGGATGTGTTAGTGTTGGAACTGGCAGCACTCGCACTGGAAGACAAGGAGGTTGTTATACCATTGCTGTTGGTACTGTTGTTGCTGGCAGAGCTGCTGTTGTTGGAAGAGGCAGTCTGGACGTTCATGTTCACCAACCAGTTCTCTAGAAGAGGTTCTTTGAGCTGAACAGAAGTTGAAGCATTTCTGTGTCTAGCTCAGAAGAGTGACCCGTTGCACTGGCGTTGAAGATGTGTGTCACATGTGTGGTTTCAATGCAGTTATACTGCACAATGCAGTATGTGGGGTGTCTTCAGTTGCAGCTCGGTGCGTGTGTCATTCGAGTTCCATCGCAATGGATCTTTCTTAGGACTAAGCTGGAAGGCACCAGCTGTTTTTATCGCTTTGTTTGGTTCAACCAGAGCTGGAGCTGGAGCATTGTATCAAAGAAGCTGCAACTGTTTTTGCTACTTGCTGTTTTTGCTGTGTGAGCTAGATCTTTTGTTTGTACTGGGAAATGTCTGCGCCAAAACAGTCCAGCGAAGCTGACGACATGTTGGATTTCCTTGATTCCCTTCCTGACCATAAGGATAACTCTGCAACTGCGATCAAAGCTGATGGTCCTGATGATGATATATTAGACTTTTTGGATGAATTGACACAAAATGCTGACAAGTCAAAGTCTTCTTTAAAGCCGGTCAAGTCTTCTCTTGTTCAATCTGCCAATGATTCCTCTTCTTTATTATCTCAAAAGAGAAAAAGCGAATCTGAAATCACAAAAAAAGTTGAGTTTAAAGAACCTGAAATCGACAAAGAAGAAAAAAAACCTCTTGACGAAAAAAACAACATTACTGAAGTTGAGAAACCTGAAAACAAAGTTCAATTGGACCAATCCACTCCCGAAGACACCAGAAATGACAACAAGAACAACAACAATAACATAATTGTCAATGACCCAATAACTTCCTTTTCAAATTGGTGGGGCTCATCAGGTTCAAAGACTGTTAACTCATTTTTCGATAGTGCTTCTCATGCAGTTGAGGACTTTTCTTCAAAGGCAAAAGAAAAAATCATTGAGACTGGTTCTAAATCGTCAACTCAAATGCCCAACCCTGATCAAATTTCAAGAACAATAGAAACCTCAACCGAAAAAGTTGGAGGTTTTCTAAACTCTTTTGTATCTCAAATTAAATCAACAACTTCTCATCTATCTCAGCAACAATCCTTTAAAACATATTATCAATACGACGAAGTTTTAAAAATATATCTAATTAACGATCAATTAAAAAATTTTAATTATTTTAATTATTTGGTTTATAAAAATTTTAACAAGGTCTTGAGTCAAGTTCAAGGTTCTATTTTAATTGAAATCAACAACAATTTCTCAAATTCAAATAACAATGAAAATTTCAAATTAATATCTTTATTAGAAATGGCTAAATTATATGATGACGATTCTGATTCAATCAAGAAAAAATTAGATTTCTTCACTGGTAGTGATTTAAATGCCGAAAAATTATTAACCGCTAACATTGACGATGGCATTAAAACTTTAGCTACTATAAATAAAAATTTATCAACAATTGAAAAGCTTCAACAAAAGGAAATAAGTTCAAGACTATCTCATATTTTTATAACTGTAATTCCAACAGTTTCTGGTACAAATAATTTAAGCCAAGAAAATTTCATTAAAATTAAAGATGACGATAAATCTAATTTCCAATTTCTATTTATCTTAAAGGATTTAGAGCATGATATAACTATTGAATTAAAAAGTCAATCTTTTCCAATAAAATGGGCTTATTGGCTAAGTGATTCCCCTAATCTCACTCTAAATGGTGATGATAATCAGCAAGTAGATCATGAAAACAACAATTTAGAAGATTATATTGACCAAACTGATTGGGTGAAAGACTGGGTTAAAGATGGCTTGAATTTATCGATTGGAATGTTGGCTCAAAATTATATAATCGAAAGGATGGGCTTTTAAACTGTGGTTGTTTTTTTTTGTTTTTTTTTTGATTTCTTTCATATTGGTTTTACTGAATGAGTTTTTCTTTTTTCTTTTTCTTTTTTTTTATTCTCATTACTTTACTGATTTATTGTAGCTGATTTAATTACACAATCTACTTTTTATTTTTATTTGAATGTTTTTTATTACTTGATAATGACTATATACATTTGTGCCTCAATACAATTTAGTAAGCATAATTTTATAATAATGTACATTGAGAAGATGCGAAAAATTAAACTTGAAGAAAAGACAATCAAATCATTAAATTATTAAGTATTTGGCAACTAAGTTGTTAAAATTAAAAGTATTAAGAGTGTTGAGATTATTAAAATTATCAAGTGTTAAGTATTAAAGGTATTAAAAATCTCAAATTTTGAAATTTAAATGAGAACTAAAGAAATTATTTTAAAAAAAGTAATGAAATAAATGAGAAAAAAATTTAACAATTATAATCTATAGCGAGAGTATCATTAAAACAAAGCAAGCAAAAAAAAATATAACATAAGCGAATGCGATAATATTCCAATTGAAAAAAAAAAAAAAAGTATTTAGTAAAAACAATAGAGAAATGAAATTGAGATTAAATGAGTTTTCTTTTAAAAAAAAAAAAATAGCGAGTGATGATGCAATATAGAATATTAAGTATGAGATATAAAAGTCTGTTTGAGTAAAATCGATTGTTTTAATGATTAAAATCTTCTTTGATAAGATAGAGGAGGAGTTGTATTATAACTGAATTGAGGAAATGGAGTAATGTTTTCAAAACCAGTCCCTGATTTGTTAATTTTAGAATTACTCATTGGAGGCCATGTTCTGTAAGATGGTCTGCATTTTATGTTTGAATCGTTATCAAAAGTAACAGTTTTTTTAGGAGTTAATGGAACCTTTGGATTAATTGGCGAGTTTGAAGGTGAAGAATTGGGGCTTTTGAGAGGCGAATTTGAAAAATCTGGGGGGTAGAATTTGCTGTCTTGAACAGGAATATCAGAGTAATTTATTGGTATTTGATAAGCAGATTTTGCCTTTCTGAGTTTCTTTGCTGGGTGAGATTTGGTATTATCAGGCATTCTTGAGTTGTTTTTATTCGAAGCAGTTTTGTTGATGGAAGTGGTGGATTTGGAGTCATTAGGATCTGAATTGATAATCAGTTTAAATCTTAACTTAAGGTATTCTTTGTTAAGTAAGCCGGAGATCAATCTTGTCTTTTGAGATAAATTCAAGGATTCTAAGATTGACTGTAATTTTTTATTATTTTGAATGGAGAGATCATTATAATTAACACGATTATTAACGTTTGAGATTGATAATTTATAAAAGATTTTTAATAGTTCAATTAAGAAGGTGTGTTTTTCGATGATTAAATCGATTGAGTCCATTGAGCAGTCATACAAATTTTGTTCAGTATACTCAGAGATATGATATTGGCTATAATTTGAGGAGGAGGACGATGATGATGAATTGATATCATTATTATAGTCGATATTATTTGCGTCTAACATTTCATTGTGATAATATAGGAAATCAGATTTATAATTTGCAAATAGTCTTTGGAAATATCTTTTAAATTTTTTAATGTGAGATTCTTTAAAAGTTGATGAGAAATTGATTAAAATAAGTAAGTTGTTCATTAACACGTTCATTTGTTGTTGGAGAAGTGAGATGTTATTAATGTTTGACAAATCAAAATTGTATTTCAATTTTTGAGTATTTGAGAGGCAGACTAAACGATTGAGATTTATGCCTTCATATTGCTCGAAATCATCATTGAATTGTTTGATGACTTCTGGATAAATGATTTGAACAATTTGAATGATACTTTTGGTTACAATGTTTAAACTTAGACATTCTAATTTTGTGATTGGATCGATATAAATTCTATAAGAAGAGATAATAGCAGAGACACCGATGGTGTGAATATCGTTAATGTTAGTTATAATATCATTTTTGGATAGATTTTGGTTATTTTTAATCATGAAAAATCCTATTCTATGATTCAAGTTATCGTTATTGTGTTTTGCTATTTCGATGATAGCTTGTTTTTGGATAGGGTTGGTGATTTTGATATCGTTGACTTCCATTCCAGGAAACAAGCATATATTAATGGGTAAGATTAGCATTAAAGATGTTTTTAGGGATGACACTGGATTTGAATCTGGGATTGAATTTGGATTATTGTTATTATAATTATTAGCGGTATTGGTATTAGTGCTGTTATTGTTATTGTTATTGTTATTATGATTTTGGTGATTATTTTTGTCATCAAGACTATCATTTAATTCAATAATCTTTGAATAAGAAGATTCATTGGAGTTGAAATCGGAGAGATCATTTTGAACTTCGACTAGTGGAAAATCGTTACTTTTGATAAAATCTGTATTGATCCTTTCAATAGTTTGGAACTGCAAAAAATGGATTATGGAGGAGTTATTATCAAGGTGGTTATAATTAAAATTAAGAATTTTAATTAAAAAGCCATTTGTTTCACTGTTTCCAGTGAAGGGATTTGAAATATTAACAGCTACTAATGTTTGAGAGTTATAAGCATCGTATAATTTCTGTAAACTCGAAGTTGATAATTGTAGCTTTGTTAGGAAATTGATATTGCCCGGAGTAATAAAACTTTGGTACTTGGTGAGTGGAATGTAAATTCTGTCCTTTTGTTGCTGATTTGAATCAGAGTCCATGATCTAAAAATAAAAAAATAAAAAAAAAAATAAAACAAAAATAAGAAAAAGCGATGAATATTAAGTGAGCAAAAAGGGAATGAACGATGAATATAGGAAATCCAAACCAAATTCTAGCTATATGCTGTGGTAAAGCAAGTAAAGAAGATAGTTGTAAGAAGCGAGAACAAAAAGATAAGATAATATGAGAAGTATTTATACCAAATCAAGACAGCAAAGAGTAGCGAGAGATAGGATCGGGATATCTAATTAAAAGCTCTTTTTTTGAATCTAGCTTGGTGGAAGTAACTTGTTATCGTTTGTATGGCGATTCTTGTGATGAATATTATTGTGTGAGTACAGTTAGGAGAGGGATGATTGTTATTATTTCTCCCTGGATCTTGCGTCAACGAGAAACCTTATTTGGCAGTGTCTCAGGCTCATTCTAAAATTAAACTGTGTTTACTTGGTGCTCAAACCTAGAGCTGCGGGTAGAATTAGATTTGGAATATTCACCAATGGGAACAGTTGCAGATGCTTCTATAATTAGTTGACACACGTCAGCACGCGTTTGCACACCATACACACAGCTGCAGAGAAGGCCAATGCCAAGAGTGTTCCTTCCACGCAGAGTCACCTGCGTAAACTAACGTTGAGATACGCTTGGATCACCGAGCGTGCTGCGAAAGACCTTTTTGGGATGATGCTACGCATGATCTTTAGGGCTCGTCACCACAGGAGTTTCATAAAGCAGACAAAAAGAGATGAGAGGATCAGGAGAATATTGATGGATCAGGAGAAGACTAATGGATCAGGAAAAGATGAAGATCGAGAAAAGTGCCGAAGGAGCTTCAGAGCTGAGTCTGTTGTTTTTTCATATGCTTTTTGTTGGCAAAGAGTTTTATCGGGCTAAAAATACCCTTGATTTGCTGAAGAGGCATCACCTAACCCATTCTTTTCTCCCAACGATCACTAAGCAGCTCTTTTTGCAATAGCAGAATAACAGCACTCATAAATGAAACTGATTTCTTTTTTTACACTTGTCCGCAACCTGTTCTAATTTCATAATCGCCCTGAGATTACAACATCGAAATCCAGAAAATCCGCTTTACTTTCAATGTTGGTCAGTACATGATTTATTTATTTTTTTTACTTTCACAAACTATGGGTGGGTTCTCTTGTTTCAACGCAACTGTTTTTTTTTGCTCCATTTGTCAGTGAAAAAACCTAGAAAATAGCCAGGACATTACTAATTGACCAGTCAATTGGACATTTATCGTGATTTTATTTTGAAATCCCAGGGGCTGCCTGGGTTTGGAAATCGCAATAATTGTTGCAATACCCGTAGTAAGAATTACAGTATTATCCTAATATCACGAATCTAGAGCATTGCAAAGTTACTTGCTGAGCGATGCTCTTTTAGCTGGCTTAATCTTATTTGAAAATTTTGTCTCTTAATGTCTTAAATCTACACTTGATAATTTTATTATTTGCTCCCAACCATTAACATCGTATTGGTCGTATTTTCTGGTAAGGAACTCATTTTTCTCTCGTTTTGGTACTCCTTCCAGGTTTCACTTTAATCCCCATGTTTTATTAGGGTTCTAGCTCAAAATCCTTCGCTCTTCACCGGCTCATCCACTATTCCTTCACTATTTACTTATTTATTTACTTATTTATTTATACCTCCCACCAGTCCCTCTGATGGCTATTTATAAACAGATTTGCTACCTCAAGCCTGGACCGCCAACTTTGTGGATCCAACTCAAATTTATCTACTAGTAGACGCACAGCCAAACTTTAAAGCAACTTTATCTGAACTTAAACCGAACCTTAACGGAACTTTAATCTTTCACTGTTTTCATTTCAAATCTGAAAAAAAACGAAAACAATCGAGTCATAAATCCGTAAATCCATAAATCACAAATCACAACCATCAATTTTTCATATTTATCATCCTCTCATTTGTCTTTATTGATCCACTTCCACTGTTTTAGCATTTAGACTTCAAATTTCATTCAACTGAAAAGAAAAAATATATCTCATTTTTCTTTTCAAAATGGAAATTAATAGGATATTAGGTGGAATTTATTTAAGTTCTTATCAACCTTTAGCGATTGGTATGGACTTGAAAAAAAATCATAATATCACCAGCATTTTGTCTATAATATCTGGTGAAATCCCAGTTTATTATAAGAAAAATTATAGATTTAAACAGTTTCAAATTAACGATGATTCATCGACAAATATCTTAAAAATAATCCCAATTTCAAATCAGTTTATTGATTCTGTTTTATTCAATTCCATCTCTTCCTTTTCTTTTTCTTCTAATAATAACAATAATAACAATAATAATAACGACCTAAAGCATGAAAACAACTTATTAATCCACTGCTCAGCTGGTTTATCAAGAAGTGTTGCAATCTTAATAGCTTATCTCATGTGGAAATATAAGTTCTCCTATAAAATTGCCTTATATTCAATACAAAGAAAAAGACCTTCGGCTCAACCAAATCAATCTTTTGAATTTCAATTAAAATTATACGAAAAAATTTTAAAATCTCATAATCATAATCAAAATTACAATATTTTGCAAAACGACTTATACCTCGATTGGCTTTTTAATTTCAACTTAAATTTAAACTTGAACAAATCCAACTTTTTAAACTCAAATAATCAAAATTCAAATAATCAAGATTTAAATAATCAAAATAACATTGATTCTAACAAAACACTTTCTATCTACTTACGTTGTAAAAACTGTCGTCATGTTTTAAATCAAGAAAAGAAATCTTTCACTTTATCAAATAATAAATTGGTTTTCAAATCCCCTTTAAACTGGATGAAAGATCAACTACAGATCGAAAATAGCCAGCTGTTAACTTCAAACATGAGAAGGTTTTGCTGCCCAAATACAAAGTGCAGAAAAAAAATCGGTGGCTTCCATTTAGCTCAAAACCAAGAAAACCTCTTTTATTTGATTCCCTCAAAAGTCGATCAATTTAATTTAATATGATATATTATAAAACAAAGATTCATGCCTTGGAACGATTTCTTTCAATAATTAAAAAAAATAATAAAAAGAAAAGAAAAATGATTGTATAAAAATAAAGACAGATAATATAATAAGTTGTGTGAAAACTATAGAGAAAAAGAAAAAAAAAAAAAAAATAAACTATTAAACTGTTAAATATATGAATGTTTTTCAACAAAAATCCTTTAAAAAAATAAATATTTTAAATGGCTAAAAAAAATCCAAAATGTAACTTGATGAATTATCGTCAGATAAAATGCCAATGAAAAAAGAAAAAAAATGAATAAATGAAAATATGAATTTGCTCATTGGGTTTTATAACATAATAAAATTTAAACAGTGGTTTTCTCTTTTTAAACTAAAATATGTTGCAAGGCTTTAATGTTTCCAGAAAGCTCTGGAATTTGAGAGTGATTCGGAGCTTGACTGAGACCAATATTTGGATTGCTTATTACCATTTGCTGTTCCATTCTAGCCATTTGGGGATGAAATGATTGAACTTGTTGCATCTGAAAAGATTTCGCTTGAATGAAATGGACACCTTCAGAATTACCATTGTGTCCAGTGTTAGTAGGAACCAAGGGTGTTTTTTGTTTAATTTTAAATTCTTCGACTCTTGTATTAATATTAGAAATTGCTCCTGGCATTTGACTTTGATTCATTGCCTGATTCATTCCTTGATTGATACCTTGGCTCATTTCTTGGTTGATACCCTGGTTCATAATTTGACCCACGTCTGGATTCATGCCATATTGCATTGGTGCAATTTGGTTAATGCCCTGATTCATTGGAGCTAACTGATTCATGCCTTGATTCATGCCTTGATTCATTGGAGCTAGTTGGTTCATGCCNTGGTTCATAATTTGACCCACGTCTGGATTCATGCCATATTGCATTGGTGCAATTTGGTTAATGCCCTGATTCATTGGAGCTAACTGATTCATGCCTTGATTCATGCCTTGATTCATTGGAACTAGTTGATTCATACCTTGATCCATGCCTTGTGGCATATTCTGGGGTTGTGATAATGATTGCATGGCTAGTTGAAGTTGTGCAGGATCTGGTAATTGCAACGCTAAACTATTCTGACCCATGAGATTAGGATTATATTGATTAGATGGTAACATTGGATTAAGATCTGGAGGAGGTGCAATCGCATTAAGTTGATTTGGAGGAGCGTTAAGAGCACTAAAAGGTCCATTATTTGCATTTAATGGCAAATTCATTTTTGTCAAAAAATCCAAGGGATTGTCTGTTTCATTTGGCTTGGAATAAAGGTTGATATTTATCACTGGGTTCCCTGTAAATGTTGTTGAAGAACCTTTATAGTTCACATTTGCTCCATTTGATGCAAGAAGATCTGGCCTTTCCGATTCACCTTTTCCTAGATTTTGAACTGTCATTTCATTTTGCGCTGACCTTTTTCCATGTTCTTTGGGCTCTACAATAGTTAAAGGCATTGACGATACTTGCAAATCTTTTGAAAGTTCTTTATGGTCAACTTTCACAAGTTGGTTGGGGATATTTTCTTCAATCGTAATGACTTCATCGTCTAGCAACGCTAATATTTTGACCGTGATTAATCTGATTTTAAGAGTCTCCAAAATATCTTGAAATTTTGATTTAATTTCAACATCTCTCTCAAAAAATCTTCCAAGCTTTAATTTAAAATAAATTTTTAATATGTCAATAACAAAAGAAAGCTTTGTGTTAATATCTTCAATATTATCATCATCACAATTATAAAAATCATTGCTAACTGTGTAACCAAGAACTTTTTTAGAATTATCATTAAGATCACTATTGATTTCAAAATTGGAATGTTTACCTGTAGTTAAGTTATCAGCTTCACTAAGTTCACTATCACTAGAATAATGTTTCTTTTTTTTGTTAGTAACACGACAACTTAAAATATATTTCGTATCCTTGAAAAATTGATAAAAGAGTTCATTGTATTTTAACTTGAACTTTCCAATATTTTTAAAAGTTTGAAAATGATATATTTTGGATAACCCAGTTAGAATGTTATTCAAGTTTATTCTAATCTCATCCAAGTTTTTGAAATTGTATTTCAAATTTAAAATTGAAACTTCAGCTAAAGAAACCAATTTGATTAAATTAATGCCTTCATAAGTTTTAAAATCTAGCTTTGAATCCTTTCTGGTAATTAAATCATTTGGGATCAAAGCTTTTCTTTCTGGTGGAACAAAATTAGTAATCTGGATAATTTTTTCTGTTTTAATATCAACCAAGAGTGGATTTAACCCAGTCTTAACATCGTCGTAACCAGAACAAGAGCGAATTCGGGCTAATACACCGACCTGATAAATATCTGTTATGTTTTTAATTATATCAAATGGTTTAAATTTGGGATCTTTAATATAAAACAAACCAATCAATTGTTTATTTTTGTACAGTTGAAGAATGGCTTGTTTTTGAATTGGATTAATAATTTTCAAATTTGAAATATATAAATTTGGGAAAATTGGTTCAGTGATGGGTACAATGATAAGTAAAATTGAATTTCTGTTTGATTTAGAGCTTAAAGAATATTTATTGATTGAAGACATTGAAATTTTCAGATTAATCTTTGATAAATTTCTAATCAATTGTTTATTATTGTTATTGATGTTGTTATTACGCGTTACTAATTGTTGATCTGCTGGGTTTATTTGGTTATCATTTGTTAAAGAATAATTTCTTGAGGCATGAGGATGATTGTGGTGTTGAATTTGTAACTGATTTGGAGGGTTTTGAGTTTGGACTTGAAGTGAAGGACTTTGAATTTGCAATTGAGGTAGAGGGTTTTGGATATGTAATTGGTTTGGGTGGTTTTGAATTTGTAATTGATTTGGAGGATTTTGAATCAATTTTAAATCGAAAGTTTTTTCTTGAAAGGAGATACTTTTAAATCTATCAATTAAATTATCATCAACATAACCTAAATCATGCAAATCATTAAAATTTTTTATTAGTTGATTATTTAGTTTATCGTTTAATTTAATCCTTTCAATTTGGGAAGAGACTAATTGGTTATTAATATTAGGATCATTAGGAATTTTAGTGAGATCGATTTTTTGATCTTCAATTGTTTTCAAAAAAGTCTGATTATCAGTGTTTAAATTATTATAAAATTTTTGCTTTTCACGTTCTTCCAGGTTTTTATTTTCTAAATATGCTCTATTTTGATGGAATTTTAATAGTTTGGAAGGATTGTAATTTAGTTTTTTGAAAATCAAATCGTCATCGTCAATTTTGTATAGTTCTTCATCAATTGATGAGTTGTCACTGGAATTATCATCATCGCCGTAATCAGGGTCACTATCATTCAAACTTCTATTGTTGAGATTCTTATAAAAATAATCCGGATCATCATGATCATTAATTAATTCATTGAGGGATACATATTTTTTGAAAAGCTTATAATCAAAACCTAATTTTTTCAAATTTCTTTTAATGTAATATTTTTCAACCATTAATTCTCTTTTTTGGAAATTTGTTCTCTTAAGAGGAAGATTATTGATTGCATTAGGGTCATTTTGGTTTTTCATATTATTCATATTTTCCAACATGTCATACAATTTTTCTTCATCTTTAATTTGTTGTTTAATTATGAGATCAGGATCATTAGTGATATAGGCAGGATAAAACCCGGTTGGAAAATTCTTATATTTTTTTGATGATTCAGGCACAGCCTTAAGAGTTAATAGGGGTTGATAATTAATACCGGTGTTATTATTAGTATTATTATTGTTATTAAAATCGTCCTCATCCTCGTCCTCGTCCTCATCCTCATCCTCATCAAAATCTTCTTCATCATCTTCCATAAAAACCTGTCCTTGAGGTTGCATCTGTTGCATCTGTTGCATTTGACCCATTGAGTTCATTTGACCCATTGGATTCATTTGACCCATTGGATTCATTTGACCCATTGGATTCATTTGCTGGCTCATTTGACCCATTGGATTCATTTGTTGGTTCATTTGGCCCATTTGGCCCATTTGTTGTTGCATCTGCGAGTTAACCATTGGATCCATCAGAGGATTGAAATTCTGCAGTTGAAACTGCTGTTGTTGTGTGTTTGTATTAGTATTTCCATCTGATTTTGACCTTGAAAATGAAATGCTGAAGGTATGCCTTGTTTTTTTCTCCTTTTCTTTTTGTTGCTGTTGTTGCTGTAGCTGCTGCTGTTGTAACTGTTGCTGCTGTTGTTGTTGCTGTTGCAACTGTTGAAGCTGGAGCTGTTGTTGTTGGAGTTTTTGTTCAAGCTGTTGCTGATAGAGCATCTGCTGCAGCGGTTGCAGTGGCTGCAGAGTTTGGTTCATGTCCAAAAATTGGTTTGGGGGCTGGAAAGCACTGGGATTGCTGCTTAGAAGAAAACTGTTGATGTCCATGAGAGAAGATAAAGCACAAAATACTCTGAAGAAAGAGCTGAAGAAAGAGCTGAAGAAAGAGCTGAAGAAAGAGCTGAAGAAAGAGTTGAAGAAAGAGTTGGCTAAGAAGAAGCTATTTCATAAATATATCCCATAAATATCCCAAATCTGGGCTCGGCTTGTTTTGGCGTCTAATTACACTGGACCCTGAAATAGGGGTTTACTTCATCAACCCCAACCCCAACGCAGATTTACTCGATATAACGCAGATTCATGCATATATGCATGTTGACACATATAATTACATATCACGTGTTAAATCACAACCCTCTAATTGGGGTCTGCATGTGACCCAGAGACTTCCGAGGGCTCTGTGATTTGAAATTTTTCACTGATCCAAAACCAATTCAAGTTCAGTGAGGCAGTTATTTATCTATCAAATAGAATTGTCAATGATTGAGTGATCATTTCTAGTGCTTGCTCATCTTTATTCAACTTACAACACGTAGCATATTCCACAGTGCTTACATACGCCCATCTCTATTAGTCTGCTGCAAATTACTTCTCCAAAATGTCTGATGTAGAATCGGCTCCTGCTCCTGCTCCTGCTCCTGTTGATTTCATGGATGCTTTGAAACAGTCCAAAGCAAAACAAGAGGACAAAAAAGTGGTTTTGAAATCCAAAAAAGAGAAAGAAAAGGAAAAAAAGGAAAAGGAAAAACAAAGAAAAAAAGAATTAGCCAAAAAGAAGAAAGCTCAACAACAACAAAAGAAACAGGAAATAGCTACTATAAATCAGAAAAATGCCCAACAAGTCCAACAAGCCAAAGATGATTCCCCTTCTCCCTCTCCATCTCCTGCTCCTCAATCAAAGTCTGCTGTTGGAGGAAAGAAAAATGCCAAAAAAGGTGGTAAAAAAGTCAATGCAAGCATTGCTTTGTTGAAAAAACAAATGGAGTTAAGAAAACAAGCTGAAGAAGAAGAAAAAAGAAGAATAGAAGAAGAAGAAAGATTGGCCAGAGAAGAAGAAGAGAGACTAATTGCTGAAGAAAAAAGAAAAGAAGAATTGAAGAAAGCAAAAAAAGAAAAAGAAAAATTAAGGAAAGAAAAATTAAAAGCAGAAGGTAAATGGCTAAACAAAAAACAAAAAGAAGCTAAAAAAGAACAAGAAAGAAAAAAACAATTGTTTTTGGCTTCAAGTAATATTCAAATTGCTGCTCTAGAAAATAATGAAGCCTCTAAATCAAAGAAAGTCGTATACGGGGACAAAAAGAAGAAATTAAAGAAACCAAAATCAGTTGATGAAGAATCTTTATCCAAATCTGCTGATCCATCTCAATCTACTCAAAATTTTCTTGAGGATAATGAAGAAGACTCTTTCATTGATGAAGCTTTAGTTGATGATTGGGAAGCTATGGTTATTGATGATGATGAACCTCTTAACGAAAATTGGGAAGATGATGCAGACGAGGCAGATAATCAAGAAAAAGAGATAGAAAAAGAAGATCAGAAATCTAAAAAAGGTCAAACTCAAGCTAAACAAGAGCTTATTTCTTCTGCAACACCTGCAAATGTTTCTTCTGCTCCAGCTGTACAGAAAAATAGCGCAACTCCAGAATCCACCAACTCACCTATTCTTCCTTCAAAATCTTCTTCAACTACTCAATCCAAATCTAAAAAAGATCTACGTTCTCCAATTTGTTGTATTTTAGGTCATGTTGATACCGGTAAAACTAAGCTATTGGATAAAATTAGACAAACTAATGTTCAAGGTGGTGAAGCTGGTGGTATTACCCAACAAATCGGGGCCACTTATTTTCCAATTGATGCAATCAAAAAGAAGACTGTTGCTATGGCTGAATATGAAAAACAAACGTTTGATGTTCCCGGTTTATTAGTTATTGATACACCGGGCCATGAATCCTTTACCAATTTAAGATCAAGAGGTTCTTCCTTATGTAATATTGCTATTTTAGTTATTGATATCATGCATGGTTTGGAACAACAAACTATTGAATCAATTAGATTGTTAAGAGATAGAAAAGCTCCCTTTATTGTCGCTTTAAATAAAATTGATAGATTATATGATTGGCAAACTATTCCAAATAATTCTTTCAGAGATTCGTTTTCTAAGCAAAAGCACACTGTTCAACAAGAATTTGACGATAGATACCAAAAAATTAAAGTCCAATTGGCAGAACAGGGTCTTAATTCTGAGTTATACTTCCAAAATAAAAATATTGCCAAGTTTGTTTCAATTGTTCCAACTTCTGCTGTTACTGGTGAAGGTATTCCTGATCTTTTATGGTTATTATTAGAATTAACTCAAAAAAGAATGTCAAAACAATTAATGTATTTGTCCGAAATTGAAGCAACTATTTTGGAAGTCAAAGTTGTCGAAGGTTTTGGTACTACTATTGATGTTATTCTTTCTAATGGTGTATTACGTGAAGGTGATAGAATCGTACTTTGTGGTCTAAATGGCCCGATTGCGACAAATATAAGAGCTTTGTTAACCCCTCAACCACTTCGAGAGTTGAGAATCAAATCTGAATATGTCCACCATAAAGAAGTTAAAGCAGCTCTTGGTGTTAAAATAGCTGCCAATGATTTGGAAAAAGCAGTTGCCGGTTCTAGATTATTAGTCGTTGGTCCAGATGATGATGAAGAAGATTTCTTGGACGATGTTATGGAAGATATTACTGGTTTATTGGACTCTGTCGATAGTTCTGGTAGAGGTGTGACAGTTCAAGCATCCACATTAGGTTCTCTTGAAGCCTTATTAGATTTCCTTAAAGATATGAAAATTCCTGTTATGTCTGTTGGTTTAGGTCCTGTTTTTAAGAGAGATGTCATGAAAGCAACCGCAATGCTTGAAAAGGCTCCTGAGTTGGCTGTTATGCTTTGTTTTGATGTTAAAATTGATAAAGAAGCAGAACAATATGCTCATGAGCAAAACATTACAATTTTCAATAAAGACATTATTTATCACTTGTTTGATGAATTTACTGCTTATCAAGAAAGATTACTTCAAAAGAAAAGAGAACAATTTGCTGATTTTGCAATTTATCCAACTGTTCTTAAAACCATTCAAATTATCAATAAAAGAAATCCAATGATTATTGGTGTTGATGTTGTTGAGGGATCCTTAAGAATTGGTACACCAATTTGCGCTGCTAAAATTCATCCAGAAACAAAACAAAAAGATATTTTATTATTGGGTAAAGTTGTTAGTTTGGAAGTCAACCATGAGTCAAAAAGTATCGTCAAGAAAGGTCAAACTGCTGCAGGTGTTGCCATGAGATTAGAAAACGCTTCTACAGCCCAACCTACTTGGGGAAGACATGTTGATGAAAAAGATACATTATACTCTTTAATTACAAGAAAAAGTATTGATACTTTGAAAGATCCTGCTTTTAGAGATCAAGTTCCAAGGGAAGATTGGTTATTAATCAAAAAACTTAAACCAATATTCGAAATTAAATAGAGAATCTCATCTATTTAAATTCTTGTTATTTTCTATTTTCTATTTTCTATTTTTTTATTCTCTATTTTTTTATTTTCATTAGCACGTTTTGTCTGTTACATTTTTTTTTTTAAAATTAATTTAGTTTAGGAATCCTTAAGTAGTTAGTGGATAAAATAAAAACTTATAATTAAGTTTATTGAAAAACGTTTCTATTTAGTGTTTTTATTTAAGCATCTGAATATAATGGGTTTAATATATAAACAACAAAAAAAACAATGGAAAAATGAAAAAAAATGAAAGTTTTAAAAAAAATTATATAAATCAAATACAATATTACAAGAGTTAATTCAAAGGCATTTTGGCCAACACATCGAAACTGCCAGTACCAACATTTGACAACTTACCAATAACAAGTCTTGCAGAAGGACTATTAAGTTCTTCTCTGGTGTTATTCAAAACAGCCTCAGTAAGGAAATTGCAAGTAGTTTCATAACTCATTTTCATAAATGGAGAGGTGGACAATGCAATACCTTGACGATTGAAAGCAAGATAGGTACCATCTCTAGTCATATAATCGGCAATCAAATCCAAATGACGAGAATTAACACCAATACCATAGATGTTAAAAACATTGTAAATTTCATTAACAATCGTGTTTCGAGCAGCTTCAACACCGTAGGTAGTTAACATAGCATAAACATCGTTGGATGTAATACCATTAACATCAATAATATCATCTTGTTCCCACATAGGATAGAAGTTAACTCCAGCAGTGGTAAAAACTCTTTTTTGACCTGATTTAACTGATGGACGATAACATCCGGAAATTTTCTCAATCTCCCTAACAACAACTTTGTGGCAGACTTCTTCAACAATTTGAAGCATAAGCAATTTTTCTGTTTGAGTGTTTAAGTCTAAAGTAAATTCACACCATTCACCATATTTGTCATCAAAATTAAATTGTGAAATGAGGTTGTGTGAACTTATAACAGATGATTCACGTTCCTTTGCATCTGTTGATTTCACCGAATAATTTACTTTAGAATGTTTTTTAATGGATGATTTTTTCTCATTTTCATCTTTATTCTCATCTTCATTTTCAGACTCCGAATCTGAATCTGAATCTGAACCTGAACCTGAGCTTGAATCAGAACTATTAGAATCATATTCTTCTTCTGAAGTAGCTTCTCCTTTTTTTATAATTTCAAGTTCTTCATCATCTGGATCATCGTAAGAAGTAGATTGCTTGCCTTTAGAACGCTCTTTTTGGGTATCTGCATCAACATCAGCATGTTTATCTGCTTTAAAATCTTTAGTCTCGGTCTTGCTTTTGGAAACAGGTTTGCTTATCTCTCTGGCTGTTTTCTTTTGTTTTTTTACTTCTCTTGAAACATTGGTCTCCAAAACTTTCAAAAAGTCATGTATTATACATTTTTCCAAATCATTTTGTGATACATCATACTCTTCACCATATTCCTCATTGGTGTAGAATGTTATGTGAATATTGTATGACCTAGAGGCATCAATGTTATCAGCAGAAACACCTGTACTTTCCACAACAGTGACCTTATCAATTAATTGAGACAAACAAACTTTATCTACTGAACGACGGAAAGCATCAGCTTGTTCATCAGTGATATCATCAAGAATAGGCAATGTCATTTGTGGAGTTTTAATTGAGGTTGATGCAGTCATAACAATTTCTCTTAAACGTGGAATACCCAATGTGACATTAGCAGCACCATGACCAGCAAAATGGAAAGTGTTTAACGTCATTTGGGTCGAAGGCTCACCAACGGATTGACCTGCAATAATGCCAACAGGTTCTCCAGCATTAATCAAAGACTTCATGTATTTCAATTGCATGAATGCACGAAATTTCCTAGTTGATAGACCTCCTGAACTCTTTTTTGAAAATAATTTAGGATTCTCTTCCATAAAAGTATTCACAGAAGATTGGAATTCTTCAGAAACAGAACCAAGATATTTAGAAGGATTAAATAAATTGATTACTGGATCATATTTGATGTCCTGTTTATAAGGAGGGAGTCCAGAATTTTTATCTAGCTGTTTCATAACCTTTCTGGAGTATCTAGCTGCAGTTTCAAAATCAATTAGATGTTGTGCATCTCCAGGAGAATATTTTTCTAAAAATGCATCATAGTTTTCTAAACAGAACTTGAATTGTCTCATATAAGATTCTTTTGTGACATCAATGGAATCACCGCCGTAAAAAAACTCAATTAATGTACCATCAGAATTTCTTACTGTATTATCATAGGCAACATGCACACCTTCTAATTGTTTAATAAGACATCTTTGTAAATAACCAGAATTTGCTGTTTTAACAGCGGTATCAATCAAACCTTCTCTACCAGCCATACAATGGAAATAATATTCTTGGGGTCTTAGACCAGAGTAGAAACGCTGTTTGATAAAACCACCAGCTCTGACACTGGTTTCATAAGATGGAAACGATGGCAATGATTTACCTGAAACCATTAAAGGTACTCTCTTACCTTCTAATTCTTGTTGACCTAAAAGACACATAATTTGAGAGACATTCACAGGAGTACCTTTGGCACCAGACAAGGACATCATTTGCATTGCATTAGAAGGAAATTTTTTCATTGTACCATCTGGAACACACTTTTTGTCAACTCTACTTTTGATTCCTGAAAGTGAGGTTTTATAGGAATTATCTAAAACAGCAATTTTGTTAGCATCTCTTGAAATTTCCTCTAATCTCTTTAATAATTCTGGATCATCGACAGAGACATCCTTGCTTAAATTGGCCACGTCAGAAGCTATTAATCTACCCAAGTCACCAGTTTCTTTCAAAATATCTTTTCTCCATTCATCTCCTTCTGGAGTTAATCTTAAATCATCCATACCACAAGTTAAACCATTTTCTTGATTGAATGTGGTAAATAATTTTGAAAAAACTGACAAACAGTTACTAGAAACATCAGGACCATAGATTTCATGGAGAGCATGGATGATACCATATTTAGTAGCACCATACTGCGATTTGTCTAGAATACCACATAACAACTCACCATCTTTGAATAAAACAGTATTTTCTTTAGATCCATTACCCCAGTATTCATTTTTAATTTTATTTTCCGATGTCAAATTAATACCTGGCGTGTTTAAGGGTTTAATATTCAACAAAATAGTTGATATTATTTGTTTTCCTGTCCATAATGGAACAGGTTTTAAAATAGCTGGGATGACAGTTTTTATTCTGTTACTATTTGTGTGACCATCTTCAGGTCTCAAGCAATTGTAAATAAAATATTGGTATTTTTCTTTTGTGAAAAATGATTCTTTGTTGGTTAGCCAAACTCCAGCAGAAAGATGATCCTGAATCAAACCTCTGACAGGAGAACCAGAAGTGGGTGTTAGATATTGAGAATCGGTGTTAGCTAAATTAAAGGCTTCAGATCTTGCCATTTGAGATTGAGGGAAATGCATATTCATTTCATCTCCATCAAAATCAGCATTGTAAGCACCAGTGTTTGCATAATGAATTCTAATTGTTTTTTGACCCTGAAGAACTCTGACTTTATGGCCCATCATAGAAGCTTTGTGTAAAGTTGGTTGACGGTTCATCAATACAATATCGTTGTTGTTAAGGTGACGATAGACTTTTTTATTTACAGCAATTGAGGAAGGAGTATTAAGTGAAGGGGTAGTCAATTGGTTGGCCAAAGCTTTTCTTTGCTCAAGAGACATTCCAATTAAAGAGATCAAAGAGCCATCTTCATTTTGAATTTGAACAGCCCCTGGCCATTTTTCAGGACCATTGATGACATATTGACGAAGCTGGGAAGCATTGTATGATGTTACAGGTTCTGGGAAGGTTAGTTTTTTAGCGAAAACAGGTGGAACTGCTACTTGATTGGTTTCAATTAAAGGATCAGGAGAAATAACAGATCTTGCAGCATAGTTAACACGCTTTCCCATCATATGTTTTCTGAATAAACCTTCTTTTTTCTCCAAAATTTGTTTGACACCTGGTGGAGGATCTCTTGAAACATTCAGATTTTGGTTTTTGGCAGAATCAATAAGACCATTGACGTTGTTTTGCAAGGTAACAAATCCATTCATCAATCTATTAAACAAAAGCTTTCTTTCGTCAGGAGACTCTGCTTTATCTTTCTCGAAATTTAAGATTCTTTCGTTGATTTCCTTGATGCTTATTATTGAAGAAAGAATTTTTGAAAGTATTTCATTTTGAGCATTTTCATGAACTTGATCGCCAAGTTTAGAAGGAAGTCTGAATCTAGTAGGAGGAACAATAATTGCATGAAGGAAAAAAATATCAGCATTAATGCAATTCTTTTTTTTAGTGATGGAAGGCCTTGAGTTGAATATCAATTGAATAATGGCTTGTTCATTCTTAAAAACAGATCTGAGAATATTTCTAACTTCCATAGATAAAACATATTTTGATCCGGCTTTATATTTGACATTTGGAAGAGAAGAAGCATCTGGATCGATTTCTTCATCCTCGTTAGTTTCTGGGATTGAAGACTGTTTATTTTCAGTGATCATTCCATTTCTATTGATGCCTTTGATTCTATTGTGAATGGTCTGCTTTTCGGTTAAGGAGGCTTCAAAGATTTTTGAGTATCCATCCTTTCTGTAATTTGGGTTGAACATTGAGCAGTTTTCGCATTTTTTTTTAGCTGAGACTGTATGGTAGAACTCGATAATGAGTCTCTTTCTAATTTCTTGAATTGTTGGACTTGTTACACCAGAGTTGGATGTTTTTCCCTCCTGCAAAGCATTTTGAATAGCATTGTCAGTAAAAGTTTGTTTTGCTGAGATCAATTTTTTGATCTTGAATTTGGAAGTGTTTTCAGTGTTTGCGTCTTCTGAATTTTCTTCTTCTATGGCCTCGTCCATTTCTCCATCGTTTTGAAGATTTATCGAGTCAAGAGCTGTAGCTTCTTTTAACAATCCGTACTGGATAAGCCTTAGTTTACACTCGAAATGATGGACCTTTGAGTGGGTCAATTTGAAAGAATGGCAGTATATACAGGACATTCTTAGAAAGTTGAATAGATGGAGAAAGAACAATGGATTGTAGATTGGAATTGGCAAGTCGATATGGCCCTGATGTCCTGGACAAAACTTTTCATCGAGACCACAAGTAGCACATAAATTTCTTAAAAAAGCACCCAATGCCAAATCGTACAAACCACCATTAATTGGATGGCCCAAGTTGTCAAAAACAGAGGGACTTGTTATTTTTTTGGCAGACAAGTCTCTGATCTCCTTAGCAGAAAGAATATTGAAGTCAACATGTTTGATCTCAGAACCCACAGGAGTAGCAATGTTCATTGTTGGTATCTGGCGTTGGTGTAGCTGGGCAGTTAATGGCTAGTCACAATATGCTCAGGATGTTGGGGGTCAGGATATTGGGGTTAAGATATTGAGAAGTATCAACAGCCATCAAAAACAACTGAAAAGTTCAAGATCCAAAAAAATTTCAACCTCATAAAAATTTTTCAAACCGGAACTGGGTGCAACCGAGGGCTGTATATAGTCGGATATGACTCGCGCACAAAAACAAAAATTAAATTGCGCGCAATTTATTCGGTAAATGTGGGAGAAAAAGAAGGTGAAGGTGAAGGTGAAGGTGAAGAAGATGAAGAAAAAGATGAAGATAAAGATAAAGAAAAATGCTTATCAGCTGTGCAAAGCAAGGCTTTCTTCAGCTATTGATTTGTTTCCTTTGTGCATTTTCTATTGGAGAGAGTCTGGAAAACAAATGGTTTTTGAGTTAAATAGTCGCGTTCCCATTTGAGTTAACTTTCCTATCGTATTTTGCAATGAGATAGTGTTGATTGTGATCAAGCGATAGCAGTTCAATAGCAGCTGCAGTGATTGTTATTCCAGTTCTGGGCTGGTCTGGTCTATATGTTTGAAAGTGTCTCTGTTTAGCGACATTGGTTTTGTGGTGATTGGCTGGTTGGTGGATCACTGCTATAGGCTTTGTGTTGGAGATTGCTTATCTGCTGGAAGAACTGGCAGTAAGATCGATCACATATTTGTATCAAGCGACGTTGTTCTGGGGAAAGTGGGCTTGTCAAGAGCTCTATGAATGGAGAGATACGATCCTGGTTGATTGCCATAGTTCTTATCTTCGTTGGGCTTATTTATAACGGCTCAAATCCATCGGTTTGTGATGGAGATGACTTTAAATTGCAGCCCATGAAATATAGACAAGAATGTCTTCAGTTTTATCATCAACGTTGCCCTCTAGCTGGTTTACTAGCAACTCGATCATTGACATTATCAACAATGAAATTGTTTACAAAGACTGGATCTATCTTGGACCAATCACCAGGTTTTTTAAAGATATAAACGAGTCTCATATTCAGTATGATTTCGGTATTAAAGACTCCAGGTTTTTTATTTTATGTGAACATGACGAAAATTCCCAGCATGTTTCTGGCTATTTGGGCGACTACCAAACTGATGTTATAACAAATGGAAAAAAACTAGATGAGTTGAATCAAATTGCAACCCAACTAACTGAAACCGGTTTGATTTTCATAAATTTTCAAAGAAATCCAAAGGCTTCGTTATTTGACCATTTTGGCCCAGTTCTATCTTCACTAATCAACAAGATTAATTTCAGAAAATTGCGTTACAAAAGAACCTTGATCTACACTGCAAAGTACAATTTTATGACTTTCCTTGATGGTTATCAAGAATGTTTGCACTGCTCTTACACTCATCCTTTGCTATCCAAAAACTACAACCTCAGCTCATATGAGATCAAAAACCATAAACACTTCTCTCAACACATTGCGTTACCAGACCAGAACAATGAAATCGAAGTGGAAAACGACCAAACCAATGCCTTGTTTTTGTATTTCTTTCCAATTTCAACCTTGAACATCTATGGTGGTGGCATGAACTGCTTTAGAGTCATACCAATCAACAAAAACACTTCAAGAATGGAAATTGACTACTACTTTGACAACGAAAGCGTCACTGGGCCCAATGCTGACCCCAACAGTGAGTTTGAAAAGTACTTCAGGTTTTGCAGACAGGTTCAAACTGAAGACTTGGAGCTATGTGAAGCTACTCAAGAAAACCTCGACATTGGTGTCTATCAAAGTGGAACTCTCAATCCCCATAAAGAGAATGGGGTTATCTTCTACCAAGGCTTGATTCGAGACAGAGTCGTCAAGGCAGCCAACGAAATCCTCTGTTCCTAGCCCCAGCTTCCTTCTATATATATTCTCTAATGCAATAGCCAATACTCGTCAAAATGTAGAAGATTAATAATCAGCACTTTTCGAAAGGCCCAAAAGAAATTCTGTATAAATCCGCCCTTTGCAGATTTGTAAATTTTCTTTCTCACTTCAAATAAAAACCACTGCAAATTGTTCTCATGGCCTCCTACACCATCAAAAAAGGCTTTACCATCGACCAGCAGGAGCTTCTAGATATTCCCATCGTGGAATATCCTCCATTTAAGTTGAGGTCCTCCTTGTACGACAAAGATCCTGTCATTTGGGTCCATCTTCTTGAGGCCTACATCCACTTGATGGCCTTTTTATCTTCTGACGAATTCACTGTTCCATTGAATGAAAAGTCCCACGACCAATTGAAGCTGTTCATCAAGGGCTATTTGAAGGAAACCTCTCAGGAAGAGGGAAAGGTCTTCACCTTGGGTGCTGTCAATCCTCAAATCAGAGAAAATTCTGCGCAGTTGAAGAGCCTCGTCTTTCAATTCATCAAGAAAAATGGTCTACTCGACTTGAAGTTCAATGGCTCTGCAACCTGGGATCTAATCAAGTCCTATGTCAAAGTTGATCCAAGATCTACCAGAAAGATAATAGATGGCTCCTTTGGCAATGGCTTTATAAATTCTATTTCTTCGGTTCAAAAAAATATTTTGTTTATGGTGAGTAACACCAAATTTCAACTCGAAGACATAAAAACCTTAGCAATACTACTAGACGTTGTTAATATTCAGTTTAACAATACCAATGAAAAAAAAAAGGCAAATAATAACGAAAAACAATACAAAGTAAATAACAAAAGATCCAACCAACTCTCAAAAGGAAGCAACAGCAATGCAGTGTTTTCCTTTACGAGCAAATTTAATACTCTTTCTTGGATTGAATCCTTAGAAAAATACTATTCGAATGGAGAAGGTGCCCATTCTGAAATGGCCAAGCAGTTGATGTTTATTTCTCTATTATCTTGTTCATTAGAAAAAGTTTCTCAGTTATTTATTGAATTGGGCATCACTAATATTCATTCTTTAAAAATTTATCCACTTTTCACTTCGGTTGTTTTAAGTGGTATTTATAAAACTGCTCGACCTGGTTTAGAACAACGTTTGCCATTTTTGAATTTTGATCAATATAAACAACCAGATACACACCACCAACTAGAGATAAGTAGTGCTTCAGTTGGCCCTTCAAATTCTTTTGCTGTTAATATAAACCAAGAAGATCTTGATATGATCACAGATTTATTTCCCCAAGTTACAAAATACCAAGCAAGAAAATTATTAGAACAATATATTGATATTGAGACTCTTACTAATAAATTATTGGAAGATCCTGATTTACCCAATTCAATTCCCAAGGAAGAACCTATACAACAACAACAACAACAACAACAACAACAACAGCAGCAGCATATAAAGCAACAGGTAAAGAGATCAATTTATGATGGTGATGATATTTCAAATCTAAAGATAAGTTCAAAGGATGTTACTTTTGGTAAAAAGAAATTTGCGTTAAACGATAACTTGGAAAATGAAAACAAAAGTCGTGAAAAAACTTTATCTATGGCTCTAAAATTATTATATGAATCAGATGAAGACGAACCTGATGATACTTATCTTGAAGCAGAGATTGCAACTGGAGTTAATTCCGGCTCCAGCAGCAATACTAATAGCAATAACAAAAGTAATAACAAAAATAGTAATAATGATAATAATAACAACAACAATAATGAATATGATAAGATTGAAAAGATACTTTGGAATATATTTAAAAAGACACCACAAGATTTAACAAAAACATCTAGACATAGTTCAACCAGAAAAAATTTAAAAAAAACTACCAATTGGTCAGACGAACAAATCGAAGGATGGGCACGTATGATTGTTAAGAGTCCTAAGAGGGCTAAAATATTGGAAGAAAAATATATGTTTGATGGTAAACAGGAACTTTTGATCCCAAGCACATCTTATAGAAGACTGGCCTATGAAGAAGATATACATGAGAATCAAACTGAAGAGAGAGAAAAAGAGAAAGAGATATCAAATACAAAGTCTAGAGGTAGAAGATCAAATATAAATAGCCCCAGTTCCAGTTCTAATACCAATTCGAATGCCAATTCTAATAATAAATTTAATAATAAAACAAGACAAAACAGGACAAATCCAGGAAGAAACAATAGTTCTGCTAATAATAATACTGAAAATAACACTACTAATCGTACTGATACTGACAAACAGAATAATAAGAACAGTGATAACAAAAATAAAGATTATGCTTGGAAAGAAAGAAATAAATCTAAAAGAGGGAATCATAATAGAAAAGCAGGTCACGATAGAAAAATGGCATTCACTTTGCCCAATGCCTAATGAATATGCTATAGTAATTAATAAATAATTTGCATTTATTGCTTTGTTTGACAGGAGAGAATAAGAAAAAGTTTTATTTGAAATCTAAGATAATTAGTTATTGAAAAGGATTAATAAAGAAAAAAAAATGGGGAATGAACTAATGGGAAAGAAAAAAAAAAGATTTTATATAATACAAAAAAAAAGAGGAGAATATTTACTATTTTTGCTAAAAAACATCCTCATCGTCATCCGATTCATCATTATCAGAATCAGAATCATCAGAATTTTGTTCAGGACCATCATCATCTTCGAATAATTCAGGAACAGGATATCTTAAAATGCAACCAATACCAGTTAGATTTTGTAATTGAACTCCAGAATCATGTAAAGTTGAAAAAATGGTGGCTTTCCCACCAGTTCTTTCAACTTGATCGACAAGGTTAAGATATTTTTTTCTAATATTTGGATCATCAGCTCTGAACTTTGTATCAGTTATTAGGATGTTTTGAACGACACCCATCTCAATAGCTTTAATTACATCAACATCACCATAGCAAGCAGTATAATCATCATCATTAATTTTTTTTAAAAATTGATTTAAAATATGAATATTTATTGAGAATTTTGTATCAGCTAATTTTTTCAAGACAGATTTATCTTTTAAGATTTCATCTAAACTTTGCAAAAGGCCAGTTGAAGAATGAGCTATTAAGAATTTTTGTTTTGCATTCAAAACTAATTTATCAGTTTTTGCTTGAGCAGTTTCAATAATTTTTTTTAATAAGTCTTGGGCCCAAAATCCTGGAGAAGATATTATAATAGCTTTTAATTTTTCTAGATTAAAAGTTGTTTTTAATTTTTCATAAATTTGATTATAAAAGGAGTTTAAGGCTTTATCATATTGGGAATTATCACCTCTTCTTTTCTTGGGGAAAGATTTTGTGACGTTAGTTTTGAAAATGGAGACAGTTTCAGTTAAAAGACAGAAGTTAGCTAGACCTTCATCTAATAGAATGGCACCAACTTCAGCTTTTTGATCTATTGTGCAAGATTGTAGGATTTGTAAAGATACTTTATCCCATTGTTCTAGGTACAAGTTAAAGGGGTGATTAAAGTCGATTTGAACAGATTCAAAGGAGTTTTTGGATACGAAATCATTTTCAGATGTAGTTCTACCTTGTAATCTAATCGAATCATAGTTTGATTTATAGTCAATTTTTTGAACGATTAGTTTTAACACCAAGATTTTTTTTTCTATTTTAGTTTTGCCATTCCCAAATTCCTTTTTGAAGTTGTAATTTGTTTTGATTTCTATTTCAGTATGGTCTTTTTGGATTAAATTATAGATGGCCCATAGGTCTTCATTGTCTTCAGCTTGTAGTCTGACGTAACCAGATTTTTGTTTATCAATTGCTTTCTTGAGGATTTTCATTTTTGAATTAAAGAAAAAATATTAGGAGTGTTTGGAAATTATAATAAAAGAAAATATAAGAGGAAAAAGCAAGACGTTATCATGGGGATGATTAGGCTTTATATAATGGATAAAATTTGTCCAAGTGGTTACAGAATAAATGTATTGTTGTTGAGATGATAAAGCTGAAGTTCTCTATTTGTCTTTCTGAAAATTTTTAGCTTTTGTTTTGTGAAACCGTGGGACTGGATCAGACATGGAGAAGCATAAAAGAGCAGGAAAGAGCCTAAAGTTTAAAAGGAGATGATGAAAATAAGAATAAGAATAAGAATAAGAATAAGAATAAGAATAAGAATAAAAATGAAAATGAGAACTCACAATTGAAAATTGATGGCCAGGGATGGGTTTTTGAGAATAATATTGTGCAGTGTATTAGTTGGCGGTCGAAAGAAGCTCTAGCATTGCCTTGAAGTTCTTGATCACCTTTGAGGAAATGTTGTCGTTAAGAACAAGAAGCTGGCCTCCTAGATACTCTGTGCCCTTGTTATTGAGCATCAAGGTCCCTTCAAGAACAAGACAGTTGTAGACAATGATTTTGGAGCCTAAAGGAACTGGCAATGGGTTGAGAAGAGCATTGGCAATGCTGGATCTGTCTGAGGAGTGAAGGAAGTCCAAGTTCTCCAATTCAAAGGCATAGCAGAGGTTTCCCTGGGAGTCTTGCAAGGTCAATTTGTAGATGGCGTTCAAGGAGCTGGTGTCTGTGAGGGAGTTGCTGTCGGTGTCGTTGTCGTTGCTAAGGTCGACGCTTTTGATGATTCTGTTATTTCTGTTAGCGCCAGAGCCTTTCTTTGAGTTTCTGAGCTTGTCGGTAGACACAGCGAGAGGGTTCTGGAACTCGAGCCAGTTGTCGATCTGATTGAACTTGGACTGTTTGATGTTGTCGATGAACAAGATCTGGAAAAGCACAGGCTTGTTGAGAATGGTCTTGAAGCTGCGCTGGGTGGTGAGAGCTGGAACAAATGAGTTTCGCGAGGCCTGGAGAGCTCTCTGGTTGGAGGCAGAGGAGTCGAAGGTGGGCGAGTCTCTAAAGATGTCTGCGTTCAAGTAGCTGGGATTGGCAGCCATGGGAAGAAGAAGCAGAGGAAGTAGAAACAGCAGAAACAGCAGAAACAGCAGAGGAAGCAGAAGCATCTCTGGCGGTACTTTTGACATTTTTGGCAGTTTTCACATCCAACATCCACAGGGATTATATCTGGATCTGATAAAGGCAGTGATGGGCCTCTGAGGAAACAACCGATAGTTGGCAGCATTATGACTATCTACTCGCTCTACATTCTCAACAAGGCTGGGGGATTGATCTACCAGCAGGACTACAATCCAGGTCTCTTGAAGTTGTCTGCCAACGACTACTTGGTGCTTGCAGGAACCATCCATGGTGTTCATGCCATTGCTTCCAAGATAACACCATTCTCTCTTCGCGACGACTCTGCTGCTGCTGGCCAGTCCACTGCGAATACTCCTGTCGACAGCCCCAAGAACACCCCCAAATCCTCTCTCAACGCTGGCATCCTCAACAGATCCTCCATCTTGGGCACCTCCTCTACCTTGAACAATGTCAACAGCACGCCAAAAAATTCCAGTCAGCCCAATGCTTCCAATTTGTCTGAACATGACCATCTTGTCAACAACTTTGTCGCCAATTTCACAAACTTCACCAACAACAACATCAATAACAAGTTTTTACTATCCACAGGCAACCCAAGGTCTCTTTTGAATACGAACTCCTTTTTGAACCATCCTCTACCAGTGAACTACACTTCAAACAAAACAGGGTTGAATTTCATTCAAACTGATTTCTTCAACATTTACTTGTTTCAGTCACTAACTGGAATCAAATTCATCCTTGTCACCTCTCCAAATGGAGTGTTATCAAACAACCTAACCAGTCATGATCAAACCAACAACAATACAAGCACGATTAACACTAACATCAGCAGTATAAATAGCATAAACACTGCTGCAACAATTTCTTCTAATACCGCCATTTTAAACAATAACAGCACTAATATCGCTTTTAGTAGTGATCTAAATTCAACAAATTCAAATATCAATTCAAATTTAGATCTGACATCCACTATCGATCTTAACAGTGATTTAAAAGATGCTGAATTGATTTTAAGAAAAATTTACATTATTTTCTCGGATTACGTGATGAAAAATCCCTTTTATAATTTAGAAATGCCAATTCGTTGTGAATTATTTGATTTGAAAACAACTCAATTGCTTAAACCTGTTTAACATAAATTAAATTACCCATTCCAAAATAGAATACTGATAAAAAAAAGTAAATTAACTAAATGAATAATCAAAAATAAATAAATAAATAAATAAATAAACAAACAAACAAACAAATAAATAAATAAATAAATGAATAAATAAATAAATAAATAAATACGTATCTATACACTTTCTTTTCTTTTCTTTTTTTGGTTTTTTTTTTTTTTTTTTTTCACAATAAATACTTGAATAAACTCTTATACCAGGGTTGGTCATTTAATCTTTTAGACAACTTCTTATAATGTTCCATTTCACTCCAGCAATCTCTACCCCATTCACAACCGGCCATATTAATTAAAAAATCTCGATCTGTTTCATTATAAAAAAATTGTGGATCGTCAGCTTTATCACTGCAAGCCCCTGGAGGAAAAGCATTTATAGACTTTAATGGTAAAAACGCTACTCTCTCTCTAATCCAAGCCTGTGTATTGTACAATGTTTCAAGTGAATCTTGTTCTTTATGTTCCCAAATCATATGCATTTGCTCATAAAACGCTGGATCCCACCAAATATCTAATAATAATTCTGACCATTTGGATTTTCTAATGAAAAACGATCCTAAATTAAATCCGCCGCAATCTTGGGCTATCAACATTTCAATTGGATTGTTTTGATAGTTAATATATGGTATATCGATTTTCAAATTCAATGGATTGAACGAATTATTTAACGATCTGTAGGAAATTTCGTTGATTTTGTTGAAAATATGATCTTCTAATGAAAACTCTGGCTCCATTATATATGTATGCAAATCTAGCCACCAAAACCACTCAGTTCTGGGATACTGTCTCATTGTTTGTTTCAAGATATCCACTTTTTCCCAGCTTTCTCTCCATTCATGAGAATATCGTTTTTTAATTGTCATGTCCTTTATAGTCAATCCATATCCATGCTTTTTGGCATAGTATTTTTTGTTGTTGATGGAAGATCTTTCAACAGACCATTCCTGAGCACCTTTCCATTTAAGGACACCACCACCTTCATTAGCGGCTAAGACAATGACGATCTTAGGGTTTTTGTTGAAAGAAAAGAGATCGTTGAATTGAAAATTCAATAAAGAGTTTGAGGAGATTGAGCTAATGTCATTGTTATTGTTGATATTATTGGTAGATAGCAACGAGATCAAATTCTGAAAAGAAAAAAAAGAAACTAAAGGCAATTTTAAACTAGTCAAGGAATTTATAAGAAATAACAATATAATGCCAAAAAGGATTTTTTTATTATTGAGTAATTGCTGTTTTAACTTACTGTAATATTTATAGAAAATAGAGAAATAAACAAAAGAATTGAAAGAAGTTGTTGCGAAAGAAGGGTTATTGTAGTTTAATTTTTCATATTCGTAAGGGATTGACAGTTCTTCATCATTCAAATCGGATTTTTTTGGTATTCTTTGAGATATAGAGCTCATTTTAAAAACAATTAAGGATTAAAAATGGAATATTATGTATCATATATTTATCATAATAAGGATATAAAAATATAAGCATATAATTATATATAATTATATATAACCAATATATATTAATTCTGGAATATATCTATTTAGATATATAAATATTGAAAGATGAAAGAAAATCTATTTTTATGTCAAATTTATCACGTGAAAATGATAGAATGAATAAAAATAGCAAAAAACGGTCAAAAATGGCGTCAGAAATTTGGTTTTGGCTTCGTGGCAGAGTGGCTAATGCAACACCATGCTAGTGCTTCAAACCAGTGTTTAGAATGTTGAAGATTTCACTGGGTAGGTTCGAGTCCTATCTGCAGCAACTTCTTTTTATTGCGTCGACGGCAAAGCGAAATCTGCTACCGAAAAGGTTGTGTTTGAAGAGTAAAGACAGGTTAAAGAAAGTAAGAGTGTGTGGATAAAGTAGCGAGCAAAGTAAAGAAAACAAAATTAACATCAGAGAAAACGCATATAAAAATGGATAATTAGGTATTCAATGTCAAACCTTAGCGAAAGGAGGAATCATCAGAGAGAAATACATCATCATAGTAATAATTTGAGTTATAATCTTGGTTATAATAGTCGTCAGAATCGTAATAGTAGTCGTTGTCATATTCGTCATCTATTGTGATTGATTTCTTTCTATTTCGAGATTTATAGAAAGAGTTGATGGGATTTATTTTGTTGTTGAAGGAAAAGTTATTAGAGGAGCCATTATTTTTGGTGAAGAAATGTATGTTTTCATTAGAAGAGATCAAGTCTTTTTGATTTAAAGATGAAGAGACGTTGTTTATATTATTTATCGTATTTATACTGAAGTTGGTTTTATTTGTGAAAGTGTTTTGATTTGCATTTGTATTTGTATTTATGTTGGAGTTGTTGTTTAGTCTGGATGCACTTAAATAGAGAAAGGCTACTCTTTTTCTTTTTTTGTTAAATATAAACCAGTGGTTTAGCCATAAAGTGTGGATTTCGTCTTGAAGGAAGTTGTTGTTTGGAAGGTGGTAATAGATTACCGAATCATTGATTGAGATGTGGTTATTTATAGTATCCCAAATCCATTGTTTGGGGGATTTGCCTAGAGAGATTAAAGTGTTATCAAAATTTGAGCGTAACTGTAAGAAGGATATTTTTTTAAAATCCAAGGGCTGCAAGAAGGAGAAATCATGATCAGGATAATTTGTGTTTAAGATTGCGATCAAATAGGCAAAAGTTCTTCTACTAGCAGTGTAATTCAAGGGACCAAAGGGCGATTGATTTAAAAGAGAAAGCTGAAGGTCGTCGTTGATGGGAGTAGATGGAGATATATCCAAGTACAGGGAGTTTTCGTCAATGATATTTTTATCGGTAGTTGTGATGGCAATTGAATTGCCATTACTATTGGAATTGGAATTGGTATTGGTATTATTATCAGTATCAGTACTATTGGTATTGGCAGCTTTGTTATTTGGAATTGGGTCTATTTTTTTAGAATTGTTATTGGATAGGACCTTATCGATAAGGGATTTCTGATTGGCAGGATAAGCAGTAGCCGAAAAGGATCTTGAGTTCTTTAGAGTGTTCTTGATGATCCCCTTGCTGCTATTTGAATTTGAATTTTGATTCTGATTCTGATTCTGATTCTGGTTGGAAAGATTATTGTTTTTGATTATATTTATGTTGTTTATATTGGACGAAAGCAATAGGTTTTTGATGTTGGAGGAAGGAAGGTTGGAAATACTGGCCCTTCGTTTTTTCTTCTTGGAGGCAGCAGTGGAGGTGTTCTTGGGAAGGGAGTTAATGTGGTAGTTATCAGTAAGCGAAGCAAGATGCTGATCGATGGTCTTGTAGAGCTTCTTGTCGCTGTTGGCAGGTTTGGTGGTGAACAAATCACAACCCCCTTCGATATGGCAGTCGATGGTGTCGAACCTTAAGGTTTGCGATACGAGCTCGAGATCAAACTCGTCAATAAACTGCGGGCAATGTGTCAGTAAGAGCAGCATAAGAGAGAAAAGCAGAACATACATACCTTCATGGTGGAGCAGACGAGACGTGAAGCAGAGACAACAGAAGCAGCAGAGGAAGATGGGGAAGAGATAATGAGGATGCCTACCTTTATAGTCGGCACTGCTGCAGGGAGACGCGGGAACGCGCGTCTAGTTATGTAAAAGCACGTGCGAATCTAGCACGTGTGTTTGCACGTGAACGGGCTGTGGGCGATAAGTGGCTGATGAGATATTTTGTATATAAGCAGCGAAGGGCCAGATGGAACAGATAATCAGAGCAGTTCTTTAGAACAATCGCCATCTATAACAGACACAACAGATACACCATGGTTGAAAAGAATCCCACAGAGTATGAGGACAAACCTCCTCAATACCAGCCCTACCAGGCTCCCTCAGGCCCTCCTCCCTCGCAGAGCAACGACAGAGGCCTCTTCTCATCACTACAGCCTCCAGCTAGCGAGTACCAGAACCAGTACCAGAACCAGAGCTACCAACAGACCTATCCAAACAATTACCAACAGAACTATCCTCCTCAGGGCTATCCTCCTCAGAACCAGGGAGGCTACTATGGTCCTCCTCCAGCTGGCTACTACTCTCAACCCCAGCCCATCTACATCCAACAGGAAACTCGAAGGCCCAGCAACACTGACAGCTTTTTGGCTGCCTGTTTGGCTGTTTGCTGTGCCTGCTGTATGCTTGACTTTTTGTTCTGATTAATATTCTCCAATTTCTTGTTTCTTGCTGTCTGTCTCCCCTGAATGCTCGTTATCAACTAATACCATCACTATTAATTTCCCTTGTCATCTCACTGTTCAGTTCCCTTTATCCTGTTTTATTTTGTTTATTTTGTTCATCTATTCATATAACTATGTACTTGTTTTCTACTTCTATCTAATATAATTCTATTTAATATAATTTTATTTAATATTGTTCAGCTTCTTGTATTGATTTTCTCTCGATTCAATTCACACCCATATAACTTTATTCCACCAATTAAGCTTTTACATTTGAATCACTACAAAATATAAATAATACCAATCATATGAAATATGAACTAATGTGAATAATGTGAATAATATAAAATGATGAAAAATAATGAAAAATAATGAAAAATAATAAAAAATAATAAAAAATAATGAAAAATAATAAAAAATAATAAAAAATAATAAAAAAATCACATACAAACTATTACATTCTCAATCAGCACATTTATAATGGAAAACAAACTAATCTTATACCCATTTTCAAAAAGATTCAGCTCATATTTACAAGCAAGAGATTATGTTAAATTCGACTACTCTTATTTAAATAATTGCATATTCATCGAAAAATCTCACAACCAATCGTTCACCATCAAATACTTTTCCTGCTCTTACTCAGTTAAAAAAAACCACAATTGCAATGTTCAAATCAAAATTTTTCTAAACCAAAAAAATGGCTACTATTATCTCATAACTATCAATAATAAAAACGTTCATAATCATCCTTTAAACCAAAATGATTTGAAAGTTATCTTATTAAATTACAATTACCATAATAACATTAACATTAACAATCATTATAATTACAACAACCACATCAATATTACTAATAATAATAATAATAATGATAATGATAATGGCAATAATGACGATAACAACAATAACAATAATAGCGATATAAATCAAATTAATGATCTTCAATTTTTCTTGGATCAGAATTATATCTCTTTCTTATTATCCTCTTTTCTAAATTTAAATCCAATCTCCATTTTAAATGATATCAATAACACCAATCAAGATAATAATAATAACAATAATAATAATAATAATAATGATAAAATTTCACTATCTCATATAATCTCTTTCATTGACCACTTTAAATCAAACAACTACCACAATTTACCCTTGTTAAAGCAGCTTTGTTTCAAATACTTTTACAACTTGTCATATTTCGAAGAAAAGACCATTCTAATCCAACAAAATCTATTGAACAACATCAACATCAATAACATCAACAACGCCATCAACAATAGCATAATAATCCACAATAATTCCCTAAACAACCTAAACAGTTCAACCCATTCAAGAAACTCTTCAACAACTTCTCTTCCTCACACTTACTCTCTCGAATCCCCAAACCTATCCAACTCCAACCCAATCAACCCAATCGAATCCTCTTTTCCTCTTCGAAATATAGACTTGAACACAAACAACAGTCTCTTTGCTTCAAACAGCAATCAAAACCAATTTTCCAACGTAAATACCTTCAGCAACAACAGCCAAAATAACCTTAACAACACATTCAACAACTACGACTTTTCCCATCTATAGCCTCTTTCTCTCGTTGCCAATTAAATCCATTCTTCTTATATAACCTTTTCTTTATTCTCAAACCAATTCTGTTCACTTCTGTTCATTTCTTATGTATATATTGCCATTGTTTTCCATTCCCATTCCCACTTCGTCTCTTCTTCTCCTTCCTCATCTTTCCATCGGAACCTTATGGAGTTAGTTTATCCACACGTAATTGCTATCTCAAATAACTATCTTCGATACCATATCTATCACAACTATTGCAACTCCAACCATCGTATTTACTCCTCTTGAAATCGCTTGTACCCACTCTCATATAATACCATGATAAATGTCAAATCCTATTAAAAAACACACCTCATCTCCAAAACTCCTAAAGCTAATCTCTGTTTCCTTCAAGGAAGCTGCTCTAGATTCTCCATCTTTTAGAGCTTCGGTTAACCATTTTAACCAGCAAATTGACCAAGTAGACCATTGGTTTGATGCTTTGGTCAAATATATCAAAAAATACTCTCAAATATATTTGGACTTTTACAACTACTCCTCAACTCTAATAACTTTTCTCGACCCAAGCTTTATAACAAATGGTTTAGTAGACCAAGATTACACTATCAATTCCTTTAAATTAACTAAAGAAGGGCTAAACAAAATCTGGTTAAGCTGTTTAAATGTCTTGAATGTTAATTCAATCTTTCCCATAGATTTAATCTTCGAATTTAATAAAAACGAATTGGTGTCCTACAGAGAAATTAGGAAAAATTTTGAATTAATTCAGTCTAAATACGATTTATATTTATCAAGATATGCTTCTCAATCAAAGACAAAAGATCCCCAGGTATTGATGGAAGATGCTTTCCAACTATGTGAAGTTAAAAAAAGTTACCTAAGAGCCTCTTTAGAATTATCAATCTCCATAACCAACATCAGATCCTCTTTGGATAAATTAATCGTTAATTTAACCTCGAAATTTTGGCTAAAAATATTCTCAATGAAAAATATTAATTTCCTAGTTGACGATGATTCTGAATTTATTCATTATCAATTTAAAAGATTGCAGGCTTGGTCGACTTCAATCGATAACTCAAATAAATTGTTGTATAATGATATGATCATTTCAAGCAAAGAAATCGAAGACAAAGCAATTCTTCAATTCTCTCCCTCAAAGGAACTACAAGACCATGATCCCTCATTACTAACTCCTCAAAATCTTACTGACAACCTTAGAGAACCAATTTATGAAAAGCATGGCTGGATCTTCATGAAATCCCTTGTAGGTAAGCCTTCAAGACAGATTTGGATTAGAAAATGGGGTTTCATCAAAAATGGTATCTTTGGCTTACTATCTTTATCTCCATCTAAAAATTTTGTTCAAGAGACTGATAAAATAGGTGTCTTATTATGTACTGTAAGGTTTTGCACCGAAGAAGATAGAAGATTTTGTTTTGAAATTAGAACAACTGATAACATGACTGTAATTTTTCAAGCTGAATCTGCAAATGATCTTAAAAGTTGGCTAAAAGTCTTTGCAAGTGAAAAAAAAAGATGCATCATGATCAATCAAAATAAAAAGGATAAAGCCAATACTGCCTTGGGTAGATATCCTCCTTCATTATTTGAATTTGCTTCAACTACAACAACTTCAACAGATTTATTGCTAACAAGTTCAAGAATTGCTGATATCAACAACCCAGGAAATTTTTTTCAATCGGTTTCACTATCAAAATTGGTTGATAATTATAATACTTCAAAACAAATTAGAAACCCAAATTTAAATAGTTCTGATGATTTAAATTTTGGTGATATTCATTATTCAGTTGATGGTGCCTTTCAAGAACCTTGTTTAAATATTCCAATAACCACCAGAATGTGTAAACAAGCCATTATAGCTCACTCATTTTTAATGCCAACTATAATTCCAACTGCTATAACTGCAAATATATGGGGTAGTGTCAATTGGGGTTTATATCACTTAATTGATTTGACAAACAATACATTACAAAGCTCAAATGCTTCCACGTCTCAACAATCTTCCAATTCAAAGGAATCGTCAATATCTTATTCCTCTTTGTCGACTACAATTTTAAAATTAAATGATACTTCATCAATTTATTCTGGTAACAATTACTTGAACAATTCCAACGCGAATGCTCTTTATCCTCCATTTTATCCTCCTTACTTGAAGAAATTTGATATTCAATTAAAGACTCTTTTTCAATCAGCAGTTCCTAAAAATGACTACGTTCTTTTAGCATTCAGGTGTATTTGGTCACCAAATTCCAGACAAGAGTTATCAGGCAGATGTTTTGTTACACTTGACTATTTATATTTTTATATGAACTCGTTATGTTTCATTTCGTTACTGAAAAAGGATTTGAACAGTTTTATTGCAGTTGAAAGAAGTGTGGACAACACAAAAGACTGGGATGTAATTAGTCTTTATGGAGAAACAGGATTGAGTTTAAGATCGCGAATTTTCCTAGACGACAGTTTGTATATTAAAAATGGATTGGAATTATTAATCAACAACAAAACCAGCGAAAGACCGTTGAAACTTAAAGAAATGATTATTGAACTAGAAAATATCAGAGCCAAATGCAATGCAGTTCGAACTTTTAACACAAAAAGAAAGTTAAATCTGAATTTCAATTCTTCAATTTCCAATGTCGGATCTATAAAACGATATAGCAGTAGCTCAAATAAGAATGCTACTTTTATCCCTTCCATTATCAATGTTCCTTTGAATAATGCCTTTAAACTAAAGTACTTGAACCTTTTAAAGACCGATTTTAGAGATGAGCTGTATCAGTTATTACTAGGTAGATCGGTGCCACTTCCAGCAAAGGCATTGATGCATGTTATTTGTGGAGACAATTCAACAATGTTAAAGGACGTTTTAACATTGATTAGTTCAAATTTTAATTTTTCAAACAACAGATCATATTGGTTGACATTTCAAGATTCTCAAAAGAAAGAAGATTGTATATTTAAAAGAGTTTCTTTTTTTGATTTATCGACCAATAGTAAAAACTTTATCAGGCAGGAGTTTATAAACAATGAGACATCGGGAATTAAAATTGGAACATTAAAAGTTGTTCAAACGATTGAGAAATTCATTGAGAATGAGTATTATTGTATTGGTGATCACCGGTCATATTCAATGTTGCCCTTTGGTGATCCCATGTCTATTAAGGGTAAAATCATTATAAAAAAAATCGATGAAGATAATTCAGAATTATTGGTTTATTCGAAAATGGACCTTTTGGACCGAGGAATTGTTTCTAAATCGCCATTTTATTATGCTATTCGAGATTTCATTTATCCTCTTGCTAAGAATGGGGAAGTTAATAGATATTCAAGATTTATTGATCGGTCTATTAGTAAAATAGGGACCCATGGGAAAATCAATAAAGCTATAAAGTTATATGGACAAATCAGTAGAATGTCCTTGGACGATTCTAAAAAATATTTGGATCAAGAGAATATCAACGATTACTCAATTCAGAAAACTGATATGTTACACCTTGAATTTTTGTTGACGATTAAGATTGCATTGAATATAATTACGATTAATTTGTTGAATAATATTATTAAGTCTTCGAAGTTCATACTAGGGATCCTATGCAGACTTTACGAGTTGCTAAGCATGAATAAGTTTTTGTTGTTTTTACTAGCAATCTCTGGGCTTTTAAATCTTTTCTCGTTTGTGGAGATAGTGAACAACTACTGGGACGTTAGAAGATCGGAGAACTTTGTCAATAAATACTCAAAGGCTACTAACAATTTCATGAATGGGGACAATTCTCTCATGTCGCTAAAATCCGGAGAGCTAATGCAAAGAGCCATTTATCTTAAGGATATGGAGCAGCTTGTGGGTTCAAGCATAAGAGGGACCTTGGTGGATGAAAATGGGATGGAGGAGTCGCGTTGTTTCAAGAGATTTGAAAGGGCATCGTATGTTTTGAACTACGAAAAGTACACATTGGATAGACAGTCCTTCCAGCAAGAGTACTACGAGGACTTGAATGCTTTGCAGGTCTCGGAAAAGTACAAGAACAGTTTGAACGAGATTGCGATTCGACGAAACGAATTAGTGACAAACTTGAGGGTGTTGACCAAGATCGAGAAGGAGCTTGCCATCAGTGAGTGGAAGAACTGGTTGCTCAGCGAAAACAGCAGATGCAACACAGTCCAGAGGATGGTGGAGAACCTCGTCGACTTGCCAGAGATGGGAAATGTTTCAGAGATATTCCCCGGGAAGGAAGAGCTTCTCAGGTACTGCTCCAGCTGCAAGCTTGAACAGAGCTACTCACATCTCTTGTGAGCAGCAGCAGCATCTTCACCACCATCGCCATTGTGCCTCATGTAGTGCCCCACTGTGGCTGTTGAGGCTTCCGCTATTACTCACCAGCTTTAACTTGCTTTTCGATCTATATAAAAGCTCGATTTCCAGCAAATAGACTCGTTTTCTCTTGACCAACTCTCGCAGCACTTTGTAGACAATGTCGTTGATTGTAGACAAGATAAACAATTTGAATCTAGACGATTCGTTTATTTCGTTGGAATTCTTTCCTCCCAAAACAGAAGCCGTAAGTGTTTGGTGCTGGGTTTCAGTTCTTTTCAGTTTTCTTTTTAGTTTCTAACTAATATTTGATGATCATCTTAGGGATTGAAAAATTTGTTGGCTCGTATTGAACGTTTGTCGGTTTTGAATCCATTGTTTGTTAATATTACATGGGGAGCTGGAGGATCAACAGCTGAAAAGTCCTTGGAGTTAGCAGCATATTGCCAAAAGGTGCTTAAATTAACTACATGTTTACATTTGACTTGCACAAACACCAACAAGAGAATCATCGATGATGCTTTGTTAAAAGCTAAGAAGGCTGGCATTCGAAATATATTAGCTCTAAGAGGCGATCCTCCACGAAGCGATGAGCATTTGTACAAGGAGGATAGCGAGAGTAATCTGGGCAATTTGTATAGTCCTCAAACTGAGGAAAAAGCTGAAGAATACGAATTCAACTATGCAATTGATTTGATTAAATACATCAAGGAGAAGTATGAAGACTATTTTTGTATTGGTGTGGCAGCGTATCCTGAGGGGCATGTTGATGGGTCGTATGCTTCAGATCAAGATTACCATAAAGACATTCCATATTTAGTAGACAAGATCAAAGCAGGAGGAGACTTTATTATAACTCAGTTGTTTTACGATTATAACAAGTATCTTGAATGGGAGAAGGAGATTATCAAGATTGAAGAAATAAAAGGCATTCCAATAATTCCAGCGTTAATGCCAATCAACTCATTCAGTTCATTTAACAGGGCGTCAAAGTTATCTCACGCATCAATTCCAAAGTTCTATTTGAATAGATTTTCCAAGGATATTATTAATGACGATAATCAAGTTAAAAAAATCGGAAACGAAATCCTAATTGATATTATCAACAATCTTTACAACAGTTTTTCTGGCAATAAGATAAAATCAAGGGGTATTCATTTTTACACATTAAATTTGGAAAAATCTATTGCCAAAATAGTTACAAATTGCCGATATTTAACTTCAAGTTTCATTATAAATTTCGAAGATGAAGACGAAGAATTTATAAGTAATAATAACAACAACATTATTGATGACAATAACAATACTGCTGATAACAGTAATGTTTTGAAATTTAGAAAACATCGTGGCAGTATTAATTTGTCAAATGAAAATAGAGTCATAGAAGGAGATGATGAAATTGAAGACGAGAATTTAATTAACAATAGAAAAGAGATTGCCAATGATCCAAGAAAGTCGATCTTTTCATATAGATTAACGCCCAAAACTATTTTAGAAATTTCAGCAGGGTCGGGAACATTGGGTAAAGAAGCAACATGGGATGAGTTTCCTAATGGTAGATTTGGGGATTCCAGATCGCCAGCATATGGTGAAATTGATGGATATGGGCCATCAATTAAGATACCCATAGGAATTAAAAATCCATTGATTGAATTGTGGGGCTTTCCGCAGAATATTCAAGAGCTTTCAAAAATATTCATCAACTATCTTTTGAAAAAAATCAAGTATTTACCATTTTCAGATTTAGAAATTAACCCAGAAACACTATTGATTCAAGAGTTTCTCATTGAAATCAATTCAAAGGGATGGTTATCGATAGCATCGCAACCAAGTATTAACGGTTGCAACTCGTATGACAAAATAATTGGATGGGGGCCTAGAAATGGATTTGTGTATCAAAAATCGTTTATTGAAATTTTAGTGTCTAAAGATGACTGGGAAAATGTGTTGAAACCCAAGATCACCACTAAGGAAATTTCACAAGAAGAATTGGTTGGATATTATGTAACAAACCACAAGGGAGATTTCTATGAAACCAATTTACCAGAACATAATAGAAGCTCGGCAGTGACTTGGGGCGTTTTTCCCAACAGAGAGATCATACAAACTACGTTGTTGGAGGAAGAAAGTTTTAAGGTCTGGAAGGACGAGTTGTACAAGATTCTTTTGGAATGGAGCAATTTGTATCTAGTCAGTGGTAAAAACAGCAAAAGCGACCAAGACAAAACCAGAGCCATGAACAGTTTCAAATTGATAAGAAGCATGTATGATAGCTACTACTTGGTGCAAATCTTCCACAACGACTTTTCTGAGGAAAATGCTTTGTGGGACTTGTTGCTAGAGTAGAAATGGACAAATATATACATTTTTCATGCAATTGTTGGATATTAAATCAATAAATAAATAAATATCAAATAATGCCAAATGCTGCCTCATGCACACACATGCACATACGCGTTTACATTGCATACCAGCGCGTTGTTCTTTTTGAAAGGAGGCTTTTCGACAAAAAACCTTTCAAGTCTCCAGAGCTTTGCACTTGCAAACTAAAGGAAGCTGCTTCTCCTGCTTCCTCTGCTTCTGAAAACACCTGCATCTCTCTTGCTGGTGTCCACACGAGCAGCAGATCCAGCACAATCCTCTCGCAACTGCTTCAGTAAAAAAACACGTGATCTCGTTTTCTGCTTTTTTGGTGTCTGAGAAAAGAAAAGAGATAACTTCAGCATCTTCACCACTTTCACCACTTTCAGCAGATAAATGGCTCGATGATGAACTTCAACAACCCCAACAACAGTCTCAGCAATGGGAACGCCATCAACAACAACGCCATGCCCAACATGAACACCCAGAACACACAGAACATCTCTCCTCCAAACCAGCTGGCCCTGGGAATGCCCCAGTTTACCCAAATGGCTCTTCAGCAGCAACAGATGTTTAATCTAATTATGCAGAAGAGATTGTTGCAAGTGCAGCAGCAAAATCCACAGCTTCTTTCAGATCCTCAATTCATCCAGAAATTGCATTTTCAAACCCAAATGCAGATCCAGCAAACTGCTGCTCTTCGTTTTCAACAACAACAACAACAAAATCAAATTCCCCAACAGCCTCAGCAGCCTCAAATTCCTCAACAGCCCCAATTTCAACAGAATCAGCAACAACAGCAAAATCAACAACAACAGCAGAATCAGCAACCACAAGTACCCATCAACCCACAAACTCAACAAATCCAACAAATCCAGCAAATTCAACAGATCCAACAGGCTCCACGAGTCCAGCCAGTAGTAAATCAACAGCAAAATTCAAATATACATTTACCACCTCAAGCAATTCCAGGTTCTGCTCTGGTTGTTGCTTCTCCTGCTCCAAAGAGATCTCAAAATTCAACCCCATCAATTTCAAATTCTTCTGCTCAATCTCCCTTGGTTAATAATCAACTTCTTTTACAACAAAAAATTCAATCTAATCTAGCTTCCATTCAAAAACAAACTTTAGACAACGTTGCAATTAAAAACTCTAATAATAATAATAATAATAATAATAATAATAATAATAATAATAATAATAATAATAATAATGATCAAAATAACAAAATTATCAATAAAGAACCAAATAACCAATTTTCTGTTTCAAACTCTCGCCCTCCTTTGACAAATATGGTAAAAGAACAACAACCCAATTTTGTTTCTCAAATCCAACAACAATATCAAAATCAAAACCAACTTCAAAACCAACCTCAAACTCAGAATCAAAATCAAAATATAAATCAAAATTTAAATCAAAATATAAATCAAAATTTAAATCAGAATATGAGTCAAAATATCAATCAGAATATCAATCAAAATCAAAACCAAAATCAAAACCAACACCAAAACCAAAACCAAAATCAAAACCTAAACCAAAATCTAAATCTAAATCAGACTCAAAATAAATTAAATATCCAAAATCAGAACCAAATTCAAAATCAAAATCAAAATCAAAACCAAATTCAAAATCAAAATTTTATACAAAATCAGCAAAAAAATAATTCTCAATCTCATTCTTTAGCTCAGTCTCCTCAAAACCTTCAAGCCTCTCAAATTCAATCACATCAACAACCTCAACCAAACCAGACATCACAATTACCACAAAATCAAAAATTTCCTCTAAACTCACAATCTCAACCAACTTTATCACATCAAAATATCATTTGGCAAAGACAAAACGCAAAAAAATTTCAAATGGACCTATTTATGCAAACTTTTATTGATTTTACAAGAAGAACTGGTAACCCAATAATGGAGGCTCCCTTAATCAATGATAAACGTTTAAATTTTTTCTTCTTATATGTATGTGTTCAAAAATTTGAAGGTTATGAAAAAATTGAAATGAATCCAGAAAAATCTAAAATTTGGGAAAATATCAGTAACCTGGTTGGTCTTCCAAACAGCGGTCCTCGATTAGCTCAAATTTATGCTGAATATCTTTTTCCCTTTGAAAAATATTCCAAGAGTCCAGAAGGAAAAAACGATCTAAAAATTAGAAAGCAAAATTTTCTGCAAGCATATCAACAACAATTACAACAATTACAACAGCAGCAAAAGGATCAACAGAAGCATCAGCAGAAACAGATACTACCCAACCAGCAACAACAAACACCTAACCAATCTAGTAGTCCAAACATAGGTCAGACCCCTCAATCTCAAAGCATTAATCTCAATACATCTCATCAATTTTCGCAACAATTAGGAAACCTGTCGATAAGAAATAGCCCTGTACCTAGTAGTGTGATATCGACTCCTCGACCATCTTCTGCTGTTCATACTCCACTATTGGCTACAAAATCATCCTTACCAACTATACCTGCGACTCCATCTGCTTCCATAGTGAATAACGTAAACAATAATCTTGTATTAAAACAAGAAAAACAGCCTATTTCCCAACAGACATTGCAATCTAATCATCAAAATTTAACTTCCAGTAGTCCTGCTGCAGTCAATAGCAATATGTTTAAAAACAACATACCAAATTCTTCTATAAATGGTAATGTAGCTAAAAACAATGTCAATATTAATAATGTACCAAAGACTACATTTCAACAACCAATCCAACCTGTTGCTGCTCTTTCAAATAATCAAAAAAATTCAGCTAATTCCTTTTCTCAGCCTTCTTCAGAACAATTACCACCACTTTACCTCCGAAAATATGAACCCATCGTTCGTATTCTTGATCCTAAATCATTTGGAGGTTATCGTTTGGAAAAGATCACTCAGATTGGAGAAAAAATTGACAATTCAAAACCAGTTTTCTTATTTGCTCCTGAATTAGGAACGGTTAGCATACATGCTTTATCAATGTCTTTAATGTCCAATTCCTTATCCGAAATCAATAATGCTTTAAACACATTGTTAGTTTTGTCTGCTGACAATTCCATTTCGATTCCTTTAAATCAATGCGGAGAATTCTTAGACATAATTTGCATGTTTGGCTTGAAAATCTTGTATAGGTTGATTCATGATGGAGATGAAGTACTAAACAAAGAGATTGGTTTTGAAAAAAAGGAGTTTGATGTTGAAAATATTAATAGTTATGCTTCATATTCTTCAAATATTGATGATGTATTTAACAAATACGTTAAAAATAAAAATCAAAGCCATAATTTGATAATAGAAGTTGATTCTTTTACAGGTGATCCAATACCATCCAACTCTTTTGAAGATAGTTTTCATGTTATAGATAAAGATGATAGCGTTAATGATATTGACATTATGGATACATTCAGTGAACCTAAATCATCATCCAATTCTTCTGTTGTGAGTCTAGATGAGGTTTTTTATGAATATGATTCTTCTATCTCGTTACTGGAAAACTTGAGTTTTACAACACCATCCTATATGGAAATGCTTTTTTCATGCAAGAAAGAAAGTGAAGAAGTATTTAGCAAAATTCATACCAAATCTGCCGAAAACCCCAAAGTTTTGTTGCTTGATCAATTGACAACCATATCAATGTTTTTAAGAAATATTTCTTTTACCGAAGATAATCAAATTTCGCTTGCTGAAAACGAGTGCTTTAAGGATTTTTTGTTTAAACTTATATTTTCAGTTTTCACGAAATCTTCATCGTTTATATTTTCCAGAAGAAAGTTGGCATTTTTGAAGGACTCGTTATTATTATTTAATAATATTTCGTTTTTATTAAAATTACGAAGTTTCAAAGAAGCATTTCTTATTATAATTTTAGTTTTTTCGTTTGGATGTGGATATGAATTTTCTGAGAAATTAGACAAAGATCCTTTAAAATCGTTTTTGCCCTCTTCTATCGCAGAAATTCAAAAATATCAAGCCTACGGTGTTGACTTATTTACAAAGTTAGCAGTGATAGATCCACCAAATAAGAGTTTATTCAAGGCTATTTTAACATGCAATTGTGTACTGGATGATAATCTGGACGATGAATTTTTTTTTAAATCAACAATGCATCAGTACAAAGATTCATTTGATGAAACTATTGGACTATTAAAATTATATACAAAATCCAATAATTTAACGAATGGAAAACTTTTGGAAAATATGTTTTTGTATGTGATATCTGTGGTTCCGTTATCATCAGGGTCAATTGGACAGGACTCGATATCAGTATCATTGCAGGCATTGCTTGCTGCACAATTGATATGCAACATGATACCAACGGATCCTAGCAAAATCAATCAGAATTTGGCATTGAAATGGTTGACTAAAGATAGTTGTTTTGTGCCAAATGTTTTGCGATTTGGCTTTAACTTGGTTATTTCATCGATGGATCCCAAATCTAACTATTTGACTTTATTTTCTTCAAGAGCTATTGGATTGGTTAACATATTGATTGAAAAAGCAATTGAATATTCTGAGCTAAATAATAGTAAAACAGAATTGATAGAAATCATGTATATTTCCAAAATAACTCCATCAACAGAAAACATTTTGTGTACATTATCTAAGCCGGTTGATGCTGAAATAACAAATGAGTCAGTGAGATTATACGAATTGATGAAAAGGGTTGATTCAATTTTATGTGAAGATGTTGAGTTGAATTAAGGGATTAAAAAACAGTAGGTGTGTAAAATAGTGGTAAATAGTAATCAGTATAATGATAAGATCTACGAGTATAAATTATTTATTAATTTAAATTAGAACATTTTTTTTTCTTTTCTTTTTTCTTTTCTTTTTATATTCCTTTTTCTTTTCTTTTCTTTTCTTTTCTTTTGATTAAGTTTTAATGAATACTATAGATTGCAGTTGGGTAAATTCGGATCGAATTGGTTTTTGTAGTAAATGTAAAGCAATTTTTTTAGAGTGTCAGTTTCCTTCTCTTTTTCATCCAATCTTTTTTGAGTTTGTAGTTGAAATTTAGTGATGTTTTCATTTGCATTTTTATACTGTTGAAATTCTTTTCTTAGGGAATCAATTTCCATTTTGAGTTTATTGTTCTGTTCTGTTAGGATAGTTAGTTTAATTTTCTGGTTATCAATTATAATTTGTGCATCTTCATCTTCGTCGAACAGATCGTTGAGATTTGTTTGATCCACTTGGACCACTTGGTTTATTTCATTTTCTTGATTTATTTCATTTTCTTGATTTATTTCATTTTCTTGATTTATTTCATTTTCTTGATTTATTTCATTTTCTTGATTTATTTCATTTTCATGATTTTCATGATTTTCGTGATTTTCATGATTTTCATGATTCAAGTCAGTTAATTGAGTCCCTTGGCTTGGACTGTGGGGGTCTGAAAGGTTTTCCTTATTGGTAATGATGTTCATGTTAGTGTTAGAAGAAAAATAGTTGTATTTGGGCTTTATATACTCATCAAAATCAGGCTCGCAATTGTTGCAAAACTTTAATATAACACCAACTTTATCTCTGTGGTTTTCATATAAATGGCCACAAAATGAGGTTCTTTTGTGTATGGCATAACCACTTACTTGCAAGAAAAGGCCATCTTTGTTCTTTGACTGACAAAAAACGCATTTGTATCTTGTTTCATTGGCGTATATTTGTTTCTTGCAACGACCACACACTGTTTCTGGCTCTTTTTTTCGGATTGTTTTGCGACGTTTGACGAGAGAAGAGTTGTTGTTGGAGTGAATTGAGTCATTGGTTAAGTTTTCTATCAAGCTGGATGTAGCATCAGCAGGAGAGGTGTAGAGCAACGAGTTTTGTGGATTGACACCAACACCAGCAAGAGACGAAAAGATGTCGTTTGAGTTCTGGAGTAGTTCGTCGTCGATGGATTTGTATTTTTTTGATCTAATTTTGTTAGGGGGAGCCTGCATCTGGAACTTGAAAATGTACTTGTCGAGGGGAGGATTCTTTGACATTTTACATCTGATGAAATATGGCAAAAGCAACAGTAATCTGGAAAATCCAAGCTAGTTCTTTAAACAGTTTCCAATTCTGCTGGAGATTTCCACTCTGATGCTCATCTAATAGCGATGGAGTGAGAGCCTTCTCTATCGAGTTGTTTTGGAGTGGGCTCCTTGGAAGACTTTCCCTTTTCGTCTGCTGCAGTTCGCGCGAAATCCTGTGTTTTCGTAACTCCGCGATCGGCGCCCTTACAACGTGCACAAGCACCCGCACAAACACCTGCTCCGATCTCCGCAACGACGAACGTGCCCAGCAGCCGGAAATGGGCTCGGGAAGGCCCCCTAACCACTGTCCATCTTCTGGTGGATGAAGGAATAGGCCTGGTGAGCAGCTTCTTTTCCCACCAACTCTGCGAGCTCCTCCTGCTTCAACAGCACCAATTCCTGGAGATTCTTCACCTTTCTGATGACTGAGTAGAGGTTGGCTGCAGTCACTCCTGGAATGCACCTCAAGACGTCCACAGCACTGTCATTGATCTGGACCGAGGTCATGTCGCTGCTCATGCTCTGCTTCATGATGGGATCCAATCCTGCGTTGATGGCCTGGTCGATGTCTGGTTCTTTCTGTTTGGCCTTCAACTCGACAATAATCTCTGCTGTTTTGTAGGGTGATGGCGACCAGATGATTTTCAACTTGGGAAATGCCAACAAGAGCATCGATAGCTTGATCTGGATTTGGCTGATCATTTTCTTCGAGCTCTGGGGATTCGTGTTCTGTGATCCAGAAAGACTGCTTCTTGAGTGATATTCAGCAAAGGGTTCCATTGAAAAGCTCTGCTTTTCCGAAAACTCAATTAGCAATATCACAGTTTCATAGTATCTGAACATCTGCTCACATTGCTGGTATAACCTTCCATTTTTCAATGACCCAGTTAAGTCTGGTATCGATTTTCTCTCGACACAAATCTTTGGCGAAAGAATGTAGTCCCCAACTGTGATTTGGCAGGGTATTACTTTCAACCCAATTCTGTATAGCAAATTTGGCAACGCAGAATTAAACTCTCTCATATCGACTATAACAACGCTTTTTTCATCTGGGTTTTTGAATGCTCTAGATCCAGCTCCACCAGCAACTCTGGTATTTAAAGTCACCTCGGTTTTCTTGATTTCAAATTTTCTTCTGCTATCATTCTCAGTTTCAAATTCTTTACCTAATGAAGCCTTTTCTTTAATTAGCTTCATAAATGACTCCTTTTCCTTCCGTATTCTTGTTAAATGACGTTGTTCTTCGGTGGAATTCTGGTAATACAACAAAAAAGTCTTTACGGGATTGGTCGCTTTATAAATAGCTTGATGAACTTCTAATCTTCTGAAGAAGGACAAATTGGGCTCATACATCACAACATATGATGGCAATAACTCTTGTAGTAGCAGTTCATCAGTATTCTCATCAAAATACTGAACAAAAACTTGTTCACCTCTTTCAAGATATTCAAAATCATCAATAGTGTTGGTTTTTTCTCTTTTAAAGAAACCACCTTGGTCATTTATATTGTCCACACTTTCAATAATTTCTAAATCATCTCTTTCTCTTACAGATGTCTCATCATCACTATTATCAATATATTCGCTACTTAACTGGCCATCATTGAAATTTGATATCATATCAAGAAGTAAAGATGTTAAGTTATAATTTTCATTAAAAGCGTCCAATTCTTCAACATCTGACTCATTTTCTATTGTATCAATAACATTAAGATCATCAGAAAGTTTTCTCTTTCGATCTTTCACACCCTCAACTTGACTTTGAATATTTTCCATTATCTCAGAATTTATATTATCTTTAACAATTGACATGTTTTTTGAGCTGACATCACTAGCAGTATGCAATCTTTCAACTTGAGCAATATAACTGCCTCCACGAGTTCTCCTTCTCTTACTTGTAGGTTGTAATTTTTTATTAAACGTCTGCGAGACATCCAAATTATTACTACTATTGTTGCTATTATTATTATTAACTTGATTTCTTTCAAAACCACTTGAATTAAATCTTTCAACGGCTTTATTCTGTTCTATTTCTTGCTCTATCGCCGCCTCAGGGATTCTTGATGATATTTCATAACCACCACTGTTTTGCCAATTGATAAAATCATAAAACTTGCTAAGAAGCAACCGTCTTCCTGTGTAAATAACTTTATCGTATCCCGAAGAATCATCATCAAAACCTTTAAACCTTTTCATTGTTGAAAGAAATTTTTTAATTTGGCGATATGATCTTCTCGAACACATTACTAAAGTTGGGCCTTGATTCGTAGAAGAATTAGGATGTAATGATCTTTCTGTGAATATATCATCCAAAACAATTGCTAGCTGCTCCCATTTGGGCAATTCCTCTAACAAATAAGATTTTGCATCGTTGGAATCACTAAAGGGGTCATTGATGATTTCAAACACTCTTTTTTTAGCAAAACTATCAATTCTAATAGCTTCATCTAATGTTAACCAAAGAGATCCTTTATAATTAAATGATGAGCCTGCATTAGATTTATCCTCGTTTATAATCATTTTGAAATTTGAATAAAAATCTACACAATCATCATTAATTAAAGACTCTAATAACCCTCTCAAAACTCTTAGGTCCAAAATCAATCGTTTACTAGTCCATGATATTCTATGCCAATTTGTATCAAAGAGCCCATGTAATCTTGATAAAAAGAAATCGTCTAAAAATAAAGCAATTTGGTCTTCTTTTAAAGAAATTGCAGTCTTTTCATTTTGAATCTCTGTTTGATTGAATAAATCGCTATCAGCAACTAGAGTTGGATTATGTCTCTTAATTTCATTAACACAGGCCTCTATACAAGATAGAATAGCAACCTGGATTTGTTTCATTGACTCTGTCATTTCAATTTTAATTTCAGTTATATAGCCAAATTTCTCATTTTCCTTTTCTTTTTCTATTTCATTTTGTGATTGAGTAATAAAATGTTTTTTCCCCTTTTTAAAATTCTTATTTTTTCTATTTATTAAATTGAGAGATTTTGAAACTTCTACATGAAATCTGGGCCATAGTAAACATTTTTTTAAATTCATGTTTCTTAGCATAATTTGCAAAGGGTTTAGATTTCCACCTGTTTTATCATTTAAACCTGTATTTAACAAATATCTGGGAGAATCACATAAAGCCTTTATAAAGCCCCATTTATTCTTTGAGTGGTATAAATTGATAATAAATGATTCATTTGAAATTTCAGAGATTGTTTCAGGGTGTAAGAAAATTAGGCCAGTTATTAAATTTGGATCAATTATTTCAGATAATAAATCAACAACGAAAATTCTTGAAGTGGCAGAGATTATGCCTCCATTTAGATAGATTTTTTTTCTTTTATTTACAGTAATCGATTCACCACTTATGATTTTGAAGCTTGAAGAGAGATTTGAGAGAATTCTGTTTTCATTATTATTATTATTATTAGTAGTAGTAGTAGTAGTAGTATCATTTGATTCATTATTTAGGAAATCTATCCAAGATAATTCGATTAACTCTTGAGCAATTTTTTCGTTTTCATAATCATTTGCATTTAATAGGATTACTAGGCTTTTTTTTTGCTTTGATTGAGGGACACTTAATATATGTAATAAATTAGCAGTTATTGATTCAATGCCCAAGCCTTTTCCTAAAATTAATAAAGCATCGTTGACCAATAAATCTTCTAGTATTCTTTGTTGGAATTTTAAGGGTAAAGTTGAGGAAACCTCGATTGACTTTTTAGAAGTGGAAGGAATTTCTGGTTGAGTGTCATCATTAGGAGGTTTTTGAAGCAAAGGTATTTCCTGATGAATCTTTGAAAATAGGTTAATTTCATTTTCAATTTCGTTTTCAATTTGGGTGCTATTGTTTTTTAGTGCAGTGGTTTCCTTAATTTGGTTTTGGTTTTCATTTTCGTTTTCATTTTCATTTTCACCAATGTCATGATCGCTATCATTTACAAAAAGAGGAGCATCAATTGGATCAGAAGCCTTTGAGGTATCCTTTGGAATCGAATCAATTGATGCCATTTAGTTAATCGGTAAGATAATTGGGATATATAATGACAAATAAAAAAAAAGTGAGTTTTAAAAAAAAAAGATGAAATCATAAAGAGATGAGAAAAAGGGACCAGTGGTGTGGATCTATTATATTTTATAAATTATACTTATGAATTATATTTATAATTATGTAATTGTTGTATATAGATTAATCGTTAATAACAACACTTTTACCCAAGGCATAACCCTTTCCCCATTGAATTTTGCTTCTGGTTACAGGCAATTGTCTTCTAAGAGATTTAAAACCATTTTGATTCAACTTCAAGAATTTTAGGCTCAAGAAATTTTGAAAGTTATTTTCAAAGGCATTGATTGAGTTGATGATATTAATCTTTGAGACATTTGATTGGTTCAATGTTTTGAAAGTCTTTAATCTGACATTGCCATCTTCGTAGTAATGAATGTCGATTGAGATTTTACCGAATAGTTTTTGCATTGAATTTGAGTAAACGTAGTAAGAGGACCAACTTCCATTCCAAAAATTGGATGGGTTAAATTTGTTATTGAGAATTATTATGATGAACTTATCATAGTGGTCAGCATCTTGGTGGATGTTGAGATCGTTTTCATTGCTTTCATCATCGTTTCCATCGGTTAAATCATCGGTGATTGTGTTGTTGCGAGGGACTGGAGTGTTTTCAAATTCTTTGCTGAACTGGTTATTAAATTCTTTGTCGAATAGTTGAGTGTAACTGTGGTCATTATCGATGGGAAAGATAGCATAAGCCATATTTTTCTTAACAACAGAGGGATAGTGTTGGTTGATGTAGCTTGCTAGTGACTTGTTTAGATTTTTCAAGTCATATGGCAAAGTAGAGCTCAAATTATTGTCAACATTTAGGATTCTGTTGGAGATTAAATTGACGTCGAAGGACTTGTTGATGTTGTAATCGAAAAACTGGTTTGTGGTCTCGTCGTAGTTGAACTTGGATAAAATCAAGTTGGAGCCACTGTAGAAGATGATCTTGAAGTTAATTGAGCTGCTGCTGAGAATGGAAGCCAATATCGATTGGTGGAGCTGGGAGGTGATGTCTTTGTTGTCGACAATGGCAGCAAGGTCGTTGACGACGTTGGCAGTCTCACCAGGAGGGGCGTCGTTGATAAAGTCGTCCGAGATGATTTGGAAATCGTCAGCCATGGTAATTGTGCTTCTGTTGCTGTTGTTGCTTCTCTTTCTCTGCTGCTTTTGCTGCTTCTGCTGTCTCTGCTTCTGAGAAGGAAATGCCACCGCTGCAATAAGGCGCATCACGTGTGTTTGATGCATGCTACGTCAGAATTATGCGGGGCTTATGCTTACTTCTATTTTTAACGATCCACGGCTGTGGAACCGCTTGACATTTGCTGTTTTAAGAGAGGATTTGGGGTTTTGCTTCTTGGATGTTTTCTTCTTCTGCTTTTTCTTCTTTGTCGATACAGTCGAGTCTTTTTTTTCTGTGGGAGCCATTCTTTTAAGCATAGTTATTGAACATGCAGCCTGTGTTTTTTGTATTAACACTTTTGACCTTTGTTCAGTTTTTCTTTCACTTTTCCAATGGTGATGTTTCGCTCTCAAAGCCAGTGGCTAGCCAAACATTTACTGCTTCTGGTGGAGTTGTGAATGTGGATGTAGCATGGGTTGATTCTGGTGGTGATCCTTCAGTGGATGAAGTTACAAGTTACACTTTCACATTATGCACAGGTCGTAACTCAGATATCACAGCTATTTCGGTTATTGCAGCGAGTGTTTCGACAACCTCAAACACATACACTTGTTCAATCGATTCGTCACTTGTCAGCAGTGGTGTTTACTATATCCAAGTTTATGCTTTATATTCTACTGGGTATTCGATTCATTATACCAAAAGATTTAGATTGAGTGGTATGACAGGCACATTGGAATCGACTGGTGCACTTACTGACGATTCACCCTCAGCGCAATATTCGTTTGCTGGCACTGACACTGACACTGACACTGAGACCACAGTTGAAACAGAAGCAGTTGATACATCTGCTTCATTCAAGATCACCTACACCTTGCAAACAGGTAGAACCAGATTTGCTCCAATGCAAACCCAGCCAGGATCAACAGTGACAGCTACAACATGGAGAAGAAAATTTCCAACCAGTGCAGTTACATACTACTCCACGGTTCAACCATCGCCGGTGGTTTATTCGACAATTACTCCTGGGTGGTCGTATTCCAGAACATCGTATTTTAATTATGCGTCATATGCACCATATCCAAGTGAAAATGGGGGTTGGTACAGTGCGAATTTTAAGTTGGTGTCCCCAAGCAAAATGGATACCAATACATTGAAGAAGAGATGGTTTGACGATCTTTATTGAGTGGATAGATTTTGTGATAAAAATGATAAAAATGATGAAAATGATGAAGATAAAAAAGATTATAGCTTATTATATTGGAATTATTTTTTTTTGAATTTTTCAGTATCAAACTGGCTATAAAGATTATTATTATCTTATCTTATTCTATCTTATTGTTATCAGTATCAGTATCAGTATCATTATTATTATTATTATTATTATTATTATTATTATTATTACCATTACCGTTATCATTATTTATATTATCTTTATCTTTATCTTTATCTTTTAGTTCTTTATTTATTATTTATTTAATTACTTATTTATTACAAATGTATAGTATAGAATATCATATCATATCATATCATATCACAACCCATTATACAGACATACAGATATGCAGACATACAAACATTATAATTGAGATGTCAGTTATATTTTAAAGTTTAATAAACATTACAAACTATCAAATGAAAAAATACACAAGTAAATGAATACAGATAAGAAAAACCCATTGCCAGGAAATTTGAAAAAGATAGGAAAACGAATAAACTCATTGATACACGATAATTGATTGAAACAGCGAATATGAATTATAATTTATTGAGTGACTGAATAGATAATGTATTTATTTGAGTCTATCAGCGGCAGCATCATTCCACTTTTTAATAGTATCTTCAGAATACTGTAGTTGAGCATAGAACTCATTTTCTTTACTGTAAAAATGTCCCCAAGTTAAGATAGCTAGACATGATACACCAATGATTAGACCATTCATTCTGTAATTTTTGGGCGTATGCCACCATCCACCAGCGGGAGACCAGACATGCTAGTAACACAAAATTAGTATATGAGCTGAAAGGGAAACTACGCTTCTCTATCGAGTGCAAAACATACTTTTGGAAAAGGATAATGACCACCAGACTGAAAGGAAAGCAAAGGCTAGTTAGTACTACGCTGGCTGCAAACTCCTACAGACATTTCAAAGAGATTGGACACCATACCATTGCGAGATACTGAGAGAGATGGACTAAGCGCTGACGAGAAGAATAAGAAGGATCAAAAGAAGAAGGATCAGAAGAAGAGTAAGGCAAATTGAAAACCCTGCCATTGGTGACAGCAGTTACACGTCTTCGAAGCAGCCGTGTAAACAGGAGTACGTCCGTTGGCCTGGACCAACCCAGCAGCGCGGTTATGCTGCAAAAACACGCACATGCACACCGCACTGAACCGCATTCCCTCGCTGCGAAATGCGGCGCGGCTTTTGGTCCCGTGTACAAACACGTGCGTGAAGGCGCAGGGTCGGGTCGGGTCTGGGCCGGGGCTGAGCCGGGGCTTGTGCTTCCGGCTGTGCTTCCTGTGCCGCTGTCTTCTTCTTCGGTTGCCACTTCTTCTGCTTCTTCTGCTTCTGCTGCTTCTGCTGCTTCTGCTGCTTGAGCTGTCTGTGCTTCTTCTGCTTCCCGTGTTGCTGTCTTCTCTGCTCTGTTCTCCTCTGTTTCCCGCAAGGCCTGTTTCTACTCCATCTGCCAAACCTTCTTCAAAGCCTGGACTTGGATTCTATCACACCAACTATTTTTAAATAATATCAATCACCTTTTTCATCATTTTATCACTTTATCCTTCTATTCGTGTTGAAAACTGCACTATTTGATTCAGCTGTCTGTCCTAAAACAGCTCTCTGTCTTAGACCTAATTCACCTCGCTATATCCCTTTATCAGGTTCAATTTTTTTACCAACTTCTTCCATTGATACAACTCTTAATACAAAAGCCAACTATAAATAACAATATAAATACAGACCGACATATATCGATATTTATAAATATAAATATAATACCCGTTTTCTTTTCTTCATCTTCTTTGTGTTTTTGGTTTTTGGTTTTTTTTTTGGTTTTTTTGGCTCAAATTTTATAAAATGATCAATAACAGCAACACCAATACCAATAATATTAATACCACCAACAACAGAAACTCATTGGACCACACTATGATTAATACCAGCAATGAAAAACTCAATTTATCCTCCTTTCAAATTGATATTGAATCTGGAATGCTAAACAATTCAAACAACCAGCGACTCAACCCAAATTCAAATCTAAATAACGACCTTAAAATCAAAAAATCAAAACACTTAAAATCCTACTCAAATCTCACCCTAATAACCCTAAAAAGAAAATTCTACAATTTCATTGATCCAAATAAAAACCAGCTAATCAATCTTCTATTACTACTAATCCTATCTGTTTTTTTCATCTTCTTCTTCATAATCTCCTTCAACCTAATACTCATCCTCTGTAAAAACGTCAATAATTTAAACAATAAACTATTCAATAAAAATCTATTCAACAACAGTCTAGATAAAAAAATCAACATCAATAACAACTTAAACAACCTAAACAACCTAAACGACGAAAATAACGAGATAATAATCTCCTCTGATAACACAAACTATCAAAAACTATCAAATGACCCTCCCCATTCTTACCAATCAACCTCTTCCTCCCAGGCCTTTGATATTCAAAACTCTGACTCAAAATCTGATATCCCCTTCGACAATATCGATTACCCAATAAAGGGCAAACCCTTCGATCCTGCCGAGGAATTCAAAGCAATCGTTGCCTTATCTCCAATGATAATCTTCACCTGGGATAACCCCAATATTCCAATCACAAACACCCTAACTATCTCAGACCAACACACCTCTTCTCAAATTATTTCTTCTTCGACTTCCTCTTTATCTTCGCTATCAAACATCGCTGATAAAGACTCTATAAAGGACTCAATCAAAGATTACATTAACGAATTGAAAAAGGATCCGAATATTGCCTACGACAATATTCACAATAATATTCACAATAATATTCACACCAATATCTACGATAATATCTATGACAATACTCACGATCCTAATTCAAAAACAATTCTCGATAACGACTCTAAAAACACCAACGAAAACTCAATTTCAACTGATACCTCTGATAAATCAGAATCACATCCTTCAATCCTCCTATCTAACAGCAACAAAATCTCCCAAGACAACAAAAACTCAATCGATCTACTAAAAATAATTCAAACAAACTTCCAAATAACTCCCGTTCCAACATATGTATCACTAGATAAACATCCTCATTACAAAGAACTATCATCTTATATCAACAATCTATACAACAAACTACTCTCAAATAACAAAATTATCGACAAAAATGATAACGACCTTAACGATCTAAACCTCAACCTAAACCCAGATGAAAATATCTTGCCTGGTATAGTCATTGCAGGCAAACCAATCGGCAACACAAGACATTTACTACATTTATACAACAATGGCCAACTATTTAACCATCTAAAAAAATTAGGTGAAGGCATTGTCAATATCGAAAAAGTGGATCTAAGTTTTATCTCAAAATAATTTCCACAATAATATCATACTATATCATCGTTTATTAGTATTTTATTTTACCTTATTTCCTTATTAATAATATCATTGTCTTTGTAAATTCCTTCATCACTTAAAATCACATTTAAGTTTTAATGACTTTTCTCCTCTATTGTCCAATTTTTTTTTGATTTTTTTTTTTTTACGCTTTTTACTCTCACAAATTGTTTAATAACAATCTTCAGTTCTTCAATTCATAAATTGCATTTGTATCTATCTGTTTTCTTTTGAATTCTACTTATCATTACTTTTGTTTCCTTTTGTTTCCTTCCTACTACCTCGCACTTTTAATTCCATTCGTTACTATTCTATGTGTATATTTTTATATTATTTTTATATGTTTTTTTCTAATAAAAGTACATGATTTCTTCAATACTATCTTAATAAAAGTTTATTAAATGTAAAACTAGTCCATATAAAACAAATGAAAACAGAACAATTCTTGAATGCCAATCAACTGAAAAAGAAAACCAAACAATGAAACAAATGAAACAAATAAAACAAATAAAACAAGTGAAACAAATAAAAACAAATAAAAACAAAAAACAAAATTAAAAACAAAGTTAAAAACAAAGTTAAATAAAACTGCTTATTTTAGGGCCATAGCTTCGTTAGAAATCAAATAAATATAATATACACCATCCCAGGAAGCAGCCTCTGCTCACTTTGATGCCTTTCTGCCCCCAAACCTCTCCTGGTAGATCTTTCTCGCAGCATCGTAGATAAAGGCAAACTGTGACTGGCTCTCGACCATCGACATCCTCTGCTCCTTCAACTTCATGACAATTTCAAAAATAGGATCGTAATGGCTGTTTTGCTTCCCACTGGAGATCGATAAGCTGATGCTATCCAGGCTGCTGCTGCTGTTAGAGATGGACCTCTTTGCTGCGTTGTTAATCACCTTTTGCAATCGCTTCAACAACAGCTGCTTGTTGGTCTGGGGCATGTTGTGGAGCGTGAGGTGGATGTTGTTGCTGAACATGCTCTTGTTGAGACTGCTGCTGTTTGCCAGGTCCATCAACGTTGGGACCTTGATCTTGATCTCCTTTGTGCTGTCCATCGAGTCCTTGTACTCAAAGGTGTTGATCTTGGTCATTGGTTTGCAGCTCGAGTCTGGGTTCAAGTCGAAATCCCTATAGTGGTTGATCAAATAGTCCAATGCAATAAATGTTCCTGTTCTCCCAACGCCAGCAGAGCAGTGGACTATCAATGTGTTTTGATCGTTGCTATCACAGTTCAAGATGTTCTTAGCCTTTTCTGAGATCTTCAATATTGAATCAATGTTCGAAGGCTTTGAGAAATCTGGCCAGCTGTCATACCACAATTGATACACAAATTTTTCTCTGAAATTTTTACTGTAATCCAAGCAATTGAGCTCATCGATCTCTGATTCGTCATGGTAAAAACTTATAAGATTTATTCTGTCGTTAATTGAGCCACTATTAGAGCTGTCATCATTGGTATGGTTGTTTCTGTTGCAAAGATTTTTCCTGATGCTGGTATTTCTGTCAAGAAACGATTTCCCCAATTTGTTTGATAGTACAGTGTTTGATAAAAATGGTTTTAGCAAAAATCGATTGGTCTTAAAATAAGGGTTTTCTTCAGTGTTCAAGTGTCTGACAATTAAATCATTTTTAAACGAGTTGTTTTTTGAAATGTACATTTCGCTGTTTAAATTTGTTTCGTCGGGCCAATATTTAAAACATCTTTCAGTTGATTTTTCCTGCAATGGAGTTAGCATTATTATGACAATAATTGGTTGGTTTAGTTGATAACACATTTGCCAAAAATCGGCAGCAGTTGCTTCTAATGGGCCTTGAGTAGCAATATAATTGGTTTCGCCTAATTGAATATGAGAAGCATTTATATAGTTATTTGTTGATGATTCTAGTTTGACTCTATTGTTATCAAAAGGTATTATGTCCTGGTATTAATGATTAAAGAATAATGATATCGTTAGTAATTAGAAGCGAGAAGTAAGAAATAAAGGTGGACAGCACACATACATCATATCTGTTTTTTGATTTATCGAAATTATCAGATAGAATATAGCTGAAATCACAAAATTCTAATCTTTCATTTTCATAATTTATTAAATTTTGGTATTTCGTGATTATATCTAGAGAAAGGGGGATGGGAATTAATAAAGTTAGTATGATTAATGTATTTAATTTGGATGGAAAAAAAATATCACCAAGTAACAGAGAGAAGAAAGGAGAGTTACTTTTTTTTTTCAACTTACCATCATTGGTTTGTTTCAAGTAATCTAGCATTTTTCTTTATCGATATAACAAAGATGTGAGATAGTTGTTGGTATTAAAGATTTGATTCAGGGTGTCTCGCCTGGGAATTGGATCGAGATAGGATTTGGATTTGGATTTGGATTTGGATTTGGGTGGTGAAAAGTTGACTTCTTCAGTGAATTTGAAAAATGATATAAATCAGGCAGGTTTCTTGCAACTGATAAAGAATAGGAATGAGTATATATTGAAATATCAAGCTTATGGTATTTTATATTTGATATTTATTTTTGTATTTCTGTTGATTAAATAAGAGTGTTTTCTTTTTTTTGTTGTTTGAATCAAAAACAAATGGATATGTGAAAGAATTTAGATAAAGAATCGTAGAAGATGGAATATAAAAGAACCAAAAAAAAAAATATTAGTAATTGGAAATGTTTATTGTTAAAAGACAAACCCAGTACATGTAATTATGGTGATAGTCTTTGAAAAAGTGTCGATCGATACAGGATTTAAGATTCGATAATATTCTTTTAAAGGAAAAAGGTCAAAAACGAGAAGAGAAGAAGGAAAGAAAGAGAAGCGAAAAGAATGAGAGATGAGGGTATAAATGATTGGTGAAAACCAGTATAAAAGAAGGGTATTAATGATATATATGAGATGCGATGAAGGTATTCTACTAAAAAACCGGGATAACAGTGGGCATGAAGAGAATGATGGAACCAAAAAGCGAGATAGTACAATATCGCGAAAGAGTTGGATGCATTGGGATAACGAATAGTAGCGTAAAGAAATAAAGAAATAGTGAAATAGTAAAACAATAAAATTAAACAATAAATCAATGTGATCATATCAGACCAAATCCTTCAATCATCGTTAAGGTGGTGGGATTCACAAAAGATCAACTCGCCGATTGGAAGCATTTTCAAACGTGTTTAGTGGGCGATTGAACAGAAAACTGACGAAATGGTGAAGAAAAGCATGTGTATTGCTGCTAGAGAAAGATTTTATAATATTTATAAGTCCTTTTTTCTTGCTTTGGTGCAAATTTTTACCATTAAAACTTTAGACTCATCAAAATGTTGGAAATGTTGGAAATACGTTCAACAGTATTTACAGTTTTTTTATCCCCCCTGCGAACAAATATAGCAGCCAAAAAAAAATAGGCGAGATAGGAAAGGGCTGCAATCCAAGCCAAATGGATTGCGATGGAATACAAGTGGATGAAAGTGTTTTAGAATAAGGTATATTTAGATATACGAATGTCTTAAGTAAATGTGGGTGATAAAGATTGGTAGTTGGTGACAGTGAAAGTAGAAGTGAAATTAAAATTGAAATTTGAGCTGAACCGATCGTGTATCGTGTCATGAAATTGGAAAACAGCACAGCAAAAAGAAATATCAAGCAACACAACAAGTGAGAGTCAGAAAAGTGTGGAAGATAAGGGCTCCACAGAGCAATGATAGCAAAGGTGGTTGCAATGATGGAAATAGGCTAGATCATCTTGGTTATTGAAATTACTCAGATTGTTCTGATAACAGGTAAAAGAACCCAATAAGGAAACCCAATTGGGAAGAAGCCATGTTGAAAACTCTGCGCGTGTATATGCATTATGTTGCAAACAACTGCAGGAAACGCAGCAGTGGGAAGAGGACAAAAATAAAAGAAAAAAAAACAGAAAGCGGACATGAGATGAGAGATGATCTGAAAACGTCAATGCTTTTAGTGAAAGGGATTGCTTTTGATTTCGAATTGAAGATATGAAGATACAGAAAGAAAATCAAAAGAATAAAAGCATCGAGTCATGTCATTGCTATAATATCAAGATAGTGAAGTCGATTAGTGCTCGGTTAATATGAAAAAAGGACACTGAGCACGAAATTGAAAGAATCGGAAAAGTGCCTGAATGAAATTGTAAGAATGAAATTGATTGTACTTAAACCGGAAATTAATAATTATTCTCTGTACCAGTTTTCTACCTCCTTGTGAACGCAATTATGAGCATGGTAGCGATTGTGATATCTTTCAAATAGTGAAAAAAGAGGGCAAAATTTTTGAAAGACACGATGTCGTGAATACTTTTTGAAATGAGATCAAATAGAAACAGAACCTGCCTGCTTTATATCTTTCACGCAGACCGGCGATGAGTTGTCACTTGACGTTTATTGAAAACTCGAGTGAGGATAAGAGAAGTTACTAATAAGCTTTTTAAAGCAAAGGATAACAGGAAGAGTTGGATGGAATTGTTTTCTCTGCTAAAAGAAGAGCAGCTCCAGCACATCCAGCATCCACAGCTATTTTCCCTTTCCAACATTTTGAGCTTCCTCCACTGATTTGCCCACTTTCTGTCTGATGATTGTTTTCAAGTCAGAGAGAGCTAGTGAAAAGTCCGAAACTCTCACTGACATCACAATAGAACGGAATGGACCAAGTGATTCCGTTGCCAGAGGGGACAGTTCAGGACCTGTCCAATGGGAGCAGGCTATCCCCTCACTGAGCATTAAAAAACCCCAACCTGTGTTGATTTTCTGGCGCTTCTGTGCTGTTTGTCCAGTTGGAGGTGCGCGCAATGTTTTTAGTTTGTGCTCGGAGTTGGAGAATATGGAATTTCCTACCATTTGCACGCTCCCCAACAACCCTCTTATTGGCACTCAATCTCCAGCATCTTCCACTGCTCTCTCGGTCTGGTTCTGGGTGCTGCGTGCTCTGCTGTCTACACTTCTCCAATTGCATACTTTTTTTGTGCTTCTCCAACGATACGCTCCCTACAGTGCTGCTTGTGTTTTTTTCAGCAGCAGACCCACAGCCTTGCTCTCTCTCTTCGTTTGCATTGCTGCAATTGCGCTCCAGTATATTTATGGGGTTAGAAATTGTCTGTGTCTGGACTTAGAGCTGTGCAAGCGCCGACTGGCCAATCACAGCATGGCGTTTTGGCTGTGCAAAACATAGCAAACTCTAATCAGTCTCCCGCACCAGGACTCCGTCGGACTTTTTCCCCTGTTATGCAGCGGACTCTTTGGCGATGTTCTTCGGACTGCCACTTTCCCTCCGGAGGTCAACTTTTGGTTGGTTTGTCTCCAATTTGCGAAAAAACTGGCACTTCCTCTGCCTCTTGCTTTGATCTGTTTTCTCTGTATTGTTGATTCTGCCAATAGTGCTCATGATTCCACTGTATCAATTCCACCAATTGGTTGTCCATACTCTATTATCTTTTTACGTGCCTCATTTTTCTGCTTCTGGCGATCCCAATAGGTTCATAAACCACTTCACACAGTTTTTCTTTTCATCGTCCAGACTTTGAAAATCGTTAAACTGGAGATCGATTCTATTATATCTTTCATTTATGCGGGGTACGGCTTTATCTATCCAACACACCTCTTTTTCAGAATCTGGATATTCCTAGCCAAAATATCTGTTTACTACATTTTTCTTAATACAAACCACACCTAATTTTCACTTTAGGGATATTGATCCTCACAACTCAGCTCCAATTCTTACGTGTGCAAAATTAATATAAATATTTGCCAATCTCTTCATTTTTTTTCTTCAATTCAATTTATCATCTTGTTTTTTCTCTTTCTACATAATCAACAAAGGCTTTTCTATAGGTTCATTGTAATCCTAGTATTCATTCAATTACTATCACTCAATAAATTGGGTTTTAATTCGTTACATATCTTCTAGTCTCTCTATTCTTCTCAAATATTCAAAAATGTTCAGACAGTCATTTATCTCAAACTTAACCAGAACCACTAGATTAACCCCAGCTTATGCTAGAGGTTTCTCTTCTACCACCCTCAGAGCCTTTGCTATCCCAAAGACCCAGAAAGCCGTTGTCTTTGAAACAAATGGCGGTCCATTATTATACAAGGATATCCCTGTTCCAACCCCAAAACCAAATGAAATTTTAGTTAACGTCAAATACTCTGGTGTTTGTCACACTGATTTACACGCCTGGAAGGGTGATTGGCCGTTGGCCACCAAATTGCCTTTAGTCGGTGGTCACGAAGGTGCTGGTGTTGTTGTCGCTAAAGGTTCTGAAGTGAAGAATTTTGAAATTGGTGACTACGCTGGTATCAAATGGCTCAACGGTTCCTGTATGTCCTGCGAATACTGTGAAAAGGGTTTTGAACCAAACTGTCCTCACGCTGATTTATCTGGTTATACCCACGATGGTTCTTTCCAACAATACGCTACCGCCGATGCTGTTCAAGCTGCTAAGATTCCAAAAGAAGCTGACTTGTCTCAAGTTGCTCCAATCTTATGTGCTGGTGTCACTGTCTACAAGGCAATCAAAACTGCTGCTCTCCCACAAGGTAGCTGGATCGCCATCTCTGGTGCCGGTGGTGGTTTAGGTACTTTAGCTGTCCAATACGCTGTTGCCATGGGCTACAGAGTCTTGGGTATTGATACCGGTGATGAAAAGGCTGCTTTAGTCAAATCAATTGGTGGTGAAGCCTTTGTTGATTTTGCCAAATCAAAAGACATTGTTGCTGAAATCCAAGAAGTCACCAAAGGTGGACCACATGGTGTCATTAATGTCTCAGTTTCTGACAAGGCCATCTCTCAATCTTGTGAATTCGTCAGACCTTGTGGTACTGTCGTTCTTGTTGGTTTACCTGCTGGCGCCGTTTGTCACTCTGAGGTCTTTACTCATGTCATCAAATCTATCCAAATCAAAGGTTCTTATGTTGGTAATAGAGCTGACACCAGAGAAGCCGTTGATTACTTTGTCAGAGGTTTAGTTTCCTCTCCAATCAAAGTTGTTCCATTAGCTGACCTAGAAAAGGTCTATGAATTAATGGAGCAAGGTAAAATTGCTGGTAGATATGTCTTAGACTGTTCTAAATAAATCAATTCATAAAAAAGTTTTTAATGACAATTGATTAATAGTAATTTTGATGATTATTTTATGATTATATTCACACACACACACACTTAAAAAAAAATTGTTTAAGAAAAGTTTTTTTCTTCTTTTCTCTTCTGTTTTTATTTATCATGATTATGCTTTATGATTTTTATTTTTTCTTTATTTTTTCTTTGTTTTTGTTTACATGTTTAGTTATATTTATTAAAAAAAGATTAAATAGGATTATTTTAATAATAAAATAAAATAAAATTACAAATTTTCTTCAATTAGTATTCATCACTTCTCTTATCTCTCTTTGTAGTAAAACGTTTTGAAAGTTTAAATTCGCTTTCTTTTCAGCTTTGAATCTTTTTCAATGGATCTGTTTGAACCCGAGTTATTAACCGATCTGCTTTTAATAATAAAAAAATAAGATTAAATAAGATTAAATAAGATTAAATTAAATTGAATTAAATTAAATTAAAACGATAAAATGAAATTAAAGATAAAATTAAAGATAAAGAGCTGGAATCAGCTCTTGTTTGCCTAATCATATTATGATTGCTGAACTTTAGTAATAAATTCCGAGTTTAATCATTCCATTTCCATTCACATTTACATTGATTGATAATCCTGTAGCTCACAGTCTAATCCTCAATAAATTAGAAGATATTGATTCTATTTTCGAATTCTTCAATTTTAATCACTTATCAATTCAAATCAATTATTATTAATTATTGTTAATAAAATTTAAAATAAATATCAAAAAGCTTAAAATTGTTTATCAAAGAGCCTATATCTATGTCAGCTTCTCAACGCCAGCACTGGTGTCCCCTAAACCACATGCAGTACCTTAGTAAATAGAAATATAGATAATAGATAACTCAAATCCTACAAATCCGTGTAATTTTTAACACCTAAGAATTTTTAACAACTGCTTTCAAAGTACAGTTGCAGACCAAATATTTTAGCTCTAGGTCACAATTCAATGCTTGTTGTGACTCCTTAAATGCTTTTTTTTTTGATCTTGACCATATCTTTTCAACTGCAAACACCTTATTTCTTCTTGAATAACAGTCAATACATAATACCGCTGCCCAATATCTCCGATAAATATTTTTGAAATGCCGCTGATGTTTGGGAAAAGTTATTATTTCGGCCATTCGGCTTTTAAAATCTTGAAGGCTTAATCTTAAGCCCCCATTTACATGGTGGATCTCTTGGGATCTTAAATGAGAGACTGTTAAAACAATATAAATATCTATTTATTTTCGCAACTGTTTATCGTTGTTGTTATTTTTTTTTTTGTTTATTCATAATACAAATACAAATAATAGAAATAGAAAACCAGAATAAATTTTATTTTCTATTACTTATTCAAAATACTTGGATATGTTCAAGTATAAGAGCTTAAATACATATTTTCCAAATGATATTTCCAACAAAACGAAATATCAAAAAATAGTTTATGTTGCATTCATAGTTGGTATATTACTTAATGGGTTAATTTTTTTAATTTTCTTATTAAATTTTGATTTACTATCAAAGGTCCAGTTTACAGGAGATGGTTATTTAAATTTATTTGGAAAAGCTAGGTTTTTCAATGATTATTCTTATAGCCGAAATTTGAAATTTGATTTTAACCGATATTTAGATGTTAATTATCATAATTATGGTGAATTATTAAAACCAATTGAAAGAGAAAATGCGTCTGCAATTTTCAATTCGGTTAATGGTGTTTTAAAACAAAAGGACAGTGATATATTTCCCAATGGAGTTTCAATATTTACGGGATTTATTCCAAAGGGAACATTTTTATATCACTCAGGAAGGGGATTTCCAACGAATCCAGAATGGATAGCTTTTGACTATGAATTCAGCTATAATTTCGGCAGTCATTTTAATGGGCCTCATAGAAATAGGGGAAATTCTACATATGGACCACCAGGAGGACCACCAGGAGGACCACCAGGAGGACCAAACAGACCCAATGATTATCACAGTCCAAATGGACCTTATAATGAACATACAGGTGGACCACCAGAGGGACCACCAGGAGGGCCTCCCAATGGACCAAATAGACCACATGGACCACATGGGCCTGGTGGACCCAAAGGACCAGGCTATGGAGATCATGATGAAGAATTCAATGGAACTGTATTATACACGTTTATTACCAAGAAAGCATTAAATAAAGTTTTGATTCTTGATGGAGCAAGTGCAGCAAAGACCACAACAGGTGAAATGGACAGTCAAGTTTTACTATCTAAATTGCCTACCAATACATCGGGATGGAAAGAACGAGAGATGGCAGAGAGAATTTGTGAATGGGGAGAAAAAGAGTTTAATGGGTTAGATGGTATAATTCGATTAGAAATTGGCTTTGAGATGATTGTTTGTAATTTTAAAAGCGACAAGATTGAGCTAATATCGCAGACCAAATTCATTGAACCAAAAGAGCTATTAGATTTTCCAATAGACGAAGAAGAGAGAAGGGGAGAAGAAGAAAAAGAAAAAGAAAAAAAAGAGTTTGAAGTTGGAAAAAGAAACGAATTATTTGATGGTGTCAAGTTGAATGATACTCGCGATGAGATATACCAGGAATTGATTACAATGGCAGGATATGAACATTATAAAGCAGGTTCAATCCATTACAATGGAGATGTTAGAGTGATGATTGATTTTAGAGGGTTTGTAACTGGTATTAATAGAGGGTATTTAAACCCCGATGAGTATGTTAGAAGATTGAATGATCTTGAAGAAAAAGAGAGAAATGATATGGTGAATGAGTTGAGTACAATTTTAAAGAGAAATCAAAATTTAATTAATTATTTAGATGGAACCAATTGGCAAACAGTTACCGGTTTAATTATTGAGAAATTTTATCCCATTTTAGGAATATTGAATCAAACATATGAGAATTATTATGAGAAGACATCTGGGATTGATATTAATAGTAATAATGGAAATGAAAATGAAAATGAAAATAAATTGAAAATAATTAAAGAAGAAATGGATATTTTTGCAAGAAATGTGTCGAAATACACTTTTAACTTTTACCGAAGATACATTGATTCAAATATAAAGGGCCTAGAGACAAGAAGAGCAACTGCATTGAGAGATGCAGTGTTTGATTACTCGCATCCCTACCAAACCATTCAATCTGAATCAGACCTATTGATCTGGTCATCGATCAGTGAGATCAGCAAGTTGATAATCAGTGAGGTGTTTTCCAGCTTTGAACTTTCTAAAGAGATGTTATGGAGCAGCTACGTCTCAGAAGACCCTGGAAATCCAGAAAGATTGCAGAAGTTCAATGAAAACATACTTTCGAGCCGGAAAGGCATGAACAGCTTGTTGAGCCTCTTGAACTGGTCAGCGTACTACCAGTGCGAGCAAAAGTGTCCATTGAACTCGCTTTGCTTTGTTCCCACCTGGGGGCCCAGTCCCTTGGGCTGGGGCAAAAGCCCTATTGGAATCGACTTCAGAGACGGCAGACGCAGAATCAGCCGAAGCTGTCTCTGCATCTCCGTCGACACGTTGATGGAGAACCGCCGGTTTTAGCTCCGTCGCAGCCGCAGTCTCGCCACAGCGCCACAGCTGCTCTAGTCTCCGCGCCACAGTTGCAATACATTGACCTGATTCGCAAGCACCGCGTTTGTTGTTTCCCGATCGGGCGCCCGCATTCCGTCCGCTTCTCGACCCGTGGCCACAGCGCTGTCGCGCCAAAAGCCGATGCATGCCGGCAGATGCACTCTCAGACGCCCGCTGCTGCAGGACGTTATCTGTGGACGGAAAGCCTGGGAGGAAACTCCATTGGTACAAAAGATGGAGCGATAGGGAGAGATTGGAGAGATGGTGAAAGAGTGCTTTATCGATAGCTTTTGGAGGCTCGACAGGTGTCTTGCTCGCGATCCTTTGCTTGAGATGCTTTGCTCGCTCGCTGAATGGCCAACAATTGCTCGACAGCAGCCCAATCCCACACTGCGTTCTGCTTCTGCTTTGCTCGAAGCAATTGAGCTGATCTTTTTTGTTGCTGGGCTCAGGCTGCGAGTCTTGTTTTTTTTCTTTTGTCTGTGGGTCTTTATATGTCTTTTAGCTGGGTTTTTTTAAACTTTTAATCCAGTCAAGACTTCCTCACCAAAAGAAGAGGAAAGCACAAAAAACAAGAAGTCCACCATATATCAAGAAAATCCTGTGTAGTCTAAAATATTCACCATTACAACAGTAAAACAGTAAAACAAAAAACATATATTATCTCTTTAAATACCACCCTATCATATTTTTCTACCCAATATCCAATAAAATAAGCAACAAATTGGGATTTATTATAACTTTTAATCATACCAACATAAACATTTTTCCAAGACTTCTTTCTATTATTAATTCAACTGGAATTAAACTTTAATTTCCACTGTTTTTCTATTATACCATTTTTCTCTGTCTTTTTTAGTTTCTTCTGATTCTTTTATTTTCCTCTGTATTCTTTTGTGTATTTTTTTCTTGGTGTTTTTTTTTTGTTTTTTATTGATTATATCTAAAAACTGTTATAATCCCTTTAATTTAAATTTCATACCAAATTTGTCGCTCTATTCCTTCAGCAAAAAAAAACAGTATCCCCAATCATAATGGTTAGTTTGATTAAAAAATTCCACAATAGGTCCAAATCAAAAAGCAAAGCCTCTTCGATATCATCTAATTCTGATCCAAAACCTTCAAAACCATTAAAACTAATTGATCCTTCCTCATTATCTTCGAAAAACTTATCAACTAAAAAAATCCATGACGATGAAAGTAATACCAAAGACAAAAAGATAAAAAAAGATAAAAAGGACAAAAAAGAAAATAAAGATAAAAAAGAAATCAATGATACTAAAGACAACAATACCATAATCAACAATATAATTAAAAACAATAAATTTATAAATAACCTTGATACCAATAAAAAAATTCCGAATACCACATTAACCAATAGAAATTCAATCTCTTCTATCAAACCTCAAATATCTCAAGTATCTCAAGTATCTCAAGTATCCCAAATATCCCAAATATCCCAAATATCCCAAATATCAAATATATCACATACCTCTCAATTATCAAAAAAATCAAAGACCTCTAACCACTCTCACAACTCATTATCATATTCAAATTCAATTGATAATTCGGGATCAAAATTAAAAAAAATCAACACAAACTCAAGCATCAATTCAAACTTATCTCCCTATAAAATTAAACCTTTACCAAAAGTAGATTCCTTTGCTTCAAATCATGTTCACTCAAACTCTTCGTCTTATAATAGTTCATTTCCTGCATACTCATTAGCTAACAACATTTCCAATAATATCAACATTACAAATACCACAAATAACAATAACACTAATTTTATCATCGGATCAACTATGATGAGAAAATCTCATACAAACTCCTTTTCTCATCACTCTCTTAATTCAACCTCCTTTAATTCATTATCTTTCAGTTCTTATAACTCCCTAAATTCAAATTCAAACTCAAACTCAAATTCAACTTCAAATTCAAATTCAACTTCAATCCAAAGTTCATCCTCCAATCCAAACTCATTTTCAAATTCTTCCTCTCTTTCACATCACAACTCAAACTCAAAATTACGTCTTACATCCCTAAATTCCCAAGATTTCAATAAATTTTCTCCTTTTATCACTTCAAACAACCAATTTCAATTCTCAAACCAGAACCCTCCTCAAATTCAAAATCAAAAAAGATTATCCATAAATTCTGTTAAAACTCTAAACTCGATCATCACGAACAATTCCGTATCTCCAATCTTTAATTATCCAACCTTTAATTCTGACGATTTTGGTAAACCAATTACCGAAGTTGCTTCAAAAAACGATGAAAAATTGATTTACGATGGTTTTGGTGGTATAATCAAAAAATCAAAGCTCAAATGTGATTCCTCAAAAGTAATAATAGTCAAAGTCCTAAAAAGACCCGAACAAATCGATCCTTCTTTGATTGAAGAACCAACTTCAAATCTAAATTCAAACTCACTCACCTCAATAAACACATTTTATGATAAACTATCCAAACATGAATTTTTCCTAACTTTAAAATCAAAAAATAGAAACGTAATTCAAGTTATAAATATGTGCAAAGATTTTGATACTGAAAGTGCCAGTGACGATAAAAATGATAATAGCCCTTATTATTGGTCTATTGTAATGCCTTTTTATTCCAATGGGGATTTTTTCACTTTGATAGCCAAATCAGTTAACAAAAAACTATTTCTCTCCTCAAAAGTCAAAGATTATATGTTTAAGGAATGTCTTCAAGCTGTTAAATTTATTCATTCAAAAAATATCGTTCATAGAGATATAAAATTAGATAACTTTTTGATTGATGAAAATTGTGTTTTAAAATTAACCGATTTTGGAATGTCTATTGATTTACATGAATTGGACGAAGAAAGCAGTATCTTTAACAACGAATGTAATCAAAATATTAGAATTGGAACAAAATCATATAGAGCTCCTGAACTTTGTGACAACTATAATATAAATTCAAATAATAATAATAACAACAGTAGCAACAGTAGCAGTAATGGCAACACTGTTTCAAATATCACCAAAATTAAAAACTACTATAAACTCGATGTTTGGTCATTAGCAATATCTTATATATTATTATCCTCGAACATTTCCAAACCTTGGGAAATTGCTGACAAAAAATCCTGTCCTTCTTTTAAATGCTTTAGGGATCTTTACATCAACAACGATCTCAACAATAAAATTAGAATTAATAACACTGACAAACAGAATTCTTGGATCAAAAATTTGGTTAAAGTTAATAATACGAAAGAAACTGAAAAGGTCCTTAATTTTGTTGAAAGGTTAAGTTTTGATAGTAAGAGTGTCGTTCTTAAAATGTTGAATGTAGATCCAAACACCAGAGCATCGATAAATGATGTTTGGGACAGTGATTGGATGAGCAATAGAGTTGACTTTTGCACCAGAGAGGAGTTGAGGGAATCTGTTGAGAGTATACTTAGGTAACTGTTATTGAAAAGTTTGTCTTTCTGTTTTTGTATTAGTATCTACGATTTTTCATGTGTGCTTTTTTTAATTTTTTTTTTAGAGTTGGGTGTTGGTAGAATAAATATATATTGGAATATTTTTTTTTCCTTTTTTATAGATTGGTATATCAAAATTTTAAATTTGTGCAAAACAGAATTTTCATTTCACGTCAATTTAGTAGTAATAAAGTGATATCATAAAGAAGAATTAAAAACAGTAAAAAAATTAAAAAAAATTAAAAAAATAAAACAAATAGAAACTGAAATAAAAATGGATAAAAACCCCTGAAACAAATAAAAAGTATTAGAACTAGAATAGCCAGGCAACAAACTTGTAATAGAACCACTTGGCATTCTTTTTGTCGCCTCTAGCTAATGCTTCTTCCTTTTCGAGTCTCTCATGTTCTTCTTGTTCAGCCAAAATAATATCTCTGTAACTATACAAATCGACATCTTCAGCTTTGATTACCTTGGTTTTGTAGATGAATTTATAGCCTAGCCATAGAACAAAGAAAACTGGAATACCGATATAACCAGTGATGAAAGTTTTGTACTTGAAATCTCCGAATAAAAAGACAGTAAAGTTTTTGATGAGGCAGATGAGAATAATGAAGAATAAAGAAACATAATCGGCCCATGGTTGCAAAGGAGCCTTGTAAAGCAAAGTGTTTCTGTCGACACCTTGAGTAATTAAAGCTCTCATGAAATACATATGACAAATGATAATTGTAGCCCAACAAATCAAACCGAAAATTGAAACAACCGAAACGAAATAACCAAATAAAACCTTTGAATCATCAGTAACATTCATATAAGCTAATAATGCAAATACGACTGCAACACCCAAAGCATAAACTGGAACACCATATTTGTTTGTTCTAGCAAAGAATTTTGGAGCATCCTCATTGCAAGATAAACCATACAAGGCACGAGAAGCCAAGTAAAGATCTGAATTGGAAGCAGAAAAGATAAAGACTAAAATACAACCATTGATAAGATGTGGAAGACCAGAAATACCAGCAGAAATAGCAGCAACAACAAAGGGAGAAGCAGCAGCAGAACTTTTTTGCTTGTTTGCAAATGCCAAATTAGGATCATCGTAGGCAACACAACAACCTAAAAACAAGACATTTAACCAGTAAAACAAAGCAATACGCCAGAAGGTTAATTTGATAGCCTTTGGAATGGCTTTGACATTTTGTGCCTCACCAAAGGTGATACCAACCAATTCTGTGCCCAAGAAAGCAAAAACAGCAGTGACCAAAACAGAGACAAAGGCAACAAATCTACCAGTGCTGCCTTCAATACCATCATAGGCTTTGAATGCACCTGGATCTTTCCAGTATCTGAAACCAGTTCTGTCACCATTGGGACCACCGCCTAACATGAGAATGAATAAAAAGAAGATTAAACCAACACAAGTTAAAACCTTCAAACAAGATAACCAAAATTCGATTTCACCGAATTTTTGGACACCAAAGAAATTAATTGCAGTGATAGTAACTAAGAAAATAGTGATCCAAACCCCAGGATTGATTTTGTCCCTATGAACCCAATATTGCATAACCAAAGCACCAGCAGTCAATTGATTTGGGCAAACTAAAAGATATTTTAAAAGATACATCCATCCAACAGCAAAACCCAAAGCAGGATCAACATATCTGTGAGCATAACCAGTAAAACCATCTGGAAGTGGAATATAGGCAGCCATTTCACCCAAGGCACACATCACATCATAAACAATAAAACCAACTAAAACATAAGCAAGAAAAACAGAACCAGGACCTGCTGCTGCCAAAGCTGAACCAGTACCAATAATTAAACCGGTACCTAAAGCACCACCAATGGCAATCATAGTAATATGACGAGCTTTTAACTTCTTTTTCAATTTTTTACCATCTTCGAGATAGACCAAGTGTTTTTCAGTAGTCTCGATATCTCTCAAATCGTTGACACTTTTAGTGTCAGAAACTTCTGCATTTTTCTCCACTGAAGAACCCATATTGAAGCAAAACTCTATTGATCAGTAATCTTGTTCAACTTTTTAAAAAAAGCGCAAAAGAAATCAGAAAAAAGAAATGGAATATAAAGAAAAGAAAATTGAACAGTTCTCTTTTTTGATTGTTTTTTTTTGAACGAAAAGCAACTGAAATCTGGATTTCTTTTATAGTTATATGAAAAATAACACAATAGTAGAAATGGAATATTTCCTCAAAAACTTGATAATAATCTGAGCAAAAGATTAGAACAATGTGCGTTAATTGTAACCAGAAGTATTGATTTTTTTAATTATTAGATTCAGATAAAAAGCTAGTTCATTAGTTTAAATCTAATACGCAAATTAGGTTCTTCATAATGTTGAAATAAAAGTGTTGTTATTCTATTTTTCCAAGATTCTGATAGCAGCAATTTGAACAAATATAAAATGCTGGCAATCTACTCAACACTGGTTATCAATATTTTGCAAAATCAGTATCCTGTAAGAGAATCAGAGCCAGTATTCCACCCTTTAAACTATTGCAAACTGCAAAAAAGCAACACATCTCTCCCTCGCTGTTGTGCCTGTTTTGCTAGCAGCAGTCAACCAGTGAATTATTATATTCAATTCAAGAGCATGCTTTGACTCTCATACCAGGCGGTTTGGTGTCAAGTTTTCAAGTTATCCACGACCTATCTCCTGCTCAAGACACGACAATGTTAGGGAAGAACAACGATAGTTGTATTCAGGGCCCAGCAGCTGTTACAACATGGAGCTGAATATCCTGCTGGCTTTCCAGCAGCTCGCAGGTTATGGCTGTTATCTGGCTGTTGTAGCAACTTGAACAGCTGAACCCACCCAGCTGCCTAAGCGACTCAACAGGAGAATATCGTTTAATGAGAAGCACTGTGGACAACTGAAGAACAAGACTTGAGACAAGCAAAAGCTGGAGGAAGCCTCAGATGGAAGCAAACATTCAAAGCTTAATTGCTCAGCCAGTTGAAACCTGTCTCGAGCACCAACTTGACATGGTCTTATCTGATAGCAGCCGTTAAACAAAAGTACATCTAAGTTTGCAATGATAGACAGAGGTCTTCATGTTGCAATTCTAATCCAGTAACATGTTGTTTCGCCTGCTGTTTAGCTGCTTTTTGTTCTGAACCTCAATCTTATGCTGTGCTGATTGCAGGTGTATAAGTAACCCAGAATAATGTGCTCAGACACCTTAATTTGATGTACAAGGCATTATCACTTACGCCCGAAATACACAGCTGTATTGAAAGTTATATTAACAGTTGATAACATTTTACAGATCTAAAACAAGCATTCAGTTAAAACGAGCAATCTGGATAAAATAAGCAGTTCAGATAAAATGGTCCATTCAGATAAAGTGAACCTCTTTCAGTCTGCAAATATAGATTGCGCAGAAAATAACTTCAGTTGAACACAGAAATTAAAAGCATTTAGTTGTTTTTTTCTTTTTTTCTTTTAATATGTCAATTGTGGCAGTTCAACACTTTTCATTTGCACAACTCAAGCCAGTTTTCAGCATTGTAATAAGAGTATTCGTTGCCGTTTTACTATGGCTATTAAATGCTTAGTCTTAAATACTTAGTCTTCAACTACAAGACTTGGATTCTGCTTCCATATTTATTCACCTGGCTGGTGCAAAATGAACCAACATACAAAATACAGAGGAAACAAACATTACTTATCCATTCTGGCACTCCTGGCTCCAAATTGAATAGCTCTTTTCGGTTCTTCACTTACAAACTCTAGGTCTAACGAAACAGCCACTTTTCTTAAAAAGTACTTTTTGATTAGCTTTGGTAATTGTCCATTTTTGCTTTGTTTCTTTTCTCGTTTTTTCTTCTTCAAAGTACTTTCAACATCGTTGCTAATCCCAGGTGCTTTGACACATTTGGAATTTATATAATTCCAGTCCACCCAAACCTTATAATTTAATGGAATCTTTTTCAACGAAAAATCAATAATATCGTTACATAAAAATGGGTATCTCAATTCCTTTCCCCAAGAACATATGACTTTGTCATCTCTCCCCAAGTTTCTTTTCCAGATCCTTGAAATGTCCAATAACAATTCTTCCTCTAGAGATCTGTAACTGCTTATTCTCATTTTTTCAACTTCTTCGCAATCGTGAGAACCATTGTTTTTGATGTTGGCTCTCAACAATTTGTAGTAGTCGTTAAACACACCTTCATGTCTCGAGTAACCACCAAACAATTCATCAGCACCTAAACCACTAAGCAAAACTTTGCAATTCGAATTGAAATTAGATTCTCTCTTCAATTCCCCAAATTCAATACTTTTAGAATCCAATGTCATTTTTTCTTGATCTAAAATTACTTTGCTTCCTAAACCCCTGCTTGCAAAAAAAAATGCAATGCTTATACTTAAATCCATCACACTTTGTTCTGGCCAAATCAATTTTAACACACGTTTTTTCCCCTCGATATATTCTTTATAAGAAATATCTATTTCAATTAAATTAAATTCAACCCCAACTGGGCCATAGATCTTACAGAGTTCAAACCATGATTTTAATGCCAATTGTCGATCGGGAACAGCTGAAGCCTGTTTACGAGTCCTAGGATTATCAAACCCAACATTTAAAAGATCAATTGTTTTACTTTTTTCAGAAAAATCTTTTGATGAAACTAGTTGAAATGCACAAAGGGCTGCAATGATTGTACAATCAATGCCACCGGAAAATAAAATAGCAAATGAGGAATTAGTTGTAGTTTGCACTGCACCGAAATTAGTATCTTTATTGCTGCCAAAGTTTATAAGATTTTGAGGAGGAAAATATAATTTCTCAACCTCTGAATTTTCATGTAAAGGCTCAATAGTTTTTATTCTTTCATAGATTGACCTGTTCAATAGTATTGAAAATTCTTCAATGTATGGCCGGATCTTACCTGAATCATTATAATCACTTTCCAAAACCTGACAAAGGTTGTAGTTTTGACTCTTAGTAGAATACTCGTCTATCTTAAACAATTTTAAACTAAATGAACTCAAATCAAAACAATATATAATGCCCCTTTCACAGTCAACCCATTGACCATTCAATTTACTCAATTTATAATCGTCTAGACCATCATTTATATTTTCAATATTTTGATAGTTCAAGCTTCCATGACATTTGCATATTGGAGGTAGTGAGGATAAATAGATTTTTTTTGTTTTGGAACAAATTGTAAACATAAGAGATCTTTTGCCAACACTATCTCTTCCAAAATATAGCCTTTTGTTAAAGCTATCGTAAATGCTGTAAGCAAATTCTCCATCCATGGCAGATATAGTAAATAAAATTGATTCTTGGTATTTCGTGTGATTCACGTCTATCTTTTGACAGTTGGACAACAACTGAGACATGAAGAACAAAGTATCGTTGGAATACTGCTTCAAATCACTATCAACTAGCTCAGTATTGTATAATTCTCCATTGAACTGAAGAACAAATTGGCCATTCACCAAAGGCTGTTTTGTAAATGGAGATCTTAGTGACAAAATCGAAGAAAAGAAAGTCAATCTTCCATACAAATTGTCTGCATTCTTGATATTCTTCGCAAGCATTGAGCCATAGTTGGGACCTCTAGACAATATTCTGGGAATCAATGCACCAACAATATGATCTTCAGTCTTGAATCTCTCTGCAATCCAAGCACTTGAACACTGTCTATCAGACGACGCTCCAGCCAACAAATCCTGCCTGAAATCTTCGTTTATAATCCCAGCTATCTCTTGTTCATCACACAACTCAACAAATGTGTCTGGGGAGTCTCTTTTCTTCACTTTTCTTGTCTCTTGAACATAGCTGAGCAATATTCCACACATTGTTCAGCAGCTCTTCCACTTGATGAGTAACCGATTCCAGGCTCCGAAGCCAAATATTTTCCACGTTTTTCACCAAAAAAAAAAATTTAAATCGAGACTAACCACCTCATCTTCAAAATGTCTTTTGATCAACAAGAATCAACACTCGAAGCCGAAAGCTCTGGTTCTGACGTGAACAACACTGCTCTTGGTGAAGTTGGCAACAATGCAGCTGCTGAGTCTAGCAAAGTGGCACAGAAATCTCAGCTAAAGGGCAAAAAAGGTAAAAAGAGTAAAAAGGGCAAACAGCAACTTACACCTGAAATAATTGCTGAAAAAAAGAGACAAAGAGAATTGAAGAAACAAGAGCAGATAAATGAGATGATCAAAAATGGAAGAGACACATCTGATATCAATGTTCCTCCTGATTTGAGATTTAAAAAACGACCTTTTTTGCCTGTTCACAACAGTTCAGATGAGTGTGGTGTTTCTGTTGAATCAAAAAATCTTGGAAATGGCTTCAAAATCAAAATTATGACCTACAATATACTAGCACAGTGTTTGATCAGAAGAAAATTGTTTCCAACCAATGGATCAGCATTGAAGTGGGTGAAAAGATCAAAGGTTCTTTTATCTGAATTCCAGTACTATAATGCTGACGTTTTATGTCTTCAGGAAGTTGACCATATTCAATTTGAATCATTTTGGAAAACTGAGTTTGAAAAACTAGGCTATAAATCTGAATTTTATAGATATGGAATGAAAAACCATGGTGTTGCTATTGTTTATCGTGTGGAGTATTTTACAAAAATTGATTTATCATACATTGTATATGATGAGATTAATACGCTCAACATTAAGGCCAGAACATTCACTTCTAATATTGGCTTAATGATAGCATTGGAGTTTACGAAAAATGTGTTGCATAGCTTCTCTGGGACTGCAAAAAAGAAGGGGATTATCATAGGAACCACTCATTTGTTTTGGCATCCATTTGGTACTTATGAAAGAACAAGACAAACGTATATTGTGCTATCTCAAATGAAGGGGTTTCTTCATAGAGTGGCTGTGATAAATGTGAAAAATCAATCAAATCCCAAAGAACTTGTTGATCCGATTGAGGTGAAAAAAGAAAAATCTTATTGGTTTAGTTTTTTTGCTGGAGATTTCAATTCTCAACCTTATGATACGCCATATTTATTCATAACAGAAAAACCTGTTTTGTGTAAAAAGGACTCTAAAGCAAGAAACATCATTTCTTGTGCAACTTCATTTGAATATTCTTCAAAAAGGGGAAGTGGTGAAAGTGAATCTAAAGAAGAAAATGTGGAATATTCTGGAGAAAATCAACCCAAAGATACAGATCCAGAGTTTTTCGAAGCTACAGAAGAACAGAACAAGTTGGTTGATGATATGCTCAGTTTGCATAACTCATTGCCAGTAAGAGCAATAAGTTTGTATTCTGTTGCTTATAAAAATGTTCATCCAGAAAATTCTGGTATTGACAATAATAAAAATGAACCCTTTTTCAGCAACTGGGCTCATTCTTGGAGAGGATTACTTGATTACATTTTTCTTATCAAGGACTGGGACCTAAATTCAAATAAGCAAAATGTTGATACATTAAAGGATTTTGAAAATGAAAATGAAATGAAAATTGTTAATTTACTAAGAATGCCTGAGTTTAGTGAAATGGGTAAAGAACCAAGTGGACAACCAAGAGAAGGGCAGTATCCAAGTGACCATCTCTGTATGATAGCAGAAGTCGAGCTTAAAATTTTTGAATGAAATTTTATAAGTCCTTGGTTTATTTCAAGATTAGAAGATCACCATATATTGATAAATAAATAGTTAAATAAATGAAAAAAAAAAAATAAAAAAAACTAAACACATCTAACTCTATTTAATCACATTATTCAGTGCTCACCAATTCCAAACACAAATCAACACATTTCCCAATTCTCCCTTCATTCATTACAACCAAGTCTTTGACAATGGAACGATCAAGTTGAGGAAACATTGTAACTAAAGCATTTATATTCTCTTCTAATTCTTTGTCATATAATGATTTTGCCAAGTATTCTGCCTTAGATTTTTGTTTAGCGATTTCTTCTTCCTCATTGACTTTTTTTGGTTGTTGCTTTATCTGTTCATTAGTTTCCTGCTCTTTAACAGGTGGTGGAGTTTGGAAAAAGGAAGAAAATGATTTAGCGATAAACGTAGCAGAATTTGTAATGACCTCTGAGGGAGTCATATCCTGAGTTCTGTCTAACAAAGAAGTGCTGGTTGAAGCTTGTGAAGTTTGGGGTTCATTTATCAAATTATTATTATTTGAATGTTTTGGAATAGGGGATAAAATTTTCGCTTTTTGCTTTTCAATTTTTGCTTTATGTTCATTTAATCGTTGTTCCCATTCTTCATCAGTGATGGTCAATGAGTTTTTGTTTAGTTTTTCAAGAAAACCAATGACTACCCAAAAAGAGGATAGATAATAACTCACTTCTCCTGTTAACCAATCTTTATTTCTAAATCTTTCTATATAATAAAGATTCGAGGTTAATTTTAAATCCTTTTTTTCCTTGTTGACCGAATTACTTAGAATAATATAAATTAGTAAGGGTATGAAAGAATCAGCATTGGTTTCCTTTTCAAGCTGTTTTAATAGACCAAATATAACTTTACAACAATTGAGTATGCAAATGATTTTATCTCTAGGAGAACGATAACTATTCATTTTGGTTAACTGGTTTTGAGCTAATTTGATAAATTCAGAACCCTTTTTAATTAATTTTGTATCCAAATCTAAATGTTTAGGAGTTATCCAGTTGAATTTTCTGATTTGTTTATTTAACATGACATCTTTGATAATATCTTCAGAATGGGATTGATCTAAAGATGAGACCTGAATAGCAGGAGAAAAAACTTGATCGTATAATCTATTCATAATTAATTTTTCCATGCCTTCTTGACAGTTGATATATTCGGTTTCATTCATTTTATTAAATGGGTGACATGCTAGCATTTTTGAATAGATAAAGTTTTTAAAATCTGAAATTAATTTGACTTGTTCATTAACAGACCAAGTTCTTTTTGAGAAGGCTAGCAAAAACGATTTCAAGTAACGAACAATTGGATCAGCTTTTTTGTTTTTCAAATAGGTTAGAAATCTTTGAAAATCAAAGGGTAGGTTATTAGGGTCTTGTTTTTGAATACTTTTATGTAATTCATTTTCTTTCTCTTTTTCGGCTTTCAATTTCTTTTCTTGAATTTTTAGTTCTAATTTTGTGGTGGGAGGAACAGTTTTGTTTTCGATTGTATCATTATTTTCATTATTATTATTATTATTATTGTTATCATTTTCATTTATTGGTGGGTTCAACAGTATATAAGGGCTCTCAGATACACTTCTTTTATGGTTTTTATTTTTGTCATTAAGATTTAAAAGGTCATTATTGGCTGGGTTTTCGGAGATGGATAAATTGGATAAATCGTTTGATAATTTATATTCAGATTTTGATCTTTGATGAGAAGGTGAGGGTGAAGGGGAGGAAGGGGAGGAAGGAAATAAGCCAGATAAATTTGAGGAAACGTTTTGGCTATTTAAGATATTTGAGATTTCGTTATCATGAGAATCAAAAGTATCATCGTTATGAAGATCAATTTTATTATGTTGTTGGAAATGTGATAAATTATGGTCATTTTGAATATCTATTAAATTGGCCTTTTCAGGATCATTTATGACGATAGAGGGCTGCAGATCATTTGTGATTTGTGAATTTATGGTTATATTGAGGTTTGGTATTGTTTGGGTGTTTGAAATTGATTTTTCATTTAAATTTTGAGAAAGTATTTCGGATATTTGTTTTAAACTTTTATCTTTCTCTTTCTCTTTATCTATATTATTAGTATTTTGGTGTAAAATTGAATTAGAATGTAAATTGGAGTCAGATTCAGGTTCAGATCCAGATTCAGAATTTGAATCTGAATCTGAAGAATCATCATTCAAGTCTATTAAATTGTCGGTTTGATTATTATAGGTTATTCCGGATAAAGCAATAGGAGAATGGATTGAAGGAGTTAGCTTAGAATTTGTGGAGGTGGTTATAAAATTTCCATTGATATTTGTATTGTTAACACTAGTAGAGAGAGAGGAGTCGTGGAGCATATTTGTAGTTGGATTCAATATGAACTTTTGATTTAAAATATTGCTATTTTTGCTGGAGTTGGTGTATCTGTTTTGATCGTCTTTTATATTGCTGTTCATCTTCAGTAGAGGTCAAAAATTCAGGGCTGTCAAACAGAAACAAACTTGGAATGGTAAGTTTGCTATTACTTAATTAAGTTATTACTGAAAGCACCCAATAAAGGTCTTGCAGAGTATCCTGAGAGTCAATTAGAACTGGTTAGAGCGTTGAATCAGGTTGATTTGAACTGATATATATTAAAAATTAACAAAATCAAGAAAACAATTGGGAATATCGGATTATTTGCACGGATCTTCCCAAACAGGCAAACAAACTATCCGGCCCATGCACGGATAACCGGACTACAAACCGTGGTTACGGACGTAAATGGCTGCACCCTTCTGCGGCCTCTGCTGCTTGTCTGAAGCTGAAAAAGAAGCCAAATGGTCGGCAAAGAAAGCACTAAATACTACCGGCAGACAACTGGCTTGGAAGCAAGAAATACCAGCTCAGTGGTGCGAAAAGCAGTCTCTGTTTCTGCAGCCAGAGAACTGCTCTCTGTTGCCTGCCTTGAAAAACAATTTATTGATGCACACGCACGCACACGCACGCATTTTCACTTTACAAAAACCCAGTTTTGCTATGCTCTGATTGGCTGTTTTCAGAACCAGTATAGAAGATTAATAGTGCTTTTTTGCAATCGCTGAATTGAATAGAAGATGGTCTTTAAAGCGCTGCTCACTGTGGGTCTGCTGTGAGCTGGGTGGAAAAAAGCAGTTGTTTCTATTATAAAGAGACAGACTGGCAATGTTCATATAAGCTTTTTCCTTTTCAACAAGGTGCTTGTTTGCTTTGACAGATTATCCCACAGCTTTCCAGCGATGAGCAATCGGAATCGCAGATATTTAGCTTTGGCTTTTCTTCTTTCAAATATAACACAGGCCAAATATCTCAATCTATGTGCTGATCCAAGGTGGTTAAAAGAAAAGAATCAAAGTGAAATCAATAGATAAAAGCAGATCTAGAAGAGTTACCACGCTGGAGAAATGAAAAGTTTCAATATTCGATGGATTCGGAAATATCAGCCTATTAAGCAGTGTATCAGGATTCTCTTTCTGCACCCAATAAAACCCCAGAAATCGCTCAAGAAGTTTGCGATCCACTTTGAATTACAAACAGATCCATTTACCAACCTTTGGAGAGTTTCTTCCATCCTTTTATCTCTCCAACAAAGCTGAATTTTACCACAGATTGATCTGAAAACCTCAATGTTACACTTCGAGAGGGTTTAGGGCTGTTATTTGTATGCAAAATGTTGCTTGTATCACATGATTGCTGCTTTCCAGTACCCACTTCAGGTGAACTGTCCCGTTAAAACGGGGTTTACGTTTAAAAATTTTTTCAATTGACTAATGAAGAACTTTCTTCTTTTATCATGGAGCTTCAATTCTCTTTCCTTTTCGTTTTCTTTTCACTTTTTTCTTTTTTTTCCATCTCCTCTAAACCTGTAAATAAAGCTTTACTCAAGTCCACTATAATAACACTCTTATCTCAGAATGTCTCCTCCTACTTTAAACTCTGATAAAAAACAATCTGGTTATGCTAGAATTCTTGGTTCTGGTGCTGCAGGTATTTGTGAAATAGCTGTTTTCCATCCTGTAGATACCATCTCCAAAAGATTGATGTCCAACCAAACAAAAGTCACTAATGCTAGCATATTGAACAAAGTCATCTTTAGAGAGCACTTCCATGAACCCTTTGGCAAAAGAATATTCACTTTATTCCCAGGTTTAGGTTATGCTGCCTGCTATAAAGTCTTGCAAAGAGTCTACAAATATGGCGGTCAACCTTTTGCTAACGAATTCTTAACTAGAAACTTCAGTCATACTTATCAAGATTTATTTGGTCAAAAAAATGGTAAAGCTTTAATGAGTGCAACTGCTGGTTCAATGATTGGTATCGGTGAAGTTGTCCTATTACCTTTAGATGTTCTTAAAATCAAAAGACAAACAAATCCAGAGGCTTTCAAAGGCAGAGGCTTTCTCAAAATTATCAAAGATGAAGGTTTAGGTTTATATCGTGGTTGGGGTTGGACTATGGCTAGAAATGCTCCTGGTTCTTTTGCTTTATTCGGTGGTAATGCTTTCGCTAAGGAATACATTTTCGGTTTACAAGATTATACATCTGCCACTTGGACCCAGAACTTTATCTGTTCCATCTTCGGTGCTTCAAGTTCTTTAATAGTCTCGGCTCCATTAGACGTCATTAAAACTAGAATTCAGAATAAAAATTTCGAAAACCCTGAATCTGGTTTCCAAATCTTGAAAAATATGGCCAAAAATGAAGGTATTAGTTCTTTCTTCAAAGGGTTGACTCCAAAACTATTGACTACTGGTCCAAAATTAGTTTTCTCTTTTGCTTTGGCTCAAACATTAATTCCTGCATTTGATAGATTATTGAAATAGATTGATTTTAACTAATTAGTCATTCAAAAACTCCTTTTTTCATTGTTATCTTTAATGTAATTTTTTGTATTTTTTGTATTTTTGAATTGTTTTTAAACTTTTCCACCATTACTTCTATTCTTATTGTTATCATTTCATGTAAATAATTATTATATATTTTAATTTATGATCTCAATTTTCTTTCTCAAAACAAAAGTATGGTATTGAAATGTTCTCTATATCATGCAAATCGAAAAAAAAAAATAAAAATAAATAAATAAATAATAGTAAAACTAAAGAAAATAAAGTTCGTATATTTTTAAAAACCATACTACTTGGGTACATCTGTTCTGTTATCAGTTTCATACTCATCATCACTATTGAATTGATTGTCACTATTATTGTTCAAACTCATTCTATTATCCCCTCGATTATTCCTATTGTCATCTTCACCTATTAATTCATCATCTGTATTTATAGTCATATTGCTCAAACTTAAACTATCATTATCACGGTTACTTTCACTATCCTCATCTGGTCTGATTAATTCGAGCTCATAATCATCTCTACGACGATGGGGTCTTCTTTTGCTCACTGCCTTAAAGTAAAATAAACATACAATAAAACTAACCACAATCAAAAAGAAAAAATAGGTTCCATAATTCGAATCAACATTATGCAAATATTGCCCTTCACCTTCAGATGTAGAAGTGGCCTCTATAGCTGTCTCTTCAATAATTTCTGTAGTAGAAGATATTATATTGCTTGATAAAAGTGATGAAGTTGAGCTGTTTATTATTCCAATATTTGTCTCACTACTTGAGCTCAGACCTGACACACCGCTTTGAGTACTACTTTGAGTACTAATTTCTGTACTTGATGCCGGTATGAATGAAGTTGTTCCACTTGATACAGATGCTGCATCTGGCTGGTCATTTTCTTTGTCCTCCTCACCTGGTAAAGGAAATCTTTTAGCCTTTGATGGATCTATACATTCACCAAAAAATTTTATAACCCAATCATAAAATTTCACTTTATTTTTTTGACCTCTATTTATAACCTGTAGTTTCCAAACCCCCTCACCAGTCTCATTCCAGTGAGCAACAGACATAAAGGTCCAATTATTAAAGCCCTCATTTGATTTATCATATGGTCTTTGGATACCTAAGTTTGAAATAATACCACTGGGAGATATCAAGTTTACTTCAATTTTGCCTCTATTTTTTGCTGACATATTTATTGTGACTGTAACATGTTCAATGTGCTCAAAATTTGCTTTTTCTAAATCCTCTTTATCAATGTTTAGAGTATAAGTATAATCTCTATTAGTATTTTCCGCCCATTCAATATCTTCATTCACATGGTAAGGAGAAGAATAATACCAAGCTTGGGGTTTAACGTTTTTCCAATCTTTCGCCATATGAACCATAGTATAGGCATCAATCTTTCCATAACCATATTTATGGGAAAATCTTTTTTTAACATTAGTTATTTGATTCTCAGGGTTATAGCAATCTCTTTTGAACATTACTGTATCCTGCCAATTACCATCAATATCGTTTATTTCAACACTTGATAAAATAGAAAGATATTGAATATCTCTCCAAGTCAATTCTGGATTTGCTTGTAATACCAAAGAATATATACCGGCAGCTAAAGGAGCAGCAGCAGAGGTTCCGCCATGGTTATCTGTGCATCTATTATTTATGTCCGTTGTATGAATATGCTCACCAGAGCCTGAAGAATATGTTACAACCAACACAGCTGAACAAGCTTCAGCATATGGGGGATGAGATCCCTTGTGATCAATTGCGCCGACCGTAATAGAATAGATTGAATTGGTATAACCATCAAAGTTGCAGTTATCACCATTCAAACCACCATTACCACTAGCAAAAACGTAAATAGAACCCTTTGATTTCCTTCCATCCAATATGCCTTTGACTATAGCCTTTCTAACAACTAATTCTGGTGCCTGCATTGATTTTCCATCATCAGGTGGACCCCAAGAACAAGAATAGATATCATTGACATCAAGTCCATATATTAATGAAGCTGCTTCTTCTTCGGCAGTAATTTCGCCAGATAAGATTCTAATGCCAGCTACTTTTGAGTCATAAGCCACACCTATACCACAATAACCATTGTTTTTGGTAGCCGCTATTTCAGCAGCACATCTTGTGCCATGGTAATCATTTGATAGTTGAGGAGCAGGTAATTTTTGATTTGCATTGAAATCATAAGAACCTTCTTCACAAAAATTATCTTTTAAGTCTTGTGAATGAAAATCCAAACCATCATCAACTATAGCTGTTACTACACCCTTGCCGGTAATATTTTCGTACCATAATCCTGTAGCATTAACATCATGACCAGGGAAACTTGGATTAATTAAATGCCATTGTTTAATGAATTCAGGGTCGTTTATTTGTAAATCTTTTTGAGCTTGAAAAATTGGTTTCATGGAAGAATCGTATTTCCTTTGAGGATCAGCTTCTGGATATGAAATTGGAATGGGTAATCTTTTTTCAAGCCTTTTGGGTCTTAAAGGATGTAAAGATTTAATGAGAAAATTATTGGCTATACTATTATACATATTATGCGTTGATCTCTTTTTCAACAAGAAATCGTCGTTTTGCTGGTCACCATTTTTGGATAGAATTTCGTTATCAAAATCATCTATTGAGGGATCAGATTTGTCATATGAAAAGACATATAGATCATCGAAACCTCTGAAATTATGTTCGAATCTGAATTGAGGGTAGTTTTTCTGAAAAATGTCCATAATATCGAGATCAGCTATATTTCCGTCAACATTTTGAGTAGAAGTATTTGTTTCTGATAACTGAATTGCAATATAATTTCTGTTTATGAAATCTTTTGCAGGAATATTTCCATTGTTGAAATTATAGTGATTTTTGTGATTATTGATCGCCTCAAAACTCAGCATTATTCTTAATTCCAAACTCCGTATTTAGCAAAAAAACAAAATTTAAAATCTATAACCCAAAAACAAATAAACAAATGTGGTCCTCATTCAGGGCCAGCAGCAGTATATAATTGAGTCTGGAGAGGCTTTCTAAATAACGAGGGTTGTGAACATATAATATAGATGATCAATAAAACACAGGTTTTTTACCGAAGTCTATGATTTGGAACATGTAATGCTTAACTGAAAAAAACAAAAAATAGAAATTTTGTGATTACGTGATACGTTTGTTGCACGAGGCGTGGCCGGAAAACACAATCCGAACTCGGACGTTCGTGAAGCAATTATGGTCCGTTGCCCCAAACGAAATACACAAGAATTAACCACTTATGAAACGAAAATTGTGTTTCCGCAAAAAACATTTAATTCACAAATACCTTGATAAAGATTGCAATCCAAACAATATAAATATGATCACTAAATAGCTAGATAGAAATAAAATAAAACGAGAGGAAAAGGAGAGAGAAGTCTACTAAGTCATGAGCACTAGAAGAAATCTCTATCTTTTCTTCGACGACTGTTGACCTGACAGCATCCAAGTCAAGAACACTGATAGTGATAACAAAAGGGAACTTGATACTTCACCAATGGCTTCCAAAATCAATGAATTAAATCAAAGAGTTGAGTTAATTGAATCGAATGTTGCATCCGGGTTTGAACGACTAGAACGAATGCTCGAAAGTGTATTAACTCGTAACGAACGGTCGGAAATCGGTTATCGAAAGTCACAACAACGTTTTAGCAAAAGCAACTCTTTACGTAATCAGAACAATCGTAGCCAGCTGCAAAGAATTAGCACAAACATAAGCAAAATAAAAGCAAGAAATGATTTTGCATCAATAAATTTCATAAAAAGTACAGAAATACCAGCTATATAACTAAAAAGGTATCAGCACAGACAACGCATTATTAAATGTATAAATAACATGTACCATGTTTAGTAATTCATAATTGGAGGGTTGGCCGAGTGGTCTAAGGCGGTAGACTTAAGATCTACTGGGAGACTTCCCGCGCGAGTTCGAACCTCGCATCCTTCATTTTTGTGTTGTTGGAAACAGTAGTTCACGTGTCTGAACAGAGAAGCTGTTTTTGTTTGATGTCGTGTTTGTGGTCGAACACCGGGCGAAAAAGTGCAAAGTTGGTTTGCACAAACGCGCTTATTTGATCCACTGCATGGTGCTGCAGATACACACCCTCAGACTGCTGCTTCAAAAATAAGGTTGTTGTGATATTGTTCTTTTGGTCTTCATGCTGAAAGCCCTAACTATATATCTGCCTATTTCCCATGCTCATGAGAGCCTCTTCCAAGTCTCTATCTGAATTCAAACATGTCGATGCAAAGTCAGAATAGCTGACGTCCTTTTTGCTGTTGTTAACTTCTTCATTGATTTGCTTATTTTGAAATGATTCTGTTGTTTGCATGTCTGTTACGTATTTATTTCCATGTTTTATTTCATTGCAATTACATCTATCATTAGCGTCATCGTAACCTGCATAAATAGAACCATCATTATTAGGATTGTCAATCCAGTCTTTACTATTTGAGTAAGGATATGTATCAACAAAATTATCTAGCTCAGATTCAAAAGGACTCTTCTCCATTTGACTTGATGACAATAAATCACCATAACTTATATTTCCGTTTTGATCCTCAATAATGTCAAATTGAAATTTAAAATTATTCTTGAGAGCTTCGTCACCGGTTATATTGCTGTTTTTACAAAGGCCAATGTAATTTCCAGTGTTTAGGTTATTAATATCTAAGTGTTGATCTATTTGATCACCGCAGATTCCTTTGTTGTTAGTATCAACATAGATAGGATTATTTGGATTATTTATTCCACAATATGAATATTGATACAGAGAAAATTCAGATGTTAAAGCAGCATCATTATCATATGCCATTTGAATGCTACTCATTACCACCTCCTTTATTTGTTCGTCACTTGTTTTATATAAGGCATCATTATAATTGTAAAGCCCATTAATATGACCATCATTGTTATAGATATCAGTATTATCATAATTATCATAATAATCACCACTAACATAGTTGTTACTATTATCACAAGCAATGGCATCAGAAATATTGGGAGCAGTAGAATAATTAAAACTGTATTTATCATTAAAACTCTGAGCACTGTTGCGATTATAATTATCCAATTGATTATCAATACCATCCGGAAAATAAGTATAATTATTATAAATCGTTTGAAAATGAGGATCTAAACTTTGAGAATCAATAAATTGTTGAGAATAAAAGTTTAGTGGTTTGGTAGTTGAATATCTAGGAACAGAAGCATGATTTAAATTGGAATTTCCTATTAAATCATTCAAGTCTGTAGTAGTAGGATTTATTTTATTACTCATATTACCCACATCATTCATACTATCCATAATACTATCGTCGCCATTATTAATTATCTTTGTCTTGTCCAAAGTATATCCATCGTCGTTATCTATAAATTTAGACTGAAGTTGTTTTGGTAGCGAAGCCATGTATAGATTGCTATATGTATTATTTGATATTATAAAGCCAGTTGTGATTCCTCCTGATTAACAACACATTCTATAAAAAACCAGATACCTGAGAGTAAATTTATATGTTTTGATCAAGAAACCATATAACGTTGGGGTTTTTGTGCACCAAAAGCAAAGAAATTTCCAACAGATAAAAAATCACCTATAGTTCCAACTTTGTTTTAAACATTCATAACTGTGTAATTCGATATTCCTGATCAACTCAAACTGCAATAGAACAGCTTGTTAAATCCATTGTTACGACTTCTTTCAGTCAATTGTAGATGATAAGACCAAGCATTGGAGGTTGGCTCCAGATGCAACGCTTTACAAAACAACCCCAATCGGTTGATTCAGATCTTCAGCAATACCAAAATAGTCAGTAGCATAATAAATAGCACGATTATCAGATACCATCAGAGTACTAGGATAGTTTGCTAGCAATTATATCTTCTTTCTGATATCTTTCTGATTATATCTTCTTTCTCTTTTTGTTGCGCGTGATTTTTTTTTTTTTGCCGAATTTTCAACTTTTCAATGTCTTCTTTTCAACATCTCGAAATACGTTATCTTTGCACATTTGGCTGAAGAGCTGTTTGATACTGGTACTGTTTTGCCGTTTATAAAATGAGTTCTAATAGCAAAAAAGGATCCATAGTCAAAGCAAAAATGGTGTCTAACGAAACAACATCAAGCTCAAATCTCAAAGCAAAGCCCAAAATTATAAGACCTGCGAGAGTGCAAGTTGATCCTTCAATTATAGATCAAAATGACAAACCAGAACAAAATGGGAATATATTTAATATTTGGTATTATAATTGGGGAGAAAAAGATCGTTATGCTAAAAAATCACCCTTTAGATGCAATATTAAACAAGATAGTGGATATACATTAGCAGATGATTCGAACTCTTTAATTTTTTGTTTATATTTTGCTAGAGGATGTTGTTTTAAAGGAAAAGAGTGTGAATATTTGCACAGGTTGCCGGATCCAATGAGTGATTCCATTAATATTCCACAAACTTTGGATTGCTTTGGAAGAGAAAAGTTCAGTGATTATCGAGATGATATGGGAGGTGTTGGAAATTTCCGAATACCCAATCGAACATTGTATATTGGACAAATTAGAATGCCTGACAACTCTGAAAAGAGTTTGGATGAGATTTTGTACCAAAATTTCAAAGAATGGGGTAAGATTGAGAGAATGAATATTATCAATGATAAAAATTGTGCTTTTATTACGTATGAGCATGAATTGAGTGCACAATTTGCTAAAGAAGCTATGGCACATCAATCTTTAATAAATGTGAAGAAAAATCATGGGAATAAATCTGCTATTAGTGCCATTAATACTAATAGTACCATTAGCAGTTATAATAGTACTACTAATAATAATAATGAATGTTTAAATGTTAGATGGGCTAATGAAGATCCAAATCCAAGAGCTAAAATAAGAAATGAGAAATATTTACAAAAACAAGCGATTGACACCGTTAAACAGATATTAAATAGAATGGATGGAAAGTATGAAGATTCTAAGAATGGTGGAGAAAGTAAAAAGGTGGTAGAAGAAGCCAAGCCAAAGAGGAAAAGAATATTAGATGAAGAAGGAAAAGGAAAGGAAAAGGAAAAGGAAAAAGATAAAAATGAAATGAATGACAATCGGTATAAAAAACAAAAAATGATACAGCCACTTGAGAAAGGTAATGCTGTGACAAAGTTTAAGAATGAATTAAAAGAGATAAAGAATGAGAATGAGAATGAGAATGAGAATGAGAATAAGAAAAAGAACAAGAATAAGAATAAGAACAAGAACAAGAACAAGAACAAGAAAGAGGGAAATAAAGATAAAAATAAAATGGAAATTGAGAGTATATTAGATGAAATTGGTTGTGAGAAAGATAAAATTGATAAGCAAATTAATGAATTAAAGAAATTAAGTAAAGCTAATCTTGAGATGTCGGAGAAAATACATGAGAATAAATCGAAAGAAAGTGATAAATTAGCAGTATCACTGGAATCACTTTCTGATTCTCCTCCTAGATTGGATGATGATAAGAAGATGTTTAGATTCAAAGAATCTTCTACAGATATAAGCGCCAGATATTATTCATCGTCTGAGAAAAGTACTTCATATGCTGAGTCTGGAGGCGAAACTGGAATGATTAATCTTGGTGGATATGAGAGTGATTATGAGGAAGAAAAAGTGGAAAAGAAGGATGAGAATTCAGATATAAGTGTGGATATAGACGATTGGGAAAGTGGGAAAAAGAGAGCAGTTGCGAAGTTAACACGAGATGAAGAAGAGGCTATGGTTGAAGATTTGTTTGGAATTAAGAGTATGATTAGTGGGTATAATGGGGGAAGCAATGGTGGTAAAAAGGATATTAGTGATGGTAGTGAAGATGGTGAAAGTGAAGAGAGAATAAGTTGATATTTTAAAATAAGAGCATATATAGTTTATGATTTTGGAAAAAAAAAGGGAAATGGATAACTTGGAGTGAAAGCATTATTTAACTGGTTTAAGGGTGATTATAGATATGATATCTATATGGAGAAGAATACATAGTATTAACTAAGGAATATATAGTATTAACTAAGGAATATATAGTATTAATTAAGGAATATAGTGTTAATTAAGGAATATATAGTATTAATTATAAATATAGAATTATAATTTTGATTTTGGATCTCTAGTGACAGTACAATTGATCAAGCCATTTGGATGTGGAGAAGGGTAGAAAACCTCATCATTTTTTAAGTTATTGAACCAGGAAAAATCCATTAGGAAGTAATGTTTATTTGGGAGAGTGTAAGTAACAGATTTAATCTTTGAGGAAGTTTTCAAGATTTCAGAGGCCATATCATACATTGTAGCTTGAACAGATGGAGAATTTTGAGTTGCAAACAAATCTAGAGTTATCTTTCTTGCAGAGGCATATGTTTTGTCGAATAGACCATTGTTGGATAGATCTGAGATATTTGAGGAGGTGATTTGGTTTGACCAAACCCAGGAGGCATCAACGTCAGTTGAAAGGATTCTGTCGTTGGTTGGTTTCAAGGTGGTGTAGTCACACTTGTTGTAGCCGTAAAACATGGAGCCAGTGGACTTCAACAAAGTGAGGTCCTTGATGCCTGAGGTCAATTTGAAGTCGCCGACTCTGGATCTGAATAAATGGCAGATTCTCTTCTCGTCACCATCTTTGATGAAGGAGTGGTCGTGGAATTTATCGTTGACCAAGTATTTTGACCATCGGAGCTGGATAATATCGACGTCGACACTGGAGATATGATCGTATTTGGCGAGGAAATGAGAAGCCAAGATGTTAGCAAAGTTTTCGACCAAGAAGGGGTCCTCTGTTCTGGCCTTGATCAATATGGTGTTTTTGACAGTATCTGTGGGCACAATTGGAGAATTATCAGCCTTTGTGTAGGAGACATCAAAGGCACCTTTGAGAAGCACCTTCACAGTGACCTCGATGACATCTTGGATCTTGGGGTTGGATGGGTCTCGTTTGATTTTCAAGAACTTGACATTGTCCTTGCCGTAGATGGAGTCAACTAAAACCGACATAATGAGAAAAGATTGTAGCAGCAGCAATGGATATGGGAACACAGCAGTGAAGATAGAAGCGAGAAGAATCGAGAAGCAAAAACAGCAGCTCCAGCTCTTCTTATACCTCGTTCTCCGGCTTATCGCACCGCTCCTCTCCGGCCCGGCCCTCCGGGTCTCAACGGCGCACGTGAGCAGCGGCCGCACGCAGAGACGCATCGGCTGGTTACAGATGGCTGCGGGTGTGCGTGATCTTCCGCAGAGGTGGCGTGATGAGAACAGATCAAGTGTAGCAATTATATCAGCGATAACAATATCTCAGTGATAACATCTCAACGATAGCCCATCGCCATGCTCAACACTGCTCGATGATAGCACTGTAAAGATAACACAATGCTCAACCACCAAACCGGCTCTCCTGCCCATAGAAAGAGCTCCATTGGGGCCTCACCAAATCCAGCCCTAGCCTGAGCATCAACTGGACCATTTTGCTTCTCGAGCATGGAACCACGCTTTGCAAGTGTTTTCGGAGTCGTCTTCGCAATCGTGCTCTGATGCTGTGGTATTTTGTCTGGTACAATGCACAGCTGCCCATGTTGTTCTGCTCTTGGTTTGTGTTGATAAGCAACTCCATTTTGTTTTCCCAGTTGAGAATTGAGAGGATCACCGAGAGCAAAAACCTTCCTATTGCTCTTCTTTTCGACACTCGCTGAGGTGGTAATGATCTCATTTCTTTTGTTTTGTTGGCGATCACAGAATAATTGCTCTTTCTTTCCAGCTTTTCTTCTTCAGTTTTCTCCAGAAAAAGTAGCAAAAGAAGTAAAATCAGCAAAAGCAGCAAAAGCAGCAAAACATACAAAACCTTCAGTCACGTGCCAGCTTTTAATTGTTCACGGGTTTATTTTTTGTTGTTGCTTCTTTTGCTACTTTTGCTACTTTTGCTGATTTTGCTTCTTCTACACTCCTATCATAATGCCTCCTCCACGAAAGAGACCTCGTCCTGATTCTCAAGGCGCTTATTCCTCTTCAATTCAGGCTTCGGCAGCCTTTACTCCAGCCTCAACGCCTTTTATCCCACCAAGACCAAAATTATTATCAAATAACATTGATTCTTCGAATTACTACTACAATAATAATTATAATCCTAATAACAACAATTACAACTACAACTACAACTACAATTACAATTACAATCTTAATTATAATCCCAACTACAATAGCAAAACCAACTACGCTCCCCAAAAAAAGGATACTTATATCCCCACAAGTCGAAAGATTAAATTGGCCAAAGAAAGAAAAAACTATATCAAAAGAAAAGTCCTAAATTATTTAGACAACATAAACTCAAATCTATATTGTTTTAAATCAAACAACTTTTTTAAAAAAAGGAAGAATTCACAGCTATCAATTTTATTATCAAATTCAGACTTGGCTTTGTTACATATACTAATCCTTTCTTTCGAAAATAAATCAAGCTTCTGCTCAAAATTTCAATTATCGGATATCATCTACAACCAACATAAAAATCAACACGAAAATATCGTCATAAATAACCAATTAACCCTTATAGGCTCTCCTCAAAAGATTTCTCTAGCTATCCTATATATTACCTATTACCTATATAACTCGCTAAATGAACTAATCTCAAACAAAATTGGTAATAAAAACTCCATCTACTCTTTGACCCTTCTACTAAATAACTCAATCTACCAAGAAATTAACAACTACCTTAAAAACGACATTGATAACCAATTCACCATAAACACCTTAAAAAATCTTAATCAAAATCTCAACCAAAATCTTAATCTCAATTCAATTCTCTCTTTAACCGATCTAATATCCATCATCAACTGCTCTTCTGACATATCAAATAATTCAACCTACCCATTCTCAAATCTAATCTCTCTTAATTTACAAGGTTCCCTTGAAAATTTAATGCAATCAATAGCCCTAATAACGGAACTATATAATCAACAACTAGACTATTTAAACCCTTCTAATAACAATAACAATAGCAATAACAACAATAACAATAACAATATCACAAATATTTATATCCCTTCTTCTTCTCCATTATACTTAAATTCAAATCATATCTTATTTAAAGATCCAAACATATACGATACCTATTTCAATGACAATTTAAATAATATTAATAATTTCCCAATCTCTGGGATCTTTAATCAAATCGATTCAGCTTTACTACAAAATGATACCGCCACTTCTACTTCCACTGCCACTACCAATAATAAAAACGATTTAAATCATCACTCAAATAACAAATCAAATTCTGTGACAGTTAATGAAATTAATCAAAAAATGATTGAAAAATCAAATAAAAATTTACTTCGTTTTTTAGAAAAGATCAATTCTCATAATAATTCAAATACTTAATTTAAATAATTAATTCAAAATAATAATTTCACTTAATTATTTAGATTCCATACAATCTCGTACAATTTCATAAAACTTCTTTATAAATTTACTTTTTTGTCTTATTTTTATTTTTTTTTTCAACTAGCGCATATATATTAATATATTCATGTAAAATATATTATGCAAATGATAGTATTATTAAACTATAAATATTTTAATTTTGTCTTTCACTTTTTTTTTTTTAATCACTAAAATGAAAATTCATTTCTAAATTGTTCAATATCCATTCCAGGCTTAACTTTTTCTAATAAATCTCTCCTGTCCATAGATAAGAAGGCTCTCTTTAAAGTCTCCATCAAACTGTTACTTTGGTTTTTAGTTATATTAAACTGAGAGTCATTTGGATCTGAGTCAATTCCCTCAACTTTTTCAACTTTATGTAATGCTAGCCCACCCAATAAATGCTCGACAGCTTCTTTATAACAACCAATATTTATACAACTGACGCCTAAATTATATCTCGCTCTAACGAAAGTTGGTTTGATTTGCAAAGCCTTGAAATAGGCATCGATTGCTTCTTCACTTCTGCTGCTATTAGCCAAAGCAGCGCCTAATCTGTTCCATAATAACTCATCATCAGGTTTTAAATCCAAAGCTGTTTTAAAGCAGTCAATAGTCTTGTCGAAATCCTCATTTGCGTAAAATAACACACCTAAACCTAACTGAACATCGGGATCCATTTGTTTTGAAGGATCATTGTAGAGTAATTGGGCTTCTTTTATGAATAAATCAGTGACTTTTTTATTTAAAGATTTTCTGTCCAAAGTGCCATTGGTATTGGTTGAAAAATCAACTAAACCAGGGTATTTTGTTAGAATCCATTTTTCTAAAGTTGAAAAAGCAGCGTTATCGTAACCTTCATTGATATAACTAATGGACAAGTTTAATAAAGCAGGTAGGTTGTTTGGATCCAATTCAAGGCATTTTTCCAAGGCAGTTAAACCAGCAATTTCCTTTTCATTGGCAGTTTGAACTTCACCTAGTTTTAACCAAGCGTCTATGTGGTCTGGGTTTTGTTTGACAGCTGCTTCGAATGCTAAAGCAGCTTCAGATAGTTTTGCACCATTTTCCATTAGTTGGAGACCAATTTCGTAAGGGTTTAGTAGTTTTGAGAATTGGTTATTGTGATCACTTTCAAATTGGTATTTACCGAAATCCGAGCGGTTTAAGGCATAGTTACGAAAGTCGTCATTTAAATTTTGGTTGTCCAAAGAGTTCCAAATCTCATCGAAATTTGAGTTGAATTTATCTTCTAGGATTATAGGGTAATTTTCTTTTAATTTTTCGTTATCTGTATCAATTTCTTGGTCTTGGTTTGGGATTTCCCTTCCCTTTTCATGTTCCTTTTCCTTTTCTTTTTCTTTTTCGCTTCCATTTTTGTTTTCTTTTAATTTAATTTCATTTTCCATCATGGAAAATTGGTCATCCCAATTTACTTGATCTTTTGATGTTTGGAGAGGAGCTTGGTTTGCGAATGGGATGTTTTGATTAAATGAGTTTAGTTGGGGGTTGAAAGAGTTAAAACGAGGAGCAAAAGAATTCAAACGAGAGTTGAATTGGTTTAGTTGAGGATTAAATTGGTTTGATTGATGTTGGTGTTGGTGTTGGTGTTGGGGTTGGGGTTGAGATTTAGATTGAGCAAAGTTATTAAATTCTTGAGACCAGTCTTGATTTTGGAGCTGAGGTTGGAGTTGAGATTGGTTTAAAGATACGCCCGGAGTATGAAATTCGCCTAACCAATTTTCAGTGGGATTATTTTGATTGGCATTTTGGTGTTGATGTTGACGTTGATTGATTAGGTTTAGTTCATTTGATAGAGGCTGTAAATTAAAAGCATCTGCATTTGTATTTAAATCATTGTTATTGAAAAACGAGTTCATTGAATTTAAATCGTTTGAGTTTAGATTTAGTTCATTTCGAATGAGATTTTGTTGATTTTGCTGTTGTTGCTGTTGCTGTTGCTGTTGTAAGTTGGTATTGATGCTGGAATTATTTAAAAAGGACTGGTTTAAGGAATCACCTCCAGCCTGTTTTGAAAATTGGGAAATGGGATTTCTTGATGCTGAGCATTCAGAGCCTCCAGCTAAAAAGGACATTGTTTGAGATGGGTGTAAGAGCAAAAGGATATAGAGAAGTAAAGCAGAAAAGGCAGAGAGAGCACTGAATCAGAGACAGGAAGAAAGAAAATGAAAAGCAGTCTAAGAATGAAAAGACTAAGAGATCTCAAAGAAATATGATGGTGATTGTAGAAAAAAAGAAGATAAGTGATATTTAAGTGGATGGAGAACAGAGGAAAAAAAGGGAAAAAACAGCGCCCTTCCCAGACGGGCGCTTCTCGGTGGGTGAAGCGCGAAACAGACCCAGAGATGTGGGAAACCCCTGTGAAAACGCAACCCGATAGCACAGGTTCTGTATCCACAAAGAAGGCAAATGTAACTTTTAACTGGATAGAGTAATAATCGCTCCAGTATGAAAGAAAAGAGAGAGAAAGAGAAGAGAAAGAAAATGGAAATGGAAGGTAAAACTGGAGGAGCCGAAAAAGCAACATAGGAAACAGAAGAAGAAAAGGAAGCAAAAAGCAGGAAGAAAGAGGAAAGAACAACAAAAGAAGCCTTATGAGGTCCAGGCATGTTGAGGCATGTTGAGGCATGCTAAGGCGTAGTAATCCCATGCTTTTTAATGCAAATAGCTGTAGTACAATGCGCAATCAATGCATGATGTAATTTTAGAAACTTTGAAAGAAGAGGGAGAAGAAGAAGAAGAAGAAGAAGGAGAGGAAGAAGAGCTGTGCTGGTGGATGAGCCTGTTATTGAAGAGCACCAGAGCTGTGTGTGCCTCCTGGCGTTGGCTGGGTCTGTTGGGCCAGTTCCCTGTGGGAGTGGGTGCTGGACTGTCGCAGGCCCAACAGCTATTCTCTGGTGCAATTGAAGGAAGTCGAACAGGCCAATGGAAAGCAAATTCAGCTTGAGTTGAAGCAGCATCTGTTCCAGCTCAAGGAGCTCTCCAACCTCGTCCAATCTGGATTCTTTGGCAGTGTCTGTAGAGGCTCCTTGAGTTGCTCCATTTGGTCCTTGAAAGTGGTAAATTCTCACCCCAAAAGCTCTTCTTCTTCTTTCGACTTCTTTACCAAAAAAGTACTGTTCCATTTCATGTAAACTTTTCTTGTTTTGCTAATTCGCGAGCCTTTAAACGTAATTACTACTCAAGCACAGCTCTCTGTTTTACTATTTATAATGGTTCAATCGAAGGTTTATTTCTTCTTCATTTTCTTTTCACTTCTGAATTCAATTCGATAGCTTGCCCAAACATTTTCCTGTAGTCCCTTTGCTTTTTGCTTTCTTTGAAAAAGCCATCACTTAGTGTTTTTCAACCCTTTTCGAGCTTGAATTTTACCAACAATTAGGCTATTTAAACAAATGAAATAAATTTGACTTGATTCTTCATTGCTTTCTTTCTCTTCGTTTCACTATTTTACTAAGTATTCGCTGCATTGTTTCGTTGTCCAAGATATAAACATCAAAAATAACCCAAACCTCTCTTAATCTTTTTATATTCCTTCTTTTCTCCCTTTTTCTTTTATAATCTATATTCCTCTTCCTCTTCCTCTTCCTCCTCCAAAAAACCAAACCAAAAATAAAATGTCAACTCCACCTTTAATTCCTCTACCTGTCTATCAAAATGGTTTATCTGTTGATAGTGTCTTGAAAAAACTACCTTATAACCCATATTCCTCCCCAATTGCTAATGTCATTGCCTTGCCTAACACCAAAATCGATGGCTATTCTCCAATCTTACGAAACGAAATCTCAAAAGATCGTTTGCATTCCATTTTTCACCCTCAAATCACTACGTTATTCGATAATTTCAACTACAATTTGAAAAAATACTCAAAGAAAAACCTACTAGCTCATAAAGCATACAACTTTAACAAAAAAAGATTCAACAACTATTACTCTTTCTTGACTTTTAAACAGGTCGACGAGCTAAGATCCTATATAGGTTCGGCTTTATTGTATTTGTTTAACGACATTCATAACAACAATTTCAACAACATTAACAAAAATACCAACACCATCAACAGTGCCCTTCTTAATCCAAACTCAAACAATATTAAAAACAACTTCATTCTAACCATCTTGGCTCCAAACTGCTATCAATGGTTTCTAGTCGATTTCGCTTGCCATGCTTATTCCATCATCAATGCTCCTCTTTACTACAATTCAAACAACGAAAGTATAGAAAAAATCTTGGAGATAACTCAGTCTCCAATCCTCATTTTAACAAGAGATAAAATCTTGAAAGTGCTCAACTTGAAAAAAAATGGTAAACTCGATTCCCTAAAGATTCTAATTTCAATTGACCCTTTATCAATGGATTTCGACTCAAATTTGTTTAACACTTCTTATAACGCAAATTGTTTACTATACGATTTCCATTCTCTAATTGAAATCGGTAAACTAAACTACTATCCATTTATAGCTCCAACTCCAAACGACGTTTACACCATTTCCTTCACCTCTGGAACCACTACCAACTCCTCAAATGTATTAAAGGGCGTTCAATTGTCCCATGCAAACGCCATTGCTTCTTTGACTTCAATGTGTGCTACGGTTTTGAAACCAAAATCTTCCTACTTGAGATCTCTCTGTTTTCTACCTTTGGCTCATATTTACTCGAGAAACTGTTTGAATTATGAAATCTTAATTGGCTCGACTATTTATTTCCCCGAAGATTCTGACAATCATAAGAAGATCTTCAGGGACATAAAATTGATAAAGCCCACTCATTTCATAACAATTCCAAGGGTGTTAACTCAACTTGAATTGATCTTGAAAAATAAATTAAATGACAAGTTTTGCTTTTCAAGAGGTTCAAATAACAAGATTTCAGGATTACGAAAAGAGGATTACAATTCAAATAAAAACTCTAGTTTTATTTATGACAAGATATTGTTCAATAGAATCAAGAAAAAGCTAGGATTTGAGAAAACTGAAATCATTGTCGTTGGTGGTAACTCAATTCCAAGAGAAAACATTGAATTTTTGTCTGCTTTGTTTAATATTGGTTTTATTCAAGGCTATGGGTTAACTGAGACCCATTCTATTGTTTCTCAGTCTTTTATTAACCACAAACCATCTTTTGGTACAACAGGACCAATCGGCCCATGCATTGAAGTGAGATTGAAAAACATTCCAAGCTTAGATTACACTTGGAATAAAAACAAATCTGGAGAAATACTAGTTCGAGGACCAATTGTGTTTCAAAGGTATTTTAGAAACGAGGAATTGAATACTCAGCATTTTGATAAAGATGGATGGTTTAAAACCGGAGATATTGGGTATATTGACGATGACAATAATTTGAATATTGTTGATAGAGTCAAGAATGTTTTGGTTTTGTCCAATGGGAAATGCATTTCGATTGATAAAGTTGAAAATACGTATTTCAACTGCAATTCAGTGATTAATCAAATTTACTGTTTTGGGAACGATAAGAAGAACTATTTGGTTGCGATTATTGGGTTGGATGCGAATTACATTATCAAGTATTTAAGAAAGTTGTTTGAAGTTGGAGGAGATAATGTTGATAGAAAGTTTAAAGAGTTGATAACAAGTTTCAAGTATAAAAAAATTGAGAGAAAAGAGCAATTGAAGGAGTTGAAATATCGAATCAATAATAATCTAGAGGTTAAAAAGTTGATTCTACGCGATTTTAATTACAATATTGAAAGAGTTGGATTGCAAAACTATGAAAAGATTCATAATGTTTATTTTGAATTTGAACCATTTTCAGTTATTGATAATACCATTACACCCACATTGAAAACTGTTAGAGAGAGATCGTTCTATAAATTTAAATACGAAATTGAGGAAATGTACAATGAAGGGAAATTATTTATCAAGACCAATTTATAGAAGAATTGAATTGAATTGAATTGAATTGAATGTAATTTAATTTAATTTAATTGAAGCAAGTTTGGTATATAATTGACTTTGTTAATACTTATAGTTTTTTTATTTTATTTTATTTTATTTTATTTTATTTTATTTTATTTTATTTTATTTTATTTTGTTTATTTATTTATTTATTTTTTGTCAATGATTTTTTATGGATTCTATTTTATGAATACTTTACGTTCTTTGAATAATTTTAGTTTTAATTTATTTCATTTATAAAAAACGATTAAAAATAAAATTAGCAGTTTCGAATAACTTGTAATTTTCGAATTGCGTTATATTAGCAATGGTTTGAACCTGAAACTGATAGTACAATAATTGGGCTTTGGCATGAAATGTGGGTTGGAAATGGCATGTAAATTGGCAATTGGGGGAACTATTAGGCTTTTTAAATAGAAAAATGGCATTACCATGATATTAAAATGACATTACAATGACACTACGATAATATTACAATAGTGGCATTGATCGAGTTAACCCAGATGGGTGATCATACCAGTTTCACCCAAAAAAACAGCAGCACCAATGCAACTGCAATCGCCCCTGTTTCCCCATTCTTCTGCAATTAATACCTAATAGCAGTAACACTGAAGAGTCATGAAAGGAGAAGGCCCCCTACGCCATTTCATATTATATCCACTCTCCATTGGACAAGTTCTCATAAGCAGATTTGAGCATCTTCAAGACAATAGCTGCTAGAGCTTTTTCCTTATCGTGGGTAATCTCGAGCATCTTTAAGACGCAAATGCAGCTTCCTTCGATCCCATTCCATTGCAGCTGTGTGATGGGTTGTTGACAGGCCCAAGGAAGCATTCCTGGATTGTTCCCAAATGCTGCTCAAATGCTGCTCGATTACTGCTCAATTACTGCTCATTTCTCTCTGAACTCTTTCTCATTTCTCCAGTTTCTTCTCTACGTTTGAAGCTTTTCACCACCGCTGTGGGTCCAAAGTTACCACTGCAGTGGGTCGTCTCTCCTTTTCGGCACAGCAACTGACTTTCGCAAACCCACTCACCTCCGCGAAAACAGACGCTGTGTTTGGTGAGCAAAGCACGTGTACACAGACTGATTTTGGGCGCAGCAGCGGATCGCGCCCAGATCGCACTGGTGGAAAGAGCTTTAACCACGGATCAGGCAAATCTCGACTCATGAAAGAAAACCACAATAGATCTTTAACGTCTCGACAGAGCTGAAGAAATTGGCATATAAAAGGTTGCAATGCTCGCTTCTTCCTCTCTTCTTTTCTTCTTCACCAACCACTTTTCAGAGACTGCTTTAGCTCTTGAATTCGCTCCAAAATGTCCAACTCACAAAATGGCTCAGCAGCTGCTCAATTAGCTATCCAATCTGGCTCCTCCTCCATCTCCTCCTCTTCTTCTGCTTTTTCCTCTTCCTCGTCCTCTACTTCTTCTTTTTCTAGAAACAAATCCTCTTCTTCGGTAAAGAAAATCTCCTTCACTGAAATTAAAACCCTTTTTGATTCCTTCAATTTCAACTTCAGGGCTTACAGCAACAGGAAATTGCTAGGTTACCACGATTACAACTACTACACCAAGAAATATGATGAAAAATTCACCTACCTCACTTACAAACAAGTCGAAGAAACCAGATCTCTCATTGGTTCTGCCTTGATATTCTTGACCAACCAAATTGATTCCACCATCAAAAACAAGTTCCTAACTACTTTCTTTGCCAATGGCAATAGCTACCAATGGCTCTTAGCTGATTTGGCCTTGCAAGCTTACTCTATCCCATCAACCACCATTTATGAAAACTTTGATGACAAGGCAATTCAAATTGTTTTCGGTTCCACAAATTCTCCTGTTATCTTCATCTCGAAATCCAACATCAGAAGAATCTTAAATTTGAAAAAAAACGGTCTCATAAACTCTCTACAAATCTTGATCTCCCTCGACAGTTTAAACATTGTCCAAGATCACCAACTATTCAACCTATCCTATAAAAACGATGTCTCACTATACGACTTCAATTCTTTACTCGAAATTGGTAAATCTACTAAACTTGGATATATTCCACCAACCCCAAACACTCTTTACACTCTTTCTTTCACAAACGAGCTTAATGGTGTTTTCTCTCCTAAACCACTCTATACCACTCATGCAATTGTCATTGGCTCTCTCATTGCAAATTATTCCTCCTTCTCCAAAAAATTATCCCATGAACTATCCTCCTTAGTCGACCTTCCAATCCTCAACTTGTATGCTAGAAATTCTCTTAATTTAGAGATCTTATTAGGCTCCACCATTCATTTCTCACAATTTGTCTCAGACAATAGCTCCATCTCAAAGAACTTGGCTTTATCCAAAGCCACTCATTTCCTTTCTTATGGTAAAACCTTTGTCTATCTTGAACAAGCTATAAAATCAAAGGTTTACAACACCAGAGTTTACAGAAATGCATACCAAAACGTCTTATCAAAATTAAATGATATCAATCGCGTTAAAGACAAAATCATTTATACAAAAGACGAAATAGCATACTTTTCAAACTTGAAAAAGGAATTCGGTCTACAATACGTCAATACTTTCTTTATTGTTGGTTCTGAAATCTCTGTTGAATCCCTTGATTTTCTCTCAATTATTCTTGACATTGGTATTGTTCAATCTTCTGGCTCTCAAAAAGCCTATTTTAGATACTCATCCGAATCTATTCGTCAAGAACTAATCCAATCTTATTCCTATAAAAGCACTTCTTTTAACTCAAATAAAAACAAAAAAAATAATATAATTAGACCTCCACAACCTTCTGTTGATCCAATTCCAGAACCACGAATTCATGTTGATCCAATTCCAGAACCACTAGTTTTTCTTAAAACTCCAAAACCATCATCTCCAGAAAAATTAATTTTTCCTCAAACTCCAGAACCATCATCTCCAGAAAAATTAATTTTTCTTAAAACTCCAAAACCATCAGCTCAAGAACAACCAGCTACAGTTCCACCAAACCCAGTTGTATCAACTCCAGAACCAAAAATTTCTTTTGATTCAAATTCAAATTCAAATTCTTCCATATCTAAATCTTCTGAATCTGAATCCTTTAAATCTTTGAATTTATCATCATCATCTCTGATCTCTGATTCCTCTAATCAAAATGATTTTAATCCTACCACTAAAGTCCCAGAATATGTTCCTCCAAAAGAATCTGCCAGTTCCACTCCACAAGATATTCCACCAGTTACTAATATTGATGAAAGCACTTTTAGAAGAGGTGCAAACTTTAACTTGAATCAACCTTCAACTCATAGCATTTCATTTGAGTCATCTGGTTCATCTGAACAAGAGAATAAATCAAGAACACTTTCCAAAGAAAGTGGTAGTAGCAGCGCCAATCGTGTGAATATTCAACCATCAGGCACTCAAATAGTCGGTCCTGCCTCAAACAGTGTTCAAACTAATGGAGGTATTAAACTGATCACTAATACTACTGAAACTAAATCTTATGAACAAAGAAAACAATATGAACAAAGCAAACAATATGAACAAAAAGTACAATTTGAACAAAGAAAAACACTTGAAGAAAAGAAAGCTCTTGAAGAGAAAAAAGCTTATGAAGAAAAGAAAGCCCTTGAATTAAAGAAGGCTTATGAAGAAAAAATTGCTAGTGAACAAAAGAAAGCCTTTGAAATAACAAAAGCTCTTGAAGAGAAAAAGGCTTTTGAAGAAAAGAAGGCGGTTAAAGAGAAAGAGGCATATGAAAAAAAAATTGCTACAGAAAATCAAAAAGCTCTTGAATTGAAAAAAGAACAGAAAATTATTGAAAAGAAAGCTTACGAAGAGAGAAAAGCTTACGAAGAGAAATTAACCGGACAAAAAGTCTCCGAAAAAAAGGCCATTGAAAAAAAATCTTATGAAGAGAGAAAAGCCTATGAAGAGAAGAAAGCTTATGAAGAGAAAAAGGCTATTGAAGAGAAAAAGTCTTACAAAGAGAAGAAAGCTTTTGAAGAAAAGAAGGCTCTTGAGGAAAAGAAATATAACACTAAAGACTTTGAATCTAAATCTGGTGAAACCAATACCAGAGGTTTTGAAAGGAAATCTGATGATAGTTACAGAAGATCTAAAGAAGATAGAAGATCTAAGGAAGACAGATACAAAGAGGACAGATACAAAGAAGAAAGAAGATCTAAAGAAGATAAATATGAAAAAGAAAGTAGAATAAGCAAATCAAGTAAGGAAAGTGATTCTAGCTGTGATGAAGATGTTTGGTTGCTTGCTCGTGTTAACTCTGAATCCAAAGGATCTAATTCTGAAATTGTTGATAAAGTTAAGAATGTCTTTGGCATTTCCAATGTCAAATATACTTCGCTTGATAAAATTGAAAAATACTACTCTAAAAATAAGATTGTTGATGAAGTGATGGTTGTCGGCAATAAAAAAGAAGACTATCTTGTTGGTATTATTGGATTGGATAGTAAATCTATTGTCAATTATTTGAAACATAATGTCTGTGTTAGAAAAAGTGATTTTGATAGCAAATTTAAGTCATATGTATTGAATTTGGATGAAGAAGACATTAATTACAGTGAGTTAAAATACAAGTTGAACAATGATTCTAAAGTGAAGAGATTGATTTTGAGTGATTTGAACAGAGAAGCTGATGAATTGCAAAGTTTTGAAAAAATCAAGAATGCATATTTTGAATTTGAACCAGTAGAATCGAGTAAAAAGTTGAGAGTTATTAGAAGATCAAATGCAGACACTTACAGAAAACAAATCAATGATTTGTATAAACAAGGGGCATTGTTTATCATTTCATATTTATGATTGGTATGTTATTTTATTTTATTTTATGATTTTTTACATATATACGATTTGGTATATAATTTGACATTTTTAATTTTTATATTGACTTAATTGATAATTATTACTCTTTAGATCACTTTTAATCTTAAAATCTTCCTAAAACAATCTTTTTAGTACCAAAGTAAATTTGTAATTATCTATATATATATATTTATTTAGATATATTTATTTATATATATTTATTTATTTATTTATTTATTTATTGTGTTTTAAACGCAGATCAAAGATCTGGTTTTTTCAAAGTGGAAAACCAAAGTGAGAGAAAGTTATTGTAGATTTGTATCGTTCATATAAGTATCATAAGCATCATCAAGAAAAGAGTGTTTTTGATCATTTTTTGACTTAGTAGGATGATTTTGGGATGGCTTTTTTTCGGATTTGTTTAAATCTTTAGTAGAAATTGAATTAGTTTTTTTGTCGTTGGAATTGAAACTCATTTTTTGAATATGAATAGGAATATGGATATGAATATGAATATGAATAGTGAATTGTTCTGGATGGTAAATAAGAATTGGAAAAAAGAGGTGATTGAAATTTCAGATATATATAGTGATTTGGTTAAATTGCTAAATTGCTAAATTGCCATGATGATTATCTCCATAGCCATTAACCGTGACCAAAATAGTGGGACCTCGAGACTGGATTTCAGAGGATGAGGTGACGAGAATTATCTCCGGGGAGAGGATAAATGACGAAAAAAAGAAATGGGAAAAGCCGAAAAGACAAATCAAGGCCAATGGAAATATGATTACAATGTGATTACAATAATTACAATAATTACAATGTGATTAAAGTGGGATATAGTGATAGTGATGGATGTTGGATGTGTCTAAATTTGGTGTGTTCTATGCTGGATGATGCAGGTTCAAATTTATGAGCGAAGAGATTGGGATTTGAGGTAGGAGTGAATAGGAAGAAGATGAGAAGCGATTTGATGGATACGATACGATAGATACGATAAATACGATAGATAAGATAGATTAGGATAGATGTATATTAAATATGAATATAGTTTTGAAATGTATGGAATTAAGAGCATGAAGAAAAGAGCGTTAAAAGTAAAAACGGGGAAACATAAAAATCGAAAAGAAAAAAAACTGATAAAAATAACAAACTAAAGATAAGAACAAACTTAAGCTTTACCACCTGGCAAGTAGATTGGTTTGATGGTGATGTATGAGTTTTGAGGAGTGGCAATACCAGCAAAAGCATTGTACCAGGCCATGAAAGCGACAATGACACCCAAGATACCACCAGCTCTAGTGAAGTTTGTGTTACGAGTGAAATCACCAATGGTCAATAAGATAAAGGTGACAGTCAAAAGAGCAAACATTCCGGAGAAGGCGAGAGTTGATTTGAGGGTACAGAGGGTTAGCATGGCAGTGAAGATACTCCAGCCTAATAAGAAGAAACCAAGAGCATTGTAAAATTCGACTTTGTCATCATAAGAGGAAGCGATACCAAAAGCAGGAGTTTGAATAGCAGCCCAGGCCATCCAGAAACCACCATAGGAGGATAAAGCAGTACCACCGAAGGTGTTTTCAATAGCAATTTCCCACATACCTGCTAACAATTGGATAAAACCACCGTAGAAAAAGGCTAAACCAACAACGACTTTGTTGTTTGTGATGCCCATGGCTCTAGCATTGAACATGGATAGAACAAAAGTAGTTAAAGCAAAAGCAGAGAGACCTAAAGGACCAGGGTTGGCAAATTTGTGAGTTGGAGGAGCAGTAACACCAGTGTATAAAGAACCACCAAAGGCGCTTAATAGTTCATCTTTTCTGACTTTAGTTTGGCCAATGTGGATGTATTCATTGTTTAATCCAGAGACGGTAACTGGGTGGTGTTCAGAATCAGTTGGAGATAATTGTTTTTCCATTTTAGAAGATGAGAGTGAAAGAGTTGGGTTGAATAGAGTAAAGTCGGGTTGGGATGAGGTAAGTAGCTAACAAGTATTGGCTATTAGAATGATTGATTGTGAGATGATGAGAAGAAGAAAGAAATGAAAAACGAAGAAAGTGGAAAGGTATTTATAATGAAAAACGCAAAGAGAAAACGGAGCGACATCAGAAGATATGCTCAAAGACAAGATCAGAGAACAGTGAAAAGTTGAATGGAGTGAAGAATAAAGCAAAATAAAGTTGATTCGTCCACTTTGAAAACAAGGTTTGGCACCGCATTGGGCTCGGTCGGTGTGCTTTTGGGGTTTTCCAGAAATCGAGCAGAAAAAGCAGAGCGAAAAGCAAGAAAAAGAGGGAAAAGAAGCCAGAGGGGAATCGGTTTCCACAAGGTGCACGCTCGTCGACACGCTCGAACGCCCAGTACAAACGCAAGGAGCCCGTGCACTAGCCAATCACAGGCCGTGTGGGTAACACGCCAGTTCGCGATCCCAGCAGCACCAAAGGAACCTCGTCTGGCTCTGAGAGAGGAGTAGAATGGAGGGGTCAGGGCCCACGGCGGGACGCTCTGAGGGTCCTCCTGCAACGGCGGCAGATGTTCCGAGGCGGGTTCACACTTGCACCCAGCTCTCCATCTTTTCGATCCCAGCTGCCACTGGGTCGCCCGCGGTTTCTGTCGCTGGTCCAGAAGCTGCCGGCTTACACACGTCTAGCTCTCCCTTCAGTTCCAGGGTGCTTAAAAGGGTGCGCACCCCAAGCCACAACCCAGCCAGTCTTGCGGGCTCCATGGTCACGGGTCTATGCCCAGGCCCGATGCTGCACAAAAAGAAACACGGCCGGCCAGAGCCAGCGGGAAAAAGGCGCAAACCCAGCAGTTGGAAAGCGTGTCTGTGTTGGCGATCGAGAGCTGGGCGTTTGAAGAGTGACCCAGAAGCAGCTTGTGAAGCATTTTCTCCAGGCCGAGATGACAGTCAACAGCGTGGATCCGATCTCGTGGTCTGCTCTCAGAGAAATTGTGCACCACAACCGATTGGCCCAGTTAAAGAGAGCCCCAGAAGTTACCGCCGAGTACCACAAATACAAGCACCACATTGCTGTGTTGAACACCTCTGTCTTCAAGCACTTGGTTTGTGTGCAGTTGAAATGGGCTTCAGAGGCGTTCTATTTGGACCCAGCCTACAATGACACCAATATCAACTTGCCCTTGGTCTCCAACAAGTCCACCTCCCACAAACTATTCATGTTCAGTGAGGACACCTTGATATTGCCCAACCATTTTCCCTACAACCTTGAGCAAAATATCAAGCACTTGGTAGTCTGGTCCAAAATCTTGATAAAATCAATCGAAGAAGAGAATGAGGAAAACGACAAGCCTATTGAAAAAAATCAGACTCCCATCAACGATAACACTACGCAATTCCAAATTCCAGGTGATATCTCGCTCAGAAACAAGTCAATTATCCACAAATACATTGTGAAAACTTTCCACAAGAAGCACCATATCAAAGAGGAAAACATTCTTTGGTTTCGCAATTTCAACCATTTACAAAGTATTAAAACACTCTCGCATATCCATGTTTTAGTCAAAGACGTTCCTTCCCATACTCTAGATGCCATTCTAGAAACTGAGGGCGCTCTACTAACTGAACAAGATTATCTTGACATCGACAAACAATTGCACAATCTTTAAATCTTTAAATCTTTAAATATTCAATACACCACCCGCGGAAATGAAATTCAACATCCAGTGTCTCATAATTCCGTATCACGGCCATCTCTCCCACATCACCGCAAGATTACCTCATGTCTTTGTCACGTTTTTTTTCGATCTTATCTTTCTCATTTTCACTTTCTTCCTTACAATCTTTGCACTCTCTTTTTATATTTAGTATATCTCCAATTACTCAATTACTTAAATTCTATTTTTTTTTTGTTCGCCTTTATTTTGTTTTTGTTTTGCCTCTTTTAAATAATGACAAATACCCCAATTAATCCTCTTCACCAAAGTGATAAACCAAAAATTCTCTTGATAGGTTTGGGCGGAGTTGGAATCATTGTAGCCCTAGCTTTGGAAACTGCTTCAAAGTCAAATGTAACCTGTCTAGTTCGTTCAAACTACCACCAAATAACTCAACATGGATACCAAATTAACTCGATCAACAGGGGCATTCTTCACAACTGGAAGCCCTCAAATATAATCAATAACATCAACTCGGCTAAAGACTTTGGGCCCTTTGACTATATCATCATATCAACCAAAAACATCCCAGACTCAAATTCAAAATCTCACGACCTATTACCTTTCATCGACACAAACTCTTCTCAAAACAACTCAATAATCAACCAAAACACAACAATCATTTTAATGCAAAATGGCATCGACATTGAAAAACCCTTTTTCAAAAAATTCCCCAACAACACCATTCTCAGTGTTGCTGCACTCATCGGTTCAGTCAATAACAACTCAGTGGTCAACCACAATGGTGCTGACAGATTGATTATAGGCTACTTCAATAACCCAAATCTTTCTTCTGATCTCCAGTTCCAATCGGCTCAAAGGTTCATCAATACATACAACTGCGAACAGTTCCCAGATAACGCTGTTTACGATCCAGATACGAGGAAAACAAGATGGGAAAAGTTGCTTTACAACGCCACCTTCAATGTCATTTGCTCAATCTTGAATTTGGACACAACAAGATGTCTAATATCTCCAAGCAACACAAAACTATTCGAAGACGGCATGAACGAAATATGCAAGATAGCCAAAGCTGAAAACATCGACCTCAATCCTCGTTTCAAATACCAAATGATCTACAACAGATTGAACTACAACTACTACACCCCTTCCATGCTAGTCGACAGCAGAAACAACAATCTCATCGAAATCGAGGTGATCTTGGGCAACGCAATCAAAATCGCAAACTCCTTGAATGTGAACGTCCCTACTCTCTCTGTATTGTACGAGTTGGGCAAGATGAAACAATTCAGACTCAAAGAACTAAATGGTCTCGTCCAAATCGACGACTCAAAGCCCCAAGAGTCGCCTCTACCTCCAGACTTTTAACCACCATATCCTCCTACACATTTCGTCCAATAAACACTCAATGCACATTCTGAGTTTCTCCATTGGGCAACTGTGTGCAGACCCCCTGTTTTGTGCACAAACCCTGCTCTGAAACCTCTTTACTATAAACCCCAAACCCTCATCTTCGTGCCACATTTGAAAGAAAATTTTTATTTTCGTTTTTTCTTGAATTTATTTGTTCACTTTATTTTCTGCTGTTTTGCTCTCGTTTTATGTTCTTTTCACTGCTCTTCCTTCGAATAAGCAACAGTCCTCAGATATTATTTAACACTCTTTGGTTCTCTCTTCGACCTGGTTTTTATATATATCTATATATCCAATAATCCTATTCACTTCTTCTTCTTTACTGTCCTTGAGACTTTCAACGCCTAACACCTCAACGACTTGTTACTCTGACTTGCCCATTTACTTGTTTGTTTTCAATTTTTTTTCTCTCAATCTTATTTTTCTCTCACCTACTCTACTTTAATCTCTCTCTCTCTCTCTTAATCTAATAATCTAATAATCCAATAATCCACCAATCCATCAATTTATTTCTCCTATTCATCATGAGCATAAATATCTCAAAGAAATCCAACGATTATCCTCAAGCTCCAACTCCCCAAAATACTCCTGCCTCAAATGCTGGCTCGTATTTTTTAAATAATAATCATAAACTAAATTTAAAACAACTACCAAATACCATCAACGAGGAATCCCAAACTGACTTGCAAGATTTAAATAACAATATTAAAAAACTATCAATAAGTAACAACCATCCCCATAACCATCCTCACAACTATAAACACAAGCATTCCTCTATTGCTAATGCCGCCAACAATACCTCCAACTCTTCCAATCCAAATAATGCCATCAACTCTCAGAGTATACATGGCAATGAAAATGATTTTGATACAATTGAAACCACTGCTGACATCAAACGTCAATTAGCAACCAACCCTACCTTATTATCCATGATTGAAAATAAATTATCGACTTTGGTTGGTAAAGACAGTGGTTACTTGGACACTTTAACCCCAAAGATTAAAAAACGAATCATCGCTTTGAAATACATCCAAAAACAACAAATGGATTTAGAAGCTAACTTTCAACATGAACTATTTGAATTGGAGAAAAAATATAATTTGAAATATAAACCAATTTTTGACCATAGAAATCAAATTATTAACGGTTTAGTTGAACCAACTAAAGAAGAAGTTGAAAACGGTAAATTAATTGAAAAAGCTCTTCAAGAAAATGACCTCGACGATCTTGACGATCTTGACGATCTTGATAACGATTTCGGTTCAGATTTCGAAGATGATAACGATAAGCAAAATGATAGCAACAACAATATTGACACCGATGAGAGAAAATCTAAAAAGAGTGAAATTAAAAAATCTAAAAAACAAACAGATCTTTATCACAATGACCTTAACGATCTTGACGATCTCGATAATGAAGAAGCTGTTGCTGGTAATGATGATGACATTGATAATGAAATTAGAGGTATTCCAAACTTTTGGTTAACAGCTTTGGAAAACTTGCATCCAATTTCTGACACAATTTCTGAAAGAGATACTGAAGTTTTACAATACTTGGTTGATATTAGAATGGAACATTTGGAAACTCCAGGTTTCAAATTAATCTTTGAATTTGAGAAAAATGAATTTTTCTCCGATACGCTCTTAACTAAAACTTATTATTATCAAAAGGAATTGGGTTACACTGGTGAATTTATTTATGATCATGCAAAGGGTTGTGACATAAATTGGACCACCCCAGAAAACAACGTAACAGTATTAATTGAAAGAAGAAAACAAAGAAATAAATACACCAAGCAAACCAGAACAATCGAAAAAATAACTCCTTGTGATTCCTTTTTCAATTTTTTTGATCCACCAAAGCCTCCTCACTATAACGAAAACAATGCTGATGACGATGAAAATGGAATTAAAGATAAAGCCGCCATAAATAATGACTTGGATGACGATACTGAAAAACAAGAAGAAGAAGACGAGGAATTGGAATCAAGATTAGAATTAGACTACCAATTAGCAGAAGACATTAAAGACAAGTTGATTCCAAGAGCTATTGACTGGTTCACTGGAACTGCTATTGAATATGACTTGGACAACCAATTAGATGATGATTCGGCTGAAGATGAATTTGATTCAGATGAAGAATCTGATGCTGATGATGACGATGAGGACGCTGATGATGATGATAAACCATCCAAACAAGAACCTCCTGAATGTAAACAAACTTGATTGAAGTGGAAAACTTAATTGTTTAATTTTTTTTTTGTTGTTTCCTACTTTGGTGTCATTTATTTATCTATTCTTATCATGTCAGCTTTGGCAATCATCTCATTACCAAAAAATTATTTTTTTATTTTTTTATTTTTTTGTTTTCTTATTTATTCACCTACTTATCTTTTTATTTATATCTATTTACTATTTTATTTTATTACTCCCTTTATTTTTGACTTAATTTCCCTTTATTTACTATTTGTTTTCCTACTTGAATCCCAAACCTATTATTGCCTACTATTGTCTTAAGACCCCAAAAACAAAAAAAGCCTCTCTCCTATATCTTACAACTATCAACCCATTAATTACTTTTATACTTACTATTATTTATATCATATCTAGCTAATAAAAGAGAAACTCCATAATATTTTCAGCCGATTTGTCTCTCGTTGGCCTCCTGAAACGGAATTTTTTGCTGCTTTCACTCTGAGTTTACTGCAATTCTGTCACGCGATGCATTATAAATGCCCCCTTGAAATCAGGATACTTGCTCATCTCCCCCACCATCAAATTCTTTTTTTTGTATTATTAATGTTTTTCTACAGTTGATGAGCTTTATTATTCCTTCTTCCACCTTCTTTCTCTCTCTCTCTCTCTATTCTTATTGTCTTTTTTGTTCATCCACTTACTTCATATTCTCCTGCACTGTATCATACTCCTATCATGAACACTCTTTTGACACACCCTGAACCTGCTCACTGTCCAGGCCCTGAATCACAGACTGCTGGAAAAGACGAGTCCTGCAATGGCTGTCCAAACCAAAGCATCTGTGCTTCTCAGCTCAATAAAGGTCCTGATCCTGATATGGCCATAGTGACCTCCAAAATAGACGAGTATATCAAGCACAAAATATTGGTTTTGTCTGGTAAAGGTGGCGTTGGAAAATCCACTTTCACTGCAATGCTATCCTTTGCTCTCGCTGCTGATCAATCCCTAGAAATTGGCTCGTTGGATTTGGATATTTGTGGGCCCTCTTTGCCCAAGATTCTAGGCTGCAATTTAAATGAAACCATTCATTCTTCCAACTCAGGCTGGTCTCCCATATATATCGACGATAATTTGTCGACCATGTCCATAGCATTTATGTTGCCCAATCCCGATTCTGCTATTATTTGGAGAGGTGCAAAGAAAAATGGCTTGATCAAACAGTTTCTAAAAGATGTCGATTGGGGTTATTTGGACTATTTGATCATAGATACTCCTCCTGGAACTTCGGATGAACATTTGTCAATAACTTCATATCTAAAAGACTCCGGCATCGATGGTTGTTTGATTATAACAACGCCACAAGAAGTTTCCCTCCTAGATGTTAGAAAAGAAATAGATTTTGTGAAAAAGGTCAATATTCCAATTTTGGGTCTTGTTGAAAATATGAGTGGTTTTGTTTGCCCCAATTGCAAAGGCGAGTCTCAAATCTTCAAACCAACCACTGGTGGAGGTGAAAGCTTAGCAAAAGAATTCAATATTCCATTTTTAGGAGAGGTACCTTTGGATCCAAGAATAGCGAGGTGCTGTGATAATGGCGAAAACTTTTTGGAGTTATACACTGATAGCCCTGCAACAACTGCTATATTGGATATAGTTGATAACTTACGAGACCAGATTGAAGCAAATGATTGATATTAGCATTGTTTGTTTATAATATAATATTATTCGTATAAAATTTTAAAGATTTATATAGAATTTGTTTATTTCTTTCATAGTAATTCATTATTTGTTTCATTAACCAAATGCAACTGTATTACAATAGCAAACGATTAATTCGTTGTTTGTAGCAAAATTCTTGAACAAATTTCCAATTATTTCATCGGGACTTGGAGCAAATGTGTTTTTAATATAACAAAAAATTTGAGAATCAGTACTAGAATCATTGTTATTATCTTGATTGTTATTATATATTTTTAGTTTTTTCTTTAAGAAGACAATCAAACTACTGAACTGTTGGTTGCTACTTATCTTGTACACCTTCGGCTGTATTTGGTTAACTGATCCAATGCTTTGAAATCTTATCAAACATTTTTGAACCTGATTTGTCTTATCGTAGTTTTTTGAAAGATTAACCACCAAATTGTTTTGTTTTGAAGGTAGATTGTGTAATATCAATGAATTTGTTGTCGAGATTTTGGATCTAGCCAAATTCGTATCTTGAATGGTTATCTCGTTGCTGTTATTGTTATTCTTGTTTTGCTTGTCATCCTCATTATCAATTTTCCTTGTATCTTCCTTCTTATCTTTATCTTTATCTTTATCAGGTTCATTGTTTTGAGTTAATTGTCGAGTCAAAGAAAACATGGAAAACCCAAGTCCTTCATCAACATTAGTATATATTGCTGGCAAAACTTAGAGAAACGTTAATTATAACACAACTTACTGTCCATTTCGTCAATAACTTCACTTATATCCAGTGAACCAGAAAGATCAACGATTGGTTAACATTTTCAGATATAATCAAAACGCAGCTCAAAGCAAAAATACCAGCGGTGTTAATTTCGCTCTGTGGTAGTTGAAACAACCCTTTTTGATGGAGGTAATTCTCTCTGGAGAGCCTCCACAGATGTTTCTGCTTCGTGTTTTTGGTGCAAAATGTTTCTGGCATTGAGATAGAATCACCCAATTTACTATCCTTTTCTAATTTGTTTTGGCTATTCTTGAAGCCACTGGGTTCGCTAGCTATTCTCATCTTATCCTTCTTGTGTTATTCCAAACTGCTCAAAGTGCCAATGAATTCCAATGATCTGTTAAATGTTGCGTTAAGAAGAGTTTTAGGGAAAATTTGCAGTGCTGCTGAGAGGCCAGTCATTCATCTTCCACAATTTCTGATGCTGCCATGGGAGCTACTTGATCTGATTTTGAATTATTTAAGGCTTGATCGAATTTGGCTTCTTACCTTATCTCAGAATACTCTAATCAAATACTTAGCTTTGAAACAACTATTCAACACAGTTAGTCTATCTTATTCATGTTTACCCAAAGACTTTTTAAATACATTAAGAATCCAATATAAAGACTTGGACAAGTTTGGATCCCGAATTTATCAATTTACTAAAAATATCACATTTGAGTTCTCAAGTCCTTTTACTTATAATATTTTTCAAAACTTGAAAAGATTTTTACTCAAAAAGAAGAATCTCAATTCTTTCTCTTTGGTAATTGGAAGAGAGTTCTCTGACCTTTCTCTGATAAATTCTTTGTTGATGGTCATGTTAATTGAAAATTCAAACTGTTTATCATCATTTTCTTTCAGGTATGAAACAAAAAATGAATTGTTTTACGAATTTTGGGCTTTTGATTACTTGAAAAGCTGTACTCAGTTAAAAAATGTGAAATTCTCTATAATTTTTGGTTTTAAAGATACACATTTTTTGTCCTCGGAAAATTTATTTAATCAATTATCTGGCCAATTTCATTTTTACTTTGATAACTTGAATTTAAATATTTCTCATTTAACTTTGTCAAAATTAGAGCTCTGGTCTAATCTAACATTATTGCCCACTTATTATGAAATTTTGTTTTATCAAGTTAACAAGTTTTTGAATTTAAAATATTTAAATTTATCTCATAATAAAATTTACAATGTTAAATATTTATCCAAAAACTTAATTCATATCAATCATCTAAATCTCAGCTATAATGAGATATATTCAATTGATCATTTATCTCATCTAATTAATTTAAAATGCTTAAACTTAGGTCATAATCATATATCCAAAATTGAGAATTTATCAGCTTTAATTAATTTGAAAACAGTAAATTTATCCTTGAATCAAATAACCAAAATTGAACAATTATCTAATTTAACCAACTTGATTGTTTTAAATTTAAATAGCAATAAAATAGATATAATTGAAAACTTAGATTATTTAACTAATTTGGAATATTTGAATTTATCGTACAATAAGATAAATGAAATAAAACAGTTACCGGATTTAAAGAATTTAAAACAATTTTATTTAAATAATAATATGTTGACAACTAATACTAAAAATTATATAATTGAAAAATTTTCAAATATATCAACACTTCAACTAGATAGTAAGGTTTTCCAGTACACTTATTATAATTAGAACAATCTCTAAAGCGAGTTTGCCAATTGTTAGATGCTAAAAAAGTATATATTGCAAAACCACTTGAACTGTTTGAAGTTCAATTGTGTTTTTAGTATCAGTTAAGAACTCTATAACATCACTTGAAACATCCAATTGTGGCATTAATATATTACAACAGCAAGACATCGAAATCCAAGACTCGAAATATTATAATAAACCAATCGATATAAATACAAACGAATATATACAGAATATAATATATAAAAGAGACAAAACCAAATACACGCACCACTGGTTATCCACAAAGCACTCGTTGTGATACTATTCAATTCTATTTTAACTTTTCTGTCTCCTCACTACGATGCTTTCCACTTTTGAAAAACTTGTTAAAATTTTCCAATCAAATCGTGAATTAATATCCAAGCTTATGACAGAATTGGAATTGGTTGGTACAAGTAGGCAACTTCACATCAATAAGCTTGATTATGACTTAAATGCATTTGAAAGAGATGTCAAAAGATTTGAATCAATACAAAAACAAGTACTAGATATAGTATATGGTAAAGATGAACAATAGCGTAATTTTTCTTTACACATTCTTATATTTGTATAGATAAATAAATAAAATTTAATTTAATTTAATTTAATTTAACGTTAAATCTCACTATAGACAGGTAACTGCTCATTCTGAACAAACAAAGAGTTGTTTTTAAAATCATTGAAAGTTGACTCAAAGGCTTTGGCAAAATCAAACATTCCCCCATCATTAAATATCAATAAAATCTTCCATTGATATAGATAATTCAAGCCGCCATCGGGATTGTTGATTTTAAATAAACAATGCCACTTGTTCGGACCAAACCATGAATTCTCTAAACCAAACGATAAAATTGAATTAAATAGTAATACAAAATTGTTAAAGTTGTTGATTTCATTGTGATAGTTTTTATCAATTCTTAAATTTGTCTCTGATATAAATATTAGTCTTTTATTTGTCAAATACATAGTTCCATTGTTTGAGGAAATGGTTTCATGGTTTTTATTATTTATGGGGTTTAACTTGATGGTTATCCTTTTGGGAGATCTGAATCTTAACGACTCATTTTCTAGTAAAACAAAAGGCAACGGGTTGGATGGATCTGTATTATCGCTTAATTCTAACCAATTCAAAGACATCCTAGCACAGGAAACTTGCTAACAAAAAGCTAAGTGATAGCAGTTACAAAGCGTTTAAGGGTGAAGTTGCTGTTTAGATTTGTGACCGAATCAGGATATAAGCGGCGGCGGCTTTCTTGCTGATTCGAAGATGATCATTTTGATTTATTATTCCTCACAAACTCAGCAAATACTGACCATATTATTCGGATAAGATGAGTTTTTACCAAATATAAAGGGTATTTTGATTTCTCATGTTATTACTGTAATAATTATGCTACATGTTATGTTTGATGTATACCATCAACAGAATTTCTATTTCAACGAAAATCTTTGAAGCATAAATAAAGAATTTTATTGCAGATAAGTAGCATTTCTTTGACTTGTAAATGTCTTCAAATTGGATTCCCTAAAGTCACTAAATTATTGATTCGATTAACTTGATTGTTTGTAAATTTATATTTGGCAAATATTTAAATTTAGATAATTTTATTAATCTTACTAATTTTGTATCTAGATAAATTGAAAAAAACGAGATCTCAAAAAACCGAGAAAATAGCTAATCTGTATCTATTTTGACAAATTAGCCAAACAAATAAAATTTTAACCACATTGGTGTAATATATGGTTTATTCGTTTATATTGACTATTCTATCACAATCTTGTTACTGAAGTTTGCTCATCCAAAACCATTGCACAAAATTTCACTAACAGATACCAGCATATTTAGAGCAATGTAGTCAATAACAACGTCCTTGTCTTTTAAAACCTTGTCTATTAACAAAAATAACACAAAAAGCCACCAAAATACCAACTGTTTTTGAAAACCAGCTTTGAGATGAAAAAATGGCTTGAAAAATCTCAAAAGCCGAATTTGTAGTGCGCAATGCTATTATATGCATAAATAGGCATGTGTCAAAACTAAAAACAGCCTTGGCTTATTTTCAGTTTTAGGTATAAAAGATTGAATTTTTTTCTGTTTATTATGGCCCAATCACAACTTGAGTAAGATTTGTGGTTACAGATATCTTCTAGCTAATGGAAATTTGTATTTTGATATTCAACATCAAATAAAAAGATACCTATGCTATCCACAAGAGCAGTTTCTCTTTTCAAGAATTCATTTTTTAATCCTAATTTATTTATCCTAAATAAAACAGTTTTTAATTTTAAACAAAACAAGGGAAATTTTTTTATTAACATAATAGTACCTTTTTTTATCTGTTGCTTGGCAAATTTAATTGATCCGACTATCATAAACAACGTACAGTCTTTTAAAAAAATTTATCAAAATTTATAACAAACCAACTCATTAAAATTATTTTCTGCTAGATGAACCATCCCTCACACAAATTTGATAAATCAATAATAAATTAACTCATATAGAAACTTATGTATATCTCTAAATAGTAAAAAAATAAGAAAAAGAATCATTAAATGAGTAAATTATTAACCAGACAATATTTATGTAACAAACTGAATTTCCAATTACAATTAAAAATCCAATTATCAAGTGATTATCTTCTATAAAATTATCTATTTAATCTGAAATAAGTTTTCTAGTTTATCTTTTAAGGTTTTAATTAGAACTCTTTTCATTGCATGTATCAAACTTATTCAATGTTTTATTTCAAAAGAACAGACCTTAAAATTCTCAGTTTATTCTTTTAATCATAATCTTTTTGCAAAAGAATGGTCCACATTTTCTTTTATCTGAATCAAATACAAAAATAAACAGCACATCTTACATAGTAGCCGTAAGCAGTTTCTATTATTGACTTATTTGAAACCCTGAACAGCCCCAATACAATAAAGTTTTGATTGTTTTTCTTAATCAGGTGTGATATTAACAGTATAAAAAAACAATACTTAGATTTACATCAACCATTTTCCTATTCTCCTTCTATACTACCAAATTATGACCAACTTTTCTGATAAAGAGATGATTGGCTTGGAAAAAACCCTTTATGATTTACCATTTTATTTTATCAAAGCTATATTATCCTATTTGCCATTTGATAAGCTTTGGCTATTTACATTATACAAAAATAAATTGGTTCAAGACATCTCTGTATCCATTTTATTTAATTCAGTTTGTTTCAAAGGTCATCCTCAATATATGTATTTGTCACTACACAATATTTTTTGCATTGGATCCAAACTGATTGGTTTATTTAAAGCTGATTTTTTGAACCATTCAAGACATTTATATTTAACAGAAGATGATATAAACTCAAATACAGAAGACCTTAGAATGCTTTTTCTATTAAAATCTAATTTAAATTCAATTGTTTTATGGATTAACACTGGATCAACTTGGTCAAATAAAATAAATAGCTTATTTGAGCTATTGATATCACAGAACTCAACTAATTTGAAGTCTTTTGAATTGAACTATATTTTTGCTTCTCTGTCTTCCACAACAGATAAAATCCTATTAGATTTAAGTCAATATTGCAAATTGCAAAATCTTAAAAAATTAAACTTATCGATATGTCAAATAAGCTCAACGAAAAATTTATCAAATCTAAAATCTCTAACTCAACTAAACCTATCAAATAACATCATTCACAAAATCGAGGACTTATCACATTTAATAAATTTGAAAAATTTAAATCTAAGTTGGAATGAACTCACTGAAGTTGAAAATTTATCAAATTTCAAATATTTAACAAAATTAAACTTATCCTGGAATAAAATCTATCAAATTGAAACATTATCAAGCCTAGCGAACTTAAAAGTCTTAGATTTATCAAGAAATAACATTAGCTCTACAAAATTTTTGATCGATTTAATAAATTTAGAATATTTAAATTTATCACATAATATAATCGATGAAATAATCAAACTATCAAATTTATTATCGTTAAAAAATTTAGATTTATCATATAATGAAATTACAGTTTTGAAAAATTTATCAGATTTATCAAACTTAGAATGTTTATATATATCATTTAATAAAATTAGCAAGATTGAAGGCCTACAAAATTTAAACCGTTTAAAAACATTAGATTTAACATATAACAAAATTAATAAAATTGAAAATTTATCAAATCTAATAAACCTAAAAGAACTAATGTTGTATTTTAATAAAATCAAAAAAATTGAAAATATATCAAAGTTGGTTAATTTACAATATTTGAATTTGGGACATAACGAAATTAGTGAAATTGAAAACTTGACCAGTTTAGCAAACCTAGAAGTGTTGATTTTAACTAAGAGCTATGATCTTGTTGAATTGAATACCTCGAGCGAAATATGTCAATTACTCAATCTTAAATTGTTGGATTTATCACTGAATAAAATCAAGCTTTTGGATTTATCTTTGAATTTTGAAAAGTTAAAGACATTATTATTATCATTCAATTCAATTAAAAGATTTGTTTTTAGCAAAAATTTGCAAAATTTAGAGCTTTTAGATTTAAAAGATAATAAAGTTGATGAATTCATTATAGAAAAAAATGGAACGTTTCCATCATTGAAACATTTGGTTCTTAGACGCAATAAACTAAATGAAGTAAATAATTTGGACAAATTTTTCAACCTTGAAAAGTTAGATTTAGCTGTAAATCAGATTAATCAAATTAAGGATAATGTTGGCCTTGGATCATTGACAAAATTGAAAGAACTAGATTTATCAATCAACAAGATTGAGCTGATTAGTAAAAAGACTATTCAAATGTTTGGCCAGCTAACAGAGTTGTATTTACAGGATAATTTGCTAACTAACTTTATAATTATAACCGATTCTTTTCCCAATCTAACTAGTCTATCTTTGTCAATAAACCAACTTAAAAAAAGTGATTTTTTGGATGATTTCAAATCTTATTCACTCAAAATGATAGATATTGCTGCTGATGAATTATACTTGGACAAGAAAATGTTGAGAAAATTTAAAACATTTGGCCATTTAAAAAAGTTGGAACATTTTTATATATCAGCAAATAAAGTGGAAACTGTTGAAAATTTAATGCTATTTTCATATTTAAAACTGTTAGCCTATTCATGAAATTAGCTTTCAGATAATTGAAATAATTGAAACAAATTATCAAATTTTTGAAATATTAATACCAAAAATACGAATATCTAACTACTTTTCTTATTATGTTTAAAATGATTAAAATCCATATATCGGCAAAAGAAATTCAAATCATGTATGCATAATCATGCATAATCATGCAATCAAATTTAATCCAGTATTAAGGGACCAGTTGAGTCCACTATTATGGTACTATATGCACTTGTGCATATAGTATGTTGATATGTAAGAGGGAAACTGCTTCAGTAAAGTAGAACAATATGATGAGAACAAGTGTAGAATAGTAATATAACAATACCTGCTTCTCATATCCATACAAACAAGCTATCCGGAGATGCAAAGAAATATATATAATATTCAAGTATATATTGGTAGTGTGGTTCATCGCGTTCGACGCCGCCGATTTTTGTCCTCTTAGGGATGAAAATCGACGTTTGCGTTGAACGTATTCTTCAAAATGTTTTATTTTTTTATTTTACAAATTCGACACAATTGTTATAATTTGAACGTTTTTTAAAGCAAAATGAAAGCAGTAAACCAAAAGCATTTTTATTATTACTAAAAACAAAGTGAAAAACAAAATCCCTTTTCCTAATGGGATAAAATTTCTGAATTTTTAATAAATGTCAATTAATTTCTTTTGTAAAGGGACTAGAAGAGTTGGCATTCAACTGCATGGATCACACTAATTATTGAATGTAATGTCAAACTATGAAACTCTCAAAATAGCACGGCTTTTAAAAACCGGCTTAAAAGCCCATCAAAAGCCGTAACTGGAAAAAGATGCAGAGTAGCATTTTGCTCATTTGAATTCAAAAGTGAAGAATACTGTTAGAAAAAAAAAAATCATTTGAATTGAAAACCAAATTTAATTATTGATCTTATTAACTTAAATGTGTCGCAAAGTCAGTTCTAAACAGCAAATAAATATTAAAATTTGTTTTTTTAATACTTCTGTTTATAGCGCAATATACTAACCAATTTTTTTTCTAATTACTAGAAAAAGCAATTTTTACAGCGATAATTTTATCAAGTAAAAAAACCAAAAGCGATGGCATATCTGAATTCTTCTTCTTCTAAAGTAACAAACATAAAAGGTGACTGATTCCACAAAAAAAGTGTTTTCTTTATAATAAAAACAACAAAAGTAAGAGATAAAACCAAATATATTAAAAAAACTTAAAAAACATTAATTAAAAGAAAATCAATCTAATACAATCATATAATTAGTTTAAATATTGACTGAAGAAATCTCCTCATCGGATATGTCCATTTTCATATCATCCGAACCTAAATCTGAACCATTACTGTTTATGTTTTCTGTGTCATTTTCTGTATTTATAACTGTTTGTAAATCTTTATTGAAAAAATCAATAAAAGGTTTACTAAGTTCAGTTTTTTCATTTGCATAATAAACAGACTCCTTCACATAAGTCAAGAGAATTGGAAATGATATATCCCCTTGCCCAGTTATGCCACTAATATAACCTTCTATATTGTTGAAATCAACAACTGACGCTGTAAAATAATCAAACTTCCCAGCTGTGTTTACGAATTCAACAAATACCCAAATTGGATATTCCTGGTTTAATAAATAATAAAATTGGTGATCACTTATTATTACACCTGTTAATAAATATGGCTCAATTTCTTCGTAGCTATCAATTTCCGAATCAGATATGAAATCATTTTCTGAGTCAGAATTATCACTTGATTCAAATTCTTCAGAATCAACAATAATGGATTCAGGAAGATTCTCTTTTTGAGTACTTGTTTGCCCAGAAGATCTCTTTTTTTGTTTTTCAGCTTTTCTTTTCAATAATTTCATATTAAATTCTTTAACCATTTGTGTAACATTATCAAAATCAATGTTTCTTCTCTCATCAGTTAACAATTCGTACTCTTCAATAAGATTTGTTTTCAAAGTTTTGATTTTTTTCTCTAAATTCTCAAGCTCAGTAATAGATTTACTTAAAGTATTTGGAGAACAATTTCCTTCAGTTTTTTGATCCTGGGCTGTGTGATTTGATTTATCGGAAGTAATATCAATCGGGTTTTCTAACTGACTTTTTAAATACCTTGATGTGTTATTCAAAAATGAATCAACTCTCTTTCCACGGAAACTAGTTAAGGATATCTTGTCTTGATTTATTTCTTTTAATTTTTGTGTTATTTTATCAAATCTTTTTTGTTTATGTAGAAGTATTTTCAAATATTTATCAGTGTAAATTTGAGGGAAAAAAACTTGATCCAATACTAAAGATTCAGAACAAGAACTCATTGGAGAAAATGACATTGATATGATATCGCTAAGTGAGTTTAAATGAATGTCATTGGGATTGTTTAAATCGGATTCCCAAATGGCCTCAATGAATGTCTTATAGATATTTGATCTAATATTATCTGAATCAATTGGCATTATATTATAAAGACAGTGTTGATCTTTGGTTATAAAATTGGAACTGAAAAGATTAGCAAGATTCTCTGGAGACTTGGTATTAAAACTAGAAATTTGTTCTAATAAGCATGTGTAAAACAAATTAATTGAAGCTTCAATATCGTTTCTTTTTATTGATTTTCTTAGTTTTGTAGGAAATGATTTAAGAAAATTGAACGCTGACGAAAAAGATCTTTGAGAGAGACCATTTAGAAAACCGACTACTCTTTGAGTTTCCATTAAAAATCTAAAGTTTTCACTGTTTTGAACATTGATATTATTTTTGCTATTTGTTCTGGTATCATTCTTGTCGCTCTTTTCGCTTTTATCAATTATTGAAATATTTTCACTGCTTTTATCTATGATTTTATTTTCATTTTTTTTATTTTTTTCATCGCCACTAATTTTTTCGTTAATTTTTTCATTTTTATCATCATTTTCGCCAATTTTTTTATCAATTTTATCATCTTTATTATCATTTGGATCTTTTTTATTGTCATTAACCATGGTTTTGGTAAGCTTATTTTCATCAATTTCTTGTGTTTTTTTGATGGATTGAGGCAAGTCAATTAGTTCAGAATTCCACCAATTTGGGTTATATCCATAATCATCAAATTGATTGAATAAAATTGCTTTTTGAAAAGTAGGTACCTGATGTAAAATCATTATTAACATTACAAAATAGTTGTCAAAATGCATTGAGTTCAAAGGTAATAAGATAGCAGGAAAATCAGAATTTTTTCTATGAGAATTTAAATCTTCATAAATGGAAATATGAGCAGAAGTTGAAACTAGTTGATTTTGGTGATTACTGCTAATTTCATCATAATCGATGTCGGAGTATTCCGATAATTTTCTAAAATTACTAGAGAGGTCGTTTTTATTTTGAACATAATTTGCATCTCTGCTTGAATCGTAGTTTGAATTATAATTTGAATTGTAGTTAGAGTTTGAATTTTCAGATTTATCATCATGACTGCTTTTATCAGTGAAGTAATCTAGTGAGGCAGACAAACTACTGATACTTTCAGGGGAGTCAACTTCAAGAGTTTGGATATGGTTTGAGTCTGGGATATCAGATGGATAGTGGTTTAATTCTAACGGGGGGCTAGAAGGGTGCTTTGGGGGCAAAGAGGGAATCGCAGACTTAGGTTCAGCAGAAATGTCATTATTGATATTGTTTATTTCAGGATATGGAGCGTTATTGATTAAATCATTTTTATTGTCATTGGGGTTTATAGCAATATTCTTATTAGTCTGAAAAAAGTAGATATGGAAAACGTTAGCAATCTATTTGAAGAGAATTAACCATCAGAAATTAGAAGATACATACGTTTATGGGGGCAAAAGAAGATGTATCCTCAGTTGCTTCAGTCAAAAGCAAAGTAATTGCTCTTTCAACGTTATTAGATGTTTCCTACATCAAACGAGAAAATGGATAAGTAGCTGTTAGTCATCTCTGGTTTATTAAAAAGTTGGCAGCATGAAGAATAGAACTTACAATCAACGCCTTCTCAGCCTGTTCCCTACCAAAACCCATTTCTTGGATCTGGATTAAGTACTCTTTGTTGACATGTAAACAAGCCATTTTACTGCTCCTCTTTAGATATATTGGTGGGCAGATCAATCTCAATTCGTGGTGAGTGGGATTGTGATGAGTCGGTTTTGAGAAAGAAGATAAAAACCAGCTCTGTCCAATTCGGCGTGGACTGAAACTGTAATTTTGTTATCACAAGAAAAGCAAAAGGCAGAAAGAGCAGCAGGTCGAGTGAGGATCAAGACAGAAGAACAATTTCTGAGTAAGAGCCAGTAGATGGTTATAAAGCAGTTAATTACACTTTCCTAGATGTTGCAAACCTAGTCAGAATCCTCTTATTGTATATAATACCTACAATATCTATAAATCTGAATTAAATGTATATAAATTTTAAGCAGTTCCAAACGATTGTTGTTGGGCACTATGGCCGAGTGGTTAAGGCGAAAGACTTGAATTCACTTCAAGGCATCTTTTGGGATTTCCCGCGCAGGTTCGAGTCCTGCTGGTGTCGACTTTTTGTCTATTTTTGGCATTTATGTTTAAGTTTCCTATTTGGGTTGGATGATAATCCGGATTTATGCGGTTGGTGGTAAGCGAATTACAGCAAACGGATTGGTTGGTTTTGTTTCGCCTGTTTGTAGAGAATAAGAATAGTTTGGTGTTGGCTAACTAGAGGCATCAATTGGGTTGAGTACAGTGAGCCTAGCGTTGCGATCTAGTACCAGGTTATTCTCTAATGGCTCTGAAGGATTTTTTTTGGGTTTGAAGGGACAGCTACAATTTGAAAGGGACAGACACTCAACTGTCAAAAAATAATAGATGAAGTTTATTTTGAGATTGAAATTTCGGAAATAAGCAGGAGTTAAAAAAATTTATATATTGTTAACTAGTAAAACAAAAAGAAAATAAAAAGACTAAAAAAGCATAAAGAGCATAAGTTTGCAAAAACTAAAAAAAAAGAAGAGCCCTAGAAATAAAACAATAAAGATTGTTTGATCAATTTCTAATGAGTAAAAAATTCTGACAATAAGGTAAAATATCAAAAGATATGAAAAGAAATTGTTTGTTGTAGATATATTGTCCAATTTTTTGCTTAAGCCCATTTACCTAAACAAGCCATAAGAGCAGCACCTGTAATAAATAAGATGTAGGCACCGATTAATTTCTTTAAACCATCTCTCTTACCTGGAACAGAATCATCAAACTCGTTTGAATACAAGAATTCTTGGGCCATTAATTCAACCAATGATGAATATAATAAAACACCGGCTGACATGGAATCGCACATACCAGTAACAATCAAAGCAGTTCTTGAACCTGGGACATATGATTTTCTAACACCAAGACCGATAGAAGCAGAGATTGGGGTGGTTAAACCATAAGCAACAGCTAATAAATATGGAGTTAACTTTCTGTTTTCTGGCCATTTAGTACATGCAATTCTGGCACCTAAACCTAAACCTTCAAAGAATTGATGGAAAACAATAACAACGTATAAAGTTGTAAATTCATCACCAGAGGTAGTTAACGAAAGACCGACAAAGACAGAGTGGAAAATAATACCGAATTCTAAAACAAAGATGGTAACTAATTGACCTGAATAAAGAGTTTTTTCATCAACAGTAGTAGCACCAACTTCACCACCATGATTGTGTCCCATTTTACCTAATTGTTTTTCAAGAGAAGTCTTAGAATCAATTTTTTGAATAGCATCGGTTTTGTAATCACTACTAGCTTCAGCATCATGTTCAAATTCATTAAGAGCCTTATTGTGGGCTTTAAGGAAGTAATAAATCAAAATTTCAACAAGGAAAATAATACATAATGAAATTAAAGAAACGGCTAAACCCATTGGATATTCATTCCAAACACCACCTAAACATTCATCGGCAAGACATGCAATACCTGGATCTAAAAGATGAATAAAGGTTGTTGCTAAAATAACACCAGACCCGAAATATTTACAGTAGAAGAAACACCAATCTGGCATTTTAATCCATGAATGTTTGGTATTTGCTGACATAACAGGGAAAACAGCACCAAACAATGAGGTGACTAAAAGAACTGGAACAGTAGAAATTCTAGCATTCCAATGTTCACCATTATAATCATTAGTGGTTGCACACTCATCACCTTCACCACCGAAGAAAACATCACTAAATGAAGACATTATTAATAGCTTTTTTTCAAGAAATTAATCAAATTAATTATAATTTCAATAACAAAATAAAATAAAATAAACTGAATTGAATTTATCGTTTTTGGTTTAACTTTCCTATTATTTGTTTTTATAATAATTGAATGATGATAGAATCTCAAAATTAACCATTTTTCACAAGAAATTTCCAAGTTTTTATATTATTTTTTCTTGGTTTTAGATTTGAATATATAGAACATATCTTAATACTATTCAAAGTATCAAAAGATCAAAATGATTCCTCTATAAACCAACAATTGTTTTTAGCTATTCATATTAATAGCATGTCTTTTATTTAAAGTCCTCTTGCTAAGAAAAACTGTCTTATAATTTCTTGTAACTTGATTTTTAAGATAAAAAACTCTTATTTTGTCTTGTCCGTAATTGGCGTTGTACAAAACTTATTTTTTGTTTTCCCTTTAAAATAATATTTAATAAAATTATGTATTTAAAAGGGATCCTGTTTAAGATTTATTCAGGATCCAGAACCTGAAAAAGGATTTAATATATCTAAATCCCTTTTATTTCACTTGTGGCCTATAATTTACGTAGCCATCGAAAATACGAACCGAAGCCTCATCATATTCACGCAAGAGAGGGAGATTAAAGGAATTAATATTCATTTGAGCAGATGTTGAAAGGAATAACAGAATTTATAAAACTTGTAAAACTTGCAAAGCTTGTAAAAGTTCTAAAGGTTGTATATATTTAAGGACTTTGACTTATGCCTTTATTGCAAAGTTTCTGCTGATTAAACAATTATGTAATAATAAGGTCACGGGGCTTGTAAGTATTGTGCGGATTGCTTATCCTATCCGCACAGTATTTATAATATATTTAATATATTTGATAATACGGATTGAGTTTCAATGTGCACGGAAATATATATTTCCGCATTATGTAATGTCATTTTTTTATATTTTTTATTGTTGAAATATTTTTTTTGTTAAATTTATTTCAATTGGATAATAACTTTTGTTTTATCACAAATTTTTTTATATTATTTTAAGAATGTTTATATAAATTGTAAATCATCACAATTAAGTTTTCAATAATAATGACTACCTCAGCTTCAATTCTTCCAACTTTATCACCCCAAGCTTCTTTATTTACAACATTAGTTAAAAACTCTTTAGGTTCAAATGCCTCGATTATAATTTCAATTCTATATTCTTATGGTAAATCCACGATTAATTTCTTAATTTCAAAATCCAAATTAAATAAAAAATTAGTTAAATCTATATTAGTCTCATTGATTCAATTAAGTATTACGACTTACTGGACTGATGAATCTTCTAAACAGACATATTATTTTTTGAATCAAGAAGGTTTATTGGTTTTATTGTATAGCGGTGACATAATTACTCATATTAAAAACTATTATCAGGATGATTTACCGGCTGAGATAATTCAAAATATTTTAAACTATGGCAATTTGACGTTGGATAACTACTTACAAACAGTTAATAACATCAATACTAATAAAGATAATAATAATAATAATAATAATAATGGTTATATTGATGAGGATGAAGAAAACGAAAAAAAGATTCAGAATATGAAAAATAGAGAAAAATCAAGTTTGATTGAATTTTATTTTAATAAGTTAATTTTTGACGGGTTTTTAATGCCAATTAATTCAAATTATTTCAAGAATAAATTTGAGTTATATGATCAAATTTATAAAAAAAAATTAGTTACGGTTTTCACTAATAAATCGACATTATCGATTGCTAAGCAAAAAATTCAGATTTTAAAAGAAACAGATTTTGAATTTGAGTCGTATTTTTTAATTGATAATTCGAGTATTTTTCTTGAAAATGATCGATTTATGATGAGAAATAATGATTACAATAAAAAAATTCATAAACGAATCAATGGAAATACTTCTTTTAAGTTTAATTTAAAAAGATATTTAAAGACTGTTCGTTCAACACATTTGATTAAATTAGTTAATCAGTATTTGGGAGAATTGCCATCAAAGATATATGAAAAGATATTATTTAAAGTTGAAAAGAATTCACCAAATTGTTTTAATTACGAATTCAATAATTATTTGAATGATATAGAGTTTTTATCGAATAATTCCAAGATTGATGTTACTAATGACGGATCAAAATTGATGGAAAATTATTTAAATTATGTTCGACAAGAGTATGAAGATAATTCCAAGAATTATTTTAATTTCAATGATATATTGAATTTAGTCAAGAGTGATAATCTTGATTTAAGTGATTCAATCAATTTAAATTTTAAGAAAAAAAAACGGCAAACTTCTAAAATCGGCAAAAATGATGCCAAGGCCTCTTCAAAGAGAAAAATTAATACGAAAGTTTTAAAAAAGATAGAACAAAATGGGAATAAACGAATAAAATTGGAAGAAAATAATTATTTAAATGGTTTATCGACATTGAGAAAGTCCATTAAAAGTGAGAATGACGGAGAAGATGACGGCTATAATGATTATGAAGAGGATGATGATGATGATGATTTTGATGATGATTTTGATGATATTGAAGTTGATGGGAAACAATCACAATCTGGATTATTAAATCAACACTTAAAAATATTGGCCAATCATTCTATTCCATTTCTTGTTGAAAAGACATCGGGAAAATATTATATTCCGTTTTCCAAGTTGATTCCGATATTAAAAGAGAAGATATATTTATATGTTATAAAGTCGTCAGTTGATTTGAACTGTTTCAAGATTCTCAACTGTATAATTTGCGAGCGATTAGTTGAGGACAAAAGGTTAATGAATTTGACATTGATTGATGAGAAGACGTTACGAATTTGTATTAATAAACTATTTAAATTACAGGCTATTTGTATACAAGAGATTCCAAAGACAGCACATCGAGAGGCATCTAGAGAGGTGTTTGCATATCGGTTTAATAATAAGAATTGTTATGAAATACTTGGGAACAATTTTATTTATGAGAGTTATTTAATTTTTCAAAATTTGGAGAAGATGAGAGAAAAAAATTCGATTTTGTTGAGTAAAGTTAATAGAGATGATGTGAAAGGACAGGAAGAGGAATTGTTGTTGGCTAATGAGCTTAATCAATTAAAATGGTTAAAAGAACGAGAGTTAAATTGCGTTGGAAGAATCAACAGGGCTAGAAGTTTGTGGGATGTTTTTTCAATAATATAAAAGCATTATAATATAATAAATACCAGTTGGCTAAAATGCGTAGGTAATTTAATATTTTTATTTAATTATGTATCTATAAAAGTGGAATAGTGAAATGGGAATAGTGAAATAAGGATGTGAATCAAGTACAGCAGTAACCACCATCGACTATTATGTCAGAGCCTGTTGTGTAGGTGCTTGCATCAGAAGCCAAGTAGAGATAGGCACCAGCTAGTTCCTTTGGCAAACCTTCTCTTCCAGCAGGAATGTAGGTCCACCATTTTTGTTTCAAGTCTGTGGAAGCAAAATCAGTGATTTCTGTTTGGATATAGCCAGGAGAGACAGTGTTAACTCTTGCGTTGAAAGCAGCCCATTCGACAGCCAAAGACTTTGCCAAATGCAAGACAGCAGCCTTTGCAGCATTGTAGCAGGCCTGTTTCTGGGGGATGTTGACGATGTGAGCAGAAATGGAGGAGGTTATGATCAAGGAGCCAGAGTGCTGTTGTTGGAAGATTCTGCCAATGGCTTTTGCACAGTAGTAGACGCCATTCAAGTCCAAGTCGATGAGGTTGTGCCATGGGTCGTCGCTGTTAACATCGATCAAAGGACCTTGAGTCCAGGCGACGCCAGCGTTAGCAACAAAGATGTCGATTTTGCCTCCAAAGTCTTGCAACTGCTGTTGAATGGTTTGGCTGACCAAAGCAGAGTCGTTGATGGGACACTTATAAGCCCTGCACTTGACGTTGTATAACTTGGAGAGTCTGGAGGCCTTTTCGACAGCGGCTGGAGAGCTGTTATACCAAATTGCAACGTCTGCACCAGCTTGGGCAAAGGACTCAGCAATGCAGTAGCCAATGCCACTGGAGGAGCCAGTGATGGAGGCAACCTTGCCCCTCAAGCTGAACAAATCCAAGATATGGGGCTTCAATGCTGGAGGATTTGCAGGGAGAGGGCTGATTTGCGAAGCAAGAGTCTCCAAGCGTTGTGTGTTGCTGGTGGTCATTGTAAACAGATAAGCGATGGGGAGATGTTGATAAGGGGTTGGAAGATGTTCAGGTCAAGGAAAAGCCTGGGTATTTAAGTGGCAGCTAGAGGACTATCAGAGCACCCACAGAGCACCTCAGAGCATTACCACAGCATCTCAGAGCAAGCAGTAGAGCCATTACATCACAACCATCGAGAGTTTGCAGGCAAAAGCAACAGCAGCAGCCTAAGCTCGCCTGGCCTGGAGCGAACAGCTTGCCCTTCTGCTTGAGCTTGTAAAACAGCACTGTTGCTGATAACATCGACAAGAAACCACCAGGAATCGCACATTATTACAGTTGGTTCTTTTCTTCTCTTTTCTTCTCTTCTCTTCTCTTCTTCTCTTCACTTCTTTTTTTCTCTTTTCTTCTCTTTTTCTTTGGTGATGGAGCACTTGAGCCACGAGTGTGGATGCACATGCAGAAGCACGTACTTGTGCATATTGTCGAACAGGCTCTGATAAGACTGCTCCTCTGCTGCTTCTGCTGCTTCTGCTGTTTTTGCTTCTTTCCTATCCTGATACCGACTGCCAACACTGGCCCACACTGCCATGGATCAGTTGCCTGATCACATCCTCCAGACTGTCTTGTTCTATCTCGACCAGCAGTCCCTCTGCAACTTGGCCCTCGTCAGCAAAAGACTTCTCTTGCAAGTCAAGATCAGATTGTACTCCAAGGTCCTTCTCTCAGACACAGTGCTGCTCGAGCCCATCAGAAACACCAGGCTTCCCAGCTTCGTCAGATACTTGTACTGCTTGGACTACTACAGCCACCAGAGGAGGAAGCCCACCAGAGCCCTCCAGTCCCCAGCAGCCTCCACACACTTTGCTAATGACTGGTCCTCCATAAATTCTGCCAATGGCTGGTCCACTCTCAAGGTCAGAGCCAACTCCAACAGAGACACCATCACCACTCTTTTGATCAGAAAATGGGTTGCTTTTCTTCACAGTATCCAGCTGGGAAATGGTGTCTTTCTACGACAGATTGTTGTCACTGGCTCTCCCTTTTTTTTATTTCCTTTTTTTCAATCTTTGTCGCAATCTGATTCTTCTATCTTGGTCCTATTACAAAACTTATCATCCTGCAAAAATATCCACAGCTTCAAAAACTTTCTAGTCTGCAATTCCCCCCAGGACTTTACCAAAAAATACAATGATATCTACTTCAACAAGTTTAAAAAAAATAACCATGCCACTCTAAACAATATCCTATCTTACTCCTTCTCAAAATTATCAAATCCTACAAAAAACTTATCCTCACTACACACAATTCAACTAAAATCAAAGACTCCTCTTAAATTGAAATACAGTGCTTTAAAAATTCTTAAAAGAATTCAACATTTGGAAATCTATACTACTCATGACGCCTTAAATGGTTTGAATTTTCTCGGTAATTTGTTAAAATTTAAAAATATCAATAAAAATATCAATAATACTAATAATACTAATAATACTAATAATACTAATAATTCAAATCAAAAAATGCACCTTAAAACTTTTCTCTTAACTCATCTACACTCAAAAAATTTTGTACGCTCACATCAAAATAACAACTTGGACACTTTCTCACTAAACTTTAATCTAATCAACGACTTAATCGACCTAAACTCTCTACAAAATCTAGAATTAAGAATCGATTGCATAGTACCATACTGTTATTGTCTTTTAAATTTTTTTATAAAATTGGCTCCGAAATTACTCTCCTTGAAAAAATTGGTAATTTATAAACTATCCTCTTTAACTTCAATCAACACATATCTCTCGGGTCAAACTTTAATCTATAATCCACAACTAGTTCACAATAAAAGAATAAATCCCCTATGGGAAAAATACCTAAGAGTGTTTTTCTTAAATCAAATCCCTTCAAAAAATTTAGAATACTTTTTCATTTTTTTAAACCCTTCTCTAGAGTCCTCCCAAAATAATATGCTTCAACTTTCAACTGACTCCCTAAACAATTCCTCAATTGACTCAACTCTGGAAGACTTGGAAAACTACCTAGACATTTCTGACACACCTCCAACTGACCAATTAAACCATGGCGATCCAACAATACTAAACTTCACTGAAATCAACCCAGATGACCAAAACTTTCATACAATGATTTCAAACGATCTAGTACATTCAAAACTAAATTTCACCGCCTTTAAATTCATCTTTAACAATTGGATTCTAAATCAAAAAAATCTAAAATACCTAATCATCCCAGATTTCATTCAATTGTACTTTCCTCAACTAACAAATACCTCCTTCAACAACCTCATCTTTAAAAAATGCAATTGTCTCCATTGCAAACTATCCTTCCACAAACTAAATACGTTTAAATCCTTACAATTCTTCGATACAAATCCCTTTTTCTTCAAATGTTCAATTGCTTTTCCCTTCTTAAGTCAAGCTGAATCTTTAAATCCACTATCCTATTACATCTATTCCGTAGTATTCGATTACCTACTATCAAGATCTCAGATAAAATTTAACTCAACTTCTCTAAACGATTTAAGCTTTTTTGATATAATCTTTGAAGAAAAAAATCCCTCTTTCCACAATATCCCAAAATTAAATCCTTCATCTGCTGCTTCAATTAGAAATATACTATATAAAAACACAGATTTACTTGCTGGCTCTTTTCTAGAGTTTTTAAATTATCCTCCAAAGTTTTATTTAACCACTCTTCATGAACTTTTATCTCACCATAATAGACTTTTCTTTTTTTCTCAATCCCAATCTCAATCTCAATCTCAAAAAATTTGTGAATGTAACGGCCATGAATTGGATTTAATTATAACAGCTATTATACACACAATGTATCCCTTAATTGAAGAGATTGTTCAAAATTTACCAAAACTAGATATTTTGGTCTTAAACAATATCTACTTTAAAATTCTTGTGGATACTAATGGAAAAAGATTTGCTGAACCAATTTATGATTTATACTATGAATTTTAATCAATCCAAGTTCTAGACTTTCATACCAAAAGAGAAAGTTTAATATCTATATTTATATTCAGAGCAATTAAAATTTTTAAAAGGAAATTCTATTGATTGCTCAAACTCTAATCCTCATTATATAAAATTTTTGTCAAAAAATTTTTACTATATAAGCAATTGATTTACTCTACAATTACTTTTATTCATAACTGTTCCTTTGTCAATTGTAAAGCTTTTAAAATGGTTTCAATATATTATTTTCCTTTAAGTAAGTTCAATATTTGTTTGGAAAAAAAAAAAACATTGCTTAAATTTTTTTTCAGTTTTCTCTAACATTGGTTTATGTAATTACAGTTGAAAGAGCTACTCCTACAACTTCTTTAACTATGAATTCTAATCATCATAATCAAGGTGGAAAATAGTGGATCACACTTTGTGTTGTTTTCCCTGTTTTAATTAGTTTCCTATTGCTATGTGTCTTTTTTCGTTGGTTCAATCTTAAAAGAAGAAATTTGGGACAACAACCAATAGCTGGAACAGGTTGGACTACTTTTCAAAGGAAAAATCGCTTTGCTGCTACTGATTCTACATCAATGCCAACCTTTGAATCTAAACCTGTAGATGCCGGTAACCTAGAAAATCAGGAAAGAGTTGTTTTATCATCTAACCAAACAAGTAATGAAGAAACCCAAAAAAGCGATGAATTAGAATATGAATTAGAATATGAATTAGAACATGACCTACAAAGTACTGAAAAAAAGACGAGCAATCATACACTCGGCAAAATAACTTCAACTCCAATCGCTTTTCAAAAAAATAATACAACACCAACCAATCAAAATAATGAAGGTACCTCTTACTTTAATGGCTCACCTACACATCAAGAAAAAACAAACCGAGCACTCTCCAATTTAAGTAATCTGGAAAATATTAATTATTTTTATCATGGCGAGCAACTCACTCCCACCGCTTATGATCAGATACAAAAAGAGTCAGCAGTTACTGAGATTAATTCACACCAAGATATTACCAATAAAATCTTTCCTGTATATCAGGCGCCTTTTATTGATTATCCACCTAAACCCAAGGTTGAAAAAGTGATTCGTGAAAATAAAGCTCCTATAGGTGGTTTATTAGTCCCATCCATGGGTAATTCATCAGGCAATAAAAACAATTTAGCCTTGAATGAATTTTTTACTGACGACTATTGTAGACAATCAACAAAATCTGACTTGCAGGCTGGCGAGGATAAGAGTGTTGATAATTCTGTTACAAAAGAGCTTTCAGAATTAAATAATGGTTTATCAAGAAGTCAAAGCCAAAACGATTCAGGGATTAATTTATCTTTCAGTGAACTCATGTTCAAAAATAATGATAGCTTATTTGATGAAAGTAAAGGTTTAAAAAGTGATGCTCAATTACTGAATGGTGAAATAGAAACTGAAGATGATAGAACTCAAGCTTTTAGTGACATCCAAATAACAGAAAAGAGAGAAAGAAAGACTTTTGAAAATAAATGTTCAGAAAAAGCGGATAAAGTTAGTTTAATTAAAGACATTTCGAATATTTTGGGTGATCTTTCTGCCATTATTTTTGGTTCTAATTCTGTGAAATCCATAGAAAGTGATGAAAAAAAGGTTAACTCTGGCTTAAAGAATACTGAATTTCAAATCGATAATACTATTGATGCTACTGATGCTGCAAAAAGTAAAACTTCTTTATTTATTTTTCCAAAAGATAGTGACAGTGTTGAGAAAGAAAATATCTCGAAAGCCTCTACTAAGGACGATTCTTTTATTTCAAGTTTCAAGACCCTTGAAGAAAATATGAAGCCAATTGAAAATATTAATAGCAGTAAGAGGAATTCTTTTAAAAATATAACTGAAAATTCAGATTTAAACGATAATAATAATTTTGATAAAAATTTATTCGGTGTAAGCAATCAAACTTTTCCAAGTCAAGACTTAGAAAATAATTCTAATGTGTTTGAAAAAAATAAGGCTTTAGATAATGAAGAAAAACTAAAGAATATAAATGATAATAATATGGAAAACCAACTAAAAGCAGAAAAATTGCAGGATTTGCAAATTTTGGGCGATTTAAAAGAATCACGCCAAATGAATCAAAAGGAAACCAATAGTTATCATCAACCTTTATTAGAAATTGATAACAAAGAAAATCAAGTTTCAGGCACAAAAAATAAAAGAGTTAGTTTGAATATTCCAATAAAAAAACATGAGGCCTTCCAACTAAAAACTATGAGAGGTTTCAACAAAAACTCAAGCTCTCATCTGAGAAACCCAAGCCAACTGTCTTTGAATTCTGATCAAGATAAGTATTTTGCAAAAATGGCTGCATCTAAGGCTCTTTCAAGCTCGGTAGTAAACTTTAATGCCAAAAATTCATTTAGTCAAAACGCTACTAGCTCAAAAACTTCAAGAAGAGTCTCTTTTCAAAATTTTAATGTTCTGAATAACGGAGAGAAATTGCTTCCTGTTTTGTCTAGTGAACAATCGAAAAAGGCATTTACTAACACTAAAAAGAGATTTAATGAAGTCAAACCATCTGTTCCAATAGATCAAATTGAGAATGAAACAAAATTGAAAAAATTGAAAACTGAAAAGAATCACGAAAGCAACAGGAAGCTTAGTTTTGACCAAACAAAAAATAGTTTAAGCTTAAATAATAATAATTTAGTTAAGACAGATAATCATAGTGATGTCCCAGATAAATTTTCTAGTGGTAGTGAAAGTATTGGGTTTAATGAGCTTGAATCTTCAATTAAAAGCGTTGAATTTAATGAGCCAGAATCACCAATTAAAAGCAACATAGAAAATGATGATTTAGGGAATTATTCATATAAGAATTTTAGGGATAGTGATATTCATAATGATCTGGAGAATCCAAGAGCTCATAAAGAGACTGTGGAAAATATGTCAAATAATGATAACTTTAAGGGAGTTTATGAGACTGAAGTTATTAATTGATTTAAAATGATTGAGCGAGTTTTTAGTGTTTAATTTGAGATTAATTTCTACATTTTTGTTTATTTTTTAATTCTGATTTTTATATTTAATTTGAATTATTTTTTGTTTTTGTTTGTATTTTGTTTTTTTACAGAGAATTTTTAGATATGAAAATAAACATGAAAATAAAATAAATTATATTATTAAATTAGAACATTAGAAATACTAATTAAAATGCTAAAAATGAAAAAGTAGATAAGAGGAATAATATAGATAAACGTGAAAAAATGAGCCCAAAAATAAAAAAAATTAAAGACAGACAAAAGACATGAGAAACATGAAAAAAAAAAAGAAAACTACAAAAATTAAAAGGGAATAATACTAAGATTGTTGGTCATTGAGCAATCCAAGATAATGTTTTTCTACTTAAACCAAAATGACGGCCAGAAGATTTTGGTTTATTTGTTTTTTTAGAATTTAAAGTGTTTGATTCCTTTGATTCTTTTGATTCCTTTGGAGAATTTAAAGTTTCAAGTTTTTGATTATCACTTTCGGAGAGTTTTGCATCAGAGTTTTCGAATAGGCCTGGGGGTAATGAGCCAGGTAAAATATTGTTGTTTTCATTGTCGTTTTCACTTTCGCTTTGAGTATCATTTTGAGTAGCGAGTTTGTTAACTTTTTTTGTGTGAAGTTGATTTTTTTTTGATTTGGAAAAGGAAAATAAAGGTTTTGATTTTCTTGATTGTTTTTGTTGTTTTGACTGTGCTGCATTTTGTAATTGTAATAGATTTATTTGTTTTTGTAATTGCTCAGTTAAAGAAAGCTCATTTCCCGGTTTTAATGGAAATTTGAATTTGACTGAGATTTTAGCACCTGGTTTAATAAAACAGTCAAATAAAGAAGGTATAAAGGCAGTGTTATCATCTAGGTCAATTAGATCCAATTGGACTTTTTTAATTTGAGACGAGTAATTAGGAAAAGCAGCTTGAATAGCTAATTGAAAAGTTGGCCATGTTTTAACGGCTTCATAAGGAAATTGAAAGGTTTGATTTGAATCATCATCATAAACAGACACTCTAACAGGATCGTAATGAACCTTTTGAGGTTTTTTTTGTTTTATTATTCGTTCTGAATCGGTATCATTTGAATCATCAGATGTATCGATTGGATTTACGTAAAAGTATTTTTGAATAAAGCTGTTGTAGTTTTGTTGAAGATTGGATTCAGTTGAGTAATCAGAATGGGAATCTGAGTAATAACCATAATTCATATTGTCGAATGAACCAGGAAAAATATTTCTGTTTCTATTTCTATCTCTGTTTCTATCTCTATTTCTGGTGTCATAGTCATCATAGTCATCATCAGAAGAATACATTGAAGAGTTGAAAAAATGAGGAGGCATTATGGGGAAAAAAACAATCGAATGTGATATATATTGAGAAATTGGTGTTTCAATTAATAAAAGACAAGGAAAGAACAAATTGAAAAAAAGACAGTAAGAGAAGAAAACACATACTTATATTAAGAATATGTTGTACACGAAAGGCAATGAATAAATTCTAAAGATATGTAAAGGTCATAAGCCTCGTAGTGGAAATGGGAATACTAAACAAGATTGTTTACATTTGGAGAATTGTGGTTTAATATCAACGAAGAAGGGAAGCACAATTGCTGGAGTTATTGTTATCTTTAAGCAGATATATTTGTGGATTGGATTGTGACCAAAAACAGAAAGATAAACATCGTCAAAGAAAAAAGAATAGAAAAAGCAGAGCCAACCAGACGGTTCATTAAACGTGAATAGCACGTGTAATATAAGCGCCAGTGGTGTGGTTGTATGTTACATCCGAGCTTAAAACAGGGTTTCTCCGGTGAAAGAAAAGCCAAAAGTTTGATGTACTAGTGTGTGTTTCAAGATGCTAGATGCGGGCGTGCTTGAACTATAAGCTGCGGAGTAACAGACTTTAGAGTTTTTAAACTGGTTGCAGTCAAAAATACAATCCCGGGTTGTGGTGGCAACCACTGGGGCAGAATCAGCACTGTACGCCAAATTCCAACCAAACATGTTTGTGAAGGCTCCTAAGGCTTCTGCGGGACAGAAGGAGGAGACAGATACGCCAGTTATGGCAGCAATTTAGCTGGAGTAGAGCTGGAGCATGATTATTAATGGGAATGGGCAAAGTTTGTGCTAGTCGCAGTGTTGTTTTTGGCAAAGACATTTCTCTAAGCAACTAGCAATTCGTGCTAAGAGCAACAGAGAAATAGAAAAAGAAAAGCAGTGAAAGAAACCTGTATTAGTCGAAGAGGGCCAAAATTCCGGGTAGCGAGTACACATTGTGGGAGGTGAGGAAAAGAGGTAGCGTTAATATTGGAGAGGTTGAAAGGACGAAGATTTTTGGATAGCGAGGGAAGGTTTTGTTTTCCGGATTCCTGATTTGTGTGGTTAGATCTGTGCTGGGGGATCGTGAAAAAGGTGAGGGAGGCATTAATTGAGTAAAGCAGATTCCTCAATCGAGAATGGAACCAAAAGTGACAAATAGAAAAGTAGGTGAAGAATAAAATTGGAGAAAGAATGAAATAAGATTTGATTTCATTAGAACTATTACTTATCTTTGTTTTTTTTCTTTCTTTTGATCAAGATCGAGAGAAGTCTTGTTACTGATTGCTGAGTCAACAAAGATTTTGACTTGGGTTTATTTTTATTTCTTTTTTTTTAAAAAGAAGAGAAATATGGTAAGGACACTAGTGGTCGTAGTGCAGAAACGTAAAGAATAAGAATTGAAAAAAAGTTGTTTGAAGTGTTTCTATGATTTTGTTTTGTTCGCTTTTCACATGAATGTTGGTGTGTTATCTAAAAATGCAGAGGTGGAAAGGGAAAAATGGTTTGAAGAGAGCTTTCGGATGCTGGTAGATAATTGACCAGACAGCAGTAATAATAACTCTTTACTTAGGAGATTAGTAGATTATATTCATATAAGTTTAATAGTAACAATGCTAAAAAAAGTGGTTTAATATATCTACAGATATTCAACTAGTCTGAAAAAAATAAATTGTTAGATACGAATACTCAGAGTGCAACTTTGTCCATTTCTTTTTGGATTAATTATTGATTGTTTGTTTTTGTTTGGTTCAGTTTTTGTTTGGTTCAGTTTTTTGCTACTGCAAATAAATCATCCTTTTTGGGATAAATATGGGATAGTTGGGTTTCAAGAGGTGGTTAATGCAATATAATATGCCAGTAATGTACAATAGTACTTTATTTTATCATCTTGAATCATGTCATGATCTAACATACTATCCTGTAGTGCACCACACAATACTACACTACATCATACTATATAGCATGATATATGAATCATTATCATACAATCACATTGTATAATCTACGATAAATACCATTTGCACCTCAGCACTTTTAGTGTGCTTGATTTTGCTCTCGTTCTTTCCTGCCAGAAAAACTAATAGCTTTACTGTGCAAGAGACGAAAAAGAAAAGCACTAGCGAGACAAAAAAATAAGCCCAATAGGATTACTAATGTTGATATTGGGTAAAACACAGTTCCCTTCAAGAATTTGGAAAAATCGATCAATCAACAAAAGACAAACACCCAGAAGGCAAAGAAAAAGAAAATCTTTTTGCTCTTCACATCTCTTTTAGGCTTAGCAGTACTGCACTCACTTGATTTACATGGCCAATCCTCATTCCCTAGCCCAGGATCAGGGGTCTGTACACAATATCCACTCTCCAGCCGATCCACGCCTCTAATGGCCGAACACTCTGATGCCGGCTCCAGACCTCAAAAGAATCTTTTCGGAGCACTCTGTTGCTTCTGCTGCACATCTACCTAATCGGGCAATTTTTTGCTGCTTTATTAGGTAGATCTCCAAAACAGGCAGGAGTTTGATGGGGTCGCCCGGCCGTGCACATTCTGTCCTAAAGAGGAAAGTAGTATATTGTCGGCCCTTTCCGCGGCGAGCCCCGGCAGTAGCGGAAAAACTCGCGGGGTTTTCTGATGGCTGTCTTTTTTCGGACAAAGAGACGTAAAGAAGAGACTCAAAGGAAGCTCAGGAAGATAGAGAAGCTCGAGAAGATGGAGAAGATGGAGATGGTAGAGATGGTGGAAGATGAAGAAGCACTTCCAGAAAACAATTCAATCCCACTTTTTCTGGTGCAATCTGTGCACTCCTGCTGTGGTCTTGCCCTTTTATTGGCCTGTCTATCAAAGTTTAGCTCAACTCGTCACCAAAAACATCTTTTAGAGCTTAAGTGTTAGTCCAGCTTGGTCTTCATTTTCTGTTGTTCATCTTTACTGTCGTGGCTCGCTGATTACTCTGCGATATCAATTTAAATTCAGGTTTGATTTGCTGTGATTACGATTTTCAACAAAAGAATTTTCACTCAAGCACAAGAATGTTGAATCAATCAACAAAAAACACAATCACAGTGTATGGCATGTATTTCAACCCTGTATTCCTGCTAATGTTAATTGATTTTCCTTTTTCATAGAACAAAAAACCATTCATATCACTACTCGTATTTATTGTTCATACCATTCCTCTTAATCCCATTATTCACTTTGCTCGCTTTACTCACAGTATTCCCTTTGCTCATACTATTCACAATACTCACTTTATTTTCATTATTCACTTAATTCATTTTATTCATAATTGTATAGTATGACTCTACAAAACTTTCGTAGTTTTTAAAACCAAAACTCTATTTTTCTTATTGGTAACACCAATTGGATTATTATTAACATTGAAATTGATTATATTTTACATTTTGCATTTTACATTTTAAAATTCAAATTTAATGTTCGCTTCTTCACTGTATTTTTTTACCCAATTGATCTTTTTAATTTTATTTTTTTTTTTCTTCTTTAAAAAAACAATTATTTTTTACCATTGTATCTCAAACAAGAAAACAAGAAAATAAAAAATCAAAAAATACCAAAAAAATCAAAAAAAATCAAAAAACATTAAAAAAAATCAAAAAAATCAGAAATCATAATTTGAGATTATGAGACTATGAGTTATGGAGTTTACTAATTAAAAAAAATTAAAAACGATGAAGTAATTAAAAATAAAAAATTCTCCTTTTTAATTTAACCAATTTCTAAAATTTCCTTTTGGTATACTTTTGTAAAAATTATTATTATTAACTATATAATTTTAATTATTGTCCAAAACTTAAAAAAAATATATACATTCACAAATGATTGACTAAGAGAAAGAGAAAAAGAGAGAAAAAAAGAGAAAGTAAATCAAAGTAAAACAAAGAAAAAAACTAAAAAAAATCTAACTTGAATTCTAAATAAAATAATGAAATAGTAAAAACAAAAAAACAACAGCAGCAACAAAATAAATGAGTGAAATGAGTGAGAAAATTAATTAAAATTAAAAATGGAAATGGAAATGAAAATAAAAATAAAAAAATAGTTCTTTAAGAAACTAAAAAGCAAATTTTTTTTTCTTTCTTTAAACATTAGAATTCTGTTTCTCCATAAAAATAAAGACAAATAATAGTTATAATAGTTATAATAATAGGAAAGAAAAAAAATTGAATTCTAAATCAAAATATAATATGAATCACAAAATTAACAATAAGAACAACAACGACTAACTTTATTATACAATTCAAAAAAAAAAAAAAAAAAAAAAAACATTCAAAAACACAAGAAAGCATTTAAATCATCAAAAGAATTTTTTTTTTCTTTTATTTTTTTTTTTCATTACATATTTAATTGCAAATACAATTACATATGGATATTATCACCAAATGGAATTTCCACGTAATAACTTTGTAAAGCTCTTTTTAAACCAGATTCTAAGTTTTCCCATTTTAAAATGCGAACTTCTTTATCAAAACCTCTTGGTTTTCTGATATCGTAAGCCATAATTCTTTTGGCTAATTGCACTTTGTACTCTTCAATAGGTTTTGAAGTCTTTGAATCTGATGAATTTGGTGAAGTGTATCTTGATGTTGGTCTGGTTGAAATCTTTTTCGACCAAAATGGTACTAAATTTGATCTTATTCTGCCTCTTTCACGTCTTCTTTCACCTGGGTCAGCTAACTCGGTGCTTATAAGCAATTCAACAATTTTAATCACTTCAACACTTGTAACATAGAAATTTCTCTTTTTAAGACCGTTTGGATCATCTTCGTTATTAAAAGATTCTAGACAACTAACTTCAAGAACTTCACAATCCATTGGAGCAGGTTTGGGTTTGGGATGGTCTTTTGCTGATCCAACAACTGAGAAAGTGGCATTAATTTTGCAGCCATCTTGTCTCTTTTCGATTCTGATTATTCTTCTTTGATCGAATTTTTCATTTGCATCCCATTCTGGCAAACACAAGTCCTTGACAGAGATATTATCGAGAGATAGAGAAACAGGAATGTAACGAACATTTGAATGAGATGAAGTCATTCTTGGGGGTCTTGTTGCACTACCACCTGAGCTTATCCCCCTAACTACTCTGTATTTATTTAAGGGAAATTGTTTTGAGAATTGGTTTAGTTTATTGGTGTTGTTGACATTGGCATTGGTGTTGATGTTAATGCTATGGTTACCATGGTTATTAGCATTGGCGTTATTATCGTTATTATTATTATTATTATTATTATTATTATTATTATTATTATTATTATTATTCAAGTTGTTTGAAAGAGTTGGTAAAGAAGATAAATTGTTGATTGGATTTAAAGTGGTAATTGGGTTCAAGTTGTTGAAATTATTGAGGCTATTGAGATTGATATTGTTAAGGTTGCTGAGATTGTTAAGGCTGTTAAAGCTATTAAGATTAAGATTGTTGAGATTGTTAAAGTTGTTAATACTGTTGATATTATTAAGAGCATTTATGCTATTGATATTATTGAATGTATTGATATTATTTAAAGCATTTATGTTTTGAATATTTTGGATGCTTTGAAGACTATTGTATGAATTAAGATTTGAAGGAGTGTTTTGGAATTGAATTTGTTCCAAGTAAACTTTGCTGTTTGTTGCAGTTGTCTTTTGGTTTTGATTTACTGAAGTATTGTAAGGAGTTAGTTCATTGATCGTGGTTGCAGTCGAGCTAACCGAGAAGGGAGAGCCTAACATACTTGAAATGGTTGAAGGCTCGCTTATTATGCTTGCTCTTCTTGTTGAAATTGTTTCGGGATCTATTGGGGGAGAGGGAGGATAGTCGCTATGTATATTGTTGTTTGAGGTGTTTGAGGATAGTATTGGCAATGAATCCATTTGTGGGCTTGGAGCATTGCTATTGAGAATATTTTGTTGGTTATTGCTCAAGGAATATTGGTTTGAGAAATAGATGTTATCGTAGAACAAATTAGGAGGTTGTAATTGGTGGGATTGTCGGGACTGTTGTTGTTGTTGTTGCTGCTGCTGCTGTTGTTGTTGTTGGGAATGGAAATTGAATACGCTAACAAATTGGTTTTTTGAGGCATCTTGCAATGGTAAGGATAGTGGGTTATAAGTGACGACAGGATTTAAAAATTGGTTGTTGTTAGGAGAGGAGGTGAGAGTAGAGGTGGTAGCGATGTTGTTAGTAGCATAAGAATCGTTGAGTTGCTGGTAGTAAGCAGTTGAGTTTGGAGAAGATGAGGAAGTTATAAAAGAGGTTGGGAATAGAGAAGATTGGTTATAGTTACTTGTGGATGTGTTTACTGAGGGAGTATTAGAAGCAGCAGAGGTATTTGAAATGGTGATATTGGATAGAGGGGGAGTTGAAATGGGCTCCGATTTCAAAAACTGGTCCATTGGATTTAGATGAATATTTTGGTTGTAAGATTTTTCAGTCAAAGTTGGAGATAATATTGTTTCAAAAGACATGTTGGAGGAAGGATAGGTCTCGTAGTCAAATCTTTGAGCAGGGGTGGTGACAGTTGAGGGAATTATCGACAGCATATATGAGAAAGAAGATTGGGAAATTAGATCTATAGAAGTGTGAGACTATAGGGAGCTATAAGGTTATAAGAGTAGAGGTGATGTGAAGATGTTTGAGTGGTGTTGGATGGAAAGATATGAGTATATGGAGATAGAAGGATGGGAATATAAGAATGTAGCAATGCAATGTAGAAAGCAATGACAAGCAGCTAGAGGATAAAGTAGATGGTGGATATATAAGAGATATATAAGAGATATATAATAGATATCAAAGAGCTGGAGGAAGATAGGAAGATAATTGGAGATGTGGAATAAAAGAGATTTGAAAAGGCACCAGCAGGGAAACAGGGTTTTATTATATAGGAAATTTTACATTGAAAGAAAAACCAACTCTTGAGAAAGATAATTATCAAGCTACTCAAAGGTATAGAAAGCCAAAAAGTTTCTTCCACGCAGTGGGCCGCAGGTGAGTAGTGAGTACATGGCTGTGAAGACTGAGGGTTAAAGCCTCTTTTTTGTGTATGACGGTGTATGAAGGTAAGGTTACGCATGTACTCAGGCTACTCAGCTGCGGGTGATCTGGTTACCAGACGGAAAATGGGAAAAGAGCACAGTAGTGTGGAAAGTGGCTAGAGACACACAGCGGGTTGGAAGAATTGGAATTGAGTCTAAAGTGAGTCTAGAGTGAGTCTGTAGTGAAGACACTGAACCTTAACGGCAGGTGTGTACAACCACCTTGGAGCTGCGTGTGGACGAACCGAAAGTGAGCCAAACAGTGGTGGTTTGGCAATTTGATCATTTCGTGGCTCTGGGAGATAAGGAGAGATAGCCTCTGGAGTCGTGAGTGATAGAGATAGCCCTGCAAGAGCAGGAGCAGCCAGCAGAACGGGCAACAATAGCGACACGAGCGGCACGAGCGACAGGTCCGGTGGCAACAATGTACAGGCCGGCCTCAATGGCAACAATAGCAGCACAAGTAGCAGGGATTGCAACAATAGCCAATAGCCAAGGGATTGCATGCCGACTGTGTTGATCCACGCTCTGAAGACATTTACGAGCGATTGACCATTAGGCTCAGGTGGGCGAGAAGCAGCTGCTGAAAACCATTCGAAGTGCAAAATCAGATATTCAGTGTCGCTTTGCCTGACATACAAATGGTGAGTTGTAACTTGCAAGTTACAACAAACATGCTATTTATGCTTCTCTGGTTGTGCAACAAACCAAAACCATGATCATATTAAATTAATCTTAAATTAATCTTAAAATAATTAATTTAAAGATTAAAGATTTGGGCTTTTTAATTATTATTTTTGGTTTTTGTTCTGCCCTTTTGCTAGATAATGAACAACAATAGAAAATGCTTGTGTGAAATTCTTTCATTTTGAACTAAATCACAGGCTGGGGCTCAACTAGGAATACGTTGCGAAACACTATTGCTCTGTTTCACTATTGCACTGTTTCACTAGCTCAGTATTCTATTATTTCACTATTCCATTATTTCACCATTCTATTGTGGCAGTCAAGCAAGATCGAAATTATTCAGATACTCTTTATTCCGATGGTGATACTGAAGATGGAGATGTTTCAAGATAATAATGAGAGTAAGGGAAAAGAAGGAAAGAGGCCCACAGGCTTACAAAACGCCTTTCAAAAACGACGGTTGCTTTTGCAAACGCGAACGGGAGAAGAACAACGATTGGCGAACAGAACCATCTCCAGTGAAAGAAATCTTAAAGGTAACATTCCTCAAAGGGAGACAATTTATAGTCGATTTAGCACCTTTTCTGGGTTTTCAGTGTTCTTTTTTCACGTTTCTAGCACTTCTCCAGCTCTTTTTGTTGCTGCTTTACTTTTTCCTTTTTCCTTTTTTTCGCTACCTTCAATCACAGATTCTTCACCAACAAAAGCAAAACACATACAAAAAGGAGAGCCTTCTCTTTCATGGGGAATCAGATGGTTCAAGTGTTCAAGTGTTCAGGTGTTCAGGTGGTTGTACTTCAAACTTCAAGCTTTATCTCTATTATTTACAATTGCTCAACCAAGTTCTGTTATTGAAAGCCTCAACACCATTTGTTGCCAAATTATTATGAGTAGTATTAATTTTATTTAAATATTTGTATTATTTGCAATAATCGTAATAATTTTAATAATCTTATTATTAAGATTAAATTTTCAAACTTCCTGAATCGCATATTTACTTCCATGAAAGAGAAAAGTATGAGAAAACAAGAGACCTAACAAGCAAAAAAAAGTAACTTGTTTCCTTTTTGTTTGGTTTTTCCTTCTAGAATGATTTAATAATCGATAATTAATTTTAAATGCTAAATATTAAATGCTAAATGCTAAATATTAAATGCTAAATATTAAAATCTAATCTTAATCATAATCTCAATCATAACTACAATTGTAATTCTTCTTTATTTCTATTTTTCTTTGTTAGAATATTAATTTGTAACTCGATCATTGAAATATAATACACTTGATTATTCCTGGCAAAATGAAAATTCGTCTCGGTTAATCAGTAATTAAAATGAAAAGAAAAATACGATCCAACACAATAAAATATAATCGAATAAAATAAAATAATTCATATTAAAACAAAACACTATACAGTATATTTAATAGCAAGTTATCACTCGTTTATCACTTGCTTGTTCTTGTTTGCTCAAAAAGATTTGCTATTTTCCAATTTAGTTTTAAGTAAGAGCACTAATACGAGTGTTAATAATTGTACAAGTAACTTTTCCAGTGCCTAATATCTTTACTGATTTTTATTTTTTATTTTTGTGTTTTCACTAAAATTGATGATCAAAGAATTCTTGACTATGCAATTATTTTCTTTTGGTTTCTTGAATTCTTTGTTCATCATTTGTATACAATATCTACCAATGAGCCACGAATAGAGATTCGACTACCATTGAACTTTTTCTTTTTTTTCCTTTTTATTCTTTTTCTCTTTGGTTATTTTTGTTCTTAATTTACTAAGTCATTACTAGGATTGATTTACTCATCATCAATCGTCAAGACCCATTCCCATTCTCTTTTCCATTCAAATTTTAATTTTAATTAAAATTTTAATTAAAATACATCAAGTACTATTCTATACACTGCTGTATGGTATTTTATGGTATTCTATGGTATATTGTATGGTATTTGTACGGTATTGTATATTGCATAATACTTTAACCAGGAAGGGTAATCTTATTAACGTAGCCTTTGCATATCACCTGAACGCCCCGTCTATTTCAAGACATCTTGAAGGCGCTTCGGATAAATAGCAATGGTTTGTCACACGTCGGAGAGACTGAAATGAAACATTTTTTGTTCTCGATGTCGATATTATATTGTACTATTTTCTGTGCTGATCGAGCATTATGTGATGTGGTATAATATAATTTTGGTGTGTCAATTTGGTAAATACATGTCTAATTTGCGATTGAATCTCTCTACTTCAATAAAGATTCATACAAAAAGAAGTCAAGTCTTTGTCCCAGTTTGTCATTTTACTAAAATTGTTTGAATCTTATTTCTCACTCATTCACTTTCTACAAATCAACTCTTTTTATTAATTAATCCAGGGGATATATAAAAATGTATGAAATAATAGTATTATAGCTGTATTATAACTGTATTAATAAAGTATTAAAAAAGTTTTGCAAATGTGTTACAATTTTACAAAAATTTTACAAAAGTTCTACAACAGGTATACAAAAAGTTTTCTTATTAAAGAATTTGAATAATAAAAACTAAAAGACTAAAAAATTAAAAGATTAAAAGATTAAAAGACTAAAAGATCAAATAAATTACCTTGCCAAACTAATTAAATTCTTATCAAAAGAACATGAAAACAAAAAACAAAAAAAAACAATTTAGTTTTTGCATTGTCTAATTAAATCAGATTTAGTAATTTAACTATTATTACAATTTGAAAAATTTGCTATTTTTATCAGTTTTCCTGAATACCTGTATTTAAAGTTTATTACTATTTATTACAAAATTTTCAATATAAAAATGTAAGGTTAAGAAGTTTAATTGTAATAAAAACAAGACATCACAAAATGATATAAGAAATGATAAATTGTAATAAACTTCAAATAACGAGCGATACTGGTTATTTGAAGAGATTGTTTAGGAATATTTATAGGCTTGATCTTGCAAACCACTGTGATTGGCCGAAAATTGGTTGGAAATTCCTTTACTCTCCCTATTTAACAGTCAAGTACAAAGACTGTGGAGACAAAACTATTAGTGACAGCAAAAAAGGAGAAAAGACGACAGTGGTCTCAAACAATAAGCAGCCAATTGGCAGCCTTGAACCAAGGTAAACCAGACAAAGCATCCACATGGGCCACAGGGTGATGGGAGCGAGGGCACAAGAAAAAGAGTGTGTTGGGCTAGCTATCTTGCAGAGAGAAACCTAAGATTTGGCGAACGCTTGCCAGGATGTGAAGTGTGCTGCACGCCTACGCTGAAAAAAAATGGCAAATACCAATCAGAGCGCCAAAGTTATGCCAAGCAAACGCCAACCTTAATAGCCAATCCTAAAGCGTAAATAGTATAGCGTAAAGTGACTCGTATAACGCTGATATAAGATGAAGGCTATTTCTATTCGCTGGAGGCCAGACTAATCTGACTTTGGCTGAAACAGTTTAGGTTGCAGGCTTAACTTCGGAGCATAATAGTTGGAAAAACGCGCCAGCAAGATTGCGTGCAAATATACGTGGTTTACCTGGCAACAACGCACGCTTGTATTGACACAGAACCAAATATCTCGCGCTTTGCACTTTTTGAACTGGAGTTATTAACTTTCAAGTTCCACTACCCGCCGCTGCCGAACAAAAACCTGTATCGGTGCAGGAGCAGCGAATCGTGGTTCTTTTGCCTATTATTGTTCATTCTCTTCAATTTTCACAAAAAGCTATCATTTGATGTAATTGCAGCAGAGAAACTAATAAAAGCTGCTCTGGCAAAAAAATAATTCACACAATTCTTCTGTTTTATTGTTCTTTTATGCTGGTGGTGAATGGTACCAAAATAACAACAACACCAAGTTACCAGATATTTAAGAGTTGCCGCTTTTGTACATAACATTCAAAAATATTGCCATCGATATCGGCGATATGAGTGATATCAGCCCTATTAAATAATTTTTTTTGACCTCTTTTATTAAAACAAAATTGACACCAACGTATAAACAGCACATGATAAAGAGTTGGCATCGACATGGTGACCAGGTAGCCAAGTAGCAGCTGTGTAGTCTCTTGATTGTTTTCCATTTATCTAATTTTTTTAGTTTATTATATCATATATTTATTTAGACCCGCTAAACAATCTCTGGCTCTTGGTTTGATTCTGCCTTTTTTCCTATTTTTCTCATTTTTCCATGGAAGCTTGAAAATGGAAAAGTGAAACTCAAAGAAAACAGCCCAGACACCCAGAACCGAGAAAGCACAGAGGGGGATATTCCAAAATTCCAGCGAAGCTATTTATAAAACGATGATGTGTGCAATTGGCTCAGCAATGTGCTTGAACGAAGTGCAAATCGCAGAGAACATCATTCAGAAGGAAAATCCTTTGATCTCTGCTATCTGGGTATTTGGTATTGGGACTCACAGAGACGTAGAGAAGAAATCTAAAAGTAGTAAGGAAAAAGAAAACTTCTCATGATCCACAATCCGCGCAAACAATAGCCCACCTCTTTCTAGAATCTAAAAATACTGCACGGCCGCATTTAAGGTTCCGGTATCTAAGCACACTTCTGTGTTACAACGCACCGAAGCCCTCCGGTTGCAACTGTAAAAGTCATCAAGCGACAGGTTTTGCTCACCCTACAAATCTTATCTCTGCCTGCTTTTCGCGAATTCCGCCCATCACCGCTTCCGTTTCCAGTTGCGCCACCAATCAGCAGGCAAATTATCTTTCCACGCTACAACTCCAGTTTCATCTCTTTAATTGTATATTGTTTCATATAACAACTGTTTGCCCTTATCCACCAACGGTCTCTGAAGGACTTTGACGTATTTCCTTCGAGTGAAATTCCAACATTTTATTTTCTGCTGCTTCTATCATTAATTAGCAATGGAGAGCATTTAATTGTCTGGTCTGTTAATTGGTTACTCTATTTTTTATTTTTCTATTCGCCCAACTCTTCCCTGCACCGAGTTTTTCCTTTTTCCTTCCTTTTTTTTTCTTTTAGTCAATTTCATGTTTACTGTAATTTCTACAGCTAACATACCCTTATTTGATATTTTAGAAAATTTGATCAATCTAGTATTCAAATATTTAATACGTTTTTAATACAATATTAATACAATTGCAATTTTAAATTATTTATTTTAATCAATAATCAACATTTTCTGAATCTGAACCCAGTATTGTCTTATTATCCAATGAAATCATCAGAAATACCGATCTTTATTGTAATTATTATAGTTAGAATTATTATAGTTAGAATTATTATAGTTAGAATTATTATTTTAATTACTATTATAATATCTCTACTCTCTCTACAAATTTTGGGTGAATGAGTCTATCCTTGTAAAAACAAAAAAAGAAAATTAAACAATTGATTTAGAATTTGGTGCAGTCTAGTGGAAAATACCCAAATTAATTAAATCTTTTCTACATTTATTCTTGTTCTATCCGAAATAATCTACAACTGTACTAATCATCTTTATTATCTAATTCCCACAAAAATCATAAAATTCATAAAATTAAAACACTGCTGCCCGGATTTACCAAAATTAAAGAATTATATGGTTTTCTCTTCCCATATCTTTAACTTCTCTCAATATTGTAATTAGCTACTTCCGATTTCAAGACCGCTAGTCTAGACTTCTGTTCCTTCCAATCAGAAGCTAGAACAGCCCCACCAATCACATTTTGACTCTGAGCTTTCGTTCCAGCCCTAAACTCAAAAAACTAAAAGCATCACGTTACATCTCACGTGTAAACTTGAAGCCCTGTCTGCATAACCACAAAGGTAGATTATAATTGTTGTTCAGTCACATGAACTAAAATAGGGCATTTAAGATAACAGGGCTCTCATGTAGAATGGTTGTGTGATGTTTGGACGCTTTTTTTCACCACCTCAACTCCTCCACCAGAGTAGTCCTTTTGCTATATCTCTGTATTTTGTTACCATCCTCACCAAATTCAAGAAATCAATATAGCAACGATTATTCAAAATGCAAATGTATGTTCCTAATCAATTCCTGCTTCATATTTTCATTTACTTTATATTTCAATCATAATCCTTCTCATAATCTATATCAATTTACATATCCCATATCCCATATTTCATCTTTCAAACGATACCCATTTTTTGAAATATTATTGTCATAATCACTGAGTAATTTTTATAAATATTTAATAACAATTATATAGAAAAACACCATTTTCATACGAGAAATTTAAACTCATCTTGAATTGCATAACTCTACTATTTTAAAATGGTTTTCATAAATAAAAAACTCAATCAAATTTATAAAGTTTTGTACAAAAATTCCTATAAAGAATTTTGATCAAAAACTAATATAAAAAAATCACTAAAACTAATACTAAAAAGCTATTGTTTTAAAAATGTCAAAATTGCTTTTTTTTTGCCTTTAATTTAAACTAAAATAAAATAATAAAATACAATTTAATATGGCTAAATTAACTAATCTCATTCAATTTGATTCAAATAAAATACATACGTACAAAAAAACTTATGTTTTTACTTATTCATTTATTTATCTTAAATATTCAGTGATTTATTCAATTGAAATAAAAATGAAAATGAAAATGAAAATGAAAATAAAAAGCTGATTTGAAATTGAAATTAAAAACAAAATTGACCGCTTCTAACATTTTTTTATCTTAATTTTACAGTTTTGTCAAAACCCTTACCGGTAAGACCATTACCTTAGAAGTCGAATCTTCTGACACAATTGACAACGTCAAATCAAAAATCCAAGACAAAGAAGGTATTCCTCCAGATCAACAAAGATTAATATTTGCTGGTAAACAATTAGAAGATGGTAGAACTTTATCTGACTACAACATTCAAAAAGAATCCACTTTACATTTAGTTCTCAGATTAAGAGGTGGTATCATTGAACCATCCTTAAAAGCCTTAGCTTCAACTTATAACTGTGATAAATTAATCTGCCGTAAATGTTATGCTAGATTACCTCCAAGAGCTACCAACTGTCGTAAGAGAAAATGTGGTCACTCTAATCAATTAAGACCAAAGAAGAAATTGAAATAGTGGCTTTATTTTTTTATTATATTTTATTATATATATAAAAATATAAGTGTAATTTCAAGTATAAAATCTTGCTATTTATTTTATCTTATATTCTTTAATATAAACAAATAAATGATTTTAATAAATTAAATTTATCACAATTTAGATTCATTAGTATTTCCGTTTTTTTATTTTTTCATTTTTTTATTTTTTCATTTTTTTTCTAAATTCTTTTATTGAACAGTATAAACAATATAAAAAAATGATTAATGGAAAAAAAAAACATGAAAAAAAAACAAATTGGTATTTAATAAACAAACTATTATTAATTAGTAAAACGAAATGAAGAAAAAATCAAGTAAATAATATATAAGAAAAAAAAATAATTAATAATAGTAGTAACTAATAATAGTAATAATAAGAAGAAAAAGAAGTGGAAAAAATTAATTGAAACAAGAAATAAATGTTCGTAAATTAATTAATGAATTAAATGCTTTATGCTCTTCTTGAAGCACTAGTTTTTCTAATACCCCCATTGATAACTTTTTCAGTACTTGGATTACTGGATAATCTATTTCTAGATCGAAGACTTGATCTTTGCTTAGATTTGGGCAAAATTTGATTTTGGTCAGAATTTTTAGGGGAAGAAGATACATTTGATGTATTTGTAGGTTTATTTGAATTTTTTGAATTAGTGTGGTTAATTTGAATAGGTTTTGATGGAGTTGATGAAGATCTTTTAGAATTTGGATTTGTAATTGATCTCAAGACTCTCCAAGAAGTTGGAGAATTTCTTCTTGATTTTGGAGAGGAGACAGTGGATATACTGATATTTTCTTTTGTTTCTTCTGAAGAAATGATGCTAATTTTTTGTCTTGGTCTTTGATTTGGCGAGTGATTTGGCGATAAATGAATTCGACTATTGTTATTATTAATAGCAGTAGTACTGGTACTGGTAGTGGTAGTGGCAGTAGTATTATAGTTTCCATTTGAATAAGTTTTATTTTGAATATGTATCTGTAGGTCAGAAATTTCTTCTACGTCAGAAACATTGTTAACTTTGTGAATGATGATTGAATTGTCATTATCGAGATAGTTATCGTTGTTTTCAAGATTGTAATTTGAGTGATTATGAGTTATTGAAGGGTCGTTTATTGGATCGATGATTTCAATTTGGTTATTTTCTTTATTCTCTTCATTTTCTTCATTTTCTTCAGCGGTTATGTGATTATTTTCATTTTCATTATTAATATGGGTATTTTTATTCTTATTTTTATTTTTATTTTTATTTTTGCTAGATTTATTATTATTATTATTATTATTATTATTATTATCATTGTAAATTTCATTGTCATCGTAATCTTCATAATCGTTATCATTGTCAGAGTTATTTGGGGCCTTTCTTGGTTGGCCAGGAGATTGGATTGGGACAGCGATGTGTATTCTTTTTTTCATTTGGCCAGAGATTCTTCTTCTGTTTGGGGTTGCTATTAGGAAAGTTTTTTTTGAGATTGAGTTTGAGTGGTTGAGTTGTTTTTGTCTTGCTTTGAAAATGTCAAAGGAAATTAGAGAAGTGAAGCCAGCAAGAGATTTCTTTGGGATGTTGTCCAAGACCATTGTGTATCTCCAGTTTCTGAATTCGTTTTGGTGGAGGTAGAGCCAATGTTGCTGAGGGCCTACGACCATACCAGGACGAATCATTCTCATATAACCTATGCATTCGTTGGCAGTGAAGCCATGAGTGTATATTAGGTGTGCGCCAATCAAGCAACCAGTTCTTCCCAAACCTGCTTTGCAATGAACAGCGATTTTGCCTCCATTGTTGATTACGCCTTCTGCGACACCTATAAAGTCCTGGACTATTTGCATTGTAGGACAGGTGCCATCGTCAAAGATCATGTCTAGGTGTTGGATACCCAAATTTTCAAAGTTTGATTTGTCGTAAAGATGCGAGTTTAGTCTGATGACCATCTGGACGTTATTTTTTTGAAAGTAGTTTAAGACTTTTATGAAGGGTTTGTTGAGGTGATTTTTTGATTGGTTGTTGTTGGTGATGGTGATGGCACTTGGGTTATTGTGGTAGTGACTTTGCTGTGGAGAAGCAAAAGCAATAAAGTCCTTTGATATTACGTTGAAATCGCCTTCTTCTACTTTTTCGTATTGCTCGTATTCTTCTAGATTGAAGTTTGTTAGGTCTATCATGTTTCTCTCCTTGGCTCTCCATATTCCATAGACAATGTCCTGGATCGATATTTCGAAATCAGCATTTGAGTAGCCAGCGTCTCTAAAGGGCATCAATGGAGGATTGATTTGGGAGATGGGTTGTAGGACCTGATGGGGAGACCAGGATTGCACTAGAATCATATAACAGCATAGGAGACAAGCAGCGTTTGCTCTGTTTTTGGGGCCAGTGGAGGAATAAAAGACAATTGCCTTGCCCTGGTTGGAGTCTTCGTTGAGGATGTTGTGTAGAACGACAGCAAAGCGATAAAGATTGCCAATGTGCAAAGGGCCAAAGTCGAGGTGAAAAGGGTTGTAGGGCAAGTGATCTTCCACAGTGAAAAAAACAGTCTGGTTAGTATCTTGAGGAGGGGAGTCATAGGCACCGAGATAGATACGGCCAGTGAGAAACTCTATGATCTTGATGTTGGATTTCTTGGGCATTGTGGAGTGGAGCAGAACGAGAAGCAAAAGCAGGAAGAGAAGCAAAGGTGGCAGACGCAAAAGAGTGAGAAAAGGTGGATGAATATTTATTGCATGGAAAAGTAAACAAACAGCCCAAACGGGCGAGAGGTAAACAAACAAAAGATGCAAGAAGAGGTCACGCAGCGGCAGAGGCAGCACAGAAATGAGCACCGAGTAGCAGCAGCGGCAGCAGCAGGGAAGCACGTGCAGTAGAGGAGACACACGCAGCAGAAGCAGCACGGGAGGCACGCAGCACGTGCGGGTCAGGTGCACGGCAGGGGGTATAAGAGGGGGCAGAGGAGCAGCACCACCCACACAACCCCACGAAGCAAAAATGGCTAACTCAGATGTGTACGAACGACACTGGTTCCGGCTCTTGCAGCTCAACAACTTCCTTCGCAACCACCTCAGGCTCAGCTTGTTCGAGTTTGTGGTTGTTGCCAGCTTTCCTGTGGTGCTTGTGGTGGGTCAGCTTCTCTCGCTCAGCGAGCCTGCTGCTGTGGAGCACTCGTTGTTCAGCTCCTTTTTCAGGAACAAGAAAAACTTTATCAACCTTGTCTTTGTCAAGAATGGCTGGTTCTGGAATACCTTTATCTACCTCTTCAATCTCGTCCTGTTGATGCTCTTGCAGTCTGTCCACTTGGCCAAGTTGGACGCAACGCGCAAAACAAACAACAAAAACGCCATTCTCTGGCGCATCTTCACCAGCTCCATCAAAAGATACATTCTAACCACCTTGTATTGGTACTTTTTCACCCAGTGGTTTTTTGGCAAGCCCATCATGGACAAGATCTTCATTCTAACCGGCGGCAAGTGCCACGACATCAACTCGCTTGACTCAAAGTTCCAAAAAATACTCGGAAGATATCCAAGCCTAAGGGAACAACTCGTCTTTCCCCAATTGGACTACAAAATAATCAAAAACAACAATCCAGCTGATGGACTCAACATCGACACTGAGAACCTTCCACTTGAGGGTTTCACGTCCTCTGCACTTTGCAGAAGAATTGGTGGGAGCTGGAAGGGGGGCCATGATCCATCTGGCCATGTTTTTCTATTGGTTCATTCTTCTTTGTTTTTGATCTTTGAGTTATTGCCAAATTTATCAATCTATTTGAATGATTTCATTTATCAAAATTCAAACAATTACTACTTTGCTAGTCTAATTGATTACTTGAAATTGAATAAAAACATTGACCAAAAATTAAAAGATAATGACAGTATTAACAATAACAATAACAATAAAACTAATCAGATAAATAATAAAGATAAATCAATTACAAACCTACTATTTCAACTATCTAAAAACTCCCTCTCCTTGACCTTTTTGCTCCTTTCTCTATGGTACTTTATGTTGCTCATAACTTCTATCTATTTCCACTCAGTATATGAAAAATTGTTTGGTTTACTATTCGGTTATCTCAGTTGGTTTTTAATTTACATCTTTCCAAGATTCTTCAATCTTAATCTATATCATTAGCTATATATGATATTATACAATATTATACCCTACTATATACAGTATTATATAGAATACCCTAATATACTCTACTTGTTCTCTTAAAATGATCTGTAGAAATATTTCACGGTGGGTAAATCTGTCACTCCATCTGCCGCATCTGCCGCAGACTCTTGCGTACAACCGCGTCGACCACAACTTTCTTTCCTTCTTTTGCTTCTTTACCACTACAATTGTTTTGGACAAGTTTTAATGAAAATGAAAATGAAAATGAAATTGTAATAGTAATAGTAATTATAATGTTCAATAGTGATAGTAATTGAAATGATTATGGTAATTGAAATGATAATGGCAATTGTATTTAAAATACCATTGCTGGTTATGATCTCCCACAGCAATTCAAAAGAATGATGAACCAATACTCTCTCGATCTCACGCCTCTGGCAATTATATTGGTAGCAACTTCTTCATCTGAAATGAATTAAAATCAATTAAAACAAAATAAAACAAAATAAAATGAAATCATATAATCAACCACTGCCGTCTACCCCCCCCCCCCCCCCCCCCCCCTTGTATCTGATGCCCATTAACACTACCTCTCACAAATCTTATCCCACAAAACACTTGCAATCTCACACTACATAGCAACCCACCTTTCACCAGCCAATGACATTTCTCATCACGCTCTAACATTGCTACCCTTTGATTCCATACAAATCAGCACAAATTAATACAAATTAATACAAAAGAATACAAAAGAATACAAAAGAATACATTTTTTTCTTCTTTTTTCTTCTTTTTCTTTAATACACAACAATCTATCTACCCAATTATTCCTTCTTCCAAAGTTATATCTATTAACTCATACTACTTCTTTTCAATTACTAAAAATGTCCACATACGCTGAAGTCGCTGCTAGTGCCCCTGGTGTATCTGATAATGATAACCCAAATTCAAATCAAAATTCAAACCAAAATTTCAACCAAAATTTAAATAACCTTCAAAACGATCTCCAAAACGATCTTTCTCACGCTAAAGATAAGTTAAGGAAATCAATCAACTCAAATCTATCTGACGATCAAAAGAAAAAAATCAAAGAGACTAAATCCTCAATTGCAAGATTTTTCGAATATCTTTTCAACAAAACCTCAAATGCTGCTTACACCATCACTGAAGAACTTAAAAACCCCATTGTTGCTACTCAATCCATTCTAACCATAGGCGCTATAGCTGGTGGTATCTTTGCTTACCATGAAAGAGCAAGGATTAGAAGAATTCCCGACGATGTTCTCAATGTCTATGCTGCAATCTTAACTGGTGCAGTTCTTGTGGATGGCCTCTTGTTTAAATCTCTCTACCCAAAATACAAGAAGTACTAAAAGTACTAAACTCTCAGACAAATAAGAGCTTGGAAAAAAAATAAAAACCCAATACATCTATATTCCGCCCTATATATTTTTATTATTTATTTAATTATTTAATTATTCTTACTTTTCTCTCTAATGAACAAAGAATTGAACGAAACTAACAAAACTCCGTAGGCGATGGTCCCGAATATGCTCCCATAAAGCTTTTCTTGTCCCGAGGAGTCCCCGCGCACCGACCCAGATTTGCGTTTTGACAGCAGTTTAAGAAAAAACTTCTATTGCAATACTCAAAGCCTCCAGTAATGGAAAATGGTGAATCTAAGGGATACTCGCGACGATATTGAATTGCTCCCATTGTATGTTAACTCAAACTCGCTGCAGTCTGATGAAAACTATGTCCACCACAAAAGAATATCTTCTTCCAATGCACCTCCATCTCCAAGCTTATCGTTGCCAAAGTCACCCACACTTTTACCATCACCATCAGGCTCTTTAAACAAACCGCCAACTCATGACACTTTAACGAGAATCGATTATCCAGCTTTTTTCTTACTAGTTGTACTATACATCTTACAGGGCATCCCCAGTGGGCTAGCATTTGGGTCGATTCCCTTTCTTTTGAAATCCTCAAACTTGTCGTATTCTCAAGTGGGAATCTTTTCATTGGCTTCATACCCATATTCATTGAAACTACTATGGTCACCATTGGTGGATTCCTTTTATTGGACAAGTATTGGCAGAAGAAAGTCATGGATCATACCAATCCAGTTTGTTACAGGGTTTTTGTTAATCTTGTTGGGGTTGAATATCAACTATTATTTCGACGATTTGAATTTGAATTTGTTCAAAATTACATTTTTCTTTTTGATTTTAATCACATTATGTGCAACACAAGACATAGCGGTTGACGGGTGGGCCTTGACAATATTGTCACCTACCTGTTTGAGTTTCGCGTCAACAGCACAGACTATTGGGTTGAACATAGGGTATTTTATGTCGTTTACGATATTTTTGGCTCTTAATTCAAAGGACTTGATGAATAGATATTTCCGGAAGATTCCTCAAGATTACGGATTGGTTGAATTGGATGGGTATTTGATCTTTTGGGGAGTAGTTTATATTTTGGTTACAGTTGTTGTGTTTTATGTTCCTGAGACACCGGAGCATTTACTATTTCTTTCCAAAAAGGATGATCATATGAATAGTGATTATAATGATAATGGTCTTATTAATGATATCGCTCTTATTAATAATAACGATCTTGATAATAATAAAGATAATAATAGTAATAGTAATAACGATAATGATAATGATAATAATAGTTGGAATGCATTTAAAAAAGTATATGTAGCAATGTATAAAGTTATCAAGTTAAAAAACGTTCAAGAGTTTATGATAATCTTATTGATTTCGAAAATTGGGTTTCAGGTGAATGAATCAGCCACCAGTTTGAAGTTGCTTGAAAAGGGATTCTCAAAAGAAGATTTGGCATTGACTACGTTAATTGATTTTCCATTTGAGATAATCTTTGGGTATTATGTAGCCAAATGGACGCGCAATGACAGACCGTTGAATCAATGGATGATTGGGTATTTGGGGAGATTGGTTTCTGGAATCTTCAGCCAACTTATTGTTTTGAAGTTTCCTAAAAATGGGAAGATCACATTCAGCTATTTTTTGATAGTCATTCTAAATCATCTATTTGGATCGTTCATGTCTACTATTCAGTTTGTGTGTCTTTGTGGGTTTCATACCAAAATAGCGGATCCGGTTATTGGAGGGACGTATATGACAACATTAAACACACTATCCAATTTGGGTGGAACATGGCCAAAGTTTTTCATTTACAAAATGATTGACCAGTTGACGATGTCGATTTGCTTGCCGAAAACCGTCGAGTTCAAATACTTGAAAAACTATTTAAAGTTGGTATTGAATAACCCGAAGATTCAGGTGTTGGAGAAGAAATTTACTAAATTTGATGAAACAAAATTTGTCCAGTACTTGAACCGTAAGTTCGGGTTGGATATGGAGGGATTGGACGATTTGAAGGATTCCAAAAGGAGCATTGAACAGTTTAAGACAAATTACTCAGACAATTTCAGCATCAACGAGAAATTGGAGGTGTTTAAAAACGAGATAGCCGAGCACAGCATCCCCAGCTGCTCCAGCAAAGCAATGAAGGACGTGTGTGAACAGGAGGTGGATGGGAGCTGTGTCATCAAAAGCGATGGCTACTACTCGATGAACATGCTCTGTGTCTCTTTGGGATTCCTCCTCTACATCTTCTACATCAAACGCAAGATTTCGAAGCTCCAGAGCCTTCCGATCAGCCAGTGGCGTGTTCGTAAATAGCCGCACACGAACATCACCGTAAACCTGCAACCGTAATGCTGGTAACCACTGCCCAATCGGGAATCACGCACCCGCAGCAACCCACAGCCGTGGCTCTTCTGCGGCCGGCGTCGGGAATTTGCTGCTGCTTCTGGGGGACGAGACAAAGCAGCAACAGCAACAGCAGAAGAAGGAGAAGAAGAAGAAAAAGAAGAAGAAAAAGAAGCAAAAGAAGAAGCAAAGGAAGCAAAAGAAGCAAAAGCAGCACACACACCACAGGTACCGTTCTCTACCGTCGAAAGCTTTCTTTTCCCTCTGCTGTCCAAGTTCACGTCCTCGAGTCTAGCTCTCCACAGCCCTGTTCCGCCTTTAAAGACCTCATTTTCCAACCTCACCTTCCTTCCAGCAGTTCTCTTTTTGTTTCTTCTGCTGTCTCTGCTGTTTCTTCTGCCTCTGTCTCTTCTTCCTCTGCTGCTGCTGCTGCTGCTGCCCTGGCCCTTTATTGCTGTTCTATAGCTCATCTGGCTTCAGCTTCCCTTCACAGTTTTGCTTTGCTTACTCTGTCTCACCTCACCTCCTTGATCACTAATCACTGATTTTTGTTTCCTTTTAGCTGATTTGCAATCCCCATTTATCAAATACTCTACTTTTTTATTTTTTTTCTCTCCTCTTCTCTTTTAATCTCATCGTCTACCATTCAGCTCATACCCTTTTCCACCTTTACTCTCTTCCCTTGTATGCTCAATTAAAATGGACAACCAACAAAACATTCCTCGTTCTGGCAATCCCAACCAGATTCAACAGTCTTCGAATATCCCCATCTCAATGATCAACCCAAATGCTGTCAACATGAACAACCTATCAAACATAAATCTAAACAACCTCAACATGAACAGCATGAACATGGGCAATCTAAACATGAATAACATGAACAGCATGGGCAACAACATGAACATGAACAACATGGCCAATATGAACATGAACAACATGAACAATATGAACAACATGAACAATATGAACAACATGAACAACATCCCTAACATGGGCAATATGGGAAACATCCCCAACATGAACGGCATGAACAGCATGGGAAATAATATGAATATGAACAATATGGGCAACAACATGAACATGAATATGAACATGAACATGAACAACAACATGAATAATATCAACCTCACAAACCTTCAAAATATCAATAATATGGCCATGAACAATATTAATGGCATCAATAACATCAACGGCATCAACATGAACAATCTCAGCAATCTCAACATGAACAATATCAACAACATCAACAGCATGGTTGCTATGAATAATAACAACTCCAACAACTCCAGAAACTCAAACAACAGTACCAATACCAACCAAAACAACCAAAACAACCAAAACAACCAAAACAACCAAAACAACCAAAACAACCAAAACAACCCAAACAACTTATCTAACGTAAACAACACAAACATTGGTCCTCAAAATCTACAACAAGCAAGAAATATACATCCCTTGAAAATCAAAAACTTTAGACTAGCTGCTGCCAGAAATCAACCTTATAAATTTGAATGGCAAAAACAGTACAGTACTGAAGAAAGACGTTTAAACATTGAAAAGCTCATAAAATTAGTCCTATCCATAATCAAACCTGATAAATTAAGATCTCCCCAGTATTTAGCTGAACTTGTTAAAAAACGTGAAGAAGGATATTTTTCAGGCTGCTCTACAATAGAAGCCTATAAAACTAACTTGTCACAATTTATTCAATACCTTTCCCGACTGCAGCTTTATAATAACACCAATAACAATAACACCAATAACAATAACACCAATAACAATAATACCAATAACAATAACAATAACAATAACAATAATAATAATAATAATAACAACAATAACAACAATAACAACAATAACAACAATAACAATCAATTGAATAACCAAAATATTCCATTGAATATAAGCCCAAATATGAATCCAAATGCACTTGGTAATACCGCCAACAATACTCCCAACAACAACAACAACAACACTTCCAATAACAACAACAACCCATTCTCCCAAAATCAATCTCAAATCCGTAATCCAAATCTAATCCAAAATCCAAATCCAAATCCAATTGCAATCCAAAATTCTCCCATGAATCAACCAATCAATAACAATAACAATAACAATAACAATAACAATAACAACAACAACAACACTCAATTTCAAAATGATTTTGCTGCCTCTATTTACAACGAATTTCTTCTTAAAAATTTCTTAAAATCAAAAATCTCCTCAGAAATCAAAGAAAAATACGAAATTTCTCCTGAAATAGATCTGTGGAATACTCTACTTTCCACCATCAAACCTGTTACCATGGACAGCTCCAAAAAAAAGATCTCTGCAATAATTCGAGGCAATTTTTTATTGTTCCAAGAATCAATTAAAAAAAATGCTGCTTTCAATCCCCATCTACAATCCCAAGTCCAACTTAAAACCAAAAATCAACTTGAAAACTCAGGTCTACAAATCCCATCTCTAGCACAAAACCAACAAAAATTACAACCTCCCCCTTCTGTTCAACCCAATAACAGCCCAATGATCTCAAATAATACTTCAATAATCCCAAATAACAGCCCTCTCATTCTCAACAATACTTCAATCAGCCCAAGAAATACTACAATGATAATTGATCAAAAATCACTCAAACCAGCAAACGATCCTCTCTCACACGCTTCCAATATCTCTCCCAAATCAAAAATTATCAACGAAAAAGATCTCAAATCTAAACCTATGAAAAATGAAATCACTATCAAAGGTTTTGAGAAAAGTAAATCTCAGAACTTTACAAATAATGACAAATCAATTTCTCTGAATAATATTAATAACTCTAATATTATCAATAATAAAAACAGTAATAGCGATAATACTGGCGGTAAAATTAATAGACATAATAACAATAACAACAATAACAACAATAACAACAATAATAACAATAATAACAATAATAATACTGGTAATGACACCACTACTACTGGTATTAAAACTACTGGTATCGCTGCTGTTAATACCGGCAATAATGGTAATTCCAATACTAATACTAATAATACCGCCAATGCTAATAATAATAATAATGGTAATAACAATACTAACGCTAACGCTAATAGTAATAATAATAACACCAATGCTAATATTAACAATACCAATAGTAATGGAAATAATAACACTAGCAGTAATAATAATAGTAACAACGCTAACTCTAACTCTAATTCAAATAAAAATGCAAATGCAAATTTTAATTCCAACTCTACTGGTTCCTCTATTTCTAATAATGCTACTAACAGACCTACCATCAATCGAGCTGATAATAATTTGCTTAGTTTTTATAAAAGGTGTGAGGAAGAAGCAGAAAAATCTTGGATACTTCAACAAAGAAACAATTTTGAGCAATTTAAAAATACTTCCAAGAAAGATTTTATTCGCTTTTACATTCAAGGCAAACTTCAGGCGTTTCACACTAATTTATTTGAATCAGGTCCGAGAGGAAATTTACAGCAATCTACCAATCTTTCGGTAAATAACGATTTGAACAATAACAATTTGGACAGAAATAATGATTCTACTAATTCTACTAATAACGTTACAGCTATATCTAGCAATAATATCAATAATAATAGCACTGCCATTAACACTAATGCTACTAATTTTCCTACTACTACCAATGGTAATAATAATAATACTAATAATAATGCTAACACCAATAACAATAATAACAATAATAATGCTAATAACAATAATAACGTTAATAATAATAACAACAATGCTAATAATAATAATAATGTTAATACTAATATTAATATTAATAACAATAACAATAATACTAATACTAACGCTAACGCTAACGCTAATAATAATAACAATTATAATATCACTTCTAATAATAATAACAATTATAATATCACTTCTAATAATAATAACAACAACAACAACAACAATAATAATAATACTAATACTAATACTAATACTAATACTAATATCAATGCCAATGCCAATGCCAATGCTGATAATAACAATAGTATTACTATTACTAATGCCAATACCAGTCATAATAATCGGGATCAAGCTTTTTCAAAAACAAATATTTCTAAATCTCAAACATCTTTAAGTAATATTAGTCCTTTAAATTCTACACTATCATTGAATCAAAGAAATGGTAATTTAGAAAAGATGAAAGAAAGATATAATCTCATCAAACAAAAAGTTGACAGAATCCAGATCCCAAAATTAGAATATCATTCCCTTGAGTTTTTGCCAAAGTACGGGAATATTTTTCGAACAATGTATGGAAATTACCAAGAATGTGAGAAACTTCATAAACAACATTTTTTTGAAACAAACGATGAAAAGCTATTGGAAGAGTTTTTTTTAATGAAAAAAAGAACTATAGAATTCTGTCAAACTCTAGCTAAAGAGAAGAAGTCTATTTTGAATCAAAATCAAATTTCTTTGCTTTTTAATGATATTAAGAAATTTCATAATGGATATTTGTTGCATAAGGAACAGATGCAACTGCGAATACAGGCCCAAGCTCAAATCGAAAATCAAAAGGCCTCTCTGAATCTTTCTATTGCTAATAAGAACCAAATGCAAACCCAAATGCAAACTCAAATGCCAAATCAAACACCAAATCAAACACCAAATCAAATGCCAAATCAAATGCAAACCCAAATGCCAAATCAAATGCAAACCCAAATGCCAAATCAAATGCAAACCCAAATGCCAAATCAAATGCCAAACCCGAATTTTGCTCACATCACTGCACAAAACCAACAATCAATAATGGGACTTGATAACACTTCAAAAACGAATTTGCAAGCTAATCAATTAAATCAAAACCATGTTTCACCAATTGTGAATCAACAATCTTCTCTGTTGTCTCCCCAATCAGTTCCTATGAATATCATAAGAAGTAATCAGAATTTGATTTCATCAAATCAATTATCTACAGTAAAAGCGGAAATAATAAACAATCAATTTAAGAACTCCCCACAAAATGTTATTTCACCTCAAGTTTATGACCAATTTTCTACTTCTCGCATAGCTACTCCAATTACACAGCCTCGAAAGCTACTGGTATCGCCAAACAAAAGAAGAAAAATGCCTAATACCAATAAAAGTAAAACACCCAAATTAGTGAATCGAAATTTACCTTCTGATGGCTCATCGGTTAATGTGGAATCAAATCCTCATGATAATTATAATGAACAAAACCCAAATGTAAACATTGCAAAAATCCAGACACCTTCTGAGTTTCCTGGACAAACTCCTGCAGCTAATAATTTGAATAGTACACCAAATATAAAAGTTGAGACACTCACTCTAAATTCAATGAGTAATCCTCCAAGTATCAGCAACAATAGTTTACCTAAAATTCAGTTGTTAAAGGAAGATGTGGAAACATTAACTAGAGAAGAATCGATTCGAAAGGAAAGTGAAGCGGAAAAACTTAACAGGGCTAAATTAGAGAAAACCAATCCGGAGAAGTATTTTTTGATGACACTTTCCCGGACTTTGGAGTTATCTGATCAAGATTATGATGAAACAATCAATAAAATAACCAGCGAGGATTTTAATATCAATGATATGATGGATGGTCTTAATGGTGTTTCCAATGGAATAACAACAATTAGACCTGAGTCATTGATTCTTAGAGACGTGACCGGCAACTCTTTTAACAGTAATGGTGAATCTACAAACATAGCAAGATCATTGATGTCACCTAAATTATCTCCAAACTTGTTTATGATTAATGGTGTTAACCAGGGTTTAGCCGTTCCAGTGTCAGTGGGAAGAAACGATAGTGCAAATAAACAAAATTATGTTTGGACTGCAAGTGTTACAACGCAGGCAATCAGATCGACATTCAAACAGGTTTCGGCAATTAAATCGTCATTGTTACCAACCATGCCTACTCCTCCTGAAGAAAGAATGTATATAGATACCCAGATTAATCGATCAAAAAGAAAGTCTGAAGAAACATTGGACGATGGCGCCAATATCAAAAAAAACAAAGCAATCGAGGAAAACAATATTGATGCTATAGATTTTCCAATGGGAAATGATGAGGTCAAAAATGAAGATAGATATGAATTTGAGGATATCTTTAATTTCTCTGGAACCGAAGACAATGAAGATTAGTTTAATGAATTGATGAATAATTATATGGCAAAACATGGAAAACATGGAAAACATGTGAAGTATGGCAAAAGATAGCAAACTATTGCAAATTATTGCAAACTATTTTTAATTTTGACTGTTTTGTACTTTATTTTTTTGAACTTTATTTTTTTATACTTAATTTGTACTTTTTATGCTTTTACTGATGATTGTCGTTCTTTTTGATTATTATTACACTTTGATTGTTAGATATTGAATTTCATTTCATTTCATTTTATTCTTGTTTGTTTTTATTTTTCTATTTCTTTATGTTTTTATTTTTTATTTTTTTATTTTTTCTTTAAATGATAAATTGTTTCCTTTTGTTTTTGTTTATATATGCTATATATATGAAACCTGTTCTAAATAAATTTTTTCTAGTTTTCAGCATTTTCAAAAGACAACAAAATATCTCTTTTGAATCATGGTTGGTCTATTCACTTTGGAATCCTTTTCAAAGCAGCAAATCTTTTTTTTAGAACATCAATTTCGTCCTCCTCTACTTTTTTTCCAGACTTTTCGTGTTTTGAAGTTGGAGTAGGGGCAAGATTTTGGATCTCTTCAAGTTTTGGATTAAGCGTTTTTTGGTTTTGGCCTTTTGAATCAGGTTCTTGTACTGCCTCTTGTTCATTGTCAGACAATTCAGAAAAGGGCACGTTGTAAGCTCTCGCAATTTCTTTTAGATACAAGGACACTAATTCTGGAGAAGGAGACTTATTCAAGGTTCTGGTGACAATTTTATCAGGGATACAATCATTCTTATTTTCCAAGGCACTTTTAGCGAATTCCAAGCCAAATTTATGGACAAAAATTTCCTTCAAGTTGAACAATTCTTTGATTTCAGTGTGATTTGCACAATATATCACAACCTTTAATGCCTCCTCGAGACTTGCATCCTTGTGGATTTCGTGTGTGCCATTGACATTTTTTGTGTTGTTATCATGGACGTTTGGATTGGTGGTCAAAGCGTAAGAATCCAACAAGCTTATTCGGGCCAACAACAACTCACAGTACAACTCTAGATATTCCAACAATTCAATATAGACATCTTCCCTGATTATGTTTTCGACCCTGATTCTGCAGCTCTGCTCTTTCTCCTGTTTCAAGAGCTCTGCCATGTTTCTTCTCTGCTGTTTGGTTATGGCGACCTTCTTGCTCTGCACGAACTGGAGCTTGCTGATGGCCATTTTCAACTTGATCCTCAACCTATTCTGGAACAACAAGGACGAGGGGTGTGAGGAGTATGAAGCCATTGTGTCGATGGCAATGACTGGCAATCTTGCAATCTTGCAGCTTTGGTCTGTTAATCTTGGTCTGTAATCCAGCTCTGGCGCTGATAAGCTGTGAACCACAGCCCGAATAGGAGAACGCCTTTAAAACGGCTCCCTTGGTGCTTTTGGTGCTGGAGCTGGTGCTTTTGGTGTCGATTGAAACTACGTAGAAGAGTTGCTGGAAACAGAAGCAGAAATATGCTATATACTTGCCCTAGCCAGAAGCTGCTTCTCTCTTTTTTTCTTTGTGCCTTTCCTTGTCCAAAGCAGACTCCATCACCTGGAACTCGTCGCTGATTCTGAAGTACAACTCCTCATCTTCTCCTTTGATTTTATCCAAAAACTGGTAGATCTGTCCTCTCGAGTAGTATTCTGGACTGAAGCTGCCTCTGTAACCACTGTTCTCGTCGGCGATGAAGTCAAGTATGGCCTGGTTGTTGATCAAAACGTACTTGATGCCACTATCTGGCGACTCGTAGTTGATATCCAAGAGAAGCTTCTCCATGATACCTCGAAGGCCTCTGGCGCCAGTGCCATTTTTCATAGCAAGCTCTGCAATTGCCTCCAAGGCTTTGCTAGTGATAGCTAGTTTGACCCCAAACATCTTGAATTTGTATTCGTACTGTTTCAATAGACTGTTTTTGGGCTCTGTAAGGATTCGGAGCAAGTCTTTTTTTGTTAGAGGATCCAAGCTGGTTATTATTGGAATACGCCCAACCAACTCAGGCACAATTCCATATTTAACCAAGTCATCAGGAGTGACGAGCTCCAATGCATTGACCTTTTTGCCATTTCTTAGTTCTACTTGTTGGAGTTGTGTTTCTTTTCCTGAGTTTTCGTAAAGCTCAGATATTATGCTTGCATTGTCATCTGAACCAGAACTGTCACCTATTTCTTGTTCATTTTCATGGAAATCGTTTTCAATTTGAAAGCCAAAATTCGACTTCTGAAATCTCTTTGCAACGAATTTATCCAAACCGACAAACGCACCCATCAAGATAAACAATATGTTAGATGTGTCAACCATGTAGGTCTCATTGGCTTTGTCTGGGCTCAATGGACTTTTGCCTAGCGATGAACAGCTTTTGTCTTTATCAGAAACTGGCTTTTTAACATTCACTGTAACAGTCGATCCCTCGACTAGTTTTAGCAAAGCTTGCTGAACACCCTCACCACCAACATCTTTGGTGCCTCTTGAAACCTCTTTTCTTGATAATTTATCAAACTCATCTAGGACAATAATGCCCTTTTCAGCTTTTTTCAAATCATAGCTTGAATTTATGAGCAACTTTTCAATGCTGGACTCAACATCATCTCCTATGTATCCAGCTTGGGTTAACGAGGTGCAGTCTGTTATAACAAAGGGAATGTCGAGAATTTTTGATAAAGTTTTGGCTATTAACGTTTTGCCTGAACCACTTGGACCTAGCATTAATATATTGGATTTTTCGATTTCGGGTATTTCTTCTTGCAAGTCTTGATCGTAATTTAGCTCGTTTATAGAAACTTGGGGAACAGCAAAATTCGATTGCTGAATTTCGCTTGGGATACCACCTCTGGATTCTAAAGGTCTTAGTTCATGTTGGCTATTGAATTTTTCTTTTTCTTTTAAATGCAATAAATGCAATCGTTTTGCTCTGTCGTTAATTCTCATATAGTGATTGTAAACACCCACCGACATCACTTTTTTCCCATGGTTTTGCCCAATAATATAACTGTCCAAGTAGTTTTTCAATTCTTTGGGATTGGGAACTTTAACGAGTTCGATTTCAGTGATTTTTTCATGCTGCGGTTTAAGATCGTTTTGATTTCCTATAGAATTGGAATCGTACAAATTGTAATTATGGCTAAAAGCTGTAGATGATGGAAAATGGTTGTGATTTGAGGACGTATTTGATGGTCCATGAATGTCAGAATTTGTGGGAGGAGTATGAGCAGCCTTTATATAGTTGTGATGGTGCTTGGGATAGTTGTCTTCGTGAATCTTTCCCGGATCATTATTATCACGAAACCCATTTTTCTTCAAAAACTCCTGTGTTGAGATATATGCAAGCTGTCTGAAGCTCATTTTCTGGTTATTCGCATATTCGCTGGTTGGAGTTGTTCTGGCCTGGTCTTTCGCACGTTTGGTGTCTGTGGGTTTGTTGTTGGACTCGCTTTCGCTCTGTTGTTTAGTCTCATGGGGATTGTGGTTCTGCTCGTTGTCGTTATCACCATTGGTGAGCTTGGAGAAGTACCTAGTATACACACTCGAGCTACGGCTGAGAGGCGATCTGTAGCTGATGGCTCTGGGGGAAGCAGGCAGTCGAATAGCTGCTTCCAAAGAAAGGCATCCAGCAGTTCTGTAGCGAAGCATTGCTAAGTGGCAGAAGAAGTGGGAAGATAGCAAAACACTAGGGAGTCTTCAACACTGCGATGTTCTCCATCAGCTTGTTATCAAACGCTGAAATGGACCAATCGCGCGTTCAGCCGAGAGCTGATAAGGTTCGAGGAAGAGGACAAAAAGAAGAGACAATAAGATGCAATATAATACAAAAAGATCCATTCTATTCAGGCTACACTACTTATACACTTCAGCTGCGATAGTACTCTCGCAAGTTTGCTGTTCTCGTCATCACTCTTTGCAAAGCCAAAGGCAACTCGTCGTCCTTGGGGTCATCTCCACTTTTTTTTTCTGTTCTTTGGCCTTTTTTGCTTTTACCACTCTTTTCTCCAGTCTGATCTTCTTTCCTAGTTCTTTCAGCTTGTTTGTCTCCACCAACTTCGATATCTTCCTCGCTTTCGTCTTCATTTTCTGACAAGAATGAGGTGTTGCTCATCTTGCTTGGTGCTTTGTATAGTTCACTTTGAACTCCGATTTTATCACCAGCTCCAATCGAATAAATACGATGCACAAAATCAGTGCTGAAGTCGCTATTTATTGATGCAGTACTCATTTTCCTGTCTCTAAATCCTTTGACTGCATGGCTAGTTCCAGGCCCATCAAATCTTCGAATGTTCGCATCATCTTCATCAACCTTATCGTTTTTTTCCAGCTCATCTTCCAGGCTGCTACTTGATTCCTTAGCTTCATTTTTATCATTTCCATACTGCACTTGATCGTCTTTTTCTTCTCCGATTTTCTTATCGCTATTGTTTATTCCATCTGCTTCTTCTTCCTTTTCCTTTCCTTTTTCGTTCTCTAATGATTTCTTTTCCAGTTTTCTTGCATTTTGTGTACAATTCTCCAGGTTCCCAATATTATTAAATTTATTATTGTAACTCATAATTGTATCAATTGCCCACTCTTCATATAATGGTCGACTTAAGAATCCATATTTAAATTCATTTACGCCAACTAATATTTTTGCTAATTCAATTAGTTCTTCAATATATTCAATTATTTCAACAGTTCCAGCACTAGAAGCGCTCCATCCAGTAAATTTCTGCTCTAATATATTTATACCTTCATTACCTGGAAATGTACTAAGTTTTTCAATTGTTCTACTTAGCCCAATGTTATCATCACTTGAACTATTTGAATTTCCCTTTCTATTTGGATTTTTCTTTTTATTAACTTCAAAATGTAAATTACCAGAATCAGAATCAGAATCAGAATCAGAACCAGAATCAGAATCAGAATCAGAATCAGAATCAGAATCAGAATCAGAATCGAAATTGGAATTGGAATTGGAATTGGAACTTGACTTAGATGACACTGTTTTACTGTTATCATTTAAATTTAATGAGTTCAAACTAGAAATAATATATCCTGAATGCTTTTTTTTCTTTTCCTTTTCCTTTTCCTTTTCCTTTTCCTTTTGTTTTTCCTTTTGCTTCCCAGTTCTTTTTTCTTCTTCCTCACGACTTAACTTATATTCTTTAAATAATTTTTCCCTGACCACTTTAATAAGTCTTCTATGTGCAACTCTTGGACTTGGTAAATATTGTGGTAATGGTTGTTTAGTCAATAATGCCAATTGAACAGCCTTATAACAATTGTGGATTGATCCCACAATCTGTCTTCTATATGGATATGCAATATCATTGATTCCTTCAATAATAGAAGATCCATAATGTCTTCTAATCATTGTAATATTATCCATTCTAGACACAATTTGCCTCAACACAAAAATAATCTCTGTAAACACTTTTTCATTTTTTTTAAAATCTCCCTTATCCGGCTCTCTCTTTGCTGCTGATTTATATGATTCTGCTCTAGATATCGATTCTTTAATCTCTTTAGATATTATTGAAAATTTTTCAAATCTTTCATCTGATAATGCAATGGGTGTATATTCTCCTTCTAGTGACGATGCATATAACAATTCCAATTTTCCACATGCACCAATAGCAAAAGCCAATTCAACGATCATTTCATTTTTAGCTATAACTGGGAAAACTACAATATTAGAAATTAATCCAATGATCCCACCATAACCGACTGCTAAACATCTTAACCCAAAATTTCTTTCAATTGATCCATCTGATCCTGGAAGAGCACTTGATAGTAAAACAATATATATTGAAATAACACCAATGATTGCAGCCTTCACATATGCAGTTCCAAGAAAATAATAAAATCCAGGAATTGCGCCAATAATAGTTACAATTACCTCCACCACAGGGTATCTTTGATTATATGCAGAAACATAGGATACATATCCCCAAAAGGCTCCTAATATACAGCCAACTCCTCTCAAAAAGAAAACAAAAAAAGTGCCACCAACTGAAGGTTCTAAAGTTAAAATACAAACAAACCCAATCCAAGCTCCTTTAATATCAACATACCAGTGTCTTGACTCCGGAATAAACATAGGAAAAGAGGCTAACATCAATGCCATGACTACTTGAAATCCAAACAAAATGTGATGATGATATTTATTATTAAATTTTTTAATTAATAAGACTTGGTAATTTGGATTTAAATATTTAAGGAAAGAAAAAAAATTTAGAAAACCACTGAGGATTGTTAATATAGATTTTGAATTATCTATTGAGGAAGGTTTTTGATCTGAATTAATATGAAAACTAGTTTTACTTTTATTTGATAAATTATAAATGGGTAACTTGATTATTTTTTTTTGTGATTCAAAGTCTTTAAAACTTTTTGATTTGAGTGACGATAATAATTTTTCTTCTAGATCTTTAGGTCGTCTTCGAATAGTTTCATTTACACTTTCTCTAATGTCGCCAACAAGACTAGCATTTTCATTTATTTGAACATGATTGTCATGAATACTGAACCAATTTTTTAAGATTTTTTTGTTTGTTAAAAAGGATAACCAAATTTTTTTGCCAAAAAACCATTTTTTTTGTTCTCTTTTTAACCTTATATCTAAAATAGTCTTGGATTCCCTTAGCATGAAACAAATTGAATTGGTTAATTCTTTAAAATTAAGTAAGAAAGAAGATAATAAAAAAGCCTCATTTCTTGGTAATAACCAGTCATTTTTTTGCATGTTAATTTTTTCAACCAGATTAATTGAATGAATCCTCAAGGACTTCAAAGCTAAAGACCAAGATTGATCAAAGATAGCTAGTAGTCTTAGTAGTTCATTAATTTCGTTTTCAAAATCGATATTATGAATATTTTTTTTATCATTAAAATTGTACTTTAAATTTAAATTTGAGATAAAGTCTTTATTTAAAATATTTGAAAAAGTGGATAAATCAAGGTTGACATCGTAAGAATAAGAGATTGAGATTTTAATTAGATGGAAAACCTCGATAATTTTTGCATGTAAGTTTGCAGTTGGAGATTTAACTTGATTTAAAAAATCAATTAAAGGTTCAATTGAGTTTTTTTTGTCATTTGGAACAACGTTTTGATTGTCGTTTATTGCATTTAAAAAAATTGAGAATTCTAATTGACAGGAGTTTAATAAAGTATTAATGTAATTTGATAAATTATTTAAATAACTTAATAAAGGTTTAATTTCTGATGGGGAGTTGTACGAGTAAGAGATTTCATAAATTGAATCTTGGAGTACTAAATTGACTTCATTTAATTTTTTATTGAAATTGTTATTTAAAGATAGTAGATTTGATAAATTGGATGAATTTAAAGAGTTTGATTGAGAGTCGATTGAGCCAATGTATAGATTATTATTAATGTCATAATTTTGTTGAATACTTGTTGGTAAAAAAAGGAAAAAATAAATAATGTTATCAATTGTAAAATTCAAGTTATTTAGTGAATTTATGGTTGAGGTGCCCAAATAAGATGAGCCAAATTCAGGAAAGATTAAAATGTTTACAACTAAACCAATTGAGATTCCGAGAAAAAATGGAACAGTGAAATCCTTCAACATTGTTAAAGCTGGGATATTTAAATTGGATAGGAAAGTGAAATGGACAACCAAGAAAAAAGGGAAAACAATACCAAATAATTTATGAAAGACGCTTCTCATCCAGCCATGAATGAAAAGCATGATGATTTCAAAGATAGATAAAACCACTAAAGCTTGTTGATAATTTGTATAATTTGAGGATAGCAATTGATCATCAGACAAATCTTTGAAATCGGAGCCAATGATTCTTTGGGCTATAAACCTGCCTAATATCGACCAGGCATTACCAAACATCAAACCAATTGTGCAAAAGATTATGCCTTCAATCATTGAACCAAATCTTCTTCCAGGATGGACCATAACTGAGATTAAGGCAAGCATTGATGGTTCATCACCCAATTTTGAGCGAACAGTTGGATTCAAACAGAGAATTAAACATATTGTGCTATTAATTACACATTTGAGAATTCTTCTTGCTAGTATTTTGTCGCAAGGAAATTTTTTCTTGAAATTGACAAGTAGATTTGTGAAAAAGTCATTCAACATTTTAAAAATGTTTTCTTAGTTTAATTTCTCTTATTTTTTTATATTTTTCACAAAAAACAACTATTGATAAACGAAAAACTTTTTAAAATGAAAAAAAAAAGCAAAAAAAACAAAAGGCTTATGAGTTGTTTATAAGAGATATGGGAAACAAGATGTGGGATATGAGGCAAATTTGTAAGTGTATTTGAAAGTTATACTCTTAAAACCTTAGTAAACCAAAACTAGCTTTAGAGGTAAGCACAAACATAAACATCATCAAGACAACACTGAAAGACTCAGAAAGTAAAAAGCACAATAAATCGAGCAAAAGAATTTCAAAATCAGATAAACACCAGTTGAATTTTCCAGAAATGTTACCAGCTTTGTGGAAGTTGAGCCAGTTTTTTTTCGAGTCTGGCCGCAGCGAACTGCATTGTGCTGCGTATCCGCAGAACTGCGTTGTGTTAGGTAAGCCGCTTATTAATTGTTAGTCAGCCTGTGAGGTCCAAAACCGTTTTGTGCACGTGACTGTTTGTACCACGTGTGCCTCACAAGACATGTTCCCGCTGGTGATTAAACACCTGTGGCGCAGCGATCATTGATATTTGCAGCTACCAGCATATCATGGCGCGTTGAGATGCATAGAGAAGCTTGGCGGGGAAAAAGAACCGACTGTTTGGTCCGCGCATTGTTCCGCCGATGGCGCTGTTCCCACAAAGCTGTCTCTTAGAAGTTTTGGTGAAACTTTTCGTTGGTTTTGCATTGTTATAAGACCCTATGGTTTCAACAGCCTTGAAAAGACTTATAGACAGCTTGAAAGAGAGTTTTTCGAAGTTCTCCAGTTTTTTGGTCATTGTTAGTCTTTAGTTTAGTTTTCCTCTGTTTATCTTTTTTATCAGATGCCACCAGAAAATGCTTCTAGTCTCAACATGAACAAAATACCTTACAACTCTTTGATGACAATTGATTTCAACTCCAAGAGAGCAGTGAATTTGAATGAGTTTTCTCAGCTAATAGTCAGAATCAAACAAGATATTATTGATTATCACACCGATTCAAATCCTAGGCCAAATAGAAGCACTCTTAATGACAGCTCCAGCAAAACAATCAGTAAAATCACCCAAATCAAAAGAAACAGCAAGATTGTTGAAAGAAAGAGAAACAGCAAAATCATTGAAGGCAAGAGAAACAGCAAAATCATTGAAAACAGATCTGAAAGCGATGATTCTCTTGTCAAATCTATAAAAAGAAAATACAGGAACAGTTTTAATCCTTTTAAAAAGGAAACCAGCAGTCTGCCAAATTTATTAGATGATTCTCAAAACAGTTTGCAAAACAATTCTCAAAAAGATTTTCAAAAAGATTTCAAAGAAATTAAGATCCAATCAATACCTTCCCACAAAGTTGATATCGACGATTTATATTCAAAATTTACCTATTTTTTCAACTATAACTCGATTCAAATCTTAAATTTAACAGTAGTCACTATAAATGATATTCTCAATCATTTTTATAATACCAATAATATACCTTGTTTAACAACTGTCAAATTGAATTTCTTGAAACATAATTTATTAAATCATTTGCTAAAATATTCTTATATTAAAATCAATCGAAACAGTAATCAAACATTACAAGAAAAATTAAACAGAAATTCTTTTCACCTATTTTTATATCTATTAAACTCCTTTGACGGTTTAAAAAACTCGAAAAACAATTTCCATTTCCTTCAAACTATAATTGATAATAACCAATTTTCTCATTATTTACTAGCATATACTAAAAGCTCTATAAAAAAATTTATACAAGATGATTCTCATCCTGATGATATCCCCGATATAAATGACGATGAATTCATTCTAGCTAATCAAAAACTACTAAAAATCTTAAAAATCGTCTCTTCAGTTAACCTTGAACTTCACATAATTTTTTTCAACTCTCCTAAATTATTGTTTTATTACTTAATTCCAGCTTTGAGTTCTTTTGAGAGTGAAACAATTATTTTGATTTTAAATTCAATCTCAGATTTATTCAAATACATTTTATCAATCTCTTTGGATTCAGATGATACAAATTTTAATTTTAAATTGAATAATTTTAAAGAAAATTTTTTTGAAAACCTTGAATCTTCAAAATTATTAAAAAAATTATTAAATTATTTTAATTTTTCATCAAAAGCAGAGATACCAACAAAGTTACTTATTCTACTTTTATCTATTATCAAATCAATTCTCTTAATTTTTGGTTCAAATTTATCTTTAAATCAAAAATTCACTTTACTAATTCATAATGGCTTTTTAACTATTTTATATCCTCTACTAATTTCAAATAATTTGCAAATTAAACAGCTTTCAATAGAAATACTTCAGATAATAACATTACATAATAAAAATAAAATTGATAGTAGTCTAAATCAAAATAAATTAACTTTAACTAATATCACCTACTTTGATTTAGTTGATCTGATTGAAACTCATGGTTTTATGCTTTTAATATCCAAATCAATCATGAACTTTCACGACTTTTCTTCAATTTATCACAATTTCTCAAATCAAAACTTAAAACATTACATAAGATCTTTAATTTCTTTAGATATTCTTATAAATATTCTTAAAAATGATGATCAAAAGGGCACTTTTTTGAAAAAATTAGATTCTAAAAACATTTTTATAAAATTAATTAGTTCAATTTTAGGTTTCTTTAATGAAATTGTTAAAGGATTTCTGTCTTTCTTAAAGTCTTCAAAATACAATTTAAAAACTAAAGAAAGATTAATATTTTTAAATCTTTTGTCCATGGAAACTTTTCTTGGGTTTTTAAGTGAATTATTGAGAATCTCTAGAAGTTTTCAAGATGTTTCAAAATTATTTAAAGATTCCAAATACTTGAATGATTCCTTAATTTTACTTAATAATCTAAAAGATTTTGAGAAAGGTGATTATTTTCAGAAAAATCAACTAAAAAGCTCTTTGCAAATTTATTATTATAATATAATTGAGTTTATTTATAAAAATTTGGTTTTCCATTTAAGTTTTAACGATAAAAATGTCACCAATACGATACTGACCCTCTTTTTCAACAAAAACACTATAGATTTTTTAAATTCGTTTTTTCTTGATTTGTTTAATGATTTAAAAGCTCCTGATTTTGAATATAATAGTGGTGATGACAATGAAAGCATTGAATCAAAAATAAATGCCTTAGAAGAAATTATTTTATTTTTGAACAATATATTAAAAATAGATATTAAAACTAAAGAAAATAACAATAACGAAGTTTTATTATCTAACCATATTATCAAGACTTTAAACCCAATCATAAAGATTCTTTCCCTGAAATTTTTAAGAAAGGATTTGCTGCCTGTAAATTTCAAAAAAAGAAGAATGAGTTTAAATTATTATAAGGGTGTATTTGAAGGAAGATATAATACTATTTTATCATATACAGCATCGATATCTTCTGTCAACGAGGATGATTATGGTGATAGTAACATTTTACAATCAAATTCACTTGATGGGTTCATTATGAATAATGTAGGTGATGAAAACAGGACTTCAGAGACAGTTAAAAATATTTCTATCGAAAATAACCTAGATGTTTTCTATATTTGCAACAAGTCATTATTATTAAATATTAATAAATTACTTTTGAATTGTTTAAAATTTTGCACCGAATTGAATTCTAGTATGATAAGCAATATGCTAAAATTTTTAATGAAGGAGCAGATTTTTAATTTTGAAAATAAACAAGAATTTACAGAAAAACAAAAAACATTATCAATAGAGTTACAAACTGAGCTATTTTCATTTTTATTTAATTTTTTATTAAATGAGAATAATCAAAATAGTAATTTTGAAATAAAAGAGAAAATTGAGTTTAAGAATAACCACAAAAGAAAAATATGTGATTGTTTAATTTCATATCTTAATAATTATTATGAAACAAACTATGAATCATTTGATCTTAAAAAAATTGGTTGCTTTAAGAAAAATTACATTATTCAGATTTGTTTAAAGATAACATGCAACCTTTCATTAGATAAAGAGTTTGCGGATTATTTTTTAAAATATTTTCTGATTGACATTTCATTAAAGTTGATTCATAAATTAATTCAGTTATATAATATTTCTGTTGAAAATGAGATTGAATTTGATTCAATATTATATGATTTTTTGGTTTTGAGTTTGAATTTGATAAGCAATTTAATGTACAATGATAACCGATTGAAAAATTTCATAATTATAAACAATGCAGTATTTGAGCCAATGTTTAAAACTTTAAAAATCGAAATTGAAACAGCCCAAATTGAAAGTGAAACCAAGACCAAGACCAAAACTGAAACTGAAACTGAAACTGAAACTGAGACAAAATTAATAGAAAATGCAAACGAAGAAGATTGTTTTGATAATTATTTTGATGATAAGCGGTCTATAATTAAAGAAAATGATTCATTGATTGCCTTCATTAAATTTGAGAAAAAGGTAAACAATGTGGATAAAGAACCAATAAAAGAGAAAAAATATACAAATATAAAGTTAACAAAACAGATTTTAATACTAATAGGAAATTTAATTTGTAATAATGAATTAGAACAAGTGAATTCGCTTTTTAGTAAGTATGAACTATTAAGTGTGTTAATGGGATTAAAAATAGAAGTATTTTTTGAAGATATATTTAGGATTTTAGGCAATTTACTAGTATTAGAACGATTGAATAAAAACAATGAAGATGAGTTATTTTCAAGCATAAAGATATTATTTGAAAAGCGGGATTTACGGTTGATTTTTTTGAATTTCAAAAAAATAAAAAACAAAAACAATATAAAAAACAAAAAGAAATTTGAAGATGGTTTTATTTTTCTAATTGAAAATATAGTGAAAAAGTGTGGAAAAACAAAAAATAATTTAATTGGTGGTATTTTTGGAAACAACAAAATTTTTATTGAGGATGAAATATTGAATATATTGGAGAAAAATTGTGATATTGATAATTTTAATCAATGCAAAATATATAAAACTGAAGGGAAAACTGAGGAATTCATTGATTTAATTGAGAATGGAAGATTTGAGATAAATGATAAATTGATTAATATATACTGCAGTTTGATAAGTAATAATAATGGATCATTATTAGTGAAATTGAAAATTTTGAATAATATTTCAAAGATTGCAGATGACCGTAAAATGGTTATTAAATTTTTAGATACAAGGATTTTTCATGAAATATTAAAATTATTTAATGAGAATAGTTTAAATATGACTATGATTAAATTAGAGATAAATTTTGAGATATTGAATATTTTTGCAAAAGTAATTGAGATAACTCAAGATGAAAGTTTAGAGATTCAAAAATTGATTAAGGAATTTATTGAGAAATTATTAGAGTCCAATGAAGATGACAAAATCTTTTTTAAATCATTTGGAGAAACATTTAATTATTACTTGAATAATATTAATGAAAATTATAAGATAATATTAGGGATCAATTTGTTTTTAACAAGATTTATTTATTATCATAAGGAACATTTTCCTCAAATTGCTACAAATTTTGAGATCAGCTTCAATTACATTCGATTATTGATTTTATTGAATGGCCTTAAAACTCCCGATAACATTGGGAACAGCAGACCACTTAGGCTTGACGATACATACAAAGGGGAATTGAACCTTGCAAACACATCGTTTGAGATACTATTGATTTTGAGCCAGTTCTTGAGAGTGAAAAACCCAGAACTTCAAAGATACATAATAAAAGACAACAGGTTGCTGGAAGTGTTGATGGAGTTGAAACTGAAAAACACTCACACAGAAACAATTACCACCAGACTCCTCGAACAAATTACCTCCATTAACTGCTTTTAGAAGCAGGTCCAGCTCCAACTTAAGTAGTGCAATACACGTCTTCCATCTAAACACAGACACCTTGGGCAGCATAGGCAGGATGGTCGGAACAAGATGAATATACCGGAAATAATCAGATATTCGATCAACCCTCGACAACCTCGGTATGTTTCTGAAAACCTTCCCGTTATTTAAAAGAGTTCCGGCTATAGAACGTGATTGCGATGCTCCTCCATGGTTCGATGTGAGGAAAAATCGCACGGAAAGTTGCACCTTTGCTACTTCTGCCTCTTGGACAACCTGCTGAGCCAAAATGAGTTGGAGAAACACCACCACAAACTACGATAATTACAGCAATAATTACAGCAACTACAACTGTTACAACGGTTACAATAATTATAATAATTACAATAATTATAATAATTACAATAATTACAATAATCACAACAACTGCAACAACTACAACAACTACAAAAATTATAACAACTACAATGCTCCTACACTCCGGGAAAGTGTCAGTGGGTCCAGGTTCGATGAGGTATTCTCCTATTCTTCCGACGACGACGATCTTTCTGCTATTGTGACTGTGAGGCAGCACCAATCGGCTCATCTACTGTCCAATATAGTTCAAGTAGCTGCTCTACCATCAGACGCTCGATATAAACTTGCTATTTATGGTCTTCAGAATAATTTGTTCGACTCCATAACAATAGCTGTCAAGACTTGCAATGTCAACAAGTCTAATCTTACAAAGAGATTGAACTTCAACTATGCATCAAAGAAGAAACCTGTCCCATTCTTGCCCAAAAAAGAGGAATTAAGTTTCTGTGCTTTTGCCAAAATTAATGAGTTGAAAGGCAATATCTTGTTGAAGCCTGAATTGATGATGCTTATTTCTTATCTCTTGTACAAATCCTTTAATACATCTACTGATGACAATTTTTTATCCATTGGAAGATTTCCCAATGCAAAAAAAATGGAAGATATTTCTATTCAACCTAAATATTTAACAAATCTTTTGAAGTCTCACAACTTGGACCATAGAGGTCTTCCAAAAAAATACTCTGAGACAACTCATAATATATATACAAATGAGGATATTTTGATCCATGAATATTTTAATGATATTAATTTATTTTTGGAAAATAATCCTGTTAAACCTGAAAATATTTCAATGATGGATTTCTTCAATTTTAATCTAATTCCAAATAATAAAAATCCTATAATTGATCAATTGGTCGCAAATGATCATCATTTTGATGACAATAAAACCTCTTTATCCTCGTTATTCGAATTTATTACAGCTGATGGAAAAATTCTTCCTCCTTTTTTAGTCTTTAAATCATACGGTAAAGCAAGAATTCCAATTCAAATTTTAACTAATAGAGATTTCACAAGTTGGAACTTTAACCAATCTGATACAGGTTTCCTCAATAATGCTTTATTCTTCAAATTAATGCAACACTATGAAAAATTCTCGAAACCCCACAATCCGTTTGATAAAAGACTACTCATTCTTGATGCCTATCTTTATTATTTGGATTCTAATGTACTAAATTTTTTAATTTCAAATAAAATTCATCTATTAGTCTTGCCTCCAACTTCTTCGGGTCTTATCAACCCTTTTAATTATTCTTTATCAGAAAACTTTAAGCAAAATTATAAAATAAATTGTTCATCTAATTATTCTATTTATGACAATGATTTTCTTAATGAAGAAAACCAAGAAAACCAAGAACAAGGTGATGAAAATGATAATGAAGATAATATAGATCATAGACTCAATTTGTTACTTGATATTTGTAAATCGAGAAGCCAAACCTATGAAAAATCAATAATAATAAACTCTTTCAAGGAATCCTGTTTATATTTTTCAACCGATTTTCAAAAGAGAATCAGTTCCCAAGAGGGTTTAATTAAAAAAATTTCTTTTCAAATTAATAAGCAACGCAAAGATCCAACTTCTTTTTATCTTGATAACCATTGTACTTTCTTATTAAATGAATTTGATATATTTCTCAAATCAAATATAGATATAAATAAAATTTTAAGATTATTTGAATACCAAGATAAAATTCCTGATTTTTCAAATAGTTTCAATAATTCCTCTCCGAATTTTCTATTAAATACAGCAGGCACAGGTTCAGCTCAATTGGATTCTTATTTATTAAAAAAATTTTCCTCATCTGATTATCAATATTTTTTTAATAACGAAGATAATACTACGTATAATAATAATAATAATAATAATAATAATAATAATAATAATAATAATAATAATAATAATAATATGTATGATAATAATGATAACTTTTCAATGAATATTATAGATATTAATACCTCTCAAAATTTGCACCGTAAAAAATTACAGCCCAATTTAAATCTTTATAAAAGAGTAAAATTTAATTTTCCTCCTCTCACAAACGTTATTAACTTATCTCCTATACCTGAGTTGCAAAATATAATGGAAAGTTTTTTTATTTATCCCGGAACAGATTCTGGTAGAAATTATTTTTATAATTTTTTATATTCAAGAATAATGAAACTTTTAAAAAATGATTATACTGATAAAGATATATCATACTTGATAGCTTCTTTGCCCAATAGAATAATTACAGGATTTGAAATAATATTAATTATATTTTATTACACTAAAGAAAAATGCCTAAAACCAAAAAGAAAAATAATAACTAACCTGAAATTAAAAAACCAAAATCTGACGAAATTTGCAACTCATGAAAATATTTTGAGATTAAAGACGGAGAAAAATAAAGAATTAAAATCACAGCATTTAAAATCAATGAAAAAAGGCATAAAAATGGTTAATTTGAATGACGAGCTAATTGAAGTGAAAGCTGAGATTGACACCTACAAAAATAGCTTCAATCAGTTAAATGATCTTTGTAACAAAACAGCTGAAGCGAATCAGTTTTTAAAAGACCATATCGAGTACTTGAAAAAACATTACCAACAGCTTATTTTTAATCTTCAAACTCAACAAGAGATGTAAGGTGACTCTAGATTCTGGCTAATCTTTCTGATTTTTGCTTTTATTTTCTTTGATTGTCAATTTTTAACTTGTTTCATTTTATTTTATTTCATATGTAATTCAATTCTTGACCCAATTTGACAGAAAGCTGTAGTAAGTACTGTTTTTAAAGGGATGTATAGTGACCCACTAATAGAAAAAAAAACAACCCACAGTACCAGTCCCGGAAAATGAGGGCTTCATTCTGTCCCATTCATTTCGGCTGGTAAAAAGAAAATCTCAAATCTGTTTCTGAGAATTGGTGGAACTGAAAGTGATTTCGAAATGGACAATGCTGAGTTTCAGAGGAAGTATGGGCCTGTAGCAAAGAAGCGATTTAAGAAGAGAAGGAAAAGGGCTGCAAAGTCCTCAAATAGCTTCAAAAAGAGAAGCAGGATATCTGGGTTAAGGAAATTCAGAAAGGACTTTGCGAGGAATGGAAACAATAATGATGAAAATACTGGTAACAATGAAAAAGATGATGATGGGATCACTCAATCTAACAGAATAGTGAATAAAAATGACAAATGGTTTCAAGATTTCTCTTGTTTTGAGCTGATTTATGATTGGAAGAGCATTCGCCCATATTTTGATCCAATAACATTGAACAAACCATTTATTTATTTTGATGAAGAAAAAATTGAAATGTCTGAATTGGATACCTTTAAGGTTAAATCATTGAAAATCTTGTGCTGTTTGAAAATAGTAGAGAATTGTGATTTAATTGATATGGATCATTTAGGTGTTGATGGTTTTGATGATGATATTTGGTTAAAAATGTGGGAAATTATATTGAGAAATAATCTTGATAGTTTCAGGATTTTTAATATTTTTTATCAGCGATTTAAAGTGAAGGCTGAATTTAAATGTCATGTTATTAAAGATGTTTTTAACAATAATAGAGATAAGGTGGTATATCATAATTTAATACCGGACCTTAAGCATAGAATTGAGGTTCTTGGGAGTAATATTTTATTTGATGATTTTGCTTCTAGATTATCATATAATTATCATCTTAATGAGAAAACTTATTATATGATCAATTTATCTTATTTGTGTGGGAATTCGATTATAAGCCATGAAAATTTATTAAAGTTATTTAATATAGATAATTTGATAGCGTTGAGTTTAAATGGATTGAAAAATGTTGATGATAATTTTATTGATACAATGGTGATGGCGATTAAAAATGGGAAATTAAAGAATCTAATTTGTTTGACGATAGTTGGTACATCTATTAGTTCGTATTCGTTAACAAGGTTATTTCAATTAGGGCGTGAATATAAATATAGCAAGTTGGTTTATATTGAGAGTTCGACATATATAAATGAAATGGAATTGAGAGGATTGAATTGGATTAACTATAAAGAGCGATTAAAAGTCAAGGAAATACAGAAAAAAGAATTAGGATTAAAGTTACAATTTTTAAGTGAGAATTTTACAAGTTTATTTAAAGCTATTGAGAAGGAGGATATATTTAAGCCAGAATTAAATCATCTTTTACTTGATTTCCAGATTATGAATAAAAAAATAATCTCTGAAAGAATGGATAATTTTGAAAATATTAATTTTGATTACGAAGAAATGTGGTTAGAAAAAATTAGAATTAAAGAAAGGGAAATTTATGAAAATAATTTCAGTTACATAATTGATGAAAATTATCTTATAAATAACAATAGTGGAAAGATAGTTTGTCAAGAGAATGAGAGCTCATTGACTGAAAAAAATAAAAGTGAAAATAATAGTTTCAGTGATAATAATAGTTTCAGTGATAATATTATAGATAATAGATATAGATGTGAGGGAGATAAAAATGATAAAGTTAAATTGGCTGACAGGTTGAAAATTCAAATGAAACTGAATGCCAAAATCAAGATTAAAAAATCATCAACCACTCTTAATAAATTTTTTGGATTATAAGTTATAATCGGTTGGATCTTTATTTGTACAATCGATTATTTTTGCTAAACCCTCTTCGAATATTTTAGCATTATAATTTAGTATTGCCTGGCCGTTAATGGAGTCACATAATTGATCATCTTTGATGTAAACAACTAAACATAAAGATTTGATCATTTGTTTTAAATAGATTTTCATATCTGGTAATAAAGTGCAATGGGAGGTGATTTTTTGTTGTTTTTTACGGGATTGAATTTCACTGTCTGTATCATCTGGGTGAGTAGGAAGATATAAACTGTTAATATCGACGCTTAGATCAATGAATTGAGAGCAAACTTCGTATAATGTTGAGTCTGAGGGACTAGAGTCGGTTACAAAATATAATTTTGTTTTAACGTCACATAAAAAGGCCTTTTCGATCTTTGAGTGTTGGACTAAATGGTTAAGGATATTTTCTAGAGAAGGTAGGCAAGGAACCAAGTTGGATATGATCTCAGACATGACCTCAAATATACTTTGGTTATATATGGAAGTTCCATGGTAATCTATATGTTTTTCATGGCCAATTTCACACAATAGGTAGGAGACCTGGTTTTCGATTTCTCTCATTATATCAGGTTTAAAATCTTCAGAAAAGCCATCAATTTTGTGAACCAAAACGTGGATTTTGACATGGGGACAGTTATCGAGAGCGAAAGAAACGACATTTAGCAAGTTGTTGATTGTAGCCTTGTATTCATCGAGACAGTCGATGACATAAACAACACAATCGACGTCCTTCATGATGGAGTTGATGTCCTGGTCGTCCCAGGTGTCTTGGAAGTAGTCCACCTGGCCAGGCAATTCAGTTATTTGCAAGTCGATTAGCGATCTGAAGACAAAGGTGGTGGGCTTGGAGGTGGTGTCCAACAAGATTGTGTTCTGTGGTTCAGCGCCATGAAAGACAGTCTGGACAATGGACGACTTGCCACTTCTCTTCAAGCCCATCAAGATAAGATGAGCATTCATTGTGGTCTTCTGGCTGTGCTTTCTCTGTTTCTGCTGTGGTTTCCACTTCCAACCATCAATTTCAATCAACATCTCACTCTTCCTCAACTGCCTCAGAAACAGCTGCGGGCGCGGACACAAAACGCAAAATGCCGCTCTCGGCCGACGCCGGGAAAGACAACGGCCGACGCCGGCGTTTTTCTGCTCGGCCCTCCCAAACTGGATCTCACGTGCCGAAATTTGCAGCCGCTGATTGGTCCGCCGTTTCTTCTTTCAGAAGAGGATATAATCTCGTGTAGAATCACTCAGCTCTCAGCTCTCTCCAACATCTACAAAATGCTCTTCCTCGCAACTCGTCTGGCTCTTGCTCGTGCTTATTCTACTGAGGCTCCCATAGTCGTAAAGACCCAGTCCAAGGCCAGAGTTGGCTCCTTCAAGGGTGGTGTTTTGGGATTCTTGTTTGGTGTGACTTTGACTGGTTTTGGTTCCTACTACTATCTTATGGACGAGTACAGAACTGCCAATAGTGCTGTTGTCTCTGAGGTTTTAGCCTTGCAGAAATCCATTAAAAACTTGGAGGCCCAAGTTAAGGTCTTGGAGGCCCAAAGAAAATAGCAATAAATAATTCAATTGAATTACATCAATTCTTACAATGATCCTTCATTGACTCTTTAAATAATTCATATTTTAATAAATCAGATTCAGACTCAATTCTTACCACATTTCTAATTTCTTTCTGCTATGTTGTACTTAATCTTAAGAAATTGACTCTAAGAATGTTACATTGTCCCTTTGCATTCTTTTCTTTAACATAAATATTACTCTTTTTATTATCAATATTCATTTTTTTCGCTTCTTTTTTCTTTTATTTTTTCTTTTGGAACACAATTTACTTGTCTTTAGAATTGTTCTTAATGAGAAACATAAAATCATTTATTATTAAACTTAATCATATATATAGTGTAGAAATTTGTATTCAACAAAAAAAGAAAAAAAGAAATAAATCAACTGAAATTTAGTAATCAATAAAACAAAATAAGGAAAAGAGAAAAATAATAGGTATAAACAGCAAAATTCTTTAACATTCAAATTTAACAAAATAGGTAAAGAAAAAAAATATCATCCGAGAACTTGAAGATTTATCAATTGAAAAACATTAAATATTGAAATATTGTTGAAATTTAAAAATTAAAATTTAAAAGTTGAAATCCTAAAAACCCTTAAAAAAAATGTGAAAAAATTCATAAAGAAATAACCAAAAAGTTAAAAAATATTTAATTCAAGAAACATAGATACATACATTAGAAAAAAAAACAACAACATTCTTCTAATGCTTCTTAATTTTATAATAAGCAAAATTAATACTTTACAAAAGGATCTTAGATGCAGGAAGTTTGTTAAACAGCTAATATCATAATTAAAACATAGGTTTGAAATTTTGGAAATTTCTATTCTATATTGTTGGTGCATTTGTAACTTCATCATTTTCAAAATCTCCAATCCATTCCCATGTTCTCATTATTTCTCCATAAACTTCCATCATATGAACTCTAATATTGGAATTATGTTCAATTTTTTTAGTAACTTTTTCCCACAATTCTAATTTTTCCTTTGGCGTTTCATTTTCTAAAAGTGAATCTCTCAATTGAATACTTGGAATGTGTTTTTTAATTGTCCCACTATCATCTTGAACCGAGTTTTTAAGTTGTTTTTTCAATTTTTTAACAACTATTGAGCAAATCTTATTCAACTTTAGTTGCTTTTTATTATACTCATTAATCTGATACTTGCCGTAATAAATGCTACCAAAACTTATCAAAAATGATAAAATATAATATTTGTATGTTTCTAGTAAGAAATTAAAAACCTTTTTGGAACGGCACTTAATTCCAGAGTTTGCAAGGGAAGTCGATCGAAATCCTTTTTCTTTTTCTGACTCTTGAGAATCTTCATCTCGTTTGTCACTGTTTTCAATAACATCGTTGGAGTTATTATATCCTTTGTGGTAAACCTATGGTAAATAAAAAATGTTAGTACTATGTCCAAACAAATGAGTTGATTTTGAATAAATAAAAATGGTAATAACTACTTTAATCAATTTAAGTAAACCATAAATAATTTGGCTTAACTTAAAACATTAAAGAAATTATTTAAAACGAAACTTTCCTTACACTTATTTCTGGTTCATTTTCAAGAACAACAACAGCTTTAGACCAAACATCACGAAAATCAGCATCACTTATTTCAGGCTAAAAAAAAATATAGCTGTTAGTATTAAAAACAATTAAATATTTTTTAAAAAAAAACAATTTTAAAATCACTTACTGATTTGATTTGATATAACACATTATATATCTCATCTAATGACAAACCGGATTCTTCGTCTTCACCTTCACCACATTTTATAGCAGCGTTTCTATTTCTTAATAAATTTAATGAATAACTAAACATTGCATGAACTCTTTGAGCCTTTCTGGTATCAGGAACACATTCACTCGCAACCGGTAATAATCTATTAAATGAATAAAATGGAGTTAATTCAATGTAGTCATCTTCACATTTTAATTCAAGGTTTTCAAAGCAAACAGCATTTGAAGGACATGCAATGCAGTCTGGCTTGATAAAATCCTGATAAAAAACTTCAATTTTTTCCATATATGGATGAAGAAACTCAAATCTATCATCATTGTGATATTTTGATAACAAAGGAGTATCAGTTGAATGGCCACAGTAACCAACAGAAAAATATTGACTACGATACCATAACAAACTTTGAACAAATAAACCAATGATCAATAGCAGAAATGTTTGTTTTAAATAGCTTTTAAAAGACCAACCAACTGTTTCTTGTGATGAATCATTTATAATTTCAGTAGCATTTTTAGCTTTTGCTTTATAATCGTTTTCAATCTCATCACCAACTTTAGTATCATCATCGGCTTCAATCAATTCACCTTCTTCGCTCACTTCAGTGTCTTCTACTTCAGGTTCTTCAGGGGATTCGACGAATTCGGGTTGTTCGGATTCTTCAGGCTCTTCAGATTCTTTAAGTTCTTTAGGTTCTTCAAGTTCTTTAGGTTTTTTAGACCCTTCAGATTCTTGCGATTTTTCGGTTTTTTCAGAAATTCCTGGCTCATCTTCATTTCCTTCTTCAGATTCTTCAGTTGTTTCTTCAACTTCGAGTATTTGATCAATTTTTTCAATTTTTTCTAGCTCTTGTTCTTCTTGGAAATCAATGTCACTTAATTGAGTTGTTTGGTTAGGATAGTAAGTTTCATCTTCAGAGTCTGAGTCATTATTTTCATCAATGGTTACCGGGGGCGAATCTAAGGGTTGATTTAAAGGTTTTGCGTTTTGAATTTCTTCAGGAGTAACTTTTGGAATCGAAGGAATGTGTCTTTTGAATTCTTGTTTGGGATGAGGTTCATTTGAAAATTCATAATTTGAATTAAAAGCAGATGCTGGTGGTGTACCTTGAATTATAATGCCTAAATGCTTCATAAGCTCTTGATTTAATAATGAACTGAAGTTTGGAGCAATTTGTGGTGTTGGTGAGAGGGGGATTTCATTTATTGTAGATTCGTCCTTGATTATGATGTTAGTTGAAGAGGTTTCTTCTTCTAAAATTTGTTGGGTATCAAATTCAGCTTTAACGGAATTGTTTTGGTCTAACTCTGCTTTAACAAGATCGTTTTGATCAGGTTCAGCTTTAATAAGATCGTCCTGTTCAGATTCAGGTTTAATGGAATTGTTTTCAAGTTCAAGTTCAAGTTCTAATTTGATGTTATCTTTGGGATGGTTATCATGTAAAATAACTTTAGATTTTGATTCTTTTTTGATGATGGTTTCAAATTGATCATCTTTTGAATTTGATAGAACTTTATTTTTAATTAAATCACTTTTAATTTTTTTAATTGATTGATCATTTTTAATGATTGATATTTTTTTAATTTTATTTTTATCAGAGTTTGAAGAGTGAATGTGTGATTGAGCTTGAACTTGAGGTTGGGATTGACTTCTGAAAGGAGAAGGAGGTAGTAATGAAGGTTTAGATTCTTCTTTAATTTTTTGGACAATTTTAGGAATTGGTTCTCTTTTTGAAGGTATAAATTTTGATTCGTCTTCAATCAAGCTGCGAAAAAACTGGTCTTCATCTTCATTTTCAGAAGATACGTTGTCATCGAGTCCAAACAAGTCCCCTGGCTTAACAGATTTAGTGAAAACAGGAAGTTGTTTTTTCTTTTTTGCGGGTTCAGTTGGCTCATCATCAGAAGTGGTACTATTTTCAGGTGAGTTTTTAGTTTCTGTTTGATTTTGATTTTGATTTTCTTCAATTATTTCAGAGATGGATCTTTTTTTGGGGTTAGATTTATTATGTCTATTAGGTGATGGAGATGAGTATAGTTGGAATGAGTTTCTTTTGGAGAAAGGAGTGTTTGATTTAGTAGGTTTTTCTGGTGTTTTATCTGAGTCATCTTTTTGGGACTGGGTTGCCTTTTGAATATTGATTGAAGGTATAGTTTTATTTTTAACGAATTGATTGTCTTGGTCCTCTTCTTGGAGCTGTTTTCTTGGTCTTCCTCTTTTGGGAGATTTTATTAGATCGTTATTGTCTTTTTGTTTAGCTTCATTGTTTTTGGAGTCGAGTCTCTTTGAGGTCTTTCTTCTTGGAGAGACAGATCTCGTTTTTGGTTTTGGTTTTGGTTTTGATTTTGAAGGGGATCTTTGTTTTTTGGGGTTTAGTAGTAGTTCGTCTTGGGTATTTAATTTGGGAACGTCCAATGGATCATTAGTGGAAGGTTGTGGCTTCTTTTTGGGGGATCGTTTGGTTGAAGCCCGTTTGGGAGATGGCGATCTCTTTGGGGATGGTGATCTAGAAGGTTTTGTAGTTTTTTTGTTAGGAGAATTTGGTAGTTGGATGTTTGTGTAGAGGAAGCCATTATTAGAGACCTTTCTGGGAGATCTGGACCTTGTTATTCTCTTTGAGGCCTTTTTCTCTGAGGAAGAAGGTTCAAGAATGGTGTCGTCCACATCCAAGTTATCTATGTTGGAGTCATCAGCATTGAAGATTTTGTTGTCGTTGGGGATGACAGAGCTGTAGGTGCTTAGTAAACTCAGGGAGATGGGTTTGATCTTTTCATTGAAGATTTTGATCAAGTCGTTTTTTTTGGCATGAGCAGGATAATCTATTTTGTGCTCAACGAAAATGCTTCTTAATTGAGCAATTTTTAGAGTCCTCGGATTAAAATCTGCAAAAGCAACAGAGGTTAGTATCGCGTTGTAACAGCAGTGGGAAGAAAACAGAACACAAAGAAAACATACCAGGTTGTAGATATGACAAGTCGTCAAGCATTTTCTGGAGCTGGAGGCGCTGGCGATGGTGTTGAAGATGGTGCTGAAGATGGTACTGGAGCTGGAGCAAAAGAATCTGGCGATTACCAGGCCCGTGGCAAAAGTCTCTGTTGTCGTTCTCGGGGACCCGCCAAAAGAGGCAATATGTAAACACCTCTTCAGCCGCAAAACGTGCTGGTGTTGGAGGCTGAGTCAGCGTTGCGTCAGCAACTCTGCTGATATCAGCACACGTGCTATTACTACACCGGATGCAACGGCTGACTCAGCCGTGCTCCGTGTCCGCGGGCACATTGGTTTATTCGTGAAGATGTGATCGATAGATACAGATATAGATGTAGATATAATACACGACACATCCATATATCTCTTCTAATATGCTTTGAGAATGAGCTTGGATTCTATTCTTTTGGACTTACGCTTTGTCACTCTACTCAGAAACAGATTAGGTTCAGACCACCTTGCTAACCTATCCATCGAAGAGCTAATCGCCAATTATAAAGGCAACTTTACCACAAATGATGCCGTAAATGGAAACAACACCAACACATCCAATATTGATAACGATGCTGGTAAAAGTAGTACTAAAAGTCAGGGTTCTGAAGATTCCTCGCAGAGTTTTTTATCTTCTGAGTTCTTGAAGGAGCTTATCAACCTACTATTCTTGAAAAATATCAATAGAGACGACTACTCCCAGATTTATATCCTATCGAATAATGAAATAAACGATTTAAATGGTATCAATTTTTACTTGAACTCAAACTGTATCAAAATTAACTATCAATCGTCCAATTATTTAATTATCTTCAAACTCGGTAATGCCTTTAATTTTGTACTAATTTATGATTTCCTTCATATAATTTTAATCAACTTTTCAAATCTTGACCCCATTTATTTATTAAGTGTTTTAATTGAAAAAAAAATGTTGCTTTTGATTTCTTCTCTTGCTAAAATTGCTAAAAACTCTTCTAAACATGTTTCAAAATTACACAAAATTAAGAAACTAAAATTTATTAATTTTTATAATTATATTAATAATTATAATGATAATGATAATAATAATGACAATAACAACAATAACAACAATAAAAACAATAACAACAATAAAAACAATAATGACAATAATAATAATAATAGAAACAATAGTAACATACTAAATGTTTATAAAAATAACATATTTTTTCTAAAATTTCTTTACTGTGTTTTATTCAAAATCCCCCAGATTGCATTCTTTAATGATTTTAACAAAATTACAAATCTAGTAAACTCAATAGATTTAAATGGCTTTTTTTTTAAACAAGATATTGACAATGATTCCAGTCAAAATGACAGTGAAATTTACCACAAAAATCTTAAGGATTTAAATCTACTAAACACCATAGACATCTCCTCAATTTTCAATAACAATATGATCAAAATAAACTCAAATATCGGTTTCTTATCCTTTGACAATATTCGCTCTTCTTTGTTTACAATTGGAAACACAAAAAATTTAATATCAGATCTCATTAGTTTCATCCCAGTAACAACTGTAAGCCAATCGAAAAACAGTCTAACATACTACTCAACAAACCTAGTAGCTTTATTTCTAAAACATCTAAATCACCAATTAATCCACAATCTTTACAACTTAATAACTTTACTAATTCCAGATAATAACAATAATTATATCATAAACGAAAATTTCATCAATAACTATGCCTTCAATTTAACTTTTTTAAATTACATCAACCTAAGTTATCTCTATTACTATTTAAATATAAACCCAACTTTATTATCTGAAATTGATTTCATAAATTTAATTCAAAATATTTTTTATCCCAACAATTCTAATATCAAGAATATAAACAAATTTGATTTGCAAAAAACAATCAACACGATTAATAAATTTATTTATCTACATTTTAATTATTTTAGTAATGACAATAATAATAATAATAATAATAATAATAAAAACCTAATTAGTCTTTTGAAATTGTTCAATAAAAATATCAGCCTTTATAACGGTATCAATCCCTTTCTAAAACTATCAAGTGAAAACTTGGAAATTCAAATAAAAAACTACAATATTCAATCCAATAACCAAAATCTCAAAAAATTAATTAGCAAAAAGGAAAGTAACCGGTATAAAACTTCGGCTTTAAATAAAAGAATCGAAAACTCAAGTAACAAACTCACTAATAGTAAAATACCAAAACCCAACCAAGAAATTGAAAGAGTTAATAACGCTGAAAACTATTGTGATAACGAGAAATACCAAAATGAACAAAATTTAAAGATAAAAGAGCTTAAAATGTTGGTAAATGATGACAAGAACATTGAAAACTGGTTGACGTATTCTCAGCAATTTAACACTTCAAACTTTTGTCTTCCAATAGTTCAAGTAAAAAACACAAAGTTTGAAGACATACAAGACAAAGTAGCTGAAAACTACAGACTTCTCAATGAGCTCAACGAGGAAAAATTGAAAATTGCCAAAATCAACGAAAAACTAGTAAAGGAGAAAACCCAATTGGAACAAGAGCAGAGCGAAAAAATAGCTGCAATAAGACGAAAGTTCTGGGAGGAAAAAGAAGACATCCATAAGCATTATTTCCAGATAAAACAGAAACTCGAGCAGCTAAAAAGAAAACAGGAACTCGAAAAATAACTCTTCCATCTTTCTTTATACACTTTAGGCAAAATAGGGTTTGTGTCTCACGCACGACCATGTGATTCGTGCGTGATGTACACGCGCTACGAAGTGCGAAAAGAGGCAGTTAAGTGCGCGCTTCCTTTCCTGTTTCCAATCGAAGCTGAAAAATGTGTCGAAAGAGTGGTTAAATTGTTAGGAGAATGCTGCGATAGTTGTGTTTCTTTGTTTTGCTTGCTTCTGGGAAAAATCTGTGCTGATTAAACTGACAAAATCCATTTGATAAGGTCTGTTTGCAAGAGACGATTCTGTGCAGCTTTTGCAATTTTCCAAGGCCTTATGTTTGGTAAAATTCAGATCCCACAATCAAGGCACGATTATTTGACAATTCAGCTTTCGAATATAAACTGATTTATATATCTTCCATTTGCTGTTTCAATCATCTATTGTGATTGAAACCTCGATATCTCAGATTATACCATTATTTTCTTTGCCCACCAGCAGATAACCTATATTCCCTCATTTTCTATTGATTTTTTTTTATAGCAATGCCAGACTACAACAACAATAACAGCAACAAATATGATAATTACGATCTATTGAATTTGAACAAGAGAAATTTGTCGAAATTCAAGAGCTATCCCTTAAAGCCAGAAACTAATATTGACTACAACAAATTCGATTTGAATAAGAAGTACTCATTTGAAATCAAAAAACAAGATACCTCTAGCTATGGAATTAGAGCTAAAAGAAACATTGACCCTAATGAACCAAATTATAGCAAGAAAAATATTGCTAATGATAGACAAAAATCATTGTTAGCTATCAACAGTTTGTTTAATTATGGAGACTACACATTTAACCCTCATAATTTTAATAATTTTGAAAAATTGAATAATAGCTTATTTACTTATGGAAAATTTGAAAATAACAACAAGACTTTTATTAAAGTTAAAGATACAAATGATTTTATTGTTCCATATTCAAGCTATAATATTAAGATTGACCAGGATGATAAAAAGAAAAAGAGCAGCAAATCCAAAAAAGATAGTGACAGTGACAGTGATAGTAGTGATTCGGACTCTGATAGTGACTCAAGTGATGAAGATGAAAATAAAAAAACGAACAAAAACGAAAATGATCAGAAAAACGATGATCAGAAAAATGAAAAATCAATTGATGAAAAAAAAAAAGAATTAGAAAAACAAAAAGAAAAAGAATTAGAAAAACAAAAAAAAAAAGAATTAGAGAAAGAGAAAGAGAAAGAGAAACAAAGGGAAGAGGAAAAGAAAAAAGAGGAAGAAGAAAGGCTTAAGAAAGAAAAGGAAGAAAAATTAAGAAAAGAAAAAGAAGAGGAAAGAAAAAGAAAATTACAAAAGGAAAAAGAAGAAAAAAAGAAAATACAACTACAGAAGGAAAAAGAAAAAGAAGAAGAAGAAAAAAAAAAAAAAGAAGAAGAAGAAAAACAAAGAAAATTACAGAAAGAAGACGAAAAATTAAAACTGGCAGCTAAAAGACCAATTGATCCTGATTCCGACAGTGACTCTTCTAGTGATTCTGATAGTGATGATGATACTGTTTATAACTTTTTAGAAGATCCAAATGCTATGACCCCAAGTAGGAATGAACAAATTTTTGATTCAAGAGTTGAAGGATATAACTTTAAATATTCCGATTGTTCTGGAAAGAAAAAGGCTTTGATTATTGGAATTAATTATACAGGAACAAAATATCAATTAAAAGGTTGTATTAACGATGCTCATAATGTTAAAAAGTTTCTTTTAAGAAATGGTTATTCTCAGGAAAATATGGTTATATTGACTGATACGGATCCAAATCCAAGATCTGTTCCAACAAGAAAAAACATGCTAGATGCAATGTGTTGGTTAGTAAAGGATGCTTCACCCAATGATTCATTATTTTTCCATTATTCTGGACACGGAAGTCAAGTAAAGGACATTGATGGGGACGAAGATGATGGGTTTGATGAAACCATTATTCCACTTGACTTTGAAGAAAATGGGCAAATTCTTGATGATGAAATGCATGAATTGATTGTAAGAACATTGCCAGAAGGGTGTAGATTGACAGCATTGTTTGATTGTTGTCACTCAGGCTCAGCATTGGATTTGCCATACACTTACTCCACTAAAGGACTTATTAAGGAGCCCAACTTAGTTCAAGAAGCGAGTGAGGGATTATTGGAAGTTGTTCAATCGTTTTTAAAGAGTGATCACGAATCATTTATTCAAACAGTTCTCGATAAATTTCAAAGTATTATGAACCGTAAAGTTAAAGATATTGCAAGAGAGAAAACCAGAAAGACTAGAACATCGCCAGCAGATGTTATTATGCTAAGTGGTTGTAAAGATGAACAAAAAAGCTCTGATGCTAAAATTGAAGGAAAGTCAACTGGTGCGATGTCCTACGCTTTCATGAAAGTCATGAATAGTGGCAAGCAACAATCATATCTTAGTTTATTAAGGAATATAAGAGAGATTTTAAGTGGAAGATATAAAAAAAGACCTCAATTAAGTTCAAGTCATCCAATTGATGTTTCTCTTAAATTCAATTTATAATAGAATGTCTTCAAAGCCAAAGAAAATTTAAAATTTAAAATTAAAAATTATCAAAAAAAAAAAGTTTATTTAAATAATTTTAACCACAAAAAGGAAAAAGGAAAAAGGAAAAAGACTAAGTGAAAAAAATATAGTATAAGTATTTTATAAATTGTAAAAACGATCAAATCTTAAATAGGTTTTTAGTATTAACTTTATGAGAACAAAAGATTTGAGGAAATTGATTATTTTCATTTTGTCTTAGAAAATTTAATAATTCAGCTAGGGTTATTTCTCGTTTAGAAAAGACCAAATTTGCAAATTTTACAGTTAAATGCCCGTAAAGTCTTTCTTTAACCAATTTATCGATAGACTTCTGATTAGAAGTACATGCTGCTAGCATAATGACATTTGCTTTTGGTTTTAAGGGCCTTTTTTTTTGATTATAGCAAACTGTATTTGGAACAAACTTGAATGTAGATTTTTGGGGTAAAAGTTTGAATATAGTATAATTTTTTTCAACCAAGACATACGGTAGGCCTAACATTCCACCAGAAAAACAACAATCAAAAATGGCAGTCAATTTACATTTCTCTGGTAAGTCTTTTACCATTGTATTAAATATATCATTACTTTTCAAAGTACCATTTGTATCATAGTCAGATGGTCTAATTGAAAACTCAGGTAGACCTTTTCCTGAGTAATGAAAAAAAAAAGAATCACCTTCTTTCGGATCCTCAACTAACCATTTCATTGCTTCTAAAATGTTTTTTCTGGTGGGATTACCATATTCATTACCATATTCATTACCATATTCATTACCATTGGATATATTAGTACCAAGGAATCTGATATTATCAGTGTCAAAACCCCATTCTAGTAAACGTAAAAGAATTTCGGAATCATTTTCAGGACTAAGTAATTCGTCTGTACTAACAGCAACTATCAAAGCCTTTTTTTTTCCAGTTATAGAATTGTCAAATATAGGACTTGTGAAGTTATCTGTATTTTCATGAACGTTCGAATCGACACGAAGAATTTTATTAAATAATTCAAGAGGTTCAAATGGTTGAGGTTGTGGTCCTTCTTCTGAAAGTAAAGACCCATTATCCGAATTAGAAACAACAGGTTGAGATTTGAAATAGCAATATTGCATTTTTCATACCAGCTACCAATGAAAAAAACAATAACAGGGCGACGATGGCAATATAAATACAAGAAATAGGTCAAGATAAGAGAAAATATAAAGCACGGCCTTATTGATTGAACCTCTTTTGCTTTAGACAAACCGATGGGTCAAGCACCTCATAATGCATTTTGATTCAACAAATGACAATAGCGAAACCATCAGCGAGTTCAAATGCTCTTCATATCCACTTCTCACCAGCTGGAATTCAAATCTATACCATAATCATATGCTTTGATTGCATCCCATTTTTGAAAACTAACAAGTTGATTTTTCCTGTTAAAGCGGTACTCCTGCTTAAACAAAAAACCTTCACCTGAAAATGAGACGGACTTGGACCTGAGAAGAAAGCCTGCCAGAACCAGTAATCCCGCGTATCTATTCCAGTTGTATCAATTTATTCTGGTGAGTGAAGTGTCCGTCACATGACACTAGGGAACTGGGATCTCTCTATATTAGGACACCTTTTATATTTGGACACCTTTGTGTCCTCAGCATAGGATTAAGTAACTAATCTATCGGGAAATGTCTTTTCAAGGCCCAAAACTGGCAGCAAAATTGTCCATCCAGAACGGTGATTAAAAAGCCATGCATCTTGTGCCGCCAGCAGACAAATTACTGATGATTATATCTGGAAAATATCCTGTCTTAACAGGATATGAACAGAGCTGCCCAACTGTGGTGTTGAGGTCTCCATGCCACCAAGCTCTTCTAATAACTTTTGGTATGATAACAATCTTGGTTCCACAATACCCATAGCTCTACAGAATCGGTATGTCAAGTACAGAAAATTGATTTCATTCTTAATAATTCCCATTCTTTTGTTTTGTAGGTCTTCGCAAGCAGCAATCAGGATCACTTTCGCGTTGGGTTTATGTGTTTTTTTAATTATTTTATCAATTTTTTTCTTTTTGTAAGTATCAACAAGTGTACCCAGCCCAAGAGGCTTGAGTACAAATAACAAGTTTTTTATCTGTTTAGCTAGCGTTTTTCTCATCCCAAATATATGTTCTCCCTCCATTGAGTAATTATATGGCAAATCAAGTATTGTGCCTGAATGGTCACAGTCAAATACTGCTGTTAATCTGCAGTCTTCTGCCAAATCTTTAACTATTCTATTATACAAGTCATTATCAAGAATTCGGAGACCATCTTTTGTAATTATTGCTTGATCGTATCCACTTATCTCGTCTCCAGCGTTGGTTGGTGAATGTGTTCCTGCCCCCAAAAAATATAAAAAAAATGAATCATTTGAACATGAGTTTTTAACCAACCAATCAATAGATTCAATAATTTTGTCTTTAGTAGGAGAAATTTCTTTATTATTCCCAAAATCCGATAAAATCCTTATATTACTATTATGAAAATTATTACTCTTTAAAAAATTGAACACAAGTTCTATATTGTTTGTGTATTTCATCCGGTGATTGATATTCTTGGGATTTATGATCTCAATCAACAACGCTTTCCTGCTTCCTGTGCACTTCTTATCCAAATGTTTATACTCAAATCGAAAATAATGGTGTAATCTATTGTGTCCATCCATTTTCTTGTACTTTTCTAATATATTAGTTCTTATGCCAAATAGTAAAGAATAATGACTTGTATCATGATACCAAAAATCAAAACATAAAACACTCTTATATTCAAAATAAGGATATATCTATAATTTTTATATCTTTTAAAAGATCAACAATTTAATTTGTTACCAATATTGTGTACTTCTTACACCCACCGGAATCTGTTTTTCCATCCAGCATCAACATCCAAAACCACACTCAATCACTGTGAATTCTTTTAGGTTAAGCTTCATGGTACAATAGGCGACAAAGAAAACAGTCAAGAGAAATCCACCCCTCAAGAAACAGTATTCTCTTTCGCACATTGGAATTGTTGTAAATTAGGGTAATAAGATGTTGAATCGACTACTTATCCACCTTTTTACCTTTGACAATAGAGAAATTCTAAAGCTCCATAAAAAAAAAATGTATTTTCAACCTGAAATTGATTTATTTTCAGTTATATAAATAGATAGATAAATAGATAAATAATAAAATAATAAAAAAATTAAACTTTTTGACAAATTAAATCAATATATATATATATGTTAAAAGATAAATTGAAGAGAAACATCAATTGGATGACTGGCACTTAACTGGGGCTTTTGGCTGTATTTGCCCTCGAGAATTTGTCTTGTGTTTTTCAATAAACTGAGATATGATTGTTTTTTACCAGTATTCATGACTTTCATAAAAGCATAGGACATTGCACCAGTAGCTTCACCACCAATACTTGCATCGGCACTTGTTTGATCATCTTTGCAACCACTCAACATGATGACATCGGCTGGTGAAGTTCTAGTTTTTTTGGTTTTTTCTGATGCTCCTTCATTGGCCTTTAAACTCATAACATTCTGGATTGTTCCAAAAACAGATTTAACAGCTGATTCTGCATCACCAGCCATATACGATTGGAAAGCAGTAAATAGTCCTTGACCGGCTTCTTGCAAAATATTTGGTTCTTTTAACAATCCCTTGGTTGAGTAGGTGTATGGCAAATCCAATGCTGAGCCTGAGTGACAACAATCGAACAATGCAGTCAATCTGCAACCTTCAGGTAATGGTTTAACAATTGTATCATGGATAAGTTCATCAACAATTTGTCCATTTTTCTCATAATCCAATGGAACAATTGTCTCATCAAATCCATCATCTTCATCTCCATCTTTATCCTCTTGTTGCGAACCGTGGCCAGAGAAATGAAAAAACAATGAATCGTTAGGAGATGCACCACTGACTAACCAGCCCATTGCATCCAACATGTTTTGTTTTGTTGGAATGGCTCTGGAATTGGTTTGATCGTCAGTTAATATAACCATGTCATCTTCTGAATAGCCGTTCTTTAAAAGAAATGCTTTAACATTTTTAACATCATTAATACAACCATTCAATTTCGCACTTGTACCAATATAATTGATACCAATTAATAAAGCCTTTTTCTTACCAGAACAGTCAGAGTATTTGTAATGATAATTTTTAACTCTTGAATCAAAATTTTGAACATCTCTAGTTGGAACATGTGCATCGGTTGCTTCTTCAAAATCATAATTATCGTCATCGTCGTCATTGTTTCTATTGTAATTAGAACTGTTACCAATTCTAGAACGATTGTCGTATTGATTTGAATTATAGGATGGTCTATTGTTTCCCCCATAAGCTGAATTACTGTAAGATTCAGTTTTATAAGTTACAGGTTTGCCATTGTTTTTTGAGTATGAATGAGTGGTTGATGAATAACTATAAGAGTTTGAAGAGGTTGAATATTGAGAATGTTTTTGGCTTGAGCCGTAAGAGGAATCACCATAGCTCCCATAACCATAAGGAGCTGGAGGAGATGGAGAATGATCTTTCTTTTTGCCCTTTTTTTTGTTTTTATTTTTTTTACCACCATACCTTTCTGGAGAGCTTGAGTTGGATCTGTTACCACCACCATAAGAACCAGGATTGTATTTCTTTTTATCAGAGGAATTGGAACGAGACCTACGACCACCAAACTTTGATGGAGAGCTAGATCTTCCTCTCAATCCAAACTTTTTGAGGTCGTTAAAATCACCAAAGTCACCAAAACCACCAAATCTTGACATGTTTAATAGGGAGTAAGTTAATTAAAGAGAAGAGTAAAGAAGTAGTAAAATGAGGAAGGGAACTGGGGTAAGTAGAGAACTATAGAGTCAAGTAAGTGAAGAATTGGATAATTGGATAATTGGATAATAATTGGATAATAATTGGATAACAATTGTATTACAAGCAATACTATATAAAAAAAAAATAAAAGAAGTTTGTAGGTCTGTCTATATAGAAATACTCCTTTTTTTCCTTTTCTCTTATTGCTACACACTTGCTTTTCCTGGATGACGGTTTAGAGAAAGGATGAAATGGGGAATAACCACCTGTATGGGGCTTAGTTTCACCTGAAATATGATGAAATTACATGGTGAAGAAGTAAAAAAGTAGGAAGGAAGAAGTTAAATATTTAATTTAAACCAGTCTAGTTTATTAATATGCCAGTTTAAATGTGTAAACAAAACGATAAATAAGATAAGAAGATGTCAGTATATCGATATACTAATGTGCTAAGATAGTGAGATAATAAGATAGTAAGATAAAAAAAAAGTAATCAAAATGAAAATTTGAGAGAGACATCAATTGGATGACTGGCACTTAACTGGGGCTTTTGACTATATTCACCCTCAAGAATTTGTCTTGTATTGTTTAATAAACTGAGATATGATTGTTGTTTGCCACTATTCATGACTTTCATAAAAGCATAGGACATTGCACCAGTAGCTTCACCACCGATACTTGCATCGGCACTTGTTTGATCATCTTTGCAACCACTCAACATGATGACATCTGCTGGTGAGGTTTTGGTTTTCTTCGTTTTCTCGTGAGCTTCATCGTTTGAGCCATTCATAAAAACCTTAACAGCACCAAAGATAGACCTCATAGCAGAGGTGGTATCTCCAGCCATATAGGACTGGACAGCTTCCAAGAGTCCCTGTCCAGCTTCTTCAGCCAAATTTGGTTCCTTNAGCAATCCCTTGGTTGAGTAGGTGTATGGCAAATCCAATGCTGAGCCTGAGTGACAACAATCGAACAATGCAGTCAATCTGCAACCTTCAGGTAATGGTTTAACCATTGTATGGTGGAGAACATCATCAACTATCATTCCACTCTCTTCATAATCCAATGGAACAATGGCTTCATCATATCCATCAACTTCGTCACCATCTGTGTCTTCTTGTTGGGTTCCATGGCCAGAGAAATGAAAAAACAATGAATCGTTAGGAGATGCACCACTGACTAACCAGCCCATTGCATCCAATATGTTTTGTTTTATTGGAATGGCTCTGGGGTTGCTTTGGTCATCAGTCAATATAACCATGTTTTCTTCTGAGTAGCCATTTCTTAAGAGGAACTCTTTGACATTTTGAACATCGTTAATACAACCGTTTAGTTGGGCCTTTGAACCAGTATAATTAATACCAATCAATAAGGCCTTTTTATTGCCAGAACAGTCGGAGTATCTGTAATTGTAGCCATCGACGTTGGAATCAAAGGCTCTTTCGCTCTGGTCGGGTGTTTCAGCATCAGAAGCTTCTTGAAAGTCGTATTCTATGTCGCGTTTGGCTTGGTTGTTGTATCCGTAGCCATTGTGGCCATAACCATCATATTGACCTTCTTCTTGTTGTGGAGGAGGATAGCCATTGTAGCCATTGTAGCCGCCATAAGCACCATAAGCACCATATCCAGGTTGGGGAGGACCTTGGTAGCCGCCGTAGTGGCCGTAGCTGTCGTTGGGAGGATAGCCTGGGTATCTGTCGTACATTTCTGCCAAAAGTGTTGGGTTGAGTGAGAATCAAAAAGAAAGAGAAGAAGCAGACCTACAACACAAGACGTGTTTTCCTACAGAGAAAAGGGATTTCCTATATATACCACCACAATACCATTCTCCAATCTCTCTGCTTCCAGCTCAACAATGGCTTATGGTTTCTCTAGCACTGGTTGGCCTCATGCTCCTCGCTCTTTGCACGCTCTTACACGTCTCTCTAAGAACACCGCCGCTTTGCACTGCACTGGCACGCACAACTGCGCCCAGCCCTAACTGCCACCACAGTGCTTCTTGAGTTGGAAGAACCATCGTACTGGCCACAGGCCGGTCTGCACAATGACACTATGTATGTGTATCACGCATATTTGCACGTTTGAGAGCCCCGGAGACATAATCACGAGCACGAATTTTTCACTCAGCGAAAAATTGCACTGAAAAATTATTACATCCACAATCACCCAGCTGAAGAACTGAAATAGCTCTTGAGACATGCCACAGCCCAATATATCCTCCCCTAACGATGAGGACACTATCATTGAAAAAATCAACCGTTTGAACTTTGAAGATTTGCAGAGTCGTGATGCTCCGGATGACGATTATTCTGACTATTCTGACGATTCTGACGATTCTGATTCTGAGGGTCCACACCAAGAAGATATAAATGGTGCTCATTTGCATGATCATACGAATGTTTTCTCCTCTGAAAGAGGCGATATCTTGCAAAAGTACTCCGTATCAACTGATTCTCAAGTCAAAACTCCCAAAATATTAAAGGATAAATCACAAAGAGCAACAATTCAAACCGTTTTGGATCCAAGAACCTTTAAAGCTTTAGCCAAATATATTAGCAATGAAACTTTAACCAGGATCAATGGTTGCATCTCAACCGGTAAAGAAGCAAACATATATTATGCAACCAAAGATGAAGAACCTGAACCTGAACCTGAAGAATCAAAAAAAAATATAGAAATTCAAAATGGCTTATCAAAAAACAATTTGGAAAACCAAAATCCTTCAAAGACATCTGATCCTTCAAAAAAAACAATTGTAAAACACTATGCAATTAAAATCTATAAAACCTCGATTTTGATATTTAAAGATAGAGAAAGATATGTCAGCGGAGAATTTAGGTTTAAAAATTTCAATCAATCCAATCCAAGGAAAATGATTAAAATTTGGGCCGAAAAGGAATTTAGAAATTTAAAAAGATTAATCTTAAATAACATTTATTGTCCAAAGCCACTTGAAGTTAAGAACAATATCCTTATAATGGATCTATTATCTGAACATGATGACGGCTGGCCCTCTCCTAAATTAAAAGACTTTAATTTTATTGATAACTTTCAAATTAATTTTTTTTACTTCAAAGTTTTAATCATATTAAGAAAATTATACCAAAACTGTAGATTAATTCATGCTGATTTATCCGAATATAATATAATAATTCATCGTTCAAAGATCTATATAATTGATGTCTCTCAATCAGTTGAGCCAAATCACCCAATGAGTTTAGATTTCTTAAGAATGGATATTAAAAACATCAATGACTTTTTTCAATCAAAAAAGAAAATTGACATAATAATGGAAAAGAATATATTTGAGTTTATAATCGAAGACTTAAACGACCTAATTATAAAATATCATTCTAATCAAAATAATAATGACGATCATATTAATACTTATAATAATCAATTCCAAACCAATTTTAATGACATTGATGATCTTGAAATTGATAATAACAATGATGGTAAAAATGACAGAATACTATTGGAAATTTTAACTAAATTGCCTCTTAAACTAACTGATGAAGATAAATTAAATGATGAGGTCTTCAGATCTACTCATTTGATTACAACTTTACATGCTTTACAAGAAGATGACGATTTTGCTGACTTTGAAAACGGAAAATTGACAACTTTTAAATCTTTAATCTCAAAAAACCCTCAACCAAGTAAATCCACTGAAAAAAATTCGAACGAAACTTCAACGAACAAAGATAGTAAAAAATACATTTTTAATAATGAGGACAATAATACTGACAGCCATACTGATAGAAATAAAACCAGTGATCTTACCAAAGATGTAGAAACTGAATCAAATGACTCAGAATCCAAGGAAGATGAATGGGAAGAAAGAAACGTACTCTTAAAAGGAAAAAAATTTGAGGATAAAGATGCTAAAAAATCTCGCAAAAAAGAAGCTAAAGAAAAAGCCAAAGAGAAAAGGAAAACTAAAATGAAGAAATATGATAAAAAAAGAGCTATAAAGAAAACTCAAAAGAAATAAACTTAAAACAAATTCTAATCTTGTATTTATGAATCTATATTGCCCTCGTTTTTTTATTTCACAAACTTCCAACTCAAAACCGTTTTGTTCCTGTTATCGATTTGACACATGCTCACACATGCTTTGTACTGCTGTGTTATGCACAGATGCTGCCATCAAACTTGTCTCAAAACTAAGATTAGAAACTCAATTCCCAGTCCGATTCAACAATAATTCAACAATAATTCAGCAATGATTCAAGATTGTTTGAAAACAGTACAATAGTTCATTTGTTTTTCTGTATTATAATTTAAAGAATTTTTGTTATCTTGGACATACAAGTTTAAAGAAGATAGAACGACTGTAAAATATTATATAAATAGGCTAAATAATATCAGCAATGACTTAGGATATTTTGGTGATGAATTGAAATATAATGGCGAACGTATAATAAATGATACAAGAAAATTAAGAACTGGTGAAGAACAAATATATTTTACTGAAGCTGAACTAGAAAATCTTGCCAATGAAATTGAAGAGCATGATAAAGTAACTGATGTACATGTTAATAAAATTAACAATAATCAATCAAATCGAAATTGACCGAAACTAATCAAAAATTTGCTGCCTTATCTTGTTTTTAAATTAAATCTACAAGAAATGCAAATAGATCATATCTTTCAAATTAAATGATTAGCATTGTTTCCCAAGATTTACAGAAGAATTATTCAAACAATAACCAAAATATTTTATCCGACAATAGTTACCTATCCTTTCTTTTTCACTTCCAATGTGTTTCTCCAAACCTCATGTTTTTGAAGTTTGAGGACCCTCCCTGTTTGCTTAAATTTCCCAAATTCCTCAAATTCCTCAACAGCCTCAATAGCCTCGACTCGCTACCACATTTAAGGCCTGCGTCATCAGACATAATCCAACAGCAATAGCGAGCACAATCCGATTGGTTCCCGTTTCGTTAATTTATTTATAATCATTTCAATACGATTTAATTGTTACCAGTTTAGGCACCAACATTTTTTTAGTGTCTTGAACTATTATAAAAGCCTTTGAATTTGTAGAGACAATAGAAAACCCCATTTTTTTTACTGATATTAAAAAAATGAAATCGAATAACAGCTTTAGATCGGCTTTGAATTGTTATATAAAACATCCTGAAAAATATCCAAATGATGTTCTATATTATGATTCGGATTTTACAGTAGTTTACGATAAATATCCAAAAGCTCAAGTTCATTTACTAGTTTTACCAAGAGACCTGATAAAAACAACTCAGTCGCCATTTTTAGTATTTAATTATAAAAACGATCCTGATAAGGTTTTTCAAAATCAGTTACTACTTTGCATTGAAAAAACAAAACCAATTGCAATTCAACAGTTGGTTATAAAATTTCCATTCCTAATTCAGCAGTCTCTAAATTTTGATGAATACTTTAAAGTTGGTTTTCATGCAATTCCTTCCTTAAGCAATTTGCACGTTCATGTAATTTCAAAGGATAATTTGAGTGAAAGATTGAAAACAAAAAAACATTATATTTCATTTAATTCTCCGTTTTTATTAAATTTATACGATTTGATAAAGAATAATGCACTTAATCAAAGGGACATTAACTCTGACGAATTTTTCAATATTGCAAAAGAGATGAAAAAAATAATGGCACAAGATATGAAATGTTGGAAATGTGGTTTGAATTTTCGTAATGATTTCAAAAAATTAAAGGATCATTTGGTAATAGAAGCTAATGCTATTTATAAAGAAGATAGAGAGAAAATTAAATCATAGAATTAAGAACATTATTAAATTTTATTTTTTTATATTTGCATAAAATTCTTTTTTTTTCGCACTATTTTTAAAAACTTGTTTCTGTAATATTCTGTAGATAATTATCATAGAGCTAAATGAATTTTAAAATTAAACGTAAAAAAATTAAAATAAAATATAAAAAATCAAAATCAAAGTAATTAAAAAAAAAGTTATGAAGAATTAAATTAAAAACAGAATTTTAAATAGAAATAAAATAAAAATTGAAAAACAAAGAGTAGATATTAAAAAATTAAAATAAACAGTGCATAGCAAAAAAGAAAAAAAGCTGATTACTATATGGTAAACTCATTGGTAGCTTCAGTCAATTTTCGAGAAATTTTTTCAACTTCTTTTTGAGCTAATTCCCAGTTGTAATTGTCAATGGCATCTCTTATTGTTGGAAATGTCCACCATTCATATTCTGTTTCTGGACTAATATCTGTATTAAATATTTCTGGTTTATCAGAAGATGGCCCGAACAACAAATTCTTGTACCACGGTCTATTAGGATAACCATTATCATCAACTAATTTTTTCTCATAGTTGCATAATTTTGTATTCCATTTCCATCTATGAATGGACAAAAGCGAAGGCTCTATATTGCCTTCCTGCAAAAGAATTTCGTTCCAAGTTTTTTTCCATATTAAATATTCTTTACCAAATTTTTTGATCATGGTTAATGCATTTCTTAAAGGATTATAATTTAAAGGAAACTGATCATCAGGCTTATTACTTTTAGATTTATACTCTTCAAATAATTTATGAGTATAAGAGTCGAGATCTCTTAAATAATCTTCAAGCTTTTGACCATAATGATTCAAATCCATTGGTATTAACGGATCATCAACTAATTCAACAATTAAATGTGATAAAATTTCAACCAACTTTCTGTGATATATCATTTGTGGATCAATTTTTAAATCTTCGAAATTTTTGAAATTATCCATACAAGTATTTTCAAATATATTGCCATTTTTACTATTGGTATATTTAATTTCAATCGATGGAATTCCTGCATAAGATAAAAACGGAACATAATTTTTATACTCTTTTAAAGAACAAATGTTTTCCTTTTTAAAAGAATCGGATATTTTTTTATGAGGCTCATTACCATTTCTTTCTTCATTTCTTTTTTGAGAAGTATCTGGCTGATTAATTTCATCAACTGATTGAAGAACTTCCATTATTAAATTAGAAAAGGCAGGATGAGAAGATATTTTTAAATCTTGACCTCCAATGGCATCACTCAAATCAATATAAGCATAAATTTCTTTTCTAATTTCTTTCAATCTTGCCTCTACCCATTCGGTTAAACCAGCAAAATTATAATTTGAACCATCAATTGATATAAAATAAATTGTTCTTAAAGGTTTCCAACCATGAATTTTAGTCATTTTAGTATAAATTTTGACTAATTCCATTAAAACAGCTGTTCCAGTATTGGGATTGATTGTACCAAAACATGAAGAATCTCTTTTGGCACCAATAATGATAGCTTTTTCACTTTGTTCAGACCCAAAAATTTTTCCCACAACATTCCAAAGAGCATGATTGTCTCTCTTTACAGAGTATGATTTGAAAAAAGCTTGTAAATTTTTTTCGTTTAAATCACCGGTCCAAGTTTCAAAATCATCTAAATTTTTAAATTTTAAATTCCAATCTTTCATCTCATCTTTTGATGGATCAATTTTTAGACCATTACCTTTTATCGAAGATAAAAATTTGTGAGCATCAGTTAAGGAGATTGGCATGATAGGAATGTTTATATTTGAATTTGATTGATCCCAAGATAGTTTCATTGAAGATGAAGTTGTAGCCCAACCAGGAGTTAAAACATCACCAGTAGCATAGTTTGAATTACTTGCCATTTGCTTGTGAATTAGTTTATTAATGTTTAGATTATTGATTTCATCAGTGGATAAGTGACTATAGTTATTTGGGTCATCAAATATGACAATAGCATCACACCCATTATTTCTGGAGATTTTTAATTTTGAAGATACGGGAATTTTTCCATATTTCATAAAGCAAACAGATTGAGTTGAAGTTCCCACATTGATTTTATTTTTATTTAATAATTGAAAGTCAATTTCACGACCATAGTTAACATATAGTATTTTACCGGTAACTTGGCCATCAGTGGATAAGTAATTGAAGGCTTTTTTAGCTAAATCAGGAAAGACCATTTCTTTGTGGTCATTGTCTTCTTTGCCATTTCCTTTCTTATCACTACCGGAATTATCGTTATTATCAGTATTCCTTTCATCGCTTATTTGTTTGATTTCGTAATCTTCAATTAAGGTAGCTTGATATAGAGTGTCATTAGCATCACTTGATAATAGATTCAAGCTTGATTCGTTCGGATAGTTTATAAAAGCTTCAACTTGATTAAATTCCATTGGATTTAAACCATCTTGTTTGAAGATATTATTTATATACCTTGCTAAAGCCAAATCACCTTCGGTACCTGCAACATGGGGGACACTTGATAAATACTCCAAGTTTTCCTGCATTGAATTGATATTTATACTATTCTGTATGTGTTCGTACAATACTTTTTTATTAGTGAAATTTCCATCCGATAAATCATAACTTGATGGATACAAGCCTGAGGTGACAATTACATATATGATGGCAGATACAAATGCAATATAAAGAAGTCTTCTCATTATCAATGGATTACCAATTTTTGACAAGTATAAGTCAAATTTCACAGATAAATACCTGAATAAGCCAACTATTGGGTCCAATATCCTTGATACAGGGTTAATTACTTTTGAATTAAAAGAAGAACGAATTACCTGGGATGCATGATTTGCTCTTTCGAGAAGTTGAGTAGACACTGAAACCGAATCAGCAAGAGGTTCTTCAATTTCAAATTGTTCAATATTCAAAGAGTCACTATCGGATATATTAAAGATATCATCGTCATCGTTATTGTTATTGGTGTTACTATTGTCATCAGAGGAGTGGGATAAATTGGTGGGATGAACTCTTGATTGCTCATAAGTTGGAGGATCTGTGGGAACTTGCTGGTAAGAATGTGCCATGAAGAATGCAATACAGCTAGACTAGCTTCAGTTGATATAGAATAAAGAGTGAATATAGTATAATAATATGATACAGTATGATATAAGAGTAATGGATAGATAGTCAAATAATATATTGAAAGGTAGTTTAATCACGTGTTATTATATAATCAAAGACTCGCCAGCTAATGCGTCTCCTGTTAATAGTGTGCTGATTATTATTGCTGTTTTCATAAAGGAGTCTATCAATGTGCTTTAGATCCAGCAGTGCATTGTTATTGGACAGTCAGAGCTATTAGACAGAGCTATTGGTGGCTGCAGTATATTTTTATGTATATAGGACAACTAGGGACCTGGAATCAGGGTTCAGCACGTGATATAAAACCGTACCAATGGTCGTATGTTGTTGCACGCACTTGCGCATATAGTACCATATTAGTGGTTGTTTAACAGCTTCCTCAGGGCTGGATCAAATCTTTTTTGTCACTGCATTTATTACATTATTCAGTGTAGCATTGCTTTGAATAATTTTCTTTTCAATTAAGCAAGCATTTGAGTTAAACCACTATTAGATACTACTAGAATTGTGAAACTTTATGATTTTAAATAGACCTTCAAAAATTTGATTGGAAAATAAATACTATTATCTTCAAAAAGCCACGGGTTTTGAAAGCCGTTGAAAAGCCGGATGTATTCATGCAGATTAATGTAAGTAACTGTATAGATTTACGGTACGTCAAAGTTGATCCGTATTCATGGAACACAATAATTTTATTAATTTTGCTAACTTTCAACAATTTGATTGAGTTTTGATAAACAACTCGTTGGCAGTAATTAAAAAGCTTTGGTTGTGAATCGAAGTCAGTGGAAAAGGGCTGCTATTAGAAATGAATAATTTCATGGTATGCTTTTGTTCTCATCAAAGGTTTTGAGCTATGATTGTCAAAGGAGTGAAGTGGGATCTAATACACCATTAAGTGTAATTGACTTACTGGACAACCCTTTTATTTTCTGAAGGTAATCTTGTTGTTAAAGATTGACAAGTAACTATTGATAATTTTAATTAATCAATTAATTATAATTGACGAGTTTAATTGTAAGTTTGCTATTGTAAGTAAACATTAGAATTTAAGAGATAATAGCATTTTTGTGAGAAATAATGTCAAAAAATTTATTTTGATTGAGCTGACCCATTTAGAATATGGTAGAATTAAGATAAAATAATGATTTGGGGCTAAAATATTATATTCAACATGAGCAATTTAGCTGATTCTTTTTTGAGTTGAGAGAATATTTTGTTAAAAATCAGTCAAGAAATATGGAGGTAAAAGAATCGAGTAGTTAAAAAGGCATATTCAAAGAATTTAGACAAATATCAATAGCTTAATGACATTTTCTTTGTCATTATTTCTTAAGACTATTGAGTGTTTTCCCTTTTAATTAGTTGTTAACAGCACAAAAAATTCAACAAGTATATTTTAAAATAGATTTGCGTGCTAAGGTGTTGATTTGGATAAGATCGAGAAGAGTAACAAGAGGAATCTAGGCTGAAATAAAAAATGTTGATATCCACAGCAAAGAACTAGTTAGGATTTAAATTTAATCGATACAAGAAAAATAGTAATTTCAGTGAAAAGATTCTAAATGATATTAAAAGCACGCTCAAAATAATCTGTCTATTTCTATTTATTTTCCCCAACTTCCATCAATTAGTTTGGAAAATGTGTTTTTTTCCATAAGTAATTTTATTTTTATTTTTATTTTTCATTGGATATCATTTGATATATGTGATGGAATTTTTTTGAAAGAATATCAAGAACCAAGTTTTATCACGAAGTTTGGATAGCTATCAACAAGCCAAATAATGACATTCAGTTTTATCAGTTTTATCAGTTTTAAAGATTTTCAAAGTGACCAAAGTAATAACAATGGTTTTTTTAGTCTTCATATTGTCTTGAAAATTGGTCATTCTCACGCTTGTTCTTTAATTTCAGGAAAGAACGTATGTATTTAATCACAAAATAGTCTAGAATTAATGGTACAAAAAAAAATAAAAATAAAAAGAATAACGTTAGTGCAAACAACACTTTTAGATCAATAATAAAGGAAATATGGTTGAATAAAGGTATTTTTCAGTAGCTATGCCTATAGTATTAGCATAATAACTGTTTGCTAGACAAGCTTTGGGTTTTTTATCGTCTATTGTTGACGTTGTTCACAAATTGACCATTATTATTTTTTGTAGATTCTGGAATTCAGATAATTGCACAATAAAGGCTCATTAATTCTACAAGGCGAGCTATCAGCAAGAGTTTTCGTCGATAAGCCTATAATATTTCCGATTGTTTAACGTTCAAAAAACTAAGAGAATAACGAGATTTAGTTTACTGTCCAACAGTTGTTATCCTATAATAGCTGAAAAACGTTTTGTTGGCTTTCTGGGCTTGTTGAGCCTGTTGTTGCAAACCTGTCACAGTTCTGCTGGAGAGACTGGGGCAAAGCAGCTCTGCTTGCAACAAGAAGAAGCCCTCCACCAAGACCAGCAGTAGCAGCAAGTGCCTGTTGGCATGGTGAGAAAGCTGCTGGAGAATCAGAGTGTTGTTCTGCAGAGACACCATGGCTCAAGCCTTTGTTGGACACAGAGGCAGCAAGTTCTAACCCAGTTCTGCGATTTCAGTTGTTCTCGCAATTAATGACCTTCGGTTTCGCTGTAGAAGAACATACAAGTGATTCTCCAAACTAGCTGGAGACAATCACCCGATTTCTGTTGCTGTTATTCCTTAACTGGGGTTATCATCGGATGGGCTGCGATGATATCTGTTTGCAGTACAATCTTTGACAGAAAATGTAGTCTGTAGATATATAAACCACTCGTTCGATGGTCTGAATAATGCTGATTCCTATTTGTTTGGCCCAGTCCCAGCACACTCAGCAGTTACACTGTTTACACTGTTTTTCCTAGCACTTCTCCAATCTTCATAAATGTCCTACAGTAGATTCAACGAATTGTCAATGAATGAGATTGACGAGGTTTTGTCTGAATCAAAATCCTTGAAATCGATTCCAGAGGAGGATTCTGAATTTGATCTCCATCAATATTCAGGCAACAGTTCTTGTAAGTCTTCGGCTTCGACCATTGATTGCAAAACAAACTTAAGACTATCTCTCTCACAATTCAAAACAAAAAACGATTTGCCGGCACACAACTTGTCCAAGTCCTCTTCGATCAGTTCTGTCACCTCAAACAACTATGGACTACAAAAGACAAAAACAATGGCTTGCTTGGGCAAGACAGAAACCTGCGATTCTTTAAGAAGAAATGGTTTGAATCTCAACAGAAAACCGGTTTCTGATGTTGTTGCTCCCACCTCTCAAAGTCCAAACAAAAGTTTGTTTCCTGAAGAATATACAATAGAAACTGAAACTGGCTTGGTAAAGGCTTCAACCTTGTACAGATTAAACAGATCAAAAACTTTTCCCTCAAATACCAGAAAAACGAAATCTAACAGCACACACAAGACAAAGTCTCATTTTTTTTCTAAATTTTTTCATTAATATTGCTTTCTTTCATGAAATCATCTTATATTAGCTTATATTCTTACAATAAAAATAAAAATAAAAAATAATCACAAAAAAAACATAAAATATTTAAAATAAATTAAAAAAAAAAAATCAAAAATTAGAATTTTTTTCTTTCCAAATTTATATTGTTTGGTTAATGTTGCTTGTTGATACTAGCAAAGGCTTGCACCATTTCGGTTTGCAGAAATTGAATCTCAATATCCTTATAATAGTTCATTAAAATATTCTCAAATCTTGCACTTAATGTGATAAATTCATTTTCAATTGATTTCCAAACTTTTCCTAAGAGTTGAAATTCAATCTTATTAACATCCTTTTCATCAATATTAAAATTACTCAAGTCTCTTTCTTTCTCTTCAAAATCCAATAAATGTTTTTCAACTCTCTTGTATAATGTTTCAATTCCCTTGTGAATTTCTCTATAATCATAAAAACTCAACAATTTTTTCAAAGATGACCTGTTATAACCACTGATTTTAGTTGGATCGATGATCTTTCCAGAAATGTTATTTTTGCTAGTAATATTTTCAATCCCCTCAATGAAATCTATTAATCTTCCAATAGGTCTTTGTAAAACCAAACTTATATATATATTTAAACTATCCTTGTAAATCTTAAAGCAATTTGTTCGGAAATTCATAATAAGTGAATTGTCTGAAACTGAAAATTTTTCAACCAAATAATTAGTATTTTTCATCAAATTTATTGCTTTGTTTATTTTGGTTTTTTCTTCATGTTCTTCAGCAGAATGTAATGTCGACTTCATTCTACTGGAAATTCCATTTATACTATCATCAATCAAATTTCCAACTGAAGCATTAGTAGTGGTTGAAACAATAATTGTTTGACAATCATTGTAACACTTTTCTAATGATTTCACAAATGAAGCACCGAGATCTGTATAAGACTTGTCCATTGTCCTTCTGATTTCAAACCCATTGATCTCATTGTGATCCATTCCACCAAGTTGGATTATTGATTCAATTTTATCAACAAATTTAGGATACAACTTAACGGAATATAATATACCAATTCTTTTGCTTGTATCCAAATGCATCAGCACATTTTTCTCAATTAATCTAATCTCATCGCTAATATATGTAGACCAAGATAATTTAATCTTGTTCAATCCTTTATTAATAAAATTCTTTAAAACAAATTCCTGGTTGCCAAGGTTTAATGAATTTATTTGAACTTCAAATAACAAAATAATGGCAGGAATCAAATTGATATTAACATTCAAAACTTCAACAATATAATTAATAACAACATTAATATCATTGTTGAATAACCATCCGATCAAATTAACAATAGTAGATGCGTTTTCATTATTCAACTCCATCCTATTGTCAATGTAACTCTTTTTCGATAAATATGATTGAATTCTTTTTTCTGGACTATCATACTTCTTAATATATTCCTCAAACTCGAGATATTTATAAGAAGAAAGATGAAAAAACTCCACAACAAAATCTTGTTGATGAATAATCAAATTAGTGAATCCAACTATGAACATTTTCAACTTTTCATATATACTCTTTTCTAAGCCAGAAGAAAAAATACTCATGATTTTAAACTGTTGATTTAATCCGGTGGAATCCTTATTGCTAGCATCTATTTGCTTAAACTGGTCTTTTAATTTTTTATTTTTATCAGCACCGCGAAACTTTGCTAATGTCTGATTTCTTTTAAGTCCTGTTTTTGACTTTTCAGAAAGTTTAAGATCATTCGAGTTTCCAGTCCCATGTACAGTCAAATTGCCATTGTATAGATCAAAAGAGGTTTTTAATGTATTTTCAGATAGCTCTGCTTTGATTAATTTGGACAAGTTGAGTTTATAACTTCCTATCAAATTATGAAACAACTTGGCAAAAACAGTTTGATACGATTTTATAAAATTATAGTAATCATTCGATGAAATCTTTTTGGCAAAAAGAATAATTGAATCAAAGACAAAAAGTTTCGAAAATTGTTTTAACAGAGCATCTATTATAATTTTAAAGTCTAAATTTTCATTCATCATTGATAAATCAGTATATTGCATTAAAAGCTTATTGAAATATCCATCTAGTTCATTAAAAATAAATTTAAATTGATCAAATAACAAATCACTAAATCTGGAAAGGAATATATTGGTTGTTCTTTCGTAATTGTTTTTTCTTTCTTGAACAGCCCTCATTTCACCTAAATCTTCTTCATTTCTTTTATCCTCATCAATATCATCCTCATCAATTTCCTTATCTTGTCCTACACCTTTGATTGTTTTAATTGCTCCATAAAGACTAATTAAAACATTTTCAACCATCATTATTTCGTTTGAGTTAGACATAGGGCTAGAATGCAAAATTTTTAATTCATCATCAGATAAGTTAATATTGGCCAAAATATCTTTCAATTCATTCCATAAAAGTTTTTTATTAGTAGTTTTCACCTGTAAACCATGCCCTTGCTGTTCAATGTAATTAATCTCATCCTGGAAAGCACCCAATTCAACCTGGAAAAAAGTCAAAAGTGGATCTAATTTCTCGCACTCAATAATTGAGGCATCAATTGAGCCATTAATTTGTGGATAATTCAGAGAGACGCTTATTAAAGAATTTATACTTTCATATTCAGTCGAAGCAAGGGCTTTAAGCAATTTTTTTTCAATTGTTTTGGAATCATCGGAACTTTTCCAATCAATTTCATCTAATAATTCTTCTAATGGAGATATCTCTGTTCGGATGGAAGAAGCTGATATTACTCTTTTGTGCTTGGTTTCCACATTAGAGCTTGGAATAACTTCCTTTTCTTCAGCAAATTTCAATGCACGAGGCTTGGTTTTCTCGCTTTTATTAAAAACTTCATCTTCATTTTTTGAAACAGAAGCTTCGTTATCGTGTTTTATTTCCTGGACCTCGTTATTAATAATTATCTTAATTTCTGGGTTTGTTTCAATCTGAGAATCTGAATTTGTATATTTATGATCAGACACGGAATCATAAAATTGATCATCATCGTCATCATCTTCATCTTCGTCATTATTATTATTATTATTTTCTTCTTGCCGATTTATTCGTTTTTCTTCCTTACGGGCATCTTCTTGTTCAGTTTCAAAATGATTGCTTCTTCGACTTTTAAACTGAATGCTGGCAATGGAAGAACTATGATTATGGCCTTTTCTTTCTAAAACATTATCAGTAGAGACATTTGATGAGTTGATAATTGCAGAATTTGGGTCAACAACTGGTGGGATAGTTGAATCAGAGAAACTTACACCTTTCAGTGCTGAATTAGGGGTTTCTGTAGTAATTTGGAAAGATGGAATGGTATGTAAATCATTTGGCTGAAGTTTTGGTAAAGTTTGAGTTAAATTATTTTGAGGCTCGGTTAGTATATTAACCCCAGGACTCATTTTGAGGGGGGAAATGGTTCCTGGTGAAGGAACTATTGGCATTTGCATTTGAATTTGAGTTTGAGTTTGAGTTTGAGTTTGAGTTTGAATATTTATTTGTACTTGATTTCGATCATTAGTAGAAATAGATCTGATTGTTGTTGAATCTTGTAAATTACTATATGGTAATGTTTGGTTTGGGTTATTATTAATGGTTGTATTTGATTGTATGATAATGGGTGAATTCGCAGTGTTATTGCTATAATTTCTTACTTTAGGCAAAATCTGAGTTTTGACTTTAATTTCAGGGGCTTTTTTAAGAGAAGAAGAAGTAGATTGAAAAGATAAAGTTGAAGAGTTGTTTTCAAATTGTTTTCCAATGTTTTTCAAACTTTTCTTGTGAGCAATGGAGGGTGTTTTCCCAGCAAGAGAATTAGAAGAGGATGAAAAACTAGGGTTATCAAAAATATTTTTATTTTGGTTAACTTTTCCAGATAAACTTCTAATGGTTGGATCATTTAAGGGGACTTTTTCAATTTTTTCTAATTTTTCAAATTGTTTAAATTTTGGATTATTTAAAATGGAACCCTTTCTTGATCTTGTGCCAGGGGTTTGAGGGGTTGAAAGTGAATTTTTTCTTATATTATCATTTTTGATAGATATTGAGGGATCGACATTTGATATGGTGGAACCATTTTCAAAGTTTTTGTTTTTAAGTTGATTATATGGATGAGAGGGACTACCAGGTATGGCAGGGTGAACCGGTGATAATGGGTTATTTGGAAAAGTTGAGATTGGTTGGTTAATGTGGTTAGGCAATGGTTGGTTTTCGAAGTTATGTTGGGGATTATTTTGAATGTTTTTATTGTTGTTATTGCCAATAGTGTGCATTCTTGCTGGAAGGTTTTGGTTTTGGTTTTGGTATTGTAGCTGATTCGTTTGATGCAATTGAGTATTTGATGGGTGATTTTGATAGGCAAACTGAGATTGAGATTGAGATTGCTGAGAATAAATTGAGTGGATAGATTTTGTAGGACTTGCTGGTTTTTGATTGAAATGAGGCGAATTTGATTTTGGAAAGTGATGAAAAATCTGACTACTGATACTGTTACTTTGGTGAACAGGTTTTGTATTGTGTTGATCATTGGGGGTAGCATATGAGTTTGATCTTGATTTTGTTGGACTATGTTTGCTAGATAGACTTTCTGAACGAGCAAGGGCATTGATTTCTCTTGAAAAATCTGCATCAAAGCCAGTGAGTTTAGGCAACTCACCATTTTTGTATTTTGAATAAATGTTACAAATGCTTTTTAAGAAAACTGTTCTCTCCTTTGCAGAATTTGTTTCCCAATAGTATGATTTTCCTAAAAACATGTTGAAGCCAGTTTGAGAAGATGTATCGATATCTATGGAGGCCAAGTCATCTAGATCCCAGGTTCTTCCAATTTGAAAGGTTGAATCATTGTTTTCTCTGCCTTTATGAAGTCTTACCTTTCCAGATCTCTTGACTGCTAAAGCTAAGATACGGTTTTTTTTGTGAGATTGAGCAGAAGACGGGGGAGGTTTGGCAGAAGGATAATAGGAGTCTTCGATTATTCTGACATGGGTTATATAGTTTTCATGCAAGTTATTATCTCTATCAAATTTGGAAAAACAGCAATCAATCAATCTTTGGCGGTCCTGATCGTACTTCTGAGCCAAAGTCAAAGTGTCAGTCCTGCTTGGAGAGGATGGGGAGCTGTTGGAGGAATTCCTAAGATTGGATAGTTGGCGGTGAATAGAACGCATTACAAATTATCTGATTGAGGTGCAGTTAAAACATAAGAAAACGCAGCAATGGAGAACAAGACAATGGACTATTAGATGTATCGGATCAGATCTGGCAGAAGAAGTGATTATATCAGGAATACCAAAAAAGGTGTCCTCTCAATCAGTCCACACACGTGATAAGACGAGTCCCACGATGCGGGACTGGGCTTTGGTGTTGTTATCGTTATTGCTGACGGGGAAAGGAGAAAACAGCAAGCGACAGAGTGGGAAGAAGAAGTGGTCAGAGAGTCCAGAGGATAGTTCTAGTGTTTGCAACAAGAGCTTTGATTCTGCGGATTGCAGTCTGTTTTCAGCCATGGGGAAAGCAGTTTTGCGAAGCTGTTCAGAGCAAAAAGCAAATAGACTTTGATGGAATAGCCTCAATCATCAAATGTGTCTGAAAAATGGTACGAACAATACGTAGAAATTTCATCCGCCACTTTTTGTTTATAGCAATATATTCCAGAGTATTGCAATGCGTCCCATCTTTCTTGTATCTCTCAAGATTTGTGATATTTCTCTGGCTGAAGTGTTGACTCTTGCTAGATATGGCGTTGCAGGACGTGCTCTGATTGGCTGGGGGTGGCTGGGTCTTTCCGTCAGTTGAGCAAGCGCATGATAGGAAAAGATCGTACCCGTTCTGCACAGAAAATGTTCCATGCATGTGAAACTGCACAAGCCGGAAAGCAACTTCAACTAGGTACACGGTACACGAAGAGGACAGTGGCTTTGTGCGGACGCTGCAGCCGGGTTCTTTGGTTGCGATCTGGATGATGTTAGTGGGTCTTATTTATTGTGGGTCTTGATTGTTGGTTATCGGGGCTATTGGATTGCAGGATGGTGTTTTATCCGGGTGGAGAGACAAACACTGGTAGTAATGAATTGAGCTGAGATGAAATGAGATGAAACGAAACGAAACGAAACGAGATGAGCTCAATTTATATCAATTGAGCTGAACCATCCCATATTATATCTAGTTACTTAGGTTTTAATTGATCACTTTCAAGAGATAAGAGTGAATAAAGATGGCTAAATAAATGCACTTTGAAAGGTGATTATTGTATACAAGTGCGTATGGGTGGACTGAAACATTTGTAATAATTTAAGTTAACGATTAATAATAAATAATAATAATTAATAATAATGTGTTTTAGAATATGGTTTTATAAGCGCTTTTGTCATAATCCTTCGTTTTGTTTTTTTCTTGTGGAATCAAATTCTTGTTTTAAAAAATTGAAATACAACCAGAGTTTAGTATTGGTTAAAACTCATTAATATCACTGAATATTAGCTTGAATCGATCTAATCCCTACAAAATAAAAGATTGTGTTATGAATAACATTACAGAAGTACAATGTATAAAAGTAAAAAAAAATGGAAGTTATGAATAACCTTTGGAATTAGCAAACGTTTTAAACAGAGAGCAAGCACGAAATAGGTAAGAATAAATCAAAGATAAATGAGTCTTTTATTTATTTTGTTTTTTTTTGAAGTGAAATTTCAATTGAAATACATGGAGGACATATAACCAAAAAAAAAGGGGTTGGAAAGAGTTAAAAGAAATTAACAGAATTAAAAACAAAAAAAACCACAAAAAATTAAAATAAGTTGAGATATAGAGTTAAACCTTTACTCGTGTATACTTACCTTAGTAAATAAGTGGCGATCGAGTAATTAATTTAGTTGAGACAAGTAAAACTAAGTAGAACAAAGTAAATTTTCAGCAAATGGAGATAATTTTATTATACCAGCATAATAGCAGTTGAATTAATGTGATCTATGATTTATGATTTAATATGAATTAATACAATTAAATACAATTAAATACAATTAAATACAATTTAATATAATTTTCTTTTTACATTGGGCTATGAAATTTGAATATTCATCAATGAAATAATTATACTCATTAAATTACAAAAAAAGAATAGACTTCTAGAATAATATCAAAAAAATATCAAATTATATCAAGTTATATCAAGTTATATCAAGTTATATCAAATAAACTAAAAAAGATGAGATGAAATGGAACGAAATGAAATAGAATGAAATCAAATTTCATTGTACTTTTGTCTAATTTCAAAATTAAATAATACCCATTAATATCCAATAATATCCAATAATATCAAATATTATTAAAATATTATTAAAACATTATCAAATTATATCATTAGTATAAAAATTTCTCTGCAGAAGCTAAAAGCTATTTCAATAATGTTTATGGTTGATCTTGATGCTGATCCTATTATAGTAAATAATCTTATTACATAAACTTGTGGTTTAATAAGTTTGTGTTTTTTGGAAGGGATTTTGTATTTATATTTTGGAAAATCCTCCTTCAAATCCATCATATCCATCATATCTATCAGATTATTTAAATCATAGATTGCTGATAAATGAAATAACGGAAAATCCATACAACCCCAGTGGAAATAGTGGAAATAGAAAGGCTAAAATAGCAATTTCATTCAATAATGCTGTCCAAGTTTTGAAAAAACTTAAAAAGCAAATGTGAATCAAAAGAAAATATACGAGTTATCCAAAATATAAAGTCCTCAAAACAGTTGCTTCAAAACATTAGTTCTATGTTACTGGTTTAAGATTGTTAATAAACTACTTTAAATAATAAATATTATTTAAAGTAGCTTAATTAATTGTTATTTTTAATGGTTAATTTCTATCCAATGCTATTGATTTGTACAAAATGGTCAGTATTGATTCGCATTGTTCTCAGATCAAAAAGCCCACTTTTTGTGCCTGCTGTTTGTGTCCGCTGCTTATCCACAATTGACGGCTACCCGAAATCGACCAATGAGAGCACGCCGCTGCCAGCAAAACATTCCTTTTCGTTCCTCGACGGTACAATCGCACAGCAACACCAGCCAATAGCTGCCTGCCCTAGGTCGAAAAAAGCCGGAACTTCGCAAGCTCCTTTGATGTCTCACCATTTCCAGGCCAAGACCCAGGCCAAGGACCAAAGACCCAAAGAACCAAACACACTTCCAAAACCATGCATGTGCTCACTGCTGGCCAACTCACATGAGAGCGTCATGCATGAACAATGCGTTGTGTGTGCAGATGCTCTTTCTGGCAAACTTACCAGTTTCATCTTTCCACACTCTCAGTCGTCGGTAAAAGACTCGTGATGCAGCCGGACGCATGTAGCCGCGCTCTGTTTTACATCCCGCGCTGGGCTGCGCATTTCGATTTGTGCTCTGAAGCGACATCCTTTACAAAACACCACAACCACCACCAACAAAGCACAGCTGGAAAGTTTGGTTCGTTCTCTCAGCTGTTCAGCAGCTGTGCTTTGCATCGAACCCACTGCTGCTGTTGTTACTGTTGCTGTTGCTGTTGATTTTTGTCCGCTGCTGCTTCCACTGCTTGGAAGTTTCCACTTGCCCTTCTCGAACTTTTTTGAACGTTCTTTATGGCCCATTTAGCTTTTTCTAAAAAAATAGCTTTCTGATCTTATTTCAATCTTTTGCAGAAATTCTAAAGAGAAATTTAAACATGAAATGATAATCTATAAATATGAAATAATCCTGAATCATTGTCTTAAATTATTCTTCTGTTTATATAATACCTCATTCCCAGCTATCTCGATAAAAAAGAAAAAAATCAGAATCAGAGAAATCAAAAAATAGATCATTTTCTTCCATATATATATGTATACATACATACATACATACATATATATATCTGATCGTTTTTATTATCTTTTTATTCAACCACCATCTTTATAAAAAAATAATTTCTTTATACCTATCAAAACCATATTCAACTTTACATCTTACTTCAATATTCAATTTGTTTTCTTGTTTTGGGTCTGTTTTTTTTCTTTTATTAATTTCTTTTAATCTAGATTTCGACTGTTCTTATATTCAGCAACCATCAATTACCAATTACCAATTACCAATTCTCTATTTTTATATGCTCTATATTGGTTCTCAAAATAAAAAATTAAACCAAAAAAAATTAAGAAAAAAAAAGAAACATAATATTCTTTTGAAAATCTTTCAATAGTTTATCTATTGTTATATTTAGTTTAGTTTAAATAATAATATTAATTACAAAAATTATAATAATAATAATAATAATAATTACAATGAATCAATCACTAAACACAAACAACATAAAAAATTTTCAGCCCATAAATCACCTATCTTTTTCTTCTACTTCTTTAACAAACGATTGCTTTAAATCTTGTTGTTATTTTTTTAATATCGATCCAAACTCAAAAATTAATAAAATCAGCTACAATCCTAATGATCAATTGTTTTTAAATGCTTTTATATCAAATTCTTCTTGGCTAGATTTATTATCTCCTTTTCCTTTATTCTCTAAAATTTTACCCAAAATTGCTCAATATGATAATTTAAATTCAAAATTGATTTTGAATTGTCTATTATCTTGTGGCTCAATTCTAAATAACCAAATTAATCACAACTCTATTAACATTAACATTAATATCAAATCATCCTTTGATTCATACCAGTCATCTTTCATAACCTTTAAATCCCTTCTATCTTCTGCAAACTCATCTCATTTAATCAACAATAAATTATTTATCCTAAATGTCTCTCTAATGTGCTCAATCCTACTAAACATCTTTGAGTTTTTTCTGGATTTCAACTTAAATGGTAACCCATCTTTCAACTGCAATTTAAACTCTTCTAGACAGATTTTGGAGGACATAAATTCTTTAAATATCTTAAACTTCTCAATCCAAAATAATCAAATACTAAAATCTTCTTTATTAGTTATAAATCAGCTTGATTTATTATTGTCAATGAAAAATAAAAATTCCTCAAGATGGACTTCAATTAACGATTTCTTGTTTAACGAAATCACCTTTAAAAATTCTTACAATCTAAAAATTGGCTTGAAAAATGTTAATGATGAAATCATCGATGATTACAATGGCAACTACCTCTGGTTCCATTTAAACAGCATAAATTACTTTAATTTAAATCTCAACAATCTTTCAATTAAATCAGATACTTGGTGGCTACATAAAATTATCTACATCCAGACATTAATCAACAATTTTTGTAACTATCCCAACAAAAGTTCTATAAACCAAAACCAATTTGAAAATAAAAATGAAAATGAAAAAATGTTAATTGTTAAAAAATGGAACTATTTGAAAAATTTAAATGACAATTGGCTACTATCTCTACCAAAACCTTTAACAACTATTGCAATAGTCAATGAAAAAAAAAATCAACTATTAAATTCAAAATTCCCTGTTATACTATATAATACTAATGTTGGTGCTTTGGCATCAATTTATCATCATTTAAATTCAATTTTATTACAATCTTTTTTACTTTCAACAGGTAATCTCAGCATCAGTGTTAGCATAGGTGAAAACCAACTGTTTAACTCCATCATGAATTATATTATCATCCATTCAAAGCAAATTGTTGGAATAATAAAATCAAATGAAAAATCAATATGGCCACCTTCAATACTAGCATTAAAAACTGCTGCACTATACTTGAATGATCCAAAAGAACAAAATGAAGTTTATAATTTATCGTTAAAAATACAAAACCATACAGGGATAAGGATATTATAATATTCAGTACAATGAAAAAAAACAACCCATGAATCTGATGACCTGTTTTAATTTTTCTATTTCTTTTTGTTATTATTGTTATTTATTTGATCAAAATTTAAATTAGGATTTGAACTGACATTTAAATTAATATTTAAATTAACATTTGAATTGATTGAAATCTGAGCAGTGATGATATATTCTAGTGATAATGATGATGATTTTAAATTATAGTACATGTAATAATTTTGCTGGGTTTTGAATGATGGTTGTTTTAATGATTTTTTTACTTACTTATTTATTTGTTTTATTTATTAATTTTTGATCTCCAGTTTTTTTTTTGAAATCTTTTCTATTATGTATTTGTCTAATTATTGTTATAAGTTTTATTTTGGTATTATAAAGAAAAAAATAATTTTTTATTTGATGATGATATGAATATTTTAAATATGTTGCATGTTTATGGCTTTGAGGTTTGTATTTTATATATATATACATTTTATTTATTTATTTATTATTTTTTATTTATTGTTTCTCATTTCTCATCTCTCATTTCTCATTACCTATTACTTAGTTTTATTGTTCTCAGTTATTGTTTCTTTTTTAGTTTTATTTTTATTCTTTTTGTTTATATTCTTGTTGATATTAATAATTTTTCATATATTGAATATCTAAGTAATTAAAACTATCAAGTAAAATGAGTTTTCTTAATGGAAATGGAAACTAAATGGAAACTAAATGGAAACTAAATGGAAGCAAATGGGAAGCAAATGGGAAGCAAATAGAATAATAAGAAAAAGAAATAGAAAAAAAAATAGATAAAAAATAGAAAAAGAAAAAAAGAAAAAAAGAAAAAAAGAAATTTATTCGATAAATGAATAAATAGATAAATGAATAAATTGAGAATAGTGTAATGAAACCGAACTTAATGCTTTTTTTTGTTTCTTTCAAAAAGCAAAACCAAAAAAGGGACAAGAATTGAAAGCTAATAAATGTTTGAATAGGATACTCTTATTAAAGTGGAGTGTATTAGTTAAATAAAAATCGAGATTTGTAATGAGAAGATTTGATAACTGGGGATTAAAAAAGTGAATTACCGATTTGGAGTATATTTGTGCAATTTTTTTTTGTACCAATACTTCTTTTTTGCTTTTTTGTCTTATTTTTGATTTTTTTTAAAAGAAAATTTTTCTTAGCATGTTAGTATAAAGAATAACGTGGAATCCAGATCATGATTCATGATCTGTTTATGGATCTTCGAAAAAGTGAATACACTGAAAATAAGAGAAATTTAGAGAATGTTTTGTTTTTGCTTGCTTTTATGGCGGTTCTTTGTAATCAATTGAATGTTAATTTTCTTTTATTGTTTTTAAAGATGTTTTCATATTTTTTGATTGTTCTAATTAAGTGATGGTACATTTGATTTTGATGGTAAATTTAAATTGAACAAAGATAATTTAAAACAATTTCAAATATTTTAGTAATATTTAGTGCAAATTCATTCAATTTAACTCATCTGATTTGGTTATTCAGACAAATTTAATGTTTCAAAAAAGAGCAAGTAGTTGTATAATTTTGATTACTTCACTTTTGGTTTTGGTTTTCAAAAATGTATAGTGTATATAAACAAATAGATAGAAATGGGTGAGTTAGATGATGGGAAATAGGGTTGGTAAGAGAAGCAATTGGGTTAAATATCCTACCATATTGCAATTGGAATAGACAAATTTCATTACAATGGAAATGGAAATGGAAAATGATAACAAAAAAAGAGAAGAGCAGTGGAGTTTTTATTCCGTAATTCCCACTCAATTCATATGTAAATGGACGATGGCTTATCATGGCAGAGAAACAGATTGACAACTGTTTAAAAAGAATTGGAAAGAAAAGAGCAAGGTCTCATAAGTTCGATCGTCTTGCTATACCGATGAAATTTGCAGTGGAAAAGAATTCTTATCAATCGAGCAATGATCGATTGAGGAGCAAAAGAAGGAAACGAGAGGCAGAGCGGTGATTGGTGGAACGCAGAAGACTTTTGCAGCCTTCAGACAACCGTTTTCGACTGGTGTCATGGTGTCTGGTGAGGAAAAGACCAATGAGAGCAAGAAGCAGACATAGAACAGTGCAACAAAAACGGTTTCCCTTTGAGAGGCAGGCAATGAATAAGACCACAATAAGTCGGTGGAATCCAGCAGCCAGCAGCCAGCAGCCAGCAATCGCAAAAAGCCATTTGCAGCCAGGCGTGCGGGACACAGGATGATTGGCTGAGGTACAATAGAATTCGACACTTCAATAGGATTGTATTGTTCTTGAAAGTTCGGTGCATGGAACTGACTAAATCATTTTTCCGGATCAAGCTTTTAACGCACACCGCTGCATTGTGTCCACGGACACAGAACACGAAGGGCGCAGCCTAGACAAACAGCGCCGGCTCTTGACGAACCGCGCACACGGCCCGACTGGTGTTCGCTCCACTTCCAGAGGCTGCAGAAAGCTGGAGCGTGCACAACTCCGCCGGTCTGACCGCGGTGTTCAGGCACGTGTCGTGGCGTGTGCCGTCAGCGAGTTGGTGCGGCTGATGGTTTTTGTGCGTGTGCTGCGCGTGTTGCGCGTGTTGCCTGTGCTGCCTATGCTGCCTGGGCCGTTGTTTCTCCCGGGATGTTCGTGGCTCTTGCTGGTGCTCTCGTGGCTTGTGGCTGTCTGCTGCCTGTTTGTCTCTCTCTGGGCCTTATCTCTTTATCGCTTTATCTATCGCCTGCTTTTTGACTCACTGCTCTACTCATCTCTATCACCATCACTACTCGCTGATATATTCTTGCTCTCTCTTTCGCAGTCTTTTCAGCCCACCAGTTACTTCAATTAACTCCACTTTCTTCTTCCTCTTCTCATGTGTATCTTCCTAACCACTTGTGCCCATCCTGCTTTTCCTTTCATCTTGATATCTAATAGGGATGAATATTTTCTTAGGCCAACTGCTCTTGCTCACTTTCATTCAAACAAAATCTTATCCCCATACGATTTAGCAAGAAATGAACGTGGCACCTGGATAGGCGTCAACAAAGCTGGTAAAATCGCTGTTCTTGTCAATTTTCACGAAGATAACTATGATAGCATTTACAGCAAAGTTTCAAGAGGCTTAATTCCCATGCAATTTCTAAAATCTCCTAAAAAATCAAAAGATTGGGAACTAGAATTGTACGATTTATACCAGAATAAAGAAAATTTCGTTCAAAAAATTGGTGGCTTCTCTTTATTGTTTGGTGAATTATCCTATAACAAAACTGCAAACTCAATAAACCCTTTGAAAATCATATCAAACCGTGGCGATGAAGTAATAATATTCGATAATCAGCATATTAATAATAACCCCAACGATTTAACAATAAATACCGATACTCAGTCTGCCCAGGTGGATAACAATAATGACAACAAACAAAATATCACCAATAGTAATGCTAAAAACAACAAAACTAATGAAAGAGACAATAACGACAAAAAAATTGCTAAAGATAACAGTGCTCTTAAAAATGATGCTAACAATAACAAAAAGGAAAAAAAGGAAAAGAAGGAAAAGAAGCAAAAAAATGTCAAGTTTAATCAAAATGATAATCCAATTCCAATCAATTTCTCCTCAGAAAATTCAGAAAATACACTTAAACAACAATACTCAAATAAAAAATTCATAGGACTATCCAACTCGCTATTCAATCACCCTTGGCCAAAAGTTCAAATAGGCGAAAACCTTTTAAATAACCTCATAACAAATTCAATCAATGAAAATTGGCAAGAACAAAAAATAATTCAAAAATTATTCGAATTGTTATCTTTTAATTCTTTTCAAATTGATAAAGAATTTCCTTCGGAAAATTTTAATAACTTGAAAAATTCAATTTTTATTCCTCCATTCGAAGTTAAAGATAATAAAATTCCAAACATTATTGGCAAATATTATGGCACGAGAACTCAAACCATCATTTTGTTAGATAAACAAGGTAATCTAAAATATATAGAAAGATCTTTACACACAAAGGACACCCTCACTGAACCATCTTTTGATAACGTTTATTCTTTTAACATTAATTCAACTGATGAAATCCAAAATCATAATCATAATCATAATCATAATCAAAATCAAAATCAAAATCAAAATCAAAATCAAAATCAAAATCAAAATCAAAATCAAAATCAAAATCAAAATCAAAATCAAAATCAAAATCAAAATCAAAATCAAAATCAAAATCAAAATCAAAATCAAAATCAAAATCAAAATCAAAATCAAAATCAAACTAATGAAAGCCAAATTAATGAAAATCCAATAAGAAAAAAAATTAAAAAAGAAATTAAAATCAATAACAAACCTCAAGATCGTGATATATCAAATATATTCATGGATAATGATAAAAAAATCAAAAAATAATATTGTTTATAACATATAACATATATTTTATAATTTATAGAAACACTTTTCACCAAGTTTACTAAAATTAATTATTTAAAATTTCAATACCATTTATTTATGATTTAATCGCAAAATCATTCTTACTTTTATAATATTCATCTATTATTTTCAGCATTTCTTTTTCTTTTTCTTTTTTTTCTATGCTAATATTTTTTATATTATTTTTTTTTTAATGATCTATTTTTTTATTGATAATTTCATGATTCCCTTTTTTTTATATATAATTTCTTTAAAGAAAAATTCTATCTGTTTTTCAAATGTCTATCTGTTTTTCAAATGTCTATCTGTTTTTCTTTCCTTTTTTTTTGATTTAATCCAAATTTACTATAAATTATATTATAAATAAAACCTCAGTTTTTTTTTTTACCTCTCCATTTATTAAAATTAAATGTATATGAAAAATTAAAATAAAACAATAAAATACAAGATCTTTATTAAAAATTGAAATAAAAAGTGAAATGAAACATAAAGGAATGGATAAAATATTTCTTTTCTAAAAATACACCTAAGAAAATAAAAAAAAAATTATATAAATATATATACAGATGGTTATTAACTTGAAATTAAAGCATATGCTGTAACGTTTTCAAATCTTTCAAAAAATATCTTCATTTGAACCTCTAATAATTCATTGATTATTTCTACACCAATGATACCTTCTTCACTCTTTATTTTTTTTAATTTAAGCAAATCATTAAAATTAATCCTCCAAACAACACAATCTGATGAAGTGATAATTTGATACTTTCTATCCAATAATTCAAATATTTCATCATTTTCATGGATAGGAGAAGATACACCTAAATTTCCTAAACATGTTTTGGGCAGAAATGTTTCATCTATTGTTCCTTGAGCAAAAGAATGATTAACTTTTATTAAACCAGATTCAATGATAAACATAAAACCCTCGTTATTTTCTTTTCCTTCATTTGTGTAAACAATTGTGTTTCTTGGAATTCTTTCTTTACGCAAATAAGGTAACAACTTTATCCAAAAACTCTCAGGTTTAGATGACAACCCGTAAAAAGTCGACATTATCAATGAAAGGGGATAAACACTTGTTAATTCCTTCATAACTGAATTGTCCTTATCTTTTTCTTTTCCATTAGTCTTAATTTCAATCACATTTTTAGATAAGGGTTCATTGATGCAAATGGTATCATTATTAGAGCCAATCCTACTTTGGTTGTTAATCTTAAACTCCTCACTAATAGTTTGAGTAGCAGCTTTAAAAAGGTTGGTCTGTCTAGGTGAACCAATAAAAGAAGAATTGTCTGCCATTGACAGCATCGGATTTATAGCAGATATTATAGGACTAATCTTAGAAGTATGCTCGTTTGGATGTTGTATAGGAAAAGGAGATATTTTAGGAACCTGACTAGAGCTGGAATTTGATCTTTTGACTAAATTTAATAATTTCTTTTGTCTAAACTTATAATAAGATGATAAAAATTCATTTTCACACCATTCTAAGGCAGAATTCAAATTATCAAACAATTGGACTGGTTTGCAACCATCAAATTCTTCATTGTTACATAGTAAACCGACATCATTTAAAGATCTGTAAATCTGGCTATCATTAGAAATAGAGGATATAATTAGGTAGGCATTATGTTTTTTCACCAAGTTCTTAATTCTAGTAAAACCTTCTGCAGCTGTGTAGTCAATTGATAAAATGTTTTTAAAATCCAAAATGAGGTATCGAATAGATGGGTATGTATCAATTTTGGACAATGATGATGAACTTGAGGATGCAGGAGACAAAGTATTAGGTGCTGGATAAGACAACACAGGCAGTGAACTAGGAGATACATAGGCAGAATTGGAAGAAAACGAAAAGCCGCTTTCTGATGGAGAGACTTCAAATCTCGCTCTGATTTCTTCTTCAATAGCACCAATTGTACCAAAAAAAATGTTACCTTCCAATTTCATTAAATATATTTGATCACCAACATTTCTTAAAAATTTTTTAAATAATTGATTACGGAAAACAGTTGATTTTGCAATAACACCAGAGTAGATATGAGTAATTGGGTTTCTTCTGGCATTATCAACCACAAAAGAAATACAAGCAAGCAATATACCAATAATGATACCATAAACAAAATCCCAAATACCCATGGTGAAAACAATGATGATGACAGTTGTATATTCAAATTTACTGAGTCTTCCATAAGAATCTATTAACGATTCAATCATTAATTCATAGCCCAAGAGAAAAATTAAAGCTCCAACAACACAAACTGGAATGAATTTTATAAGAACTGGACCAATAAACATGATAATGACTGTTCCAACTGCCAACAAGAAAGAAGGTAGTTTCGATTCAGCACCAGATCTGATGAATAATAAACTGTTTGAATAAACCAAATAATTTTGAACTGAACCAAGACAACCAGATAGTATATTAGATACACCATGACCAATTAATTCTTTATCGATATCAATTTCGTCATTTTTAGTGGAGACAGCTAAAGCAGGGATGTTAATTGGAACGTGCAAAATACCAAAAAATGTCAAGGCCAACATTGTTGGAAGCTCTTGCAAAATCAATAACCAATCGACTTTTGAAAACTTATAAAGTGAATAAAAAGAGTACCAGGAAGAGTTGTTGGTAGAAGTATCAATATCAAAGACAAAACCCAATTCTCTAGATTTTGAAAGGCTCCATGAGGGAATTATCAATACTAAAAGGTGGAATAGTAAAAAAATTAAGATGAAATAACAAGGTAAGAAAATTGCTGATTTTGATAAGACTTTATTGAATTTCTGTAATAATATTAATAAAACTGTTACCAGTACTGCTAAAGACCATCTGACAAAATAAAGACCAGAAAATAGCAATTTTAATGTTTCCAAGTTATAATGTATATTATTTGGTAGCTTTGAAGTGACTTCAAAACCAGTCATAATAAGGAAATAACCCACACCACCAATACAACCAATTAGGATATGTCTAGGGAAAAAGCCAATTAATTGGCCTAGTCTGAATTTACCTAGTATGAAAAAGGTTAAACCTGTCAAGATACAAGAAATAGCAGTGGCTACAACAGTCGTAGCTAGTATTTTATCTTGCAACTCTTGAGGAATATTATTTGAGTTATGAGAGGGACTTAGTTTATGCAAAATATTCAAAGCAATTGTGTGAATAAAGGGAGTGATTTCGATCATTTCTGAGCCAATTGAGCAAGGAAAGCCAGAACCACCAAAGGTGTAAACTAGTTGAGAGACAATGCAAGATATATAAAACATTGAAAGACCAGCAGGCCCTAAATTTGAAAAAATTCCAACATTTGGGAATAAGATTATTCCATAAGATAAGCCATCTAAAATATTTAATAACAAACCGATTAATACTGGCGGCAACGCTCTAGAAAAATCGTTTAATAGATGAGTATTTTTGAAACTTTTATAAAGTAACAAGTTTTTATAGTGTAGTAATTTGTTTTTAAAAGAGTTGTTAGAATTGTTATTTGTATGATGTAAAAATTTGTTTAAATTATCGTTATCAGTTGAATCAATTAAATAGTTATTACAAACCGGAGAATTGTTTTTATTGATTGATTTGAGTTGGTTATTAAAAGCAGAGCTATTATTAATTTTAATAATAGCATTGGGATTCTTATTCTTCTTATTCTTCTTATTCTTCTTAATATTCTTGTTATTATTAGGATTATTCGGGTCGTTATAATAGTTTGAGATGTTGTTGTTGATGATATTATCAGTGGGAGAGGATAGGTTTAAGAAGGATTTGTTTAAAGTTTGAGAAATGGATCTATTGAATCTTTTTTTGAATTTTTTGAAAGGGGAAGAGTTGTTTTGAGAGCCAAATTCATGATCATTGGTTGGTACACTGTGAGGACCTAGGAGGGAGGAAAAAGAGGTTAGATCAGATTCAAGTTGATCATTTGTGAAGGATTGATAATAAGGGGTGGATGAGGATAATAGGGGAGTTTTGTGGTTTGAAGTTATGATTGAAGAAGGTTGCAGAGAAGAGTGAGGTATGGATAGAGATAAGGCCAGAGAATCGTTTTGATTTTGTTGTTTGAGAGTAGTTGAGAAAGGAGACAATGGAGAAGAGAAGGAGGAGGATTTGATTCTCTTTTTGATAAAGCTTTTGTCTTTAGATTTATCAAGTTTATCGTTTTTATCAAGTTTATCAAGTTTATCAAATCTATCGGTAGTGTCGAATTTGTCATGATCATTTGTTTTATCCAGTTTATCCAACTTATCAGGATTCTCAGGATTTTCAGGATTATCGAATTTATCGAATTTATCATTGATTGGATCTGAGATGTCTAGCTTGTTTGAATCTAGTTTATTGAATCTATCAAAATCATCCAAGATGGATAATTGAGCAGTTTGTTTGTGAATTTCGTCGGTGTTGTTGATTGCAATGTTTGAGTTGATAAAGGAGAGATTTTCAATGTCATTGTCAAAGGATATGTTGCTGTTTTCATTGTTGTTGTTGTTAGTAAGATTAGAGTTAGGATTATGATTGGGATTAGAATTAGGATTAGGAGAGTTAGTTTGTAGAAGCAGGGAGTTTCTTTTAAAGCTTGTTCCAAAGACACTACTTGATCTTAGGCCAGGGTTTTCTATTTGAAGGTTGACTAGGGAACTTGAGGGGGAGTCATTAAAAAAAACATGAGAATGTGAGTGGTTGTGGAAATGGCTGTGATTGTTAAAAGATACAAAGTTGTTATGGTTATTGGAAGTATTTGAGTTGTTGGAATTGTTGGAGTTGTAGGAAGTATTAGTAGGATTGCTGTTACCAGGGAGATAATTGTTTGAAAAGGATATATTTCTTTTGTGTTTTTTGCTATTGTTGCTTTTATTTGATAAGGATCTCGATAAAGGAGCAGAGTCATAGGATTTCATTGGATTTATTAATTTGTTTGATAAATAAGATTTTTGTTTAAATTTGTTATTGTTGTCATCATGAAAGGGGTCCATTTTTTTAGTAATAATAATATTATTATTATTTTTAGTGTTGTTGATTGTTGGTTATTGAAGTAGAATACAAACGTAGAAAGAAAAGTAGAAAGAAAAGATAGGAGATAAGAGGGATAAGTGATAAGTAGAGTGATAAATGGATAGATAGAAAAAAGGAAAGCAAATAATGAGGAATAAAGAGAGTTGAGATAAAATAGATTAAAGGTAAAATGAATTGAGGTTGGGTGAAATGAAACGAAATGAAACGAAACGAAACGAAATAAAGTGAAGTTAAAGTTAGTTTTAAATTTAGGTAATGAGCACTATTGAGTATTGGGATTAATTAGAGATAGTGTGAATGACAACAACAATAGTAATGGTAATAGTAATAGTAATCTGCTTTGGAGAGACAGATATTGTACCAATAGCTGTAGCAAGGAATTGTAAATGTGTAAACTGATTTTGAATTGGTTTTTCTTTTGTTCTTTCTCTTTCGATCCAAGAGAAATGCTGTTTATTGAAGATGATTGTGGAGATGGCAGCTGGATTGAAATGGAGCTGCAAACAACAAAAGATTATAAACTGCAATTGGCAATTGAGAAATGGGAGGAATTAAGACAGCAATTGCAATTGCAATGAGAAAGAGAACACTGAGGATAAACTACAAGAGACTAAACGAAGATAAGATTATCTCTTTATATATTGGTGCGAGCAGTTTTGAATGCAGCAGGTAGGATTGGAGGTAGTTTGGAGAGGAATAGAGATAGAAGCAGAGAAGAGATGGACGAGAAATTGAAGTTGAAAAGAGTAAGGATAGCCCTTTTGAAGCAAGTAATTGTTCAGTGCAAAATAACAAGAGGTATCAAAGCAGTAATTTGAGATGAAAAAGCAGGATATAATATATTCTGGAGTCAACAAGCAAAAAAGAGGAAAAAAACAATCAATCTACAACAAACAATACACATGCACACAAGATGCACACAAAAGATTGCGGGATGGCTCCAAAAGCAACCGCAGGCCGAGCGACGTCAAACAGCGGACAAAAACAGCCCCAGCCGAGCACCGCCACTGCTGTCTGTCTGGCCAATCAGCACGCGCTATTCCGCTGCTTTGACGTGTTTTTCACTTCGAGACCCTATTGTCTGCGCACACCCACCGCAAACCCGCCGCACTGGCTTGCACTCGCCACAGATGCACGCGATTCCGCACACCATGCGCGCAAAACCTACGCATCACATGTGCCAGAACCCGCTGCACCAGCCTTGCGGTCCTGCTTTCTATTGGCCCACGTTGACCACGACCTACACTCCAACAGCTGCTCCTGTCAAAGCACATTTGTGCGTATAAGCGCATATGCCGTATGCTGGACGCAACACCGCGCATACGTCAACAAGCACCCACACTGCTGGTCTGAGACACTGCGGTTGCGAGCGCGGAGAAAACACAGTCACGCAAACACCGATCGAGCAGTGCTGAGATGTCCTGCTTCAAAGCGCAGGGCTCGCAATCCAACGCAGTGCTGTAATGCGCCGGCACTCGACGGGCTTTTCTTTCGCGCCTGGGTTTTTCCTGAGCCGGCTCGCGTTTTTCCACGGCCGGGTCACGAGTGTTTTCTTTGTCGTGAAATTTTATTATATCGTTGAAGTATCTTGCACTTCTCAGCTAGAGGTTTTATCAAAGGTTGGGTTAGCTAAAGGTATCTTCAATATAAGTCGTATTCTGCCATCTTATACTATATCTACACTGTTCAATAATATATCAAAATGCCTCGTACGTATTGTATCATACATCAATTCTCATTTTGTCGTTTCTTGTCAAACACAAACCATCCGATTTCTATTTTTCTCAACTTGATCCACTCAAACATTAATATAATTGAACTATTATTGTTTTCCAAAAAAAAAGATTACAATAAAAACAGATTACAATAAAAACAGATTGAGTAGTAAAATCTAAACTGTTTAGATTGCTTTTTTCTCTGCAAAATTCATTTTTTGAATAGTTTTAATAATTTAATAATTTAATATCAAACTCTGATACCAATAATGCAAAAATATCAATCATGGGACTATAATATCCACAATCTAGCAAATTTGAATCATTCACTAACTTCTATTTCATTTTTCAACTATAGGTGCTCCAAGAACTTACTCTAAAACCTACTCGGTTCCAAAACGTCCTTATGAATCTGCTCGTTTAGATGCTGAATTAAAATTAGCCGGTGAATATGGTTTGAAAAACAAACGTGAAATTTACAGAATTTCTTTTCAATTATCCAAAATTCGTCGTGCTGCCAGAGATTTATTGACCAGAGATGAAAAAGACCCAAAACGTTTATTCGAAGGTAATGCCTTAATTAGACGTTTAGTTAGATTAGGCGTCTTACCTGAAGATAAAAAAAAATTAGATTATGTCTTGGCTTTGAAAATTGAAGATTTCTTAGAAAGACGTTTACAAACTCAAGTCTTTAAAGCTGGTTTAGCCAATTCTATTCACCACGCCAGAGTCTTGATCACTCAAAGACACATTGCTGTCGGTAAACAAATTGTTAACATTCCATCCTTCATGGTCAGATTAGATTCCCAAAAATACGTTGACTACGCTTCAACTTCTCCATTAGGTGGTGGTAGACCAGGTCGTGTTGCCAGAAAAAACCAAAACAAAGGTTCTAAAGAAGATGAAGAAGAAGAAGAAGACTAAATAGTTTAGATATTTTAAATATTTTAAATATTTTAAATAATTTAAAAAATCAAAAAAATTATTAATTATATATGTATATGTATATGTATACGTATATGTATATATATATATTATTATTATTATTATTGAACTTCTAGTTTATCATAATGATATGCTTTGTATATTATTCTATATTTTTATTTTTATACATTTTCAATTCTTATCAATCTGTTGATAATATGATTCAAATTCCGATTCACAACTTTTTCTTGCTTCACAATCTTTTAAATTCACAACTAAATCACCTGGATAATAATGTAAATGATCTCCTCCCTTGGGCAAATCCATCACTGAATGTAAACTTGCTATAGTTCTTGGAGGCAACAAAGCTGTCTTTGATAATAAAACTGGATGCCATTGTAAAATATGAGTTAATGCGTTTTCAATAATTTGAAAATTGGTGTATTTTCGAAATAAATCGTCTTGCCAAAATTCTAATATCGCCTTTCCATATATATCATTAATTAATATAAACGATGTTGAATCAATACTATTTTCGTTTTGTGTGATTAAAAAACGAATATCTTGTGGTTTGATATTTTTATACGTATGTATTGCGCCGCTTGGTGGAATAATTGGCTGGTCTTTTAATATAATTGGATTTAAGATCGATGGAGCTAATAAGTAATTGATTAAATTTAAATCATATCTCATTATAATCGAATCTTGGTCTAAATACCAAAAGTATTTGGAGTTTGGAAACGCGTGAAATGCTTCTCTCATTATCATTAGTTTGACCCATGATTTGTTCGAATTGTGTTTTTGCAAAATTGGGATAAATTCTTGAACCCATCTCGAGTAAAAACCAAAGTTATTGGCTTTACAGTAATCGATTCTATTAGTAATAACTTTAGTTAAATGAGTTAATTCAAATTTTTCAAAATCTAGTGAAGTTACAATAACTAAATCTGGAGATTTATTATTTCTAGCATCAAACACAATTTTACCATGATTTTTGAAAGATTTTTTAGCCTTTTTAAAATGAATCTCATCATCTTCATTGTCATCATAAGGTTGGTCAATATTTAAATCATCATGATAATCGTCATGATTATTATTTTTATCAGATTTAGATTTCTTATTTAAGGCTAGACCATTTAAATTTTCATCATAATTTAAATCATTTAAATCGTTGTCGTTGTTATCGTTATCGTTATTACCGTTAGCAGTATCATCATCAGAGAACAATCTTTCAGATTCATCTAAATCCTGATCATAGACGTAGTGTAAATTACCATTTTCATCGGTTTTTGATTGAAATAATTTGGATAAAGTTAATTCTCTCAAGAAAGGTGCATATTGAACAGAGGGATAGATTAATGGGTCACTGGTTAAGATCTGATCATTGTATATACCATGTTCTTTTGGTAAATGTTGATAAGGGTTGTTTGGTGAGAAGCTGTAGTTATAGTTTGAGGAATCGCTGTTATCATTGTTTGATCTTAGGAAAAACAAGTAAAATAAAAAGACAGATATTACGGTGTAAATGAATTTTTTATTTACTATTTTGCTAAAAGGTCTGTTAAAGCTTTTTGATTTTGGTTTCATCTTTTGTTGAGGAAAAGCCATGTGAAAAAAAGAAGGAATAGGGATTGAAAACTAATATATCAAGGGTCTAGTTGTTAGATAGTATCATCTGTTATCTACTTATCATTGAATAAAGTAGCGATTGAAAATTGAAGCATTCACCTTATTGAGTTTTGAGATAAAAATAACATCGACCCAAGAGAAATCCAGCCAGCATTGAGGGTTCACCACACGAGTTATTACATAATGACTGAGCTGTGTGATTAGGAAATATGAATGCATATTGCTGTACAGACAGTTGCCTGTATGCGTTCTGATATATTCAGCTGTAAAGCTTAGAAGTAGTCGTAAATGGAGTACCGTGTTTGGACCAATTGTTTGCAATTTATTGTTTCTTACATTTAATTTTCCAAGCGGATGATGTTATTTATACCAACGATTTCGGTACACATTTGGAATAACGATATTGTAATAACTGGTAATAATATTATTTGTTAAGCATATAATAGTATAACAATAATAATATAATACAACAACATAACATAATAGATAATCAAGATGAGTGGTGGCCATGGTGGTAAAGCATATATGGGCTGGTGGGGTAATTTAGGATCCCCAAAGCAAAAGGGTATTACAACTTATACAGTTTCACCATTTGCACAAAAACCATTAAAGGGAGTAGCACACAATGCTATATTTAATGTTTTCAGAAGAGTTAAGAACCAGACATTGTTTGTTGTTATTCCAGGAGCTATAATTTATTACTGGTGGTCAGTTAACAGAGATTACAATCACTATTTGTATACTAAAGCTGGAAGAGAAGAATTGGAACGTGTTAATGTTTAAATTGTTTAATTTTATCAATACGTTCAATTTTTTTATTTCAGTATTTCAGTATTTTACTAATTTAGTATTTAATTCTCATTTTTTTCTTGGTTAATACAAAATAGAAAACAAATAAAAATTATTTGGAACATCAAGTAAAGCAAGTGGCTATTCATTCAAGTTTTTTCCAGTATATATATTCTCTTGAAATATTTAATATTATATTATGTTTTTATGTTACAATAGCTACAAGTTAGTTATCTCAGAAATAAATTAGCCAAATCGGTGTCCAATGTTACTAGTATGAATATGGTTTAAATTTGGTTGATACTATATATAAAATAATACAAATAACTAGAAACAAAAAAAATGAAAAAAATGAAAAAACATTGAATATTGTAAATTATCAAAAATTAAAAAGGAAAAAAAAATAAAAGCCAAATATAAACTGAAGCAAAAAAAAATCGGAAACCAATCAGCAAAATGCATTTGATTGCAAACCATTGTTGGAACACATACACCATTGTTTTCTATTGGATTGTATTATTTATTAGCATCTATTATTATTGCAAAGGCAGCAACATGTGTATCGTAGGACTTATAACTTGGTGGTGTTACATGAGGCACAGGAACAGCCGGAACCGCATTTGCAGCTGGAACCACAACACGAAACAGAGGAGGAAGATGAGGTTTGAGATGGCATTTTAAATGAGATTTATAAATCAATTATCAAAGTAGTCGAAACGTAAAATAAAAGTAGATGTAAAGCTTATCGACAGTACAAGAGAAGAACGATACAGCAATGAAAAAGAAGAAATCAGGCTAGCTTATATACCAAAACCTAGATCAACAATCGATTCAAAAGGGCATCTTTTTCATCTCTCGGTTTCTTTTCATTTCTCTGCTTATCGTGAACCAAAGCAATCATATACTATTTTGGGAAAGTCAATCCTTTGCAAGCTTCCGGCAAAGGGTCTACAAGCAGGGTCTATAAATAGGGCTTGTGCTGAGTCAGAGTCACGTGAAGTAAAAAAGCACGTGCACAGCCAATGCGGGGCACGCAACCGGTAATTTTCACATGTCAAAGTTACTCCTGTCAACGCTGAGGCTATCCAACAACGAACACATGAAAAGCATCCCCAGCTTCTCCATCTCTACACTGCTATATATTGCCGGTGTCGGCCTCTCGTCTGCTGCCTCTGCTGCCTCTGCTGCCCCTGCCTTCATGAACACCTCTCGTGCTGCTGCTTCTGCTGCTGTGTCCCAACGACTCAGCGCTTCTCCCTCTGCCTCGCCGGCTCCCGCTCCATCGCTTTCTCTCACGTCTGCTGTTTCTCTCGGCTCGTCCTTCAACACTCCCCTCGACAACTCCAACCAAATCAACAGCCTTCTCAGCTTCTCTCAGTTGGCTACTCTCACCTCTCTTCAGAACAGCTCTAATCCCAGTCCCAATCTCACCTCCACCATCAACACTCACAACATCAACTCTCTCCAGAATAGAGTCTCCAAAAAGCCCCCTATCAATTTGAAAAACAAATACGATCCAAAATCAGGAAAACTGAAAACATCCTTTTTAACTGAAGAGCAGAAAAAGGCACACCACATTGCTTCGGAACAGAAAAGAAGACAGGCCATTAGATCCGCTTTCGATAGAATCGTCAATTTAGTTCCAAATTTATCCGTTGAGGAAAGTCGAACCGAAGTCGCGGTATTGACCAAAAGTGCAAACTATTTAAAAGATTTATATGATCAAAACCAAGTTTTAGTAAATCTACTAATTTCTCAAAAAATAAATATCCACAATGACTTAATCTTAAACAGACCCTCAGCTTTAGATATTCCCAAATTCGATTCCTTATCAAATGTTTATCAAGAAAAGAAAACGAAAAAAAAGAAATCTTCAAATTCAATTAAGTAATTTAATGAGATGATTCAATAAGGTATTTCAATAATACCCAATACGTAATACGCAAGATCTATCTAATACTCATCTTCATCGTCTTCAGCTGTTCCATCCAATATTTCTTTTTCAAATTTCGCTTCTTCGTTATTATTTCCACTACTGTTGCTGGCCATCCTCTCTGTTAGATACACATTAATCTTATCTTGTAAAGTAGTCAATTCACTTCTTAACTTTCCTAAACAACTGTCCTTGGCCTCGCTTGGTTTATCTTTATCTTTAATTCCTGCTTTTAACACAAAATCACTAGGTCCACTTGTTTTACCCTTTGTAAAATGTGGCCCATCTCCCACCTCAATCCTTTTCTCAATTGCCTCTCCAATATTATAATAAATCGCAAATGGTCTATTTTCAATCCCATTCAAATCATCGTTATTATCTCCCTTGTTCAAAACTGTCATTTTCACAAACAAAAAAACAAACTCCCCGCTATCTATTTATAATATATCTTATCTTATCTTAAATATATTGTTCTCTTTTTCTTTCTCTTTCTATAATGAACTTATGACTTTTCTCAATAAAAAAAACAGCAACTTCTCTTTTTCCTGTTTCGCGCGTTCTTTTTCATCACGCACCCTCACGCACGCACTTTTTCCTGCAACCGAAATCGCGTCTCGCTCAATTTTATATCCAAATTTACCTTCGCAATTTAATCACAATCACTGTTATATCTGCCAGTTTTTGCTTAAATTATTAGCATTAAAGGACAAATTATAGAGAGAAATAGAGACTGAGCGAGGAAAAAAAAGAGAGCTTGTTCATAATGCTCAATTACATCTCTTCTACTTCAATTTAATCTTTCTGTTTAATTCCTCTTGTTCTCTTTTCTTTTCTTTTCTCATAATCATGAGCGATTTTGAATCAGATATATTTGATGATGACATTGATGATCTAGAATTAACCGAAAGAACTCAGTTTCAACCTTTATCTACAGTCACTTCTAACAACAACAATAATAACCACCCCAATAATCAACCACAATATTACCAAATTAATCAACCAGTAGTCAGAGTAAACTCAAAAACTCACCATCTTTTAAATCACGATAACCTACCTTCCTATATTTATCCAACAAATTTCGAAATCAGAGATTACCAATTCAATATCATTAAACAAGCCCTATTCAAAAATGTTCTTGTTGCTCTACCAACTGGTTTGGGTAAAACTTTTATTGCAAACACTTTAATCTTAAATTATTACCGTTGGTTAAAAGATGCTAAATTAATCTTCATGGCTCCCACAAGACCCTTGGTGGCTCAACAAATCAAAACATGCTTATCACTAACAGGAATTCCAACTGATGAAATTGCAATTCTATTAGATAAATCAAGAAAAAACAGACCTGAAATCTGGAACTCAAAAAGAGTCTTCTTCACTACTCCACAAGTAGTTGAAAATGACTTGAAAACTGGGTTTTTAAACCCCAAATCCATCGCTTTGTTAATTGTTGATGAAGCCCATAGAGCTAAGGGTAATTACGCCTACAATAATATCATCAAATTTATCACTAGATTCACTTTATCCTTCAGAATTTTGGCTTTAACTGCCACTCCAGCTTCTGATATTCCCGGTGTTCAAGAATTGGTCGATAACTTGTTAATCTCAAAAATCGAAATTAGATCAGAAAAAAGCGATGACACAATCAAATATATCAAACAAAAGGAAATAATTAAAATCATTGTTTACCCTGAAATGGAATGCCAGGAAATTAGTGAATTTATTAATTATATCTCAATCGCAATTGAGCCCACTTTGAAAATTGCAATTAAAAACAAAGTTTATGAAAATGTCCATCCTTCAAATATCAATTTCTTTAAGGCAATGCAAGCTTCTCAAAAAGTTATTTCAAATCCAAGATATAACGAAGGTTTGAAATGGTATTTATATTTTATTCTACAATTACTAGCTCAAGTTGGTCAAATGCTAAGAAGATTAAATGTTTATGGAGTTAGAACTTTTCATTCCTATTTATTAAATAAATATAAAGAAATTACAACCAAATTTGAAACTGGAAAGTCTAAAAATAAAACTTCCTCTTCTTTTTATAATGATATTAATATAAATAAAATTTTAAAAAAATCACAATCCCTATTAACTGATCCAAAATATCTAGGTCATCCAAAACTAATTAACTTGGTTGACCAATTAAAATTTTTCTTTAATGATCCCAAAACGAATTCAAATTCAAGAGTCATTATTTTTACTGAATTGAGAGAATCTGCTTTAGAAATCGTTAAAGCTATTGAAAACCATAACATAAAAAATCTTTTGAAACCTCATATTTTCATTGGTCAATCTAAAGAAAAAGAAAAATTTGATGAAGACTCATTTAGAGAAAAAGCAAAACCAAAAGGCAGAAAAAAAAAAGCTAAAGCAAATATTGAAACTGAAAAAATCGAAAAACAAAAAAAGATAGAAGAAGAAAAACTATTGAAAAAAAAGCAAAAACAAGAAAGATCAACAACTAGGGTTGGCAGTTCTGAAGACGCTCAGCTCAATGGAATGAATCAAAAAATGCAAAAACAATTGATTGTTGATTTTCAAAAAGGTATATATAATATCCTTGTTGCCACATCAATTGGTGAAGAAGGTTTAGATATTGGAGAAGTTGACTTAATTATATGTTACGATTCAACTTCTTCACCAATTAAAAATATTCAAAGAATGGGAAGAACTGGTAGAAAACGAGATGGGAAAATTGTTCTCTTATTAACTGAAGCTGAAAATAAAAAATTTGAAAATTCAATGGAAACCTATAATTTTGTTCAAAAGAGCGTATTACAGGATAATATAATAAACTTGAATAAATCTGACCGGATTATACCAAAGGATGTAACTCCAATTTGCGAAAAATTATTTATAGAAATTCCAGAAGAAAATATTGAAATTAATAATACTGAAGATAATGATGAACTCATAAAAATTATGACACAAAAAACGATTGGAAAAAAAGTAAAGCCTGGAAAAAATAAAACTAACAAACCACATCAAAGTTTGATAACTGAACCAATAAAACAAACTAAAAAGCCCAAGAAAATATTTTTTATGCCTGATAATGTTGAAACTGGCTTTAAGGCAGCGTCAAAATTAGTTAAAAAAACAACTGATTTTGATCAAGATTATGATCATGATTTAAACGAAATAATAGATATAGAAAGTTCTGATGAAGAAGATGAGCCTCTTAGGAAAAGAAGCAGGCTAGAAAGAAAAAAAAGAAGATCGAATATAATGAATTTTCTTGAGTCATCTCAAGAAGTTGATTTGCCTATTGGATTGAATAATTCTAGTAATAATAAGGACTCTTCTCTTTTGAATAACGAAATCAATGGGAATGATGTAATTAACGTAGAAATTTCACAAAAAGAAAAATCCAATTCTGTTTCAATAAAAGGCAAAAAGACTAATGCATCAATAAATCTTGATGATGAGTTTCTTGATGATGATTTTGAAGATGATTTTGAAGATGAGCAGATGCACGAAAATTTAGAGATAAATTTATCTTTAGATTCTAATTCTATTATAGGTCAGTCATTTAACAGTAAACCTTTGTCTTCTAATCTAGGGAATTTAAAGTCTTTTAATTCGAATAATTTAAGTTCAATTAGTTTAGGTAGAGATATTTTTGAAGATGAAATATTCAGTGATGATGATTTTGAAGAGCATGATATAGATAATAAAGAAATCGAGGAATTTTTAAATAAAAAAACAAAGCAAGTTAAAACGGCTGCAGAAAATAAAAGAGGAAATTCTAAAAAAACTTATGATAATAATAATAATAATAATAATAATAATAATAATAATAATAATAATAATAATAATGATAATATAATGAATGATAAAAATAATAATATAGTGAATAATATTAATACTAATATTATAAATGGAAATGTAAAACAATATGACAAAATTTTATCAAATAAAAATAAGAAAGACAATTTAGATGATCTTGAAATACAAAAAATAGTCAGAAAAGACATTGGAAACGATATAATGAGTATGATCAAGAATACTATTGGGGCAATTGGTATAAAAAACAACAAAATTACTAGCAATACGTTAAAATTTAAAACATTAGGCCCTCGAAAAAGAAAAAATATATCATCAACCAAATTCAAATCACATTCATCTCAAAACGAAAATAATTCTGGATTAAGTTTTATTGAGGATTTAAGTAAGGATGAATTAAATGATGAGGTATTGATTGATTTAATTGAAAAACAAGAGATTCAAAAATTGAAAGACGAAGAAAAAAAAATGGATGTCAGAAAAAGGGAGATTGAGGAGCGAAAGAAAAAAGAACAAATCGAAAAAGTCGAGCAACAAAGAAAGATAAAAAAAATGAAAAAAGAACAACAAGAAATGAAGAAAATTGAAAGGCTAAAAGAGATTGAAATAAAAAAATTAAATCGGAAAAGTAAGTTAGAAGAGAGGAAAAAAGAAAGGGAAAATTTAAAGCAAAACAATATAAAAGAGATATTGAAATATATGGATGAAGTATCTATGGGAGAGTTGGATGAGAACTTTAAGGAGAATGTTAGTAATTATAATCGGGATGAATATTTAAAAAAAATACGAAAAAATAATAACAAAGATGAGAAATCCGAAGATTTTAATAGAATTTATAACACAAAATTTAAAGCTGATGATGCGTACTTGACAAAAGAAGAAGAAGAAGAGTTTTACATTAAATATTATTCAAGAGTTTCTAATGAGACTAGTAAAGATAGTTTGAAAAGTAAAATGTTGGAACCAATTATTGATTTTAATATCTTTAATCCGTCAATTGGGTTGAAAAAAAGTCTTCCAGTGAACATGATTGAGCATAGCAAATCAATGAAAAGATTTAACAATATATTTTATCCAAAAGATAAGAGTAAAAATAAAATATAAAAATAAAAATAAAAGAGAAGTTTATGTTATAAATAACAGATGTGTGAGGATAAATAAATGATGTTATTTTGATACTCAAATTAAATGTAGGATTGTGTTAAAGCTGGTTTACATGACTCTTGTCGGCATATCAAAAAGTTCAAAGAGATCATAAATTCAAACATAGTAGTATGAACAGTGCTTAGAAAATCTACGAGAAAGTTTTTATAGAGAAAATTTGAAGAAAAATACATCAAAGAACAAAAGAAAATAGGAGCAAAACAGATATCGAGTTTTTGTTTGAATTTGATTTGTTCATGATAACTAATCAGGCCAAAATAAGAGAAATTCTTATTAGTAAATGTGATTGCATATACTTTGCATTTTTGGATAGCATTTGAGTAAAGAGAAGTGATCTTAAATCTTAATAATGTGTTTGTTACTATCAAAGAGGCTGTTTTAGTGGTGACTAAGCAAACTAAGCAAATCAGATGTTCATTGGAAAGTAATAATGAGTTCACTGATGAATCCAACATAACAAAGTTACGGTTAAGCACGGTTTTTGAGTTTGATCCATATAATTGTTTTGTTGGAGAGTAAAACAATTAAAAAAATCGATCTAACAAAGAAAAAAGGAAAACATTGAGCAATATATAATGGGGTGAGTTTCTCAAGTATATAACAAAGTATAGGTTGTAAATTAACAGAAAATAGTCAAAGAAGAATAACAGGATTAAAAATAGACAATTTAAAATAACAGAAAGATAAATATTCAAATCTATTTATTAAGATACATAATTGCTTGTTTTCTAGTAGTTGAGATGTATATAGGTCATGCTCTTATTTTGACTCCAAAAGTGATTCCAAAAGTGGATCCAAAAGTGATTCCAAAACTCAATGGTAAACTTCCTCCTTTCAATATACCAGAAGGTCCAAAGACAACTATCTTTAAAACCATTGACTGGATCAAACCAACCTAGGCCGAAACTGACAGACGCAATACACATACTGCTTCTTCTTCTTCTTCTGCTTCTTCTTCTTCTTCTTCTTCTTCTTCTTCTTCTTCTTCTTCTTCTTCTTCTTCTTCTGCTTCTGCTTCTGCTTCTGCACCCACACCGCTGGCCACCGACAGCTTTTCTCAAAATCCTCGGATGAGGCCGGTTTACCAGCCCTTCCATATGCCGCTTTCGGTGTTTCTGTGGCGTTGTTATGGCTAGTGTAGATGCCGGATGCAAGATCCGTGTCTGATTGAGAAATCCGTGCGCGGATTGCTTCCCAATGCTGTTTTCTTTCCATCTTCTTCGTTCTTTTTTTATCACTCGTTATCCTATTTTTGGTTGATTGTTTAAATATTCTTTGTTTTAGTTTTTTTGACCAATACATATCCATCAGCACTCTGAGATGAGGTTCTTTGCCCAATTTCCAGCAGCTTTACTTGTTTGCACCAACATTGTCGCTGGCGCTTTCTCTGGTTTTACCAAAAGACATTCTTTGGATATATCCGATAACTTGGCTGAGCAAGACTATAAGCAAAAACTAAATATAAACCACTTGAATCCAATCCAATTTGAAAATACAAACACTTATATCAATCTGAATTTGCTCCCAAATATTAGGAAAAACAGTCCCATACAAGACAAGAGTTCCAAAGAGGACCCCAAAAAAGACGATCAAAACGTCAGCAATAATCAGAACAACAGCTCAGAAAACAACCAGCCTCCTCCACCATCAGAACAGAAACCTCTATTAGAACCCTGTACTGTTATAAATCCAGCAAACAATGGCTTTTATGATCTATCTGATTTATATTCTTCTGTTGCATTGGCTTCCTCGAGCTCAAATTCAAATCCAAACGCAGTAATAAACCCCAATTCTAATTCAAACAACGGCGCCTTAGCTCCTGGTCCCTCAACCCCTGGTGCTGTTGGTTGGAACGCAAAGGGTCATGACTATGGAATGAACTTCACGTTGGGCATTTGCTCATCTCCTTTGAAACCAAACAATGAAGTTGTTGATATCACAAACACCTCATTGGTTGGTGCTTATTATACCGATTTTGAAGGCCAGAAATTCTCAATCGGCAATTTCAATACTACTCCAATCTTTAGAGGCAGAAAACTAACTTTAACCTACCAAAATGGCAGTTATTGTCCCAATACAAATAACCACTTAAGAAAATCAAGTATCTTAAACTTTATTTGTGATAAGGAATTGTTAACTAAAGCTTCTATATCTTTTGTTGGAGTCTTGAATGATTGTGATTATTTCTTTGAGGTCAGGACAAGTCATGCTTGCGTTACTTCAAAAAAGACTGACAATTTAACTGCTATTTGGATCTTTTTATCAATTGTAATGGCTTTTTTAATTGTTTCCTGCGGTGGTGGTTTCCTTTATAAAAACTTTATATCAAAAAGAAGAAATTTTAATACTCCATGGAGACAAGGAGTCCATTTGCCAAATTATAATAATTTTAATACCAATGACAGCAAATTGAAGTATTATTTTCACAATGTAAGTACCTAAATTTTCAATTTCTTTATTTTTCTTTTTCTTTATTCATTTTCTTTTTCTTTATTCATTTTCTTTTTTAAAAAAAAAATAATTTTAATTATTGATCTTTGAAAAAACTGACACTGACAAATTTAGCAATAATTTTACATCAAAATTTTCTTAATCTTTTATTCTTCTTTCCTTTTTTTCTTTTTATCTTATCCATAAATTATTATTTTAATTTTAATTCATTGCAAATAGTTAACTAAAAAATTATTCAATTCAAGAACAAGAGAATTCGTTCCACTTTCCTCAAGGTCTTCAAATAATAACTTCAACACATCAGAGTTTGATGTAGATTACGTCCAAAATCAAAATGATCTACTAGATCAATTGGATTTCGACGTTGACTCAGATTAAATTTGGCTATTATTAATTGTTAATATCTATTACTATTCATTATTATCCATTATTATATTCAATTATAATTTATTATAATTTATTATTATCACCATTACCACTATCATTATTATTATTATATCTAGTTTTTTTTATACCACTATAGATTTTATAAATTTTTCTCTTCCTATTTTCGTTTTCTTCATATTTTATATACATACGTATATATATATATATATATATATATATATTTGTTATATATTATTTTATTTTTCTTTGTTTGACTTTTTTGTATTGAAACTGCATACTAGAATAAAAACAAAAGAATGTCCAGTTTATTATTTCCTTTGACTGATTTAAAATCTGTAAGGAAATGCTGGGTTTGAATCTTTGGAAATTTTGAACCGAAAAAATTAACAAAGATTTACAATTAGGGGAATGAAATCAAATATCTTTAGTATTCATTGTTCAATAATTTTAATCGCTTTGTTCAGCACTCAAAAAAAATTTTTTTTTCAATTAGAAAATAGAACAAAAACAAAAACTACAGTTTTCAAAGCTCAAAAATGTAAAATATTAAATCAAACCATTAAATTATAACTGATAAATAAATAAGACATTAATATAAAGTATAGTATATAATTTTCTAAAAAATAACCGAAGAAAACAAAAAAAAATACTTCAATTTATTTATCTTATTTTTTAGCACCAGCTTTTAAAGCAGATTTGGTGACCTTAGCAGCAGTTGGGTCAGTCTTATCAACTTTCTTGATAACACCAACAGCAACAGTTTGTCTCATATCTCTAACGGCAAATCTACCTAATGGTGGGTAGTCAGTAAAGGCTTCAACACACATTGGTTTAGATGGAACCATTCTAACAATAGCAGCATCACCAGATTTAACAAATTTTGGTTCTTTTTCTAATTCTTTACCGGTTCTTCTGTCAATCTTGGTTAATAATTCAGAGAATTTACAAGCAATGTGAGCAGTGTGACAATCTAAGACTGGAGCGTAACCGGCAGAAATTTGACCAGGATGGTTTAAGATAATAACTTGAGCATCAAAAGATTTACAGCCTTTTGGTGGGTCGTTTTTGGCATCACCACAGACATTACCTCTTCTGATATCCTTGACAGAAACATTCTTGATATTGAAACCAACATTGTCACCTGGAAGACCTTGAGTTAAAGATTCGTGGTGCATTTCAACGGATTTGACTTCAGTGGTAACACCGACTGGGGCGAAAGTAACAACTTGACCTGGTTTGATAACACCAGTTTCAACTCTACCAACTGGCACAGTTCCAATACCACCAATCTTGTAAACATCTTGTAATGGTAAACGTAATGGTTTATCAGTTGGTCTTGCTGGTGGCTCAATGGAGTCAATAGCTTCTAACAAAGTCTTACCAGTGTATTTAGCAGCTTTGGTTTTCTTTTCCCAACCCTTATACCATGGACAGTTTGGAGATGGTTCAATCATATTGTCACCATTCCAACCAGAGATTGGAACAAAAGGAACGGTTGCTGGAGCAAAACCAACCTTTTTGATGAAAGAAGAAACTTCTTTTTTGATTTCATTGAATCTTTTTTCGTCCCATTTGACGGAATCCATCTTGTTAACGGCAACAATCAATTGTTTAACACCTAAGGTGTAAGCCAATAAAGCGTGTTCTCTGGTTTGACCATCCTTGGAAATACCAGCTTCGAATTCACCAACACCACCGGCAATAATTAAAATAGCACAATCAGCTTGGGAGGTACCAGTAATCATATTCTTAATGAAATCTCTGTGACCTGGAGCATCAATAACGGTAACATAGTATTTTGGGGTTTCGAATTTCCATAAAGCAATATCAATGGTGATACCTCTTTCTCTTTCAGCCTTTAACTTGTCTAAAACCCAGGCGTATTTGAAAGAACCTTTACCCAATTCAGCGGCTTCTTTTTCAAATTTTTCAATGGTACGTTTGTCAATACCACCACATTTGTAGATTAAATGACCGGTGGTGGTTGATTTACCAGAATCGACGTGACCAATAACGACGACGTTAACGTGTTGTTTTTCTTTACCCTGTAGAATAGAATAATTGCAGTTAGTATATTGAGTACATGAGAGGTAATCAAAGCGATCAACTGGATGGAAGAGGCAAAGAGACCATTGATCTGAATGTATTGGCAATTATTTTGCAAACAAGTCGCAACTTGGCTGCAATTTGTCCAAGGTTACTGAAATTGATGGATACTACTGTTGGTTTTATAATTGTTAGCCACCCTGTAGGCGGCAAAAAGGAGACAGAAATTTTGGAAAAAAAAAATCTGTTCGTTTCAGCACCACAATACAATGCAAAATAATGGAAATACACCGAATCAAATGACAAGAGCGCAATAGAATGGTTCATAGAGTGAACATACCATTGTGATATTAGTATATTCTAATTATTGTAGATACTGATTAACTTCAAGCAAATAAAAAATCAGGTTTGATGAAAGAAGAAGAAAGAAAAAAATAAAAAAAGAGAAGAAAAATTCAGAGGGAAAGTTTATATAAATACTCCCACTGAGAAATTTTTTTGATGAAAAATTTTTCACTTAGACTGAAAAACACATACGTGGTTGCTGCAGCCCGTTCTAGCAGGGCCGCGCGCTGCGCAGTCAAAAACCAGATTCGGGTAACTGCGCAGTCACAAAGAGTTTGGGCAGCGTTTGGCAGCGGTTTGGCGCGACTTCTGCGCGGCCTCAGCCGTTTTTTTTGACGCAGCTCAAAAGCACTCTGGTGGTGTCCGCGTGGACACGGCAGAAAGATTCCAGTTCTGCAGGGTGCACCAGCAACACTTCTCATGCATACAGCGGTAGTCTCTGCACACACCACCAGAGCGGGTCTTCCAGAAAAGGCAAAATGTAAACAGAACCTTTTTTATTTAACAACATTAGAGCTTTTTTTGTCTTTGTCTGCTTTTGCCTCTTCTTTTTCTGCTTCTTCTGCTTCTTCTGCTGTTTGTGCTGCTACTTTGTGTCTACGTTTGTTGTTGTTTGCTCTGAATATGGCGTCTGCGTTAGAACTCCCCTGCCAGGTCAAGGCAATCTACTCCTGGGGTGGTGAGGAAGAGGACGATTTGGGCTTTATTGAGGGAGACTTCATTGAGGTTGACGATTTTGGCGATGGAAACTGGTGGCATGGAACATTGAAGAGAAATAAAATGACCGGCAACTTCCCCAGGAACTATGTCGACTTTGTCGATGCTTCGCTCAAAAAGGAGTTTAGCAAAATGATGTTGAACAAGAAAAATGAAAAGAAAAAGATCCTCCATACCAGCTCCAGCTCGATATCCAATCCTTTGATCAACATTATTCCCAATAATCTTGCTCCCAATAATCTTGCTCCTAATAACATCATCCCCAATATCATCCCCAATACCATTGTCCCTAACACTATCATTCCTCAAAATGTCATCCCAAACAACACTATAATGCTCTCAAACATGTATCCCTCCATTTCTTTAAATATCAATCAAAACAATTCTCTAAACTCAATAAAATCAAATCCTATTATTCATAAAAAATCAACCGATTTTGATAATGATAACATAGATTCATTTGATCAAACCGTCAACTTATTCAACAAGACAATGAATAATAATAATATTCATACTAATAACAACAATATCATTAACAATGATTCATTTAGTACTTCAACTGTCTTGCCTAATGATCTATCTTTAAACTCTCTATTATTGTCACAGCAAATGCAATTAACCAATTCTCAATTAGCTTCACAAATTGATAATAACATTACTATGAATGATGTTTCTTATATTAGATCCCATTCTCACTCTCCTTCTCACTCTCCTTCTCACTCTCCTTCTCACTCCTATTCCCATTCTCCATCTCATTTATTAAACCATCCCCCTTCTCCTTCCCCTTCTCCTTCTCCTTTACCTTTACCTTTTAATTCAAATCCTGCTATTTCATATTCCACCTCTCCTTCCCATTCTTCTCCTTCTTATTCTTCCTCTTCTCCCATTCATTCCCATACAAAATCCCAATCTCTATCTCAATTCGATAAATCTTTTTTCACATCGACCCTTTATCCCACTTCAAACAATACTAATAATATAAAACTAAACAACTTTCAAAACCCAAATTACCCTTCAAACAACATCAATAAAAGCTCATTTATACATTATGATAATGATACTTATATTCATGACGATACTTTTAATCCTAATTCTGACTCAAACTCAACTTCTGATTCAGATTCTGATAATGAACCGCCACCACCTCCTCCAATTCATAACACGAATATCAAAAAATCAAATCAAAACCAAAACCAAAACCAAAACCAGCTTTTTAATAACAATAATAGTTCCAATTTTAACCAAAAAAATGTCTTTTTCGATCAAAATAATCAATTTTCAAATAACGATCCAAGTTTTTATTCAAATTCAACTTTAATAAATAACAATTCAAATGATTTTATTTTACCTTATGATCCTGATACTTTATATCAACCCGATTTCAACTTGAACCCAATTAATAAAAACAAAAACAATAATACAAATAATCATTTGAATGTCAAAAGTCAACCCAATTTCTATAATACAAATTTAACATCTTCTACCAACAGTACAACTGGCTCTTCTTACTCAAATTCAACTAATTTCACTGATATTAGTGCAACTAGTGCTGCAAGCGCTGAGAGTTTTGCAAGACATAAACTACAAAATACTCCTCTACCCCAAGTTCCAATTAACTCTCAAGTTCCAATTAATATCAATTCTCAACTTGATAACACTGATGAAACTAAAAATAATGACGATTTACTTAAAACTAAATATTATAAACAAATTATCTCAAAAAACCGAATTTCTTCAATTAGTTACAATGTCTCCAACAATTTTGAAATGCAAAAAACTATTGACATGGAACTTGAATCAAAAGAAAAAAAAAAATTAGAAATTTCTAATATCGACAAGTTTAATGAAGATAATAAAGACAATTTTAGAAATTTAAATCCAACCGATGTCCAATTTGAATTTCAAAAATACAATAATTTAAATTTACAAGCTAAAAAAAATAAAAAAACTGGCTTTTTCAAAAAACTTTTAGCGTTAAATCAAAGATTTGATGATAATGAATCTGGATATAATAATAACAACCATATTGTAATTAATAGCAATACTAATACTGATGATTACGATGGTGATAGAGATATCACAGGAGATTTAACCTCTCCAAAAAAGAATACATCTTCATATTCTGTTCCTAAAGTTTTAACAAATAAATTTGATGACCTGGGATCAATGGATGAATCTGATCCAGAATCTTCCTATATCCAAGCTAGAGTCAATTTAAATAGATCTTCTTCAATAACCGCAAAAGAAAAAAGAGATAGGATTAAAAGGATAAATGATCTACACGAATTTCTCATTTTGGAACCTCACAAGTTAATTACTAAAGCCAACGTCAATGAGGTTGTAAGATCTGGAAGATACTCAACTTATTCAGCAGACAAAGAATTACCCCCTTTACCAATGTCAAAAAATGATTACAGCTCTTTCAGCTCCTCTAAATTTAAACTTATTGATTCTTATATAAGAAATCTCAAGTCCCAATATTTATCGCCAAAATCTTTTATTACAAACGATATCGGTTTAAGATATTCTACCACTTTGGATAGAATAAGAGCCATTTATATTTTCTGCACAGAAAAAATTGAATTGGTTGACACCCCAATTCAACAACCCAAAATGGATGTTAGGTACCAACCAAGCAATTTAACTCAAGTCTTCAAAAATCGTCAAGCAAATAAATATGAGCTAACATGGTTATTTAAGTTTTTCTTGGATCAATTGGGTATCAAAAATGAACTTATTCTTGGATTTTTAAAAGACCCATTTTGTGATAATAAAGAAATGATTGCAAACCATATATGGAATTCTATCTTAATTGATTTTAAGGATACAAACCAAGAAGAATGGAGATTTGTTGATTGTTTCTTATCAAATTTGGCTAACCCTTTAAGGAATTGTTTAATTGAAAAAGTGAAAGATGATGATGTTTCTGAATTCTCAAATAACTTTAGTTCTCTTAGTTTGAGAAAGCCAGTAAACTTGGATGTCAATAGATCAACTGATACCTCTATTTACTTTTTAATGAAACCTTTGGAAATTATCCACACTCATATTCCCTTATTAATTGAACAACAACATATCGCACCTCCAATCGATTCTGAATTAGCAATATCACTACCAGTATGTCTTTCGAGTTTTTTCAAAAACAAGCTAAAACTCTACAAGTTTAACGTTTCTCTTACAAAAATGCTAGATTTGGAAATATTTGAAATGGAATTAGAAATTCCCAAACATATTGAAGTTTTTGCTTCGTTGAATACGTTTTCTCTAAACACTGATAATAAAAACAAAGATGGAAGACAATACACAATATGTCAAGTCTATTGGAAAAACAACTTTAAATTTTGCAAAATCAAAGCCGTACTTCCATTGAAAACATCGTCTGCGATTCTTGAAATTAGATCTGGTTTTAAAGGTGAACAAAAAACTCTAGAAGATATTCATCCACTTTCGCTCACAGTTCCTCTTTTTCATGAAGGAAAAGAAAAACAACTTAAGTTTGTTACTCGTTGTCCAACAATTCATTGTCAAAATCATGATCTTTATATCAAAGAACCCCAAATTAAACACTTGACTTATAATTCTGTTTACATTTTTAAAGTCTACCAATTTTTGGCAAATGGTATAAATTCCAATAAAGAATATTCAAAAGCAAAATTAGCTCTACAAACCCCTAATGGAAGAATTATTGAGCTACGTAACAAAGATCCAGTCAAACCATATGGATCCTGGGAGGCAAGCACTCAAATAAGTGAGAGAGGAACTTGGAAAGGTCTTGTTGTAACTGATGGTGGTGTTGCTTGGTGTGTTTTTGCTGAATGGGAAAGTAGATAGACACCATGCATTTTTATTCAATTTATCATTTATTTATTTATTTATTATTTATTTTTTTTTATTGTTGCATTTGTGATTTTGATCATACATTTATATAGGACTTCATTCTTTTTGTGAGATTGTTTTTATGTTCACGAATATTTATATATACTTTTTTCCACATACTATTTATTATAATTGTAAAGCATCGTTTTTTTTACGTTAAATTTATATTATGAATCAATATATGAATTTCATCTTGTCGAAAATAAATCTAATTAAAAGTTACTTACTTTTTATATGAAACGCTCTTTGTGTTATTCTTTCTGTGAATTCTTTTCACTGGTTGAATTCCTTCAACTTGTGCAGTATATGGATTCCATGCCTTTCTCTTTTTGGTAGCCTTTTTTGCATCTTTTTTCAAGAATTTCTTTTCGGTGGATGAATAATCAATTTTATCAGAGATAACCTCAGAAACAGGTTCGGATTTCTTGTTAGTTAGAGTAAGATTTCGTGTACGTAAAACAATTACTTCTCTTGGATCCAATTTTTCCTTTTTAAGTTTTTTTGATTTTTCTTCATCACTATCATTATCATCATCATTATCATCATCATCATCATCATCAATAATCATTATATTTTGATTTTCAGTGGTTATTTTTTGTTCAACTTTTTCGTTGAGGTTCATCTTTGTCTGAAGAAGATTTTCACTATTATTAAGTGCATTGTCAATTTTATTTTTTCTTTCTATTAAATCATTGATATCTTTGGACTTTATGTTACTAAAGCTATCAAAATTAACACACCATATATAATCGTTAACATTATTTTTTGTTAAGATCATATTATTAGAAAAAAGCCTCGAGTTTGATTTAATGAGATTAAGGTTTGGTTTCAGTCTGTAATTACTAAGATTAAGTAATTTGTTAAAATTAGAAGTTAATTTATTTACAGTTCTTTCATCGATGGAATAATCATCTTCAATTTTAAATCGGTAGTTATTGTTTTGAAGATAGTTTGAGTTTTTTGGCACTACATGATCAAAAACAATATTTTTCAGCTCAATTAAAGAATCTTGGATTATTTCTGCAATCCTTTTAACATTTGACCTTACAGCATCTGGAATAAAATTTGAGCAGGATAAAATGCCAGGAACATCTGTTGGACAAGATATAACTAAAGAAATTAGAAATTGGTTTGGCATGATGTAACTAACAGATTCATCTAAATCTCTAGCAGTTTGATCTCTCCATTTGAACAAGTTTATTAGAGTAATTTCTTTTGAGAAGGGAATATTATATTGTGTAATTAAGGATCTCCAAGGTTCTCTTTTATCAAAATTTCTAGAAATGTTTGGAGAAACAATGTTACTATCATATTCAGCTGGAGCGAATTTGTTATATTCGAATTTTCTCTTTGCAACTTGTCTAGATTCATACAAGACATTTTTTAACAAATCTTTTTCAAGTAGTAATTTTTTTAGAATATCAAAAATATATAGTAGAAAATGAGTATCACTTCTAGCATATTGAAGCATTATATTTGTTAAAGGTCTTATTCTCCAATCAGCCAACTGATATTTTTTAGAGGTTTTAAATTTAGCAAAAGTTTCTAAAAGATAAGCTAAACTGTGCTTTGGGAAGCCTAGTAACCTTGAAGCATGATAAGTGTCGAATAGACTAACAATGTAGAGACCTAAATCTCTTTGCAACCAAATTATATCCATAAACGCACCATGAAATACTTTTATGATATTAGGATCTGTAAAAATTAGATTTAGAGGAGACAACTCATCTCTTAATTTTAATGTGTCTATTATATAGTCATTTTCTCTTGATGAGATCTGCATTAAACAGACTAAACCATAATAAGTTCGATAATCATGATGTTCCAAGTCAACAGCAATCTCGCTTTGAATCTTTAAATGCTCTATCATTTTGTTTAATTTTTTAGTAGTGTCGATCCAAATTGCTGTAGTATTATTCCAGTCTTTGCTCGGTATTGGTTCTGATTTAAATAATATCGATTCAGGATAAGGTTGGTTCTGAATTTCGTATTGATAAGGATGGTTGTAATGAAATGGGTTATCAATTTCAGAATCTGTATCCATATTTGTATCCAGACTGTTGGAAGATTTCAAGTTTGAAGATTTATAGTCATACTGAACCAAGTTATAAACTTGGTCAAATGGAGTCAACGCATTGGGTTTAGAAGATATCTTTGGTTTGAATGGACCATTTTCAGAATTATCAACTGGAATTTTAAATTTCAATTGGGGTTTTTCGATTCTTCTATTTTGATTGGAAGCAACATTTTCTTGTCCATCGTCTAAATAAGTAAACTCTGAATCTTTATTATTATGGTTATTAGTAGGGTTGTTGTTTATATGGACATCACTGGGTTTGCTGTTTGCATTTTTATTAATCATCAGGTTCTCAATATTATTTTTATTTCTTAGATACAGGTCGAATGAGATATCAGATTTCTCAAGGATATTGTCAAAGGCATTTGAGACTTTTTTCCAATTGTCATTCAAGCTGTCCTCGCCATATTCGTCGATTGGTGGTTCCTGTGCCTTAAAACCATCAGAATCAACACACTTTACTAGGTCATTGATGATTTTCAATAGGGAACTTCCAGTTTTGTCAATATTCTGTGAAAATTCTGAATCAATGGACCTGTAGAAATTCACATCCAAGTCCTCCAAGGAGTTCACAGCCTGGGACAACGCAGCAACATTATCCAAAACTGCACCAACAACCTCTATATTCTCCTGAGCACCACCAAAACCCGACATTTCTAGCAACAACGTCCACAGAACTCAGAAAACAGGCTTCAAAAGCATCAAATTCAGCAGAATTTTTTTGTAAAGAAAAAAAAATAAGTTCCGGTGTACATGTGACTTTTAGTTGGATCTTCCAAATGCGGGCAGCGATATAATAAAAGTGGGTTTTAGCGCTGAGGACTCAGTTGCCATCGTGGCAATGGCATTCAAAGCTACATGGAACTCGTCGTCGTCTCTATTCAACAAGCTTGCTGGCCATGCCAGGACTGAAAAGAGGGACGATGGTGCAGCTGGTGCTTCAGCAAAGGAGACAGCGAAAGAGACAGTATCTGTGCAGCATCACAGCGTTGAGGTAGATGGATCTTGCAATACTGGGGATGGTGGCCATACTGAGACCAAAACCAAAGATGTTTGCAAACATCTTGGAAAAAGTGAAGATGGGAACAAGAACAATAATGGCAATGACAATGGAAACAGCGACGTGTTGAATCAAAAAGATAACGGCAGTAAAGATGATAGTATCAATGATAGTATTATCGATAATGAGATTGATCCCCATAAGACGAGATTGAACTCGAATCTGAATTCAAATCTAAGCAATTCTTTTCTATTGGCACCAAAGCAAAATCAAAGAAGCTTCTCGAATCCAACAACACACACTACTGGAACTAGTAGTACAACTTTGAGATTGAATTCTAATTCAAAAAGGTTATCGATTACAAGAATTGGCTCTGTGAGCCCAAAATCTCCATCTACTTTTGACATAAACAATTTGCTCTTAGCCTCTAAACCGATAGCAACGGTCAATTTTGAAACTGTTAATTATAATAATAGCAACAATAATTCTTCAAATTTGATCTCTGATGTTCGTGAGTCTTTAACGAATTCAATAACCGATTTGCGCAGCATCAATAATAATGACAATAGTTCCTTAATCTCAGTAGAGACCTCAAGTACAACATTCAATCTCAATTCAAATGGCAATTCCACTGCAACTAGATATAACGATTCCCCAATATTATCAGATCTAATTCCCACCATAACTTTATATTCCGAAAACGAGTCTTTAGAAAACATGTTAAATGAATTGATATCAGATAGCCAATCCCAATTAAATTCAAATCTAATAAGCGCACAAACAGGTGTCATTATAGATAATTTATTAATAAATTTTGAACTCTCAGATGATAGTCATGATTTAAATCAGTTTCATAAAATGAAAAAACATTTTTTTATTTTGTCCTCCGCTGGTAAACCAATTTATTCAATGCATGGTTCCGATGATATTATAACTGGTTATATGGGTTTAATTCAAACAATTGCTTCGTATTTTGAAAATTTTAACTTAGACTCAAATTTTTATACCAATAATACTAATTTTTCCTTTTTTATAACAGACCCAAACAATGATTCAGTAAAATCTTTTCAAACCTCTGATACTATTTTTGTCTTTTTAAATAAATCACCAATAATATTGGTCGCAATATCATCGATTTATCCAAAAGAAAGTGAAAACACCTTAACTTACCAATTAAATTTTCTATATGAATTTTTAATTTCATCATTATCAAAACCTTATCTAATCAGATCTTTTAAAAATAGAGATAATTATGACTTAAGAAAGCATTTAGGAAGAGGAGATTTATCAAGATTAGATTCTTTATGCAATGAATTTTCGATGAATTATTATTTAAATCCAAGTTTCTTAATTGGAGGATTAGAAGGAATTTACTTGAGAAAAAAAATCAGAGATAAAATCAATAAGATTTTTTTAGAGTATAGCAATAAAAATAAAAAACAGAAAAATAATAATAGTATCAACAGTGATAATATTAATAATAACACAAATCCAAGTAAAAGTTTATTATATGGGTTGTTGGTTGCACCAAAGGAAAAATTAATATCTGTCATAAGACCAAGAAGACACACGTTACACACATCTGATTTACAGTTATTATTCAATGTGGTATTCAACTCTAATTCATTTAAAAACAATAACGCTAACGAGGATTATTATGATTATTATAATAGTAATTCTAGCAGATATCAATCAGAGGTGGGATCTATTAGATCTAATATAACTAATCGTACAACGGCATCAAATATATTTAGTAATATTAATAACAATAACAATATCAACAACATGAGCAGTAGCAATAGTAATATAAATAGCAATATTAACAATATTAACAATATTAATAATATTAATAACCAAAATAATCTTTCAATGTTATCAAAAAGTGAAGAGGAATTTTGGATACCAATATGTTTACCGAAGTTTAACCCAAATGGATTTTTGTATGCATTTATTAATTATATTGACTTAAATAAATTAGAATATGAAGTTGAGGTAAAAAGCCAGGAATTATATAATAAACTTTATAATAAAAACGATAATACAGGTGGGAATAATGGTGATAATAATGATTTACGGAATATATTAAATAATTTTAGCTTCAATATAAATTCAAATTCAAACTCGAATAGTAATGAAAATAATAATGATAATGAAATTAGAAATGAAATTAGAAACGATATGGGAAATGATATGGGAAATGATATTGGAAATGTTAATTTTGATTTTAATTCCAATTTAAACTCAAGTGGATTTTTTGAAGAAAATAATAATAAAATTGCAATGGTATTAATTAGTGCAAATAAAAATGCATTTTACGACTTGCGTAAAATATCCAACAACATTATAAATTCATTAATTAGTAATTCTGTTTCGGCTAATAATATAAATAATAAAAATGACCAAAATTATAATAATAAAATTAATGATAGTAATAATAACGGTATTGGCGAAAATTTTGTTATGAATGTTAATGGTAGTAATAAAACAACGAATCGAAAGAAAACTGAAAATAGCAATAACATCATTAAGATGTTAAATGACAGTTTAACAAGAAATCGAGTATCAGTATTAGATATCCCTGCACCACTAATTTATCACTTTATTTTCAAATCTAAAAAAAATCTTCAGTACGTTTTTGCATCTTTTAAGCCTAATTTTCCTACAAAAGAATCACAACTAAAATTAATGATACTATATTCTGAATTATTCTCCAAAATCTCGGACAAGAAACTCAACAAGAATGATTTTATCAATTTAAGTCTTAACAATTTCAATGGAGATATTAGTGCAAACACAAACAACGTAAACCATTTATCTAATACCAACAATAAAAACAATAAAAATGGTCAAAGGTACGAAGCATATGAAACAAAATGGAAAGGCAATTCCAAGAATAATGATTTAATAGGCTTTTCGTTGATTAGTGATACGTACGAAATCTATCTAATAAGTGGAGGGTTGGTTAATAATGAATATTTGATCAAGAGTGCGAAAAAAATAGTTCAGTGGTGCAAAAAGAATGAAGAAAGATTGTTTATTTGTGGCGGAGCTGTTTATTGAAAAAATCAAAAACGGAAAACACAGAAAACAAAACGAAGTTTACGTAAATCCGAAATAACCCGTAATATCATCTGCAATACCGTAATTTATTTTATACGAAAGGATTTTGAGAACGGTAGCGTTGGTACGGAAACACTTCCAAACACGGCAGCAATTCCGAATGTCACTCTTTGTGCATCATTTTGCGCTCCCCGCACCAAAGGAAGTTTTGACCGTGAAAACGCTCGCTGATCACTGCCAGATGCAAAAAATATGTGCTATAATGCGGCTGAAATGCAGATCAACGCATAATTTGTCCTGGTGAGAGAGGTGCTTTGTATTAGGCTTTAATTTTGAGACAGAATCTGGGGTAATTTCCAGTAACGCAACTGGCTACAACCAACACTTAACCGTTCAAGTATGAATTTGTCAATTAAAGATAGAATACTATACAACCTCAAGAAAAAAAATGTAAAATATAACCATAAGCGTAATAGAATAAAATAAAATAAAATAAAAATTGAAAAAAATATGTAATTTTGTTTTGTAATATAGTCATTAATATACTGATTAAATACGATTGATATTGTTATTGTTATCAATACTAAAAGATGCAGGAAAAGCTTCGTTACTGTTATTGTTGTTATTATTATTTGTGCCATTGACAATGCTGTTAGAATTCATGTTGTTGATGCTCGAGGCAATATTGCCACTGGAGTCTACTGGTGGATTCAAAAAACTTGAAAGTGAGTTTTCTGGTTCTTGTTCATTTAGATTCTTTAAGTTGGAATTATCATTCTTATTCAATGGGGAATTCCAGTTGAATAGAGAGTTTAGATTAGATAAACTGGGGATTGTTGGTAATGTATTAGTGAATCCAGCTTTGGATTTTATTGAATTTGAATGTGAATTGGGACGTGAACCTGAATTCAATAATGATTCACCCATTGTATGATCACTCATTGATGAAAGTGAATTTATGTCATCATCATGGTTCAGTAAAGAACTGTTCATGGAGACACTACTGATTCCAAACTGATGATTATAGGTATTGGTTGTTCTAGAATAATTATTATCACCACCATTCATGCTATTATTGTTATTATTGCTATTGTTATTTGTATTGTTTGTATTGTTTGTATTATTGTATTTATTGCTGTTGAAATTATTGAATTGATTATAATTGTTACTAAAATTGTTATTTTCATTACTGCTGCTATTGCTATTAATATTAAAACCATTATTATTGTTATTATTATTGTTATTATGGTGATGATGATGATGATGATGAGAATTATGAGGATTTTGGTTAATTGAATAATCATTATATCTGCTTTTGTTAGACATGTTATAAGCTTCTGTTGACAATGAGTATGATCGAATCATGTCACTACCGCTGTTATTGCTAAATACACTATTATTGTTATTGCTACTCAGATTATTGCTCGGATTATTGTTATTCATACTGCTTCTGTAGTTATAACCATTTCTGTTGTAAGGATCTGAAGAACTTTGTGTTCTTTGTAAAGCTGTCCCAAAATTTGTTTGAAATAAACTTGGAGAATTAATGTTAGATGAACTTATTGAATCAGAATTCGATCGAACTAATCGAGAGCTGGTTATATTTAAATAATTATCGCTGTCATCTTCTAAATTATTGGTAAATGTCATATTATCGTTATTATAGCTATTAAATCTTCTTTCAGCTTTTGCTCGTAATTCGGCTCTTGCTCTTAATTCAGAATATGATATGTATTGATTGTTGTTGTTGTTATCATTATCATTATCATTATCATTATCATTGTTAGAAATATTGTTACTAGAAATTTCAGGAATATTAACATTATTATTGTTAACATTGTTGTTATAACTGCTATGAATAAAATTGTGGCGATTGTACATCATATTACTTCTATGATTATTGGAAGGATGATTATTATTATTATTTTCAATGTGATTCATATTTCTAAAACCACTATTACTATTGATTATTTTCTCTATTTTGTTGTCGATATCGTTATCAGCAACGTTATTGTCATATTCTTCTTCATAATTGTTTTTCAATTCAAACTCTTTACTGATAAAATCTTGGATAACTTTATAATAATCAAATTCCTTTCTAAATTCAGTATTATTGTTGTTGTTACTATCATTGTCATAATAAAAATAATAATTATAGTTCTTCATCAATGAATTAAACGTATTGCTAAGTATAATCTTACTATCTTTATACAAAGCTCCATTTCGTTTATAAAAGTTTTTAGTTATTAGAACAAGATTTAACACTTGTGCCATCAAAACTTTGAGGAAATTGATTGGTAATAGTTTAAACCCATTCTTAAAAATCAAATCATTTTTTTCAATTTTATTTTCAATATTAAAGCTGCAAGATGATGGTGCAAATAAATCTTCTCCAACTTTATTCAAGTTAGAATTCCCAGCCGATCCTGGTAAATTATTGGCATTAGCAGAGGAAGATAGCTTTCTTCTTTTTGTATTGATAATAGAGTTTTTTCTCAATGAGTACTTCTTTGACAAAGATGTAGAGTTAATTAAGTTATTATTACCTTTGTTTGTCAAATTATTGATATGGTTAATACTATTTTCAAAAATGATATTATTGAAATCATTTTCAATAAAATCCAATAAAATTGTATAAGAAATAAACTCTCTTGACAAATTTCCTAGAATAATATTTGAATTTGTAATACCATTTTTTTGATAGTTATCATTATAAATTTTACCATCATTATCAAAATTGATATTCTTCAAGTGGATGATTGTTCTTACATAAACATAAATTAGATTTAACTGAATTGCTGGTAAGCTAATTGCATTTATATTATTCATATCATCATCACTATGACTATCTCTATGATTTTGATTTTCATCGAACCTTTCATTCTTTCTTTTGCCTCCAACGTTATAATCATAAACATCCGTGACAGATCTTCTCATGTTCATTGATGTAATACTATCAAAGCTATCTTGAATAGAAAACTCTATTGAATTTCTTCTTTTTGAAGATGAATTCAACTTTCTTAATTTAGTAGAATTATTAAAAACGGTGCTGTCTAAAAATAAATTTTTAAAATCTGGAATTTCACCAGCAGGTATTTTATGATTCAAATTTAGAGAAACCAAATTTTTCTTCCAAGTCATTAAAGCAGAGTCTAATTTTTTCAAATTGACAGGTGAAAGTAACAAAATTTCGTTTTCTAAATTTGGGAAAAAATTCGATTGAATGTTTTTGGTATTGAGATTAATACTATCACTAGAAAAGGAACTAAAACTATTATCATTTTGGCTATTAGAAAAATTGTCATTTGAATGAAATAGTAAAAATTCATTAATGATTTTAAAAAATTTGATCAATTCAACAGTTCCAATTAAGTTTTTGTTTGTTGATAGAATTAAATCTAAATCCGGCACTTTGCAAGATTTTAAACCATTTTGATAATGAATAGATAGGAAATTTAAATGATTATTATAATTTCCAACAACTAAATTTAGAAAAGAAGCCAAGATGTAGCAGCACCAGTATAATTTTAATCTGACACTTGAATTATTAAAATTTTTAGTGAAATTGGAGTTGATTGTTAATGAATTGCCTAGAGAAGAAAAATTCTGAATTGAAATATTTGCGGTTTGTTGTTTTAAAAATTGGTTATCATTTAAAATCTGGTCATAGTTTTTATCGTTGAAGTTTTTATCTTCGTAGTTGATTAAATTATTGTAATTTAAATTTAGACCTAAAGTCAAAGCATATTCAGTGATTAAGTTTGATACTTTAATTAAAAAGGTTGACCAATTTGAGGTATGATTCAAGAAATAGTTTGAAATTTTATTCAAGCTGTTATTGGAATTATTATTTAAGTCATCTTTAGAGATTATGCTTTGATTATTTTGATTGTGGTGACTAACTGGTTCTAGCAATTCATTATCTTCTATGTTTGTTGATAAATTATTTTGAGAATTAAAATTTTGAATAATCAAGTCTTGATCATTGCCATCATAACATAAGCAAGAATAAAAAAATAGTAAAAGAACTTGTAGTCTTGATAGGGAAGGGTTTTCGATAAGATTTAATTTGTCAAAGATTAATTTTGATAGTATATTAAAATTAAAGGGCAATTTAAAGGGATTATTTGAGGGCAAAGAGATTGAGTAATTAATATTACCCAAGTATAGGATTAATAGCAATTGAAGTTTGAAGGATATTGAGATATTGATATTGTCCAAATTGAAGGATTCTTTTGTTACATTTGGGTTTGAAATTTGATGTTTAATTTTTTCATTAAAGTTTTTAAAGATTTTAAACCAATTAATTTCATCGATAATTGGTATAAAATTTTTGTTAATCTTGTTGAAAAAGTTTAAAATAAATTTATTTATTATTAGTAAATTTGTATTGTTAATTGATAGGGGGTAATTATTGGATGGTAAAGAGTTAGTATTTGGCTTTGAATTTGGAAGTGGCACTCGCGCTGGAATTGAAATTGGATCAAAATTTGGATTTTCAATGACAAACAAGTCAAAAATAATCGAGTCTAGAATTTTTGGCATAGAGTTATTTTGGATGTAATTTATAGTGTAGATAGTTTTATAGGAAGATTTTGAAGACAAAATCGAGGAAGTATTTAAAAGATAGTAAGAGTTGTAATCTAAGTTTATAGGCAAGACATTTTGAATAATGCTGTTAATTTTAAAATTCAATAAATTTTTGCCGAAAATGGTGTTGTCCTTGATAAAAACAGGTAGAGATAGTTTTTTATTTCTGTTGTCGATTATTGATTGAATGGATTCATATACATTTGAATTTAGATGGATATTATCATTATTTTGCATATTCATGCTCATTGATCTTGACATTGATTGAGCCATATTAGAGCTATTCAAGTTATTTATGCTGTTGTTGGGATTGTTTATACTGAGCTGATTGTTCATAGGTTGATTTTTAAAAAGAGGAATAATGTTAGTAAAATTTCCATTAAGAATGTCCTTTATAATGGAGGAAGAGGATATATTGTCATTAGGAGATTCAGAAGAACTAAGGTTAGGATCACTATTACTCAAGCTGTTGCTGTTGGTGTTGTTGTTGTTGTTATTGTTGTTGCTATTATTATTATTATTTGATAATTGGTCATTATTTGTAAAATTTTCATTGATAAAATTGATTAATTTTAAATTTTCATTTTGCAAATATATTAAATTTTTCTCCAAATTTTCTGTGTAGCCCTTTGGGAACGACCTTCGGGTTAATTTATCCGAAGTTTTGCAGTTAAAGCCAATTTTAGAGCAATTTGAACAAGATGGCAAATTTCCATCGCATTTGATTTTTTTAATTCTGCAGCGGTCACAAGCCTGGGAGGTTCTTGAAGTGCCATTTTTGGGATTTTTGATCAATTTCCAATTTGCGTTTTCCTTAGTAATGCCATTAGTATTATCACCGTTGGTGGAGGATTGTTTTTTTTGCTTTTTAGTGGCCTTCTTCTGTTTGGGGGTGATTTGAGGAGTTAAAGACAGCTGGTTCATTGGCGAATCGTGGGGAACTGAATCAGCAGGCAGTATGGAAGAAAGTGAGCTTGTTGGGCCTGGGGCAAGAAGTATGTTTGTGGACTGCAGACTTGTAGAGGAAATTTCGCTATTTGGTATGAGTTCGTGTGATGAATCACTGGCGCTAGCGTCGAGGCCATTGCTGGTGAAGCTGGCAATGGCGGTTATGGTGGATATGTTGTCCATGTTGGAGCCAGAGCTTTCAGCATGGCTGGGAGAGTTCTGGGACTGGTTTTGGAGCTGGTTCTGGAGCTGCTGGGTATCGGTGCTTAGCGAGTCATCGATGTTCAGCGAAGAAGAAAGAGAAGGAGAGGGAAAAGAGGCAGTATTTATATCAACGGGCAATATCTGGCTCATCGTCGAGGGGCGTGGTGCTGGAGAAGAAAGAGAAGCGAGAGCAGGGATGCGAAGGACTTGGACGGCTTATATACCTTTTCAGCGCTCCCTCCAGGGCCCGTTCCCTGCGGCGATTGGCTGGCCGTCGTCAGCCATAGCAGGAACATATGCTCTTTTGGGCTCGGAATACGCAGCCGTCAAATCACTGCTCCCCAAATGCCAATCACCTCCCGTAGCAGGACACTTCGAAGTGGAGTGGGTCGTGGTGGAACTCACGATCGCTTGTGGTTTTTGCGCAGCACTCTCCTGCACCCCACAACCTGGGGCTTCTCTAACTGCATAGCAGTTCAGTTCCGACTCAGTCACGCGCAGCGTCAGCCTTATCCGATGCTCTTTGTCTGCTTTTCTGGCCTGTTTTACTGGCCTGTTTTACTGCTCAAAGACTGCAAAACCAGAAAAGTTGGCTTTGTTGTCGGCCCTTCGTATCTACGGTTCTGGTCGTGACTCGTCTGCCGGAACCAATCAATAAAGAAAAACTATCGGTTTGGTATTGATGAAGAAATGCTTTCTCACTTGTTTAAGACTCGCTAATTTGAGTAACAAAACTTTAACCCAACTATGAAAATAAAACGGTTTCCTACAGGCTCTCAATATTATTTATTAGCGTGTTCAAAAAAACGGAACATAACCGCTTAGCATGTTGTTATTTTATGCTCGTGGTTCCAGAACCACAGGTATACCTTTTGTGATCTGCCAAAAGCTACTCAGTTAAAGACTAGAGCTCTAAATGCTTTGCTGTTTTCTAAATTGTGCTGTTCTTATAAGAGCAACAAACACATTCAAAATTGTTGACGGAGTATCTAATATCATTATTTTAATTACTACTTTTGGTAAGCTTTTGAACAAAACAAGAATTGAAATATTTGAAAATTCCAAAAAATAAGTCAATTGAATTTTTTTGTCTTGCTTTCAATTTGAAATTTATTGTAATATAATAATTATATAATTTCCCCTGTTTGGGCTTATTTTAATTGTTTGGATTATTGGTTAATGAAGATTTAAAAGCAGTAATTCCATTAACACCTTTGGATTTCAAATTCAAGCTTTTTAGATTAACTAATTGCAAGTTTAAATTACACCCAAAACATTTCTAAAAAATCAAATTGCTTTTTGCTTTTAAATCTCTCTATCAATTTCAGTACCTTCAAAACTCAATTACTGCTGGAAAAAGCTTCCTCATCATATACATATCACCTCTTGATATACTATCAATATACGTCTGTAAAGGATGATTCCCATTAGAGTTAATTGCTTTCATATGATTAAATAAACACAATCCCAGTTCCAGTTCCAGAAACATTTGCGCGTGACACACATTCCGCTAATGAGCGACACATGTAATCAGCATGGATGCATCACAGATATTCAAAATGCGCTGCCCATCATGTGCTGTTGGTCACCTGCTCACGTGTGGACATCGAGACAATGCTTTGGTTTACCCTTTTCGGCTTTTCAACTCCAGGTCGAAATGCCACAGAGCTGGCCTCGGAATACATTGACATGCACACGCCAGAAATAATTCGGACAAGTGGAGAAAGTGTTGCGTGACAGCTAAACTTAAATTTGCATGTTCTGCAGGGAAGCGCGTCTCTATGGTTCTGGTATTTCGGTTTTAGGAATTACGGCTTCTTTTCGTCTCGTGCTTCTTGTGCTTCTCGTGTTTCTCATGCTTCTCTCCTAAATTACCATGGGTTGAACTCAACACTATCGATAAGCCCTTCGCTTCCCTCGTCACGTCCAGCTTTGTCATTCCAGCCTTTATGAACAGCCGTATCTGGCAACTTCACTTCTCCAAATAAATCATTATTTCCATCATACTTATTCCTACCATAATTATAATCATAATCATAGTTTCCATCCAAACTATTTTTTTTGTGACTATTTTTATTTACCTCTTCATTTTCATTATCTTCTTCATCTTCGTCCTCATTTCCTATTTCTATTTTTCTTTGCTTTTCCTTTTCTTTTTCCTCTTGTTCATATATATCATCAATTAAATCTCGAATCTCTATTGAAATAAATGGCTGAAACTTCTTCATTTTTTCTTTGTTCAATCCTCCCAATCCGGCTCCATATTTATTGATCAATTCACTCTTACTTGGTAAACAAACTTTGTAAATTTGAAACGGGTTTAAATATATTTCTTCATTATTATTATCAACATTATAATGAATATCTTTGCACCTGTCTTCATCTACCTTATCTTTAATAGACTTATTCCTATAATTAAGATCTAGCTCAATCACCTTATTAACTAGTCTCTTGGGTACTTTATCTTCAACAATCTCATATCGATAATTTCGAATGATTCTCGTTATTTGTCGATAGCTTAAATTCTTGATCTCTTTAATCATATTCAAAAATTCTTCATCTTTCAAATCATTTTCAACTGAAAAATTAATCGTTAATATTTGTAATATCTCCAATAGATTATGCAATACCCGGAAATTATATTTCGAAATTTCATTCAAACTTGAATAATAAAAATCAGATAATTCAATTTTCGCAATTTTCGCAATTTCTCCTTTCAAATCTTTTTTATCGGGAAATTTATCCTTAAAATATGCAGAATTGGAAAACCTTGTAACGTTTTTCAATTCAACATCCTTATCTCTCACAATATCATCAGGATTATCCTTTAACACATCCTCCTGATATTCTTCAAATTTAATGAATTGATAATTACTGTTCATCTCTTCAGAATCTTCTTTATCCAACTTTAAACTCAACTTGTTAATCCAATCTTCAATATGACTGAAATTTAATCGCATCTCAATCGCAGCTGACCTTGTTAAGTATTTTTTCTTATTATTCAACAAAATCTTATTAACTAGTATACAGTTCAACCAGTTAAATACTTGTTCTAAGCATTGTTTTAATAATAAATTACTTAGATTGTGTAATTTGAAAACATAAATTAATGCCTCCAAAATTTGAATAATCTTATCTGGCGATGGCTTCATTTGTTCTTCAATACTTGGTGGATACAACATTTCTAAAATTTCTTGGAATTTCTCGTTTTTTTCTTTAATTTTCTCTTTATTGATTTCATTATTTATCTCGGAATTATTAACCTCATCTCCAAAATTATCTGTAGAATTAATTGAATTGACCGACGATCTCTTTTTGTGTTTAGATGAACTTGAACCGAAAAAATTCCATTCATTTTTATAGACTATTTTTTTATTAAAATTCGGTAACGATTTATAATTCAATAAACAATCATCGATTATATCTAATAATCTATTGTTAATTGAATTAGATAACTGAGAGATTAATTGCTGAATTAAATTAATAAAATTTTGTAAAAAAATTGGATTTTCTTGAAAAAAATTAGATCCATCTCGTAATAAGTAATAGTATGTGAAAACTATAACAGATAACCAATAACTTATTAGCACAATATCACCCTTTTTATTTAGATTATTTAAACTATTTGGGTTATTTGGATTACCTGAACTATTTGAACTATTTGAGCTACTTGGGTTATTATTATTAACATTTTCATTTAAGCATGATCGCGGATTTAAAATTAAATATAATCTGTTAGTGAATAAATCAATAATATTTTGTGTTGAATCAAAATTTTTTTTAATATTCCAACTGTATCTGATTAATTGATACAATATCGATGCAGGTATTATTGAGTTGTTTGAATATTTAGAACTTAAAAATCTTATCTTGAAAATAAGATTCAAAAAATCAGGGATATTATAATCACTAAATTTAATAAATTTATTTGTATTTATGAAATCAAATATCCCAGAATCGTTACTATTAATCTTATCGATAATACTGGTTCCAGTATTAATACTTCCTAAATCACTATTCAAATTGGGTGCAATTGATGATGATTTATATAAATCATCATCAACAGCTGTATTTATTGAATTTGAATTAATGGCTTTAATATCGATTATTTGTAATTTGATTTTATTTGATAATTGTTTTTCATCAGATAAATTCAAGGATTGAATTAAATGAGAGTCATTTTTTTGATAAAAATCTATATCATTTAAAAACGAGGATTCAGAGATTGATCTATTATGAGACACTTTTATTTCAGTCATACCATTTGTTGGGCCTATGCTTTGGAAATTTATTTTATTGGTATTATTATTATTATTATTATTATTATTATTATTATTATTATTATTATTATTATTATTAGTGTTACTGGTATTTTTACTGCTGCTTAATAAAATTGTGTTTGAAATCAAATTATGATTATTAAAATAATTATAAATTTTTAAATCTAATTGACTGATCAATGAATTGTCATTATTGTTAATAATAGTTGTATTAATTAAATCTATGTAGGATATGTTGTTTTTGTTTTTGAAATTTGCGTCTAAATTTAAGTCCAAATCATCCTGTAGGGAGATTAATTCATTGATGATAAATAAGTTTTTAAAATAAATTGACCACATCATTGGAGTATAGTTTATATTATTTAAATTATCGGGTTTGTTGATATCCAAATCCAAGTAGTTTTTCAAGTTTAGGATTATCTTGAAAATCTTTCGAGAAATATATAATTGATCATCGATATTTATAAAATTAAAATTGAGATTAAAACCTGGATTTGTATTTGAATTTGCAAAATAGGAGTATAATTCTAATAAAGAATTTATGAAAATAGAATAAATTGATAATGTCAAACCATTACGATCGTAGTCATTGACTAAAGAAAACAACTTTTGTTTCAAAACGCTATCATTGATAATTGAGTTCAATTTATTCAAATCCTGATTCAAAATGGAGTAAATTAGGATTATCAAGATTTTATCGTTAGATAGACTGGCTAGATTTGAGATATTTGTATCATCGCTAAGATTTAGACTGTGGTATAACGATTCAACAGACGACTTTGCAGACAATATTTGATTGAAGCTGAGATTATTAGGCAAAAGAGAGGCTATTGGAAATTGGTTGAGCAACTGGTTGATGAGCGTATTTGAGATGGACTTTGATAGCGAGCCCGATAAACTGCTGATGGAGGTAGTTGCAGAAGTCAAGAACCTGTCAGAAGACAAAGCATTCCAGGAGTTCAAGTCCATGTTGAATCAATGAAAGCACTGGATGGAATCTACAAGACTAGTTGGTTTGGTAGAAGAACTACAGCTGTATTGCACATAGACCTATTATATCGCTGCACTAAAAGGGATCTACAGAGGAAAATGACACGCAGGGCGAGACGGAACGAGGAAAACGAGACGGAGACGGAGACGCTGAACAGATAAGAACACAACTGATCAGTTTGAGTTTGGTGGGCAATTGGGGTGATTTATTGGATGGTGATTATATAGGATTAAAATAGTAAGACAACAGGAGGGCTGAACTGAAAGACTGCATTTATTATATATTTATGAAGTAAATTTTGTAATTGGCAATGGGCTGAGTGACTCTATTCTTCTTTGATACCACCAGAACCACTGACCTCAGCTTTTTCAATTGATTGCTTATCGGTTTTAGCTGGAGTGGAAGCGCCACCAAACAAAGGAGCAGCTTTGAAGGGTCTGGCCAAATCACCCTTGGCTTCTTGATTGAATAAATGAACTTTGACAACTTTGCTTTCAAAGGCACTTTTGACTGGGTTGATACTTTGCATTAACAATGGATTGGTGTATTTCATGTACAAATGCATGAAGCCCATCATAGCGACACCGGTGAAAATACCCTTGATTTGAGCATTGACTTGTTGCAAATCGTAATCCTTAATGGTGGTTATAACCAATTTGCCTTCGGTTTCCCCACTCATAGGATTTGGATCACTGAAATATTTGAAAGTGGTTAACTCATTCTTCTTGACAATCTTTTGTCTGACAAAGAGATATAAAGCTAAACAGAAACTTATGCAAGAAACATATAATATTCTGACGTAGAAAATTGTGTTGGGGTTTTCCCAATCAAACTTTTTGGAAACTTGCATCATAACGAGCATCACAACGATATTGGAAACTGCTGGATTCATCTTGAAAGCTATATGTGGTACTGGAGGTCTAGATCTGGCTGGGTGCAGAAGTGTCAGAGCTTTTTCAGAGCTTAATCAGAGCTTAATCAGAACGTAATCAAAGTGCTATCAGCCTGTTTGAAGAAACGTCAGTTATATCTTTTCTTCACCAAAAAAAAAGTTTTTTTCACAGCAAAAAAGGTCAAAAAGAGTTCTTAAAAGGAAAGTTGCCGCTGAGCTGTCAAAAATGCACGTGCTCAATCACCTTCAACACGTGCTTGATACCGGAATTGAAGCCACTGCCTATTCCGGATCATCGGCATATTTTTCAGCTTCCTTTTTTGCTGCTGGTGCTGCTTCTGCTGCCTCTGCTTCTTTGCCAACTTCTTCTCTGCTTCTCTATTTTTGCTGCTCTCTGCAACATGTCGAGAGCCAGACAGGATTACATCGCTAGAATCAGGTACCAAAATGACTTGCCTCCTCCTCCCTGTCCCCCCAAACTCATCAAGTATGATAACAACCCAGACATATTATCCAGCAAGTCTTTGATCAATTCCAACCACTTGCTATCCAATTTATTTAGAAAAAATCCCTTCAATGACTTGATTCCCTTTGACTCCAATCTTGGGATGCCCCTAGATGTATCTGCTTTACCCGGTATTTTTGATGGTTCGAATATTCCCCAAAATTTTATTAACCCATTAAATGATTCAACAAAATTTCCATCTCTTTATCCCTTATTCCAAGTCAATGAGCAAGACATAATTAATAAAAACAATAATGCTGGAAATAACGAAAATGATTTCAGTTTTGACTACAATAACAATAACAATAGCACTATTCCATTACACCCAAATGATAAGTTATTGTTACGAGATCCCAATTTACTTAGTAATCAAAATAAAGCAATTGATAACCCAGTGAGTTTCTTAAGAAGAACCGAATATGTTGCTAATTTCGATAACGAAAATGATAAAAAATCGTTTTCAAACTCAGTCAAGGATAAAAATAAACTCGATAAAATAAACAAAATTAATAGACTAAACAATTTTAACAACATTAGCGGAAATAATATTTTTATTAAACGATCAAATGATTATGCGGTCAATAAAAAATACAAACAACTGAAACCCTTGAATTCATATCAGAAAAAACTCAAAATTGATCAACTAATCGATGACGATTTATCCAAAACTGATCCTCATTCAATCCTATCATCTGTTGAAGATACTTTTGATAACAATAAGGACGATTTACTAAAAATTAAACATCCTGTCAAAAAACATTTAAAGGTTAAAAAAATTTATGAATTATTACCTGATATTCAAATGTTAGATCAATCTTTTATTCAACTTAAATTTATCGGTTCTTCCTCAATTGTAAGATCAAAAATTCAGGATTTAAGATTTAGTAATATTAACAATATCGATATTAAAAACTATAGAGCCCAAGATGACCCAACATTGTTAACCTCAATTTTTAAATCAATTACAATGGAATCTGGCCCAGAATGGTTATCATTATTACAAATCGATAACATTAATGAAGCATCAAAATTAAATAAGCTTTTATCCTCAAAAGGTGGTAATATTAACAATTCCGATGATTCTGATAAAGAAATTAATAATAATTTGAAAACTTTCAAATTCAATAGAGTTAGGGATTATGATTTATTCAATTATGAAAATAAATCTAAAAATCTCAACAATTTAAAATCTTTCAAATTATCCTTCTCTGAAGAGGATAACAAAGCCTATTTCATCCCAATTTCTTCAAAAATTGATTTGAAAAAAAGAAGAATAGATTATAATAACATTAATCTAACTAACGCTGTAAATATCGATCAAATAAATTTATCAATAAGAGATCCAACTAGTGTGGAATTAGAAGAAAGAGATCGTGAAAAGGCAGTATACGATAAATGTTTTGATATAACTGATGATCTTAAAAATAATGATCTTCAAAATGAAGATGTAACTCATGATTTCACTACCGAAATAAATGATAATATTAATGATGATACTCAAATTTCTCAAGATGACCAACACCATGAATATCAAGACGATGAAGAACTTGAAAGTGAAGTTTCTGAATAGTAAGCTCATCGGTTTAGTGTAATTAATCTTTTTTTTCTTTAGTGTTTATTATCTTGATATATAAATTAAATATTTTAATATATAGCATTGTTCAATTTTTTTTCAACAAAAAAAAATCATAAAACACTAAAGCTCATTAAGTGCTTTTAAGGAAGCTCTTGTTCTTTTTCCAACCTCATTGTTTCCATTATTTTTAATCTTGTAATTTTTAGAGCCCTTATTTTTAATGACACTATTATCATTATTATTATTGTTATTTTTATTGTTGCCATTGTCACTATCGTTATTGTAAATACTGTTATTGAAATCTGAATTATTTATTTCGCTTTCATCAAACCGGATTTGCGTAGCAAACAATTGATCTTCTCCTAACGTTTTTTCAAGCTTATTCAATTCTTCAATGTTATCTATAATATCGTTATTTATTTGTTTAGAGACATTATTGTTAATACTGGACTTTGTAGCTTTTCCACGAACTCTTCTGAATCTATTCGCATCTCGTGGCGATGGCAATAATATTTTTCGTGAAACGTCAAAGGAACTATGGTTACTGTTATTTAAGCTCTTTGAAATAAAATCAACAGAGTTAGAGTTTGGGTTAGAGTTTGTATTGGAGTTAAAATTCGAGTTTGGATTGGAATTCACACTTTTTTCCTTCGATGTTATCAGTCTTGACATCTCTTTATTTTTTGCTTTTGCTAATTCTCTATTTTTTTCCTTAGCATTGAAGTAGTTTATAAATGATTTTAAATTATCGGTTAAATTATCGAATTTTGGTTTATGTATACACCATTTAATATCATTAAAGTCAACATATCTATGTTTTTCAATGATTTTAAATAAAAAGTTTAATGTGACAATTGGTATATTGTGTGTTTTAGCAAATATAATTTTTTTTTTAGTTGAACTTAAGGAATTCTTATCTACCGAGCAAGTTAAAATTTCTTTGGAATTTGTAGGTAAAAATAAGTTTGGGGTAATTTCGCTGTTTAAACCAAGAATTGAAGTGTTTATTATTAAGATATCTCTATTGCTTGTTATTGAATCAAAATAATTGAAGCCAATCAATTCAATTAATTTTGGAACATGTAATAATTCAACACCTGAAAACCCCGTTATTGAAATATTCAATGATAAATTATCATCTATGTCACTACTATTGTGATTAATATTAATATTAATATTAATATTATTATTATTATTATTATTATTATTATTATTATTATTATTATTATTATTATTATTATTGGTATTATTGGTATTACTACTAAAAATATTAATATTTTTCAAAGGCAAACCCCATTTGTCTAATTTTAGTTCATCATAATATAAACATCTTTCAATAAACCATTCTGTTACTAGTAAAGTTTTTTTTTTATTAAAGTTTGGCAATTCAGTAATAATTTCGTTTGAAGGTAAAACAATGAAATTTGGTATTATTGATTTTTCTTCAATTGCAATTATATCACCGCCGTGAGATGCAACGACTCTAATCAAAGTTTTTAATTGATAATTATTGAAGCCATAAAATGCAAAAGTTGAGTTCAAAAACAAATTTGGACCCTTAAACTCTATTGTTTTGTCTGTGATTATAGTTGTGGAGTTAGCAGTTGTGTCATTGGTGAGAGTTTCATCGTCATTTGTAACATCTTCAGGATTAGTATGGGTGCCATTAGTTATCGTGTTGTGATTATTTTGATTGTAGTTATTGGATAGTCTGGCTGTATTTAGCACATTTATTACAGTGCTATTGTTTTTAGAATCGTTTAAATTTTGAGGATTGAGTTCTTTTTCAATATTGTCTAGGCTGGTATTCAAAATTCCGGAATTTATTGAGTCTCTTTTATTAATTCTATTAAGATTCAAAGGAAAGTTATGAGTTGTGTTGTTTCCGGCTGAAGGATTTGACTTCATTATTGAGGACCAAATTTTTTCAGAAGAAGTGTTATGTTTTTTCAAAATTTTCATGTCATTGTTTGGGTTATTAGTTAGATTAATGTCCATAAATTTGCGTTTTTTCAATTTTTGTAGATCTGACCAAATGTAGCAGGAACCTTGGCCTATTTTCGTTTGATTAATATTACCATCGGTGTCAGCAAAGTCTTCTAGTAGATAGTATTTCATAGGTAGAGCAGTTCCTCTGTCAAAGGAATGTATTATCCATAGGGGATGCAATATTGGGATTTTCCATTCTTTTGCTTTTTCAAATCTCTTTCCCTGAACTTCAGTCGTTATCAAACAGGAATTTACATTTACTAAGTTGTCCGATACTTTACCACCATTTTCGGTGATAATGTTTGAAATTTGAAATTTATTTAATTTGAAATTTTTAACTCTTGCAATACATATGTTTAGATTTTCGAAACTTTTCAAAACAAATTGGTCTATGGCAAATTTTTTGGCAAATTTTTGTTCTAGCAACAAAATCTCTTTTGGATTTTTTTTGCTTCCTCGAGTGTATTTGATCCAAAGATCATATATATGTGAAAGAGAAGCAGGGGTCAAGAACACGACATCTGTTCTCCTCTGGACACAATAATTGTACTTCTCAGTGTTCCTGTCACCAACAATTAGCACAGTCACATCAGACATCAAGTCGCTGTGATAGGACCCACCCATCTGCTCTATCATCGAAACCAATTCTGTCTGGAATAGCAAGCAGATATGTTAGACACAGGTAAAGTTAAAACGTGGAAATCAACAAGCAGAGACATACCTTTGTCTCCAAAGGAACAGAGGTCGCAGAAAACTTGACATCTTTGAACAAAACCATTTTGTCCACAGCTCCAGCAGAGACATTGAACTGATAAAGAACAAAGCAGCTTTTTCTTCAGTGAAAATTCTCAGACCCGCACGGCTGGTCTGCGATAAGCGTGGAAATCGGAACTTTCGTGTTTATGTCTTTGGAAGCAATAAAGGAGGCCTATAAAGTGGACCTATAAGTGGGTTATTGTGCTGGAATCTATAAATCGATGAATCTTTTTATGCCTGGCTCGTGCTTTCGAAGGCTCTTTAGCTGTTTGGCTGTTGGTTTCTTCTGTTTTTGGCCTCTGCTGCGATCGGTTGTTCGAGTCTCTTCAGCAACTTCCTGCTTTGAGATTTTTGTTGGAGGTTTGTCGCTATCAGAATCAGAATCAGAATCAGAATCAAAACTCGAATCAGGGTCTTCATCTGCCTCTTTCTCAAAGTCAAAGCTATCCCATATTTTAAGCTTCTCCATGCTACTGGACACCAATCTGTAATCGTAGTCAATATCCAAGTCTAGCACTTCACCTGTCTCATCGTGCACCCTCATCTCAACAATTTTGCCCTTTTTACAATCAATTTTATTCAACATTCCATTGGAATCTCCACACCAAAAACAATTTCCTTCGTCTTTGTCATAATCCATCGTACTTATTACAGCATCAACACTCACATCTGGAGATATTTTGACTCGCGTTAATTGATCTTGGAACTTATTTTTATCCTTCCAAACCGTTACAATACCTTCACTCATTCCACAAACTATCGTACTGCTATCCTCAATATCAGGAAAACAAAGTGATAATATTTCGTCATCTTGATCATCAGATTGACTAATTATTCCTTTTCGAAAATCAACTTTACTCAATGTAGTTGAACCAACAGAATAAACTTGATAGTTAGAAGTAGCTGAGCAATTTATCATGGAATTGACCTGATCGTTATGAACTTTAGAAATATCGAAAACCACATTTAAACTTCTAGTATCAAAAACTTTGATATCACCTAATTCTGTACCGCAAATTAAAAATGAATTGGAATTTGACAATATCATTGAATTCACATCTTCGCCAATGCTTTTCTTAAAATCAGTCTTGCATATCACTTTGCCTGTTTCAATTGATGCCTTTTTAATTACTTTGTCTATACCAACCGTATATACATATTCACCGCTGTTTTCTAAGCATATGGATCTGCAACTTCCCTTGTGTCTCTTTGTTTTCCATCCTAAAACAATCCCACCTTCCTCATCTGACTCGTCATTTTGGCTTTTTTTACTTATATTACGAAACTGCAAATTATTTTGAACTTTCCATATTTCTTTTGACTTTTCAGTTTCATCACCTGTATCTTTGTGAATTAAACTCTTTCCATTGGGTTTCAGATAATTTTCAAGACAGTAATCTTTCAATCTTTCCAGATCGTATCTGTACAAATAAACATTTCCAGATACCAAACCTGATAAAAATATTGGTTCGCTTGGGTGTATTCCCATCGAAAATAAAGGATCGTTTTCTTCATAACCAACTTCTAGAAATGGCAAAACATTTTCATCTACTAATTGTTCAACCTTCCCTTGGTTTTTTCTGTTTCTTTTACCCATCTTTTAACAATAATTACAGCTTTGATTTCAATTCGATAACCGAAAAAATGAAAGTTTGAAAAAAAAAAAAATTCAGTCAACTGGAGAAAAAAAATCCAGCTTTGTGGATCTCAAAGTTTTTTTGTTTTTTTTTCATTTCTGCCAGAAATTCTTAACCTCATTGTTTTTTTCACCTTCAATTCAATCAACCAAATTATTATGATGACAGCATCCAGTGAAACAGTAATTCAAAAGGAAATTGAACAAGAAACTGAACAGGATAACAAAATTACTACAGTTTCTAAACCTTCAGAAGAAAATGATGATGGTTTGGAATCTCAAATCCAAGCAGAGAACAATATCTCGACAAAAAGACCTTTAGGCAATGATCAAGATTCAAATTATCTTAAAAAACAGAAAACAGAACTTGCCGACTCTAAAGAAAGCTTCAATGTTAATATTCATAAGTATGGAAATGTTATTCCAGAAGGAATGACCAAATCCCAATGGAAAAAACAACAGAGAAAATTGAGATGGGCTGAAAAGAAGTCTGATTTCAAAGAAAAACGTAAGGAAAAACGTAAACAGCAAAAAGAGAATAAAAAAATCCAAAGAAAAGAATTGTTATCTAAGATTGAATCCGGTGAAAAAGTTGACACTGAATTATTAGAGTCTTTACAGAAAAAGCAAAGACCAAAAGATAACCCAGATCAAAAACCACTCAACTCTAATCTTATCATTGATTGTGGTTTCGATGAGCTTATGACCGAGAGAGAAAGAACTTCTCTAACTACTCAAATCACAAGAGCTTATAGTGAAAATAGAAAAGCCGAATACTATTTCAATTTGAAAATCACATCCTTCAACAAACTTTTAAAAGAGAGATTTGACGTTTCACTAAATCAGTACAAAAATTGGATTAAAAACATAGACTTTTATGAACAGGATTTTAGTGAAATTGATTTTTTAAAAGACAAAAATCCCGAAAAGGAATTTGAAAAATTTGTTTATTTAACTGCAGATGAGCCATTTGAAAAGTTGTTAACAATAGAACCTGGAATGACTTATATAGTTGGAGGAATTGTCGATAAAGGTCGTTACAAGTCCTTATGTTACGACAAAGCTAAAAAATTAGGCATGAAAACAGCCAGATTACCAATCGATGAATTTATAAAAATCAATGGAAGACAAGTTATAACTACTTTTCATGTCGTTGATTTATTATTAAAATGGTCATCTCATAAAGATTGGAAATCTGCATTTGAAGAAGTGCTTCCTCAACGAAAATTATCTGAAAACAGAAAAGTCGATGAAGATGAAAACACTGAAGATAAGAATGAAAAAAATGAATATGAACATGAGACTAAGATCGATCTTTAAATGGGTTCCTTATTACAAAGAAAGCATGTATTGAAGGGAATAATTTACATAGAAACTGAAAAAGAATAGATTAAATCATAAAATAAACCAATAACGACCAAATAGACATGTATGACAAATGAGAATTAAAAAGAAAAAATTAATTGAAAAATTACAAATAAAAAAAAACCATTATAAAATATAAAAGGACCCCAGTATTTTTAATTTATCATAAGGAAGTGAAAAAAAATTTAAAGAAATAAAAAATTTAAAGAGATAAAATAAAAAAAAATAAAATAAAAAAAAAATAAAATAAAAATAAAAAAATAAGAAAAAAAAATGAGAAAAAAAACAGGATTATTCATAACGTCTATTTGTACAATTTTGATAAAAGTTCTCATCAAATTTTATAATTTATAATTAGATTTTGAGTATAATTTCACATTACAAACTGCTTTTGTTTTTGTAATTGTTTTTTGGGTAACTGTTGATTTTGTAGTTGTTGCGCCTTTATTTGCTGTTGAAATTGTTGCATCTGTGGGGTTAGCTGTGAAGATTGAATTTGTTGGCTTTGCAATTGATGTTGGAGATGTTGATGTAACTGAGGATTTAATTGAGGATTTAATTGAGGATTTGCAAGTTGTGGGTTTTGTAGTTGCTGTTGCAAAAATTGTTGGTGCAATTGTTGCTGGATTTGTGGAGGAAATTGAGGACTTTGTAAATTTTGTTTTTGTGGTTGTTGATACTGATTTTTCACTAATTGCTGTTTTTGGTATTGTTTTTGTTGATTTTGTTGAGAAATTTGTTGTTTTTGAAAAGCTTTTTGCTGTTGAAGTTGATTCTGCTGTTGAAGTTGTTGTTGCTGTTGACCTTGAGATTGACTTTGAGGCAGGGATGAAGGCTGGGAAGGTGATTGCACCTGTGGCTGTATATTTTGTTGCACTTTTTGCAGCGGATTTTGTTGATTTTGAGGTTGTTGTGACAACTGTGGTGCTTGAGTTTGCTGGATGATTAAAGGACTTGATTTTATTTGAATATTTTGCTGCTGCTGCTGCTGCTGTTGTTGTTGTTGTTGTTTTTGTAGTTGTTGAGCCTGAGATTGTTGTTGAAGCTGCATTTGTTTTAATTGCATTTGTTGCCTTTGATGAAGCTGATACTGATGAAACTGTTGTTGTTGTAGTTGTTGTTGAATGATTTTCATTCTCCCGAGAGATATTTTGCTATCTTTTGTGGACTCACTCGATTTTGTCAATAACATTGAACCAAATCGAATTGCCTGAGTGTCATTAGAAATGCAATTCAATTTTGCGGGATCGTGACCAATTGGATTGGCCTTTGATTGCATTAATTCAGTTGAGTCGGTATCAAACTGCCATCTACTTTCATGTCTAATGAAAGTTTCGATATTAGAATCATAAACAGAGTTGATAATTTTATCATTAATCTCATCATTTTTTACATCATTTAAGGTTTCTTCATTTATTGTGTTGTCGAAATTTAAAAATTCGTCGATTGGGTCTTCTTTTTTAACTAGACCTTTTCTATCAATCATGATTTTTCCGTTGCGGCTAATTCTTTTTCTTAACCTGAAAATCGGTTCTGAAATTCTTTTGTGTATATCATAATCTAGCATTGGATTGTAAAATTCAGGTTTTATTTCTACTTTTTCATTTATTGCACCGTTAGTAGCTTCTAAAGCCAATATTGAGTCCCTTAAATGTTTTTCATTATTAAATAGTTTACTTAGTGATTCATTTATAAAATTTGAAGATTGAATTTCAAATATTGATGAAGCTATTGAAGAATATGGTAAATGTTTTGTGTCACATATATATTCGTTGGGCAAAGATATTGTGAAGAATGGATTGAAAGGATCATCGGTTAAATTCACCCAACCTTTATCGTCTTCGCGTTTCTTTTTAATTTTTTCAGCAACCGCTTTTGCTAGGTCATTGTCTTTATTTTTCAAAACATTTTCAACGGTTACTAATGGCAAATCTGGGATTTTGGAAGCTGGTAAACGAACGTAAGTTTGAGATAATTGTCCCAAGGCTTGTCTTTTTGATTTTAGGAAGGAATTGGAACCAGGAGAGCCATCTTTAATAGATTTGGTCTTTTGTAATTTCTTTTCTCGCAATTCTTTCTTTGATTTGATTTTATCATCAATGTCATCAATAGAATTTTTGTCTTTGTTAGAGTTGATTTTGCCGTTTATAATACCGTTAGAAATCTTGGAATCATTATTAGGGTCAATTGATTTAGATAATTTCTTTTTCTTGAGAGGTAACAAATCATCAATATCATCAGTTTCTATATTCAACTCGCGTCTTAAACGTTTGACTTGGGTTCTTTCTTGGAATATTTTTCTTTCTAGTAGTAGAGAGTTTTTTCTTTCAATTTCTCTTTTAGCGACGAGCATTATTAATTCTCTAGCATTTATTAGTTCCTGATGTAATTTTCTTAATCTTTCAGAGCTATGTAAATCTGCTCTTCTAGTTTTTCTTTGTTGTCTAAATTCTCTTCTTCTGAAGCAAACATAAGGATCGGAATCATCCTTTTCTGATGGGTCTTCGAATTTGAGTATTGGAGCGATTGTTTTGCCACCTCTTTCGATTTTTCTATCTTTCCAGTGTTCGTATATTTGAGGACCAAATAATTCGAATAGTTTAATTAAGGATCTTTGAGATTCATTTGATTCCTTTTCAAATAGGTTTACTATAGGTTTGTAGTTTAATTCCCTTTCTAAAGAGGCCTTTATTGAATCATCAGAGATTGGATTTTCGGTCAATGAATAGACTTCTATATCTTTGAAGGATAATATTGAGCGAGGGTCCATCGACAAATAAGGCTGTTTTTCACTGACAGCTTTTTCGAAATTGTAGCATATCAATTCAAACTCTGATTCAGTGCATGGGTCAATATGGTTGGGCAAATTTTTATTTAAAGAAATTAGAAATTCTTCATCGATTTCGTCTAAATTATAAGGAACACCAGAAGTATCGTTGACAGTAGCTGAAAATTTTATATAACTAGTTGGCATCACGAAATTCCCCTGGTAGTATTTGGAAGCCTCTGGCCATAATTTGGAGGCATCAGGGGTTGGAATGAAGAGGTCCTTTTTGACAGGTTTTGAAACACCAGTAGCAGCAGCATGAGCAGCATTGATCACAGCTTGCAAATGCTCTTCCTCTTCTTCGCTTTTTTCGACACCGGTTTCTATGTGCTGAAAATCACGCTGAACTTGATCCTCGGATTCCAAGTCAGGTAAATCAGATTGTCTCAAAACTTGCAAAGTCTGTTTGACAGAAATCTTTCTTTGCCGAAACCTGGCACCAGCCGATACTGGAGGCGCTGGCATGTTTTATGATTCGAATTGTGGAAAGAGTAAAATCTTGGCTTATTGGTTTTGCGTTTAAAAATATTTTGAGGATTAAACAGTTTCTGACTTTGGCAAACGATAAAATGCTATATGAGTGTTTAAGGTTATCAGTGACAGTATCGGACAAGAGACCAGCAGAATGGAAACAACAGTAAAATGAAAAAAACAAACAAACCAGGTGGTTGGATCTTGGGGGTGGATGAGAGAGGCGGAAAAGGCAGGATTAGGAGCACTTGAGACCACCGTGTTAAGAAAGGAACGAAAATTTTTGCTAAATTTTGCCACCAACACCAAAACCACAAAATACTGCTGGGTTTTCTGACGTGTAAAAACAGGAAAAGAAACAGTAGACTGGAAAAAATATAAAGAGGAAGAGGTTAGTAAGATACTGCTAATAATGGAGGGAGATGGATGCCATTTTTTCCAGAGAAAAATTGGGCTGAAAACGAGGATTGAGAGGGCAGGAAATTAGGGGTTAGTACTTACTTGTTTGTATGGTTAGAAAACCAATAGTAGAGAAACGGAACCGCACAAATTTGTGTTTTTTCTTTGTTTTTCTGTTTTTCTTTATTTACTGATAGATGCTGAGCAAACAACACGGCGGGCCTGGAACTTGTATTTAAACTCAGACAGCAATGCTCCTTTCCCGTGATCGCCGGTCACCCGGATGAGACCACAAACGTGGTTGCTGCATCTGTGCAGTCCGCTGCCCGCATACTTCTCCATCGGGCAGCGGGGCTTGAGCCAACTGAAAAGCGATATAAAGCGGCTGGTGCCTCGTCTCTCTCCTTTCCTTCTCCAGAAGCAGCAGACTCCAGAAGCAGCAGAAGATGGCGCACGAGATCTCAGACCTGGTGACTTTGTTACCGCAGACCAACCAGCTTATTGGCTTGTTTTCCATCATTCGCGACGAAAACACTCCCAGATCTGACTTTGTGTTCTACTCCGACAGAATCATCCGTTTGTTGGTCGAAGAGGGTTTGAATCACTTGCCTGTGGAGCCCAAGGTTATCAGCACTCCAACCAACGAGAAGTTCGATGGTGTTTTGTTCTTGGGCAAGATATGTGGTGTCTCCATCGTCAGAGCCGGTGAGTCCATGGAGAAGGGTTTGAGAGACTGCTGCAGAAGTGTCAGAATCGGCAAGATTTTGATCCAGAGAGACGAGGAAACAGCCCTACCAAAATTGTTTTACGAAAAGTTGCCAACCGATATCGACAGCAGATTTGTCTTTTTATTGGACCCAATGCTAGCAACCGGTGGCTCTGCTATCTTAGCAACAAAAGTACTAATCAACAGAGGTGTCAAACCAGAGAGGATCTTCTTTTTGAATCTAGTCGCTGCTCCAGAGGGAATTGAGGCCTACGTCAAAGCCTTTCCCTCAATCAAAATCATCACAGGTGCAATTGACAAAGGTTTGAATGACAAAAAATACATCATTCCGGGTATCGGTGATTTCGGTGATCGTTATTACTGTATCTAAGTGCCTCCAGCAAACTCGATCAAAATCTTTATTGCAAATTTTATTAGTCTGCTTCTATCAATTTCAATTGTATCAATTTCAATTCTTAAATGCAATTTGATTTTTGCTTCTACAGGCTATATTCATTTTTTTAGATTTATTTTACTTGATATTCTTTTATTAATATGGGACCCATATCACTGGAATTTTCTCTTTTTCTTTTAAAAATTCCTTTGTGTAATTTTCCTTGGTTTGAATTTATTTTATTCAAAAATAGCGATGATCGTAATTATTGTAACTTTCACTTTGGTTTTTTTTGTTTTGATTCAAGTTATGATTTTATCTTTATTCCCTACTCAAAAAAAATATAATAATAATAATAATAATAATAAACAAAAAATTAGCTACCAAATTGATTCTGATTCATATCATAAATAATAAATTGTTCTTCTTTTTATTATTCTAATTGAAAATGAATTATTGTTTTATCATCCTAAATTTGCTTATTTTATCTATTCACCTATCATTTGCAGATTCACAATTAATTAATTCAGATTATCAACAATTTAACTCAACTTCCAATTCAAATGTAGCCGTTTATTGGGGCCAACATTCAGCTGCTTATTCTACTGATGTCTACAACAATTCAATTGACACTCGTAGCTTATCCTTCTACTGTTCTCAACAATCAATTGATATAATCATCTTGTCCTTTATCTCAAATTTTCCTGGAACAAACTATAATCCCAAAATCAAACTATCCTCTTTTGAATATTCAAACAGTATCAACGATCCTGATAGCCCTAAGAACCCTAAGAATCCCAACTCAAATCCGGTTATTTCCCAAAACACTAATGACCTCCAATATATTAACCTTTCAAAAAAAATCTTTGAAAACGATATAGCCAATGATATCAGAACATGTCAGCAAAAGTTTAACAAAAAAATCTTATTATCTTTAGGCGGTGAAGCTGGTACTTATGGTTTTAAAGATGAGAACGAATCCGAAGAATTTGGCGATATCCTATGGAAAATGTTTGGCGATTATAATGAAACAACTAACCTCATAACAAATAATCCAAACCCAAAAAATAAAGATAAAAATAGAAACAGAAATAAAAACAAAATCTCATCCTATCAACTTCAAAATAAATATCCAAGGCCTTTTGGAAACGTCTCAATCGATGGTTTTGATTTTGATATCGAAAATGGTCAATCAACAGGTTATGCATCACTAGCGAACAGTCTTCGGAAAAATTTCAAAACCTCAAAAAAAAAATATTATTTATCCGCAGCTCCTGAATGTCCCTATCCTGATAACGTTTTACAGGAATTAATTGAAAAAACAGAACTAGATTTCATTTTTATTCAATTCTATAATAACATTCAAAACTGTAATGCGGATACAAAAAAATTCAATTGGGATACATGGCTTGAATATGCGAAGACAATTTCTCCAAATAAAGACGTTAAATTGTTTCTTGGATTACCAGCTTCACTCGACTCTGCTTCAAATGGCTATATAAATGATTACAGTCTTCTTTACAAAGTGATCACAGATTCACAGGCTTCAGAGCATTTTGGTGGTGTTATGTTGTGGGAAGCGTCTGATGGGTTTATGAACCATGACATGAATAAAGAACCTTATATCAATGTTGTTAAATCGATTTTAGATGAGAACTTCAGAATGAAAAGAAAATTATGGGCAATGCAAACCGAATTTATAATGGATATAAGAACAATCAATCAGCCACCAGTTCCTAATTCTGCCCTATTCAAATCAAGAAACATCTATAACTATATAACATTTTATCAAAATTGCCTTTTAGTTATCTTTATGTATCTATTTTTCTGTATAGGCTTCTCTCTCTTGTGACAAAACATGGCGGTTTTCTTAATTCTTTAATTTTTTTTTTCTATTGAAAATTTTCTATTAAATTTTAAATGCTGAATTTTCATTTTTCATTTTTCATTAACTTTATATAGATTTTAATGTTAAAAATCTTACAATTAATGTAATAAAAAAGACAAATCAGGACCAAATATTGTATAAAATACATTGATTAAACATTACAATTAATAATAATAGAATTTAAGAATTATACCAATTGGATTAATCTATGAAAAAATATAATAGATAGCTTCCTTAAAATTGTAAAGCTTGACCTTTTTGTTTTTTATCACCACCCAATTCAAAATGCTTGCAACGTTTTAAAGCCAATTGAGATTTAGCTTTGCAGACAAGACATTCTAAACGTAAAACAACTTTTTTGGTAGTTTTGGCTTTTTTGTGGAAAACTGGTTTTGTTTGACCACCATAACCAGCTTGTTTACGATCATAACGACGTTTACCTTGAGCAAACAATGAAGCTTTACCAGCTTTATATTGAGTAACTTTGTGCTGTGTGTGTTTACGGCATTCTTTGGCCTTACAGTATGTCTTTCTAGTTTTTGGAATATTAACTATATTTAACAATATGATTTTATTAGTATCAGGACCTTTAACGTGCAATTCATTAATAACTGGATTTAACTGAAAAAAAATTCCCAAAAATATAATTAAATAAAAATAGTAATCCATTAGAGTTATTTATTGAACTGATAATACAAGACAATTGATTTTCTGTTCATGATTACATTTTGACATATGTCATTTAAAATCGTGTATCTGTCGTTGATTCTTTTGAAAATTTCAAATCGATAATTATAAAAAATTAACAGTCTATTTTTCTCTTTTTTTCTTAATGGTTTCTAAATTTGATGGTTTAAAAAACTCTGAGTAGTGATGAAAACTGACAATACAATTCACTGATATGATTGATAAACTGAGGTTGACTATTTTTTTTTGTATTAATTAAACTGAAATCATTTAAAACATACCCATCTTGAAGTATAATTTATGTCACTTCTGATATATCGTTATGGTATATACAACTCAGTTGGAACTTGAAGATAAATTATATTACTTTGATATTCTACTTTACAAATTCAGTAAACCAGCTGAAAGTGAAGCGGATGTGATTACATACTACGGATTCTGTACCGGATTACACCGGAAATCTTGTGTAAAAGCAAAAATCATAAAAATATGCATTCAATAGTTGGGAGCGATGCCCTCCAAAAGTATAAACAAAGCTCAAAGAAAATGCCTCGTGTTTGCAAATAGGGCTTATAGAATACTAAAGCCCTGAATGGTTTGATAAGAAAACAAACTTATCTTTTGTTGATAAGAAATGTATCAACTTCTAATAATTAAAATTTACCATCACACTACTGTCCACACACCATTAATTCTCTCCTGAGTGACTTTTACCACAGGTAAGTCCCATCCTACTCCACCACTACCAATCGCAGCTCCAAACCGTGGAACTACATAACATATTCTTTCGTTTATATTGTTTTCAGAGTACTTTGGTTCGTATGGAGGACCCAAAGGTTTTGAATAGGTGACTAAGCTGCTTAATTTACCTATGTTAGTCAAAGCTTTTCCATCTATGTCACATAGCACATTGATCCTCTTTTTTCTATTTCTATTGTCCTCCAAAGAGGATTTGGACGATGATAAATTCACTGTTTGATAAACTAAGTAGGGAGGTGGTAGCTCTCCGCAGTTCATCAATATACTGCCTGGGTGAATATAAACGTAAGCATCATCATCAAGATCAAATTTCGTAGAAAATAGTGTCTTATAAGGAATACTCATTATTCGGCTTTTGTTTGTAAATTGAACATCAGAAGATGCTAAATCACCTCTAATGGCAATTTGATCGATAAAACCAGCTGTAATCATTTGCTTTAAAGCATTAATCTGTTTTTTGCTTGGTGGACTCAACTTGAATTCCTTTGAATATTCTGATTGAACAGTAACAGCAATATCTTCCTTTGATGTAATTGATTTAACAATATACAATAGCTGTTTCCGTAGTTTACTTATTTCTTCCATGGTTTTTTCTCTTAGAAAATGTCTTTTGAAAAACTCTTTTTTTTCTAATCTTGAAACATGATCAGAAGCACAAACTGCTGTCAATAACTTGAAAACATCAGAATTTTGATCATACTTGCAAAACAATTTTTGTGATTTGTAATATTGGGCTCTCAATTGATTATCAGGTCTCTCATCAAAAGTCTCGTCAAAATCAATTTTATCATCATCATTACTGTTGTAATCCTTATTTCGGTTTAAAAATGATAGTTCCTGCTCTTTAAAAAAAGGACTTCCTGTGGTTAATCCACTAACGATTGCCACGATAAATGGCATGCAGTCCAATTGATTTGAAAGAATTAACATTTTTGCAAATCTGGGACTAATAGGGAATAAACTCATTTTCTTCCCTAATTCAGTTATTATTCCTTGGTTGTCTATGGCTCCTAGATATTTTAATAGTTGTTCAGCCTTAAATAATGATTTGTGAGAGATTGGGGTGGGAAAAGGAAAATTTAAAATATTATCAATTCCCATACTTTTCATTTGAAGAATAGTGCTAACAACTGGCATTCTTAAGATTTCGGGTTTGGAAAACTGTTCAAATTCGCTTTCAAAAAGAGCTGATGAATATAATCGATAACAATGTCCCGGCCCAGTTCTGCCAGCTCTACCAGATCTTTGATCAGCACTAGCTTTACTTATGAATCCAACTTCGTAGCTTGTTACATCATTTTCTTCATTGTACTTGAGCTGCTTTTCTCTACCACAATCAACCACGTATTTTATATTTGGTATAGTAATGGATGTTTCAGCAATGTTGGTAGCAACGATACAGACTCTAGATCCTTCTGGGGGATCCATGAAAACTTGCATTTGTTGGGCTGTTGGAAGAAGAGAATACAACGGCAAGACATGAAGTGGATCACTAACTGTTTGATCACTTTCCAAACTTTCTTCAAAACCTTCTTCATCTTCCTCCTCAAAATCATCATTAAACTCTTCATCTTCAATCTCTAAAATTCTTTTGTAGTTATTTCTTGTCACTCCAAAATCAATTTCTTCAACTTCAGTGTTAGTATATTTAGAACTAACCCTTACCTCAGGAAAATCTTTTTCGCCTTTATTTTTTTTATTAGCTTGTGTGTTATTCTGATTTTTTGGAAATGGAAATTCTTTTTTTAAGCGTTTTACCATATCATGGATCTCTTGTTGACCAGTAAGAAATATCAATATTCCACCTTTAGGTAATTTTCGATGGATCTTGCAAACTTTTCTGAATGTTTCATCTAAATAGTTAAACGCAGTTCTTTTATTGAAATGAACAGCCACAGGATAAGTTCGAGAATCAACATTGAAAGTAGGAGGAGGGTTTTTAAATAGCTTTTTGTTTTCAGTGAAATCTGAGACTCTTAAAGTGGCAGACATAATAATCAATTTTAAAGGCTGAAAACTATTAGGATCATTGACATACTTTTTTCTTCTCAACTTGATTACTCTACTAAGCATTCCAATTAAAATATCGGTATTGATATTTCTTTCATGAGCTTCGTCAATTATTATGGCTGAATATTTTGTCAATAAAAAATCTGACATCATTTCTCTTAGCAAAACACCATCAGTCATAAATTTTATTTTTGTGGAATCAGAAACTTTAGAGTCAAAACGAATTTGATACCCAACCAATTTACCATTTTCAAAGCCTAATTCTTCTGTAACTCTCTTTGACATAGAAACAGTAGCAACACGTCTTGGTTGAGTAATTCCTATCATTCCTTTGAGCGTATAGCCTGATTCATATAAAAATTGTGGTAATTGAGTAGTCTTTCCAGAACCTGTAGATCCAGATATTACAACACAATCACTGTTATTGATTTTTTCCATGATTTCAAATTCATTTTCATAAACAGGTAGAATTTCTCTTATTTTCTGAATCTCGGGATCTCTATCTATTGTAAAATACTTAGCTTTTTGATACTTTAATTCTGGTGGCTCTTCTTCTTTTTCATGAATAGGGTTGTTTTCATCATCAGATGAATCTAAGTCATTGTCATTTTGATGTTGAAGACTTTTCAAAACCGAAGAATCAATCTTAGGCAATTGTTCAATATTGGTTGACTTGGGTTTATTCATTGAATCAACAAACTCTTTAAATTGAATTTTTGCATCCATATTGTATGTATTTTTATTTTCTGTTTTCTCATTATCACTTTCACTGTCACTATCATTGTCACTGTCATTGTCGCTGTCACTATCACTATTACTGTCACTATTATTATCACTATTATTATCACTATTCTCATCATTACTTTTATCATCCTCAACTCTTGTTATGTTCTCTTCCTCCTCATCAGAAAGAGTACTTTCAGCATCGGAGTCAAGTTCGATATCGGTGTCACTTGAGCTGTTATGATCATCTTCTTGCTCAATCTCGACATTTTTTTCCAATCTTTCTCTCCATGTTTTCTTTGGAACTTTTAAACGTTTTGCTATTGCAGGTAAGTTTTTGAAACCAAAGGAGCCATTAACTGGTCTGAAATCAATAAATGATGATTTTGGTTGATTACTTTCTTGCAAATTTGGTGGTTCGGTTGAGTCTAAAATAGAGGTTTTCAATTCCCTTTTTTTGGCATTTCTTCTTTTGTTTCTTCTTTTCTTAGCATTTTCTAGTTTGTTTTCCTCAGCATCGGAGCTATCCTGATTATTGTTTTTTTCTGAAGTTTCTTGCAACTTTTCCAATTCATTTTGTTGCACAGCTAACTTTTCAAGTAATTTTTTGGACTCGGCTTTGTGTAATTGGTGTTGAACATATTTTTCAAATCTTTTTTTTTTCTTTGATGATATTTTGGCTTTCTTGATATCCTCTCTAATTTGTTTTTTCAATTTTTTAGTGGCCTTCTTGTTACTAGGAATGTCAGAATTGTCATTTTTTTCTTTTAAAATTTTGGTTGTTTTGGTTTCCAAATGTTCCTGAAAAACTTCTGTTATCTTTCTTTTTTTATTTGCTTCGTTTTTAGCCATTCTGAAAAGTATTTCTTCTGATTTGCCATATCTTTTTGATGATTTGAAAGGTCAAAAAAAAGTGAAGTGAAAATTATATTTTTCGTCTGCATGAGCATGCATACTCAAACCCAAAAATACGGACACCATCTTTCTAGAAAGTATTGAAAAACAGGTTGTGTTTATTAATTTTGTGTGAGAAATCCAGGTGAAAAATATTGTCACAATCGCACAAATTACAAGATAGTTCTCTTGGTGCCCGGAATTTAATGATGTTAGAGATATAAATAATGCCTCAGAAAGAAACGGAGGAAGAAGAGGAAGACTTGTATGGAGTTCTACATCATAGAAACATAAAAGAAGTTGTTTTTGGAGAATTACAATTTGATACATGGTATGGTTGCTCAATGTATTTTGCAAAGGACAAAAAAACTTTGGGGTATAAATATTCCCAACCGTCTAATGGTAGTGTTAAAACTGGTAAAAAGAAAGATGGCTCATCTGGTATCAGCAGCAGTAATCCCCCTAGCGATGACATTTTTGCTGAGGAAGAGGAAGATGTTGAAGTTGTTGATAGCAGTTTTAATACCAGTGAGACGGAAGATCATCCTAAAGGAACTCTGAATGGGGTTAATGGCAAATCAGACAGTTTTTGGCTAAATACCTTATATGTTTGTGATTACTGTTTTAAATACACTGATGAGCATGAAGCATTAAAAAAGCATTGCGAGTACTGCTTGTATAGAGAGAGATTTCCCGGGAAAATCAAGTATAAAGATGATGTGAAGAATTTTACGATACGGAAAGTGCGAGGTTCGAGACACACATTATTCTGTCAGTGTCTCTCGTTATTTGGGAAACTATTTTTGGACACAAAATCAATATTTTTTCATGTGGAAAATTTTGAATTTTATGTAGTATATGGGAAGGTTGAAGATGGTTTGAAACCGATGGGATTCTTCTCAAAGGAGTTGTTATCCTGGGAAGAGAATAATTTGGCATGTATATGTGTGTTTCCACCATATCAAAGACACAAACTTGGGACGTTATTGATATCATTTTCATACGAGTTATCTAAATTCCAAGGGCTAATAACTGGGCCGGAATTGCCGTTAAGTTCATTTGGAAAGATTGGATATCTTAAATATTGGTCAAGTGTTCTTGTTTATGAATTACTCAGAGGAAGATTTTCTGGTATCGACGAAGTGACCATTGATGAGCTATCAAGATTTACAGGAATAAGAGCCGACGATATCTTAACGACGCTACAATATTTAAAGTGTCTTGTTAGAAAGGAAAACAAAAGACTTTTTATAATGAAGGGGAATATTGCCAAATGGGCAAAGGAGAAGAATTTCAAATTTGAATCAGTATTGAATAAAGATAATTTAATTTTGGAATAATGCGAATATATTATTAGTTGATTATTTTTTTTTATTTTTTTATTTTTTTATTTTTTCAGTTTATTAGTTTATCAGTTTATTAGTTTTTTAGTTTTTTTAATATTTTATTGTTTAAGTATATATGAAAAATATAGGTGTATATTAGATTAGATTAAATTAGATTAGATTAATAGGGTTGTTATTCCAACCATAATGCCAATTAATATTAAACTGCTTTGACCTATTTCCATAGCAAAGTTATTATCAGGTTTTTGGGTGACTTTTGAGAAGATGGATGAATCCTTGGGATGGTTGTGAGATATAGTTTTGAAGCTGAACAATTTGCTTAGATTATTTATAAAGTGGGATTTAAAGTGGCTGCTGAGGGATGTAAGATTATTTTGACAGGCTTCATTGTAGATAAGAAGATTTTTAGTAATTGCGAGGATAAGTAGCGTTGTGAACAAGTAGAATAATATTTGGCTGATATGAAAAGGGAAAGCAGTTTTGTTAGATATCATGTTTGTAGCGACGTGATGTGGGTGTGCAGATATAAGAATGAAAAGAGAGTATGAACAGTTGTTGATGAGTTATGGATAGGTTGTGGTTGAGTGTATATTGAGCCATCGATACTCTCATGTTGAGGTTCCTGATTGCTCTGCGTAAAATGAGACACAATCTAACTTTAACGAGGGCTTTAACGTGAGCTTTAATGAGGACTACTTTAATATGGCAGGTTTTTCTCAAACTTGACGCATGGTTCGATTCACGGAGAGAGCAAGAAAAATGTAGAAATTATATTAATTAGATCTTCATATATAAGGGGAGAAGAATTTTGAGTAAGCGATAGTATAAAAAAAGAAAAAAAAAAGGAAGGAGAGATTAAATAAAAGGAAGAAAAGCTGATATTAGGATAGAATTGAAAAAATTAAATTGATTTTAAAATGAAATAAGAAAGACAAAAAAAAGAAAGAAAGAAAATAAAGAAAAAAAACATAAAAATATACATCAAATAACAATCAATCAACAAAATAATCATGTAGTCATGTAATCATTTATTTTAGTGAATGATTAATGAATTATGAACTTGAAATGCTCCCAGAAACAGGTTGTGCTGGAACTTTCATGTCTTTTGTTGGATCGCTATTTTTCAAGTCTATGTTTTTTTGTTTCAAATCATTCAATTGGTAGTTTTCAATAGCTTGTCTAACTTCTGGGTTATTTTCGTAAACCTCGTTAGTTTCCCAGTCAAAGAACTCTCTTCTCACTTCAACGTAATCGTAAGCAAATTCACCAATTTGGTCCTCATCGGTACCTCTAATTTCAGCGGATTCACTTGTTCTTAATTGGAGACCAGGGATCTTGTTGATGATGAAAGCGAGAATGTAAGAAATACCAAAGGACCAAACAGCACAGGCTAGAATGTAGGCAATTTGAATGTACAATTGTTTCCAGTTGTGAGATAACCAACCACCTTCATGTTCTGTGGCACCATCCAAACCGATAACCCAGTCTTGACCAAACAATGCATTGAAGATTAAGCCGACCACGCCGGCCATTCCGTGCTCAGCGAGGATATCTAAGGAGTCGTCACATCTGAGCAAGACCTTGAGACCAGTGGAAAAGTTACAAACAACAGAGGTAACGATACCTTGAATGATGGAGGCCCAGAAGGGAATGCAACCGGAAGAGGGAGTAGCAGCGACCAAAGCAGAAATGGCACCAGAAGAAAAGGCGACGGAACTGAACTTCTTTTCCATTCTCCAATCCAAAAGAACCCAGGTGAAGGCACCAAATACAGCAGAAAGATTTGTGTTGATGATGGCGTAAATAGCTTTTAAATTAGGGTACAAGGCAGTACCACCGTTGAAACCCATCCAACCGGTCCACAATAGACTGGTACCCAAGGTGACCATGGAGACATTGTGGGGTCTGAAGTTGATCAAATATTTTTCTTTTCTTCTACCAAGAACGTAGGAGTAGGCAAAGGCAGAGAAACCAGAGACAATTTCGACTGGACCACCACCGGCAAAGTCCAAGACACCAGATTTCCAGTTGAAGGCCCAGCCATTTCCGTTCCAGACCCAATAGGCGATGGGACAGTAGACAATGGTAGCCCAGAAGAAGATGAAGACAAGACATGGAAGAAGTCTACCCCTTTCAGCGATACAACCAACGGTAATGGCAGCAGTAACTTGGAGGAAAAGACCTTGGAAGAGAGCAAAGGCCAATTCAGGATAGTCGCCGGATTCACCCAAGACATCATGGAAAACAACGTTTTTTAAGTTGCCGATAAAGTTGTTGGAAGCACTGGAGGAAAAAGCTAATGTGTAGCCCCAGAGATACCATTGGAATTCGCAAACAGCGGAAGCACCGAGACAGATAAAAATCATAGAAAGAGCAGATTTACGACGAGCAAGACCAGAATAAAGAAAACCTAAACCTGGAACCATCAAAAAGACAAAAACAGACGCAAGAATAATGAATGTGGTGATACCGGAGTCGTATTCTTCCGTCCAAACTTGTCTTTTAACCAAATCTATAGCTGGAGACAGATAAACCTTCTGTGATACAGTTACTATAGCAGTATGAACTGCTTTGGCTATTTCAACAGAGTCCATCATGTTGAAATATAGGAAGAATTGAAGATATGATAGATAATAAAAAAAGAGGATATTTTTTTATATTAATTTATCGACGGTAAGGATTTCCTTTAATTGGTTTAGATTTTTTTATTTTCTTTCTATTGTTTAATTTATTTCTTGATAAATGTGGAAATAAGGAATTATGGTGAGTATTTGATTATTAATAGGATCTGTGAGAAATTATTTGAATTGAGTCAAATAAGAAGAAACTATTGAATAAAAGAAAAAGGGAAAAACAAGGACAGGTGAAGTTGGAAGAAGGAATATGAAGGAAATAAATATAAAAACAAATGAGAGAAAAAAGGAAAACAGAAAGCAAACAAAATGAAGGAAAACGAGAAAATTAATAATATTTATACGAACCTAATGAAACCAATAATGGCAGAGCGATGAAAAGTGAAGTGGTATTACAGCACTGCAAAAAAGCAGAACAAAAAGGATCAACGAAAAGAAAAGAAAAGAAATATTTCAAAAAAGAGTTGCAAAAGTAGCAAAAGTAAGATTGTGATTTGATTGAGATTGTTATGCATGCAGCGTATGGGATAAGATTATCTCAGGAAACTAAAAGAAAAGACTGCAAGACGAAAAGCGGAAGCAGAGCAGAGAAAGAGAAGCAGATACAGTTGGAGTGAATATGGTTATAATAGTGAAATAATAAAGCCTAAAGCCTGAAGCCTAAAGCCTCCAGTGTTATCAGAGGTAATGCCCATACAGGCAGCAATGCTCCGTGCTGGCGGTTGCGAGCGAGGTCCGCTCCCGCTTGCATGATTAGGTGGGTAGCAGGAGATAAAGCACCACCCTCCTCACCGGACACGATAAGGGCTTCCGCAGCGAATCAGCAGCGCGCCGGCCGCTGGGCGGTGCACGCGTGACAAGCAGCCCCATTAGCTTCCACTGCAAGTGGCGCCCTTGCAGCTCCCGCTCCCGCAGGGCCTGTTGGCTGCACCTGCACTACCCAGACGCACACAGCCTATCAGCGTGTGCTGATTTCCAGCACTCAGGAATGCGCTCGTGTTGGCAAGGGCTGATTACCTCAGCGTTGACACGGCTTGCTGATAAAGAATACAATTTGGAGCTAGCGTACTAGCTCCAGGAAAGAAAGGGCTGCTTCTATCCAGGAAGCAGCAGCAGGGCCCGGTTCTCAGGCCAATCAACGGACACTGTGCGGATATGTTTATTTATAGAAGGGTGCGGGCTCCCAATCAGTATTTACAGTTGTACCCATCTTGATCTCACAAGTGGAATTCGTTGGAGGTCATAAGATATATATTTGTTATCTTTAAATTTCAGCAGCAAGAACTATCTGGTAATCTTAAGGGCTATCTGGGTGGAGCAACAAGAATTGTAAACAGCTGCTTTGTCATTTTTTTTTGTTAGAAGTGGCCAATCTCCCTCTTTTGCTCTTGTGTTGCAATTCATCAGGAATGGTTGCTGTACTTTTCCTTCGTTTTATTCGCACAATAAGACCATGCAGCACCAAAACAACGCTGCACAGATCTAATCTGCTCCACACCTCTCCATGACGGATCCTACAGAAAATCTCAGAAAACAGCAATCACACTGAAAATCTCTATTATCTCTGAATTTAGAAGCTATGATCATTATATTAATATCAGTGAATTTCTTCCAATTTCATTTTTTTCTGTTACTGTATATTTGCTTTTTTTCTTTTTCTTTTACTTTTTTTTTTGCTTTCGTGTACTGGAAAATTTGAATATTTCCATCACCCAACATCCACTCTGCTTTCTTCATTCTTTATCCAATTCCATCCAATTGAAGTCCTCTGGAAATTCTCTGGAAGTCTTATGGAAATCTTTCAATTCAAATCCTATGGCAGATATCTTATGATCAAAATCCTCTGGTTTGGTCATTAATTATTTTAATGCTATTACATAATACGGTTAATATTATATTCGCTATATAAAATACAGGATGTTTTTCAGGTAATGAAGTTCGAGGGACTTGCTTTATGATTTGGCTCTCTACTTCAGCAGTGTTCATCTGGTTCAACAGGGTTTTGTTACCACAAACTCAATTTCTACTTTCGAAAGTGATCACTTCCATCCCACTCTCTGCTGAACTTCTTTGCTGAACTTCTCTGTGAATGCAAACCTTTTCCAGTTGCCTCGCGTCAATCCTTCTTAATCAGTTCACTTTTTTTCTCAAAAATTGCCTACACCTTCTTTTCCATCAAACAAAACCACCTGTGTAACCATCCTGTTCAGCGGTTGTGTTTATCGTTCTCATTGATCTGCTTCTGCTCGATAACGGCTATAGCCTAACGCTTTCTTAGAGTATCTATCAAAACAACATTTTGAGACCAAAACCAAGATACTGACATTTCTTGAAGTTTATTCCCCTTTAGTTAATAGAATAACCGTTTATCTTATCCAGGGCTTACTCATTCTCTTTTATCTTTAAACTTTGCGGATTAAGCTTAATCTGAGTAGTTATTATATCAATGTAAATAATAAACTATTATTTGTCAAACAAAAAAACGAAAACCGACAAAAAAAGAAAAGCTAAAACAATAAATGCAAAATCTGCTTTTCTCTTCCATCTCCTTTCTCTCTTTCTTCTCGCTCTTTCTCCAACTGCTGCTATATGATTCAAAAATCGATTTCTTTATTTCTCTTCTTTAATACCCTTACAAGTCAATAATAAACCTTATTCTCCCTACAATAAAAAATAGGCACAAATTTCGTAGCTCTTTATCATCCTATCTCACAATAAGCTTTCTTCATCGTAAATTAATTATGTTGCCTTAAACTTATCTTTCTACACCCAGCTTTCCACTCATGAAATTATATATCACCACCAACAATATGACTTTATAATAATGGATATCGTTCTTTTATTCTTTTACTTTTCTTTCAATTATCTCACTAAAACGAAATATTGTCTTATTTCACTTCAACTTATTCCATTCCATTCTAATTCACCAAATCATCCACCAACTTTATCATATCTTGGTCCAAACTGAACAATAATAAAAATTGAGGGCAATTTCTTGATCCATATCCGTATCCATATCCGTATCCATATCCGTATCCATATTCATATCCTTTGCCTTTCTTTTTTTTTATTTCTTCTCTACCATTTCCATCTCTTATCCTGCCTTACACTGTCAAATAATATTTAATTACCTATCTGATTGAACATCTCATCCTCTATTTCAAAAACACTTTTGAAACTCCAATTTGTCCCAACTTTGTTCCTTCCCGCCTTTTTCGCTCGTTTTTTCCATCTCAATGATCTCCTATGATCTAATTCTTTCTGCATTGTGAAACCAAAGGGTTCTCTTCATACTATTCTCCCACTCAAATCATTCAACTGTCTCACAAAATCCCTTCCTAAAGGGTTGCTACAATCTTTGGTAATCACTAATATTTGCCCTGTTTTCCCTTGTTTTTTCGCCGTCTTTTTTATTTATTTCGTCGCAATCTTCATCTATTGTCACCTATTGTCACCTATCTTCACCCATTTTTTCGCAACACATACAAACCTGTTTGACAATTATCGTCGCGAAAACTTGAAATCATCTCAACTGCCCAAATTTGTCAAACTTAGTATTTGTAACCCTACCAACTCATTGCATCGAAAAACTTAGCCGAATAGTCATCGTTGAAAAAAAAAATTTTTTTTTGAAATTTTCATAATTTTTCATAATTTTTTGTAAATTTTTGTAAATTTTTGCAGCTTTTTATATTTTTTTTACAAAAGTTTTACAATTTTATTGTTCCTTTTCGTTTATAGGCTGTTTCTTTTATTTGGTTTTTCGTTGGGTTTTTTCTTTATATATTGTTTCAATATCTTGTTTTTTTTCTTGAAATCCTACATTTTTTCTTTTTTCTCTAGTTTTGGTTCTTCAAAAGTCTATTGCTCTAATAACCTTTTTGCTTCTCCTTTCTGGTTCCGGTTCTGGTTCTGTCTCTGTTTCCCCTTAATCAAGTCAAGAAGCAAAGTGAGTTTATTCAGTATTTCACCAAATCATGTCTGCCCCAATCATCGATCTCACTACTCCTCTACCTTCTATATCTCCCCAGCAAAATTATAACGATAAAATAACTGTTCTTGAACTCAAAGATGGAACTAAATTATGCGGTTACTCATTCGGTGCCCCCAAATCTGTCGCTGGCGAACTAGTCTTTTCCACCAACATGGTTGGCTATCCCGAATCTCTCACTGATCCATCCTTCGAAGGCCAGATTCTTGTGCTAACTTACCCTTTAATCGGCAATTATGGTGTTCCCAACAGATCTATTCCTGATAACTTGATAAAATCCCTACCAAAATATTTCGAATCAAATAGAATTCACATTGCTGGTTTGGTCGTTGCTCATTATACCGAAGATTACTCTCACTACTTGGCCACTTCTTCTCTTGGTGACTGGTTAAAAGAACAGAACATTCCTGCTATATACGGTATTGATACTAGGGCTCTCACAAAACACATCAGAGACTGTGGTTCTATGCTTGGTAGACTAAACTACCCTTTTCCAAACAAATCTCTACCTTTTGTTCTAGATGCTGCTTGGGAATCCTTATATGATATTCCCGAATGGATTGACCCAAATACTCAAAACTTGGTTGCAAAGGTCTCAATCTCATATCCACAGCTTTATGTTCCTCCTCCTTCGGTTCCCTTAATCAAGAACCACAAAACTGGTAAAACATTGAGAATATTAGCAGTTGACGTTGGCATGAAATACAACCAAATTAGATGCTTTGTTAAAAGAGGTGTTGAAATAAAAGTTGTTCCATACGATTACAACTTTCTCAATGAGGACTACGATGGTTTATTCGTCTCAAATGGTCCAGGTGACCCTCAAATGCTAGTAACAAAATATTTGTCTACTGCCATCAAACAAGCTAAAACTCCAATATTCGGTATTTGTCTTGGTCACCAATTGATCGCCAGAGCTTCTGGCGCTAAAACTGTTAAGTTGAAATTTGGTAACAGAGGTCAAAATATTCCTTGTACTTCAACCATCTCTGGTTCCTGCTACATCACCTCTCAAAATCACGGTTTTGCTGTTGACAAATCAACTTTATCTGAAGATTGGGATGAATTGTTTGTAAACGCTAATGATGGTTCCAATGAAGGTATCTACCACAAATCATTACCAATTTTTTCAGTTCAATTTCATCCAGAATCAGCTCCTGGTCCAAAAGATACTGAATTTTTATTCGATGTCTTTATAGATTCCATCTTGCAAGCTATTGATGGTATCAAAAAGGCTGTTGAATTCCCTGGCGGTAACTTGACTGAAAATAAATTAAAACATCCTGTTGTCAGAACCAAAAAATGTTTGGTTCTTGGTTCTGGTGGTCTTTCTATTGGTCAGGCCGGTGAATTCGATTACTCTGGCTCTCAAGCTATCAAAGCGTTAAAAGAAGAAGGCATTTACACTGTTCTTATAAATCCAAACATTGCTACCATTCAAACTTCTAAGGGTCTAGCTGATAAGGTTTATTTTTTGCCTGTTACCCCAGAATTCGTTAGAAAAGTTATTATCAAAGAAAAACCAGATTCTATCTACTGCACCTTTGGTGGCCAAACTGCACTTAATGTTGGTATCCAATTAAAGGATGAATTTGAGTCTTTGGGAGTCAAGGTTCTTGGTACACCAATCCAAACTATTATCACAACCGAAGATAGAGAATTATTTGCTAGATCAATGGACTCCATTGGTGAAAAATGTGCTAAATCAGAAACTGCATCTTCCATCGAAGAAGCCCTTAATGCTGTTAAAAAAATTGGGTTCCCAGTCATTGTTAGAGCCGCTTATGCTTTGGGTGGTTTAGGTTCAGGTTTTGCTGATAACGAGCAACAATTAACTGAATTATGTGAAAAAGCATTTGCTACTTCTCCTCAAGTTTTGGTTGAGAGATCAATGAAAGGTTGGAAAGAAATTGAATATGAAGTTGTCAGAGATGCTTTCGATAACTGTATCACTGTTTGTAATATGGAAAATTTCGATCCATTAGGTATTCATACTGGTGATTCCATTGTTGTTGCACCCTCTCAAACTTTGTCTGATGAAGATTATATGATGCTTAGATCCACTGCTGTCAATGTTATTAGACATTTGGGTGTTGTTGGTGAATGTAATATTCAATATGCTTTGAATCCAACTTCAAAGGAATACTGTATTATTGAGGTCAATGCCCGTCTTTCTAGATCATCTGCTTTAGCTTCAAAAGCCACTGGTTATCCTCTTGCTTATACTGCTGCCAAACTAGGTCTTAATATTCCTTTGAACGAGATTAGAAACTCAGTCACCCAATCAACTTATTCTTGTTTTGAACCATCTCTTGACTATATTGTTGTCAAGATTCCAAGATGGGACTTAAAGAAATTCACCCGAGTTTCAAGTTCTTTGAATAGTTCCATGAAATCTGTTGGTGAAGTCATGTCAATTGGTCGTAACTTTGAAGAAGCGATCCAAAAAGCTATTCGTTCAACTGACTATCATAACATCGGTTTTAACGAAACTCAAGCGTTGATGTCCATTGATATTGATACTGAATTGCAAACACCATCCGACCAAAGATTATTCGCTGTTGCTAACGCATTATCAAATGGTTACACTGTCGATAAAATTTGGTCATTGACAAAGATTGACAAATGGTTTTTAAATAAATTAAATTACTTGATTAAATTCGGTGAGAAAATCCTGTCATATAGAACTAAAGAAAACTTGCCAAAACATATATTCAGGGAGGCTAAACAATTAGGTTTTGAAGACAGACAAATTGCAAAATTCTTAAACTCTAACGAAATCTTTATTAGAAACTTGAGAAAAGAAATGGGAATTATTCCATTTGCCAAACAAATTGATACTGTTGCTGCTGAATTTCCATGTCACACTAATTATCTTTATTTGACATATAATGCCAATTCAAGCGATCTTGAATTCAATGATAATGGTATTATCGTATTGGGTAGTGGTGTTTACAGAATTGGTTCATCAGTTGAATTTGATTGGTGTGCTGTCAGAGCTATTAGAACTCTTAGAGAACAAGGATTCAAGACAGTCATGATCAATTATAATCCAGAAACTGTTTCTACTGATTATGACGAAGCTGACAGACTTTATTTTGAAACCATTAACTTAGAAAGAGTCCTTGATATCTATGAATTAGAAAAATCATCTGGTGTAATCATTTCTATGGGTGGTCAAACCTCGAACAACATTGCTTTAACATTGCACAGACAAAGGATCAACATTTTAGGTACTAATCCAGAATCCATTGATTCAGCTGAAAACCGTTACAAATTTAGTCGTATGCTTGATAACATCCATGTTGATCAACCCGAATGGAAAGAATTGACCTCTATCGAAGAAGCTTATGCGTTTGCTGACAAGGTTAGTTATCCAGTTTTAGTCAGACCTTCTTATGTTCTTAGTGGTGCAGCCATGAATGTATCACATTCTCCTGAGCAACTCAGAACATTCTTACAAGAAGCTGCTGCTGTTAATCGTGATTATCCGGTTGTTATCACCAAATTCATAGAGAACGCTAAAGAAATTGAAATGGACGCCGTTGCCAATGATGGTAAACTTATAATGCATGTCGTTTCAGAGCATGTTGAAAACGCTGGTGTTCATTCCGGTGATGCTACTTTGGTTTGTCCACCACAAGATTTGTCCAAACACACAGTGGCCAAAATTGTTGTTGCTACGGCCAAGATTGCGGAAGCTCTATGTATCACTGGTCCTATGAATATTCAGTTTATCGCTAAAGATGATGAAATCAAAGTTATTGAGTGTAATGTTAGAGCATCCAGATCTTTTCCATTTGTTTCTAAAGTTGTGGGCACTGATTTGATTGAAATGGCAACCAAAGCTATTGTTGGATTACCTGTCAAACCATATCCTAACGAAAAATTGCCTGATGATTATGTTGGTATTAAAGTTCCCCAGTTTTCATTTTCTAGATTATCGGGTGCTGACCCTATTCTCGGTGTTGAAATGGCCTCAACTGGTGAAGTTGCTTCTATTGCCAAAAACCAATATGAAGCTTATCTAAAAGCTTTTGTTGCATCCGGATTGCCCCTACCAAAGAAAAACATTTTATTAAGTATTGGCTCATATAAAGAAAAAACCGAGTTGTTGCCATTTATTAAGAATCTTGTCAAACAAGGTTACAAGTTATTTGCTACTGCTGGTACTTATAACTATTACCATGAACATTTAGTTCCAATCAATTTTCTTGAAATTGAAAATGAAGTTTCCGAATATTCTTTGACAGATCACTTGGCCAACAATTTAATTGACTTGTACATAAATTTACCGTCCTCTAACAGATTCAGAAGACCTGCCAATTATATTTCAAAGGGTTACAAATCTAGAAGAATGGCTATTGATTTTGCTGTTCCATTGGTCACAAATGTCAAGTGTGCCAAATTATTGATTACTGCTCTAGGTAAAAACATACCACTTGAAGCTACCGACACTGATTGTTTGAGAACCACAGTTTCCAAAAAAGACACTAAAACCATCAGTAAAACAGATATTTTGAAATCACCAAGATTATCAAGATTTTCATTTTCAGCTCCAAGAAGACCATCCGCTATCAAGCCATTTGATTTATTAGATGACAGCGCTATTATCGAAAGTGAAAGTAAAGATGTTAAGGATCTATTATATTTACCTATGCCACACGAATTATCTGCTCCCGGTGCTATTGAGTCATTTATTAGAGGTAATAATCCTTTCTTGAAGAAATCAATATTATCTGTTCAACAATTCAAAAGATCTGATTTGCACATTCTATTTGCAGTAGCTCAAGAAATGAAATTATGTGTCCAAAGAGTTGGCTGTTTGGAATTATTGAAGGGGAGATTATTGACCACTATGTTTTACGAGCCATCAACTAGAACATGTACTTCTACAGAGGCAGCTATGATAAGATTGGGCGGTAAAGTTGTTTCAGTTAAATCGGAATCTTCTTCTGTCAAAAAGGGTGAAACATTACAAGATACAATTAGAACCTTAGCTTCATATTCTGATGGTATTGCCATTCGTCATCCAGATGAAAACTCTGCTGCGATTGCTGCAAAATATTCGCCAGTTCCTATTATTAATTGTGGAAATGGATCTAGAGAACATCCAACACAAGCATTTTTAGATTTATTCACTATTAGAGAAGAGTTAGGTACAGTGAATGGGTTGACTATCACATTTGTTGGTGATCTTAAATATGGTAGACCAGTTCATTCTTTATGTCAATTATTGAAAAACTATCAAGTCCGAATCCAATTAGTTTCTCCAAAGGAATTATCATTGCCTTCAGAAATTAAGGACAGTTTAGAAAGATCACATTTGTTGAGTGGTGAAACTGAAGAGTTAACACCAGCAATTGTTTCTGAGTCAGACGTGCTTTATATTACAAGAGTTCAAGAAGAAAGATTTTCAGATCGTGCAATTTATGAAAAATTCAAAAATGCATATGTGATTGATAACAATATCTTATCATATGCTAAACAACACATGTGTATTATGCATCCATTACCTAGAGTTAATGAAATCAAAGAAGAAGTTGATTTTGATCAAAGAGCAGCATATTTCAGACAAATGAGATATGGATTATATGTTAGAATGGCTTTATTGGCATTAGTCATTGGTATTGATTTCTGGTAAGCAATGAATTTTTCAATACCTTAAAGATTTCCTTGTTGGTATAGGATTTTTTTTCAAGTTTAATTTGATAATATTCCAAGAATAAAGAAAAAACAACCAAAAAAAAGTCTGGATAATATTTATTGAGAAAGAGTTTTTAATTTTCAACTTTAATTTTTTTTATGTTTTTGTTTTGAAATTTTTTTAAGCTTTTATTTATAATCATAAGATAATTTTGATGATTTTTTTGTTTTATTTGATCCGGCTTTTTTTTATTAAGAACTGAAAAGAAACTTTTTTTTGGTAAACTTTGTAAATAGCTGGACGAATATTTTTGATGATAATGTAGTTGTAGATAATTAATTTTTTTTGTTGAAATTGGTTAAATTCAAGGTAATTTATTTCATTTTTTTGGTAGTGGTTTTGGTCTGTTTTGTATGTATTTATATTTTTCACTTTAAATAAAAAAAATTAAAAAAATTAAATGTATTTAGGATAGATTAGATTAGATTAGATTAGATTAGATTAGTATATTGTGTAATAGATAGATAGTTTAATAAATAACATTCAATTTGAATCAAGCTACCACCTCGTAATTGGTTTTATTCATCTGCTATTAAATTAATAAATTATTTGGTTGTTTAGTTATTTGCTTGGTTGATTAATGGACTAATGTTTATTTAAAATCATATCTAAATTATCTATTGAAAAAATATTACCAGAATTTTTGAGCAAATTTGCTAGCAATATCAAAGAGGTATTGTTATTAAAATCACTAGAAGATCGTAATTTATCTAGATCATCATCGTAGGTATTAATCAATAGACTTAAATAATCGTCTAATAGACTGTTTTTCCTCTCAATTTGCAATGGAGATAGATTTTCATCAATATCCATTGTGTTTATGGTGTCTATATTGTCCTTAGTATGGGCTGTAGTGTCATCGGTATTGAGAATGTCATTTATGTCTCTATTTAGTATGTTTGATCTGTTTTTTATATGATTTTTGAACGCAGATAAGTTTATGGAAGACCTATCAAATGAGGTTTCAGATAAATCGTTGTTATTATTCTTGTTCTGAAGCTCATTTTCAAAGTTGGATAAAGTGATTTTGTTCAATTTCTTTCTGGCCTGGGATGTTCTGATTCTCAAGCTATCGATCTCGCTAGGTGACAAATTTGAGATCAAATCAGGTTTTGGAGAAGCTGTCTCTCCTGCGTGTTCTACCATAGGCTTTTTGTGATCTGGCTGGTCACTGTCGTCATCTACTTCAATTTCAATTACACTGGGCTGATCATTATCGTTATTATCAGAATCAGAGGAATCGCTATCGGATGAAAAGTCTGGTGAGAAACCTGTTAGTACATCGCTGAAATTCAAAAACCAACTAACCAACAACACATACCCTCTGTTCTTCTCTTCTTTCTTCTTCTCTTGTTCTTTTTCAAGACATCGTTTCGCACACTGGAGCCCATTGCAGCTGTTTCTCCTTCCAGTTTCCTGAACTTCCTTTTCTCTGCTCCATTTTTCACTTCAAAATTTCGAAACCAAAAATCAAACCAAGTCCCACGTGATATCCGGCTAAACACAGGAAAACAGCAGCTTTCCGAGGGCAGAAAGTTCTTTGCTTCTTCTGTTGCTGTGCTGTTCAAACGCTTTGTTTTTGCATTGTTTTTGCACTGTTTTTGCACTGTTATTTCCGAAACGTTTTTCTCTCCTCAACAGCCTTTTTTTGGCGACAACGGTCCTGGTGCTTTTGCCGCCAAAACAACACTGATGTGTTGGTGCTACCTTTGGGTGTGGGACTCGTCTGTCTCTCGTGACTAGCACTCGTACTGATTGCACAGGGATTACGTAGCCATTCTCTTGTCTTCGCGCCCGTGACCCCGTTATCCAGCCCACATATACAGGGTTTTTCTCGAAGGTTCTAGCAGTTTTTCTCCCAGTTGGTGAGTGTTGATTTTTCACTTTCAAATTTGTATATAACAACCCAAAATTTTTGCCTGAGAAAATTTTTGGCCATCATCTACTGAATATTATAGTTATCTCTAGATCTATTATACTATACTATATATCTCCATTTCTGTTCCAATTTGCTTTATACATCTAGTCCACAATGAGTGTTCCCTTTGGTTTTGATTTCGGCAACAACAACTCTGTTATAGCTGTTGCTAGAAACAGAGGCATTGATATTGTTGTTAATGAAGTGTCTAATCGTTCTACCCCAACCTTAGTTGGTTTTGGTATGAAAAATAGAGCTATTGGTGAATCTGCCAAAAATCAACAAAATTCAAATATTAAAAACACTGTTGGTAACTTGAAGAGAATTTTAGGTAAAAACTTCACTGACAACGATGTCCAAATCGAGAGTAAATACTTTACTTCTCCTTTGATTGATCTTAATGGCAAAGTTGGTACCAAAGTTAGATTTTTGGGCAAACAAACTGAATTCTCTGCTACTCAATTAGCTGCTATGTATCTCAATAAAATCAAACAAACCACCGCCAAAGAAGTGAAGGGAATCATCAAAGATATTTGTGTTGCTGTTCCTGTTTGGTACACTGAACAACAACGTCGTGCTTTAGCCGATGCTGCTATTATTGCTGGTTTAAATCCTGTCAGAATTGTCAATGAACTCACTGCTGCTGCCGTTGGTTATGGTGTCTTTAAACAAAACGATCTTCCTGAAGACAAACCAAAAACTGTTGCCTTTATAGATATCGGCCATTCTTCTTACTCTGTCTCAATTGTGGCAATCAAAAGGGGCGAACTAAAGGTCTTAGGCTCAGCTAGTGACAAGCATTTTGGTGGTAGGGATTTTGATATCGCTATAACCGAACATTTGGCTGACGAGTTCAAATCAAAACATAAATTTGATATCAGAACAAATCCCAAAGCTTACAACAGAGTCATTCAAGCAAGTGAAAAATTGAAAAAGGTTTTGAGTGCCAACTCTGAAGCCCCAATCAGTATTGAATCCTTAATGAACGATGTTGATGTCCGTTCTCATTTAAAGAGAGAAGAATTAGAAAGCTTAGTTCAACCACTATTAGAAAAAGTTCCTGCTCCTGTTTTAGCTGCCTGTGAAGCCGCTGGCATCAAACCAACTGATGTCGACACAATCGAAGTCATTGGTGGAACCACAAGAGTTCCAGCCATAAAAGCCAAACTAATTGAAATCTTTGGCAAAAAATTATCCTTTACTTTAAATCAAGACGAAGCTATTGCTAGAGGTGCCGCTTTTATTTGCGCTATTCACTCTCCAACCTTAAGAGTTCGTCCATTCAAATTTGAAGACTATAATCCTTACTCAATCACCTACTTTTGGGAAGAAGACCAAGAAGACGTTGATCATATGGAAGTTTTTGGTAAAGGTGCATCATACCCTTCTGCTAAATTAATCACTTTGTATAGATCAAAGGACTTCCAAATTGGTGCCAAATATACCAATGTTAAAGAGTTACCCAAAGGAACTCCCGAAATATTGGCTAAATGGAACATCAAAGGTGTTGAGTTGGAAGAAGGTGCTGAAAGTATAAGTTGTAGGTTAAAATTAAGATTAGATCCATCCGGTTTAGTCTCCGTTGACAAAGCTTATACTGTTGTTGAAAAATTGGTTAAAGAAGAAGTTATCAACCCTGATGCCAAAGAAGATGACGAACCAGTTTTCAAAGAGGTCAAAAAATTGGTTAAAAAGAACGATTTAGTGATTACTGGTGAATTCTTAGCTTTACCAGATCAATTAAGAAGTGAATTAATCGAACATGAAAACTCAATGGTTATGGAAGACAAATTAGTTGCTGATACCGAAGAGCGTAAGAATGCCTTGGAAGAATACATATATGACTTGAGAGGTAAACTCGAAGATATTTACGCTCCATTTGCAAGTCAAGAAGAAAAGGATAAATTATCTGACATGTTGTTGAAAACTGAAGATTGGTTATACGATGAAGGTTACGATACTACCAAGGCTCGTTATATTGCCAAATATGAAGAATTGGCCTCAATTGGTAATTTAATCAGAGGCAGATACTTGGCCAAACAAGAAGAGGAAAGACAATCATCAAAAAGCAAGCAAGAGGCCAAAAGAGCTCAAGAATTAGCTGAAAAAATTGCAGCAGAAAGAAAGTCTAAGAATGACAATGACGGTGATGTTAACATGACTGAAGAATTAGATTAGACTTCCTATTGAATTTGGTTTGTTATGAGCAAAAAGTAGTTTGGTATATGATTTTATTCTTAATCTTGCAATAATTTTTTTTTCTCCTGTTTTTTTTTTCCACTTTTTCTGTAGCCTTTACATAATTTTTATATAATTTTATATATTTTTGATACACAGCTAATCGTTTCACCTCTTTGTAATATCAACCTCTCTGAAAAGCCTCCAATTCGACAAAAAGGCTTCCTAATGCAGGCCGTTCCCAATTCGGAATCTGAGAATTGCTCTGAGTTGGCATTTCTTCGTTTTTTTGTTGGATCGAACAATGTTAAGCTGGAACTTTTTGGTTTTACTTTCTTTTTGAAAATGGCCTTAGATGTTTTCTACTTATAACTCTCTGATATTTTCTAGAATACGGTTCGCTTTTTTAGTTTGCAAGCAAAGCAATATCACCCATATTGTAACGAAATCACCATATTCGCAGTATTCACCTAGCAGTATCATGGCAGGTCGTCCAATTGTTGTTTCTGGTCCTTCTGGTGCTGGAAAGTCAACCTTGTTGAAGAAGTTGTTTGCTGAGTTTCCTGACAGCTTTGGCTTCTCTGTTTCCAACACTACCCGTAAACCCAGACCAGGTGAAGTTAATGGGAAAGACTACAACTTTGTCACTGTTGACGAATTCAAGACTTTGATAGATGAAAATAAGTTCATCGAATGGGCTCAGTTTTCTGGAAACTACTATGGAACTACCATCAAAGCTGTTGAAGATGTCTCAAAAGTAGCCAAAAAGACCTGTATATTAGATATCGATATGCAGGGCGTTATTTCAGTCAAGAAGACAGATTTGAATGCAAGATATTTGTTCTTATCACCTCCATCCATTACCGAATTGCACAACAGATTGGAGGGCAGAGGCACTGAAACTCCAGAATCGTTGAAAAAGAGAATCGATACTGCCAGCAAGGAGATGGAATTTGCTAAAACTGGTGTTCACGATCAAATTATTGTTAACGATGATTTGGAAAAGGCATACACCGAGTTGAAAAAATTTATTTTCTCTGAAACTGTTTAAATTATAACTATATTAACTATACTTATTTTGCTTCTATTATTTGTTTGTTTATTTAGTTTTTTAATCTACTTGTGGGTTTTCTTTACCTGTTCTTTTTTTTTTTTTTAACTTCACCGATTTCTAATTAGACCCAAATATATTCCTACAGTTTTTATCAATTTCTATATTAGAATTAGAATAAGTGAATTAAATCAATTAAAAAACAGAGTGCACTTATTTAGTTATTTCAATTAATTATTCTTTGAATAAAAGTCTAGACTATTTATCAACAGGTTCAATTTTTTTCTCTTCTTTGCTTGTAATTGGTTTAGTTGGTGTAGTAGTAGTAGTAGTGGTTGTTGTGGTGGTTGTTATCGCTGAAATATTGTTATTTACTTTTGAACTAGAGCCATTTTTTGTTATCGATGTTAAATTTGCATGCAATCTTTTCAAATTGGATTTGGCGTTTCTTAAAGGTGCTTGTAATGTGCCATTAATCTTTCTTGGTAAAGGCAGTGAGAAGTTTTTGTTAATATTGTAGTTAGTAATATTGACATTTGTTTCCTGAACTAGAGATCGTTTAATTGGCATTGACCTTGAGTGATCAACTGTTTTTCGAAGTGATGGTGACTGATAAGTATGGTCAAATGCTTTTTCTGGGGGTAAAGGCGAATTTGATTGAACTTGTTCAGCTTGTCTTGCACTAAACCATTTAACTTTTTTTGGGATGTTTTCAGGCAATCTTTTGAGTGGTTCTCTAGAATCGTCTTCAATAATAGCGTTTTCTTTATGTTGTTTTATATTTTCGAGATTGCTTTCTTTTTTATTTTTTTTTTCATTTACTTTAGTGGTTTTATCATTTTCAATTTGCAAAGTTTTATTTTGAATATCATTTTGAATATCATTTTGAATATTTTGAGCATTTACAGTATCGATATCCATTTCTTCGTTTTTTATATTTTTTGAGTTTTCATTTGAAGAAATAGTAATGGTGATATCGCCATCCATTTCATCATTTTCATTATTTTGATTGTTTTGATTGTTTTGATTGTTTTCAATATCTTTGATGTCTTTGGTATCTTTGATATCTTCGATATTTTTGATATCTTTGATATCTTGTTTAGTTTGGTTGTATTGGATATTTTTAAGATCATTTACATCTTTCGTCTTAAAATTTGAGTTTAATTCTTGGTTTTTCTTTTTATCTATAATGTTAGAATTTTGAGAATCGTCATTTGAATCAAATTGATCTGAAGGTGTTGTCTTACTTAATACTAGATTAAAATCGTTATCTGTCAAGCCATTATTAAAATCTTGAGAAGCAGCAATTTCGTCACTAAATAGGGAATCGCCAAATTCGTAATCCATGTCACTTTGATCGATATTAGAACCATAAAGGATTCTTTTGGATGATAAATGATCGTAATCGGGATCGTAATAAGGGTTTTCCTTTTTTAATTTATCGTATATGGTTTGTATGGATTGTTGATCGAATCTTGGGTCATAGTTTGTTTTTTTGTTATTGGTGTTAGTAGTAGTATTATTGTTATTATTGTTATTACGATTATTGGTACGATTGACAGGAGATGGATTCGGTAAATTTTTTTTAATGTCTAGTTTGATCTGGTTTCTGTTTTTGTTTTGAATGTGAATTTGACTTATATCCTTTTGAGGTATTGGTTCAATTAATTTATCGTTGATGTAGTATGGGGAAAATAGTTTAAGGTTATTTTTCGATTCAAAATCTTGGTATTTAATTATTTCATTTATTGGATTTAAACTGGAAGAAGGTCTTATCAGGCCTAAGTCCTGTTCATCTGAGGGATTTCTTAATAACGAATGTGGATCATAATCTAGTGTGTTTTTACTAATATCCTTTTGAATAAATTTGACAAAGTCCTTATCGTACAAGCAATTACCCAAGGAATTGCCAAAAGATCTCAAGCATCTTTTTAGAGCGTCAGTTATAGCTTCTTTTTTACATTTTTCTAGAGCACCAGCTTTTGTTCTTGAGTTTTCGATTGTTCCGTAACCAATATCCTCTCTGAAGGTTCCATCTTTGAGAGTTATTCTAATTATCACAGAAACACCCACATTGAATTTTTGTCTGACAGTATCAACAAAGTCTATCGTCATGTCTTTAATTTCGGTATACCAGCCATTGAAACCGAAGACTTTGTTGGCAAGGTTAATGGCCTTCCAACCTTCGAGATAATGGACGCTTCCAGCACCATTTGGTCTTTTGGAGATGTATTCTGGGCCCAATTTTTTGTCTAGAGCAAGAGAGATTCTGCGAAACTCGTAATCGTTGTAGGGAACATAGCTTGGCCCAGAGCTGAATTCTGGTTTTAAGTAGTGGCTGTTGTGCTTTTCAGTGTTTGCTCTGGAGGTCATTCTGGACCTGGTGGTGTTGGCAAAAGTGTTCTCTTTTTCTTTGCTGGCGTTGTTCTGGGGGTTGTCGACATTGTTGGCGGTTTGATTGGGCTTGTTCATGGCAACTGAGAGCAGTGGAACTGGGACTGAGGGTGGTGGACCTGGAGAGTGATAAGGAACAGGACACAGTGGATGAAGTTAAGCGCCGAACCTCGCAAAGCAGTGGCAAGAAATACAGGAGAAGAAGCAGAGATGGACGTGTATTTGCTATTTACATGGTGCTGGCGCTGCAGCACGGGAGCCTGAGCTGTGTCTCGAGGTGCTCTTCGAGTGCTCTTCCCTTGCTCTGCTCCTACTGCTCCAACCACTCCAAGAACTCTGGCGTGAAGTACGAGATGATCAACCTGGCGCCTGCTCTGAGAAAGCCGTTGTGGGCCTCGAAAGCAATGCTCTTCAAGTCCACCACACCCTTCTCAGCAGCTGCATGGAGCATAGCGTACTCGCCACTAACATGATAGGTGCAAATGGGAATGTCCTGGCAGATATTCGAGGCCTCAGAGATGACGTCCAAGTAGAACGTCGAGGGTTTGACTATCACACCGTCGGTTCCCTCTGCAAGATCTCTCATTAAGGCTCTTCTGGCCAACCCCTTGCCTCCAGAGGGAAGTTGGTAGCACTTTCTGTCGCCATGACTGGGTGCTGAGCCTGCTGCGTCCCTGAAGGGCCCATAGAGGTTCCCGGAGAATTTGGCTGCGTAGCTCATCACAAAGCATCTGTGGGCCAACCCAGCCTTGATGAGACCCAACTTCATGTCCTTGATTCTACCATCGATCATGTCTGAGGGGGCTACTGAGTGGGCTCCAGCTTTGGCGTAGTTCACTGCCACTGCTGCGATTCTTCTCACCGACGTTTCTCTGTTGATCGACCCATCCTCATATAAGACCCCACAGTGTCCATGGGAGGTATACTCGCAAAGACACACATCACACATCACAAACAAATCAGGGAAGTTCTTTCGCAATGCCTTGATGGCCTGGATAACTGGTCCCTCAGGATCATCTGCCAATGTTCCCTCGGGATCCTTTTCTTTGGTCAATGGCACTCCAAACAAGATAACAGACGAAAGGCCCTTTTCAACGAGCGAAGCAACATAGGGAATCAACGTCTTGACGCCTCTTCTTTTGATGTTTGGCAAAGAAGGAATATCTGTCTCTTCATCTTCGATATCAGACACAAATAGTGGGAAAATGAACATTTTTTTGTGTAATTGAGCACCTTGTTGCCATTCTCTTAGCAATGGATGGAAATATCCTCCAGCCAAAACGCTCGATATTTCGGTAGGATGTATATCCAAATATTCTGCTTTATGCACCATTTTGAATATTGAATCAATAGTATGCTGTTGAAACAATACACTGTTGAAGTAATTTACAGTATATAGAATAATAATCAGTTTATATTCTCGATATCAGATAAATCTCTAAGCAGTTATCTTTTTTTTTTTTTTNTTTACTAAGCGATTTTAACTCACAAAATTGATGACTGAAATTTCAAACTTCCGCTAAAATTTTATTTACTCAATCAGGGAACAATATTGAAAGCACACCAACTCTCGCTATCAGATAACAAGAAACTAGGATATAAATGTATACTGGATTAATAATGGGGAAAACCTTTCCAGCTGGTGCACTCGATAATCAACCTCCTAAGAAAAAAAGAAAAATTATTAATCATACAAATAAAAAACATAAACAAGATAAACAAGATAAAAAAAACAAAAAAAAATCAGATAGAGATGTGGATCTAGATCTAGATCTAGATATAGAAATCGATTCTACTAAATTGAGCTCTTATAACATTGATATTGATGAAGATAAAACGGATTTGATAAGACAAAAGGATAAAGATGATGAAACTTTTAATAAATTGGTCAACGACAGTTTAAATCAATTGATTAAAGATGATATTAAGAGTAAAGTTGATATTAATAATAAAATTAGAATAACTATCAATATTAATGATAATATCAATAAAAAAATCAATGAAATGTACAACAAATTGACTTCAAGTGGTAACAAATCAACTTTAAGTGATAACAAATCAACTTCAAATGACAGCATAATATTAATTGGTGAAATGAATTCAATACAAAAATTAATTTCGATAGTTGAGATTTTCAAAAAATTGGTTAAAAATAATAAAAAAATTGTCAAACTTGCTAATAAAAATGAAAATAAAAATGAAAATGAAAATAAAAATAAAAATAAAAATAAAAACACTGATGATGGTGGTGAAAAAAAATTAAATTATAATAATTTATTACAGTTTAATAAATACCTATATTACAACAGCAAATTGAATCCAAAACACAAGAAAAATCTTTGTAAAATTAATTCAATTTCCAAAGATGACTTTAGTAATAAACAGAAATTGGACCATCTTTTAACTAATATTGATAAATTATATAAAATACCGATTTTCATAGTTTATTTAAAGTTAATCAATCAAAACGATGAAAAAAACAGAAAAAAAAGAGATCAAATGATTGACAACTTTGTTAAAAATAGTTGGACATTTCAAGAAAATTAATTCGCAAATTAATTGAAAAATTAATAATTGGATTGAGAATTGAATTTCGTATCTTTTATAAAAGCTTTGTGGTCAGTAGGATTAGCAGCAGCTTCATAAATAGTAATTACAGGGTTTTTGGTTAAAGCAGTGGAATCGCCTCTTAATTCTATATAATACATAGTTAAATCTTCCTCATCGTCACTATCACTGTCTTGACTATCGCTTTCCAGATTAGAAGTTGAATCTGAGTCGTCATTGTCACTATAAGAATTTTGAAAATAAATTGTCAAATGAGTTAGACCAGTAAATAATCTTCTCGATAAATAATGCTCAACAAAAGTCAAATCATTTTCATCTATGGCTTCATCGGCGTTTAAATTATTATCTAAATAGCCCAATAAAGGATGGGTGACTTCATATAACGGTTTTACGTTATCAATTGTATCAAAATCTAAATCCAGACGATTTTTGAAAAATTTAATTGTCTTGGGACACTTTTTGGAAGAGCCATTTGTTCTTAGGATTATTGAAAATAGCTTAACGTTGGCATTGAATGGAATCTTCAAAATAATTTGGCTATCCAAATCGCTCGAAACATATTCTGATATGTTGTATTTGCTGTGGGGGTCATCGTTGGCGCTCTTCTGGAAGATCAGCTTGATCTTGTCGTTGGGCTGTTTGATGTTCAAGGCTGAGAGGTTCAAGAGATCTATTTGGCACAACAACGACTGAGAGGCGTTGGTAGGAATGGGCGGCCCATCGTGGTGCTGGTGGGAGTGATGTTGGTGGTGGCAGGACATGGCGGCAGAAGAGGCAGAGGCAGCTAAGGAAGCACAAACAGCAGAGGCAGCACAGGCAACAAGAAGAAGACAGTCTCCTGATGGCAAAAATCAGGTCACTTCCAGTGGCGTGGGTGGCTGCAGGAACCACAGGCACGGGGCTCTTCTGTGTTGCTGAGAGTATAAAAGCTGCTGTTCTTCCTTTGCAACGAGCAAAAAGAACACTTTGCTGATCAGCTTCTATTAAGGTTTGCCACTCTTTTGATCAAGCTTTACTGTGAGTCTCTGATTGCTGATTACACCATGACCAAGCCAGTTTTACATTCACAGGAAGTCGATGCTTATCACCTCCATCTTCTCAACCATCCCTATGTTCAGCACTTGCAGGCTTCGAAGGACTTCCACCAGATCAGCCATGTTTTTGACACCAACGTCAACAGAACCAATGGCTTGTTAACCTCTCACACGTTGGCTGGCTCTGATTTGATTTCCAATCCCATCATCTTTTCTAAGTTGCTTACCAGGGACGACGGTGGATGTGCCGGTAATGCTGATGGTGCGAATGACGAGGATATTCATAATGAGATTATCGCGTTTTTTCATTTGGGAAACCAGTTGAATGGCCAGTTTAACATCGTTCATGGTGGGCTATTGGCGACTTTGTTGGATGAGAATCTTTATAGATGTTGTGTTCCATTATTCAAGAACTCAAAGAAATTTGGCGTTACAGCTAACTTGAACATCAATTATAAGAATCCCACTTTTTCTGATTCATTTATCATGTTACATGCAAAGATAACTAGAGTTGAGAAACAACGAAAGTTTTACTGTTATGGGAAAATTGAAAATTTGCTAATTGACGATAACAGCAATAGCAATTATGATACTAATAGTATTTTAAACTATTATTTGAATGAAAATGATATTGATAATGATATCAATTATTGCTTGAATCATGCCAAAAATCCAAATCACAATTTATTAGTTGAGGCTAATATTTTAGTTATTGAACCCAAGTGGGCTCCTGATTTTCAATCTGATCAATATTAATTATAATATTGATTATTATATTAATCTTATTCACCTTTAATTCACCTCAAAAGATTATAATCTTTACTTCATTATCATTATTATACTCATATTTATTTTACTTTTACTTATACTTATACTTATACTTATACTTATACTTATACTTATACTTTTACCAATATTTTATTTTTATTTTTATTTTATTTTATGTCATTTTATTATATTTTTATTTGGTGGAGGGCTTCATTACATTTCTATTTCAATTCAATTATATTTGAATTACTTTTCAATTTTAATAATTTTAATTACATCCATTATAGATAACATATTTTTTTTTATTTTTTTTCTTACTACATGGCTAGATATCTATATAAATTAACAAATAAATAAATAGATAAATAGATAAATAAATTTAAATTAATTTATTGACTAATTTTAAACCCATTTGGGTTTCATAACTAAAATATTAGCCTCAACTAACAACTCTTTCTTGGGATTTTTAGTCTTATTCAAATTGTGCTTAATATCATCATCAATATTATTCTTATTTAAATAGTGGTCCAAGATCTCTTTATCACCTTTCTCCTTTTCATTTCCCTCTTCCTTTTCATTGAATTTTAGACTCTCGATTTTGCCATAACAAAAAAATTTCCTCTCATCTTCTATTCTTAACAATTTAGCATGCAAAACAATAAATGAATTGGTATAAGTTGGATTCTTGTAATTCAAATTCAAATTAGCCGTAACACCAATTTTATTCTCAATAAATGGTACGCAGCATCTGTAAAGATTTTCATCCAACAAAGTCGCCAATAACCCACCATGAACAATATTAACCTGGCCACTTAGTTTTTGTCCCAAATGGAAAAACCCAATTAATTCATTTGATATCTCGTTTCTCTTTAAAAAGGCCTCTCGATTAAAATTTTTGCAGTTCTCGTATTTCGAAAACAATATGGGGTATTTGGATATCAAATGCGACCCACTCAATGTGCCCCCAGTGAACAAGTCCTCGTTGTGGTTCGAATTGTCATGGAGTAGATAAGAAATTGGATTGAACTTTGAAGTCGATGAGCCTAAGTGCTTGACATAGGGATGCGACTGCAACTTCAAATACTGAGACGAGGGACTCATTCTCTGTCGAATAGCAATAACATTGACCTAGCACTCTCTCTGCTTGACCAGCCAGCGATTCTTCAGTCCATATATACCCATCTCCAACCTATTTCTGGGAGACTTCTGGGAGATGCTGAGGAGAGCCTTTTTTCACTCCGAAAACCTCGCAAAAAACGGCAGCTGATAAAAAAGCGGCATTCGTCCTTTGCTTTATCCGGAACCGCTCCTCAATAGCGCCGCCCGGCCTTAACTACTGGACCCGTGGCCGTGGAAAGATGAGAGGATCAGAGATGGTGAAAGATGCTGAAGATGGTGAATCAACTGCAAAAGATCGCCTCACAGCTGCCTTGCCACCAATGTCCAGCTCCAGATGGTTCTCCTACGCTCTTCTACTGTATTTCTCCTATATGCTAGCAATTGCCAGCAGTCTTGCTTCTTCCCAGAACTCTGTCAATGTCAAGCTCTACTCCAGCTGGCTGAATCCCCCATTTGCTTTGCAGATACTAGAAACAATTTCAAACCAGAATGAGTCTCTTTATTTGCCAACGATTTTGAAATTGTTGAACATCAACGACATAGATGCTCTGAGTATTCATGATATCGATGCAATCAACTCAATTGACTTGTCTGATGCTTGCGAACTCTCCCCAGTTTTCAACGATAAATTTTACTATGACAACACTTTTAACACTTTATTAAACAACGATTCAAAATTGGTTTATGATATTTACTTAGCAAACCACTATTATTCTCCAACAGTTATATCCCATTACAATTACTATAATTCGTCCGTTATACCTAATTTCAACATCCCTCAGTCCTCCCCAAGGGATTCCTGGATCCTATTTGATGACAAAATTATATCGGATCCAACTGATTTATTCGCTTTGCAAATCGACAATAGTAACAACAATAATAACAAAATTAATGAGTTAATTTTGCCATTTGATAGAGTTATTGGTAATTACTCTACAAATAATCTTCCTCTTTTGATTCTTTATGGTAATATTAATGATCCCTCATTTAAAAATTTCTTTATTTCTTTATACCAAAATGTTTTAGCAAAAAAATTGAATTTTGTTTGGAGATATATCCCTGAATATAATACAAAAATTGATTATGAATTATTAAGTGGTTATGGTGTTGATTTAACTCTAAAAAGAACAGATTATATTGTAATTGACGATAGAGATGTCTTTAACAATTCAAATTCAAATTCAAACTCAAACTCAAAACAAAACTCAAATATCGAAAAAATTGATACTGATGACTCTGATATCCTAAACACTCATTTTTCTGATATTCAATCAGTTCCAAAAAAGAGAATTAAAAACTTAGATTTAAAATTAGTCAACTATGTACTAAATTACTCTAACAATTCATACACAAACTTTAAGAGATTAATTCAAATTTTAAATGACTTTCCCAAATTTTCAAATTTAATCGCCTTTTCAAAATCTTTTAAAATTAACAAAAAAAGAGATCAAAAAATTAAAAATATAATCGATATAACAAATTCAAATTCGAAAATTGGGTTATCAAAGGATTCAATCGGCCTTTATATCAATGGTAAACCCTTATCTGATTCAAAATTTAATTTTTTCAACCTAATTAACTTATTCAATAACGAATTGAACTTGATTCATTTTTTGAAAAAAAATCTAAAACTATCAACTTTTAATTCAAAAAGCATTCTAACAAGATTTGCCTTTATGCTAACTTATCTAAGAAGAAATTTTAAATCAAATTCTAATAATCTATTTAAACGATTTAATTTAAATAAAAATTCTCACATATTAGGCGATAAGTTTTTTTATTTAAACGATATTGAAAGTGATTCCTTTTATAGCCATTTAAAGATAGACAGAAGCATTTTTCTACAACAATCAAAGGAAATTCGTCCTGGCCAATTACCAAACTTAAAGGAAAATTTATTTGATATGATTTTTGTTTTAAATTTAAATGATGATAGCTTATTAAATATCGCAATGTCAATATCCTCCTTAATTTTAGATAGAGGGATTCCCCAAAGAATTGGATTTTTACCAATTTTACAAAATGCCTCTGATAAAAATGAAGATGAAAAATTGATCAATAAGTTATTGTTTCACAAATTTTATAAAACTGGTTATAATGATCAAGTAAATTCGAAAAAGGATTTATACAGCTTTTTAGAACGACTAAGTAATTCTCCAGGAAAAGTTAAAAAAGAATTACTAGATCACTATAATAACAATGAAGACGACTATAACCTCGATGAATATGATAATTCCTTTTTTTTAAAAAATTATGCAATTAAAAAACCTTATATTATAATTGATGGTGTCTTTACTGAATTCGATAAATACAACCAATGGCAATATGCTATTGCAAATCAATTATACAAAGACGTTAATTTAATCGCTAAAATTATCCAAGAAAATCTTTCCTCGAAAAACAAAGAGTTTGAAAATAAAAAATTAATTGATTATCTTTATGAAAAATCTTTATCTTCCCGTAATTTGAAAATAATGCCTGAACACGATAATATTAAAGGAATTGATGATGGAATTATTGATGAAGGGTTTACTTATAAATTTTTCTCTGAAGAATTTTTTAAAACAATCAGATATAATGAAAAAATTCAAGAAAACACTGTTGAGTTTCAATACGAAAAAAAAATAAGAAGAATTAATTCCGAACAGAAAATTCCAATAACTACTTATTTAATTGGTGATTTTAATTCAAAACCATTTTTGAAAGAAGTGGTTGAATTGCTTAAAATGGAGTATAGTCTATTCGAATATGACCAAGATTATAAAGCCAGAATCAAATTAGTAAATACCGCTATAGATAACTCTAATTTCAAAAAAATCAAAGAATCTCTTACTAATAAAAATATTGGCAAATCAATTACATTAAAGGATACAATGGAATTAGTTGTGGATATTATTGAAAGAAACTCAAATTTAATTGAGTTTAAAGATCAACACAAACAACATTTTAACAAGGAAGTTATCAGTTTACTTAAATCAATTGATATTGATATTGAAGCTTATAATTATGCTCCAGTAATTATTGTGAACAGCAGATTGATTAAATTTAATAGTGAAGAAGAATTGTTCACTGAAAAAGAAATAGATTTCTTAGTTCTATATGAAATTGAAAATAGATTAAAACCCATTGATATTTTAAGAACAGATCTTGATATTTCGTTTAAAAATCAGATTTTGATATACCAAAAAACTGAAATAACCTTATTTAAAGACTATTATGATTGGTTTGAATTGTTATCAACGGTTTTAACCAAGAGCTTTTTTGACACTAACCAAGTTGATTATCAGATTGGTGAAAAAATCACTAGGTATGATTTATCTTCAATCACTTATGAAGATGTTTCAATTGAAATCGGTAATGAAAATGCTAAATCAGTTTTTAGATCTAAAGATTTGGCAGATCTAGAGATTGTTGCAATTATTGATCCTATTAGTGAAGAATCTCAAAAGATATTAACAATGCTAGACGGTTTTACAAATTTAGCCAGATTTTCTAATCTTTGTCATATTACTATTTTACTTCAACCAGATTTGGAAATGAGCGAGATTAGTATCAAAAGATTTTATCGTGGGTTATATCTTTCGAATGTTACATTTGATTCTGATAGTGGGGAAATTGATAGAAACAATTACAATGCGAAATTTGAAAATGTGCCTGAAAAGACATTATTTACATTAGATATGGATGTTTCAACGTCATGGATTGTTATGCCTAAAACATCGATTTGGGATCTTGATAATATTAAACTTGATTCTACAGAATTCGGTTATGTTGAAGGAATTTATGAGTTGAGAAATATATTAATTGAAGGGCATAGTAAAGATATTGAAAAGAAAATTCCTCCAGTGGGAGCTCAAGTTGAGCTAATTGATGTTCAAGATAAAACATATTCAGATACTAACATCATGGCTAATCTTGGGTATTTGCAGTTAAAATCCAACCCTGGGCTATGGAAGTTTCAAATTAAACCAAATTCTAAATCTAGGGAGATTTATTCAATTAATGACATTTTCATCATTGACAATGAGGGAAAAAAGATTTCTAGGAATGATTCATATCTTGGTATTTCAGATATGAATGGATTGACAATTTTTCCAAGATTTGTTAAAAACCCTGGAATGGAAGGTAGTAGCTTGATTATTAAAAATGATCAAGATGCGGATGATTTTGATGCAAGTACATTTAAGAAAATATTGAATTTAGACGGAATAGTGAATAAATTACCAAGGTTATTGAAAAATGTTTTTAATAAGATTAGTGGCAAAGATAATGAATTGGTTGGTTCAAATTATAATTTGGATAAAGCGGATATTAATATTTTTACAATTGCAAGTGGACACTTATATGAAAGATTTCTAAGTATAATGACAGCATCTGTTAGAAAACATACAAAGCATAGTATCAAATTTTGGTTAATTGAGAATTTTATGTCACCATCATTCAAGGAATTTCTACCATATTTAGCTAAGAAGTATGATTTCAAATACGAGTTGATAACATATAAATGGCCATTTTGGTTAAGACCTCAAAGAGAAAAACAAAGAACGTTTTGGGGCTATAAGATATTGTTTTTAGATGTGATTTTCCCTCAAGATTTAGATAAAGTGATATTTGTTGATTCAGATCAAATTTGCAGAACAGATTTGAAAGAGTTAGTTGACTTGAATTTGAAAGGTGCGCCATATGGATATACACCAATGTGTGATTCAAGAAAAGAAATGGAGGGATTTCGATTTTGGAAACAAGGGTATTGGGCCAATTTATTAGGAGATGAGTATAAATACCATATCAGCGCGCTTTATGTGATTGATTTGAAAAAATTCAGAGGAATTGCAGCTGGAGATCGGTTAAGACAGCATTATCAATCTTTATCTGCAGACCCAAATTCATTATCCAATTTGGACCAAGATTTGCCAAACAACTTGCAAAAGGAAATTAAAATCTTCTCATTGCCTCAGGACTGGTTATGGTGCGAGACATGGTGCTCAGACGAAAGCTTGAGAACTGCTAAAACAATTGATCTCTGTAACAATCCACTCACCAGAGAACCGAAATTGGATCGAGCAAGACGTCAAATCAAAGAATGGAGCGACTACGACGATGAGATCACAGCTTTGCGAGAAGAAGCAAAGCAAATAAAGGCGGTGGAGCTCAAGGAGGCCGAAATACATCTGGTTAGTGCTTCTGATTCTGCTGATTCTGCTGCTTCTGATTCTGAGGAGGACTTTGATGCGGATCTTGCGGATTTCCACGACGAGCTCTGATCCGCGCCGTATGCACCATCTGCATAACCGTTGAGCTTCCGTGGACGCGGAGACCGGCATAAACCGCGCTTTCACCGCAAATTTCAGCTTCGGAATTGCACTCCAAAATTTTTTCACCATTTTTTCAAGATCAACTCCACGATTTATGACTGGTGTAGAACGCAGGTCATAGAAAAGAGATATATAGTAAATACACCTTTATTGTTCCTCTTGTAAATATCTTCTTTCAGCTTATTTATAATCTTTTTTTTGTCCAATACATTGTTATCTTTTTGTTTTTCTAGTCTCTAGTTGTTACAACTTTCATTTTCCAAAGAATGAGCGCTGATTTAAAGGTTGAAAGTGCCCAGCCAGTTACTACAATTCCTGAATCCAATGGAAATGTTGAACAAACCAAAAAACCTGAGCTGGCTCCTCAAGTGAAAGAGGCTCAAAAAGCCGATGTTACTGACCCTGCTGAATCCGCTGAATCTGCTGAATCTACTGAGCCATCTCAAGGCTCCGAAAAGAATGAAGCTAACGATTTTGTCGAGCCTCTGATGATCCAAGTTTCGGTGAAACTTCCTTTATCTGACTCGTCTGATTCACCATCTGAATTATCCTTAATGGTCTCCCAGTTTGAAACAATTCACGACATTGCTCAGTCAATCTCAGTATTATCTCAATCGAATTATTTAACTTGTTTCAATTTATGCCTCAAAGGTTCAAAGAACGCTTTACTATCTGAAACTACAATTAGTGACATACTTTCTTCGACTTCGTCGGATGACAATTCATCTTTATCTTTAGTTGCAGTTGAAAAGCCATATACAGAAAGAGATGTTAGAGAACATTTGTTGAAATTAAGAGAAATCTCAGCGTTGACACAAGTCTCTGAGTTTGAAACTTTATCTGACATTTTAGGTATAGGTGCTGGTTCAAGTAAATTTCAAAACATTAAATTATCTCCAATTATTAAAAAAGATTCTGAAGATGCTGAGGATGCAAAAAAAACGAAAGATAATAATGACAAAAAAGAAGAGGAAAAAACTTTATCTCCTGAAGATAAAGAAAAACTCGCTTCCTATTCAAAGGAGTTGTTCATTGCTCCAACTTTTAAACAACATTCTCCATCTTCTTCAATCAGATTGAAACCTGCTTTAAAGAACATTTTTCTTTCTTCTTGGAATCCACCATCTTCTTATTTCAAATTAAGAGGCCACTTATTATACTTGACTATTCAAACTTTAGAAAATGAAACTTATCATGTCACTTCCTCGATTAATGGGTTTTTCGTTAACAACTGTTCATCGAATAATTTTGATCCAACTATTAAAAAAACCTCAGTCAAAAAAAATTCCTTAATTAAATCACATTCTTTGATTTCGCTAGTTCGTTCTATTTCTCTCAAATTTAATCAGGTTTGTAAACGTAATAACGATCTTTTAAACTCTTCAAGTCCCTTATTGTTTCTTTTACCAACTGATTCGTTTTTATCAACTCCATGGATTGCCCCATCTTCATCTACCACCTCCGATAAATTTCTTGAGAAGCAATCTTCTTTGTATCCTGACTTAGGCAAAACACAATTGCAGTATTTAATTGGTGGTTCTGATGGTGCTGATCTCTATCGTGATTGGAATGAAGAATACCAATCAGTCAAGGAGTTACCAAAATCTAATTTGCAAGAAAGAATCTTCAGAGAAAGGTTATTATCCAAAATCGGTTTTGAGTTCACTCTCAGTGCAACCAAAGGTGCGATCGAAATCTTAAATGGCAACATTTCTCCAATGAACCCAAACGAAGATCCTTCTCAACATATTTTCTTAAGAAATAACATCTTTTACTCCTTAGCCACTGACTCATCAGATCTGTATGTTAACAAAGGTGGAAACGAAGCCTCGAGGTATTGTGCTATCAAAGATTTAGATTCAGTTCGTGTTCTTAACAAATTAGATGATCCTAAGGTTAGCCATTTATGTACTGCTATTATTGATTTCTGTGGGAGAAGAGTTGTTTGTCAAACTCCTGTTCCTGGTGTTTTTAACAATGATACACTACTCAGCCCCGAGGAAAAAACAGCCTTCTCTAAAATCGTATACGGATCAAGTGATGAAGGTATTACTGTTTCTTCTAACGAAAAATTTGAAGAATTATTTACTCCAATTGCTGAAGCTTTTCATTTGAGAAAGCATTCGGTTTATGTTAACGATGGTGCTGATAAGGTTAAACCAGTGCCAATTGTCACTTCTTTTGAAACAAAAGGAATGAAAGGAACTGATTATCGTAACTACATTATTGATCTTTACAAAACTTCTCCATTAGATATTGAATTTATTGAATCAAATTGGAAACCTGACAACAAAGAATCTTTCCCTCACAAAGAAACTTATGTCAGACACGAATGTGTTGAAGAATGGTTTAGAAGAAAAGTAGCTGCTTTAATCAAAGAGGAAGCCGAGATTTTTGAAAAGAAGAAGGCTGAAAAGGACTTATTAGAAGATAATGAAAAACCAACTATTACTTTGGATCCAAGTAAGATTTCTATCAATCCAGATTGTTTCTCATTAACTGTCGATGAATCAAAATTAGGGGAAAAAGAAAAAGAAGAACTTCATCAAGATCAACAAATCGTTAGAGAAATTTCTCAATTCATCAGCAAGTATTTGATTCCAGAGTTTTTGGAAGAAATTGGTACATCTGAAGTTATGGCTCCTATTGATGGTGAACACTTGACAAGCTTACTTCACAAAAAAGGTATTAACTTGCGTTATATTGGTGCTATTGCAAATTCTGCAATTGTTTATAAAGAAAAAGAAACAAAAAAAATAGAAGAGAAAAAGGATCAAATCAAAAAAGAAATTGAGGATGCAAAGGCTGCAAAGGCTGCTAAAGCTAAGAAGGAAGCTGAAGAAAAAGAAAAGTCTAACAGTAATGATAAGAATGAGGAACCCAAGGAAGAAGCTAAAGAAGAAACCAAAGGGACTGAAGAGAAATCAAAGGCACCTAAATCTAATGTTTATTTCACCACTGCTTCTTATGAAGCTCTCTACAAAACATGTATACAAGAGATGATTGCTCGTTCAGTTAAACACATTTTACGTGAATTGACTACCAATATACCAATTGCTATTATTCCATCAATTGTTACTTTATTCTTAAATTGCTTCTTGGGTTATAATGTTAACTCCAAACCTAAATTTGAAATCGATGAAGAACTTAAATCATTATACTCTTCAACTGTTGATTTTGAATCATTTGATTTCTTGGCACCAAACGCTGTGTTTGAATTGATTGAAAAAGAAGTTTACAGAAGATTCAGATTTAACTTATCTGAAATTGATAAATGGTATGAAGACCAAAAAGTCATTAAAGTTAGATCTTTATTTAGGGAAATTTCATTGAAGTTTGGTATTCAATGGGCATCTTTCAATTATCCTTTTACTGTTCAAGAATTTGAAAAGTTAACAGAAGAAGAATTGATAATTTTTACCAATGAAGAGCAAGCTACTGTTAAAAAAGGTAAAAAGAAAGGTAAAAAATCCACTGTTTCAGCATCAGCATCAGCATCATCAGAAATTATCAAACGTACAACTACCTTTATTCCTGATGACATTGTTACATTTGTTCCAATTATCAAAGATTCAGTTTATAAACCTTCATTAGTTGAAGAAATCTGGGATACTGGTCGTGCTAAAATTTATGGTGTGAACACCACTAAAGAAGATCATGACATGGGTATTTCATTATTGTTAGAATCGCTTTCTTTATATGAACAAATTTATGGAACAGTTCATCCTGAATTAGCTAAAGTTTATGGATTAATAGCCCAATCTTATTTTGATTTAGGAAATTCAGCATTAGCTGTTGAATATTCTAGAAAGGGGATTTTTATTGCTGAAAGAACATTGGGTATTGATTTCCACGAAACATTTTTAGCTTTAATCAATTTGGCATATTATGAACACATCAATGGTAATACCATTAATTCGTTGGCAGTTTATTCGAGGATTTTAAAGGATTGGAATATCATCTATGGAGATGAAACCCATCCAGCGTCAATCACCACATTAACTAATATTGCATTAATGTATCAATCCGTCCAGTTATATGATACAGCTAAAACTTTGTTGTCTAAGGCATTAGAATTAAGTGAAAAAATCAATGGTAAAGATTCCACTATGACTGGAATGATCAAATATCAATTTGCTTTAAGTTTGACAACAGTTAACAATATCAATAGCTCTGTCAAATATATGAATGAAGCTTATAAGACCTTTAGAGATTTATTAGGAGAAAATGACCCAACTACAATTGATGCTAAGAAGAATGTTGATAGTTTCACTAGATTTTTAGTATTAAATACAAAACAAGAAAGAGAATTGAGGAAAATTATGGAAGAAACTGAAAGACAAAAGGAGACAGAAAAAGCTACTAGATTGAAAATAGAAAATTTAACTAAAAAGATAAACTCGTCAGCTAAAAACGATAAAACTGACTCAAAAATCGATAATAGATCTATTGGACAACTTTTAAAGTTCATTGAGGGCGAAGGTGTTAAAAGTGGTGGTAAGAGAACATCCAAGAAAAACTCCAAATCAAAGAAATAGTTTTTGAAGAGAAAGGATATGAGCAAGATATTATAATATATTTGATTGCAATAATGCTTTATATAGTGATTATGATTATGATTAAAATTAACTTATTTGACGAACCCTTATGAATTTCATATTTTTGAACACATTTCTTAGCATTTATTTTACTAATTCATTAATGAATGTTTATTTTCGTTTTGCGTTTGTTTTTTTTTTTTACTTTTACTTTCATGTATATACCATTTTTTATAAAATAGTAACGCGTCTCAATATACTATTCATTAAACAATGTGACTATGTTTCCACTGTTAGAGTTGCGATTCATTTCTAGGAGATTTTTCATGTAAATCTTGTTTCTTTCGACCAAACATTCTTCCGATTTCTTGATTGTTCCACTAACCTTGATGACTCTTATAATGACATCATAGCCCAAAATGTTATTGATAAGAGTTAGACACAAATTGGCATATCTGTGGTAATCTCTCGAAATCTTTATTATCCCATTGGAGGTTTTGTTGGAGAAGTATTTTATTTGCAAGGTAGAACTAGAAACACCAGAGCCAAAGTCACCAAAGTATACCTCCAAACTCTTTCGTATGAGATCTAATATAACCTTTTGTGTGATTTCGTTTGGAGAAGATCGATGTAATGATAGAATCGAGTTCAGCCTTGAGTAGTCTTTGGCTTTGGGAACTGAGCTGTTCAGTGGCCTGGGGAGCTTCTGCTCGTTGTCGGGAGTGGTGGGATAGAGAATCTCAAACAATATGTATCGGTTCTTGAGTCTCACCATGGTGTCTGTGTCTGCTGCTTCTGCTTTTGCTGCTTTTGCTGCTTCTACTGCTTTTGGTGCTTCTGTGGAGTAATCCCAATTGGGAACAGCATATAATAATCACCTGATATTTAAGATATAGTCACGTGTTTTGAGATTGCGTATATGTAAATATGCATATTTACACGTATAACAGCATGGGCATACATGGTGTATATCAGCTTTGTAATTGATTTCTTTTTGAGCAATGCAAGTGGCCAAACAAAATATAATCCAACAAAACAATATAAAACGATATAAAGCAGCTCATTTCCAGAATTCTTTAATTGTTTTTATCATCAAAGGATCATTGCCACATTCATCAATATTATACCGGTTTTTCAAAAAACCAGTCTTTTTTTACCAACAATTGATTATACTGATAGAATTATGGAAAACATTTTCAATGAAGGGACAATCATCAACATCAGTCCAAATCTAGTTGAAAACAACTCAACATTATTTAATTGTGAAAATTTTATTATCGCTACACTATCGTTAACGGCAGCCTACTTTGCATATAAACTTTGTACAAAATATTTAAGTCTCGATGCAAAATATCTATTAACACAAAATCTATTATACAATACACAGATCACCACACTATTTATTAAAAGATATCAAATCAATTTATTTTGGCTCCTTTTTTTATCCATATTTATAATTCCAGGTCCAATAATTGACTTTTTGACTCGTTTTCTTTATCGCAAAAGAAAAATCACAATAGAAATGATTTTCGATGAAAAGGATCTTCGATGAAAAGGATTTTAAAGACATTTATTATCATTCCGGAGTGAATGAACATTAGATTTCATTTGCGATATCCTATTTAGCTGTTTTTTTATGATATAAAAGGTTGAACCTAGTGAATTGTTGAAGTCTTTCCTTTACAAATATTTTGCTTATTTTTTCGACGAACCGTTTTTAAGTGTTGCTACAAGAGAAACTTTAAAAAAATACAGTCTCAGATATTCTAATAGAGTTCCTAACTTATCATTATATTTATTATTATATTATTATTACGAAAATCAAATAAATTTAGTATTAATATAGATGATGAAAACAAAATTATCATAAAAACATTTTTCACTCAAAACAGAAAAATCAATATTCAAGATACTGCGACTGATTAAAGCTATGAAAATAAACCCAAAACATTGCATGCCCAATTTTTTTTTGCCTTATCTTTATTTATTATAGCTTTAATACATGAATTACTTAAATTTTAAAATTGATTAAACTGTTTAAGAGTATTCGCAACAGTAAATCTTCCAGAAGAGTTGTTGATCAAGTTTAAATCAACCAACCAACGAGGAACAATCTTACAACATCCTAATCACCTTAAGGAAATGTAACCCAGCTTCAATTTTTGACCAGCAACAATTGTCTGAGTTAAGTATAAAAGTGAAACATTAAACAAAGAATATATTATAAAAAATTAAATTAAATGATTCAAAATTTTTTGTAAAAAGAATTTCATGCAGATTTTAATATTTTTACAGATTAAACTAACAAAAAATAAAAAAAATATAAAGATTATGAGAAAAAGAATTAAAAATTCTAAAACTTGAAAACTCACAAAAACAAAAACAAAAAAAAGAAAAAGAAAACAACAAAAGTTCTTCAGTGAAAATCAAAATGTAAAATAAAATTAAAATTAAAACATCTCTTCGAAAAACCTCAAGTCTCGGATTAAGTAGTTTTCTTCAATTTCAATTGTCTTCCACAAGGCATTCTCCAACCGACTATTGTCATTGACTTTTTTATAAATTTCTGATAAACAATACCACAATTTGTCATTGCTGAAATAATAGTAATCGTTGACAAAAATTTCTAGTAAACCCTTTATTCTAGTGACAGCCGCTGCTTTATCTTGAGCTGATGAAAAAACTCTGTGAAATTCTTTCAAATCCAAGCTAACTGTTGTGGTATCTGAACTAATAGTTCTACCACGACTCAACTGAGTATTCAATAAATCGTAACATTCATCGTCATTATCTGAATCAAGAAGGTCAATATCATTATTTTTTCCCAAATAATTATCATTATTTAATTCATCATCAGTATCATCGTCTCTAGCCTCAAAATCAAATCCAGAAGTGTTATCATCCAAAAAATTAGCTCCTTCAGTGTTATTTAATTTTGATAACATTAAATCATCTGTATCTTCAAGAATGACTTGACAGATTCCAATTATCGCATCGAAATACTCATGATTACTGTCTAATATACTTTCAAATTCATTTAGTGCATTCTTTTTTCTACTTTGAATCAAGTCAATTATAGTTTTTTTGTTGAAATTATTTTCATACCTATTATTTAAAATTATTCCAATGTCTTTTGTATTAATGTTTAATAATAAATATCCATAACACGACCTAGTTAAATCATTGGATTTGAAAAAATTCTCAGCTTCAATTATAGAGCTTTCGCATTCTTTAAATTGATTCATTTTTAAATAGAAGATAGATATTATCAACCAAATTCTTTGTAATATTACATTTCTAAAGCCTGATCCAAAACTGTTAGCGGTCAATTTATTGTTTCCAATTTTGTGGTTTGGAAGTTCTGGTAAAGCTTTTTTGTTTGGATTGAATTTCCTCTCATTTGGACTAACAGGTCCATTTTTGGAGTTTGGTGAAGAAGAGGAAGATGGTCCAATTGATGATCTTAATGATCCAAAGTGTCTTGAAGCAACTCTTCTAATTGAACTAAAATGACCGCTGCGGTGCCCATTTCTATGTTTATCAATTGACAACCTACTGATTGTCTTTTCAAGTTTGCTTAATTCTACTGTCTCACTTTCTATTTTTGTACCCGCATTGGGTTTAGAATTGTTATGGGAATTTGAACCTGAGTTTTTCAAAATTTTTGACAATGAAAATATTTTTCTCAGTTCAGTTGCCGAAGAATCAATATTTAAATCCGCTTTTTTATGAGATCTATCTGGGGTTGGATTAATATTTTCATCTTCATAACTATGGCTTATCAGGCTATCAATACTTGGCAGTAATGCTTGATCAAATTGGTTATCAGATGGTTTTGGTGAATTAGTGCCAGAATACTCAATTTTGTTGTTAGTGCTAACATTGTGACCAACAATGGCATTGCTAACGAAAAATTGATTAAACAACTCAAACAATTTAGGAGCTTTTTCAAATGATTTTTCAACACCAACTTTTCTTTCTAAAACAAACAATTCTGTTATATAAATTTGAATTATATCATATTTCATTTCATCTGAGACGTTTGAATAATCATTTTTATTGTTTATAGAATTGTTTAATTTTAACTTAAAGTCTAAGTAGTATTTAATTAAATCCTTGGCTTTATGGATTGTTTGAATTGATTTGATCATTTCATCATTAGAGCTGATCTCATCAAGCAAGTAATTTTTAATATCAGAATTATTTTTGGTAGTATAGCTAAGTGAAGATCTAGATTCTAATGAGGAAACTAAAATTATTAATAGATTCCAACTTTTTAAGTACCATTGATTTTTGATTAAGATTTTTTTCAATAATTGTATTGAGATATTATACTGAAATAATTTTGAAGATAACAAGGCATAATCAAAGTAATATTCAAGATTATTATAATCGTTTAAAATTAGGGTTTTTAAAAAGTATGTTTTTAAAACCTTATCTAATTTTTTATAAATTATTGAGGATGATTTAAAAGATGAGTTGACTGATTTGTTATTATGATCAGTATTTAACTTGAAATTTTTTTCAATGATGTTACCAAAACCAGTAAAAGAAATGGTTTCAGTAAGTGATAGATTGTTTGTGTTGTTGTTGCTGTTGCTGTTGCTGTTAGTATTATTAGTGGTATTATACATTGATAGGGAATTTGATAAAATTGAGCTACCATTATCATTAATATAGTTTTTCATGTATTTAAGTTTAAAGATTTCAGTTTTTGAAATTGAATAATATGCTTGAGATAATAATGTGTTTAAGTTCGAAGAAGATACGATTTTTTCGTTTGAATAATTGTCGTTGATTATTGAAATTATATCGAAATTTTCATTATAAATATCATTATCGTCATTAACGCTGTTACTGATGTCACTGATGGTTGTTAAATTAATGTTTGATAATTTTTCAACTTTGAGAATAATTTTTTTAAGGAACAAAAGAGTGTCATCAATTAAGTTGAACAAGTCATTATTTAATAATGATAGATATTCTTTGTTGATTGAGAAATCATCGATTTCCAAGGAGCTTTTAGTGTTTAGAGTGTAAGCGTATGATAAAGAGGTTGGGATGATGTTATCAATTAGATAAATTAGGAAAATAGAGTAAATTTCCAAGTAGGATAACAAATCAAATTCAATAGCTTCTTTTGAAGTGATTGAATTTTCTGAAACAGCAATTGAATTGGATTCACCATTGACGTTGATTTGGATATTATTAGGGTTATTAGCATTGTAATAATTTTCGTTTTCGTTTTGATTTTCAAAAATGTTATGATTGATAGATAAATGTTTATTTATATAGAATGAGTAAGTCTTGAATATATGGATCAATTCATTTAAGTTTTGCAATTGAGTTACAGAGGAAGGATTTTTATTATTATTATTATTATCATCATCAGTTTGAGTTTGGTTTTGAGTTTGATCATTTTGACCATTTTGATTATCGTTTTGATCGATTTGGTTATTTTGATTATAGATTTTTAGGAAGATAAGGTTATTTAATAATTTAGTGGATTGATAAGTTTTTGATAAATTTTGTTTAATCAAATCTTGTAGAAAGGAGTTGTTTAATAATGAGGAGAATTTTTTATAAGAGGGAGAGTTGATTAATATAGAGGAATGGATATCGTTGATATTCAAGTTATTTAGTAGGATCGAGTCATTTTTATAGTATGGGTTAATTAAGTTTGTGTAATTAAATTTATAGACGTTGGTTAAAGAGTCTATGAAATTTTGGATTTTTGAGTTGATTTTATTTGAGTCAATGGCGTAAGGAAATTGAATTGAATTGAAGTTTTGAAACAAAATTTGGTTTAAAAAACTGCCGTTAAATTGAGATTTGAACTCGTGAAAGTTTATAAGATTTTTCTTGTAAATGAATAGATAGTTTGAGAAGTCAATTAGGATCAAGTTGTTTTTAATGAATTTGGATAGGTAAGAGAAAGAAAACTTTTTTGGTGATAAACTCAAGAAATTGAATATCAAGTTGGAGTAAATTGAGTAGATTAGGGATAGCCAGAGTTTTGATAACAAGTTTGAGGAAATGGGCAAGTGGTTTATGAGAAAATAATTTTGGTTAAAGAAAGAAGATATGAGAGATAATAATTCTTGAAGTTGGTGTTTATTCAAGATATTTGATTTGTTTAGTTTTAGATAATAATGGTATGAGGACATGAGTATGATTGCAAGTTTTTTCAAGTTTAGATATTGTAGATAGTTGTAGAGGATATGGTCGCTATTGATATTTTTGTTCTGTTTATTTTTTTTGTCAATATTAAGACCAATGTTAATTTTTTCTAGCAAATTCACCGAGTGCTTGAAATCTTTGTTCAAGTAGTACAAATAAGCTCTTGAGAGGTTGAGACTGATGATCTCAAAATTGGACAAATTGTTTGCAGAAATTAGGAGCAAGTGTATTTTCTTGATTAGATTGAGTATCAAAGTGTTGGAATTGTCGCTGGAGGGAATTAGCAAGGAGATGACATCAGCAGTATTGTTGTTGTCTAGCAAAGCAAAATTGACGTCTTTATCAGCATTGGAAAGGGAAAACAAGTGGTCGTGGGGATCGAACTGGTTGAGGTTATTCTGAGTAACAGTGTAGATGTCGTAGTCGATAAGAATAATCTGATTCAAGTTGGATATGAGGGTGTTGGTGGAGCTGTAGTTGTTGATGGGCCAGCTGCCGTAGTATCGCATCTGCAACAACTCCAAGTCGCCAGGCGACACATCAAAGTCGTGCTGGAGAACTAGCTCAGTGAGCTCCTCGACGTCGTTGAGTTCCATGGTGAGTCTACGCATTTTGATACGATATAATGAGCTTCCAGAAGAAAGTGTCCAAGAAGAGCGAAGGTTTGGATTGTGATGATTTGTCTCTTACCACTTACCCGGACGGCTGCGCTGGCGCATGGTTCAGCGTGGAACTGCGCGCGCGTGCCGCACAGGCACAGTGCGTAGTATCACATACACACACGCGTCTGCACAGTTATATCTGTAGACGCACGCACAGAGTCATCCGTGGTCGGAGTCGGACATCAAACGGCGGTGACGGGTCCGAGTCCGAGCACCAACACCGGTGATTTGCGGCACGGCCCGAACTAGAGGTTGGGACCAAATGAAACAGAGGTATGGGCAAGAGAATAGTTGGACATTGGCGTTGTTGGCCACTGGTTGAGGTTATCACAGCTGCTGCTGCTAGAAGAGAAGGTTTGCCAGAGGCTTTCTTGTTTAGCTCGTCTGTTCTGTCATTGGAGTTCTCGTCCTACTCAGCCTTTGTTGCTCCACTGTATTTGCACCTCCTGGATTCTTCCTCTTCTTTTCTCTTTTATTCCTTTTTCACCTTACCAAATGATGCTCCATAGGCTTCCTCAAAAATGAACAACTCACTTGACAACAACTCTGCGGCCGATGCTCCTCCTTCTGTCTCCCAAATTTTTCACCAGGATGCCATTGAAAACTTTCCTGAGATAATTAATGCAAAACTCAATGCAAAACTCAATGCAAAAGTCTCTGAAAATGCTAATTTGGAAACAGAAACCAAAAATTTCGTGTCGCTAGACTGGGAAAAAATTGGGTTTTTCAATGAAAACAATGATCCAGATTCCTCTCCTGAATCAATCTTATCAAATTCAAAAAAGGTCGAAAACTACATAATGGAGACCTTCTATTCTGACTATTACAAAAACACTTCAATCATCATCACTCTATGTTTCTTCTCGTGGCTAATCGCATATCTAAACATTGGTGGTTTCATATCACTTTACTTAATTTTCCTAATCACGTCAATCATCTACAGGCTATCTCTAGAACGATTCAAAAGAAATATCAACGATGACATGAAAAGATCCGGTTTAAAACAAAACCCATCCAACGTTGAATCAATGGAATGGCTAAACCAATTTCTCCTAAAGTTTTGGAGAATATATGCCCCATATTTTGAAAACTACTTCATTTATCTTGTCAATCAGGCCTTTATTACCATATCCCCCGACATCTCTGCTATTGAATCTCTAACTTTAAAAAAAATAGATTTTGGTAACATTCCTCCCAAAATTATCTCTGTCAAATACTACCCAACTTTATCTGACCATTTTCACTTTCAAATCGATTGGAACTTCTCCTTTGACCCAAACGATAACTTGAATTTAAACAAGCTAGAAATTAAAAATAAAATCAAACCAAAGGCTGATTTAATTGTCAAAATAGGCAAAAAATTCTTATCCAAAAATTTCCCTGTTCTTGTCGATGAAATATCATGTCAAGGCATAATCAGAACAAATTTCAAACTAAGCAATAACTTCCCCCATCTAGACCTAATTCAAGTGTGTTTTTTAGAACCTCCCGAAATTCAATTCAATTGCAAGCAAAAGGCTCCTGTTGGTAATGAAAACTTCGGTCTAGATATCGGCGCTTTCATTCCAGGTATAAGATCTCTTATAATAGAGATAACACATTCCACTTTGAAAAATTGGGTCTATGCTCCAAACTCTTTTGACATCGTTATCAAAGACTGGCTAATCCCCCCAGGCGATGCCATAGGCTGTTTGGTAATCAACATAAACAACATCAATTTAAACTCAAACGATGATACTTATTTAATAATATCAACTGAAGACACCATTGTTTACGAAAAGGACTTTATTAAACTAAATTTCAATAAAAATAAATCAAAAAATATTGATATCATTAATCCAAAAAGTAGTGATTATTACAATTTCAAAAATAATAACAACTTTATGATTAATAACGAAAAAAACTATATCGAAAACGGTCTTAATTTCCCTAAAAATTACTTGCTACTAACTACTTTAAGACAATATTTAAATTTTGATCTATTCCGAGATAAATTCGGCAGAGATAAATTAATTGGTAAAACAGATTTCGATCTAAAAAATTTACTTCAAAATGATACCTACGAAAACATAACCTCTTCTCTAGAAATTAATGGTAAATACTCTGGAAAAATCACTTTCTCCTTAAAATGGTTCCCAGATTTATCAAATAAATACTCAACCGATGGTATCACTTATGACGATATTTTAGCCTTTAAAAAGAGCCCTATGACTGAAATTGATACCAATTTAAGAAATACAACTAATTTAGATACTGATATACTTTCAGATAATGACTATGATGACAATAATAATGACATTGGCTTTGATTTTGATTCAGACTTCTTTGACGATGACGATGACGATGATGAATATAGTGATAACCACAATAATTCTCAGGGGAGTTTCGATGCAGGAATTTTAAAAATAACTGTTCACGAAGCAAAAAATCTAAACCACGATTCATCATTATTTGGCATCCTATCACCATATTGCGAATTATACTTGGATAATACACTAATTGATAAATCAACAGTACATAAAAGAAGTAATGATCCGGAGTTTCGAAAAGTCTTTGAGTTTTTATTGCAATCAATGTCATCTTCAAAACTAAAAATTAGAATTAGAAATTCATCCACTTCATTCGATGACCCAATCGTTGCAATCTATAAAGTTAATGCGGAAGATTTAATCAACAAATTTATTCAAGATGACGATATTGATTGGTTTGATTGTGCTCCAGAGGGAAGAATAAGATTATCATTGCTTTGGAAACCTTTAGATATTCCAACCATTTATTCAAATGATTCATTATACAAATATAAACAACCGATAGGAATCATTAATTTATTTTTACATGAAATTATCGATTTGAAAACTTCAAAAAATTCTTATCCATATATTATCATTAAATCAGCTGGTCAAATTAAATTCAAAACTTTGGCTCATAAAAATAACAGCAATCTTTTCTTTGGCGATAATATTTATTTCCCTATTTTTTCTGAAACAGATATTATTACACTTGACATTATAAATTCAAAAAAGAAGAAAAAAGACAGAATAATAGGTGGCACAAGTTTTAGTGTAAAAAAAATATTACTAAATAAAAACCTGGTTTCTTTTCAAAAATCCCCATTATATCTTCAACAAAAGATTATTATAAAGGGATATATTAACTATGATGTTAAATTCATACCAGTAACAAGTGTGTTTGGACCAATTGAATTAGCACAACTTGATGAACAAAAAGAACTTAAACAACTCGAAGAACAAAGGGATTTTGAAGAAAATTACCATTTATATGAAGAAAATCCAAATGAATATGAAATTGTTGAAGTCACTGATGATGAAGATGAAGAAGAACTTCAATTTAATCAAAAAAACAAAGTTAGAATGAGTCTAGATGAATTGGCTGAGCATGATTCTGGGGTTTTAGTACTATATTTTACCGAATCAATTATAAAGTTTTCAAACTATTTTTCAGTATTTATAGATGACGTTTATTATCCTTCATTTATATCAAAACTTACACCAGAAGGCGAAATTAAAATCAACACAGGGGAAATTGTTGTTCGAGATTTAGAAAACTCAAAAATCACATTTAGAGTGAGCAAAAATTTGAAAACCCGAAAATCAGAAACAAACATGATTGAGCAATTTACTTGTTCAACAAAGGAGGTATTAATGAACAGTTATAACATGCCATCTAAAATATATATGGGAGAAAATTCTATTGATTTACAATTAGAGTATTTACCATTAAAAGAAGAATTAGAGGACGATGAAAAATTTTATGATAGTGGTAGTATTATTTTGACAATTAAAAAGGGAGAAAATTTAATAGCAAGCGATTTTAATGGAAAATCAGATCCATATGTTAAAATTTGCCTCAATGGATTTATCCTATATACTTCGAACTTTATCAAAAAAACACTAAATCCTGTTTGGGATGAAAAATTCAAATTTAGTGTGAACTCAAAGAGTAGATGCAAACTCCAAGTTCAAGCATGGGATAGGGACAGAGGCAACGAAGATGATGATCTTGGAAGTGGAATATTAGAAATAAAAAATCTTCAACCATTTATTACCAAAGAATTAAAAGTTCCAATAAAACTTGGAGATAAGGATGGTGGATATATTTACTTTTTTGTTTTGTTTCTTCCTGAATATGTTGTCAGTAATGGGATGATGAGCACTGTGGAGACTGGAGGTATTTATAATACGGGAAAGAGAGACTCATCTTTATCTTTGAAAAAGAAATTCTTTTCAGAACGCAAAGAATCAGAAAATAGCAGCATCAGTCTGAATGTTCTCAGCTTGTCACCGAAATCCACATTCAACTCAGAGTATAAGTCTCGAAATAGTGCTGAGATAATCAACGATGTGTTTCTGGCTCTTCCTTCAAAATCGGCTAATTTGAAAGAAAAAATTTCGATGGATTTCCAGAACCTCAAGGCAGTTACTTCGCAGATTAGCAACAGGTCCAAGAAAACGAAAGAAAAGTTGAATGGAAATGTGGACGACATCAAGGAAAAGTTCCTGGCACTAGGCATTCGGCTCCCAAGATCATCGTTCACGCTAAACAAAGCCAGAAAGAGCCCGAAGGACTAGTTTATCTACTCTAGTGTGCTTTCTAGAGTTGTGTAGCTGAATCTTTAGGATTTAATAGTTAATATACAGCGAGATGATGTCAAAGTTGTTGTCGAAGAAAAAATAAGGATAAAAGCATTTTTTATGCTTGATCTTATGCATGTCAATGAGCAATTCTGTGTCTACCGGCATATGTATAAATTTCTAGTTTTGTTTCCAATTTTTTGTTTGCTAAAAGAACTATTTACAGTGGGATATTTGCACAAAGGTTCACTTAATAGTACATATCTCGAATCTGTCTTTTCAAATCAATTTTTTATATTGTTTAACTTAAAAAATTTGGAATTAAATAGAGCGGATTCATTAAAAATGGGTTATAAGGGCGGAAACCAATTCAATCTAAAAAGGTTCAAATTAAAAACTTTAGATTTATCGCATAATAAGATAACAAGCATTGATAAATATTTCGAAAATTTACTAAGTTTAAAGACATTGCTTCTAAGAAGAATTATTACTTCAACAATAGGAAATTTTTCTATCAGATTTTCCAATTCAACAAGAATTGATTTATCAAAAAATCTGATTGAAAAAATTGAAAATTTGAATGAAATGAATAACTCAAAAGGCTTAAATTTATCACATAATAAAATTAAAAAAATTGAAGATTTAGATTGTATGATAAATTTAATTAATCTAGACCTATTTTGCAATTATATCGTGAAAATTGAAAACATTGAAAATTTAGTTAATTTAAAAACAATTAATTTATGTACTAACAAAATCAATGAGATGAGTATTTCAGACAATGAGAAATATTTGAGTAATTTAAAGTTGTTAGACCTAAGTTATAATTCTATTAAAACATTAAAAATTATTCCAGAATTGAATGATTTTTTATATATAAATCTAAGCAAAAATGATATAATAAAAATTCGGAATGAATCACAATATTCCATACTCAATAAAATACTGGAAATTTTTCAGAAAAACAAGTTGCGTTATCTGTCATATCAAACAACAAATTGAAATTAGGTTTGAGCACTAATCCATTAGAAAAAATTAAAGGGTTATCACAATGGACTAATTTGGGTCATTTGGTTATTCCTGGTAGAATTTTATATTCAATTTTATTATATTAATGCCATTATTATCATTATTATCGTTCTTATCGTTTATATCATGTTTAGTTATCTTAATTTAATTTAATTTATAAGAAACCAAAATTTATTTCAATGGTAATTTATTCACCCATTTTATTAACCCATTTGAATTTGTAACATTTAACACTAAAGCACTATCCAATTTTTTCAATTTTAAACGATTTCTAAAGATTCTTCCTTCAATATACCCATTTGCTATATGTGGGAAGATTAATTTTTAACTTTTTCAATTTCTTATTACTATTTCTAATTATATCGGTTATATTATTACTTCTAATTAGCCCATTTATTGCTTTTAAATCCAATATGTTGATGTGATTTCTTAGTTTATTTTTGAATTTATTTTGTCCCTTCGTGCTATTTGTGATATTACTTTTATTTTGATTTTCATTTAATTTGTTAGGTTGATTGAATTAATCTTATCTATTTCACCCTTTTTTTATAAACTGATAATAAGAAATCATAACATCTGGAATGTTTAAATCTGATCCCTCACAAATTAAAGTATATATTATAAAATAATATTTAGAGATCAAAAGATACTTAATTTTTGATTTGGTTTCTCTTGAAAATATTTTTGTTTTTTCTATAATCTCAAATGGTATTAACTATTTATGATTTTAATTCCCATTTCCATTCATGCAATTTATCCCATTTCTATCTCAGTCACAGATGATATCTAATTATTTTGAAAGATCAAGTCCATTGTTTTCAAATGATTTTTCTTTAAAACGCGGGAGACTACAAACTTTTTGTTTTAATTTGAATCAACAGTATAAGCCCCCTAATATGGTAAAATATTATTGTCATCTATTCCTTGATTCTTCGATGGGTTTGCGGATGAGTTCATGGTGAAGTTAAAAACAAAAAAGATAAAAACCAGGTTACGTTATTGTTAAAGAATTACAAAATAATTTTGTGATATTTCCATTTTTATTTTGAAAAATTCCGTATACAGATAGAAATCCGCAGCATGGAAAAATTTGATTTTACCGCGGATTTCTGTGGAAAATTTTTTTCAGTGAAAAACGAATTTTTTTGATGAAATTGTGCTGATTGTGAAAAATTTGTGAGATGGAAAGAAGATTTCAGATATCTCAAAAACAAAACATAACAGATTTATAAACAGAGCCAGATAATGGAGGAAGAAGATTTTTTTTTCGATGCCAAAGATCTTGACAATGACATTATTGCAAGGAGATTGCAATATGATGTTGCCAACCAAAATGGAAAAGTGTATAAACACTATGGTGATGATTTAAATCTTAAATTCAATAAAATCAAGAAGAGTTTAACTAGAGTTTCTTTCAATTGCTTGCAGGGAATAGATATATATTATCCATATGCTTATACAGCATCTAAAGATGGAACAGTAGCAAAATACAATATAAAGGATTTTAATTCCAAACCTAAATTGATTAAATTTCATAAATCTGAACTAATGAAACAAAACACTAATAAGAATTTGGATAATGAAGAAGGAAAAGAAGATAAGCAAATTGAACATTCAGATGTCATATTGACCATGGCAATTTCACCAGATGGTCAGTATTTGGTAACTGGTGGTAAAGATGGAAAATTAATAATTTGGTCAACAGAGAGACTAATTCCGATTAAATTATTATTACATTTAAAAGATAAAAGAAGAAGTCGTAATGAAATTTTGTCAATAAGTTTTAGAAAAGATGAAAAGCTTAACCAACTTTATGTTGCATCGTCTGATTTAAAAATTCGAACATTTTCGGTGAATGATTATGCGCAATTAGAGACATTATATGGGCATCAAGATTTAATTGTTGATATCGATGCATTGAGAGAAGAAAAATGTATTACAGTAGGTTCAAGAGATAAAACTGCAATGCTTTGGAAAATATCAGAAGAAACAAGATTGACGTTCAGAGGAGGAGATTTCAAGAAACCAAATAAAAAGCAAAAAACAAACGATAAAAAAGTCAAAAAGAAAACAAAAGAAAACGTCATTGAAGGTCAAGAAGAAAGCGATTTTTTCAATGAGGGATCGATAGACTGTGTGAGCTTAATTGATTCTACGCACTTTATAACAGGATCAGACAATGGATCAATTAGTCTTTGGTCGTCATCAAAAAAGAAGCCTATATTTACAGAGAGAGTTGCACATGGAATTATACCGGCGTTGGAATCGGTGAAGGCGAGTGCAGAAACAGATGAGAAAAAGAGAAAATTGCAAATTCCACCCAAGAAACCATACTGGATAACAACTATAAAGAGCATTCCCTACAGCGATTTGTTTATTTCGGGCTCATGGAATGGACAGTTGATTGTTTGGCAGTTAGACGCCAAACTCTCCAGTTTCAAGAAGAAATACTGTATCAATGAAGTGAAAGGAGCCATCACCAAAATCGGCTCTGTAGAAATAACAGAGTACGAAAACTATTTGCTAATGGACTCAGAAACTGGCAAGAAGGAGAAGATAAGGATATTGGCAAGCGTAAGCAAGGAACACCGACTTGGAAGATGGATAGAGGTTGGAAATGGTGCAAGAAACAGCATATACTCTGTGTGTTTGGAATTAAAGAAGAAGAGTCCTTCAGAAACGTTGTAAATTAGATATTCATAAACAGTTCATAAAAAGTGTCAAATTGTAGCAAAGTTATTATCCTGTCTCCTCGGATATTAAGCCGGTATGTTAGACGCCCGTGCTATTACCGGTTTAGCAATTGTGCACCGAAGTTGGCAAACGAGATGCGTGAAACCGGTTTTCGGATTACTCGAATTTCCCGGCTTTTCTAACTCCGTTCCGAGCTCCGTCTGTGTGAAAATTTTTTTGGTTTTGGTTTTTTTGATCCTTTTCACACTTTTCTTTCCTCGCTTCATAACAGTTTTACCAGAAAAGATTTTATTTTATTAACTAAATATAATCAGAAATCAGACAGAAATTAATTCTATAAAATCAAATGGTGCATGATCTTTCAATCTTCATACCGAAATCCTATCCCATATCTATTTTTCATGCCAATCAAGTACTATTGAATAATTAATTCTCCTTTTTTTTATCATTCTCAAAGCTCTTCAATCATTCTCATTTTCAATCAGTCAATCAATCGATCAATCTAAACTAATCTAAAAAACCCCCCAAAACACTTATACTAAAATTTATTTACCATAATTTATAATTTATAATTTATAATCGAAATCAAAATGTCTTTTATCAATATTTGTCGTGATAACACCGATCCATTTTACCGTTATAAAATGCCTCCAATTCAATCAAAGATTGAAGGTAAAGGTAATGGTATCAAAACTGCTATAGTCAACTTATCAGATGTTTCTCGTGCATTAAATCGCCCAAATGCTTATATTGTTAAGTTTTTTGGTTTTGAACTAGGTGCTCAAACTTCTATCACCGAATCAACTGATCGTTACTTAGTTAATGGTAGTCATGATTCAGCTAAATTGCAAGATTTATTAGACGGATTCATCAATAAATTTGTCTTGTGTAAATCTTGTAAGAATCCTGAAACTGAAATTTTTATCAACAAAGGAGCTCTCTTAAGAGACTGTAAAGCTTGTGGTAAACAAACTGATATTGATCCTAGATTAAAATTATCCTCATATATTTTAAAGAACCCTCCAGAAAAATCAAAGTCAAAGAAATCTGCTACTGCTAGTGCTCATGTTGGTAATTCATCCTTGCCTGACCATATCGGTTCTTCAAGAGGTTCTCCAACTCCGGGCGACGATTTTTCTGATGGTGAACAACCATCCAGCACTCTTGATAAAGAAGCTGCAGCTGCAGCCAAAACAACAGCTGTCTCCACTTTGGATGATAACTGGGCTGTTGACATGTCTGAAGAAGCCGTTGCTCAACGTGCTAAGGAATTAGAAAAATTATCTTTAGTCTCTTCTTCTATTGATAAATTTGATGAGTTAGGTGAATGGTTATTAGAAGCTGAACAATCACCATCAGACGTTGAAATTTATCAAAAAATTTCCTCTTTGAACATTTTAGATTCTGACAAAACTTTAACCGTTCTAGCCCAAGCTCTATTTACTGAGGACATTGTTGATGAAATTGAATCTCATACAGGTTTATTGATTAAAGTTATTTCTCAAAATGATGATAAAGAAAAAGCTGAAAAGGCATTTTTAGGTGGTATTGAAAGATTCCTTGGTGTTTCTCATCCTAAATTAATTCCTTCTTTAACCAAAATTTTATATAAATTGTATGATGAAGATATTGTTAGTGAAGATTCTATTAGAAAATTTGGTACTACTATTAGTAAAAAATACGTTGATAAATCCATCAGTAAGAAAGTTAGAAGAGCTGCTAAACCTTTCTTAAAATGGTTGGATGAAGCTGAAAGTGAAAGTGACAGTGAATAGGTTTATCACTTTGTTGATATTGCTTGTTTGTTTTTACTGATTTCAGTTTTCATGCTATGATTGTATGTAGATATATCATCTTTTACGTTTGTTTGTTTTTTTAATTTCAAAATGAGTATGAATTGAATTGAATTAACCACCTGTTTTAAAATCTGTTTTTTTTCAAAATTTATGATACTATATTTTATTTTTATTTCTTTTTTATTTCATTAAAATTTTACTAAAAAGTCATTAGTCTACATACATAGCTCTAATTTCTATTTGTTTTAAAAAAATAAAAGAATAAATAATCATTTACTGAAATATAGATAGTGAAAAAGTAATATAAAAATATCGCCTAGTAGATTACAACCCAAATTAAAAGTTAAAAGAATTGAGAAAAAAAATTAAAGGAAATAAATAATTAAAGGAAATAAAAAATTGAAAGAATAAAAATAGTATGAAAATAAAATAAAAAATATATGCATAATTGTTAATTTTTAATTTTCTGTTTTTATTTTTATTTTTTTTTTTTTTTTTGAAATTATTGAGTATGAAATGGAAAAATGATGGAATATATAAATATTAAAACAGCAATAAATGGTTTTATTTACCACCTTTTTGTTTTCTTTCTACTTCATCGATTTTTATGTTTTTGATATGATCTTCCATTTCAGCATCATTATCTTTGTTATAATAATTATCTTTGATATCTTTGTTATTTAAATTGTCATTTGATTTCGAACCTGATTTTGAATAAGAAGTTGAAAAATCAAATTCATTGTTTTGATTATCATCTTCATCACCTCCACAACCACAATCATAATCATTTAAAATGTTTGTACAATCATATTGAGGTTTTTTCAAAAATTTGTTGACTTTATTATGAACATCGCAACCCCATAACGCAGCACTCTGTTTACTATTAATTTGTGGAGGAAATTTTTCAATCAATCTTTGAAAATGTTCAGCGCAATCACCACATGGATACACTTTAACAAATAAATGCAAGAATTGATTCAAAGTCTCTTTTTCTTGCGATGATGGGTTATCGGGATATCTGGCTAATATATTATGAAGTAAAGTCCAAGTTGCTCTACCAAGTTCTTGACGTAGAGTTTCATTGGCCATTTTAGGCATAAATGGTTTCAATACAATGTCAGATTGAGGATTTTGGACATCTTTTTCAGTAGAATCAATCTGGTCATTGCTAGATTTAATTTCTGAGATTATTTCAACATTTTCATCGGTTGGAAATAAATTTGGAACCTGTCTGTGCTTCTTATTTCCATCCTCATCCTCATCCTCCTCCTCCTCAAGTTTGTCGTCTTCATGGTCATAAAAAAAGTTTTCTGTAGAAGCTTCATGTTTAGTTTGGTCAGCAGCAAGATCATCTACAGTCGAACCAGTATTGACAGCGGTAGAGGTATCGATTGGAGAAGGATAATCCAAGTCCGATTGGGTATTTTTGGTCAACAAGTAGAAGAAAGCAATCACTAGAAGAGTGGAAAGAAGAATAATTGGTCTTCTAACATATCTTTTGATACCTGAATGGTAATTCTTGGGCTGATAGAGATAATCTTTCATTTCGGAAACAATGTCACTCTTTGGTTAGTTGCAACATCACCAAAATATTTTATTATTTCATTTATTGAATATATATATCAACAGGAGCCCTATCTCCAATAAAGGGGTTTGTTACAGAGGGTTTACTTTTGGGGAGCGGTGCTACAGACCCCATTTACGGATACTCCTTACGGGTATCGGCAATTTGATCCTTCAACTTTTCGTCCCACTCGAGCTCGAGCTCTTTGAAGTACGAATAAATCTGTTTGGCATCACTGTTATCAACTGGAGAGATTTTGATAAATTCAGAGCCTTTGATCGTGCAAGCAGAGCCATACTTGACGTCTTGCTTATCGAACTTAGGATCTGCTTTGGTTGCTGCAAAGATTGGTGCGTTGGCTCCTTTGTATCCACCAATGTTGTGCCATGGGGATCCCAATAATCTGCCAAAATAGAATAGTGCTATCATTCCATAATATGAAAAGACATTTAGAAATTTCAAAAATGACAAACTTATAAAGATCCCCGGATGAACTAAATATTGTGTTATGTTTGCATTGTTTAAATCGTTGTAGGAGGCCAAATGTAGCAAGTCAACTAATCTTTTCGACCCTTCATATGATACATTGCTGTTTAGTAACTGGATATCATTCAATGATAAGTAATTCGAATTGGATAATAAACTTGAAATCCAAATAATTCTTGCTTTTCCCGCTGACAACAAATCTTGAATTTTTTTTAAAAAATAATATGGGCCAAAGACATTAGCTTGAAATACTAATCCCAAGCCATCTGCTGATTTTACTCCAACTTTTTGAATCTTATAAGTTGGATTTGAGACGCTCTTTAGAGGATTTCGTAGGACCTCAAAGGTTGCACCTACCCAATCTATTCCGGCATAAACACCCTGGGCAGCATTTATGAAAACATAGTTGATTTCTTTATAGTTTCGTTTCAATTCGTAAATTGCAGTTAATACCGATACCATATTGGTGAAATCCACCAATAAATAATCGAAATCTAAAGTCCCAGCTCTTTTTAAATGGTTATCATGATAGTTCTTAATCTTGCTGATAACCTCATTGACCCTTGGAAGAGTTCTTGAGGTAACAATTAAAGTGACTCGAACATCTGGAGGCACTGATTCTAAAAACCTGTAGGCAATATTCAAACCCAAATTACTGAAAAACAACAGTTTGTTAGTATGAGTTCTTGAAATAAAGGCATTTAATTACAGTCAACCAACCTGTTAGTACCAGTAACAACCGAAACAATCCTTTTGCTCCCAGTCATTTTATCCATGAACAGCGTCATCAACAAAAGCGTCTATCATTTGAATCATTCTCTGGTTCTGTTTATATATTATCTGCATCGGTTTTTGTGTTCGTTCCGTGTCGTTCCATCCAAGATCAGTGTGCCCAAAGTAGCAACAGCACGAATATGTGAAAAGGTGCTGTATACGGAGGTTTCCTAATATGATGCGTGCCTCAATATGGCTATTGCTCAAAAGAAAAATGGTCTGATTAGTCAGTGCTTACGTTTCCGGTTGCAGCGATAAAGAAATGTAAATATCAAGTGCTGACTATTAATCATAAAAAGGATCAATTGAACAATTCTCATCCAGGCCTCATTTGGTTTATTCACAAACACCTCGATAAACACAGTGTGATAGATATCAGGATTATCCTGCTTAGAGTGTACTCTTACGTGTTTGATATTATTTGTTACTAAGATCTAGCTGTTGTGCTGCTCGCACCTATTTAATACACCTTATCAAATCAGCATCTTCGCTATTATCGCCATTAATTGAGAAAGTAAGAAAAAAAAAAATGTCATCTAGAAAGAAAACTTTGTTAAAGGTTATCATATTAGGGGATTCGGGTGTTGGAAAAACATCGCTTATGCAACAATTTGTTAACAATAAATTTTCGCATCAATATAAAGCAACCATAGGAGCCGATTTCCTAACAAAGGAAATGCTTATTGAAGATAAAAATGTCACTATACAATTGTGGGATACAGCAGGACAAGAGAGATTTCAATCACTAGGTGTTGCATTTTACAGAGGAGCAGATTGTTGTGTATTGGTTTACGATGTCACGAATTCTAAATCGTTTGAGAATTTATCTAGTTGGAAGGATGAATTTTTAATCCAAGCTAATGTTAAAAACCCAGACAATTTTCCATTTGTAATTTTGGGAAACAAAATTGATTTGGAAGAAAACAAAAGGGCTATTACAACCAAGAAAGCGTTAAGCTTGTGTGAAAGCTTGGGTAATATTCCATATTTTGAAACCAGTGCCAAAGAAAATGTTAATATTGAGGTTGCATTTGATATTGTTGCCAGAAATGCATTACAACAAGAATTGGAAAACGATGCAGAATTTAATGAGGATTATTCAGATGCTATTAATATTCATATAAATGGAGAACAAAGTGGATGTGCTTGTTAAAGTGGCCAATTAAAAAGAATAAATGTGATTTTTACCATCAGAGATTTTTTGTTTTTGTTTTTGTTTTTATTTTCATTTATTTTTATTTTTATTTTTTATTTATTTTTTTCTCCTTAACAATAATCTTATTATTTTATTATTTTATTATTTTATTTTATTATTTTATTATTTTATTATTTTATTAATTTATTAATTTATTGATCTATTAAATTACTATGTAATTACAATAAGTCAGTTTAATTTAATTTAATTTAATTTAATTTAGTTTAATTTAATTTAATTTAGTTTTAATCTAATCTAATCTAATCTAATTCAATCTAATTTTATTTTTGTCTACAGTTATGTTTTAATCAACAAATTATCAACTACAATTGCTTGTTTTATTTAGTTTGTATAGTTCGTTTTTACTACAATTCGTAGGATAATGTCTATTGCAGATTAACAAATGGTTGTTGGTTGAGTCTATACTGCTGTATGAAACAACAGAGTTCCACACATGTGCATGCGTGTGCCGTTAAAGAGGAACGTTATCTAGGCTCAGTTATTAATACTTTGGTCAATGATTGTATGAAAATAGTATGATGAGGATAAATAATATGGGTTGTGTATTATTATAGACGGATATATGAAAAAGAAGTTTGTGAGTTATGAATGCTAAAACGTGCTAATGCTGACACGTCAATTGAGCAGTATAAGAAAAAGTACATGATTGTTTAAAATTGAACAAGGCAATGGAAAGATTTGTAATTTTTTATTACATTTGAGACGTTGTGTGCGTGAGATTAGATCTATTTCAATTCTGTTTTTTTGAACAAAACACAAAGCAAGCAAAAACAGAGGACTTCCGTTTTGAGTTGCGATTTACCCAGTTTTTAGCAGCGAGGCGGGAGGATATAAAGACGGCTTTTTGTTTGGCGATGTTTCTTCTATCGCTCCTGCACTGACTATAGATACTACCAGTGTTGATTTTAGTACTATTGGTATTTCCAGCAGAGTGCGTGGATTGTGGTGTTGAGAGAAGATGGAACAGCAGCTAACGATAGGGTCTTTGGTATGAAGAACAGTGGACAGCGAGCAGCACACACAGCAAGAGCGACTACTAACAGCAGGTAGAGCGCTGAGATACTAGAGGAGCTTCTCCAGACGGTGACACACGAGTTGACGGCGCAGTTGGTGCTCCAGGAGCAGTTGCTCAGGGCGCAGTACGGGCGTGTGGAAGCCGGGGGGCCTGGCAGCACAGGCAGCACAGGCAGCAGGCTTGAGACCAGGATCCGGTGGAGCAGCACGAGGGGACGGGACATCTTCGGGCACGAGAAGACCACCGACGCGAGCCACTTTGTATACTGCCCCAACTGCGGGCGCAAACACTCTGCCGGCCGCTTTGCGTCACACATCGACCGCTGTTTCGGCGGCAAAGGCAGCAGAAAGGCCGCGTCCAATGGCGGCAGCAGCAGCAACGAGTAGTGCTTTTGCTGCACGAGGCACTCAATACACAGTTCTGTCCATCCGGTTCGATCTGCCGTTTTCCGGCTGGCTTCCGCACCCCTGGGCCGACATCCGCTTTCTGAGGAGCTCTTCTTTGTGGAGACACTGCTTCTCTAGACTCGAGCTTCTTCAAACACCAGAAAAATGTCCTTGGTTCTTTACAACAACGAATCGCTCAGTGTTGTTCTGTATGTTCTTCTTCTACCTGTTCCTGGCTGCCTCCAGAATTTTTGCTTTTATTGCTACTAACACTTGTATCTCTCTCAACTATTCAATCTCGATCTTTGAATTCTCTGTCAATTCATCGATCGATTATTTGTTAATTGATTTTGCTTATTTCGTTTCTAATTAATTATTTTCTATTTTTTTCGAGTTTGTATCGATTATTAGACATGATCCCTCAAGAAATGCCTTAGTTTTACATGATTCTTCCTCGAATCGTTACCAATTATTAACAATTGATTCCTCCCCCTTGAATTTGAACACTAACCCAACAAACGATAATATCTACAATGATCATGAACATAAACATGAACATGATCAAAACGATCAAAATGATCAAAATGATCAAAATTCTTTGACTTTAATTGATCATTCAGATTACAAGTGTCCGAATTGTGGTTCAGTTTTAAATAATACTAATATTAATAACATCAATATTAACGATAATAATCAAACGGAACATCATCATAACACTACTCAAAATAATGACAATCAAAACAATAACACTAGTCTTATTAATTTAAATCATAATTACAATTATAATAATTACAATAATTATAATCTTAATCAAAACTCGAGATATATCAATCTAAACTACTTCAAATTATTAGCTGCTTCGTCTCAAAATAATCCAAATCTTTCCTCTGCCTCTTTATCTTCTCCCCAAATTTTACCAAACTCAACTTCAACTCCAAACTCATACCCAAACTCAAACCAAATATCGAGATTCTCCTCAATTCATTCAAATTTATCTGATTTAAAATCCAATTCAAATGTTAACTTAAATAATTTAATTATTTCAAATAATAACAATAATAATAATAATAATAATAATAATAATAATAACATTAATATCAATATTAATCTTGAAAATGTTGATCCCTCAACAATATCAGAAGAATTGCCTTCAAATTTATTCACCCAAAACTATTTTGAAAAATTCTTCAAAATTAATAAATTACTAGGCCAGGGCGCTAATGGCATTGTTTATAAAGTTGAACATTTTATAAACGACTTCTCTCTAGGTTTTTTTGCTTTGAAAAAGATCCCCATTGGCAATTCCTCAAACCTAAAAAAAATACTCAACGAAGTAGAGCTACTATGCATCCTAAGTCACTCAAATTTAAATCTAGTCAAATATAATCATGTTTGGTTAGAAATCGACTCAATGTCTCAATTCGGTCCAAAGATCCCATGTGCTTTCATCTTAACTGAATATTGCGACGGAGGCAATTTGGAAGAACTAGTCAACGATTTTATCAATCCCAAACTATCAACAAACGAAATCAAAAACATTATTAGACAAAAGAGAAAATTGAAAAAAATCAATAAAAATAAAGACAACTTGAACTCATTTCCTCAAATTGAAACAAGATTATTAAATTATCTAGAAATTTTAAAATTCTTCAAAGACACAACAAGTGGTGTAAACCAATTGCATAAAAACCATATCATTCATAGAGATTTAAAACCTTCCAATTGCTTATTATCTTATAAATATGATTTCAAAAAGTTTTCTCAACTTGATTTCAATTACAATAGTAATAATAAAAATAAATGCATACAATTTTTAAACTCGTTACCTACTGTTTTTATATCAGATTTCGGTGAAAGCCAATTTGAAGGCAATAAAAGAACTTCAACGGGCTCAACGGGTACACTAGAATTTGTTGCTCCTGAATTGTTATTACCAAGTAATTACATTTCCACTAGCAATACTAATAAAAGCATAGATAATTTAGATGTGTTTAGTCATAAAAAATATAAAAACTTGAACGAATTCAACAAGAAAACCGATATCTTTGGATTGGGAATGATTTTATTTTTTTTATGTTTTGGAAAACTTCCATATTCCGCTAGTTTATTCAATGACGAAGAAGACCAAGAGTATAGTGAATTGAAAAGCGAAATAATAAAATTCAATATAATAAATTTTTTCCAGTCAAATGTATTTAAAAGGGAATATTATCGAAGAGATTTGCCATTGGAGATTTATGTTTTGTTAGAATCGTTACTAAATTACGATGCAGATAAGAGACCATTAACTGAGGATATTCTAATAACGATTGATCATTTAATTGAAAGGGAAATTTCATCAAACGATGAAAACCCTCAAAAGAATTTTACAAATATTATCAACGAAAAAGATAAAGGGAAAGCAAAAGAGAAAGCAAAAGAGAAAGAGGAAGAGAAAAAGAAGGAAAAAAAAAATGGTGATCATGATAGTTCAGATGGCAACTCGGTTATTTCGTTTTCAGAAAAAGAAGTTGAAAAAGAAAATATTAATCCGGCAAAGGAAAGAAGACTTTCGCTCCACAATAGTTCTGAATTAAACTCGAAAATTCAATCCAGAAGACTCTCGGAGTCAATATTGAAATCGTATAAAAACTCTGCATTTATCAAAGAGCAATTCTTTATATTTGAAAAATACGTTTACTCAAAAGAAACCATTAAAGGTATTCTCTGGAAGTTGCTTTTGCTTTACATTGAGTTTCGCATCACCCGGATATTTTGTGGGAAGCTCTTAGAAATATTTTTGAAAAGCAATACAAGTGACACTGAGGGTTTTGTATATCTCTTGGGTAAGACAGATATGTTTCTAAGCATGTTAGGTTCAAGTGACAGCGCTGTTTCAAGACGATACCTTCTCAATGTGATTGTATTCAATTACTTTTTCCTTGGGGTCTCTGTTCCATTTCCCGCTAGCTATGCTCTCGTGCTCACAGGTGTGCTATTTGTAGTTGACATGTGCATTATAGGCACATTTTACCTATTGAAATTGTTTTGAATGAAAGTAAAGAGTGGTAATGCCTTTTTATTACTTGTAAAAGAGCCAAAGTAGTCAATTCGAACAGAACCGGGCCCGCAGTAGTGGTGCGTTGGACCCATGCGCCACCTGCGTCATCGATTTTGTTTTTTTTCCCACCGCTGTGGATGAACGCGCTGTTTCGCGACCGCAAAGTGCGTGAGCGTGTGAGAAGTGCGTGAGGGACGTGAGGAGTGGTTGCGTGTGTTTCCAACTGGAGCTGCTTCTTCGGCAAAAGGAACAGCAGTAGAAGCAGCAGCAGCAGCAGCAGTAGTAGTAGAAGAAACAGTGTCAGCAAAAACACCAGCCTCTTTGGAACAGCGGACAAACACAGGCGTGAATGACTGCCCTTGCTGGCCAGGAAGCAGTTGACCCAAGCTGCGATTGCTGGGATAATGACAAAGCATCAAAAGCAGCAGAGGCAGCAGAGGGACTTGAAAACCAGCTCGCTGCTGAGGGACCCAGGCATGGAATTGATAGTAAGAGGCTGTTACCGGCGAGAAAGGGCTCTTTGGGGGCTGTTTGAGGTCTCTGTTGCCTCTGCTGCCTCTGCTGCTGTGGAACTGCGCTGCCTCTGCTGCAGACGACAAAGACGTTTCTGGGGCAGCTGGGTCTGGTTTCTGACCAGCTCCAACTGCCTGCTCGGTCTTCAGGGGGTTTTCTCGTCCTGTGTTGTCTTCTTGTCTGTGCTGTGCACAATTTGGATGTTTATATATACATAGTGAACAAAAATTTTAAAGTGCATTTTGCTACATACATCATATAAAAGGAAAAAAAATCTGTATGCTCTTTTATCACTCTACCTATTTTACACTTCTTCACTTATCTTTATATCTGGATCCTTTGGAGTAATACTGATCAATTAGCACCTCTATAGCTCCTTGTTCTTACTCTCGTCATCCACCTTCAGCTCTTCTACAGGCGTTTACTGTGGTCCAGTCATATTGGCACCTTTATATATATATATAAAATCCAATCACCAATCTTAATTTCGTCACCATTTCTACTTTTTGGTTTTTCTTTGTTTTTCTTCACTCTCTCTTGCATTTTATAATTTACAATCAATTTATCTCATTTTATATACTATACTCATTTCATTTCACTTTTCTTGATTCAATTTTTTCCACATCATTTTCATTTTCATTTTTTTCATTGTTTTCATTTTTACACTGCCTGTTCTCACTCTTTTTCTAACATCCATACTTAATTGCTCTACTTTTAGGTATCCAAATTTTATACTCCATCATTCCTAACACCACTACTACTACTAGTAATTGTAATTATAATTACAATTATAATTAAACTATAATAATAATATCATTGTTATTATTACTACTACCATATTAACAATTTGATTATAATCAGATTTATAATCATGAATCTGGATATAAATAAGGACTTAGATGCCAATAAGGATAAGGATAAGGATAAAGATCTGGATTTAAATTTAAATTTACATACCAACTCAGATTTAGATTTAGATTCAGATTGTGGTTCAAATATGGATATGGATATGGGTATAAATATAGGTATAAACATGGATTTAAATATCAATTCTTCTGAATTCAACTCAAACAATATTCATTCATACTTCCCACTATTCGACTATCAACTACACTTATCCCATATCTCTCTAACTAATAATATTCCTCTAAAAACATTTTTCCAACTATATGGCTCAGACTTTAATATAAACAAAAATATCAAAAATATCAATAAAAATATCCTATCCACAATCAAACAAAACTATATATTATTCTCTATTCGCTTTTTCCTCCAAATCTTCAATTCAAATTACAACCAAATCAACCACCACTCTGATCAGAACGATCTGACTGATCAGCTATTTTCCATTAAAAATGCTCACCTAATTTTTCATCAATCAAACCTCCACCATTTGCTAAACATCTTGCTCACTCATCTACTATCTTCCCATTCCTACTTTATATCAATCAATCACGCTAAATTAATATTCATCAAAGTTTTAAAAATTCTAATCAAAGAAAATAAAATAAATTATTTCAAAAAAAATATTAATAACAATAACAATTTTACTCAAAAAAACAGATCACAATTTTTTTTCATTTTAAATGAAAATTATAAATTCTTAAACTACTTTTTTAATACCAATGATAACAATAATAACCATAATAATTATATTAAAATTGATAAAAATTCATTATTACTCAATTTATTGAATTTTTTACCTCTAAATAAAGTATTTAATCAAAATGATTCTACCACCACCACCACCACCACCACCATCAACAATAACAAGTTATTAATATGTAACCACAATTTATTTAACTATCTCCCAAATACCTCCAATAACCATCCCATAATATACTGCCCCAAAACAAGTCCTGATAATCACAACGATTATTTCTACTTGGTCGATGCCGACCCCAACAATTTTATTTCAAAAAATTCTATAAATTTCTTTAAAACCACCACAAAAGCCTCTGATCAACCTGAAATTGTCACTGAAACTAACCTTCAAACTGCCACTGGCCTTAATGAGCAATCTAGCGATGTAACCAATGATGAAACTATTACTGATAAGGAATATGATAACAACAGCGATGATAGTAGCGATGACAACACTGATGATAGTATCAATGAAAACAGCGATGAAAATAATCATGAGAATAATCATGAGAATAATCATGCAAACAATCACGAAACCATTCTGAAACAAGTTTTTGAAACTCATAATCACAAAAATAATCACAAAATCACTGATCCCTCCAATGAAACTAAAGAAGAAAGAATTGGCAAGAATAGTGGCAAGATTGTTGAATATAGTTACAACTCTAATGAAAAAACAATCAAATCTAATCAAGTCGATAATGAACTCAACAATGAAGTTGACAATGAAGTTGATGATAAAATTGATAATGATACTGAAAATAAAAATAAAAAAACTTTCTTCAATGCTGATAAGTTCATAATTGTCACCTATGATAAGAAATCTAACAACATGATCAAATCCAACAACAAAAATAACTCTCAAAAAATTAAAAACAACAAGAAATCAGATTTCAACAATTCCATCAATCTCACAAATTCTGTCACTAATCGCCATGAGCAGCATCCTAAAAATAATATTCAAATTTCAGAATCTAGAAAAAGAAAAAGACGCCCTGGTAGACCCAAAAAAATTTCTTCCAATAATATTCTGGACGATAAACCAAAATTAAACACAAAAACTAGAGAAAACAGAAAAAAAAGAAAACTATATTATGAATATGTCCCTGAAAATTCGAGTTTAAGCATCGAATCAAAAAAAAAACTTCAAGATAAACTGATTCTATCAATTGAAAACATAATTGACCAACCTAGAAAAAGAAGACATATTTCATATGATGAAAATAACAAAAGAAAAGTTGTTGTCTCTAATAACACCCAAAATAATAATTTAAATACCGATGATGATAATCTTATTGTTGAGCTTAACAAAAAACAAAATCACATTAAAATGAAAAACAAAATAGAACCTAACATTAGGGATAACAATGATTTAAACAACTTTAAAGAAAATATTAAAGATAATAACCAAATCACTGAGGGCCAAATCACTAAGAGCCAAATTACTGAGAGCCAAATCACTGAAAAAATAAATACTAATAAAAGTAAGGAAGAACGCAATTCCAATACATATATTGAGAAAGATTCAATAAAACCTAATAGAAAGAAAAACGACATTCAGAATGGTAATAGGAATACTAACAGAAGATCTATTAAACCTTTACAGATCACCATAACTTTAAAAGAGATTAAAAGAATAATTAGAAAAGATATTGCAGATTATAATATAGGTTCTAGAAATGTGAGACATATTGTTCCTTTGAATAACACTATTATCAAAAACCATAATTTGAGGTTTAATTCAAAAAAATTAGAAAATGTTCAATCAAATAATGATTTGAATAATAAAAAAAATCCTGTTTATGTCAATGATAAAATCACAAACAATAAAAATCTTAATGGCCATAATGTTCTCAAATCTTTTGATAATAGTGATAATCGGCATATAAGCGATAAAAAAACCAATCATAAAAATAATTATGGAAATTGCAATAATAATTATATTGATGACTCAAACAACAAAACCAAAGAAGGTAAAAAAAGTAATAAAAGTGAAAATGAAGGCAAAAATAAAACCACAAATATCAATAAAATTGAAAATAAAGTTTTAGTGGGAAGCAATCTCATTGAAAAAAATACTATTGAACAAAACTTGACAGAAAACCATAATATGGAGAATAATGTTGGAAGTGTTGATAAAAATTACATACCAATCTCAAAAATTCAAAATAAGCCTAGTACAAATTTGCTAATAAATTTACCTAAAAATACTCCGGTTCAACCTCCACTCAAAACTAAGACAATTTACAAAACACCAAAAAGAGATTTTGTGCCAAATACAGAATACAGAATGGTATTAAGGTCCAGTAAGAATTTAATTAAAGGAAAGCAAATAGATTCTTCATTGAAACAAAATAAAAAAAATAATGAAAAAAATAAGGATAATACCGCGAGAGTAGATACAAAATCTAAGGGTATTAATGATAATATTAACAATAATATTGAAAAAAATATTGATGATGATATCAATGAAAAAGTTGAAGAAGGATCCAAAGAAAAAGTTATAAAGAAAACTAAAAGAAATATTGATTATATAAAAAAAATTAATGGGAAGAATATTGAAGAAAAAGAAAATAATGGAAAGGAAGAAAATGATAAATTAAATCAGAACACATCACTCAAAAAGCCCATTAGCAAAAATAACAAAAAAAGCGAAAGAGAAATAAATATCGAAAAGAAACTTCAAGAAATTGAACAAATTAAAAAGCAAATCAAAGAAGTTGAAAAGGAAATTGAAAAAGCCAAACAATCTAAAAAACCTGAAATTGAAAATAAAAATGAAATTGGAAATCAGGATAAAACTCATGCTCGAGATGAAGCCTTAAATTTAAATGGGAATTGTATTAACTGTAATGATAATAATGATTTATTTATGAATAATAATAAAGAAAAGGATTCTGATATTGTATCAATAAGAAAAAATAAAAATAAAAATGAAAATAAAAATGAAAAGGAAAAGGAAAAGGAAAAAAAAGCTGATGGCAATAGCGAAATTCAAACCCTTGAATATAATTGTGATGAACCCATATTTGAGATTTCTTCTTACCCAAAAATGGTTCACAGTCCTGCAAAAACAAACAAGGAAATAAATGATAATAAAACAGAACTAAACACAGAACAAACACAGAAACATAAATTTGAATGTGCAGGAGGAAATTTTGGTCAATTTCCAATACCAAATTATAAATCAAAAACCAAAAAGACAAGATCAAGACCAGTAAACGAAAAAAATAAAGAAAGGGAGACAATTAAAGATTCCTTGAAAGAGCAAAAAAGAATAGCTCGTTTGGAGTTGCAAGAAAAGTATTTTGAAAAATTGCAAGCAGTATACAAGATCACTATTGATGCACAACCTGATTTTTTGAATCAATTAAGTCCGGATAGCTATTTGTTTAAAAAAATAAAAAGAACGTTAAAAGAGAAAAAAAAATTAATTGAAACAATCACATTCAGTGACACTGATCATTTGGATTTTCGAGATAATCCTGAATTATATGATATGCTAATGATCGATGATCTTAAAGGCAAATACAATGAAGCTGTAAAAGATATTATTAATTATGAAAATTATGATAGGTATTTCAACGAAACGGATTTATTTTATAATAAGTTTGATAGAAAAGATGGGGTTCTAACGAATAATCAAGTTCCGGCAGCTGTTTTACCTTTATTGGATAAAGCATTTCATAAGGTTGTTGATTATAGTACTGAATCGATTGAAAACGAAGATATGATTTTCTCCATTGATGAATATTTTGCAAATAGTGAAAACCAATCAATGATTAATTTTCAAATTCAACAATTTCCAGAAATTTCAAAGAAAATTTTAGAAATTGTGGGCAAAGGCCAAGAGATTCCATCAACTTATAATCTTAATAGACTTTTTATCTTGAATGAATTTCATAAAGATGAAGAATTTTATTCGATTTATAAAAAAGATTATGATGAGAAGATGAACAAAAAGGATTTGAAATTGAATGAACTTTTTTTATATTTATGTTTTAGAAATTGTATTATAAGTGGAAGAGAGGAATATCAGCGTCAATTTGATTATCAATATCAACAGTACCAAAGGCAAAATCTAAATAAAGAGAGGGAAAATGAAAATGATCAAGACAAAAACGAAAACAAAGATATAAATAAAGATCTGAGCTCGAAAGTAAACTCTCGACCATGCTCTCAGATGTGTTTCAACCAAGTTCCAAAACCAGTTTTGAGTTTTCAAACTCGAGATTATTGTGGTACAAAACAGAATAATCAAGAAAATCAAAGTCGGTCTTCAAGATGCAATTCACTTTCAAGTGCAAAAGAATGTTCAACCGGAAGCTTCAATACAGATAAAAGTTATACTACTGCTGACAGTTCAAACTCCGAGTCACATAATGATAAGAACAATAACAAAAATATCAATAACAATAATCAAACTCCTTGTTTGGTTGAAAATGGGGATGAAATTGAAATTGATATTTTAGAGGTGTTTGAAAACATTCATTCCAAGAGAAATCAAGATCAAACAATAGACCCGACTGATGGCAAAGTTTGTAATGAAAAAGAACATTATGATAAAAATTCAAATTCGAGTAATAAAAAACAAAATCTAAAGTTGAATATAAATAAAGATTCACAACCGGTTTTAGGTGTTAGATCCAATTTTGATTTCAACAAAACGTTTGAAAGCAATTTGAATAATAATTTTAGTGTTAATCAGAACACAGATCCTCATTATAACCCTAATTATATTAACCCATATTCAAATATAGGGTACAACGCTGATCCTAATGGTGGTTTTACTTTTAATAATCCCAATTATACTTACCATAATTATAATGGCGGAAATTATGGATTTCAAAATTACAATAATGTCAATTATAATTATAGCAATGTCAATTACAATTACAATAATGGAAGTTATAATAATCAAAATTATAGCAGTTTGAATTATAACAATACTGGTTATAGTAATCCCGGGTACAGTAACGCAAACTATAATCCTAATTATAATCCGAATTATAATCTCAATTATAATTTTGGAAATGCCGCAGCAGTTAATAATCCCAATTATGTTGATGGGGAATTTGGTGTTAATTTTGGAATTAATTTTGATTCTTATCTTGCACCGAATTATAATGATTATTATGAGCACAATATAAATGGAAATGGATATAAGGGGTTAAGCAGATATATGGATGGGTATTATAATCGAAATTTATTTGGAGATAATGAAAGGCCATTTCAAAAATTTGAAAACGAGCATCCTAACTGGAGAGAAAAAGTTGTTGAAAAAGATAATTTTAAAATAGTTTTTTTAAAAGATAGTAAATTTGAATTAACGGGCAGTGGGATGATTATTTGTGATACACCAGAAATTGCACGAATTGTTTATTTATGTATATTAAGAATGAAAATTGGAAATACCAAAGTGCCACTAATTTTAAAGTTGAATGATCCGAGGGTGTTTAATAATCGATCTATGAATTTAATCAAGCCATCTAATAAGGTTATTATCAATAATTTTCAATTGAAGTCGCATATAAAATTGATTGATATTAAAGTTACTTTGAAAGAGAGACTTGGAGTAAATTTAATTAAAGTTACGAAGTTTAAAAAAGATGAAAGGAAAAATTTTGTTGGATTTCGAAATGATGCAGTAATTTTGCATTTTGAAAATCTACAAGATGCTATTAGATTTAAGAATTTTTTAATGAAATTTAAGTTTTCAAACAATTGCAGTCGAATAATAGGATTTAATAAGAAGTTGGAGAATAATGCTAATGCAGCTACAGAATACAATAAGCAGACATTGTTTTTCAAAAACGATCAATGTTTCTCGCTTTATAATCACCAGCATAATTATATGAATGAGAAAAGAAGGAATGTAAATCCGAATAACAATGGGGACAATGGGGACAATGGCAGCAATAATGAGGGCACTGACAATGACAATGACAATGATGATAATGATAATGATGATAATGATAATGATAATGATAATAATGATGACAATGATAATGAGTATGATAACGAAAAGAGGAATGGTAATAGTAATGGAGATTACAAGCTTGGAAATACCAACAGTATTAATGATTTTTTTCAAAGTCTAAATGGCAATGGCAATGATAATGGTGCTGCTATTGGTAGTGGAAAGGAGGCTGAAAGAGGATACAAATTTGAGATATTTTTTTATCACGACGAGTCACGGAGGATTTTGATAGACAATGTGGTTTTAAATCCAGAAAGCGAGATGTTGTTAGTTGGGATGACCAGATATTTCAAGGACATATTTAAGAACTTTGGGCAAATCCATAAAACGAGGTTCTTGAAGTCCAAGATTCCGTTGCCCGAGAAGGAGGATGCGCAAAAGAAGGAAGTGGTGCCTTTCATCACGCAGGTGTTCATTGAGTTCAACTCAAACGAGCAGGCCACACGAGCCATACGCTCACTCAATGGCGAGTTCTTTGATGGCAAGTGTCTATACATCAACTACGCGTAGCAGAAGCAGCACAGACCCAGGAAGAAGAAGCAGCACAAATCACTTTCCCAATCGGGACAGATAGAGCAGAAAATGCACAACGCCCCCACCGGGACTCGAACCGCAGTTGTGGCAAAGGGACGGAGGGGCGGAGCACAATCCGGACGCGGACCGGGCGGATTCCGCGGAGTTGCTCGAATTCAAATTCCAAACGTGCATGGGTTGTTTATATGTGTCTCTCCATCACCAAGTCCATCACAAGTCCAGTTACTATCTGTGAATCAGAACATTTAGAGCGTATTGCAGGTTGAAAATGAGTTACAACGTAAGCAAATGGTTTTTCCAGAAGTGCTCCAGTGCTCTAGGGTCTTTTTGCCTTGGAGGCCTGGTCTTATTCCATTTTTTGGGCTTGTTCCTAACCTACTGACACAAATATCGTTACTATTCCAATCTAGTATAATAATCAAAATCCCTTTGAAGCCGACACAAGCTACGAGATGGGAAACTTCAAGAACCAAGGTTCTGATTTTTTTGATGATATCAACAGGTTCAAGCAATCGTTATCTGACTACTCGGATCTTATAAACCGAATCGATTCTGCTCAGAAAAGCTTGTTGGGCGAATACGATGAAGAAAAAGAATTCAACTTAAAGAGGCAAATTGATTCCCTATTGACTGAGATCAATTCCAAACAAAATGATTTAAAATCTCAATTAACCAAACTAATGAAATCAACCGGTGGTGATAGCATTAAGAAAACCCAAGCTGAAGCTGTTAGGGAGGAGTTTCTAGGGTTGATCAGCAGATTCAGTGTTAACCAATCCAACCACAAAACCCAAAATAAACAACAAGTAGCAAGACAATATAAGATCATCAAACCAGATGCCACTGACTTGGAATTAAATCAAGCAGTTCAACAGTATGAAGATGGTAATGGGGAACAATTGTTCACTCAAGCATTGCTAAATACTAATAGAAAAGGTGAGGCTAAAGCCGCGTTATCCGAGGTCCAAGACAGACACTTGGAATTGCTCAAAATTGAAAAATCAATGCAAGAATTGGCTCAATTATTTCATGATATGGAAGATTTAGTAATTGAACAAGACGAAAACATCCAAATGATTGATAATAATATCCAAAAGGCTCAAACTGATGTTGAGCACGGTTTGGCTCAAGCTGATAAAGCTGTTGATAGCGCTAGAAAAGCAAGAAGCAAGAAAAGATGGTGTATTTTCATTCTTATCTTGATTATTCTAATTATTATTGGTGCTGTTGTCGGTGGTGTTGTCGGAAGTCAAAAATAATCTATAAAAGACAAACAAGACAAAAAAAAATTATTTTTTTTTTCTTGTTATTTTTATTTTAATGCTTCTTTTTAATCTTTCAATTTTTAATACTGTTTGATTTTTGTGATATTACTTTTTTGCCCTTATTTTATCTAAAAACTTATTAGATTAACCTCTAAGTTATTAATCCAATTGATTTTATTACTTTGTTTAGTATTTTTTTATTTTTTTTGTTTTTATGCTTTGTTACTTTTTTATTTTATTTTATTTTATTCTTCGAACTGACTTTAATTTTTTAAGACACTGTTTTCAATTCTTTTAATTAAAATATTTTTTTTTTCTTATTCATTCATTTATTTATTTTCAATAAAACAACGCTTAATATATTAATCAATATCTTTAGTGTATATAATCTTACAATACATGATTTACAACTTCAAAAGCTGGGAAAATAAAAAAACAAATTTATCGTTTATTCATACTTAAAGCATTCAAAACTCATAAAAAAATAAAACAATAAAAAGGTAAAAAAATAAAACAATAAAAAGGTAAAAAAATAAAATAATAAAAAGGTAAAAAAATAAAAAAATAAAAAAATAAAAACTTGCCATTTATGGGGCTAGACGAGGCCATGTCAAAAATATTGTGAATTATTTATTCAATAATTTCTATCCCCAATTGTCAATAGAATCCCTTTTGTACTGATTTTGTCGGGATACGCTTTGGTGGAGTGCAGACCCTGCAGGTAGATCTTAGCTGATGTTTGCCTCAGGAAATGCTGCTTTTCTGCGACTGATCATGAAGATGTTCACTCTTCTAATCTTCTACTTTGGTGGTTAAATGAGTGGTGTGGAAACTGTTGGAAAGCGCCTCAACCTAAAGATAAAAATCATTTTGGCTGGACAAATCGGGCTCATTCCGGTTTGGGAAGAGCATTTCTTTTCCTGGCCAGCTCCAAACGTTTCAAGCTCTGAACTATTGAATCAAGCCCACAAGTTCTGGGTATTCTCTGCAATTAAGCCTCCAGAAATGTAGAAGATTGATAAGGTTTGCGCTGCCCTCTGTGCTTTTTGTCCACTGTTAAGGAAACACAAAAGAAATGCAGCAGAAACGACACCTTCAGCGAGAGTGAGGGTCCTATGTTTTTTTCATTGCAACCACAAAATTCCTGTTCTCAAACACATTTGATCTGTACGTCCATCACATCTTGTGCTGTCAACACAATCGCCATCCAAAGCTGGTTCAGCAAAGGACTTATTTCGTCTAAGCGGGGTCTTATACCAGCCACAGCATCAAACCACAACATGAAAGTTCAACGCAGTCACGGGATATGAATACAAAGCAAACCAGAAATAGATACATTTCAGAACAAAATATTAAAGGGATTCGAAGCAGCTGGAATATCGTGTATAAGTCCAATATAATGCAGCTACTGCTTCTCTGTTGCCGCTTGTTAGGATTATCTTGAGAACCAATTTCAGTTTATTGTTAGTAGACTACAGAAAACAGTATTTTTTATCCAACCTTTCTTATCTCACATTTCCCATTTTTCATATCTCATCGAACATTTGATGCAAAGTTCGGCTGATGAACATTGCCAAGAATGTGGATTAGTCTGGCCTTTTCTGTTAAGGTTTTTCTATTTAATATTCCCATTTCCAGTTTAAAACCTGAAGTTCGCAACTCTCCTAATTTGGGGTCTGAAAACGTATAGGAAACAATCAACAAGCAACACAATACAATACAATACAATATAAAAATTAATTGCCATAGAAGATATTCAACTGGATCAAGCACACAATAGCCTGGCACACCTAAGACCTATTTCCCAATTTTTTTCATTACCTAGCCAGTTGTTGTTTTTCATTTACAACTTTTTCTTTTTGAGCCCGTCGATTAACCTCTCTTAAAAGAATTTGAAACTAAATCTTTTTGATTTGATCACCAACAATCAACGCTGCTACCAACCGGTGTCTTGAGTGAACTTGATCTTGATTTGCATCCAAATATTTCTAAAAACCGATATGATTTTGTCAAATATTTTTTATAGACAAAAATTTCCCGGAACTTACTGACAAAAATTAAAAATTTAGGAGATTTCTCTGATCTTATCAGCCTTCCAACTCAGTTGCCAGTTAGAAAAAGCTCAAATTTCTTTTCGTTCTCATATTCTTCCTAAATAAATACAACTAATTGTCTACATTAATCTCTCCAACTTAACTAATCAAGCACAAAGATACTCCAGTGTTAGTTCTGTTGCAAATGGTCCTTTAGTTGGGTAAATTACATGAGACTAGAGTTCAGCAAGAACTCGCCCAAATTTAAAAGCTTGTCACGCTGCTTCATTATATAACAAAAAGCGTAGCTATTTTCACATTCACGCACAACAACATCGCTATGTTGGGATTTACTTGATAAAGTTTTTCGCAGTTGGGTTTTTTTCATTTTTAACTTAAATTATCTCAACTGAAAAATCTTATTTAAATTTTTGAACCTTCAATAAACATCCGTTTACAATTTGATACCACCATTTCAAATTAGAAAATCAAAAAAAAACATCTTCAATCTATCAAAACGTTGATTTATAGCCATTATTAGTCAAATTTCAAAAAAGATCCCTTCACCTTTTTTTTCAAGAATTTTAATATAAATGTCTTGATATATTTCCTTTACTTCCTTCCTTTCTTTCTTTCTTTCTTTCTTTTGTTCATTCTTTTTATAAATTATTAAATTGTTATCCTTAAAATTAATTCACTCGTTAAATATCTTTTTTTGGTTCAGTTTAATATATTTTTTTTTTCTTACTTTGATTTTAATTTTTTCTTGATTTTTTCGTTTTATTATCTTTAATACCTTTATTTTCACATTCGTTAACGCAAGGGATAACTTATTAAGCAGAAATCCAGAATATGAAGGTTTTATCAAAACTTCACTTTCTATCCTTAGCTGCTGCAGCTATTGCTGGCTCTGTTAACAGCAATTTAGACTTTCATTTTACTAATAAAACTTATCCAATTTCAAATTCTTCTGCTCCAATACACGATGAAGATTGTGATTTACCAGTAGAAATCACCAAAACAGAGACAGAAACAACTACTGCTATTGAAACCAAAACAACTACCGATATTGAAACAACTGTTCAAACAACCACTGCCTATGAAACTGTTACCCAAACTCTATTTTCTTCAATTTATGAGCATCCTTTAATTCCTGATGATGACGGCGATGAACAAGATTCTGATGAACCAATTCATTCAATGCCCCCTCCTCCACCTGCTCAATCCCTAGCTCCCGTTGTTCATTGGAACGTAGACTTATATGATAAAAACAATCTTCATCCAGTTGATTATGGATTTTTGTATTATTCTTCTAAAAGCACCAACTCTCCAAATGCTAACCATACGTTCGGTACTCTTAATTATACTTATAATTATCCAAGTGTTAACTTAGATCACTCTGGCTTTTGCTCTGTATCCTATTCTGGAGATTCAACTGACGGTTCACTATCCGTTGATTTTAATGATGATTCTGCTTATAAAAAAGCTGTTAATGAGTGGAATTGTAACAAAGGTTTGATTTTTGTTACTTACTTAGAAGGCTGTGGCTCTTATGATTCTCAAGATACCTGTTTTTTCAACTCCTCATCAATTAAGTTTGATGATGACAACCAAATAGTTACAATTGGTGGTAAACCCTGTGATGTTAAAGACTTGGCTTCTTCTGTTGATTTTGCTTGGGGTGAATATACTATTGATGATGATTCTCAGGGAGCCAGTGGTTTTGGCAAAGAGGATAGTAGCAGTGATGCTTTTGCTGCTGCAACCACTGCTTCGGGCTATTTCGCACCCACTGCTGCTACTAGTTTATCTGCAAGCACAGCTTCATCATCTGACACCTGTGGAACCTATGATCCAGTCTATGGCTTTTTGATGGGTACTCTTGGTAATGAGTTTGATGCTGGTATTGATGATTGTCTTGGTTATGAGACCATTGAAGACACAGAGTATTACAGCTACTTAGATGATCTTGGTGTCGACGATTTGGATGCTGATTATGAGTATAAAGAAGAATTAGATTCAGAAGTTATTAATGACGATGATTATTTGGATTATTATGATGAAGATGAAGAAACTTTATTGAAAAAGAGATCGCATTTGGGCAAGAGAGGTCTTTTTACCAAAGTCAAAACCAAAATAAAAAAAGCTTTAGCTAATGGAAAACAACTCGCTAAACAAGTTGTTTCAGATCTTAAAAATATTAAAACCATCATTGTTAATAAAGTTGCAAAGGCTACTAGTATCTCAGGTACATTATTTGATAAGCAAATGACCATTCAAGTTCCAGCTAAACAAAAGGTTGTCGAATCTCCATGGGGTAATGCAGTTTTACTTAAATCAATCAAACCAAAGAAAAACAAAAAGGGAGAAGACAATGCTATCAGTGCTGAATTAAAATTTTTCTGTGTTGACTGTGGTGCCAAAGGTAGCGCCAGTATTAAAGGTTCAGGTACTTTCTCGTTTGCTTTAATCAAATTTACCGCCGGTACAGTTGCTGCTGACATGAATCTAGCAGTTGGGTTGCAACTAGGCATTGAAGCCAAAATCGAGTATGAGAATTCTTTTGAAGTTTCATTTGCCAAAATTGGATTACCAGGATTATCTTATGGTGTGTTGACTCTTGGACCAATGATAACAGTTGGTGCTGAAGTTACATTTAGTGCTGCTGCCACTGGCACAGTTTTAGGTGGTGGTAAATTTGTTATTTCAAACGCAAAGGCTGTTGTTGATTTGGTCGACTCTTCAAAATCATATGCCTCAGGGTGGACACCAAACTTTGTTCCTGTATTTAATGCTACAGGAGAAATTGAATTGAAAGTTGGTGCTGGTCTTCCAGTAGGATTAGCCTTTGGTATTTCAGTTGGTAGTTATTCGTTGGATGTTGCTTTGGTTGACAAACCATCAGTTGAATTCAGTGCTAAAGTGTCTGGTGAAATCAATCTAGAAGGCGCTAATATGACTTCTTCCGATTCATGTACTGGTATTGCTACTGCTATTAATTTTAAGAATGAAGTTTATGCTAAGTTTGGAAAAGCCAAACAATATCAATTGGTTACTCCATTTGAAAAAACTCTTAAGGAAGGATGTCTTTTTGGCAAAAAAGAAGCCACCTCTTCATCCAGCTCTATTTCAGCTGCTGCTACTCCTGTTAAAAAGAGATCATTGAAAAGACGTGATGACAATTCAACTTATGATGATACCACCGAAATCTATAATGCTGATGCCAAAAACGTTACTGATTGGGATTTACCAGTTGCTTCGAATGACGGTTATAATGTTACCACAGGCTATGAATATATCACTTTGTTGGATTATTTTTTGAATTATCAAGTGGTGAGTTGTGCAAATGGTAACTTGTACTTGCAAAACAACACCAATTACAAGGAGAGTAATCAAGAGGATTGTTCTTCATTGTGGGGAGTTACAGATGATAGTGTTGCTGTTGATGGATTTTCTCGTATATTGCATTATTATAATGACACGATGAATAAAGCTGGTATTTCAAGATTAAGAGCTAGTGACCAAGACAATATTCCAAACGGATCAGTATATGTTTCACTTACACCATATGATGATGAAGATGATGAGACCAACGACATTTATTATGCTATTGATGATAGTGACAATGTTTATTTCCCAGTAGCATGCTCATTTACCAACACATCTTTGCCAGCTAAGCTTTTCTTGGTAGCAAATGAGACAGAAGGAGTTGAATTGTTGGAGAGCAACAAGTTCATTTATACTATCACTGGTGGTGAAATTGATACATGTGTTTTCTTACCAGTTGTTAGAGACCCTGAGGAATCTGGCGATGAATGGTACGACACCTTCGATGAATATTTCGATTACGAAGATGAAGTTTACTCGGAGTAATTGATTGACTTATTAAGCATTTTTAAAGAGCTGTGATGAATTATGTAGTAAATCATAGAACGCTTTATTTTTGTTTAAATTTTCTTTTTCTTGATCACATTTTATAGGTTTAAAATGATAATATTTTTTGTTTACTTTTACTCGTCTTAATCTTGGGATTAGCAGTTATTTAGTGTGGGGCGGCAAAGAAAGAGAGCGATACAAAAGCCGATTCAGAAACGAGTTTCTCTAATTGTAAGGGACTTTTTGAGAGCATTGAAAACAATAAACAAATTAATTTTCCATAAGCTTCAACTCCATCCAAATCGCTCTGAGGAAAGTCCATGAATATTCCGGCCATCTAGCAGAGTATAGCGAGTCGAGCCTAATTGCAACATGATCTTTCTTCTATCGGGTTGTTTGGGGTCCAACTTGCACAGAAAAATTCCTTTATTGAGGGGAAATTCTGAAGCACCAAACAGGTATCTTTCTTTGCGGCCCACAGTGCACAAATGGATTTGCAACCTCCAAAATAATGACCATACAAGTTATAGAACTCGATATGCAAATAGCTTGATTGATGCTAAGGAAAATTTGGCACTGGCCGTTGGTTTCCCAGTGCAAATGTCCTGGAGATTCCCCAGTAGCACAGTGTTTGATGTCATATTCACTCACAGACCAGATGAACACTGCATTTACTCCTCCAGCAGCAGCACTACCCATTGTAGAGAACCTCACAGACCAGAAATCGCCCACAAAACAGCAAAAGTCGCAAATAATTGCAAATTACACACCACCAAACCTCCAATGCTGATCCCTCCCAGGGCCAGTTAATCCTAAAGCTGCAGCCGGCAATTTCTCTCACGGCTGGGAACGAAACAGACCCCATTTGGTGCTTCAAGGATAAAATATTTTCCGAACGCCCAGAAGCAGCAGCTATCGCAGTGGTACTAAAGATCCGGTCAGTGCAGTGATTGGCCACATCCAAGGCTTGAGTGCGCATGACCGCAGACACTAGCAGGGAAAACTGTGTGCCACAAAGTGGGAGACCAGAGGCAGCAGCTGCTTCGGCAAAAGATAGACTTTAGTCTCGGAACAACTCTGAGATGGGCTTGATCCTCTTTCTTTTTGAAGTGGCCTTTTGAAGTCGCCCACGTCTCGCTCTTTTTTTTGTATATAAACAACCTCAAGAGACCTTGAATGTTTCCAGCTCTCGTTGCTATATCCCGATGGCTCTATCTCCTTGATTCAGTTGCAGGCCACTGTTCAATCCCAGCTCTACTTTATCAGGCTCACCCAGGTTTACCATAATGTCAAACACAGATTCAAAGAGCTTTTTCAAACGAGTGGTGGGCAGGCTGTTCGCTAAATGCAAGATAAACAGACACCATCCCAAGCAAAATAAGCCCATTCCTCCTCTTGACTTGGAGACAACAATGGACTTTACCTCTTTGATTGTCTCCCTAAAGATCATAATCTTGCCCGAGTATTCTAAAATGATCAGTGAAATTGGGTTGATTCAAAACAAATTTATCAACAACGAGTTTAATGACGAGGATTACAATAACTATAAAGAATATGTAACTTATAAAGAGCTTTTAATTAATCTATCTAATTACTCAGACTCATGCCAACACCATTCGTTGGACATTATTCAGAGCCTATATTCAATGCAAATCTCTGGCAAAAATTTCATGAATCAGATTGATTCAATCACAAACGAGTTTTTGGCCTTGGCTATAAGCTATCAAAATCTAAAAATTGAATATAGCCAATTTTTGCAAAACAAGATTATAAATAAAACAAATTCCAAAGTAGAATTTGATGAATTCAGATTAGTCTCTCTTCAAATTTCAGAACTATCCAATATTTTTGACAAACTTAAATCAACAATCGACAAGTATTAATTATTAATTATTAATCAAGAATCAAGTGACAACATTACTCATTACTGCTATTGAATATCTATCCAATTCTTACTTTTTTGTTATTTGTTTGTTTTTTTATTAGTTGTTTTTTTTTTTTAATTTATTTCTTGGCTTGTTTCTTTTCTTGTGATCAAGAATTCTTATTGTACTCTATTGGTTTTTGGTGTTTGCAACTATTTTATCTTTTATAATTTATGTTTTATGTCTTATATTTTATGTTTTATATTCTATATTTTATATTCTATATTTTATTTTTTTCATTAAATCAGATTAAATTTCATTATCAATAATTCAATACCCCTTGTTTATTATCTCTTAATATACAGATTTGATTTGTATTTTCTTATTAGTAATATCAACTCAACTCTCCTCAGATTGATCCCAAATCATTGTGATTATCATTATCATTATCATTATCGTTATCATTATCATTGTGATTATCATTATCATTATCATTATCTTTATCATTATCATTATCTTTATCATTATACTTGTATCGATAAAATCAACTGTCATACATTTAATCCCTTAATTTAACACTTGGAGACTGAACCAGAAACCCATATCTTACAAGCCGTAAAAACCAAATTTCAAAACCAAAAAATTGCATCATATTTTGTAAAATCGTTGGCGGTCCTGATGGATTTGCTGAATATGCAGTATATGCGGAATTTGCAGCATACTTGCATATAAACAACCACCGCGAAAACGAAAGCGTTGTGAGCGCTGTTTTACTGTTTTTTGCATGTCACACAAATGCACTCAGGGCTTCAATCTGAACTAGTAGAGCCCTACATCATTGCAGTAGATCTCAGAACGGGCGAAATATTTCACTCATTTTTTTTCTTTCAGTCAATAATAGTAGCATCAAGACCTGTGTTGTTATAACGGATTTGATTACTGATATTCTATCATCAAAGAAACCATAAAGGATAGTCTGCGTCAACGCTTAAAAGTGATTATTCTAGTGTGCATTATTATTAAATCAGAACAAAAAATTTTTCCAAAAGTATGTGTCAACCAACTGCTCATATCACATCACATCAATTCAATTTAATTAAATAAATATATATATATTTGCAATGTGCTATTGTCAAAACACCTAAAGATACACTCTTTAAAATGAAAATTGAAAATTGAAAAGTTAGAATCAAAAACTAACTAAATTTTTGTTTAATAGTGAAATATTTAGCTGCTTATCTTTTACTCGTCGAAGGTGGTCACGAACACCCAGCTTCAAAAGATATCGAACATTTATTAGAAACTGTTGGTATTGAAGCCGACCACAAACAAGTTGAACTCTTGTTGAAATCAGTTTCTGGTAAAACTGTCGATGAATTAATTACCTCAGGCAGTTCCAAATTAGCCTCTTTAGCCACTGGTGGTGCCGTTGCCTCTTCTGGCTCTGGTTCTGATACTGGCTCTGGTTCTGGTGCTGCTGCTGAAGAAGAAAAAGAAGAAGCCTCTGAAGAAGAAGAAGAATCTGATGATGATATGGGTTTCGGTTTATTTGATTAGAGGTTCTAATTTTTATTCTAAAGTTATAATGGAAATTGTACAATAGATATATTAATAAAGATATTATCACTGATCAAAATCGATCAAGATAAACCAAAATTAATCAATAAGCCAAAATCAATTAATTTTTTTCTATGAAGAAAATCTAAAATTATGCTAAAAATTAGTAGAAATAGCTGTAACACATCAAAACCATAATGATCCACTGTAAAATACTTGTTTTAATATCCATTTGTCTACCATAGCAATGCCTAGCTGATTTGCTTATACTACAATTTGATAGGTCGGAACTTAATGGTGTTTGGTTTTTCTTCGGCAATTAAGGACTTGATAAAATATGGGGATTCAGCTTTTTTAATTCTATTGGTAATCACCTCATCACCTCACACTGTACGTTGAATAAAAAAACAATCTTATAAGTAAACCTACCATCTCATTTTTGATTTATACCACTCATCACTTATCACCCATCTCCTACCATTTATATTTCATATTTATCTCTAAATGAAACCCGGATCATTCAATTTATTCTGGTACTGTTTTGCAGGCTTCTCAGTAACTGGTTTTGCATTGGGTTATGGTCTCAAAAAGTAAGAAGAAATTATTGAAAGTGCTTAATTCCAGTCCTTGTTGTTAATAACGTTTGATATATTAACAGATTATTTTATTTTATTTAGGAAAGTCGATGCCAAAAAGAAGAAGAACTTCCGTCCACCTTATAAACCAAGAGATCCTACTTTAAATGACGAGTTTGATTCATCGAAAATCAGACCTGGATTTCCTGAAGAATCAGTTGTAGAAGAAGAAAGAAAGAGCAAATATGAGGGAACAGGAAACAGTCATGTTGTATGTTATCTTTATCCAAGTTTATATATTGCGCATTACTTATCATTTTTATTGACAAATTGCTAACAAATTGCTAACAAATACTAAATACAGAGCCGAAAAAGAGGTGATAAAATTTCATTTTTTTAAACAAAAACTATTAATAATATTTTAATGAGGGGTTTTTGTTGGTCTTGTTTAACTGAAACATTTTAATAATTTCACACTAATAATCTTAAATATTTTTATTAATTTAATAAAAAACTATTGGCTATATGCTATTTGATTCATAACTCACAATCCTTAATTTTCTTTTTAAGTTTTGGTGTTGTTTTAATTCTAAAACTAAGAAAGAGCTGTTAATCCTTTTCTAATTTCCTATAATATTATTGGCTCTTCTTTGGGGGTTGAGCAAATTTTTGAAATTTGGTTGTATTTTTCTGAATGATATAAAAATAAGTCAAAATAAGTTTTTATTGTATCTACTTTTTTTCATGTATTAGATCATAGTATATACATATAAAAAAACAATATCCCCAAATATCTTAATTTTTTTATTATCTTATCAAACTGATTAAGATTCAAATCTAAATCGGCAAATAAATAATCAAGACTGCAACTAAAGAAGTAGTGTATTATTTCATCGAATCCTTTCTTATATACAGATGAATACTCCAAAATCATTTTGGTATGTCTTTTGAGTAATTAAGGTCCAAGAGCACAATCAATTTTGTAAAATATCCAAAATACTAACCAGAAAAACAATCAATGTTTCTAGGGGAGGCATGGCTCTTCTTACAGTTGTAGGATTTGGCACATTGCAATATGTTCAAAAGTAAGAACACAGGATTTTATTTTATTTTATTTTATTTTATTTTATTTTAGTAGACACCAATATTGACCATCATTTTCTTCAGTCAAGTTGAGACCAAAAGAGCAGGTCAAAACCTCCAGTTTGGCAAGGGCTGGGAAGACATCAAAAACGAGCACGAAATTTCTGATGGTTCCAAGGATGCTGATGCTGGTGTTGGTACTGGTGTTGGTGCTGACTCAATCGAACCAAAGGCTGAGACAGACGCAAGCAGCACAAAGAAGAAGGAAAGTTGATGAGCATTGCACTTTCATCAAAGAAGATGAAGCACTTCGATTTCTGTAGGTTTATATCACAAATAACAGAACATCCCACACCCACCATGTACATGCAGTGTCCCGTTTGCTGGTGCCCCGCTTAGAGTTTTGCTAAACACAGACCACTCGGGTGCTGAGTAGATTGGATGCTATTTAGACCATGGTGCTTTCTAGACCATATACCAAAGTGGTTGATTTTCGCTACTACTTATCACCCTACTCTGCCATTATTTGGCATCCTTTTTTTTCAATCTTTTGATTGTTCCTGATATCCAGTTCCTTTTCACAGTTGCAGGCTCGTTTTGCTTAATTTCCACATCCTGACTGGGGTCCCTTTTTTTCAATATCGATTTTTTCTTAGTCATTTCTGCATCGCTCTTCATGGGTTGATGATTAACTTCAGTAGCGTCGTTTATATCAGGCAATGGTGCAAATCTGATTGAATTTCCTTTTGATAGTGGTCTTCTAGTTTTGCCTACAGTGCTCCCTTTGTTTCTTGCTCTACTATTTCTTAGTAATCTTTGTCTTAGCGATTTGCTTTTAGCCTTTAGTTTGGACCTACTTTTGTCGTTTTTCTTAGATTCATCAAGACATAGTTCAGCTGTATGTTGGCTAAATGGGTTTGATGGAGTCTGTAAGCCGCTGAAGCCACCTTCAGAAATATCAGCACTGCTTATCATAGAAAAATGCTCGTTGATATTAATTCCATTTTTTCTGCTTTTCTCAATGATTCTTTTAGCGTCTTCGAAGTCTCTCCCAGCTACATCTCCTGACAATGGAAATTTCAAATCTTTTCTCAAAACATACTCTGCTGCAAATCCTTCCAATGATATTCCCGAATTCATTGAAACTTCACCAGCACTGTAACATTTTTTCTCTCTTTTGAGATTAAACTTCCAATTTCCCATGCCTTTATGTTTTTTCTTGTTATTTTCACTTTCTTCAACTATAACTAAGCTTCCATTACTTTGGGCTAAGCTTTGCAACGAATATCCATTGGTTGATAAATTACAAACCATATCTTTGGAAATAGCTGTGCTTTTTCTAGAAAAATCAGATATTGGTTCTCTGGTTAATGGAGTGGTCATCATTATACAGGAATTTGGTGGAGCCTGTAATCCGGGTCCAAAACAATCATCATTCATTTTGCTTCTAGGTCTACTACTATCGATTCTATCGATTCTATCGATGTCTTTACTATCAGTTTTTGAATGGTTATCATTAAGAGCACTCTTGCTGAGATTCTTTTTTAAAAACCCTAATTTGTTTTTTAAAGATTTATTTCCACTATTATGAGTTGTCTCATTGTTTTTAGAACTCGATGATCCTAACGTTTTTAAAATTGAAAATGCAGACATTACTTTTGAGCTCGAATTATTATTTCCTGAATCGTAATCTAAAATAGAGCATGATGGTGGGTGTTCATATGTGAATGTAGCATATTCCGGGTTCAATGTTTTAAAATCTTTTCCACCAACAGGTGTCTTGGCCATTCTTTTCATTGATTTGAATCCATTAATCTCGTTTTCTGAGTCATATAATTCTCTCAATTCGGCTGTTATATCTTCTCCCATATTGAATGCTGAATCAATTGCTTTTCCCAATCTTGGCGCAGAAAAATTTCCATTGCTTTTTTCAAATTTATCAGCTTTTCTTAATGAGCTTTCAAAGCTTTGTGATTCATTGTCTTCATTTTCTTCATTGATTGCAATTGCAGTCAACGGTCTATCTGTCATTTTACTCGAGGGTTGGTCAATGTAGTTCATTTCTAGCTTTAATTTTGTGCTGTTGATTCTATTCAAATTCATCAAACTATCATTGATATTTCCTTCTAAATTGGCTTTTTCTAGCATTCTTGGTGTAGCCACTATTGAGCCATTTTCATTTAATAATGAATTCCCAGATACCAATCTCATTCCTCTTTTAATTGGAGGAGGAATATACGGGGATTGAGATGGCAAACAAGAGTCATTAGATGAGGAATTGTTTCCAAATTTTGTGTTATGATTTTTATATTCATTCTCATTGGTATTTTCAATTTGATTCTTAGAATTAAGATTGTAATTATAATCATGATCATAATCATAATCATAGTCATAGTCATGGACATTATTAAGGTAATGATTATTGTTGTCTAGATCTCTGTTATCAAAAATAGTATTATGATTTGTGTCATTAGTAACAGCAGTATTTCCGTATAAGCTTATATTTGGGTAATTTGATCTGAAATTTAATATCAAGTTTTGTTCTGAATCCAATGTGTTTATATGATAACTCGAAGGTCCTTTTTCTTTTTCTCCTCTTGAAATAGAATTCAAGTCTAAATCTACAATCATATGAGGATCTAAATTTTTTTCTGCTGTTGAGCTAATAGTTTGAATATAGTTTTGATTTTGATTTTTGATTTCTTCAATTTGATTTTTAGAAATTGGTTTTTCAATTGAACGAAAATTATAGTTTAAGTTTAAATTTGGAATTGGATTGAGATTTTGTTGATCGATCTTTGTTTCAGAATCTTTTTTGATACCAAATTTATTTTTTAAATCTTCGTCAAATACAGGAGAAGAGTTATTAAATGAAACTTCAAGGTGGATTTCATCTAGTTCTGCCATTGCTTCTTGGAGAGCTGTATCACAAAATGAGTTTGAATCTTCAATAGTTCTGGCGCTCAAGATAAAAGGATGATTAACACTGTTATTATTATTATTATTATTATTATTATTATTATTATTATTATTATTATTATTATTATTATTATTATTATTATTATTGCTGTTGTTGTTATTATTGTTGTTATTATTATTATTATTATTATTGCTGTTGTTGTTATTATTGTTGTTATTATTGTTATTATTATTTATAATATCGTTATTGTGATTTTTATCTTTTTGATTTATACTGTTTGAAGAAGCAGCCAGTAAAGATTTTAAACTTAATAATAATTTTGAACTAGTTGTTTTTGGGTTTTTAATTGGGTTTTTGATCGAGGCCTGGCTTTTTGAGGTTGTTGGTCTACTGATAGTGACTGAACTGATTAAGGATTCAACCGGTGAGTTATTTGAGAGATGGTTAAAGTTATTTGGAGATAGTTCAATTGGTGAATTAGGGGAAACTTCAACGAGAAATTTTGCTGTTGAACTTGAAGAAGATTTAGAATCATTAAAGCCATTGAAGTTATCAGGACTATCAGGACTATCAAAACTATCAGGATTATTAGAATGTTCAAATGATTTAACTACTCCAATGTGGATTATTGGATGATATTCATTTTCTGAGGTGGTGGATATATTGCTTTCATTTGAGAATTTCAAACTAGTGGCTTTCTTTTTTTCAACTTGGCCAATGATGGTTTTATTATCATTAGCATTGAAATAGTTGTTTGATGAAACTAAATTTGTGTTTTTTTGTGGTTCAATATTCAGGGAATTAGCTTTATCACTATTATTGGTATGAATTTGTGTGTGATTTCTATGTGATAATATTTTATTATTACTTTTATCTTCATCATTTATGCTAATTATATGTTCAAAATTGTGAATTGTTTTAATTTTTCTCAAGACACTCTGTTTATCATTTGGATTGGAGTTATCATCGCTGATGATTTTTTTATTATCCCTTGAGAATTCCAAGTTATCTGAAGAGTTCAATTTACAAGCATCATAAATATGATTCAAGTTTGTAATGTTACTTGAATTGCTTTGTTCACCTGAAGAATGAATAGAATTTGTGAGTTTTTTTTCGCAAGATAAAAGTTGATTTATATCTATAGTAGAGTCTTCGTTTAGATCAATATTTTGGCTTTTATTAGGTTGATTGATTTCATCAAAGTTGTTAATTTCAAAACTTTCGACTTTGTTAATGCTTTCAATTTTTTTTATTTCTTCAACTTCCCTTACATTTTCCCTTACATTTTCCTTTACATTTTCCCTTACATTTTCGATTTGTCCAGTTTTTATATGAAGCTCATTTTCTCTTATAGGATCAACTTGATGAATTATACTGCATGGGCTAGTTTGATTGTCATTTGGATTGTGACTATTATTAAGCATATCGTCATGGTTTAAAATTTCATCATCACTGTCATCATCTGAACTGTAATTTTTATCGTACTCTTCTATTTCATCAACCGGATCTTTACAATCATCGAGCAATTGTTTGGAACTGAGGCTGTCTGGTTGCTTGGTTTTTTCCAAAACTGATAAAGGATCCAAAAATGAGCCCAAGGTAAAGGATTGATCTGAGTGTGGCGAGAACATTGCAAGAATCTGTGCGAGTGTCGAAGCTATCTTTTCTAGTTAACTGAGCTGAGTTTTATGTATATCGTTGGTTGTAGACAGACTGCTATCGCTAAAGAGGCGTGAAAGCATGTCTGAAGAGCGAATTCTTTCGCAGCATCGTAACTCGTCCTTCGAGAAGCTGAGGCATCTGATGCCTTTGTGGCAGCGTCAGAAACAGCAGAGGAAACACTGGCTTTGTGCTGGTTTTCAGCAGAGACCTTCCTCTTCTTCTCTTCTCTTCTTTTCTCTTATCTTTTTGTATTTTTCATTTCTTACCACAGAATCGGATCTACATATGGTTGCATGTCTGCACAGACGCAGGCCAGCCCATGCCTTATAAACCGAGAAACATCCCAGTGGCTTTTTGGTTAGAGAGGAGGGGTCTGTGCGTCAAAAAGCTTGACTTCTTTCCCAATGTGGACACCTCCATTATTGTAATTCCAGACACACCAAAGGAAAGATCTGATCTGCTCAGCACCAAATGGTATAAATATGAAGAAAAGCCTTTTCTTTTGTCTTGCTCAGTGCACGTCTCCATTGCTGTTTCTCACAACGCCAGGTTAGTCATCAGAAGCATGAAAACCTCAATTGTGGCCTTTTTCTTGCTTTTGGCCTTTTCGACCTCCTTTGCTGTTCAAGAAAACCAAGCTCTTTTCAGACATCTTTCTGAAACCGTCCAAGGTGCCCAAGGTGCCCAAGACTTCCAAACTCTTTTTCCCATTGGCCAAGATTCAGCTGAGGAAAACAATAGCAACGCCAACAATAGGCTTCCAGACTTGGTACGTCTCGTGAAGCGTACCTACAAAACCAAATACCGAAAAACTGCCAAAACAACTGCCAAACCCAAGACCATAGAAACAAAAGCAGTTATAACTCCTGGTCCTCAAAATACTGATACCAAAGCAAACAACGATTATATTACCAATGAAAGAGCCTTGACCACTTCAATAAAAAAACCAACCACAACAGAACTAAATGGCGCATATATTACAACATCCACCAGAAGAACATCCACCAGAAGAACATCCACCAGGAAATCGTCTTCAAAGAAAAAATCAACATCAAAATTAAAGACGTCTCGCAATGGCACTGAAGTCACTCAATCCGGATCATACAGTGGAAGTAATTTGGCCCAATATCCTACTCCAATAAGTGGTATTTTCTGGTTATTCTTACCATTCTTGTATTCCTTAATATAATTTCTCAAACATTTTTTGCTTTTTTTCCTTTTGTATATTTTAGCTAGTTGTTTTTTGTTTATTTTGTTTATTTTGTTTATTTTGTTTATTTTGTTTATTTTGTTTATACTTCTTAATAATGCTTTTGTTATACTGTTATTTATTAGGCTTCTGCTTTTTTTTTTAGTTTCTTGTTTACCTCTTTTTTTGAAAAAATTTAATAATATTTAATTTGATTTTTGTTTATTGATATATGCGTATTTACAAAAATAATCATTTAAACAAAATTCGAAAATCAAGAACAAACGCATCCAAAAAAAACAAAAAAAACCAACAAATAAACCCAAAAAATGTCAATAAAAGAAAGATTTAAGATTAGATTTTAACTAGTTTATTTAAATCTACCTGTTAAATGTTTCAATAATTCTCCAGACTCGTCCAAAAGATATTTGGAATTATCATTTTCACTACTCTCATTCAATCCAATATCTTCTTCTTCTTTTTCAATCTCTCTATGATTTTCATTTTCATTTTCATTTTCTCTTTCTTTCTTTAAATTAGGATCAAATTGTAATAAAAACCCCGGATATCCAAAATCAACTCCAACTAAAAGAATAAATGAAAATCCTATCAATGATAACAAATTCTTCAAATATGTAAATCCTCTAAATCTCGATATCCTTCTTTTTCTATTTAAAATTGGATCTCCTTTAATTAAACCCCCCTTTCTATTCTTAAAAACATCTTTGGATCTTCCACCTCCCTGCAATTCATTATATGAAGTAAAGTAGTTTTTAAATAAAGTTGAATCACTATTTCTATTTTTATTTTCCCTTCCAATGCCAAACACTGAATATGATGGAAGATCATATACAAAGCTTTTACTCCATTCATACGCTTTATTTTCTCGAAAATGTCTTTCTTTAGTTTCATCGCTATCGATTTTAATTTGATGCAACAAGACTTCTAAGGATTTAATTGTTTCTGAATCTATTTTTTTGGAAACACTTTTATTTTTATTTTCAGAAATGTTCATTTTTTCTTTTTCTTTTTCTTTTTCGTTTTCGTTTTCATTTTCTTCATTTTTTTCATTTTCTTTATTTTCTTCATTTTCTTTATTTTCTTCTTCTAATTTTTGAGATAATGAATTTTGATCCTTTTTAGAATCTGAAATATCCTTATTCTTATTCAATTCTTTGTCAAGAATATCAATTAAATTTCCAATGCTTTGAATCTGATTCTTTGCAGTTTTTAAATCACCATCATGGACTAAATCCATTAATCCTTTTATTAATATTTGGTTCTCTTTAGCTTGTTTATCTGTTTTCTTGGGTTGACAAGCATTGCTATTCAATTCATTTTTATTTTTATTTTTATTTTTATTTAAAACCTCATTCAAATTTAAATTTGAGGATGTATTATTTTTAGTATTAAGGTTTTTTTTCTTTGAAGATTTAGTTTTTTCTTGATTTGTTTTTAAAGTTGCTGATTGATTTGCTTGTTCATTGAAATTGGTATCATTTAAATTATTTACTTTTCTGTTACTTTTTCCTTCTATTTTATGATTTTCTTCAATTTGGTTGGGATCTTTACTTGATTTTTCTTTCAACTCAATACTTGAGTTATAAAAAGACTTTATTTCGGGATTTAAGTCTGAAGAAGTAGCTTCCTTTGTGTCATTGGAATTATCAGGTTTTTCATTGTGTATTGAATATTTGCTTGCATTATCGTTTATATCCTTATTGACTAAATTATTATGAACCTCAGGTTCAGTAAAACTTTTAGTAAAACTATCAGTGAAATTTGAATTATTCATTTCAGAATACATATTATCTAATCTCGGAATTGCAAAATTTGATTTGTTATATTTGGAATGTAATATTTTAGAATAAATAGATTGGTTATTTTTCATTTCATCGTCTTGAGTTTGTTTTAAGAATCTATTCGCTGTATTATCAGCATTTTCATCAACTTTAAAGGCTTGAGTTTCAATATTTTTTTCCTTTTCATTGGTATTCTGATGGATATTTTTATTCTCACTCTTATTTTCTTTATTTTCTTTATTTTCTTTATTTTCTTTATTTTCTTTATTCTCTTTGTCTTGATCATTTTTAATTGATTCTTCGAGTATTTCCAGTTTCTTCAAGTTCAGGCTATCCGAGCTATTTAATTTATCTGAATTGACTGGGCTTAAAGTAATTGGATCCTCTTTGGAATCTAATATCGTTTCTTTGATGTCTTCCTTGATAGTACCATCATTAGATGGAATGTCATTTCTGGTGAGCTTGATTGGGGTTTTTTTTTTCTTTGGAACTTTCCTTAAAGTGATAAAGTCGATTTCATATTCGTCTTCATCTTCCCCAGGTTTTGAATTGTTGTTACACCTATCACTAGTCCTAAACAGGCAGGAAGGCAACGATGAGAAAGATTGTCTGGAGCAGAAAAAGATATGGTCAGCGAACAAATAGATAGAGCATGAACTCTTTCTGAATTGTTGGAGTACCAACTTAGAGGCAGACATTTTCTCAGATATGCAAATGATTAATTGAACCAGTACAACTGCAAATAACCAAGCAGCAGCTCCAGTAGAGATCGACTGTCTCGATAAGATCTGATCTGGGTGAAGATAGCTCAAAGGAGATTGCTTCAACAAACTCAAAGATCATGTGAGCAGGGCATGCATCACGCTTTTTGACCGAATCAGTGTTGGAAACCGGTTTACAATTGGTGAAAGCATCATTTCGCGGCACCCTCGGTGAGCTGAGACAGAAATTACACAGTTGGAAATTTGCCGGCATTGATAGTGCTTGTGCCACACCCAATTAGGATAGTGAGCAGATTTGAGAGTGTATATATATGCACCCTTACAATAAGAAGCCGTGAGCAGAACACTAGTTTGTTTGTTTGTTTGTTTGTCTGTTTATCTGTTTGTCTGTTTGTCTGTTTGTTTGCAAATTTAGTGAGCAGTATCTTGCTCCTTTGCTATAATTAAAGTCAAATCCACTTGTCAAACCAGTTATGTTTTGCTACCATTTGAGTTATTCAAATTGATTTTCAAAGTTTATTTTATATAAACTATGGCTATTTAGTTTAGAATTGGATTGTGACTGTTTGATTATTATCAATTGAACATTAAATTTCTTTATTATCGATGCTCGATCAGAGCATTGTGTTTAAGTTTAGGTTTTGAAATTCTTCCGCTTTTTTGTGAACAGTAAAATGAAATGAAAAAAGTGGACATGAAAGGACGAGCAAAAGCTGATGAGTTGGGAGAGAGAGATAAAATGGATAAGAGTTATTCCCTCGAAAGACTATTGCTATCGAGGTCATTTGGCAGAGTGCGAGTGAATGAATTAATAGAAGAAAGATACTTGGTTAATGGCAATCAAAAGCCAACATTATTTTTGAAACCCACAACGTATGAGCCCAATGACGATAACCAAAGCAAAAAAACCGAAAAGTCGTTGATGCACACTTTACAGACAGGAAGTGTAGAAAGCAATGGTGTTAGTAGTTCAAGTAGTAATGATGCCAATGATGGTGGAAAATACAATGAAAACGATCCTATAAAAAAGAACAAGTATGTAAATTGGAGAGTTGGATATATCAACCCCGAAGCATTTTATAGCAAGGAAGATCAGAGCGAGGAAAAAGCCAACAAAAATAGGAATAATAAACAGTATAGTGAAAAAATCCAAAAGGCTCAAAGACGAAATAATACAAGAACGATGTTGAGAAAGTATATCACAGAGACAATGTCACACCAGAGAAAAATGGAAAAGAAATTGAAAACCATCAAAAGAAATACAAAGAAAAAGTATGAGAAAAAGAAAATGCAACCCAAAATGCAGTTAGAATTGAACAAGATACCAGGATTTAATAAAATACCGAAGTTTGAGGATTATTTAAATTTGAACAAAATGTGGTTAAGCTATATAATCGAGTTGTTGAATATTGACAAGTATTTATCGACCGATGGTAAAATGGCAAAAGATGGGGAAATTGATTTTAAAAATTTGAAATTTCAGAATCTTTTAGCAAAACTATCCTCAGCAGATTTCAATGGGTGCTTATTGGAAGTATTGAAAAGCAACAATAAAAGTTCGATAAATCTCACTGGAATAGTGTTGTACGAGTTCAAAAGCCATTTTTTAATGGCGGTTCCACAGCGATTTAAAAGATTTGATAATCTCGAGGGTGAATCAGGAGAAGAAATGGATCTTGAAAACGATTTCAATTATACCAACAGGGAATTGGTTGGTGGATTGAGACTCGTGGAAAAAAATGGTTCGACGTTTCGTTTTTACGTTCCCTTGAACAAAGACGAAAACAACGAGTTTTCTGTTTTGTCATTGGGTTTGGATAACGAAGATGTGAGCGATAGAGAAGAAACATCTCAAGAAGGAGCAACAGAGGGAGCAGTGCACTACCACCAGTCGAGAGAGTGCTTGGAGTTCGTGCTCATTGGCTCCAGACTCAACTTGCGATCGAGTGACCGAACCAACAAGAAGTTCAAGAACCATGCTATCGACGACCTAGTGGTCTAGCTGGCAGCACAGACAGCACAGACAGCATTCCTCCTTCTCCTTCTCCTTCTCCTTCTTCAGCTGCCGACCTCGCGCAGCCATAATAAGTGCGCGAGGTCGGGGGGCCACACCAAAAAATATTCAAAAAATATAATCAAAAAAAGCTCCAGAAAGTGCTTCAGAAAGTGCTCCAAAACAACAGCAACAGCAACGTTATCCATCTCTGTCGTTGATGGTTGATGTCTTTGCAGCACAGCTGAACTTCACCAGATCCCCCATAGATACCTCTGTCGATGGATACCTCGTCTACTGCCATTCCCTCGTCCTCTGCTGGACGTCTTGCCCACGATGCCAAACAGCCCAGGACCTCAGCGAGGTCTATTTATCACCACCATGGCTCCTACAAAGTGGTTCACCAGTACGTCTCCATTGATGTTGATCTAACCTCCCATCGAATCGATGGGGTCACAGAATTGACCATTGCTCCCACCTCTCCTTTGTTGAAGTATCTCTATCTCGACTGCAGATCTATCAAAATCAAAAACGTTTACTTGAACAACAAAAAAATCAGCTACATCCACAACGACATCATCAAATCCCACGACCAGTCCTTCTTGAAATCGTTTATTGATAACGACAATTACCATCCTTCCTCCAATATTTACCAGAGCATCAACCAGCACCACTACTTGAAAGCAAACTATGATCCCTATTTCAGTGGCCAGAATACTAAAGAGCTATACATTCAATTGCCCGACAACTTCAAAATCACTTTGCAGGACACAAATCAGACTCCAATTCCACTTTCCATGACAAACGCCTCCATAAACTCGCCATATTCAATCAGAACCCCATCAAATGACAGTCTAATTTACACTCCATTGACCATCAAAATTGAATACTCCTTGCAGAATCCTATTGATGGTGTTAATTTTGTTGGAGGCTACGGCTTTTTGAATTCTAAAAAAATCAAAAAATACGACTGGCATGCTTACACCACCAATTCAAATCTAGGTCTTTCCACTTCTTATTGGTTGCCTTGTCTTGATTCTCTATGGGAAAAATCAACCTGGCAAATCGATATAACTGTTCCCAAAACCATTGCAAACATAACTGCTCCAATCCCCTTGGTTGCTTCCTCATTGAATTTTGTCTCAAAATTAAAATCAAAAAAATATAAACAGAAAAACAGAAAAAAACCAAAGAGATCAAATCGAAAATTTAACAGTCACAACGACAGCTACCACAATGCCATTGAAATTGATGAGGATGACAATGAAGATGATATCGATATCGATATCGAAAAGACTGTCATTGACATTGACGATGACCCAATACTCTTATCCAATAGCGACAGTGAAAATGAGTACGACAACAATATTGATGAAAATTATGAAAGTATAAACGAAAGAGAAATAAAAGTTATATGCTGTGATCTAACTTCTCTCAAGGAAACTCCACATCCCTTGAATGAAAACAAAAAAATAGTCTCCTTTCAAATTGCTACACCGATATCGGCTCATCATCTTGGTTGGGCCATTGGTCCCTTTAAAAGCTTTAAAATGATCGATTTGAAAGACAAAAACCAAAACGCTTATTATGATTACGATTACGAAAAAGATACCTTTCAAATTGAAAGCTTAATATACTGCTTGCCCTCAAAGATAAATGCTGCAAAAAGCACCACCATTTTTTTAGCTCATGCTATAGAATTTTTCTCTAGAGAATTTGGCTCTTTTCCATTTTCAAGCTACTCAATAGTTTTTGTTGATGATTTGACAACAAATGATAGCAATTCCTTTGCTGGCTTAAATATCCATAGCAACAGAATCCTTTATGAGCCAAATGCAATCGAGCCCCTATACAGCTCAACTGAAATAATCTTAGATGGTTTAACGCTACAGTGGTCTGGTGTAAACGTTGTTCCAGCAGATTATAAAGATTTTTGGGTCACCATTGGTATTGCAAACTACATGTCTTTACAATACTACAAAAAATTAATGGGCTGGAATGAATTCAAATTCAAGATTAAAAAGGCAACAGAACAAATTTGTAAACAAGATATCAATAAAAATCCCTTAGCTGATCCCTTTTTTCTATTTCCTATTAATGAAAATGACGATAAAACTTTGAAATTTATCAGACTAAAATCTCCAATCGTCATATACATCCTTGATAGAAGAATGACAAAAACTGATAAATCCTTTGGTCTATCAAGAGTAATACCTAAGATCTTTCTTCAAGCAATGTCCGGTGATTTGCCAAATGGCGGGTTATCCACTACTCATTTTCAATACATTTGCGAGAAAGTAAATCATAATAAATTGGATGATTTTTTCAATCAATGGATTTACGGTAGTGGCACTCCAACCTTTGAAATAACCCAAAGATTTAATAAAAAAAGAATGTTTATTGAAATGGGAATACGACAAACTCAAAACAATAGTCATGATGATCAACAGATAAAAGCAAAAGAGTTTATCGATGAGTCCATTTTCCATTTAACAAAAAAGAATTCAGATGAAATCAATAAAAAACCAAACACTGTTTTCACAGGTCCAATGACCATCAGAATTCATGAAGCAGATGGTACTCCATACGAACATATAGTAAATATCAAGGATAGTTTTTCAAAAATCGATATTCAATACAATACAAAATATAAAAGGTTGAAAAAAGTTAACCCCTCAATTCATAGATCGCCTGATGGAGACAACGAAGAAATGGCAGATTTAAACTATTATGATAGTCTTAATAATAACTCCCTTGGAAATATTCTTAAATCAGAACAGGAAATGAGAAGTTGGAATCTTTATGATTTCTCAAAAGAAAAACTTGATAAAAAGCAGAATGAAGCATTTGAATGGATTAGAATAGACGCTGATTTTGAATGGATTTGTTGTATACACGTAAACCAACCAGATTATATGTTTTGCTCACAATTACAATCTGATCGTGATGTGGAAGCCCAGCTTGATGCAATTCAATATTTCAAAAACAGTCCTCCTAACAAAGTTTATTCTAGTATTTTGACAAGAACTCTAATGGATTCAAGATATTATTATGGCATCAGATTAGAAGCTGCAAATGCTTTAGCCGCATTAGCTAAAGAAGAATGCCAATTTATTGGAATGAAGCACTTGATAAAGGCATTTCAGATTCTTTTTTGTTATGAAAATTCATCAGTTCCTGTGAACAATGATTTTTCTAATTTTCCAAACTATTTTTTACAAAAGGGCATTCCTGTTGCATTGTCTAAAATTAGAAATATAGATGGAAGATGCCCCAATGAAATTAAAATATTCATCTTAAATTTAATTAAATTTAATGATAATCAGGGCAATTATTTTCTTGACCACAATTATATGGGAGACTTAATAAAGTCATTAATGTGGACTATAGATGAACCAAATAATATTATTGACGAGAATAACGTTGATGAAAGTGAAAAGTTAATTAAGATGATTGTTGAGGAGGTAGAAAAACTTCAACATATGGATGAATCAATACCATCTTTTGAGAACCACATTTTGTATTCAATCTTGAAGCAGCAGATGAAACTTATAAAAAGAAATTTGATTCATTTTTCATTTGAAGAAACTTTCAATTACACAAGCCCAAGGTATAATTATAATATAAGAATCATGGCTTTTGAGTTACTATTGTACTGTGGTGGAATTAAGAATTCATTAGTTTTACATTACTTGTTTTTTTCGATTTATATTGAAAATTCAAGGTATTTCAAGTATGAACTATTGAAATTATTTTACAATGCGATTGGATTTACTTCAATGAATCAAATACTATCTCAATTAGAAGATGAAGAATTTGAGATATTTACATTATCAAATCAACCAAGTAGTGAGATAAAAAAGCCCAGTAATGATTTCTCTATGATCGTGGTTGAAGAGAAACCCAAGCCTAATTTGCTGGAAAATTCTGATTTTTCAATTGAAGGGCTTATAAAGTATTTGAGAAAGACATTGGCTACTGGAAATGGAATAAAAAAGGAGCTATATTCGGCAATTCATTCGAATATTTTTTCTATCAAGGACAAAAGACGATTATTTGATATTTGTGAGATATTGTTTGAGCCAGTTGATAGTGTAGTTGTGAAATTGGGTATTCCAAGTGATAAGAGGATAGTAGCTAGAGTAGTTAAGGATTTTGAAGTTGTATTAAAAAGAGAAATCAGGGCGAAAAAACCAGAGGTCACAAAATCATCTATAATCAGCATTAAACCGCAAAAACTCAAGCTTAAAAACAAAAAGGGAAATATGAATCTTGGGATCATTAAACTTGGTACTGGGCAGAAAAAGAGAATAAAGTCAAATGATATTAAAGGTATATCCGAAGAGAAGCCTATTGCTATTGAAAGTTCGCCTATCAAGAAGCCAGGGGGAGGCAGCAAACCAACGTCAAGAAGACCCAGTATAAACAAGGCAGTTCAGCCATTGAAACCCAAATTACAATTCAAGACACCAGATACTAAAACTGCTGTCATTAAGAAGCCTTTGAAAAAAAAAAGCAATGTAGTTGTCAGAAAAACAGACAATTCATTTGCTGTTAAACTAAGGCTACCACAAAAAAAACTCCAACAGATAAACATGAAAAATGGCAATGGGTTTCATGTTTATTATGATAGGAAACTTGGACAACCGAATTTTATTAGAACAGTTCGTATATCATTTAAAAAAAAATCTATTTTATTATCGTCTCAACCAGTTGATGGTTGAATATAAGGACATGTGTGGATAATTTTGTATTATATTGAATAAATATTCAAATTTATAAGTTTAATTTAATTAAAAAAATAAATATAACGAAAGAATGTTTATTTTTTTTTTATAAAAGATAAAAGAGAACCATAGAAACACCCGGAAATTTGCATAACAAAGTAAAGAGAAAAATAAAAAAACAAATCTAGAGGAATAAAAAAATCAAAAATCAAAAATCAAAGTAATAAAAAATCAAAACAATAAAGAATTAGTTGTATAAAGGAAGTTTTAATAGTTTTAAGACAGTGTGAATGATGAGTATAAAAGTTATTGGGACAATAAAGACTTGAAAAAGTTCAGTTTTTGATCTTAGTTTCATTGGGGAGGATACAACTTTGTAATTATTCTTTTCAGCGAAATTCAATTCCTTTAATTGATCAGTATTATTTAAGTCTGAGATTTTTTCATTCAAGATATAGGAGCTATTTTCATAAAAATTTTCTAGTAATTGATCTTTTTCATCCCAAATTTTGACTAGCCATTCTTCGAAAATCTTTGAATGTTTCAATTCATCTTCTGGAGATTCAAACGGAGTATTAAGATTTAAGCCTGGGATTCTGTTGATTTCGTGAATCTTTAAGAATAGATTGACTTGCTTAGGGCCATTTCCATGAATATAAGTGTTTGATAAAGTGTAGATCTTTTCGGGAAATTGATTTTTTTTAATGTCAGAATAAGCAATAGTGAAGTCGTATAAATAATTTGAAGTCTTGTATAAATTCCTCAAAGTAAATCTTAAGCCTGTTATCCTTGGGTATAAGACGTTATTCATATTGGGATGGTTATTCTTTTGACAGTAGTTATTTGATACAACTTTTCGGTTATCCGAGTAATTAGTTCCCTCTGGAAATAACACAAGCGAATAAGGGAAGTTACCATTTTTTTTGTCAGATTTAAAATTTAGTAAATTAAAGGAGTTTAGTAAAGTGTGTTTATCGGTTTTCCATTTTCTTGAAAGAAAAATAAAGTTATAGTTTTTCATTCCCCAACCAAATATAAGTAGTTTTGAAAGGGAGTCCTTTAACATTATATAGATAAAGTTTGATAGATTGCCTGAATATAAGATGAACCAAAGATAAACCCAATCTGTATAAATTTGATGATTCGCGATGAAGATGGAAAACGGGTTTATATTTGAGATTAAATCATTGGTATCGTTGGTAGTGAAAAATGTGTCTTTAGGTAGTAGAGATGAATCATATTTATAAGTTATTTTGATGTTAGTTGGCGAAATTGCATCCATGATTGAGACCAATAAAATTATAAACAATTTTTTAGTAAAACTTAGCCAAATTTCCTTTAAATTTTTCAAGAAATCCAATTGATTTTCATTGAAAAGCTTCAAAAAGTTGGACAAAAAACTAAACAAGAAAGTCAACAAAAAGTTGATGACGATTCCAATAAACTGAGTTGCGACGATTGAGAAGGCGCCAAGCAGAAAGAACACGATAAGAAGAGCAACTCTGATTAGTTTCAAAGGAAACAATAGCTTATCTGCAGTGGAGCTGCTTGGAGAATGAGAAATAGCATTTTCAGCAGCAGGAGATTTGGTTTCAATCTCTGTCTTCTTGTCCAGAGCACCCCTGAAGGAGATATCTTTATGGGATAAAGGGGAGACGTCGGTGGATAGCGAGGAAGATGGAGTGATGGTGGAAGAGAAATCAAGATCAGAAAATGGAGTGGAGTTTGAAGAACTAGAGATGGAAATGGCTGGAGCAGGCATTGGTGAGAAATACAGTAGGCATTGGATGAGAAGCAGCAGAAGAATCAGTAGAAGAATCAGTAGAAGAATCGGTAGAAGAATCAGTAGAAGAATCAGTAGAAGAATCAGTAGAAGAATCAGCAGAAGAAGAAGAGGAACAAGAAAAGAGGCAAATCAGGCCAAACAAGGTCGAGAAGAGACCAAGATAGTGCCGAATCCAGCAGTGTGGCCTGTTTCCGCTTCCGGAAGGGCTCTTAGGGCTACAGTGCACATGCGCGTGAGATAACCCCAACACACATGACGCATTCACAAGCATAATACACATGCACAGACGGTCACGCACATACGCACAAGACACGGTCATGTGGCTTATTAGGGCTCTGGTCAGGGCTCTTCTGCACAGCCTGGAGCACTGAGGGTATTTTTAGGTGATTAACATCGTCATATTTTAGAGCTTCCTTGGTGATATTTATTCATGAGAGATTTCCACTGTTTACTGGCTGGTCTTCAATTGCACTCTTTCGCTACACCACCAACATGATAATACTATCGCTTATTGCTTTTCTTCTGCTACTCTTCCGCTCAATTAGCTGCATTGAACTAGATATCACTTCCAGAGAGTCTATCTGCAATGCTGCCGGATTGATTCAAGACGAGTTGCTAGAATACTACATGGGCACTCGATATGGAGGAACTGTTGGAATGTTTCAGGATCCTTATTACTGGTGGCAAGCCGGTGAGGCCTTTGGTGGGCTAATTGATATGTGGTATTTCTGCGAAAATAATACCTATGAAGAACTCATATACGATGCCTTGATGCACCAAAGAGGTGACAACAATGATTATATTCCTGCCAACCAGTCGTTGACTGAAGGTAACGATGACCAAGGGTTTTGGGGCTTTGCAGTTCTTGAAGCTGTTGAGAAAAATTTCACAAATCCTCCTGAGGACGAGCCAGGCTGGTTGGCCTTAACTCAAGCTATCTTCAACACAATGGAAGCAAGATGGGACACCGAATATTGCAATGGCGGTCTTAGATGGCAGATTTTCACCTGGAATAATGGTTACAATTATAAAAACACCATCTCCAATGGCTGTTTATTCAATATAGCTGCAAGATTGGCCAGATATACTAAAAACGAAACCTATGTTGAAGTTGCTGAAAGAGTCTTTGACTGGTTAATTGAAGTAGAATTCATCAACATTACTGGCACTGATTACTACATCAACGATGGTGGTACCGTTGAGCATAATTGTACAGACTTTACCATTTTTGAGTGGACTTATAACTTTGCTGTGTTTATCTCTGGCTGTGCTTACCTCTATAATTTCACTGAAGATCAAAAATGGCTAACTCATTTAGATGGATTAATTGAAAGTGCCACAGTGAATTTTTTCTCGAATAATATCATGTACGAAGCAGCGTGTCAACCATCTGGTTCATGTAACACTGACCAAAGATCTTTCAAATCTGTATTTTCAAGAATGTTATCTCATGCCAGTATCTTAGCACCTACAACCTATGATGCTATCCGACCATTAATCGAAAGTTCGGCTGCCGGTGCAGCTTTATCATGTACTGGTGGAACAAGTGGCCATAGTTGTGGAACCAACTGGTTGATTGGTTCTAACGATGGTAATTTTGGATTGGGTGAACAAATGTGTGCGCTAGAGATTATTATCAATTTATTAGCACCATCAATGGACCAACCATTAACAAATGTGACAGGTGGAACATCAAGGGGAGATTCATCTGCTGGGTTATCCACCATTTCAGATAAGTATTTTGCTCAAAACGATTTGGTTATTACGGCGGGTGATAAAGCAGGTGCAGGGGTATTAACTGCGGTTAGTTTAGGATCTCTTTTAGCTATTGGTATCTGGATGATACTTTGAACGAATAAGTGGATGAATTCATAACTTATATTGTACCATTTAAATTTCAATTTCAATTTCAATTTCAATTTCATTTTTCATTTTTCTCATTATTACTATTTGAATTGTACTGGTTTTACTTGTTTTTATTTAATTTTTATTTTTTTTTTGACTTGTTATTACTATTATCTTTATTGAGTTTAATATTATATTGTTTACATAAAAAGAAAACAAACTAAAAAAAGAAAATAAAAGATACAATATAGAATAAGGAATATAGGGGATAAGAAATAAAATAACGTAAAGTAGAGTAAATAAAATAAAATAAAAAATAAATAAATAAAATTAGAGTTTATCAATTTAATAAAAGTGGATTGTATGATAAAGAGAACTGAACTAAAATATAATGAATGAAAAGTAAATTCGAACTTGAAATGGTCTTGTTAGTGTCAATGTTAATGCCAATGTTAATGTTAATGTTAATGTCAGTATCATTTTTAATTGTTAATTGAGTTATAGTTGTAAAAATTATTACTGTTATTATTGTTATTAATCTGGTTAATCTGGTTAATCTGATTAATCTGGTTAATCTGATTAATGTTATTATTATTGATATTTAAATTGGCATCACTATAGTTGTCAAAAGACCGAGAAACAGTTTTAAGAGCACCTTTAAGACCACTGTTTCTGATGTTTCCGCCCTCTTCAAAGTAATCAGGAGCTGCACCTGCATCACCCATAGCATTGTTGATTGTTTGACCACTTAGTTGGCTGTTTAATTGATTGTTGAGTTGGCTGTTGAATTGAGATATGATCCGTTGGCTGATCTTATTGTAGTTTGTCTGAGAGATGTCTGAGTTCAACTTGTCAAGATCCAAGTTGATGTACTGGTTGCTGTAGCCATACTTGGTCTGGTCAAAGGCCTCTGAAATGTCGACATAGTTGTTGATGGTCAGATTGACGATCTCGTTGAGATCGCTTTGCTGCAAGACCTTGAACTTGCGGTATCTCCTCTGCTCCTCCTCCTGGAGCTTCTTGTTCTGCTTCAAAAGCCTAGCATTCTCGCCAGACTCGTCGTCCAAACCCCCTCGCAAACAAACCGATACACACACACCCATCACCACAGAGCCCACAATAGCAGCGCGAGCTCAGTCCTCAGCGGTTTTTGGTGATTATATCGTCTTCCGCTTTGGGACGCAACGGGTAACCGCGGCAGACCGGCGGTGCTGTCTTTTTCGGCTTGTGTTCTTTAGCTGTTTTTGTGCTTGTTCCTCTGTTTTCTCACCTGCTTCTTCTTCTGTTTCTTCTTCTGTTTCTTCTGGCGTGTGTGTTTCCTTCCGGTGAATGCCCTTCTACTGCTTTTCTTTGCTGTGCTGCTAGTTTTGCTTCTCCAAAATGCTTTCTCACCACGCTCGCTCTCGCTCCTTCATCACTCTCTTGATCTTGATCTGGTTCTCGCTTTTCAGAGTCTCTTCTGCTTTGAACTATGCCTCTATGTCCCTTATTGTTGCACCCTTTGCCAAAGAATGTGTATACTACAGGCTTCTAAGCGACCACGATTCTCTTCTTGTCAACTTCCAGGTCTTGAGTGGAGGTGATTTCGAGATCGACTTTGATATCACTGCTCCCGACGGCTCGAAAGTCATTCAAACCAAGGACAAACGATATGCCGATTACTTGTTAAGATCCTTTGGAATAGGCGAATACTCCTTTTGTTTTGTCAACTCATTTTCACCGAATTCCATTACAAACTCCAAAAAAATCGAATTTTCAATCGAATTAGAAAGAGACGTAGACTACTTCAAAAAACAAAATGAAATCAACAGCGTCAAAAATGAAGAACTACTATCATATAACGCATTGGACGAAATCGACAGAAATTACGCCAAAGCAAAAAAGCTCATGGACTACCTAAGAGCAAGGGAATGGAGAAACATGAGTACTGTCAAATCAACCGAACTAAGAGTCTATTATCTAGGGATGTTCAGTGCTATATTGATGGTGGCTCTTGGTGTTGGTCAAGCTACCATAGTGCAGTTGATGTTCTCTGGTCCAAGATCCATTGTATAACACCATTTCTCGTTCGATCTTACTCCAAACCTCTCTTCTATCTACACTCCTCCATATCACTCTATTATACTTGTTTTCATTACCTCTCTGCTTTTTTTTATCAGTGTCCTTTTTCTTACATCTACTTAGCACGTGATTTTTCACCTTCAATTTTTACTTTTATTTTTTTTTATATACAACTTCCTTTTCCTTTTTTTTCACTGCGTAATTTCTTATTGTCTTATCTTATCTTATCTTATCTTATCTTATCTTATCTTATTTTTTTTATCTTTTTTATCTGGAAGAAAACAAAAAAAAACAATCAATCAATGAGCCAACTCAACAAAAATAAACCTGTCTTTAGTTTACTAAATGATATTCAATCTTTAATTAAATCTAACGATCCTGCTTTAATCCAAAAAAAATTATCTTCTTTATTATCAGTTAATTTCTACCAGAACCCTTCAAATTTTGCTTCTTTACAAAACGATTTAATAATCAATAACAATAATAGTTATAATGATTTAGAGAAACTAATTGAATCCTACAGTTTTTTTAATAATGATTTGGACTCTTTCAATACTCTAATTCTATCCTACTTGAATCTAGTCAAATCTTTAAATCCCTCTCTCTTGCTAAACTCGTTGAAATATCTAATCGACTATTTAAATAACTTGATCTTATTCTACTTAAACCCATCTTATGGCTATTACTCAAGCTATTTGTTAATCAATTCCTTAAACTTTTTAATCCCCATCTTAATCCAATTTAACCGGGTTTTAAATTCAAATAATCACAACAGCAACAATAACATAATCCTATCAAATTTATCAATAAATCTATTGAAAATCTTTAATAACATCAGATCAAGCTTTTATAAAAACAACCTCAAAATCAACCTACTACTATTCATCTCAATAAACTTATGCAAAATTTATTATCTAATTAACCAACCTTTATTAATCCAAAACATTTTCATAAACATCAACACTTTAAAAAATCTAAACTTTGACATCTTTCCTAAATCTCAACAAATATCGTACAGGTATTATTTGGCTAACCACTACTTCATCAAAAACGATTTAATCAATAGTTTTCATCATTTCAACTGGTGTTACAATAATTTTTACTCTCCAAATTTATTGAAATTAAAAAATCCCACTATTAAACTAGCTGATATTAAAAATTTAAAAATAATAGTAGAAAATTTAGTCGTTATTGGTTTACTTTTAGGTAAAAAGAATTTTAATCATTTAAATAATCTCTTTTCGAATTATCCAAACGACTTTAATTTCATTTTAACTTACTACAATCCTATTTTAATAGCTGTTCAATCTGGTAACTTGAACTTGTTCATTTCTCATTTATTCAATAACCAATTTTATTTTAAAAAAAAAAACTTTTTAATTTTATTAATCAACAAAGGCGAATTGTTAATCTACAGAAAATTATTTCAAAGGGTTTATTTATTAAGAAAAAATCTAATATTATCAAACTACAACAAAGAACATGACGATGATAAAAAAATTGAAAATGAAATCTCTACTATTGATTACAATTGCTTTAATATCGCTTTAAATCACTCAATTGGTGATTTATACTCAAAAATAAGCACTAACACCAATAATTTCAATTATCTTTTCAAAATTCAAACAAATACTGAATCAAACTTAATCAATGATGAATTGATTGAAAATATTCTTATTTCTTTGATAAACTCAAACTTTTTAAAGGGTAATATCTTTCCAAAACTACAAAAAATCAAAGTTTCCACGAAAAATAATCCTTTCCCAGATATTTTTCAAATAAATAATACTAGATTTTCTTTAAATAAAAATGACGCTTGGTTAGATAAATGATTACTAAATTTCATGAAGATATTTATAAGAATAGAGGAAACTCAACCAGATTCATTTCTTTTATTGTGTTTTACTGTATTCAATCTATTCAATCTATTCAATCTTAATTTATATAACAAATTCAATTGATTTATATTTACTTCATTCAAAAATTCAAGCACTCAAGCAAGTGAGACCTGAATATGATGGTGGATCCAATTCCTCATAAACAAGGAAAAGAACTATCAGCTCAATGCTGTTGGCTAAAAAGCAAATCTTTTGGAATCTCTTTATCTTCATATTCAATTTTAACTGTAAAATTACATTTTCTTTTCCATTACGATTTTTGTCCCAGCTTGTAATTCGACTCAATACTACTGTCTAGATTTGGCCAATCCTTGAGCTAGCCATAAGTTTTTACCCAAACAAAATACACATACAAATTACTTTTGGGTTTTACCCAAATCCAATCTCAATTTTGTAATTGGGTTGAAAGATTTCGTATGAGCACTAGTGATCAGCTCTGACCATCGAGCTGTGGGAGTGACTGTAGAATGATTTAGTTTTACAGCTCCCAGTTTGTTGCCAGTTTGCAGTTTGGTTGATAATCAGTAGTTTTGTAAACCCAAACCGAATCAAAACCGAATAAAAACCGAATAAAAACTGAATCGAAACTGAATCGAAACCAACTGGTTTGTTCGTATGACAATCACTTCCGACTGACTAGGGAAGTGTTTTCGATTCTGTTTGGGCAATTCCGGTCTGCCCAGTTTTCCTTCAGCAGAAAGCTGTTTCTGAGGCTGCTGCTGCCAGAAAACAGTGAAGAGCTCCAGCACAAACAGTTCTCTTGCCATGTCCAACATTGTTCAAAGTGGACCCAGTGGTGTCCTTTCTTCGACTGGAAGCTACTACCAGCTGCAACGCTACTCCCATTACAAGAATGCAAATCGCAAAAATTCTGTTTCCTCGTTATCAAATGATGTTTTGAAGGACAATGCCCTCGCTGCTGCCAATAGTGCTAGGAGATCTTCTTCCTCGGCTATTGCTAAGGCCCTGTATTCATCCACTACCAAAGGTGCACCTGGGGCTTCTGTCTCTGCTGCTGCTGCTTCTGCTGCTTCTGCTGCTATTGCTCCAGCCAACTCGAATGATCTGTCAAAATTGGTCATTAGATTGTTACCTTCTGATTTCACTGAGTCTCAATTTAATGAATTGCTTAATGGTTTTTTGAATCTTAATGATGCCTCTAGTCTAGATTACCCAATTTTATCGAAATATTATGTTCAGGGCAAAACATCCAACGATCCTTTTAAAAATTCAATTAATTCAAGATGTTATATTAATTTTATAAATTTGAATATTTCCAATGATTTTACTAAAAAATTTTCAATTTTTTTAAACAATTCTTTAATGAATTTGGATAAAAATAGAACTATTAACAATACTACTATTAACAATACTAATATACAATCACCAAAATTTGAATTAAGTAACTACCATAAGATGCCAACAATTCCTCCCTCTGGAATTTCAGAAAGAGATCAATTGAATAACACAATTCAAAATGATCCCTATTATAAAAAATTTCTGCAAAATATCAACTCAAATGATGATATAATCCCAAATGACGATGAATATTTTTGCAATTTAAATGATTTATCAATCATCTCTTCTTCAAAACTTAGAGACAGGATCAAAGAAAAGAAAAAATTAAAATCAAAACTTGAAAAGAAATCGGCTGCAAGTGAAAATAAGAAATCAAAGTCCTCAATAAATACAAAAGACAGCACTAAAAATAATAAAACTACCAAAAATAACGCTGGTAACAGCAATAAAACGAATAAAATCAATAATAACAAAAATCACGATAACCCACACGATAAAAATTTAAAAAATGAAATCAATAATGATTCTAAAAACCAAAAACCATCTAATAGAGATATCCAAAAAAAAGTTAAAAAAAATAGAATTAGAAGACAATCAAATGATGTTAAGAATGACAATAAAAATGATAAACCTGTAATGCAAAAGACAGATTCAAATACTTCCGCCTTAAACACAAACAAACCTCTTAATCTAAAATCAAACAAAAAAATCCACAAAAAACAATACATTTCTTCCACTGATGCTTCCAACAACCAATCCGAAAAATCGCCAAAACCAAGAAATAACAATTTCAAACCAATTAGAAAAACAAAACAATTTAATAAGGAAAAAGATAAAGATAAAGACTTTACAAAAAGAAAAGAATTAAATAAGGATAGTATAAAAGACACTAAAAAGGAAACCACAAAGGATAAACCTAAAGAAAATAATCAAAATGTCGCTAAAGATGATAATAAAATTAACATTAATTCCAATAAACAATTTGCTAAAAACAATCCCAAAAAGGATGGCCCAACAAAATCTAAAACTGGACCAAACTCCAAATCAAAACCAAACTATGATTCAAAAAGTTCAAATAAAACTCCTTCATTGGATAACAATTCTCAAAATAATAGCCATCCTTTAAAATCTTCATCAAAATCAAAATTTAAATCAAATTATGATGCAAAAAATGCAAAGGGCTTTCAAAACACTCGAAAAATGGAGTCCTCTCCAAACTTAAACCCAGATCAAGGCAAAAACACAAAGGAAACTCAAAACCCTCAATCAGATGGTGTTAGTCCTAGCAATAAAACGAAATTCAGAGGAAGATATAAACAAAGAATATATATCAATAAAAATCAAAGCTCCAAACCCCATCAAAATGAAAGTGAAGGAGAAAATCCAAAAAAGTTTAAAAGTACCACTTTCCATAGAAACTCAGTCAGTTCTCTGAAAAGTTCCAATATCATAGCTGGTGATGATGAACCAAAACAAAAAACACCTGCCAAATTTACAATTAAGAAAAGAAATTTAGAGGCAGAGAATTGAATTTATGATTTAAAATTAACGAAATTATCGGGTTAAAAGAAATCAAATAAGTAAAAGAGAACGTTAAGAAGCTTGAAAGAATGCGTCATTAACAGAAACTTACTTTTTCAAAGTAGCAGTATTTACTATGATTTATTAGGTGGTATTATTAAATGAAGTTCAACTTAATTAGCGAATCTATGAGTCTGTTTTTTTATTATTTCCAACGAATTGGGTATCTTTCAATTAGCCCGATAATTTTATCGTTACTTTTCTAGTGTTTTAAAAAACTGTTGAGTCCATAAAAAGTCCCTAACTTTGCGAAAGTCATGCTGATAATTAACTTAATCAATAAATAGTTTAAATATATGTGAGAGGATTCGTCCTCTAATATTTATATTAATTTCAAATTATCAATTTTTCTCTCTCTGTAAACCAAAATAGGGTTTGTTTGTTTTTCCCCAATATTACACAAAGAGTGAAAAGATAATATTTTTTTGTTTTGAGGTGGTTTCAATGGCTTTTGAGTTTCAATTAAGTGTTATCAAGTTTTGATTAGTTTGAAGCTGAACTTGTATTATAACACTGAAAAGTTCTATTATTTTTTTTTGTTTTTTTATATTTTTTTAATTTTTTTTTGACTAAAATCACAAAACATCAAACATATAATAAAGTATAAATATATAATTTTAATGATCAATCCAATTATTCTAAACACAACATTTATAGCTGCTGTTCTTCACTGGCTTTCTCAATTTCCAAATTCACCAATTGAAAAAGATGATGTGTATAACTATAATAAACTAACTGATCCCTATGTATTAAATAATGTGTTAAGATGTATATTAGATGAAAATATTTTAGATTATTCAGATGAGTTTGAGGATTATGAGACAAACTATTCAGCAAAACTAAGTTATTTTGAAAAACTAATCAACATAATAGATGATTGCTATTTCCAATACAACACAAACAATTATTTGGGATCATGGAACAATAAAATTAATATAAACAATATACAGAATTCATTAGGAAAAAAAAAAAGAAAAAGTAGGCTTTCCACTTTATCATCTTCAAACCACACAACAAAATTGAAATTGGTTGATCCAACCATAAATAAGAATTCAGTGCTAAATTATTACATACAACTAATTGATCATAAAAAACTAGTTTTGCCAAATTCTAACAGCCAGAAGAGTCAACGGGATGAAATGCATCAGAATACCACTGAAGTTGACTTAATACAACTCCAAATTTTATGTTCAATTTTGGCTGAAGCTGGGTTGCATTGCAAAAAAAACACATTGGCAATTGCATTGATTTCATTTCTTGAAGTAAGTGAGAGGGATGAGTTTAATAATTTTTTAATTCCTGGGAGCAAATCCTATAATAATGACACAAATAGTAACAGTCGAGATGAAAACAATGAGCCAATAGTGAGATACTTTTCAGGAAATTTTCCATTGAAAGACTGCTTTCAAAAGAACCAAAAGGACTTCGAGCAGTTAGAACATGTTTGCAAAAGAATCCATAAATCAAATGAAAAATTGAGAAGAGAGTTGAAGCTAAAAACATTTGAAAATCTTAAATTAAAAATTGTTAATAAGAAGCTGGAAAAGCAGCTATACACCAATCAAAATGAAAAGCCAATGTATGTAAGACGAATAACCCAGATCTGACATTTCTCTTTATTCTCTTTATTCTCATACTAACTTAGCATTAATATATAGGCTAGACCTTAAAGATAAGGAAATTCAAAACTTGCACCAAGAAGTTTTAAGAGCTAAGTTTGATTACGAAAGAAGGATCAGCGATTTGAAAGAACAAGTAAATGAGTTGCAGTTTCTTTTGGAATTAGACAGAATGAAGAAAACCCCCATAGGAACTAGAATCAACAACAACAAGAAGGCTTTTCCTAAGGATAACAATCATGAAACCAACAAGAGAGCTGTGATTGATTCGCTAAAGGAAGAAAACGACATATTGATATCGCTTTTAGCAAGAAAGGTCCAGGAGCTGAATCTGAGTCTGAAACAGAAGAGATGACTGACAATAAACGACTTCTAACTCCCAGCAACAATTGCAAAGCTTGTAGCATTGTATTAGTAAACTGGTATATCGATATATCTGTAGTTGTGTAGTTGTCTTTTTGCATCTTTGATTAGGATTTAAGCTCCAATTCAAACTCAACCGTTTTCCTCAGAGCTGAAGCAAAAAGAACTGAGTTGGAGACAATAAAGACCTGTTATTCTGTTTCACAGAGCTCTCTCATACAACAGCAGAATGAGTGTGCAAAAGAGATTGAACGATTTGCCTGATGTTGATTTCAGTTCTCAGGATGTCTTTGAGACTTCTTCCATAAGCTCAAATGAAGAGGAGGTTCTATCAATCAACCATCCAGATATTTCACCACTCTTATCCTCCATAACGACGAACAATGAGGATATTGACAACAGCAACATAATAAGCAATTTATCAAACTCAAAGTTTTTCTTTGGAACCAAATTCATATCAAATTCCAATACAGATTTTTCTGATAGTTTGAATAAACACAGCAGAATCAAATCTAGCTACGAAATTTTTGAAGTGGAAGAAACTTATGATGAAAAGTTATTACGAATTGAGAGAGAACTAAAAGAGTTGAGGGCCTTGAAAGAGCTTGAGTTAGACAAAACAAATAAAATCCAACCAACCGAAGATATTGATATAAAAAAAGTTAATTCATTGAATGAGCTTTTGACAAAACTCAATCAAATAGATAAGAAAACAGAGGAAAACAATGAAAAAGATAAGGATGAAAGTGTTGACAGTATATCAAATAAAATAAAAGATTTGGAAATTGATATTAAAAAAGGAAAAGAAAGTACCAATGCTAGTGTTGGCATTGATATTAAATCAATCAACAATCAACTAAATCAGAAGCTTAAAAATTGTGTCAAACCTGGTGAGGTGGTTGCTTTAGAAAAGAGAATTTATCAGTTGGAAAAAATAATTGGTTACAATGATAATTTAGATCTTTTAAATTTGAATGTTGATTCCAATTCTGAAAATAATGATTCAAATAAATCTGATTTGAATTCGAAGTTGAATTCGTTTAACAATATAGAATATTTGATTAATCAATTGAATAGGAGGTTTAATTTATTATTAGGTGAAGATAATGATGATCATGATCATGATGGTGATGACAATGAAAATGACAATGACAAGAATAGTAATTCAAAAGCTAAAAAAGATCAAAAGACAATACTAAATAATATTCTAAAAAAGATTGAAACGATACATGATAAAACAATAAATAGTTCAAGAAGAATTGGATCTAGTAATTTTTCGATTCCTCCAATGGGTTCAAATATGAATCAATTTTTAGTGTATAATGATAACAATACGATTGGGAACACTGCTACTATTAACAATAATAATGAGGATAACTTTGAGGATTATAGTGATAAAAATAATAAAATTTCAGATTCTGAGCTTAAAAGGATCAATAAATTATTTAATTTAATTAATCCGGAGTTGAGTACAACCAATTTAAATTCCATAGTTTTGCCACTAATTAAAAGATTGAACTCGTTGAATTCGATTTATCTTGATATGAATTCAACAGTCAAGTTAGGTAAAGATGTAGATAATGTTATTTATAATTTAAATGAGGATTATAATAAATGGGATAAGAAACTAGATGAAATTAAAGAAAACTTGGTTAAAGAGGAGGAAACTTTCATTAAAAATAAAAAAGAAATAGAATCATGGGTAAAGGCCCTTGAAGGTAGAATCGATAGAATTACTACGGATTGATCCAATAGATAGATAATTTGAATGATTATAACTATAATTTGATTTTTTAAAAGGAAAAAATATGTATGATTTTAAATAATAAAAATTTTAATCAAAAATAGATATTTCTTGCTTTTTGAAAAAAGTAAGAAAAAGAAAAGGAAAAAAATAAAAATGTAAAAAGAACAAACTATAAAGAATCAAAGTAATTAATTAATTATATTTTGAGAAATATTCTTCGGGCAAACCATTTCCTGCAGCATCATTAATAAACCAAGATACATTAGGTTTTTGCAAGGCATTAACTATTTCCGTTGGCAAGCCATGGTTTTCCTTAGCAAAAATCTTAGATAAAATTTCAGTTTTATTTGAACCTTCAGCAACAAAAGCAATATAACTAGAGTTGGCTAGAAGTGGAAAAGTAAAGGTAATTCTTCTTGGTGGAGGCTTTGGACTATCGGTGATTGAAACAATGAATTTGTCAGTAACCTTTAATAATGGGTGGTTTGGGAATAAAGAGCAAGTGTGTCCATCAGGACCACTGCCTAGCAAAACCAAATCAAACTCTTTATCTTCAGGTAATAAGGACTCGTATTCTAATGCAATATCATCAATTTTTAATGGGTCATTGACCAAATTTTCGTTAATTGCAAAGACCTCAGGACCAAGAACTTGTTTTTTAATCAATTCCTTTAAGATGTAAGTATCAATTAAACCATAATTGGAGTCTTCATGATTCAAAGGAACAACTCTTTCATCAGCAAAGTATATTTTCCATTTTGGCCATTGGATTTGAGAAGCAATGGTTTTGTTGTCAATTATAGCCTTTTTCAAGGATTTTGGTAAAGAGCCACCAGAGACAGCAACGGTAAAATGGGGTTTTCCAGTTGCTAAAACTGCATTTTGAATAGATAAAATATATTCACCAAGAGCAATTGAAGGATCAGAAAACGAGAAAAGTTTGGCGTTGGGCATTGCGAGCTATAAGACGATATCTGGTACTGCAAAGAATGTATTATCTTAATGATCTGGCACAAATCCAGACTCAAAGCTGAAAGAAACTCCCTTATAAACAACCATACCACAGGCCGGAAATCACGTGCAACGAGGTTGACTTGCAGCAATTGCAACACCGAAAGCGAGAGCTTTTATTGGAGATAAAGATATTACTGAGCAATGATAAAAGTGAATAGGATACAATAACGAGAATTGGCAGATTTGGATGTTGTGTGGACTGTCCATCGGAGAAGCTGTTGGAGGAGCTGTTTAAATGCCATTACCCCAGGTCAAACAACGAGCACAGTGATGATGAACCCGAATACAATGTGAATATTCTTCTATGAAAACTACCACCTACCCTTTTTTCTTCCAGCCAACGAGAGACTTTCGGTTTGTTGAATTTAGTCAACTTCAAAGCCAGGCTCAATTCAACCACTAAGATGAATCTATTATTGGTGATAGCAAGCACTCTGTGTTCGAAAGAGCTCCACCGCAAATACAGTCAATCGGATTAATCATAAATTAAGCTTGTAATTGATCCCGTCGGAAAAATATATACAGGGCAATACATATACACGCGGATGAAGACCAACATAGCAACACTTTTTTTAGACATGAGAAATTGTGGAAATAAACTTTGGCACTAATATCATTTGTTAAACACACATTAATGTCATAAAAACTCATCGGGTTTTTTGTCGAACTAAATTGAGCCAACTAGTGGAAAGTTAAAGTTTAGAGGAGAAACAAAAACAAAAACAACAGTATACCTTGACATGATACATATTGATATTATATTTGCTTACTATTAGTGGCTAATATTGTATTTAAAATAAAGGCTATTATACCAAAAATCAAAACTCTAACAATGAAAGCAAAAAAAAACTCTGGTAAAACTAGTACAAAATAGTCAGCTAGAATGATAGATTTCTAATCAAATTTAAATTATTGTTTTATATTTTAAGAGTGATTTGATTGAAATAATTGGGGAAATGTATAAGGTTAGTTAGTATCGGTTTGAGGCCACTTTTTATAAACTAGAAGAAAGAAAGATTAAAGTTTTAGCCTTTTTTTCTATATTCGTGGGTTTATTCACTGTCTTTAGAGGTATTTTAAATGGTTATGATACAGGATCGATTTCAGGGTGATTGCAATGGACTATGTTTTGAAAAACTTTTCTGAGAATAAAGTGATGGAACTTTTGTCAAGAGAACATTCGCTAATTGCTTCAATCCTTTTGTCTAGCACACTAGTCGGCTGTCTTATTGCTCCTTTTATTTCAGATACTTTGGGTTGAAGATGAACTTTATTGATCTCGACATTTGTTTTATTTAATATTGATGTTGGATTCCAAATGGTTGCAATTAATATCACATTAATTTTAATTGGAAGAGTTATATTACTGAATTAGGCCTCGGATTTATTTCATCGGTTATTCTCCTTTATTAATCTAAAACTGTTCCAAAATCTGTTTGTAGTGCGATTGTTTCGTGGTATGAAAGAGCTATTACTATTGAATATTTTTTTATCGGCTTGTGCTGAAAAAGAAACACAAAATAAAAACGACACTGGATCATATAGAACTCCATTATCAATTCAATTTTTATGGTTGTTGATTTTAGACATTGGAATGATACTTTTATCACATAGTCCAAGATTTTGGGTTCATAAAAAAAGTGAATATAAAGTAGGTATAAAAGATCCCTTTTTAACTTTAGTGATGAACAGTTTAGTCGAAGTTTTCATGAGAATTCCTGGGATAAATTTAGTTAAAGTTGTTTGTAGGAGACCGTTGTTGATTTGGAAAGCGGTTGGTATGTTTGTATCTGATTTTATTATTGCTATTGTTCGTGAAACCGTTGAGAGTCAAGCAGCTAATAAAGTGTTTGCGTTTGCTTGTATTTCATTTGGGGAGGCTACAATTTTCTTTGCACGATTTTTGAGACTTATTTTATTTATGAGAGCAGGAAGTTGAGGTTGGAGGAGATTGATCTGATGTATGATGAGTGTAAATATGCCTGGAATTCTACGGGATATTGTAAGGGAAAGCTGCAAGATGGTTCAAACGGGGAAGTTGAGAATGACAATGAGTCTGTTAGTGACAAAAAAAAAAGTCTATTGAATCAGTATCATTAGATAAAGCTATCCAGAGTGTATAATAAAGGAAACCAATTGGGAGCCAATTGGTGATGGTGGTAGTGGTGGTGATAATATAAGTGATAAAAGTGAGACGATTATAGAGTATACAAAGCGCAAGGCAATGCACGAGATGCGTTTGTACACGATCCCAAAAAAAGGCGTTTAAAGTTGGAAGCTACAGCAGATGATAAATACATATTGGGTACTAATTGAAAAATAAGCAAATAATATTAAGCAAAATAGTAAAATAGTAAATTACACACAAAACAATTATCTAAAGCATAGCCAGAATAAAACTGAGGTAAAGAAATTGAATTAAAGAATTGAAGAAAACAAAAGAGAAACCAGCTAGAAGTTAATTCACTTAGATGGCCATTAAAGCAACAAAACCGAAAAGGGCTGAGGCACCAAAGGCAGCAATTTTGACAGCGCCATTGGCGGAGCTAACACCTGGAACAGTTTCATTACCTGCCTTAGTGCTGCTGACTGGGGCAGATTCACAAACTTCATCAACACAAGTAAGAGTAGAGGTTTCGCAGACATCGTCTTCACAAATAGTAATATAAGAGATGTATTTGGAGGTGATGGTAACATCTTCTTCAGTGGTAGCATTGGCAGATGCTGGGTAGGTGATTGGATATTTTGGAGATTCAGCAACTGGGGTGGTTTCTGGAACTTCGGACTCTGGGGTTTCTGGGACCTTGGTAGCAACAATAGTTTCGCAAGTGTCTTCATATTCACAGTAAGTAAGAGTTTTGGTTTGGGTGAGAGTTTCAAATTCAGTTTCAGTAGATGGGTTGGTAACAACACATAAAGTATCGTCACAGATAGTGGTTGGCAATGGACAGTAGGTAGTGAAAAGAGTAACAGTTCCTTTGATGGTTTCAGTCAAGGTGGTGAGACCAGTGGTGACTGGAACTTCGAGACAGGTTGTTGATGAACCACAGTAGGTTTCAGTGACAACAACAGTTTCAATATCGCAATCAGTGACAGTAAGAGTACTGACAGTGGCATTTTTATAACCACCTGCAGCGACTAAAGAAGCAGAGATGGATAAGAGCAAACCAGTGGAGAATTTCATTTTTGAAGTATAAATAACTAATTTATTGATTTAAAAAGCAATTGGCGGTAATTAAACGAGTGTGGTAGCTTGGTGAAGCAAGTAAGGAACGAACGTAATGAGAGTAAGTGAGAGGATTATAAAATAATATTGTAATCTGATGAAATAAAACTGTGGGAAGAAGATGTTCTTTCGCTGAGCTTATATATGATTCCTTTCAGTAGTGCAAACTCTATCAGACAGTATTACATTTGTTTTGAAATTGAATTTCAGCTAAATGGCAGTAAGGTGTTAGAGAAGGTTTTGATGGAAACAGTTGAGCATGAAGTGCGCGATGTGAGAAAATTCCTTGTATAAACCTCTGAGCCAACACAACTCAGAAACAAGATCTGATCTGCAGAGGTATAAAGGCATAACCTCTGGTATTGAGTGGGTCTTTAAGGTCCTTAAGGTCCTTAAGGTCTTTAAGGTCTTTAAGCTGGGAATGGACCGGATTTGTGCCCAGCACGTCGCCAAGCACTGGAAGCAGGTTAGAGCTTCCAGCAGTGAAACGCAGAAAGCGCAGCCTTGAGCGTTCTCCTGCATCGCTGCCTTCCAAAAGAGAGGACCAAAATCGCCACCAAAAGGATCACATTTGCTCCGAAAGAAGACGCGCTTCTGCTCCAAAACGACCAGCGTCTATTCAGCTTCCAACGGCCATGCACCAGTGCATCGCCCGGCTCCGAAGTTCTGTGCTTTGTGCGTTGGAATTCGTGGGTTTGTTTGTGCTCCATTCTGGTGAAAACGAGAGGAATGGGCCTCCCTTTCAGATTTCGAGAGAAAGCATATTCTGCGTCGGGATATCTCTTGATTATTCTTGATTTGTGAGACCCTCTGAGACTTTGTCAGAATATCACTGATATTTTGAGATTTTTTGCGATCTTTTGAGATTTTTTGAGATCTTTTGCTGTTTATAATCTGAATGAATCACAACTTATTCCTATGTGAGGCATGATCTGTGGTTCATTACCCAAGATCCAACACGAACCTAAGCCGAGTATCAACGACATCAACAACCATTTGCCCTTGCAAACCACTACCGTTTAGGCAATATCATAATATTTGTTGAGGTATCTAATTATATCGCTAAATAGTAGCTAATATACTCGAAAGAAATTCACGCTTTACTATATGTTTGTTATCACTCCATTATCATTTCATTATCGCTCTATGGCCAAGTTAAAAATAGCTACAGCCTGATCAATCAATTTCATCTCCCTAAGCAGATGATTCTCATAATTTACTGTCGATGGCAAGTTTTCCCTCTTTATAAAGTTCACCAATCTTTTCTTTAAACGCTTTTTGAACTTCATGCCTTTTGATTTTCAATGTTGGAGTCAACATTTTATTGTCGACTGAGAAAGGCTCAACATCCAAATAAATGTTTTTAATCTTTTCAAAGCCTTGAAGTCCCATTCCTTTGACATTTCCCTCTATTTGCTTCAATATTTTGGTCCTTATATCAACTTTATTCAATTTACCAATCACACTCTCCTTTGATAAGCTCTCCAAAGCCTTATCTGACACATTCAAAATCTTTGATAAATAGTCTGCATCCAATCCTATCAATCCAACCAAATAACTCTCATTCGAATCCCCATATATACACAACTGGTTGATGATTGTATTATTATTGATATAAACAGCTTCAACTTTTTCAATCGCAATATATTCCCCCTGCGATAACTTGAAAAAACTCTTTATCCTATCGACAATTAAAACATTCGAATTCTCATCCAACGTCCCAATATCTCCGGTTCCAAACCATCCTTCATCGTCAAATCCAAAGTTTTCCTCTTTTCCAAAATACCCTTTAAATATCAATGGTCCTCTAACCAAAATCTCCCCAGATCGGTTCTTCTCCCAGCTGTAATCCAACTCCACAACATCCCGAAGTCGTATTTCGCAACTTGGCCCAATAACCCCATTTGTACCAAACGTCTTACCATAATTGAAAACTGTTTGGCAAATAGCTGAATGGGATTCCGTCATTCCATATCCCTGAATAAATCCGCATCCAAAAACTGCTGATAAATATTCCAATGTCTGTTTAGGAGTTGGTGCTCCTCCCACAATCATCATTTTCAAATTATCAAAACCAAACTGCTTTTTGATTTTGTTGAATAAAAGATTATCATAAAAAAAATGCGAAATCTTCGTCGAATCATACTCTTCCTCTCTTAATTTATTCATCTTATAATTCACCAACCCATTTAACAACTTTGATGATGTCAATTTTGACTTCAATCCCATCTCTAACCTAGTACAGATTCTTGGTACAAATATAATATGTGATGGCTTAACAATCTTAATATCTTCAAAAAATGTCTTGGGATTATTGGGATTGTGTGGGAAATAAATTGTTGACCCCATTGAAAACTCAAATGTAATATGATTTCTTGATAAAATATGAGCCAATGGCAATATATTGATATATTTTAATTTCTTATAATTCGACTCAGGATTATGAATTACGCATCTATTAGAAGTAAAAGCTGCTATAGCATTAACATGAGTTAACACAACCCCCTTGGGCACTCCTGTAGTACCAGAGGTGAAAGAAATGGTGTATGTTGAATTTCTATTGGGAGGAATATGCGACAATAAATTCTCTTTCCCGATTTTGATCAACGTTTTAAAATCATATAACAAAACCCCTGAATTATAACACTCATTGAATAAATCATAATCTAAATCCATATTCAAATCATCTATCGATATTAAAATTTTCAATGAATTTATACTCTTCTCATTTTTCAACTCCAATATTTTTTTAATTTTGCTCTTTTCAAGAAATATAATAGGAGATTTGGTAACATCCAAAATATAAGCAGACGATTCGGAACCCAATGTGCTATATAAAGCAGTATTAACAATTGAATAAGCTTGACAGGCTAAATCAACAAGAACCCACTGATAACACGAAGGAAAAAATAAAGTGACAATAAAATTATTAACATCGATACGAGCCAAATCACTGTTATCGTTGGTATTGTTGATTAAGTACAAGATCCCAGAACCGATTTGAGATCTCAACTTATCGACTTCATAAGTCTTGAGATATGTATAATACTCGTCGAATTCAAGTTGGTTGGTCTCCTCATCCAAAGATTGTTTTCTATACGCCAAACAATCATTATCTCTGTACTGCTCAAGGGAGTAATTAAAGATATCATAAGCAGTTTGAATCTTTGGATGGAAATTAGAAAATAGGCTCTTTTCAGAGATCTTGTTTCGAAACACTGGGGAATAGCCATCTTTTTGAGAATCTGGTAAGGCTATGACTTGTGTCGACTGTTCAGCAGCATAAGGAAGCTGTTCTATAACATCAGGAACAGACATTCCTTTCTTATAGACTGAGGGAAATGCAAGCTCATTCATATTGACCAGTATTTTGAATGAGTGCTATTAGAGAATATGAAGATGAGTACTGTTCTGTTTGGCAGATTCTGGTATATGAAGGTTATCAAAAAAGAAAGGCAATAGTTGGTATTTATATGCTTTTGCAATGTCTCCAGAATGTTGCCATCTTCATTAAGCCATTATTTCTCGATTCTACCTATTATTTGTTCGGTCCAAACAGATGCATTTTTTTTTTCTGAAATCAGAACAATAACCAATTTAACCAAGGATAAAATGGCAGCCAGGTTAAAGTTGGGCTAATGAAATGGAGCTAATTCAAAAGTGACTCTGCTATGAGCTGTTGGAAGCTGTTTCGGCTGTCTCTGCATTTTTCTTTGTTGGTTCTGCTGTTTCTGCTGTTTCTGCTGCTTTTTCTTCTCTCTTCTCTTGTCATGAAGCACAGGAAACAGAATTTTGTTGTGACTCTGATCCATAGCACAGTGCGTTTTGTTGGTGCGGGGGCATGCATACTTTAGTTCCTACATCTGTGCTCGTAGCTTACAAAAGGTATTGGTTGGACGGGTATTGTTGCAGTACATAGTAACTATTTATATTATTATTATATGATTTATATATTTGTAGAAAGAAAGAGAGGAAGAGAAAGAGAATTAAAGATTTGATTTAGTGAACAATTCTCCCTCGGTGTATAAGGCTTCAATGACATTGGTGTAGTTTGTGATTGCCTTTTTTCTGACGATTTTTAATGTTGGAGTGAGGCACTTATTGTCGACTGAAAAGGGTTCAAAATCAATGTATATATTCTTAATTTTTTCAAAGTTTAGTAGGTTGAATTTTTTAATGTTTTCGTTTAAATCGGATAAAATGATTTTTTTGATTTCTAAATTTTGGTTCAATTTGTTTTTGAAGTGGCTATCGAAATCTTGTTTGAATGATTCAGTATTTGAATGGGAAGATAAATGTAGGATGAGAGATTTGGAATCGGAATCAAGATTTTTAATCTTTTCTTGATTACCAATTAAATTTTTCAAATAGGGAATGAAATTGTCTAGTTCCAAACCGATGATTGAAACGAGAAAGTTTCTTTTAGAATCGCCATAAATCCACAATTGATTAATAATTGAATTTCTGCTTGAGTAAAAGTTTTCTATTCTTTCAGTTGAAACAAATTCACCTTGTGATAATTTAAAAAAGCTTTTAACTCTGTCAATGATCAAGAGGGTATTATCGTCAGTTAGTTTACCAATATCACCTGTTTGAAACCAACCATCGTTATCAAAGGCTTCTGAAGTTTTCTCGTCATCTTTGTAGTATTTAGAAAAGACAATTGGGCCTCTAATTAAGATTTCGCCGGATCTATTTTGATCCCAGGTGTAGTTTAAATCCAGAATATCTCTAAACTTCATTTCAACACATGGACCGATTAAACCGTTGCTACCAAAAGTTTTGAAATCATTTATAAAAGACTGGGAAAAGCCAGAGTGAGATTCGGTTAGCCCATAACCTTGTAGAACGCCTATATTGAAGATGGCGGATAAGAACTCTATTGTATCAAAGGGAATTGGAGCGCCACCTACGACGATTGAGGAAAGGTTTTCAAAGCCCAATTGCTTTTTGATTTTGTTGAAGATTAAATGGTCGAGGAAGAGTTGGGAGTTTTTTGTGGAGTCGTATTTTTTCTGTCTTAGACCGTTAATCTTTTTCGTGAGGGCCATTGATAATAATTTTGAGTTTAGTAGCTTTGATTTGATGGACATTTCAATTTTTGTAAAAACTCTCGGAACACAAGCCAAATGAGTTGGTTTAACTATTTTGAAGTCATCAAGAAAGGATTTTGGATTTAAAGGGTTGTGTGGGAAATACATTATTGAACCATTAAGGAATTCAAAGGCGACCAAGTTTCTTGCAAAGATGTGAGCTAGAGGAAGAATAAATAGAGATTTGGGTTGGTGATGGTCAGGATAAGCGATCATGGTAGCATTTGAAGTTAGACAGGCCAAAGCGTTGTAGTGAGTTAATTGTACGCCCTTTGGATGTGAGGTTGTGCCAGAAGTGAAGGAGATGGTGTAGATGTCATTTTGGTTTGGTGGAATAAAGGGCTTTAGGTTTTGGGTTCCGATAGATATTAAGGATTTGAAATCGTAGAGTAGGATGTTTGAATTGAAACAGTAGTTGAATAGTTTGTAGTCTAGTTTATTGTCTAGGTTGTCGATTGAGATTATGATTCTTAGGGAGCTTATCTTTTTTGAATTTTTCAAGTTGATTATGTTATCTATTTTATCCTTTTTTGTGAATAGAATTGGAGATTGGGTAGTTTTGAGAATGTATTGGGAGGATTCGTTGCCTAGAGTACTGTATAAAGCAGTGTTTGTGATTGAGTAAGCTTGACAAGCCAAGTCGATTAAAACCCATTGAACAGAATTTGGAGCGAAGATTGATAAGACAAAGTTGTGTGAATAGGTTGGATCGATTTGGTTAATGAGGTATAAAACACCAGAACCAATTTGGGATCTCAAGCTATCAACCTGAGAGAAAGTCAAGTAGGAGTAAAAGTCTTCGAATTCTTTTTCAGTGTTGGTGGGATTTGAATCAGACTGAGAGTCCAAATCGGAATCTTGAGTAGAGGAGTTAATGGATTTACGGTAGGCCAATATGCTTTTGTCAATGTTTGGCTGATTGAATTTGTTTAAGGCGTAATTGAAATTGTCAAATAAAGTTTTAATGTCAGTGTGATAGTTCGAAACCAATTTGGTATGTTCAACCAAAGAGTTTCTGAAGACTGGGGAATAACCATCGACTTTTGAATTCTCTAAGGGGACCACTCTGGCGTTAGAGGAGTTAGTGCAAAGAGGTAACTGGTCAAGAACCTGGTCGACAGACAAGTCGTTGGCAGCGTTGGGAATAGGCAAAGGAAATGTTTCAGACATTGCAGCAAAAAGAGCGAGAAAGAGAAAGAAAGTGTGGCAAGCAGTCCAGCAGCCAGGAATTGGAATTCAGGGCAAAGAAAAGCAAGAGAGCAAGAGAGCAAGAGAGCAAGAGAGCGAGAGTGGTTCCAGCAGAGCTTTGTTATATATCGACATCTTGTTTGAGAGTGCTGTTTTTTTACCATGCTCCAGTCTCAGCAAACCCTCCTTGAAAAGCGATGGAGAACGAGAGAAAGCAGTGCGGCAGACAAACGCAGACAAACGCGGAACCTGGCGTTAAGGGAGAAGAGACGCACGCACCACCGGCTTGGGCTGTTATTGCCGAGCGTCTTAACGCCATTAACCGAGCCGGGTTGCGGCTGCCGGAGCAGCACAGGCAGCACAGGCAACAGAACCGTGGCCCGCTGATTTCTAATCACAGCCTGCTCCAGCGATGGAGCGTTGCGTGTTCATGCTCCTGAAACAGCATTCAGAGTGAGTAGCATCACTTTCGCAGCTGAGTCTGATCCAACCTTGTTTCTGTAGAAGAGCTATAAATACTGCTTCTTTCCCTCTTCTCTCTGCTTCTCCAAACACCTTGCCCTCTTCTCTCTGCTTCTCTCCAAATGTCTTCCACAAAACACAACAACTATGCCTCTAAATTCCCCAAATTCTTGTCTTTTCTGCTGACTCCCAAAAGAGATTTCTTCTTGACGAGAAAATCCTATAGCACCTCTGCTCTCATTTTGAGCCCCAGAAACCACTTGAGCCGAATCTATTCCAAAAACACCAAAAACACCAAAAACACCAACACCGGTGAGAATACAAAAAACAAAAAGAATGCAAGAAACGCAAGAAACGCTGATATTTCTACGCTAAAGTTACTCATTTCAAGAAAAGCGTTACCCCACACTTTTCCAGATGAATTTTACAAAACCAGTTCTGCTGCTTCTGGCCCTAATGATCCAAACAATATTTTCAACAACAACCATTTGCACGTCTTGAACCACTCTCTTTTATCTTGCAACGACTTCAGCGCATTGAACTTATCGCCGGCAGCAAAGCTGGCCTTGTGTTTCCAATTGTATTCTTATCTAATCAACAACAACATATCGCTCTTGAACACCAACATTGTCAACCAATCAACCTACAGAAACCTATTGTTTATCTTCAACAACCATGATAACCTCTTTCAATTAATCACCTCATACAAATGTCTAATCGTCCTATCAACTTTGTTTTTTGATGAGTTTTTGGATCTTATTGTCGACCAATTCTTACCCAAAATCAGAATTCTTATTTTTCTAAACCCGAAAAACTACAGCTCAAACATCATATCAAACCTAATCATGGGCTACATCAACATCTATCTAATTTTCTACAACAACCCCAACCAAAACAATCCCATCTCCATCACCGAAGAATTTAACTACAACCAAGACGACGACAACAACGACATAGAAGAAGAAATCTGGAAATTTATCGATTTATATGATACTTACCCAAACAATTCTGACATCTTTTTCGCCATATCAAATGCATTGGGAGCCCTTTTTACTCTTTTTAAAAACTACAATCTCCTAAACTCTCTAATCTTTAACATCATAAACATCCTCTCTCAAAAGAAAAACTACATCAACAACCCAATTACTCAATTCCAAATATCCTCTTTCAAACTAATCGCCTTCTTCTATGAACTATCCATCAATAACTTTATCAACAACAACAACACTACTAACGACGACCTCTTACTAGATTTGAAATTTCTTAATGATTCCTACTCAACCATAATACTTCAAAATCTATCTCTTCTAAATCAAAAAGTACATTCAAACAATAAAAACTTTGATCAAATCTTTATCAAAATCCAAAATTCAATCCAAAATTCAACCAAATTAATCACGCAACTTGTTAACAATCACAGAAATAGCAACAACAACAGCAACAGCAACAACAACATCATCATCTTCAATAACAAGATAATAAACAATTTAAACGACTTCTCTTTGGATTTTGGTAAAATATCCTTTCCCATCACCTCTCTCAACTCTCAAAATACCTTCCGCATTGACTCTTGGTATAAATATTTCATTTTAATCCACTTGAAATGGCTATTCAACCAATCTCTACCATACCAATTATTCAACAACAATCTACTACTACAGCTATCTTCTCATAACAACAACAACAACAACAACAACAACAATAACAATAACAATAACAATAACAATAACAATAACAATACTATTGTTCAATAACCATTAAATTTGACCTATAAGTAAATACGTAAATACGTATAAACATATAAACATATAGAACTACCTTGTTGCTCACGCTACAATTATCACTATAATTAATATTATATTATATTATATCATAATTTATTATGTTCAATTATATTTAATTACAAAATTTAAGCAATTAATTCAACAACACCACCAGCTTCTTTGATCTTCTTTTCTGCCAATTCAGAAACAAATCTAGCTTTGACAATAACTGGAACATTTGGCAATCTACCTTTACCCAAAACTTTACCATAACCAGCAGCCAATGTATCAATAACTGGTGCCTTGGAGGACGACGAATTCTTTAAATAATACTCTCTTTTATCTTCAGGTAACAAGGTCCATAATCTGTCCAAATTTACAATTGGCTTCCAGAATGGGTTCTTTTGTTTGTGGAAATATCTCATACCTACTTTACCAAAGTAACCTGGATGGTATTTATCCATGGCAATTCTATTATGAAGTAAACCACCAGCTTTACCACGACCACCGGGATGCTTTCTATGTTTTCCAACACGACCCTTACCGGCTATATATTTTAGTTAGTTTCAATTTTTATTCAAATATAAACTCAATATAATCCAATTCAATTCAATTCAACTCAAAAAATAAAATCACAAATACATGATATAAAATAAAGTATTGGAAAAAAATAACCTATTGTAACTGAATGAATATTATCAAATTAACTTTTCATAATTCAAAACCATTGGTTTTAACAGAAATCATATTAATTTAATTTAAAATGTTTTAATCTTTATTTTTTTTCACTCTTCTACTCTTTTTACGAATATACTGATCCAAATCAATTATCTCAATTCAATTTGATAATTGAACAATAACTAATAATTTTTCTTTTCTCTTTTTCTTATAGTTGTTATCTTTTTATACATCAATTTTATGATCAATCTCTATAACTTTGGTTTTTTTTTATAATAATTTTTAACAATGTAAGAGTTTCTTTATTCCAAAAATTTCGCACTTAAACAACTTTGTATTTGCTTTTTCCATGTTATTTTTTTATAATATACTGATTTTTCTCATATAATTTTCCAATATTTTCTTTCTTTCTGTTTCCACGATATTTGTAACTGATATTTTTTTGTTTTTTATTTGCTTTGATTTAAAAACTGTTTACTACACTATTATTTCCCAAAAAAAAAAATAAAATCTGTCTATCTTTGAATTAACTCTTTAAATTTGTTCAATTTGATTTTTCACCAATTTATTACTTCATATCTTGATTCATTGACTGTCCCTTCGAATTGACTTGGCTTGACTTATTGATATCTATAACATACCTGAGACGTGACCTCTGTGTTTTCTTGTTTTAGTTAATCTGGTAGGCATTTTTATTTAATATTATATTAACTGCTAATGAAGTTGTTCCACCTAAAAAGAGATAAAACAAAACGAAGAGCTCAAAGATTATACTACACTCCAATTTTCCACCACTGCACACTCTCGTCCTCACTGCCAAAGGCTCTGAGCTGGGCAGGTGCTGGAAAATTGCCCGGCAGTGTCCCGTGACCCCACCAGCGGAAACCACGCAAACAACCGATCCCAGCTGAGAGTGACCGCTTTTGTCACGCACTATAAAGCCCAGCTTTAAAACTCATGATCATAACATAGCCCTATTGTACCATCAGCATGTTTCTAACAGGTTCTACGCACGCTTCACGCATGCTTCTGTCGGTATCACCGGTACGGGCGTGTCTCCCTTGAGATAAGACTCCCAGCTTCAACATAGGACGAGATGATAGATCCTTTGTTAGATATCTGCTTTACTTCTAAACTTTTGTTTTTTGTCTCTTAATCCTCCTTCGAATCATCACTACTATTATCATGGTTGAGTTCAAGAGCCCCTGGACAAGACAATTGATCTTAACTACGTTTGTTGCTTGTCTAGGAAGTATTCAATATGGGTATCATATGGTATGTTCTTGCTTCGAAATTCAAATGGTCACCACATCTAATCCATAATATCTCATATATTAACTGAGTTGCTTCTGTTTCTTTTGTGGTTTGGGTTTGCTTATAGGCTGAGTTAAATGCTCCTGAGGCTGTTATGTCTTGCAGAAAATCAATTCCCGGCGGCGGCACTGATTATGATCAAACATGGTTTGGTAGACATCACTACAATCAATGTATTCCGATGGAAAGCAAAGATATTGGAATGGCTACATCGATTTTTTCAATTGGTGGATTAATTGGCTCAGTATTTGCAAGTAGTTTGAGCGACAAATTAGGCAGAAAGGGCTCCTCGTTTATTAACTCATCCTTTTTCATTTTAGGATCATTAGTTCTTACTTTTGCAAATTCCTTATCGGTTCTAATTCTTGGAAGATTAATTGCAGGAATTGGAGCTGGAACTTCTATTGTTGTTACTCCTTTACTAATAAATGAAATCAGTCCTGTGAATCTCAGAGGGTTTTTAGGTTCAATGAACCAAGTGTCAATTAATATAGGTATATTATTAACTCAGTTATTGGCATTGAGCTGGGCAAATGATTTTCAATGGAGATTGCTTTTACTAATTGGATTTTTCTTAGGTTTAATTAATTTCATCTCTTTTTTTTTTGTTTATGAGAGTCCAAAATGGTTGGTCAAAAACAATAATTTGGATCATGCTAAATTTGTTTTACATAAAATTAGGGGCGGAAATAAATCAGATTCAGACTTTGAAATTGAAGAATGGCTTGCACATAAAAATACTAGCAATACTAGTAATGCTAACAACACTAATAACACCGGCACAAGCAACACTCCAGTTAATCAATCTGAAAATGCAAATGAGAGCGATAACTTACTTGTTGGAGACTCTGTTTCAACAGCAAACTCAAATTTTGTTTCCTTTTCTGACTATATCACTTCTTCTCACTACATCAAATCAAAAATTGTGGTAACAGGTATCATGACTGGTCAACAGTTTTGCGGTATAAATTCAATTATATTTTATGGCGTCTCTGTCATTGCAACTATACTACCTCAATATGCTGTTACTGTTAACTGCGTAATTTCAATTCTCAACGTAATTGTGACTTTTCTAAGTGGCACTTTGGTCGATAGATTGGGAAGAAAACCTTTATTGGTATCTTCTGGCTCTATCATGGGTGTGTCGTGTCTTTTAATCGGCTTTGCCATAATTTATTCAAAATCAATTTTAGTTGTTATTGCCACTTTTTCTTATATCATTGCGTTTGCAACTGGAGTTGGTCCAATTCCCTTTTTGCTCATATCCGAGGTGACCCAATTAAAGGCTACAAGTATAGCTCAAAGTTACGGAACCATTATGAACTGGTTAGCAACATTCATGGTTGGTTACTTATTCCCAATCATCAATGATAAAATCGGAGGGTATGTCTACTATCTCTTTGCTGTGATTTGCGCTTGTTTTGTTTGCTTTGTTTATTACTACATTCCTGAGACAAAAGGCAAAAAATCCTACTTTGATGTTTGGGGCACCCATGACGATGATGTCCATGAAAGAAGGTTAGAATAGGTTCTTTGATTTAATCGTAGTGTGTATTTTCCTTTCTTCCAAGTGTTTCCTCAACCATTTTTAAATATTCTTATCGCATCTTATCTCATCTTATCTCATGTTTTATGTATCCACTGCTGTGGAGCATCCGATTTTTTTTGTTTTTCTCGCCACATTGTTTTTGTTGTTTTTGTTTTTGTTTTTGGGATGGCTTTTTTGATCTTTATATCGAGAGTTTTGCTTCTTGTTTCCGGTTGTTTTTTTTTTGTTTGGGATTTCCAGAATAGAATATATCATATTATGTCGAATACTCAATCAGATAGCGAACTCAATCAATCTTGTAAGCACTTGTTATCTGAGTTTGCGCCGAAAGAATTGGAGTTATATTCCTCCAAATGGAATGTCGAGAATGTGATTCCTGATGACATTAAAAGTCAAATAACATCCATTTCAAGTGAAAACAGTAACAGTCAATTGAGATTTGTCTTAGCGTTTCTAAATATTGTCAGCTTATTGAAACAACAGAAGAGAACAGGCTGGTTGAATTTTGGCATTGATGATTGCGAATCTATTTCTGATCATATGTATAGGATGGCAATCATCTCAAAACTATTGAAAACCAATTTTTTAAATTCAAAATGCGTTGAAATCTCCATAGTTCATGATCTAGCTGAATCTTTGGTTGGCGATCTCACTCCAAGTGATCCAATATCTAAAAAGGAAAAACACTACAGGGAGTTATCGACCATTATTTATTTAACTGAAAAGTTGATTAAACCTTATCACGAGAAAGCGTCTGTTGAATTTCTCAACTTGTGGCTTGAGTATGAAAATCAGTCGTCAATTGAAGGAAAAATAGTCAAGTCTATAGACAAGTTCGAGATGATTATCCAAGCTTTTGAGTATGAAAAAAGATATAAGGGAAAATTAAATCTCGAGCAATTTTTCACTGCAATCAATGCCATCCAGGTCGAGGAAGTAAGAGACATGGCGGATGAATTAATCAAGGAAAGAAATGAATTTTGGCTTGCTTACAAATGATTTAATTTTATCTGACGTTATATTAGAAGAAAACATGTTTTTTTTTTACATATTATCTTTCTAAAAGCATATTATAAATTGATTTATTTTTCTTTACTTTTGACTGTATTGATAGAGCTATTTTTTTTATATCTCGCATAATATTACGATGATTACTAATGATGAATTAACAGTGCAAATTAAATTAAATTAAATTTTTTTTTCTTACAACCACAGATACTAATAAAAAATGCTTCTATTAATGATTTAAAGAATATTTTGCTCTTATTTTTGAACAGACTTTTCAATTGATAAATTTAATATAAATATCGAATAAAATACGTTTTATTTTTTTTATTGATTCGAATATCTTTATTTTATTTTAAAGAACAACAACCAAGCAGTTTAAGCTTTAGTTAAATTATTATACAAGATTCGAAAAAATGGCCAGTTTTGTTGAATACGATAATAAAGGTGCTCCAAATGTGCCCTTTTATTCATTGAAACAGCCTGTTCCCGCTGGAACTCCCGTTGAAACTGATAAACCTTTGCCAAAACTATTTACTCCTTTAAAGATTAAAAAATTGCTTCTTAAAAACAGAGTTGGGTTATCTCCAATGGTTCAATATGGTGCCGATTCAAATGGTATTGCTGGCCCATATTATTTGATTCACTACGGTGCAGTTGCTCTTAGAGGTGCTGGTTTGTTGATGACTGGTGCAGCCGGTGTTTCTCCTGAAGGAAGAATTTCTCCAAACGATTTAGGTATTTGGAATGATGAGCAAGCATTAGCTCTTAAAAGCATTGTTGATTTTATTCATACTCAAGATCAATATATTGGTATTCAACTTGCTCATGCTGGAAGAAAAGGAAGTGCTGTTCCACTTTATGTAAGCTTAACTAAATTAGCTTTAGATGAAAATGGTGGGTTTGTTGATAAATTAGTTGCACCATCTGCTCTTCCTTTCAATGATCAATCACCAACTCCAAATGAATTGTCAGTAGAACAAATCAAAGATCTTGTTAAAGATTTTGGTAAAGCCGCTAAGAGATCCACTGAAATTTCTGGATTTGATTTTGTTGAAATTCATGCTGCTCATGGATATTTGATTCATAATTTTCTTTCAAAAATTTCAAACCAAAGAATTGATTCATATGGTGGTTCTTTTGAAAATAGAATCAGATTTTTGTTGGAAATTATTGAAGAAGTGAAAAAAAATATTGATTTTGAAAATATTCCAATTTTTGTAAGAATTTCATCTACTGATAATACACCACACAATCCTGATGGATGGAAAATTGAAGATTCTATCAAATTATCCAATTATTTTATTGATGCTGGTGTTGACTTAATTGACGTTTCCTCTGGTGGGAACACTTCTAATCAAGTGAAAAGAGGCAGTAATCAAGGTTTTCATGCTCCAAATAGTAAAGCTATTAAAGATAGTGTTGGTGATAAGATTTTGGTTTCTTGTGTTGGTGGTATCAAGGAAGGTGCTTTTGCGAACAAGATTTTAGAAGACAATGTTTGTGATATCACTTTTGTTGGCAGAGCCTTTTTGAAAAATCCAGGACTTGTCTGGCAATGGGGTGATGAATTGGGTGTTAGATTGCATCACACAAAACAATTGGAATGGCCATTTTATCCCCCACACCGTCAATCTTTAAGTCAATTAATTTAGGATCAGATGGGCTTTTCCAAACTGTTGCAGAGACAAATCCAGCTTTTAAATAAAAACAACTAGCAGAATAGAGTTTCTATAGAGAAAATAATAATAAATGCCTTTATTAAAAGTTAGATATGAAAAAGTAAAAACACAAAATAATTCACAAGTAAAATTAGAAGCGACATTAAAGTTCGAATTTCAGAGTCCTTCTAGGACATTTTCGGCTTGTTTTGATGTGGTTTTTCCGGCTCTGCGCTGTGTGTTTCTTTTAAGCTGCGATTTTTCTTTGAAAAGAAAATTGGGATTTGTTCTTTTGTGTACAAAATTTTTTATTATCAACGCTTCAAGATATAGATATGTATTATAAAATATATAGTTATAATAATCCAGTATTGAGAAGTGATAAAAACTGAGCTTACCATCTTTTTTCGTCTGAGATTCTCCACGTTGATAACCAGTTCAAATATTTGTAATCTCTATTTGGTCCTGGCATACCAAAACTTATTGGCGAGAAATAAATAAAACAACTAATAACCAACAAATACAAAACACCGTATATCAACCATACTTTGATTAAGTTTTTGAATCCCTTATTAGCTCTGGCATTACTTGTTAAACTTTCAATCAAATATGTGAAAACTAGCATGGCAAAATACAAAGCAGGCAAGTAATGATGAACATATGTCACTCTTCCCATGATAACAAATGGCATAAAATGTAATCCCCATCCAAACATTGGATAAATTCCTCCCATTAAAAATAAATTAAATTTATGAGTTCTGGGCTCCTCTGCTGCTGGGAAATCATCAATTTGTCTTTGCCATCTTAAAACATAAATGACAAATAAAATTGCAAAAATAATGACACCAACTGATGAAGTCCAAGTAGTTGCTGGAGAACCGATGAGAAAATATTTGACAGTGTCATCCGACCATGAGCATAATCTGATCCCAACATTCAAAGTAGGCCATTGCCAGAATGATGAGGCCAAATCGTCCTGTTTATCTTGATCTGGAATCAAAGCATTATTAGTAGCCATCATTGCAAGATTCAATTGAATAAAATCTTTGAAAAAATTGGTTTTTGGCAAAGTAAAATCATCACTTGGTGGAGGTAATTTTGAATTTTCATGATACTCAATGTTCCACCAAGTTCTCTTGTCTCTTCTAAATGGATTCTTGTAACAAACAACTTCACCTTGACGGAAACCCCATTGAGGTAGGGATTCGCCGGTTGTACCAAGGTAACAATTCATGGCTTTAGAACGAAGTCTGAATGAACTTGTCAAGGGGTGCAAATTTTTTGAGTCTTCATTACCAATTTGGTTTGCAATTTCCACAACCCAATTGTCTTTTTCATCACCGACAGTCATATTACCATAGCCTGCTACCTCATATTCAGTTCTTGAAACTGGAGCATTGACTTGATGTGTGTGCAAATTACGACCAGTTTGAGGATGGAATAATCTAACAACCAAACCATCATGAATATACTCGTTTCCATCTATTTCTTCATTAAATTCTTTCTCCCATCTTGGTCTTTCGAATCTCCAGTTATTATTGGAATCTTTATGTGAATAAGTTGTAACTTGTTGTTGGTTTGAACCTTCAGGATAAGTTTGGACATGAGAATGCAATAAACCACCGCCTAATCCTTGATTTTTAATTGTGACAATTGAAGATCTGACGGTTATATCTCTTGGACCAATGCCGACATTTGAACCAACCAAATTAGCTTGAAATAAAGAATTCATGTTAGCATCACCTGGACCAGAATGCCACAATAATTCAAAATGAACTTTAAAAGCTAGAAGGAAAACCAACATTGGAATCACAATCAATGCAATGATTCTTGCTATCCAATGACAAACATAAATTCCGTTAGCAAGAGTTTTATCACCAAATTGGTTCCATAGCTCAATAATTGTATAAATTCCAACTAAAGCAGTAACAAACAATCCAACCATTTTAACAGAACATACACAACCAATTGAGATACCTAACAATAGGATCCACTTCCACCATTTTCTTTGAAATGGTTTCTTTTTTTCATTGTGGAATCGGACTAAGCAAAAGAAAGTGGTCACGGTAAATAACAATAACATTGAATCTAACAAAATGAATCTTCCAAGAGTAACATATGAATTGTCTAATAATACCATTAAAGTAAATAACCAAGTGGAATATACAGAAAAGCCAATGCTTTTGCAAGTGAAGTAAGCAAAGGGAACACATAACGAAGAGAAAACAGCTTGAAATATTCTCATTTTGACATAGTCAATATATTCGGGATATTCATTTCCAGATGGGAAATCCCAAGATCCATTGTATCCAGCCAAGTAGCCAGATAACCCAACTAACATTTTTCCTAAAGGTGGATGAACATCATGATAAAACTCATGTCTCAAGTAGTAAGAACCAAATTTTCCAAAATGTGCTTCATCCCAAACGACATGGTTATTTATTCCAATTTTATACATTCTTGTGAATAGTGACAATAGAGTGAAGACAATAGGCATTATAATCGCTTCAGCTTTTAGTAAGGATTGATTCATGTTTTCTAGCTCATACTGGGCGTATTTTTTTGGATCGTCGAATACTAATTCAACTTCTGCTTCATCTTCCTTTGGGGGTATTGAAGATTTCAGCTCATCTGTTTTTGTTATCTTTCTGCTGGTGTGTAGTGAGGACTTTTCGATCCCAGTTGACTTGGAGGTACTCATTGAGCCTAACTTCCAAAGGATATCAAACTAAAGTACAAATGCAAAGAGGATGGTTAATGAATATTTAATGGAGTCTCCAATTGGCGAGAATTCAATTGCGTCTGTATTGAACAGTGGCTTTCATGAAGCCAAAACAGTTTGAGCCAAATTTCATCAAACTTTGAACAGGTGTTTTTTGAAAAATGGGCCCGTGATCTGAGCCCTGATGATTAGGGCTCTAACGCTACTTTCCAAAACGGGACGAGACGATATAAAGAAGAGAAGAGAAGAGAAGAGAGAAAAGAACTGAAGGAAACAACAGAGATGGAAAGGGTCTATTGATCAATTGCCTTGAACTGGTTGGGTTTGCTGATGGCTGCGGGGTGACGTCTAAGTTCGTCAGGGCACTTACTCAACGAGCTCTTGAGAACCATGTTTTTGAGGTCGTACAACACATCGTTGTCGTCCTTGTTATGTAAAAATGTTATTGCTGTTCCTAGCTTGCCAGCTCGGCCTGTTCTGCCAATTCTGTGAATGTAGTCTTCGATGGTTCTCGACATCTGGTAGTTGATGACCAATGAAACATCCGGAATGTCGATACCTCGACCTGCCACATCTGTTGCAATCAATATATCGAATTTTCCTTGTTTAAGATTCGTTATGGCCAACTCTCTTTGGTCTTGATTCTTTGACCCATGAATGATCGTGGACTTGAACCTTGACTTTTCGTTGATTATAGTGCTTAGGTTTTCGCATGTCTTCTTATAGTTGACAAATATAATAATCGGAGGATAGTAGTTGTTGGAGTTTAAAATCGAAATCAATCTTCGATTTTTCTGCTCCTCAGTATTCAAAAATTCAACTTTTTGCTCAACACTATCAACTGCTTTGTCTAGGTTTCCTATTATAATAGTATTGGAATTATTAAGATAATTCTTGACCAACTTTTTAATAGTCGGGGGCATTGTAGCTGTATACATCATTGATGTTCGTTTTTGATATTTGGGTAGAATTTCTAATATTTTCGAGACCTGACTCTCAAATCCTAAATCAATCATTCTGTCTGCTTCGTCAATTATCAAGTAGTAACATTGATTCAAAACTAAGATCTTCCTATCAATACAATCTAATAATCGACCAGGTGTGGCAATCAACACTTCAACACCATTAGATAAATTAAATGAGTTGCTTTCCAATTTATACCCACCAACAACAGAGGTTAGTTTTATTCTTAGTCTATGACAAAACTTAGAGCACTCCTTTTCAATTTGCTGAGCTAATTCTCTTGTGGGTGCTAATACTAATGCATATGGTCCATCATTCTTTGTATGATAGTTAACCCTGGGCAATGTAAGTAAGTATGTTAGTAATGGAATTATATAACTTAATGTTTTCCCTGAGCCAGTCTCAGCAATTCCCAACACATCCTTCCGATTGATAGCAATTGGGATTGCAGCTCTTTGAATTGGTGTTGGGTCTCTATAATTTAACAGTTTTAGAATTTTTAATATTTCAGTATTAATCTTGCTCTCACTCCATGATCTCAACGGTTTTTCAACAATGTTTCCCTTTGAGTTAATTTCAAAGTCTTCTTTCAAGATCCTCCAGTCTCTGTCAGTCATTTCATTTAATGGTTTTTCAGACCAGTGCTTACTGTTCCAATTGATTTTTCTGGATAATGCAGCAGATATGTCGTTGTTTTGGGATTGAGCATCTATTGAGATTATTGGCTTAATTTCTGCTGAAGCTGAAGTATCTTCATTATCGTCCCAAGCAAACTTGAATTTGCTCTTCTTTAATTTTTTTGATGGTGGCACTGTTGATGATTGTCCATTATTGTTGTTATTAGTGTTTTTATATCTGACATTGTTGATTGAATTGTTGTTGAAATTAATTATACTTTTGTTTTCAATGCTTTTTATATGATTATCTCGGTTGTTGTTGATAGAAAGCTGATTTTGATTAGATTTATTGATAACATGGGCCTTTATTTTTTTCGCTTCAGTTTCATTATCTTTCTGTTTTTTCAATTTCAACCTTCGTTTTTTGGATATAAATTTTATTTTATTAGAGCCTTGGTCATTATCATTTTTTGATAATAACTTTTCCAATGATATTAGCTCATTATTTGACATTTGGAAGGAATTTCGAAAGATTCAATTGTAATTCCTTTTGAAATCAAATAGAATCAGACTGTGATTGTTAAAATTTGCGATTTAAAGACAGAAACCAAATAATCCCATTTAAAAGGGGAGTATACTGACATTTCTTAAACACAAAATATAAATAAAATCCCGTTCCAAAAGGGCTGGGTTTTTTCATGTTCTAAGAAAAATTTTAGAAAGCGTTCAAAATTTTTCATTTCAAGTTTCCTCATCAAAACAATATTGAAACAATACAATAATAGAGACAATTGAAGATGGGAAAGAAAGAAAAGAAAGAAAAAAAAGATAAATCATCAAAGAAGACTTCTAGCAAGCAAGTAACAAGAGAAGACATTGAGAAAATTGATAATTATGAAAAAAGATTGCCAGCAGTTTTACCATTTGCTAGACCATTAGCTCCAAAGAAATTGAATAAAAAAATTTTAAAGACAGTTAAAAAGGCATCCAAACAAAAACATGTCAGAAGAGGAGTCAAAGAAGTTGTAAAAGCCCTTAGAAAAGGCGATAAGGGATTAGTGGTAATTGCAGGAGATATTTCACCTCCAGATGTTATATCTCACTTGCCTGTTTTATGTGAAGATAACACAGTGCCATATTTATTTATCCCATCAAAAGAAGATTTAGGATCAGCAGGAGCTACAAAGAGACCAACGAGTTGCATTATGATAGTTCCAGGAGGAGGAAAATCGAATAAGAAAAATTCTGGTGATAGTGAGGAGTACAAGGAGAATTATGATGAAGTCGTTAAAGAAATAAGTGTATTATGAATTTATTTAATGAATGTGATATAATGATTATTTATTGTATTTATATAAAAGAAAATCCACGAGTGTCCATTTATTTTACTTTACTTTACTTTACTTTACTTTATTTTATTTTATTTTATTTTATTTTATCAAAATTTCAATTTGAGCTTTAATTTCAATTTTAGTGACAAGTATCAAGGTAATAATTGAAACATTTGAAATAATTACAAATAATCTATGTATTTTTTATATTCTTCCTTTTTCAAAACTTCTAGAGCAGACTTAATATCTAAATTTATATCATCAATTAAAGCTTGAACATTGACAAAATCCAATTCGGGTCTAATATAACCTAATATATTAAATTGGATGATTGCTCCATAAAAATCTGTTTTAAAATTATGAATTATATGGATTTCACAACTCTTTTCTTGATTTCCATAGAATGGATTGTAGCCAACTGACATAACTTGAGGAAGTGAAACACTCAAATCGTTTTTCTCATCTAAACCAAAACCGTACTTGAATTCGATGTTTCTCCTTATATTGTTATTTTCGTTGATATGGTTATTTGTAGCTAAGATCTGGGGACCGAGCCTTTTGTTCAAGTTCTTGTGTATGCTGCAATACCCAAAATAAACCCCAGGCTGAAGAGCTTGGAAAGCCTTTGAAGTCTGGGAAATGGGGATATTCGCAGTAGGAATCCCTAAATCAGACGAGCCTCTGCCAAAGCCAGATATGATCTGTGCAGACTCCCTTATGGGATATGGAGAAATTGGCTTTTTGGGGATTCTGGCCCTGATGGTCAAAGCTGCTTTAGTCATACTGGTTCTTGTTGATACTCTCCAACAGCAGAAAGAGCAGAAAGAGAAGCACTGATAAGAAACAAAAATCAGTCAGCATTAATAATAACAAAAATAATATTGATCAGCATCTCTGGAAACAGCTAAATATGCATATGTGCATACAATAACAGTCAACTACGCCAACCCTATTGCTGGCTCCACGTGCTCAACTTTTTTTTTTAGTTTTGCAGTTGATTTCTCTGTTTCTGATTCCAAAGAAAGAAACTGTGTTGAAGAGAAGATATAATCGCCAGTGGTTAGCTTTGGTTTCGTACTATGTTGTGAGAATCAACTTGTTGGCGTGGAACTATGGAGATTGACAAGTCGAAATCAGAATACAATGAAGTAGCTCTTCAACTAGTAACTGATCCTGATAACTACGATCTTTGGGTCAAGTTACTCACTGCTGCTGAGAATCTAAATGGTGGAATTTGCAAAAAAAGCTCCAATGATGACATTGCTTTGTTGTATGTCAGCTACAAACGATTCTTGGACAAGTTTCCGTTATACGAGAAATTTTGGATAATATTTGCTAACTGGTTTTTTAAACTTGGTCAAATTAACCAGGCTGATTTGATTTTTCTCAATGCTTTGAAGTTCATTCCAAGTTCGGTATTGATTTGGGAAAATTACTTGAAATTTAAGATTCTAACTGTCCATAACACTGATGGTATTGACAGGTACAAATTTATCAAAAGACTCTTTCTCAAGGCTGAACTAAAAATTGGATTGCACTACCTTTCGACTGATTTTTGGGATTTGTATTTAAAATTTGAAGAGGAAAATAACGAAAACTCGGCTGATAAAAAATTTCAAATTTATTTGATACTAAGAAAATTGATTGAATTACCAATTTATGGATTTTCAAAATATTATGAGAAATTTATGAATTTTCTAGATTTGAACTTAAATTTAAAAGATGTTTCAACTTATGTTACTAATAAAGATCTAATCAAATTGGGTTATACCAATCAATCATTGCAATTGTTGCTTAAAAAGGATTCAACTAATTCTGATTTTTCATCTGATATTCCCAAAATCTTGAAAGATATCAAAAATAAAATAAAGAAAATTTACACTGATTTATACATAACAGTTCAGTATGAAGTGTTTAAGATATATGAGTTTGAAAAAAAAATTGTTCATCCGTATTTTCATACAACTTATTTATCCAAACAAGAATTATTAATTTGGGAATCCTATTTAAACTATTATGAATTGGATACTTTAAATTACACCAATTGTAACCTAGTGATTATAAATAACAGTCTTAATCCCAATGCTAATAGTAATAACAACAACAATAATATTGCATTGAATAATAATGAAAATAACAATAATGCCAATAGCAACTCAACCTTGAACAAAAATTTAAACACTTTAGTCATAGTTCAGAATTTCCACAAAAAGATACAAACAATTTATGAAAGATGCTTAATTTCAACTGCATTATATGACAAATATTGGTTGAGATATGCAAATTACTATATCAATTTAAATGAATTTGAAAACAGTAAAAACATTTTACTTCGATCGATTTTCCATTTACCAAAGACATCAATAAAAGTCAAATTAAAATTAGTACTAGTTGAATTGTATCAAAAAAATTATTTTAGAGTGAATGACATTATAATTGATTTACTTTCAAGTTTCAAGAATGAAATTGAGATTTGGGTATATTTTTTAAATATTCAAATTTTGTTTAGTTATAATAAGAATAATAGTATCAATACTAATGCTACTAATAGCAATAGCAATACTAATAGTAGTTTAGAAAATTTGGAAGAATCTTCAAAGAATTATGTTTTGAGTCTAATGGAAGAAAAATTGGATAGTATTAGATTTCAAGAAGAGACTGATAAACAATTTGATATATTTTTTGAATATTTGAATAATGTAAATCAAAATATTATTTCAAACAATGAAAAATTGAAATTTTTTGAAAGATATGAAAAAAAGTTTGGATGGAGTTTTAGATTTTGGTATAATTACATGAAATTTTTAATATTTAATAAAAATGATATAATAATTGAGATTTTAAATGTTAAAGATAAGGACAAAGAAGAAAAGGAAAAAGAAATTATAATTACTGATGATGGAGACGGGGATAAAAAAATTGATAGTAATAATGATAATGAAAATGATAAGGATAAGGGTAAGGATAAGGATAAGGATAGCAATAATGATAATGATATTATTAGGAACAATATTGATTACACGTTTATAAATAAAGTTTATTTGAAAAGTATCGAAAACTTAAAGAAAAATGTCAAGAAGGACAATAGTAATCAAAGAATAATCCAGAATCAAATAAAAACAATGAATAAGTTTTATGAAGAATATTTGATTGATTTGAAAATATTTGAATTTGAGGAGAGACTAAGGTTAAGATTAAAGAAACAAGAGATTGAAAGAAAAGAAAAAGAAAAAGAAAAAGAAAGCCAGGTAAATTTTGTTGACAATGGAGATGGAATTGCAGAATTTTTGAGCGAAGATGTTGATAAATTATTTGAAATGCATTTAAATTCATACAATGAGTTTTAGTATTATAGTTAATTATATATATATATATTGAAAAAAACATTTATTATTTATTATACTATAGGATGCCAAAAAGTAGATAAATAAGTAAATACGATAAGAAAGGAATAGATCAGATAAAAATAGTAGGATAAAAAAAAAAAAGAATACTAAAGTAAGATAGGTTTGAAAATTTAAGGTATGAGGTTAATACATAAACTAACGATTGATTACTTTAAAATGGAAGTAATCAGATGATTAAAACGAGTAGATAAATCAAAACAGAAAGATAAAAAAGATAAAAAAAAAATAAAAAAATAAAAAAGATAAAAAAGATAAAAAAGATAGAAGTTGAAATAGAAACTGAAACTGAAATGGAAATGGGAATGGTAATAATAATAGTAATAATAATAGTAATAATAATAGGGTAATAATAATAAAAATTTAATTGATTAGTTAATTAATTGTAAAGAAAAATTAATAATAATAATAAAAAAAGAATTTATTATAGTGATGAAGTAAGAGAATTGATTATGATATTTGTTGATTTTGATTTCTCAAAATATTTATTGCTTTTGATATTTTAGCGTTATCTTGATTGTTATTACTATTACTATTACTATTATTATTTGTATTTGAGTTATGAGTTTGAGAATAGTCATCATCTTCTTCTTCGTATTCTTCGTCTTCCATATCGTTATCTGAAAAGTCGTTCATTAGAATATTATCGTCATCATCATCGAAGCTCTCATCGTTGCTATACCAAAAATCTTCATCGATATCATTGTTATCGTAGTTGATTGGATTAGAAGCGCTATAAGCTGTTTTTGAGGTGGGCATGATAAAATCGTCAGGGATATCTTGTTTAGATCTTTCGACTTCTGTTTTGACTTTGGAATTGTAACTCGACCTGTTCTTTTTCCAATCAACAGCAGCATCAACATTAGCAGGAGAGGAGATATTTGGATCTTCTAGGAGAGAAACTATGGAGACCAAGACACTTTCAACACTCTGAGTGGGTCTCCAAGTTTCAGCATCGGGTTCTTCAGAGGTTGGGTCACCAGATTGATGCAAGATAGAGATGCACAATCTTCCATCTTTATAAACGTTTGGATGGTAAATTGGGGGAGTGAATTTGAAAGTTGGGGGAGAATAAGGAAAATCGTTTGGGAATTTCATTTGAGCTTTGAAATAGCCTCCATGATAGACGCTGTCTTCATTTAAGACCATGACACCAACTATCCAAGAAAATATATTGCCATTTTCTAACTCGATATGAAAAGAAGGTATGCCCTTTTTAGGATCGTTGAGTTCTTTGTATTGTCGCAAAAGTATGGAAGCACTTGATGTAGACATGGCAGACGAAAAAAGTGGGAAGTGGGACAAAAAAACGATGCAGTAGCAGTGAAGACGCAGAAGAACCAAAAAATAGAGGAGTAGAAGCTTCAGCAGCTGTGGAGTAGGATATCTGGATGATGAAGAGAAAGAAAGACGAGTGAAAAGTAGACAAGAAGCAACGAGAGCTGGAAAAGAACCAACAAAAGAAACAGAACAGAAGCAGAAAGGAGCCAGTCGCCAGAGTCAGGGGACGTGGCGGGGTTGGGAATGGGGGTTGGTGGTGAGGGTTGGGCACGAGGGTTGGAAGCAGGGATGGGTGAAAACAGGGGTTGTTCCAGAGAATTGAAGCAGGGGTCTAAGCTGACTTGCTGCACGTGGTTGTGTCACGGGACTGGGCTTTCACACAACAGAGCCAGCAGTTCCAGCAGTTCCAGCAGAGGCAGCAGAGGCAGCAAAGACAGCAAAGACAGCAACAGCAGCCATGCCTTCAGTGATCTACTACAGGTTTGTCTCACAGAACAAGGACTCCAGGATTCCCTTTGACGGCACAGGCATCTCGGTCTTCGATCTCAAGAAGGAAATAATCAACTACAACAAGCTCGGCGATGGCTACGACTTCATCTTGAAGCTCTTCAACAGCAACAATGAAGAGTACTTGGACGACTCCGAGATCATCCCCAGGTCCTCCACTGTTTTGGCAAAGCGTTCTCCTGCCTTGAGACATGGCAAGATCAATGCCTCGCGATATGTCACTGGAAAACCCAGGATATTGAAACATGCAAAGGTGTCGCCAAATGATCTCGCCAACTCAGCGTTGCTTGTCAAACCGATAACTACTAACTACGAGTTTCTATCCGAAGAGGATAAAACAAAGGTCATGTTTCAAAACCAAGATGCTCAATGGCAAAAGGAACAACAACGTCTAGCTAACGAGACTCCAATTTTTCACAACAAAAACAACTTGCCCAATGGCTCGAAACCTGGCGCCACTAGTCAACAAGAGGTTCCTCCTCCAGGCTATATCTGCTACAGATGTGGTGCCACCGATCATTTCATCAAAAACTGTCCCACAAACAATGATCCGAATTTTGAAGGCAAAAGAATCAAGAGAACTACTGGTATTCCTAAATCCTACTTGAAGACTGTTGAAAAACCAAACAACGAGGATTCCGGCAGTTATATGATAACAGATGATGGGAAATTTGTTGTAGCTCAAGCTGATACAAAATCTTGGAAACTATTTCAAAATAAAGTAAATGATTTTGATTTTTCTATTTTTAAAAGCGAGTACATTTCTGATAAATCCCTAGTTGATCCTCTATCAGATTTGTTATTCAATAACCCTGTAAAGACTCCCTGTTGTTCAACTACATATTCTCTAAGTCATATTGAACAGAACTTATTAGATAATGATTTCACTTGTCCAAATTGTCAAAAGGAAGAAATATATCTAGATTCATTAGTCCCTGACGAAGTCATGGCTAAGAGAGTTAATGACTATTTAACCAAAATCAATTTATCAATGAAAAATGAAAACAATAAAAATAATCCTAACAATAGTAATTTTAACAATTTGAACAATATAAGTAATTTAAACAATTTTAATAACTTAAATAACTTAAATAATCTAAATAATTTAAATAATTTAAATAACTTGAATGCTTTAAATAGTATCTTAAAAAATTCCAATGCCAATGATTCTAACAGCCACAAAAGATCAAATGATAAAATGGATAACAATAATAATAATAATAATAATAATAATAATAATAATAATAATAATAATAATAATAATAATAATAATAATAATAATAATAATAACAACAACAATAATAATGGTGATTTTGACTACAACTCATCAATCAATGATTCATCCTCTAGAACGAAAAAATTGAAAACTGTGGAATTGCCTTCAAGACCAAATATTCCTCCAATGCCATCTATGCCTTCAATTGATAATCATGGCTATAGCATAAATCACAACAACAACAACAACAATAACAATAGTAACAGTAATAACAATAACAATCCACTATTATCCCAACTCCCGCCTGCTCCTTCAAATTTTTTTCCTTTTCCTTCTGTGCCTGGTTTACCACCTAATCCTTTTATGATGGGACTACCCAATGGGCTACCAAATACATTACCTCTTCATCTGACAAATCATTTCAATGCTATCCAACCCAATAATTTAAACCCTTTAAATAATCTAAACATCAATCTAGGGAATCTAGGGAATCTAAGTAATCTAGGAAATCTAGGAAATCTTAGTAATCTTGGTAATCTTGGTAATTTTAATAATCTTAATAATAAATAATAGATTGTTATTAATTGTTATTAATTATTGTTAATTATATAATTTATGTACTGTACTAATAGTAATAAATAAAATAAACTCTTTTTCAATGTATGAATGTAGGATGCGAATTGTCATTTTTGAAACTTTAATATTTTTTTTTTATTTTTTTCATTTCAACTTTATGTATGTATTGATGAATATTTTACAAGTTTTTCTTTCAGTATTGATATCAGTATTAGTATCAGCTGTTTAGTGATAGTTGGTTAGTAAAGTGTGTTGTATTGGGTGTGTTTAAAATGGCATTATTTAAAGTGAATGGATGGGATTTAAAAGAGGACGTTAAATTTGGTAGTTCTAGTGAGATTAAAAATGATAAAAAGAAGAACAAGGAGAAGAAAGATAAAAGGGTAACTGATAGAGAAGTGAATGATAGAAAAGATTTTAATAAAAATAGAAATGAATTTAAGAATGAAAATAGAAAAGATTATAAGAGCAATAAAAATGAAAATAAAAAGGATTATCAGAGTAATAAAAATGAAATGAAAAGTCCAAAGCGAACAAATTCAGAAATTGATGATGATGATAATAATGATAATAATAAGAGAAAGGTTAAAAGGCGCCGAAATAAACAAAGACAAGATAAAACAGAAAAATCAAATTCAAAACTTAAGCAGAATAATAATGGTGATATTAGTGGAAATATTACCGGAAATGAGAATGATAAAGTGGGAAAAGATGGCAACAAAAAAAAAAAGGAAATTGGAAGTGAAGTTGTAAATAAAGTTGGAAAACCGGTGTCTACATTGACTCCACTTCAAAGGAAGATGATGGCCAAGTTATCAGGATCGAGGTTCCGATATATCAATGAACAATTGTATACTATCTCGTCACAGGATGCATTTAGTATGTTGAAAAACGAGCCTGCATTATTTGATGCATACCATGAGGGATTTCGATCTCAGGTTCAAAGCTGGCCACAAAATCCAGTGGATGTGTTTGTTGAACAATTCAGAGAAAGAGCAAAGAGAAATGTGAATGCGCCAGGAGGATTACCTGGATTGTCTAATAAAAGCATTGTGGTGGCAGATATGGGATGTGGTGAAGCCGAATTGGAAAAGCACATTATGGAGTTTGTCAAGGTGTTTAACAGCAAGAAATCGACTAGTGGATTTAACAAGTTCAAGAGGAACAATAAATTTAAGAGTAACCAAAAGTTGGAGGTTAAAATACATTCATTTGATTTGAAAAAGGCCAATGAAAGGATAACGGTGGCAGATATTTCGAATGTTCCGTTGGCAAATAATTCGTGCAGCATAGTGATATTCTGTTTGGCGTTGATGGGGAACAATTTTCTTGATTTTATCAAAGAGGCATGGAGAATACTAGCGCCCAACGGTGAGTTGTGGATAGCCGAGATCAAATCCCGGTTTACAGACACACACCTAAAGTTCAAAAACCGGATTGAGGACGATGAAATGGACGAGTTTGATAGAGTTGGTGGATTGAACATCGAGGGATCGGAGAATGCGTTGAAGTTGTATGGAGAGAAGTTTGAGAGACAAAGGTCGAGTGGGAAACAAGAGCAAAGCGAATCGCAAATGCAAAGTCAAGGACAGGAGTTTATCAACGTTTTAAAGCTTTTGGGGTTTTTCTACAAGAACAAAGACGACAGCAACAAGATGTTTATACGATTTGAGTTTTTCAAGCCGTCGCAAGAAATTCTTGAAGAGAGAAAGGCCAAGTTGGAAAGAAGAAAGAAATTCATTGAGATTGAAAGCGAAAGAGAGGAGCTCGACAAGAGAAGAGAGAAAGAGCCGGAGGGAAAGTGGTTATTAAAGCCATGTATATACAAGAGAAGGTGAGGAAGTGGGCATTGAAGCATTGCCATTAAAAGTGTTGTCATTAAAAGTGTTTTTAAGTAGTATAGTGAATGCACAATTCGAGCAACCATGGGGATTCTTTCTGTCTTATTTTTTTTTCATTATATCGAAAGTCGTGTGAGCCGGATTGGGAAGCGTTGAGAACCGGAAAGCGAAGTGAAGACGAACAAAAAGCGAACTGGACGTGATCTGGAAGTGATCTGGAGTGCACTTTGGGGCATCGCCATTGGGCTGTTGGGAAAAAAGAAAGGTTGTGCAGAGATAAGAAACGCACCCTGGAAACACGACCAATCACAACGCGAAAGAGAACATCTCGCCCAGAGCTGCTCTCGTACCGTGAGTCGCGTCGAAAGAGAAACTCCGACGCTGCAATCGAAGCCACAGTAAATTGACAACAATAGTTTGACGCTTCAACCGTCGCAGCTGTGGGAAAGACAGGCTCCAGCTGGTGAGTGCCAGATCGCCAGCCAGATCAGCATCCTATTGTTGCATTGTCTGGTGGAGCTGGATAAGGTTGGAACAGCCTCCAGACTCACAACAGAATTGTCGCGAAGTAACAGAACTGCCAGTTTCCCCAGAGCCTTGTGCAAACAGAGTTAACAGAATTGTGGACATTAGAGTTTGCCGCTGCTGGAGACTCACGTGCGCCGCTGGGAGGTTGAAGAAAGGTTTTCTGCTGATGTTTTGAGCACCAGCATCCATCACCAGCGACACCACAGACACCACAGACACCACAGACACATCCACAATGTCGTTTTTTCTATCGCAGCTCAGCAATGCCAACGAGGAGGTGGATCCCCAGAAGATGAAGATAGCCGAGATCCAGTTCGACGCTATGGCAAGCACCTTCAACACGTATGTTCCCAACGACCCCAGTGCCAGCGCCAGCACCACTGCTAACACAACCTCCTACCAACAGAATGATGAGAAGCTGCAGAGACAAATGTTTGAGCCATGAGTACGGCGAGAGCGACCTTCACAAGGGAGAAAACGTCTGCTTGGACCGCTGCTTCACCAAGTTCTACCAGGCCAATGCCAAAATTGGGCGCTATGTGCAGACCTCCCACTTCATTGATCCCCTGGCTCTCCCAGCGTACCACGGCTGGCAGGAGATTGTGCACAACAGCTAGTACGGCTTGAGCAGCTTGAGCAACTCCAACTCCCCAACAGCTCCCCCAGCAGCTCCTGCAGCTCCTGCAGCACCAGCCTTGCCGTTGGCAGTGGCGCGTGAGCTGGGGCTGGAGCGTTGTTCCATTTCACGTGCGGTTAGCTTTGGGAATAGTCGACATGAATCCAACTCTAATGCTGCTGGGAGAACAGACTCTATATCCACTGTTCGCTTCTTCAACCTGCTTCCTCCTGTAAATATCTTATAAATACGTTTCTTTCCCCCTGTTTGCTTTTTTTTTCTCTTCTCCAATTCAATTTCTTCATCGCTCTGCTCTGCTGTTTTCCGATTGCCCTCTTGTCTCGCTCTTGCTACCAAAATGCCATCCCACTTCGACACCCTACAAGTCCATGCTGGTCAAACTGATCCAGAATCAAAACCCCATGGTGCCAGAGCTCCTCCCATCTATGCCACCACTTCCTACGTCTTCAAGGACTCCAAGCATGGTGCTGACTTGTTCGGTTTAAGAGTCCCCGGCTACATTTACTCAAGAATCATGAACCCAACCACTGATGTCTTTGAACAAAGAATCGCTGCTCTAGAAAATGGTGCTGCTGCCGTCGCTACTGCCTCTGGTCAAGCTGCTCAATTACTAGCCATCACTGGTCTCTGTCACTCCGGTGACAACTTTGTCTCTGCCTCTTATCTTTACGGTGGTACCTACAACCAGTTCAAAGTTGCTTTCAAAAGATTTGGTATCCAAGCCAGATTTGCTGACGGTGACAACCCAGATTCAATTGCAAGTTTAATTGACGAAAAGACTAAGGCAATCTACATTGAAAGTATTGGTAATCCCAAATACAACGTCCCAGACTTTGAAAAAATTGTCAAAATTGCTCACGACAACGGCATCCCTGTCGTTGTTGATAACACCTTTGGTGCCGGTGGTTTCTTTGTCAAACCAATTGACCATGGTGCTGATATTGTTGTCCACTCTGCTACCAAGTGGATTGGAGGTCATGGTAACACTATTGCCGGTGTGGTCATCGACAGTGGAAAATTCCCCTTCAAGGACTATCCAAAGAAATACCCCCAATTCTCCGAACCAAGTGAAGGTTACCACGGTTTGATCTTGAACGAAGCCTTTGGCAACTTGGTCTTTGCTTTCCACGTTAGAGTCGAATTGCTCAGAGATTTGGGTCCTGCTTTAAACCCATTTGGCTCTTTCCTCCTCATCAATGGTTTAGAAACACTATCCCTCAGAGTCGAAAGACAAGGCAGCAACACCTTAGCCTTAGCCAAATGGCTAGAGGCCTCAGACTACGTCTCCTGGGTCTCCTACCCTGGTTTGCCATCTCACCCATACCATGCAAATGCTAAGAAGTATCTTAAAAACGGTTTTGGTGCTGTCTTATCCTTTGGTGTCAAACCCTTCAAAGACCAAGTCACTAACAAAATCGTTGAACTCGAAGACCCATTCAAAGAAAGTGCTGCTGTTTTCGTCGATGGTACCATATTAGCCTCCAACTTGGCCAACGTTGGTGATTCAAAGACCTTAGTCATTGCTCCATACTTCACCACCCACGAACAATTAAGTGACGAAGAAAAAGTAAAGAGTGGTGTCACCAAAGATTTGATCAGAGTCTCGGTTGGAACTGAATTCATTGACGATATCATTGCTGATTTCCAACAATCCTTAGAAAAGGCTTTTGCTAACTACACCTACTAAATCTTTTTCAACACATCCTCTCTAAATTTTCAATGTTAATAAACTTATTAATGTATTAATGTATTAATGTGCTCTATTTCGTTTTTTTTTTTTTCTTTTTCTTTTTCCTCCATCTTGTCTATCTGTTATCTTATTATCTTTCTATCTTATTTCATTTTTCCATTTTTATGCTCAATCTATAGTTTTCAATTTAAACTTTTGGTTAATGATAAATTTTATTCTTGTAGTTCAATAATTCCAATTATTTTAAACCTACTATTTTCAGTTCTTTTTTCGTCCCACTTTTTAGTGTGTGTGTGATTTTTAATCATCTATTATTTTCTCAATAAGTTTTCAAATCAATAACCGTTTTTTTCCAATATATAAACTTTCTCCATTCTCATTCTCACTCTCATTCTTTCAACCTTTCAACCTTTCAACCTTTCTTTTCTTTTCTTTCTTTCTTTATCTTTATTCAAATCATATTCAACTTATAATATATATATATAATAATAATAATAATAATAATAATAATAATAATAATAATAATTATATTACCAAAATGGCTTCTGTTGATTCTGAACTTACTCTTCCTTTCGACCCAATTTCTCCCTTATTCTCTTCAGCCGATGAAATCAACCTCACCAATGAATTAGTTGACACATTTAATGACTTGATTCATAGAAAGAAATCAAATCCCTCAGCTAAATTAAAGGGCATTCCCAATAAGAACATCTACAAATCCTTTCAAGATCCAAACATTCTACTAGATAGTTACAAATTTAATGAATGGGAATACAGCAATTCAAAAATCCCTCTACCCTGCAATGCTAGAGGTTTATTCCTATTAAACTCAAACAATCTCGACTTGTACCAAAACAACAACAAAATTGTCATTAGAGGTTATGACAAATTCTTTAATACTGACGAAGTCCCCAAAACTAAATGGTCAAACTTATACCAAAATTCAATTGGCCCTTATGAACTCACCTTGAAAGAAAATGGCTGCATTCTTTTTATTTCGGGTTTAATCAATGGCAATTTAATTGTAACTTCAAAACATTCAACTGGCTATAGACATGATATAGAAAAAAACCATGCTTTGTATGGCAAATTATTACTAGAAAAACAATTGTCTCAAAAAAATATTAACCAGTCTTCCTTTGCAAAATTACTAAATAAATATAATATCACTCTAGTAGCAGAATTATGTGATGATAGCTTTGAAGAACACATTATAAGATACTCAAAGAAAAACTCAGGTTTATATTTGCATGGTATTAATTATAACTCCAAAGTCTTTCAAACTTATTCAATTCAAAAAGTCCATATATTCGCTGACGCTTTTGGTTTCAAAAAAATCAAATACTTGATCAAAGATAATATTAAAGACTTGAAAACCTTTTTGGATAAATGTGCTGAGACAGGTACCTACAATGATAAAGAAATCGAAGGCTTTGTCATTAGATGTAAAGAAAAGGATACAAACTATGATTTCTTTTGGAAATATAAATTTGATGAGCCTTATCTTATGTATAGACAATGGAGAGAATTAACAAAAAGCTACATTGCTGGAAAACCAATTAATTTACTTGTCAAAAAAATCTTTAAACATAAAGATGTTTCAACTGAATACTTAAATTTTGTTATCCCAATTTTAGATAATAACGAATTTCTAAAAATTCAATACACTAAAGGCCATGGAATTATTCAACTAAGAGAATTGTTTTTAAAACACACAAAAAAAACTGGTGTTGAATTAGCAAGCATCAACGACAACAATGAAGAAGAAAGTCTCAATAATAACAACTATCATGGGGAAAATGAAAAAAATTCTAATCTCAATAGGAGGCAAATTTTATTAAAAGCTCAGAAAAATAAAGATTATCTAAAAAACTACCCAGATTTGGAAAATGATATCAACAATATTGTCAAAGAATTTGAGCAATTAGTTTTGAATGAAAAGGATTCATCGTATATCAATACTGGATATCAAAAAAAATCAATTGATACAGATGAGAGTGCTACTAAAACAATCACCAAATATGTTATAATTCCTGTGGCTACAATTGGGTGTGGTAAAACAACAGTCTTTTTGACTTTGAAAAATTTATTTTCAAATTGGGGTCATGTTCAAAATGATGATATACCTCTTGGAAAGAAAAATAAAAACAACCTAATTGATAACTCTCTCAAGTATCTAGTAAGTGATATTGAAAACTATAAAGGTGATAATTTAATCGAGCCTAATGTCATTATGATTGACAGAAATAATCATCAATTTAGAGAACGAAAACAACTTTTCAATGACTTGGAAAGATTTAAAGTTAAATTTTTTAAAGATTATTCCAAAAATGTGGATTTTAAGTTTATTTGCTTGAATTTTTTACCTGGAAAAGATAACCAAACTGCAGATTATTGGGATTTAACAACTTCAAGAGTCAAAGCAAGAGGAAATAATCATCAGTCAATTAAAGTGAACAAAGATGGCTACGATTTTGCTCTCAAAATTATGAATGGTTTTAGAAGCAGATTTCAACCAGTGAATAAAATAAGAACACCCGATAGTTTGTTTGATTTGGTAATAGATTTGGAAACTCACACTGAAAACAGTTCAAGAGAGAATGTTGTCACTATTTTAAATAACATCGGCCAATATTTTCCTAAAATGCTCTTAAACAACGACCAAACAGATATTCAATTGCCATCGAAAGAAGAAATTGATGTTGCTTTTATGAGGGCTTTAGGTTATACACCTACTGTTGAGAAGGTATTCAGAAACACTGAGAATAAAGGTAAAGATAATAAAAGAGAAGATAAAGATAGTAATCAAACATCTTTGCCCAAGAAAAAAAAATTAAAACCTTTTTTTTTTTCTATAAATATTGATGACAAAATTTCCTTTTTAAAAAGCGTGAAAAGTATAATTTTAAAATCAGGCATATCAAATGATAGTAATTATTCTGGTCCTGAAAGTGTTTATCATCGGTTGGAGCAAACAAATAGAATTCAAAATTCATTTCATGTTACATTAATCCATCAAAATCTATACAAATCCAATCAAAAATTGAAATTAAAGTCGCAGAATCCAGTGATAAATCAAATTTGGACTAATTTTGAATCTGAATTGTCCTTGATATTAGAGGGCTCATATGTTGTTGAAAAAAATGAAAGTTTTTCTTTTATTCGACTACCTTTATTAGCTAATATCAAGCCATACAAAATTGTATGGAATAAAAACCTTGTTTGTGTTGCAGTTAAGATAGTCTCTGTATCCCATGAAAATAGCAAGAGTGAAAATCTCATTGAAAGGTTCAATTGTGTGAATGAGATACCACATATCACAATTGGGACAGTCTCATCTTCCATCAAGCCCTTTGCTTCAAATGCTTTACTAAACAAGGCAAAAGCATTTCTTGATAACGAATTTGAAGGAAAGTTCAATTCCGAAAATGAAGAAGTGTTTGTTTTAAATTGGCCTGATGAAGAAAGCGATTCCAAGATTTTCGAATATTTACCAATAAATGCTATAATTTAGATTTTTGAATAGTAAATAGATTATATTATAAATTACAGGGTTTTTATGCTCTGATCTTCATACTACGAAAGCTATTTTGGTCATCAATTATCTATAATTTCTACTAGTATTTTGATAATTAAATGATTTTATAAAGCCATTAAATAAATTGTATACAATTATTTTATTTTTGAATCTTTTACATCTAGGTAATAAACTACAAATAACAATTTTAATTTGAATAAGTAAAAATAAAAACCATTGTTATAATGCACTTGATTATAAAAGCAGTTATATAAGAAAAGAATATTTAAGAAGAATAATTAATAGTTAGTGGAATATTTAACAAAAGGGCCAATTTAAATATCGTCAATTAATTTTTTTGAATCTTCAGCTGAAAGACTTTTTTCGATGTAAACCATTGCTTTCTTAATAACCGCCCCCCAAAGGTCTTTTATATCAAGCAACTCTTTGCTCAAATATTTTACAATAAGGGCAGTTAATTTGAGAGGATCATTTTTAAAAGATTCCTTTTTAGCATTAGGCGTCTTCGAGACCTTTATGATTTCTTCTAATATATCAGCAGAGCATATCTTAAATGAACCATCAAACTGCTGATTTTTCACTAACTGAATTAGTTTTTCGTTGGAACTCAAACCAGAAAAGTTGTTAATAGAAGCATTCAGTGAATTGAAAGAGGGAGTTTCATATCCTCGAACAGCAGGGCTTAAATCAAAGCTGGAGGTTTCATTTATGTTATTATTATTGTCATTACTATAATCTGAAGATGAAGTTTGAAGAAATGAACCAAATTGAACAGGTGGTGAAGATAGTTCTTTTTTTTTCTTGGAATCTTTTTTGGAGGTAGATTTTTCTCCAAAAGAAAATAAGCCAGGCACAGAAAAGCCCTTTGATTTTTTAACAACATCAGTTTCTAGAACAGGAGACTGTTGCAACTGAAAAGATTGAAACTGTTCCTGGGCACCAAAAGAAGCAGTTTTTTGAATTTGATTTTTCCTTTTAAACAATCCAGCACTCTGAGGTTTAGCTGCTTTAAAAGCAATCAGAAAAGAACCAGGTGGTGGTGGTGGTGGTGGACTGGAGAGACTAATAGAAGTGGTTCGAACAGCAGAACCAACAGCACCCATAGGAGCCGATAACATATGAAATTGGTGAGACTTACGAGATCGGTAGGTAGCATAAGGATTGAAACCTCTTGAGATTCCAGAGGACAGTGTTTCAAGAGACACTTCTGCTAAGGTTTTCTCATCAACATCGCTCTCATCACCATCAATAAATTTGCCCTTTTCTTCAATTGACAAGTCGTCCTTATCCTGAGCAGCAGAAATAAAATGTTCACTTTTCTCATTCATGACAGCCAACAATGATGTCCATTTAGAGAGCAAACTGAATCGTAGAGCAAGCTGAGCCTTAAATGGTCCATTGGCTGTGTTGTTTGGGTCATCTTTAAGGGCTTCTTTAACACCCATTCTAACAATCAAATCACTTATTTTAGGTGAAATGGGTTCTTTATTTAGTGGCGACTCAAGTTCAAGTAATTTACCTGAAATGGGGTTGAGATATGATAAAGAAATGGTATCATAATTTTTGATATTGAATTTTTGATCATGAAAGAAGACATAGAAAGTGTTTCTATGTTCAGAATAGACTTGAAAATTTGATGGGAAAATTGAATAATCGTTACTTTTTTTATTGAAATCAAAATTTAAGAACGACTTGTGTTTTTTGTTGTTAGGATTTTTCACGTTTGAGAAACTCAAATTTTTCTCAAATTTGTTATTAAGCTCAATCAAAATATAATCATCATCATCAATGTCATTTTTGTTTTTGCTTTTATTGTCTTGTATAGTTGAAATTTCATTTTTGAAAGTTATTTGAGCATAGGTTAAGGAAGAAGATAAAACAGAATTTAACATTTTGATAATTTTCAATTCCATTCTTTCATCAGATTGAATATACTGAGAGTAACCATCACCATTTAAAGAGATTTTGTCAACTAAATCATGAGAAACTGAATCACCAACACCAATTGAAAAATATCTAATTGAAGAATTTTGAAAAGTTTTATTTTTGTTTTCAATTGAGAATTTTTTTTTAAAGGTATTAATTTCCGATTCGACTTGATCAATGTTCCAAACTTCACCATCAGTTAATAAAATGACTTCAGTTTCAATAAATTGATTAACATTTTTTGTTGGTTTATTTTTTTTCAAAAAGTCTTCTACTAGAGAGTTTACTTTTTTAATTGCTTTTAAAATTTCAGTACCTCCCATATCAGCCAGAATTGAGTCAGTGTATTGTTTGATTTCATTATGAATTGACTGAGAGGTGATCGGTTTTGACTGACCCCATAGAGATGAGACATCTGAGCCAAAAGATACCAAATTAATAGAGGTATTGTCTTCGAAAGGAAAAGAAGCGATGAATAAGTTCAAAGCATCTTTTAGTAATGCAATTGGACTTCCATACATTGAACCGGATCTATCTAAAAGGAAGATGATTTGTTTTTTGACAATAGACGAATTACTGGGAGCAAGATTATTGTTAAATTCGGGCAAAACAGATAAAGCAAGACATGAGTTGTAAGGGAAATTTTTAGATAATAAATCATTTGAGGAAGGAATTTCGAAATTGTTTGATAATGCAGATGATAAGTGACTTGATATGGAGTTATTTGGATATATTATTAGAGTATAGTCTTTGAAAATGTTATAATTGTGATAAAAAATGACATTACGATCACCAAAATTGGGAAATTCATGAGAAAAACTAACTTGGTCAGTATTAACAAAAGTGTCATTTGAATTTAATACATGGCTTGAAACACATTTAATTTTTTTAATTTTGTTTATAAATTTAGTGGAAATTGATACAGTATTTGGAGTTTGGATATTAAGCAGTGAGGAAAGAATTTTATGATCGTTTTCTGTCAAGCTGTGAATTGGGTTTTTGGCATCAGTTGCATCATTATCAGATGCATCAATAGAGGGTGATTCATTGGAGTTATATCTGTCATGGACACTCAAGGGGATAGTATATCTGAAGGCGTTATATTGGTTATCATATTTTAGAATAGTATCGTATTTCAAGTCCACTTTGACAATACAATTCAGGGGCATATTACCCAAAGTGATATCAAACGCATCATCAGTTAAATGGGTAGTTAGAGCAATTGAATTTGACTTGTCATTTGTGATTATCTCATCATAAATCTTTTCGGCCTTTGCCTTTAGATAGCATTTGCTTTCAATTACAATCGGTTTCTTTGAGTTATCAAGTGGAATGATAGTGAATTTGAAGTTATAAATTGATGATAAATTTTGAACTGGATGAGTGAATTGATATTGGTTGGGTTCGTTTGCAGATTCTTTTCCATCTTTTCCATCTAGTGATTGAACATGATCAATTGAGCTAATTTTGTAGACTTGTTGAATAACAACGTTGGAGTAGAAGTCGTCACAGACATTGGAGTCGATAGATAACGATACCAATCTGCAGGCCGATTTCAATTGACTGAGATGGGGAAGGTAAGGAGAGGTGACCGGAAAAAGCATCTGGAGTAAGTAGCAAGCAAGACGAGCAAGGATGATTGTGCGGACAGAAAGTGTGTGTTAAAACAAGAGCAGTAGTGGAAAGCAGCAAACAGAATCAACAGAAGTGATGAAAGAAAGCTGTATTTATATTATTTCAACATAGACCTGGTTGAAGCATAGCCCAAGCGATACGTGATTTACTATTGTCTCATTTCCAAATACGGTCTATTAATCAAAGAATTTGAAATCATGTTGGAGCGGTCGAAAAGGACCCCGGTTCTGTCTTCTGCAAACATGCCTCTATTGTTCTGCATCCATGCAGCCATCACACGTCAAGTTGCACAACAAGATGAGATATACAGCAGGACACGCAGCACCACGCGATAGCACAGGCCTTGTCCGTCAGGATTACCAAAACATACGCCACTGCCAGCACGCAAGGGTCTGCAGGGGGTCTGCGGTGACCGCTTGAGCAATGCCACGGGCGTGACCGTGACCCGTGACCTGCTCAACGATAAGAACGTGCGATAAGCCTTTGTGTCCCGGTGGAGCATGTGCGGTCGAAAAGCGGTCGAAAAGGCTCACAAAGACCCAGATAAACACTGCTGAACCTGAATAACCTCTTCTCTTTTTCCCGCCAAATCGCATCATCTCAAATCATTTCTAATCATTTCAAAACCACTATTGGATTGGAAATCATTCAGCTTGTTTTTTGCTACATTTTTATTTTTAACTCAGACCTGATACTGGTATTCCGTATATTCTCTATCAACCCTTGATCCCTCTCACTTGTTTATCATAAATACTCTTGATATCCTCAGTGTTCTTTTCCTGTTTCTTATTGTGTCTTTCTTAGTCTTTCTCAGTCTTCACCATCTTTTCTGCTTCCCTATTCTTCACTGAATCCTATTCGACATGAGTGCCTACTTCAGAAACATCTTTACCTTTAATCCTCGTTCATCAACTAATCCTAACGGCGTTGAGGCTGCTGCTCCTGGTTATATAACTGATAATGGCGAAGCTGTTTTTGAGCATAGAGTCTTATCAATAGTTGATGCTCAACAAGACAGTGACACAGCACAAAATAGCCACAATAACAGTGCCCACGGTGATGATAACAATGTTGGTGCTCTCGAAGAAGAAATATCAGAACTAGAGACTGATCCCTTTGTCGAAATCAACTTAAATCCTTTAACTTATGCTCAGGCTGCTTCTTTAAAACCTGGTATTAGTGTTGATCCTCCACAAAATTCCAGCATCTTGAAACCAATAAAAGTCTATTCTCCTCCAATCTTTCCAGACGATAATATAGCTGACAATTTAAATAATCGAAAGATTTTAAATCAAATAATCAAACAAGAAATCCAAATCGATCATAACAACTATAAAATAAACCAAATTCAATCAATCCAGGACTCAATAATTAAAAGCGCTCTGGAAAGAAACAAATACATTAACTACAATAGTGATCTAATTAATGATATTACATATTATGACTATAATGATATAACTCCTTTTAAAAAAAACAAAAAAAACATGAAATTTGATAATAATAATACTTTTATAACTTCAAAAAAACTAGGTAATAGAATATCTGTTCACTATTAGTCTTATTATTAGACCAAATTAAATAAATGCGATTTTAATGTTAATGTTGATGCTGATGCTTATGCCTTTGCTGATACTATTTTTCTTTTCTTTTATCTTATCTTATGAAGTGTTTAAAGTGTTGTCTCTTTCTATTTACTTTTTTTCTCAAATACCGCTATTTCTTATTTATTTCTTATTTTTTTATTTTTATTTTTTATTATCTTTTTACTCTAATTTTTTTACTCTTACTTTTTGTTCTTGTGTTTCTTTTAGGTTTATTTATTTATATTTGTGTTCTTCCAATAACTAGAGATTGTTAAATAGATGCAATAGATAAGGAAATTGTTAGGTTACCCCAATCCGGTAATCTACCGCAGTCCTGGATTTTCTTTTTTTTTCTCGGAATTAAAACCTTTTATTGATACCAGGTTTTTGATTGTATTTTTTTTTTACTTTTTATTTTTTTTAACTTATAAATGAATAATTAAATAAATTTGGTAAACGAATATACTAAATGAACTTTTAAATGAATTTTTAAACAATTTTCCTCTTCAAAACATGATCTTCAGCTATTATTGTTGCTTCCATTTTATTTCTCACTCAATTTCCCACTTACGTTTCTTGACCCAAATCGATGCGTCTTTAATCTTCTTAATCCACCTCCAATATTAGTAACAACTTTGTCATTTGCAATCTTAAAATTGCTCTTTAAAATCTTACTTTGATATGAATTAATAGAATTATTAATATTTTTTTGTAGCGCTTTTAATTGTCCCTTTTTCTCATTGATCTCTTGCGAAACTGATTCTTCCAATCTTGAAATATCCTCTCTTTTACTCGTTAAAAATTCCTTTTCAATTTTTTCATTCAATTCAACATCTTTCTTCTTTTCCTCGTTATAAAAGTTTTTATAATCATTACTCAATAACTTGAGATGATTAACCATATGATCTTGATTGGTTTTATTCAAAATGTACGATTCTCGTTTACTATTCAATTCAACAGTGCTATTTTCATTAATCTCTAATAACCTATTAATACCATTGCTACTACTGCCATTAGTAATTCCACCTTCACTATCACTGTTCTTAACCGTATTACCAACTAATATAGATTGATATGTCTTTTCATATGTTTCAAATTTGATTTTCCATTCGTCTTTATATTCTTCAATTATTTTTCCAACTTCTCCGTCTTCATACTCTTTGATTAACTTGTATGTATTGTCAACTGAAAAATTCTCATCTTTAATTATTTCCCTAGCGTTATTTTTATTAGATGTTTGACTTTCTTCAGTCTTCAAAAAGCTTAATAAATTATCAACATTTTCCTTTTTAGAATTATACTTGTTATTAACTTCATCGAATTCCTCATTTAATTGCTCAATTCTATCGTCCCTTTCTTTAATATCCAAGTTTAGGTTGTTGATCTTATTCTCTTTAAACTCTAAATCTCTTTGCAAAATTTCATTATCGTTTTTAAGTTTTTTATAATCTTTTTCAATTTTTTCAGTTGTTTTATTTTTTTCTTCTAATTGTTTGATTGTTTTGTTTTGTTCTTCTAATTTTTCAACTATTTTGTTTTTCTCTTCCAAGATCCCATCAAGTTCGGTTTTCAATTCATTTTCTTTCTTATAATGTGACTCAATCTCAGTTTTCAATTCATTTTCTTTATTATAATGTGATTCAATCTCGGCTTTTAAAAATTTGATTTCCTCGTTTAATGAATAGATTTTCTTGTTTAATGATTCAATAATATCTCTTTCGTTTTTAAGATCAAGAATTTGTTTTTCCATTTCGCTTCTATTGAATTCCAAGCCAAAAATTTTCAAATTTCTTTCGTTCAATTCATTGTTAATTGATTGGTTTTTCTCCTTTAAATCGGTTATATCTTTAATGTATTGTTGAATGGTTATTCCATTAGTTTCATTGAGATGATTGAGACTATCAACTAATTTATTTTGTTCTAATAATTTTTTATTGGTTTCTTCAACTTGATTTTTTAATTCTGAAATATCATCTTCAGTGTATTTATAAAGGATCTTTTCTTGAATTGAATCAGTGGTATCTTTATTTGTAAATAACTCGCGTGTTTCAAAAGTGGGAGTGCTTGGAACAGTTAATGAATTAACGTCAGATACATCCAGATCTAATTTGTTGTCAGTATCTTGATTTTCATAGTTATTTTGTTTATTCTTTTGAGTATTTTTGATATCTTTGGTGTCATTAATATCTTTATCAGATATTGACCTTAAAGTAAGGTCTGAATTATTATTTGTTTGTGATTTTGGTAGTGGTTTAGTTTGATTGTTATTGTTAGAATCAATTTTTTCAAGATTGTTTTCGGAATAGAGTGGAGAGAGAGGTTGAATAGTTTCATGTGAAAGTGGTGGGTTTCCATTAGATGAAGGTAATGTATCCTTTTGGATATCATTGTTATCAAATTTGATTGATTTTTGATCTTCAGGTAATTTGATCGATTTTTGGTCTTCAGATAACTGAAAGGGATTGCTGGAAATATTTTGAGCATTAGATGGTGAGGGTAGATTTGAGTGAATTAAGGGATCGAATAAGACTTCGGTTTTAGGATCAGGAATGATTTCGTTTTGGCTATGGTTTTGAATATTGGATGATTTATTTTTAAGGATATTAATGTCAAGAGGTTTAACTGTTGAATCATTTGGGATGCCAGTAAACTTTTCGAGAGAAATTAAGGAGTTTTCTTTTATATTTTCATTGACATTTTCATTATTAATTTCTTTTGGTTTAATTTCTTTTGGTTTGATATCTATTAATGAAATTTCTTTTAGATTTGGTTCGAGATTGATATCTGATTTGTGAGTATTGAGAGATTGAATTGAAGAATTTTTGGTTAATTTTTTAATTGGCGATTGGATCTGAGACTCCGCAGATCTTTTAATATGATTATCTAAAGAGTTTTGGTCTAAAATATTTTGAATTGGTAAATTTTGAATTGGTAAATTTTCAACAGGCAAGTTTTCGGAGGATGGCTTTGCACTCGAGTGCTTTCCGTTTGGGGAAAGTGATCTGGTAGATTGATCATTGGATGAGTCTTTTGTTGTAGGTTTAGTTGAATCAATAAGTGAAGTTTCAATTGGAGTTTCAATTGGAGTTTTAATTGAAATTTCAGTTGGAACTTCAATGGATTGTTCTTTTTCTGATGACTGGTTTTCGATTGAATCTTTCTTTTCTAAGTCGTTTTCAGGCAAAACCTCATTATGTGGATCATTGATAATTTTCTTTTTAATAATAGTAGTTGCAGTCTCCTTTTCAGTGGGTTTTTCAGTGGATTCGGGAATAGGGTTTCCAATGGATTTTTCAATAGGAATCTTTGCAGACTCCTTGATTGATTTCTTGATGGGATTTTCAGTGGGAGCTTGGGATCTCTTCAATTGGGATTTCAATGAGCTCATCCTTTTGGCAAGAAAAATGTTGAGTATAATTGAGACAAGAGATACAAGGACCAAAGGCAAGCAATAGAACACAGGTATTGTGAGAGCTAGTAAGAGCAGTGGAAGTCTGGAGAGATCAGATGTGTCAAACTGGTGGGCCTGAAGCGATTGAAACAACAGTCTCAAGTCGTTTAACAGATCAGGATGTACAGGAGAGTCAAAGAGCGACATGGTGGTGCAAGATACCAGAGAGTGGAAGTAAACAGTGCGATCAAAAGGGGCAAAAAAGGCAGAAGCAGCAGAAGCAGCAGAAGCAGAAGAAGTAGAAGAAGCAGAAGAAGCTCCCCTGGTTTATATCTGCTCCTCCAGACTCCGCCGCCTCGCTCCCTGTTCCTCGCGCGCCCTCACCGCGCCGCCCCACTGGGAATGCCACAGCCATGGAAATATGCAAGCCCGCACCCCACGCACAGACTCAGACAGGCACGTGCTGACTCGGTCCGCTCACATGACTCGGATCACGTGCTTCTCTGCGTTTTATGATGCTGCTGTGGATAAGGTTTTCTGTGCTTCCTGTGCTTCCTGTGCTTCCTCTGCGCTATGTCCTCCACCAACTCGCCCTCAGGTCGAGTGCTTCGACACGCTCCCAAGCCGCACATTCCCTTTACTCCCGACACTGCTCCCGGACGACGCCCCAACCGCAGCTCGCCCACCTCTAAACGAAACTCCTTCATCATCAACTCCCACACCTCCACCTTGGGCACCTCTGCCATTTTCAACAGCGAGCTCAATTCCGAGCCAAACAACGCCAATAATCTGGCCAACTCTGCGACCCCTGACAACGCCCATGCCTCTTCCTTTGTTTCCAGCGACACCTTCAGAGTCGCTACCAACAACTCCAGCAAAATCACTCCAGTGCAAATCTTAACTCAAAACAACCTCAAGTCAAATAACTACTACCAAATCAAGAACATCTTCTCCAATTTCCACCAAATCGATAACAGCAACGATCACGATTACAAACAATACATATTACTAAACAATGTAAAGTCTGTCAAAAACGAAATCCCCTTCAACTACGACGCCATCCCTGGCTCAGGCACCCAATCTGTCACCAAACTAAACAGAATTGTTTTTTCTTTAAATACGGATCTAGCAAACGAAATTAGATGGGCGCTATTGCAATTGATCCAACTATCCACTCCTCCTCCAAATTTGAACCAAAATCCAATCCAAAACTCAATTCCAAACCAAATTCCAAACACCATCACTCTCAACTTGAAAAAATTGTCCTTTTTAACTGAAAAATTGGTCTACCATTATACTTATTTTCCAAACTACTACATTCTTCCTGAAAATATCAACAAAATCAATACCCCATTCTTGCTAGAAGATTCTGACCTAAAATTCGTTCTAGAAAACTCTCTAAATTCAGCTCTAATCCTCAGAAATATATCTCAAGACATTGAATCGGCACAAATTTTATCCAAAAACACCTCTCTAATCAACGGTTGCTTGAATCTATTGAACAACAAAATCCTATTAAATAGCCTATCCATCAACAACGTCTTCAACTCGATCTTCGAACTATTCGTCTATACCCTCGACATCATAGAATCAATCTCTTCTTTTCTCTGTCCTGCTCCTCATAATGACCCTCTTTTCCTAAAACTACTAAGCTTACTTTCCTCAACCAACGACACCTACTTTATCATAATAATTCTAAGATCTCTTTCAAGGTTAATGGTTAGATCAAACAACTCAAAACTATTTGCCGCCGATAACATTACCTCTGCAATTCTAGATCAAATCATATCTTATCTTCTAATCAACACAGACCACAACTTGATTTTAACATGTCTAGACTTCTTGTACCAATACATTTTGCCTGGCGGAATAAGAATCAACAACCTCCTAAAATCAAATTTTAGATTCGTCACCTTATCCAAAATCTTACCAATGCTATTGAACTATTACCCAAAAAACAATAAAATCTTTACCAACACCTTCAACTCTCTAAAACCTTTTCAATCAACCTCTTTAAAATTAGTGCAAAGAGTCAATGAATCTGTCCCCGAAGTCGCTCAAGAATTACCTCTAGACTTGAGTGCTAAAATCAATCAACTAAATGAACCAGAAAGAGCTTCTCAATGGTTAAAATGCTGCTTTTCAGCCAATCCTGATGGCGAAGTCACCCAAATCTCCCTTTGGAAATCTTACGAAAAGGAATTTTTCCCAGTCTTTCAAGAAACTTCAAAAAAATTACTACAAGCTGTAGATTTCATTAAGAATGTAGCAAATGCTTTTCCAAACAGTGCTGCAATGGTCATCCCCACAGAAAAATCAAAAAGATTCATCATCAAAGGCATCCAACCAAGACAATTTCCAGTTGATTTCGAAACTGCAAACAACGAAGCCCTCAATACTTTTGATCAACAAAAGAGATTGCTTAAACTCAATAACGAAAAATCTTCCTCTCCAAAGCAGGCTCCCGTACAAATCAATGGTCTATTCAACACTCTAACAATCGATAAACTATCCGATATAGCAACTTCAACTTGTACTATATTAAATGCTCTAAGTAAAAATGAAAAGGGAAAGTCTTTTATAAAAATAATCGAATCTGACTTGATCGATTGTATAGGTAGTAATGCTTTCTTATTCGATAAATTAGGTGATTTACTAATTAATTTAGATATTAAAAAATCTTTATAATATACATTTGTCTTTCTCTTAATCTACAAACTAAAAATATAATTTCTATTATATTATAATATGCTATAACATAATATAACATACTATGGTATAATATAATAAAATATAATATACTAGACTGCCTTTATGTCTTCTTTCTTTTCTTGAATTTTATCATCTATTTTCTTTGTTTTGCTCTCTTTCTGACTTTTCTTTGTTTCACTTTTTGTTTTACTTTTTGTTTCACTTTTTTTTTCGCTCTCTTTTTGGCTCTTCTTCTTAACTTTCTCCTTCCAACTTGAATCATAATCATAATTGAAAATGAATGGCTCATTTACAACATACTTAAATCTACTTATCTTTTTTGGACCCCATCCATTTATATTCTCCAATTCATTCCCATTATCTTTCACCAACTCTTTAAAATTCTTAATGCCACTGTTCGATGACACAATCCTTGAAACATCACTCTTATTGATTCCTTTAATCGACGTTAAACAATTCAATAGCCGAGAATAATAATCCTCCTTTAATTCTCCCTTGATACTTATTCCCAATTTCTTATTACTACTGCCCTTATTACCACTAACCGCCGATAAGTTTTTCAAAACACAAATATAATTGCCTGCTTCCTCAAATGACCACGTTAAAATTAATGTAAAATCATTGAATATGCACACCTTCAATAGGCTCTTCAATATCTCCCAGTAATGTGTATTCCCGGAATTCTCAATATCCAATACACACAACAAGATTTTCAATACATTTGTGCTAGAGCTTTGCGCTCCAAATCCAAATTTTTTCAACCTGTTAAAGATATATTCAGGGTGTAATTTGTGGTACCGAAGAGACAAAAACAACACAAACGTCTGGCTATTGATCAAATAATCTGATTGAATCAACGATGTAAACTCAAATGGAACATTTTTAGATTTAATGGTTTGAATCAACGGATTGCCATTTTGCGACTTATTGATTTTTATCTTTGAATGCAACGAAGGAGAATTGAAACCACTACCACCACCTCTTGATCTCTTAAAGTTTTCTGCTGACTGCCTGCCAGTCCCTGACTCAAAACTGCGCTTAGAGTTCGAATTGAAAGACATTGACCATCAAAAACAGCAACAACAGCACCTCCCTAAACTCACCTTTGGTTTCACTGAGTTCAGTTTATTATATCTGCGCTGATCAAACAGGAAATGTCTGTTTTGTGGTTGGCTTCCAGTGAAATATCCCTTTTTCAACAGGTTTATACAAACCATAACTATGCTTTTTCAGCAATTTCGCTGAGTTTGTCCCGTTTGCACAACACAACTCACGATCTGGCCAGAACTCGTTCACACGCTCTAAAACCACATCACATCACTAAGAAAGATCAGTTGTTCAAAATGCCTGCTTCCATCTTAAAATGGCCTACAATCGATCATTGCTCTCTGAGAAAGACTTGAAAAAGGATTTGGACGACATTCTCTACGAGTTGGTAAACAAAAATCTCTCTAAATCTCAATTGGTGCAGCTACACTCTCTACTAATCAGCAAGAACCAACAGCTCTCTGAAAGTCTCAATGAGTATATTGATTTTAAGAACACCTCTTATTTCAATAACGACTTGAATCTAGATTTGATCAAAACAAATCTCTTAACTAGCTTGACTACCTCTTCACAATTGATCAAAATTGTCAACGACCTAAATTACTTGTCTCTAAACTTATCTTACAAAATAAAATTTCTTGATTTGAAAAGAATAAGAGTTAAAAAGACAAAGGAATTTGTTAATAATGTCCAGACATTGAAAAACCATATTGGTATCATTGATCAAGCTATTGCAAATAAAGATTGGCTGAAAGCTGTCAATTCAATGAATATCATTTTAAATTATCTCCCTGATAATTTACTTCATAACAGCAAATTTTCAAATATTATGATTCCCTCTTCTGAAATCCCAGATACCCCATCCATCTTAATAAAAAATTGGAAGGAATTTTTAAAGGGGCTATTTATAGATGAATTTCAAGTAGCTGCAACAAATAAAGACGTTTTAAAATTAACCAAATTTTTCTCCTTTTTCCCCTTGATAAATGAAAAAAAAGATGGTTTGAAGTGTTACTCCAAATTCATTTCCAATTTAATTGGTTCGAATTCAAGATCTTTAATCCAGAATAATTTGATTAATGAGGAAGTGAATAAAAGATTTGGTATATATGGTGCCACTTTAATGAGATTGTGCGAAATCTCAATTAATCTAATCAATCAACACTCAAAAATTATTATCAAAAATTATGATATTTACGCAATATTCACTATTTTGCCCAATTTTCAAAACGAAATTGACTTGCAATCGAATTTAATCTTTGATACCTTTTGGGATAACAAAGAATTGGGTAAAATTCTATCAAAAGTTGTTAACTCAACTGCCAATGGCTTTCAAATTTTAAATCTTTTATTATCCTCAAATTTATCAAATCCATTGTTATCTTTAACTACTAATCAAAATGTTAGTAATTCAAATTTAAATGTAAATCTAATCAACGATGATGATAATAATAATAATAATAATAATAATGATGATGATGATGATGATGATGATGATGATGATGATGATGAATTGTCTGCGATCAAGATTTGTGAGCTTTTTACTGAAATGATTAATTTATTAAATCGATGGTCTTTGTACTGCAGCTTTTTTGCCATAAAATGGAAGGAATATTTAAAAATGTTAAAAGACTATCAACCAAAACAATTATCATCAATCAAACAAAATAAACTAAAATTATTGAACTCAAATATAGATAATAATGAATTGATATGTTATAATAACAATGAGGATGAAATGAATGAAATAAATCAATTTTTAGTTGATCACCATTCCTTTTTATCTTCAAATAGTTTATTGTATTTACCAAAGCCTCTAATTGAATCGTCTTTAAATGCCAAAATCCAAGAACTGTATATCTCAGCTACCAATGTTTTAATCGAATATTATTTAAAGAGATCCTTGGAAAAGATTTTCAAACTTGAAGAATTACCCAAATTATCTGACTATTATACCTCAAGCACTTTATCTGAAACCGATAATACTTTTCCAATTTCTTCCATAGTTGAAGACTCAATTCTAGTTTTAAATAATTGTATAAAACTTACAATTGATTCAGGGCAACCTGTAATTTTGAAAAACTTTATAATGTTTTTATCAAAAGGTTTTCTAACAAATATATTTTTGGGTATTATAACAAAAAAGCTAATTATCAACCAACCCAAATCTGGTTCTTTAATTGACTTGAACAAAAAAATTGTTCCAGAAAATGAAAACAATTCGACTATTGCGATTTCGAGCGCTTCTAATGTTAATAGCAGTGGATTCAATCTTGCCTCCTCTATTCGAAGATCGGCAACTCCGTTAGGAAATTCTTCAATGATGGGAAATATAATGTCCAGGGGAGCTTCTGCTTTAAATTCGTTATCCAGCGATATTGATGATGAAACAAGATTATTTAACTATATTGTGTATTTAAATTCGTTGTCAAGTTTTGCCTCCTATTTGAGAAAAGTTTTAAATAACTATATTGGAGTTTCTCATGGTGGTAATCAGAATCAAGAAAAACAAAGCATATTGCAAAAATCGTATTTGCATCAAAATTTTCCCTTTGGTTCTGATTACGATAAACTTGAAAATATCATCCAAAGCAATTTGTTTGAAAAATTTCTTGATGGTAAAATTGATAAAGAGATTCTTAAAGATTGTATAACTATATTATTTAATCAATGTTTCAAAAACAAATCTAAGATGCTTATTAATGAGTATTTCAATAGTTCCAATTTTTTAATATCACAATTCACATCTTTGAATGAAGAAGACACGATATTGTTTAGCTTTGTAAACAATTGGTCTTCATTGATTCAACCATGTACCAAACTATTAGAACCGACATTGTTCCAAGACTTGTTAAGAAAAATCATTAGTTTGATGAGCTCGTTAATGGAAAAACGGATCTGGGCATTAAATAAAAAGATCAACTTATATGGGGTGATTGGTCTTGAGAAAAAAATCTCGACTATTATAAATGAGCTAACCAAGTTTAATAATTACATTATGAGGAATGAATTTACTAGAATTACACAGATAATTATGATCATGGGATTTGATGATGAAAATGATGAAATTGGGATTGACTGGGTACTAAGTTTAAACGAGAGAAAGAAAGCAAGAGGTTTAAGAGTAGATAGAAGCTAAATTATTTTTTGTCCATTAATTTTACTAAGCAAAACTTTTTTTTTTAGTGCAAGTGTAGATTTGTTATTAAATATTATAAACTAACGTGATTATAATGTATTCAAGAAATGGAAAAAAAAAATAAAAAAATAGACTATTAGAATCAAAGATTTTTAAAAATGTACGTAAGGGATTTCATAAATATTGCTATGATAGAAACAATTTTAGTAGCCCACCAAACGTGTTGTATCTGGAATGGACAGACAGAGTAGTGAAAGTCCCAAAGCTGCTTTTCAGTGTTAAATATACCAGTCATCAAACCAGTGTTTCCGTAGTATTCGCCCATCATCGATCGAACAGTGACTTCTTTGATATATCTACTGGGGTTGGTGATATTCTTGCTAGCTATCCAAACACCTGTATCGATATCTTTGCTGAAATAGTTTTCGCACCCTTCGTGATCATGGCCAGTTAATATCATTCCAGGCTTTCCATTTTTGAAAATCGTATTGAAAATGATCTGGGTCGATTCATTTGATATGAAATTTTGAGCACGAAGAAAGCCCAATTTATATGGCTCTCTTTCAGAGCTTGTCTCATCATAATATTCAGTGTATGGGCCATCAATGCATAAACCTTCTCTTTTATAAAAAGGAATATGTGTTATCAAAACCGTCGAGCCATTGAATTCTCTCTCATCTAGTCTTTTCACAAAGTCCCAAGTTTCCTCAAGAAATCTGTCCACTAAAGGTGGCCCTTCCAAAGCCATTGTATTTAAAACCACTAATCTCCAGGCATGGGAAGTGTTCTTATTATACTCAATCCAATAGTTGTCTTTTCCAAATAATTTCTTGTATCTAGCCATATGTTGCCATGTTATATCGCCACTGTAGCCAACATCATGGTTTCCAGTGATATTTATAAACAATGCATCCTCTCCTGGTTCTGTCAAAGACGAATTGGTCCAGTCATACACGTCTTCATAATCATACTCAAGGGTGTCAAAGGGAATGTTTAATGTCTTTTCGTAGTAGTCCATCCAGTCGCAGTGATCATGGTTGTTGATGAAGTCAAGAACATATTCAGTGTGTCTTTCAGGCTGGGGAAATAATCTCGTCAAAAATCGTCTTGTTCGATTAAAATACTCGCTGTCTAAAATCCATTGAGAAGAAAACAAATCTCCCATAACTGAAATATGGGTGGGCTGCAATCTTTTTCGCATGACACTAGCAATATGGCCCAAGTAATAATCATTTCCATAGTTATCCAATCTCTTTTGATAAGGGGTATCAGGCCAGTTGCCATTTATTTGAGGATCACCAAATGCGAGCAATCTAATGTCTCGGACTGGTTTTAGCTTGTTGGCAGCTTGTTCTTCATCTTTTAAATAATACTGGTAAAATAAGTCTCCAAAATAAGGAATATCACTGACTTGTCTCTGAAAGAATCCTCTGTCTCGATTGATAATCTCTCTTTTCAAGGATTTTTCAGTCACCCACGAACATTCTCTGGCACTGAAACTTGGGTAGGTGTAGATATAGATGTTCATCAGCACAGCCAATGCTATGATCACTTTGGAAAACGATCGTATATACCCCATTTGCAAAATCCTTTCTTGTTCTTTCAGCCAAATCAACGAAATATCTGACGATTGTGTGGATGTGTTAGTATATATACCAAGTTCTGGCAGCTGGAAGAAGAACAGCCATTGTGAATATTTCACCATCAAAAGCGAAAACGGCGAAACGTGGTGGAAGCCTTTACATTTTAACTTTAAGGGTAGATCAAAATTTTAAATATTCACTAAACAACAAAAAAGAATTAAAACAACTATATAAAGAATACATGGAAAACAGATATTATAAAGCTATCAAGGTCTTTAATTCGTGCCTCTCCAGTTTCCCTGCCCATAGCTTGGCCTGATATGACTGTTGTGAGCACCATATCGTTGAAACGACGGTTGGTGGTTGGTGGGAGGAATAGCATAGGAATTGATGTCAGGAGCAGCACTCCTGTTCATTCTGTTCTTCATTAGCTGTTTGAACCCATTTGTTAGCTCATCCACAGACGAATAGTTGTAGTTGTCCAACAAATAGCCATCGGGAACAATTTGAACGTGAATAGTGTAGACTTTGGAGTTAACGTTGGTTTTGTAGAGCAACAAAAACCATCCGGCGTGCTTGTAATCAAAGCAGAAAATATAGCACCCTTTGCTAGGATTCGTCTTGGAATAAGCATTGAGAAAAGCCTCCACGGTTTCTTTTCCTCCAAGCTTGAACTTTTCATGATTGACCATTCTATCAACATTTCTTGAAAGTTTTTTGATATGATTTTCAATCAAATCATCTAGATCGGAATACTTGGAACTTCCAATGCTGTATATCTTTGTACCATCTCTTTCTCTGCCTTCCACAACATCTAGATGCTGGAAAAGGTCCTTATCAACTTTCCAAGTAATAGCCAAATGATCTTCGCCTTTAGAGGATGGTCTAATCACAAATTCCCCTCTACTCAATCCTTTGAGATACTCCACTGCTTCTCGTGCATTTAAATTCTGGAAAAAGGCATGTCTCACAAACTTCTTAGCTCTTCTTTCTGCATCAGCTCTCCTACGTTCTATTTCTTTATCACGAGCCTCAGCATCCACATCCCATTGTTCATCTTCTTCTTCATGTCTTAAGACATCATTGAGTGTGGGATTCTTCACATCTTCCGCCAAAAGACTACCTTCGCATTTAAAACTGTCATAGTTGACCTCCATTATTTTCACCTGCACTGTTTGCAAAGGTCTGTATATTTCATGAACAGATGAAGATTCTTCTATTTTCATTCTTTCTGCATTCACATTACAATCAACCGAAAATGCAGTTTGACCCGAAATAAATCGCGAGTTGACATATCTTATTTTCATTGGAATAACAACACCGGGATAAAATGTATCTTCAGTTTCTCCAGTCAACGCTGTGAAAACCTCAAATTGATCCATAATATGAAACCCGCGCCTGATTTCTTCATAGTGATTTTGAAGCTCATCTTTGATCATTTGCAATATAGTCTTCTTCTTTTTTTTATATTTCACTTCTAGTTCCTTGGCATATCCTTCTAAGATTAAATCGTTTAATTTGTTGGCTCCCTCTTTCATCAATTGTCTAATAGGATCCACATCGAAGAGATCTTCCTCGTCCAAATCTAAAGCATCTGTTGCCATTTTCCTTGCCAACTCATAATCTTCAGGATGAATTCTGGTTTCATCCAATATATCAACATCTTCTTCAGAATGTTTATTAACCCTAGTAGTCTGTATAACCTTCAAAAACGAAGAACAATTGAAAAAAATATTTTTTGTAGTCAATTGATTAAGAATTAATTGCTGTCTATTCGACAAATTATACTCAATTTTCTGAAGAGATTGTAGAAGACCAGACGCTTTTCTAGGTCCTAAACCACAGACATATTGTAACGCTGCAGCAACGTAAGGCTCTCTCACCGCTTGATTTATATCGACCCCCACCATATTCACAACATCAACAAATGATGATTCAATAGCTTCTCTTAATCTGTCTTCAGTTAAAAGATTTTGATGTTTATAGAACGAAATAGCTGTTATGTCATTTCCCAAAGAGATGTATTCTAATAATGGAGATTGCAAGTAACGACACAATGCTGTACAATATCTGGCAAGAGTAGACTTTCCAGGATATTCTTTCTTGGCCCTGATAGACAGTTGATAAAGCTTAGCAACATCATCAGGAACCCAGATAACCTCTATTATTGGCGCCTCTCCTCCTTCATAAGATCCAAAATTTGCTTCTGGGTTGCTGCCATCTACTCTTAGACCTTTGTCTCGAATTACTTCCTTTATTACATCAAATAATTGTTTGGATTTTGCATTATATCCAGCAATACCAATTATATCGGGTTTCACACTTTCTATGAATGAGGCAAAGGAATCTGCAAAAGCAGCATCTCTTAATGGATTTTCTCCAAATTTAGCAAAATTCTTAGCTTCCCCGAACTCGTTCATGTAGGCAGCAACAATTGCCTCATTACCAAAGTTCCCTTCTCCACAAGAGATAGCTACGCACGTAGGAACCGTTCCAAATACAAATCCAGGGGGTTGATATGGCGCTTGGTTTAACTTTCTAGTCACTTCTTTTCTCACTTTGAAAAATAATAGTTTTTCACATTCTTTTCGCAACTCTTCTTTAATATGGAGAGACACCAATGGTTCCAATTTTTTCATCATCAAATTCAAGCAAGCTCTTCTAAGCTCATTCCAGGTATTTGCAACCTCTGAAACACCTTCACTTGCAACATATTTGTTGAAAATATGGATAAGCAATAAACTTCTGGAAACCAATGTAATATGGACATCAACATAATTCAATGATTCTGCTTCAAGCATCCTTAAAAACAAATCGGGCTGTTTGATTAATTGCGACATTGTTTTTTTGATCGAATACTTAAAATCCGCATATGGAGAAGTTTTGTCAATTTTGACTTTACCCTTTTCTGTTAGTTTTATATCGACTGTTGCAAATTCGGAGTAACCATCCCTAACAACAGTTCTTAGTCTATTTTGATAAAACATTTCATCGGCATAGATTTTTTTAACAGCTTCCATTGCATACTCTGGGTTTTTGTACAAAGCATTGGGTTTTGCACATATTTCTTTGATCATATCTTGAGGTGATTGGGGGGCATCTTCAACAAAATGAACTCTTGCATCATCTTTATTAATGTTATCAGCTATTTGATGAGCAGAGATGTTCATCGACTTTACCACGTCGTAAAGCTCGTTGTTTCTAACTCTCTCATACAAACTGAATTTTGTATGTCTTCTTCTTCTAGAATTTTGTTTGGACAGAGAAGCTTCTTTTAATTCTTGAGAATAATTAAATGACAAATAATCATATAAATCTTGCAATTCGTATATTTTATTAGCAGCCAAAATAGACTCTGAGAAAATAGGATCATCTTTGTTAATCATTTTAAATAGTCTTTCAACACTCTTCTTTTTGATTAGAACATTGTGATATTCAATATCTAATTGTAGAATTCTCCATAAATCATCTTCAGACAACAAGGTCTCCGCCGCTGAATGAGTATTTTCGGGAGAGTAGTCATCGTCGTTTTCTTCATTTTCATTATTACCAGATTCAGAATAAAGTAGATAATCTGACCTATGAGTAAAAATAAAAGGTATTTCCAATTGATCTATACAAATGAATTCTAAAACATGACCAACAGCCACAATGAAATGAGGCAATAAATGAGAATTTGAATCAAAAAAAGAGGTCTTTTCAGAGGCAAGAATATTTGCCACCCATTCTTTCTCATTTGCAAAATCAAATGTAGACAATTTATAGTCATTTATATCACCGAGTTTTGATCTTAGTATTTGATATCTTTCAGGTATGTCTTCAACACGGATTTTGTTATCTTCCTCTGTAATCATTTTTTCTTTCAACTCACTGGGCTCGAATATGTCTGTCAATAGTGGAAGATTTTTTTCTTCATCCTCTTCTTCATAGTATTCATCGTGATCGTCTGCTTGTTTTTCCATTTCTAAAGCCCATGAATATTCTTCGCCGTTTCCAAAAATCTCATATAAAACATCTAGATTTTCTTGATCAATTTCATCATATTTTGCATTTGGTTCGCCAATCATTTTCAAATTTTGTCTACGTTTGTTGGGCACTCTATTGTTCCTTTCAATTTCTTCTTCAGAATAATCATTTTCAATAAAATCATCAAATTCACCTTTATCTGGATGTCTTCTTGAGTATGCTTGAGAAGGAGCCTCATCAGGTTCTTCTATTTCACTCAAATCATCATCATCTGAAAACATAGCATCTAGCCCATGTTTTTCATTACGCATGTCATCATCGTCGTCGCCACCAGCTCTTTTTAGACGCTTTAGCCTTGAAGTTGACGATCTCGCAGGAACACCATTGTTTTCCATCACCAAGTCCAAATCATCTTCATCTAGTCCATCGTCGTCATCGTCATTTCTTGAGCTTCTTTCACGATGACGTTTATGCTTATGTTTGTGCTTATGTTTCTTTTTACGTGGTTTTGATTCTTGCTCGGATTCAGATAAGTCAGCGTCATCATCATCGACAATAAAGCCATCTTGCACCTTCCTTATTTCTTCTTCGTCGTCTTCGTCGTCGTCTTCCTCTGAAGAATCGATTATTCTGTTTTCGTTTTCATCTTCATCACTTCTGTGTCCTAAGTCATCTTCGTCATCGCTACCAAATTTTGACATTGTTATAGCAATCAACTAATTACAGTAATACAATTCGAATTCCAATAAAAGAAAATGATTGTCAACAACAACAGTTGCTCAAGTGGGTTGGACAGAAAAATTTATCGCTTTGATATCTAATCCTACGATTTCTGGCTCTTCAAAACACACCGGGTAATTTTGAGAAAAACACAAGGCTCCTGCAAATAAAAAGCGCAAGGCTTTCTCTCGCTCATTCTGCTTAGTCATCACACGTGCACAGAATTTTGGTAATTGTTTTTTTGCTCCGTCCTAATTCTTTGGTTTTAGAGTTTTCTTTGATCTATGACACGAAAATAGTCTCTTTTGTCAAACGTTTCTCAGATGTTTGTGAGAGTTTTGAAAACTGTTTTTTGATGTATTAGAGATCAGGGTGTGCTATTTATGGCTATAAAGTCTACATTGTGAAATAGGAACTGTGAAACCAGTCTTTTTCTTTTTGGAGCAAAATGCTTTTCATAGATCACATTAATCCGCTGGATTTAGGTTATCTGATATCTGAGCAATTGCTTTCTTTGGATTGAAAAAAAAAAAAATTATTTTAAATTGAATTTTTAAACCAAAGTAACGAGTATTTTTTCAATATTTTTTCAGTATTTGGTTTTATTTCAAAATTAAAGGCAGTAAATAGATTGTGAGAGTACTCGCCCCAGTTTATTCTAAATTTAAATTTTGTAATCTGGTATGATTTAAACTTTTGTGGAATAAGCAGTACTTTGGCTGGAAATCTTAAAATTAGTCCATGCAGGTTTCATCAGTTTTAATACTTGTGGAAACCCTTTTTCCAACGCGTTTTTCAACATCTTTCTCAGTATTTTCTTGTTTTTAGTTATTTCCATCACAATTTTGTTTTTGATCTGTTATCACAACAAATGGTTATTTGGAATCAATATAGTGGTATCAAAAACGTAGTTATTGAAGCTGTGTTTTTCATATTTATCCAGATAGGTTAGTTTAAATTTATAATTTGCTGACTTTAAAATTTCCAGCTTCAAGAAGCATAAGCAAATTAAATATCGCTTTTCCTTATAATTTGTGCCTTGACTATCACATAAGTTTTACATGTTGTAATTACACTCTTAGAGTTTGACAGTATTTTCTTCTGTATTTCCCGAACCCTAAATTTGATGATGGTAACTAAAGTTGATGGACAACTCTGACATCATAAAGAGATAGATGTTAAGACAATCAACCCAAACCACCCTAAAGATCACTCTTATTGTCTGCAGGTTTATTCTGTTTTCAAGCTTATTCTTTTTTATATCTTATTCTGCTTTACTTGTTTTGTTTTAAATAATAAAAAAAAAGTCAAAAGAAGTAAAATAAAAAAAAATAGAAAAGAAACGTAATGTCTTATTTTTTGTGGCAAGAAGGTCTACCTTGACTATTGAAAGCGTTTCTGTCATGTTGACAACGCATTTTTTTATTAATCCATCAATCAGTAATTCATTTGGATTTGTTTTTATTTTTATTTTTATTTCTGATGGCTATTAGAGATATTTTGCAATTATTCAAAGCTTGTTGTTTTTTTTGAACCTGCGTTTGAATCTGTAGTTAGTATATTTCAAGTGTATAAATGAGATAACTCACGAATGAGATAACTCACGGTTATTAGACATACCTTTTATCTTCAAAAACTGGCTTTTGAACAAATATTATTTTAGAATGTAAACTAAATAATCAATGGCTTTCTGAAGATATCAAAAAAAAAATTTAATTATTCAGAAATATCTACACAGATAACAAGACAACAATAAACACCAAACAAAGATTAGATTGTATTTATGTATAAAAAACCGTAAAATATAACAACTTAAAAATAATTTATAAATTGATTTGTTTTAGCAGATATAAGAAAAAAAATTTTGCGTTTTCACAATAAAAAAAATGTGAAAAAGAAAACAAAATGACTGATACAATCCAAATACAGTCTGTAAACAATTGTTTTGTTAGTTGGCTTAACAGATTCCATGATAAAAACGTGATTATGCAGCCGCTTGCCGTTTTATATTTTCCTCTAAGAATCTGAATAAAAGGGAACATTGTAAGGTCATCAAGTCTGATATTGCTGATGAATAAGAATAGAATAAATATTGTGTTGCTTTGTTAGAATATCATGAGATTTCAATTAGTTGTTACACCTTCAATTCACTAAAAGATTTTCAAGATGTATGATGTAATGGAATATTCCGCTATTAGGGGTAAAACCTTTGAATTCAGGTTATATATTCAAACCTTAATCAGAGCTCTTTCAGTTGTCCTGTTTTTGCAAATTCAGGATCCAGGAATCGAATTCAAAGGTTTTAATGAAAATAAAAGACCAAAATATAAATAGCTCAACTTCCATTTAACTTAATTGAAAAATCGTATACTTATAAGATAATAAATAGGTTTTATGTTTCAATAACTATTTTTTTTGTGCTTAACAGTAGTTTTCTCTGAGAAAGTTCAACAAAATATTGCTAATTCTTTAGGATTGTCATGTCCGTTGAACTTTTTCAATACAGTTTTAGAATATGTAGGCAGAAGCCAAAAAGCAGTTTCTGTTGAAGCATTAAACTGCACAATTCCGTCCGTTATGATTTATGTTTGTTGATATACTATACTGAGATATTCTGTCTGTTCAATGCAAGTTGGTTTTGCTGTATGATTATGTGTAAGTCTGTTTCCAAATATCAGTTGAAAATTTAAACTTTGTTAATTTAATAAGCTTTCCGTTGAAAACTTTTACTTTTTTCCGCTTGAAGTTTATTTAATTGGTGTCCTGTTTTTACAGACTTCCGCATATTGAATAAAATGCTTTTTAGTTTAAACTTTTACTTCCAACCGTCTTGTTGCATTTCTTTAACAATAGACGTAAAGCATGCAGCTCTGGGAAAATACCACTTTTGTTGTAAATATAGCCCAGATTCAATAATCGTCATTTTTATCATTATGTAAATAAATTTCTGAGAATTATGTAATTTTTTGTATTATGTAGTATTGAAGAGAGTGTGTTTTGAAAATAAAAAAAATATATTTCTTTATCAATTATTTGAATTCAGCACAGCTCCAGCCTTAGAGACTTTGCTACATTTTTCACTTACACTGCGCTTTTGTTTTGAATGCAATTTTCTCAAAAAAGAAGCTATGTATCTTTTTTCTCAACCCAATATTTTTTTTTCTTCCTTTTTGGATGCCAGACAAAACTCACACGACTGAAATCGAGCTGTGGAAGGTGCTAAAACCTAATTTGCAGCGCTCCTGACGTTCTTTGCTGTTTGATTCGGTGGAGGACACAAAGTCGAGGGTGTTTGGATGCTGATTTGCCTAACAAATCGCATTTATTAAAGGTCTAGACATGTTGTTTGGAGCGAGGCCAAGGGCTGGGGTTTAGTCTTACAAAGAGGGCCTTAAAGAACAATAGCATGAAAACACCTTTTTCACAATCTCTGTGCGACTTTCTTGCAGCTGATTTGCTTTGCAATGCACCACTTTCAAGCAGACTTTCCAAAAAGGAAATGTAGTGAACGTGAAGGTTATAAAGACCTATATTATATGTTTTGTGGGAAAATAAATATCAAGCGGTTTAAATTGAATTATATATAGAATTTAAAAATATACAAATCATCTTCTGCATGATTTATGATTAAAGATAGTGTGATTCATTATATAAAGCAAGTTGTGAATGACCAGAATAAAATATAATCAAAATACATAGTATAAGGATAGCATAGTTGGAATAAGACCATAATATTTCAAAGTAGATTTTTGAGTAAATAAATCAAATCTTAGAACATAACAATGAGTCAAATAAAAAAAATAAAAAAAATAAAAGAAACAAAAAAACAAAATGTGAATAAATGATTAAATAAACCACAATGTGATTTCGTTTAATGTTGCTAGGAAATGATTAGTAATATAATTGATAAGAAAAATGAAAATTGAAGTGATAAACATATGATTAGTAGTGAAAGTAATAGAAATAAATTAACTCTGTAAAATATAAGCAAAAAAAAAAATAACTCAAACAGAAAGATTTTTGGCCAAGAAGATTGTTTTGAAACTTCTTTCCAAGTGGTTTTTCTCAATGTCCCAGTCTAACATTCTGATATCATTGTATATGATTTCCTCAAATGAGCCTTTTAAAATGTGGATTTTCATATTGGATTTGTATCTTGGATAGGTGATATTTTTTTTAATCCACTCTGGTGAACAAAACAATTTATCTTTGTCAATATTGTTTATACCGATATCACCGTTAGAATTCAAGCTTTGGTTATCATTCAAGTGTTTGGCAATAGCTCTATAACTGTCATTGTGATTGTCATTATCATTATCATCATCATCATCATCATTATTTTTATTATTATCATTTTGTTTTTCTAAATCAATCAAGTCTTCAAAGTAAATGCTCAAGTCCTCTTCAATTGGTTTAAAAGTTTCAAGTTTTATTATTTTGCTGTTACAGTCTCTGATAACTTTAACAAAAGTTAATTCTTCAATTTGGAAAATATCCAATAGTGCTTTGTAAATGTTATTTTGGTAAAGTTTACCACAGTCATCAAAACGAAGATGTCTGACTCTTGGATATTTGTTTGTATCTTCATATCTATCAATGTTAACAATACTCAAATTACTTTCTTCATCAAGAGCTCTGTAATAGGGTTGCATATCAGATGGATCACAACCAGAGGGCCTGCCTAAATGAAGAAAATCAATGGTTTGTTTTTTAGTCAATGAACAAAACAATGATTTTAAATTATTGTGTAAAACAAATCTAGCTTGCAAGCAGCTGGTAAATGGTCTGCCTTGAGGGCGTTTGCTGCCAGTTCTTTTTTGGATTGAAACAGCGCTTTGATATGGTTTGTAGTGTCTTTTTTTAGCTAGCTTTAGTGCAGGCGCATTGAGGTGTTGATAATTTAAGCAAAATTTTGAAACCAGATTATCCTTTTTATTTTTTGCACTTGTTCTTACTTTTTGTTTTGTTTTGTTTTTTTGTTTTGTTTTTGTTTTTTCATTGGTGATTTTGTGCTTGGTATTATTTGAATTGCTGTTATTGTTATGATTTCTAATTTTTCTGTTATTTTTATTATTATTATTTGAAAAGCTATTGAGTACGGAAAATTTTTTGGGAGCAGCTGCAGATCCAATTGAAATTGGATTGCTAATTGAATAAGGGTCATTATCTGTAGCAATGTTTTTGATACTCCTTTTGCCCTCAGTATTGTCAGCATTGATATTAAAGTTATTATTAGTATCATGGAATGAATGAGCGCTGCCAACAACTGATTTGTCAATGAGTTTAAATTTTTTTTGGTTATTTTGAAAGTAAGTGTAGTTTGAATTTTGCAAGTCTGTTGGAAAGTATGCCAGTGTGTCCAATATCGGATTTTTAATGAAGTTAGTGGTTGAAGTGCAAATATTTAAAGAATTGAAATTATTATTAGTTTGGTCAAAGGAGAATTTTAAATCCTCATTCTCATTTTGATTTTTATTTTTATTGTTAATAAAATTGTTAATATAATCGTTATTATTATTATTATTATTATTATTATTATTATTATTATTATTATTATTATTATTATTATTATTATTTTGAAAGTAAAATTGGTTATCTTGATTGTAAGATAAAGTTAAAGAGTTATTTGAAATTACTAATTTGCTTTTAGATTTTTTAATGTTATAATCGTATTTTTTAGTTAGATTATCCGAACACTTGATGAAATTATTAGAAAAATTGTAAAATTTTTGGTCTTGATGAGTATTTTGAGCGTTTTTATTTTCCTTGCCAATAGTATTGGTGTTGAAATCACTTTTAACAATATAATCATTTTCAACAAAAATGTAGTTGGTTGGGGAGGATGGGATGCTTGAGGTAAAGTTACTTAAGGAAGATGGAGAGCTCTCAAGTAGAGGATTGGTGATATAAGGGGGAATTGAAGAGATAATGGAGGATGATGATGAATGAGAAGAAGAGATGGGAGATGATAAAGGAGATAGAGATGATAGAGAGGGTAGAGAGGGTAGAGAGGGTAGAGATGATAGAGATGAGAAGGGAGATAGTGAGGATGACGATGAAGACAAAGACAAAGGAAAAGAGGAAGACAGAGATAATTTTTGAGAAGAAAAAGGAGACAAAAAATAATTTGGAAATAAGTTTAAGGATGTAGAATTGGAATTGGAATTGGAAGTTGTGGATGTGGGTGTTGATGAACGAGAAAAAAATCTTGGAGTTAAATTTTGCTTGGTATCAACTTTGTCATCAAGATTGAAAGACTTTGAAGTGAAATCAGTTTGGATCTTCAAGTGATTCAAGTTATTTATATCATTTAGCTGACATAGTTTTTCATCTTTATTCAAAAGATTTTTAATTTTTAGAAAATCTTTAGTAGCCATATCAGGTAATTAAGATACAAACTAGATATAAATGATGGGAGATGTGGAAGCAGAAAGCAGATGTGTTTTTGTTGGAGATTGGGAAAGCAGAGAATGTGTATCAAAGCAAAAACTTAATTAACAATTTAAATAAAACTATCGATAGTATAAATGAATAGAAAAACAGATAGAGATGTCAAAAAAAAGTTTAAGGAAAAAGAGAAAGAAAAGAAGGAACAAAAAACCAGCAGCAATAGCAGATACTTTGAGTGTTTATATATTGTTTTTTTAGGGACTGATTTGGATTGAAGAAAGAAATAGAAAAGAATTGAAGGAATAACAAAGAAAGGGCTACTAAAACCAAGATTCGGTTATCAAAGTTAAACTAAATTGGTATGTTATCAGGATCAAGAAGGAATATTATTATTATTATTTCATGTTTTTGTTTTATATAATATAATTGCTTTGGCTGAAGAAGGGTGTTGAACCTGGAAGAAAGTAAAAGATAGTTAAATTAATTACTAAGAAGAGTATGAAATAGTTACTGATTATTATTCAACAAAAAGGGCAAAACAAATAAGTGCTAGTTGTATTTGGGACAATTTACTTGGATCTGATGTCAATTTAAGGCCAGTTTCAGTAAATTGGTAATTTTTGAAATATTATTTCAGCATTTTGATTATATTTTTGTGATATTATTCAAAATATTATTTAATATATTACTTGGAATATTATTTGGAATATTATTTGGAATATTATTTGGAATATTATTTAATCAATTTATCACTTAATTGATTAATTAATTAATTAATAAAGTAAATAATTAAATTACTTATTGATTGATTGTTTATTTATCTACTTATTAACTAGGTAACCGTTCGTTAGTAAAACTGGATAACACAAAAGAAACTGCAAAACAGTATTAAAAATACAGTGCCATTTCGAAATAAAAGAAAAGCTGCATCATCCAGAACTTGCATAAAATCCATATAAATCCTGTTTATAACGGGTATCTCTGTACAAAGTTTTTGAAACTGGGATGAAATTCAAAATGGAAAATAAAAGGCTGTGTTAACCGGACTGGTTACGAATACAAATCACCAACTTTGTTGTTTCCAATCTGAGTATACTTTGTTTCGCTTCCATTTGCTGAGCCAAGAATATAAACACCAATGGCTAGAAACTCAAACTCTTAATCAAGGCAACTTTTACAGAACCCAAAGTGCAGTGTGATTTGGAAAAAATGAAACAATTACAAAGTCGGGATTCCTCAAAGGTACTTTTATTGGCCCGCTCCCGTTTGGTTTCTGGTAACAAGCAGAATTTGATATCTATTAGGTAAAATAAGTAGGATAATTAGGGTTTGGTGTTAATGGAATTGTTGATAAGGATGGTTGGAAAGAGCTAATTAACCAAGGATAAACTACTTTTCTCATCAAATGAAATTCAAATGCAATGGAATGGATTAAACTTGACAAGTTGTGAATTTCATAGTGGTGAAAGTGTCAACAGAAAGACGGATTTGAACAATCAAAAGGCAATTCCCCTAGTTGGACAATAAGAATACAATTCAAAAATTAAAATTTATGATTTTCTGTTTAGAGCAAACAATTTTCCATTAGTATTATTTCAGAGTAGAAGGCTGAACTTTGAAGCATGAAGAGCAGAGCGAGTGTTTTCAACAGAATGGCACAAAGGTCTGAGTTTATGGGCTCAAGAATTTCCACAAGCAGCAGTGTTTACGAATTGATTTGAGAAATATTTTTGTTTGATGCTTGTTTATCTCTGTTGTTGCACTCTTTTCAGCAAATATGTGAGATCGATTCCCAGCGATGGATATGTTGAGATGGTTCAAATCCCGATAAGAGGTGTTTCCAGGCCGGTACTCAAATAGGTCTGTAGCGTTTGTGCGTATTCATGCATGATGACATACGTCCGCTATACACACTACACACACCACACACTACACTACTAGTGTTGAAGTTTAATACATACCACGAGTGGGTTTCGATTCCGATTTAACTATTTGTTTTCAGTGTTTTCCATTGAGCTGAATTTCGACTAGCTCTTTGAGGAATCAAAGCTTGAAGTTGGTGGTTTTGTGTGGTTTTTATGATTTTTTCTAGCTCATCTTTAATTGCCATTAGAAGTGATTAATCAACAAGCATGGAACGAGCCTGAGGTGAATTCGATGTGTTGAACGGTGTTGAGAAAACAGGTACTGGATTTTAGTAAATTGGTGCATTAACTAGTGTATTAATTTTTTTTTGCAGAATTTTTACAAATGTTTGCAATTTTTCACAAGTATTTCACAAATATTTCAATCTTGTTTTGTATTTCTCTGTTAAATGTACAATTAAGCGCTAAAATGGAGTAATTGTATAACTATATAATGGTCGTTACCCAGTTTTCTGAAGACCGCACATTATATAAGCAGCAAACTTTGTGATCGCGTTTAGGATAATTATCATCCAGCATTATTCGTGCAATTGGAAATGGTGTTTTGTAGAATTTGGTTTGTTTGTTTTATTTTTAGAGCCTTTTTTGATGGTTGGAAGTGGTAAAACAGGTATTTAATGCTGTCTGTTCATATAATTGATCTGGGCAGAATAGAAGTGTTATTATTTATTATTTCAATGTGTGTTGAGAATTTGGAATTTGTTGTATTACGCTTTTTTAATGGATTTGATACTGTATTTTTTCTTGATTTTGGTATAATTTCGAGGTTTTTAGTTTTTTGAAAACTCAAAACGGACAATTTCATTAATAGTTTCTTTGTCAAAAAATAGTTTTAAACTGTTTCAAATAAGATTTGGTTAACATTATATTGAAATTTTTAAAATAGATAGATTGGAAGGCAAAAAAAAAATAAAGAAAACAGCATCAAGGCAATTCTTTTGAAAGGTAATAAAATTGATTTAAACAATTAATAGTCCCCTTTGTTTTTCTTTTTTTTTTCTTCTTTTGTTTTATCATTATTATATCATTATTATATCATTATTTTAGATTTATTTTAGATTTATTTTTTGTTTTTAAATTTTTAAATTTTTATACTGCAGTTTAAGACTTTTTACGATCTTCACGAAAAGCTTAAAATTCTCGATCCCTACCTGTTGATTTTAGTTTAAATTTTAATGTTATTCAAAAGAAAAAAAAATATTTATTTTGGCAATATTTTTTAACACTGTTGCATACAATTATTCTGATTTTATAATATGGCTAATTTATTTTGTATTTTATTTCGAACAAGAGTAATAACCATATATTAATACACGATTTGCTTTATATCGTGATCTATTCTATCAATTGCTATTAAATAAAAGATAATCAAAAAATAATCGAAAAATAATCGAAAAATAATCGAAAATTGAATCCCAAATGATTTTAATCACGCTTATTTCTTTGTGTCTAGTCTAAGTCTAGTATAAAAAAACAATTAAATGAATATCCAATTAATATCCAATTAACATCTAATGAACACATTTTAAAACAACTTTTCAACTTTTCAACTTAACTCCATCCCTAAAAGTTTCATATTAACCTCACAAATAATAAAGAAATACAAACATACCAAAATCAGATTACATGAAAAAAGATAACAGAAAAACAAATTGAGACAGCACTAATATAACGCCAGACAATATCAAAATCAAATTATTGTTCTTCTTCGTTCTTTTTTGTTCTTTTTTGTTCTTTTTCATTGTGAATTGAAACTAATTACTTAGTTTTAGACCATATAGAAAGACAATCACGGCTGATAACAGATGAACTTAAAAACAGCAAATAAAACCATCAGCCTTGGTTCCAAAACCAACCATTGTGAGTAAAATGAAGAAAAGTCATAAGAAAACAAATTGAAGGATATCAAAAATCATAGCGGAGACTGTATCAAGTTAAACCAAATTATATCAGATTATATCTTCTTCTGGATATCCCATGTTCCTGGTGTGAGAAGTCGCTCTGGAAGATCGACAGGTAAAGCACATGCACAAAGCCATAAGCAAAATCTGCGCTATTGCAACGCTAAACACAACCTCAGGTGACTTCTGATCTCGGTGAACACACATCTCTAACTTTTGAAATTGGCTCCAGGTTTTGCAGATGCGAAACGCTGCTAGCAGCTCAGGCTCTTGGGCTGCTGTCGGATTCATCAAACAATTTCTAAAAACAACAGCTCAATCAAGGAAAATGTACTGGCTGTGAATTGTTTTGGTGATCTCAATTTTCTGCTCAGGATTCTGGCTATTGCTGGAAATCTCCCTTGGATATCGCGACCAACTGGTTGAAAACGATCTTTTTTCCATAGCTGTAAACAGCACCATCACACCCGCTTGCTATCGGTAGAAGGATCAAGCTCTTATCCATCTGTTTGGTTATCTGTGAAGGCTCTGATATATCCTTCTTTGACGGCGATTGTGAAGACAGACCCACTTTCTCTGTTGTTCACGGTTAGGGCTTCTAAATAGGGCATCATCTCCTGACCAAGCAATCTAACTTTTATTGTTCAAAACACCAGAGCACCTAAACATGAATTCATTTGAGCGATTGCCCATTTCTCTGTTCTTTGTAAAACATTTTTCCAGGAGAACAGACAGTTGAGAAGATGGTTCTTTCTGCTGAAAAGCATTGGTAGGAAGAACAAAGCAGCCAATCACTATTGTTTTCCCTCCCTCTGTGAGATTGCTATTCTTCAAGCACGCTTATAAGACCACTGCTGTGGTACTGTGTGTCTGAATGCATGCAAGACGGTTCCGTACATTCACCGGGCAACTCCTAAAAGAGCATTCAGTAGGACGGGAACAAAATCATCCACCAATATATATACCAATATATATACCAATATATATACCAATATATATGGATATATGAATGAGGACGACTGATACAGGTATCAAACATTGCACAACACACAACACACAACACACAACACACAACATACAACACACAACATACAACACACAACCTCTAGCATGGCTGCACGTTTTCCGTGTCGGTCAAACAGCTGATGTTGCTGTTGGTTTTGCTACGGCTGGTCGGCTATTTCCAGGCAAATCATAGCCAGCACAGGCACCACAGGCACCACAGATTTCTGGCTAATAGAACGTTCTCCTCAGAAAAGCCTCGTCGGTTTTGCCATCTGGATATGTCGATTGGATACACTCCTCTTATATCACCATCCTGCAGTGGATGGTTTGGCATTCCACTATCAGGAACTATGAAGTGCTAATCATGGCGTAATTGTTACCACAGACAGCGGCACTTCTGTAATCAATGTCGTCTAAAAAAAACTACACCTGCATGCATGATATCTTGGGCTTTTATCTTTTTTCCACTGATAAAGCCCACTAGAAGGAGCTCAGAAAACCAAATGAATCCGATGAAACCGTTGCTCTTCGAGTAATAAAAGCAGTTATCTGCTGTATTTTGATTGGCTGCTAATACACTGGTTCATATATAGCCATCTATCGTTTTTTTGCTAGTTGATTTCTGTGAAAAACACATCCAAATATCTATTGTTATGTTTGTTTTTTCAAGTCTCTGTTATGCGAACATTTTTCGTATATATTTTTGAGACCAAAATCAACAACCTAACTTTGAAATTTTAAATCAAAAACTTAAACTCTGAGATCAAGAATTCAATTAAAAATACAATTTCAATTTCAATTTCAAATCCAGAATTAGAGTTTCAATGCAATTTTTATTCAAGTAAACCAATTTCACCTAACAAATGTAGTTGGAAGAGCATTATCTGTAGATTGCATTTGATTTATCATTTTCTATTATTATGATAAGATAATAAAAGAAAATTTTAATGTATCAAAGATAATAACCCGATTGCAATTGAGTTTTATCTTTTAATTATATTTATCGACCATTGCAAATAACTGAAGTATCGAACTTTAAGATTTACTTATTTCGTAACTGAGGAAATTTCAAAAATTAAGTATACCCTCTACAATTCAATTCATTTATTGTCATAAAACAATAATTAATTAATAAAAAGATAAAAGAATATGTCAACTTATCTTAACTCTACAGTGTAACAATACAAAATAAAACAATAAGAAATAAAACAATAAAAATTAAAACAACAAAAATAAAATAATAAGAAATAGAATGATTAATTGTAATCGATTATAATCAATTATAAGTTCGTGCTAATGTTACCAACCAACACACAAGCTATTGCTAATTACTCAATTGTAAAAATTCCATTCAACTTTTTGGTTTTGATGTGCTATTTTGTAAATACTCCTTTTAAAAGTAATTTTGAAATCAAACTATCTTTATTATTAGAATATAGAACATTCGCATTACAAAAATTCAGTAGCAGATTAAAAGTTTCAATTTTTTAAACTTTCTTTTCTTTCAAACTTTTCTCTTGATACTCAACATATTTACAATAATTTACAATAACTTGCAATAATTTGCAATAGTTTATACTAATTTATACTAATTTATACTAGTTTATAATAATTTATAACAACTTATAATAATTTTGGTTTAATACACTTACAAGTCTATTACTTCATTTAAAATCATAAGATTTTAATTCATGAATGAAATTATTTCGCTTGTTAATCTACTAATAACCAAAAAATTGTTAATTTTGATTCAAACTTTTGATATTTACAAAATTATTTTGCATTTGATAATATATACTACAAGTAAAATTCTGATTAAATTCTGATTAAATTCTTATTAAATTCTTATTAAATTCTTATTAAATTCCTATTACCAATCAACAGTTTTATATTTATATCACCAAGAGTAACAATAGCAAAGCACACTTTATTTACTTATTTACTTATTTACTTACTCGTTTATATATTTAACCATCTTTCTTAATTCAATTTGCGGAAATCTAATCTTTATTACGTAAATCACTAGAAGAATAATGTTTGATTTACCTTGTTGAGTTTAACCCCATAAATTTCCCATTTTGGTGGAGAACCCACCACCTTGGTTAACCAAATGAAAAACCTCAATTATATCGCAAATAAAGAGCATCCACAAAATGGGGGTGTTTGATTCCAGGGTATTTTGCTTTTTTGAAGGAAAGCACAGCGTCGGCAACAGACCAGCTCAATTTTTCGATCAAATAGCAGCAGATTAAGAAGCCTGTTCGATTGAACCCATAGTGGCAATGAACAACAACGCGTGGATCACTCAATTGATTAGGTTGATTAAATAAGATATCATCGACAAGAGAGATGAATTTCCTCACCATCAGCGAATCAGGCGGTATTTTTGAGACAGTCGCAAGCTTGTAGTATTTGATTCTCTTCAAGGTGGTTGGGTTGTAAGGGGGCAAATCGGCCGAAATGTCGATGATTGCAACAATATCCGGGTTTTTCAGTTCTAAAATGGAGGGAGAATGGTTATCGTCGTCCTGCCTGAGGGTTTTCATGGCTAATAAGGGAGAAAACTGGAAAGTCGAGGGATTTTGGATTGGGAAGGAGATATTTTGCAAGGACTCCCATTTGACAATGTTTTTTAAACCCCATTTGTCGCCACTGATGATGGCCTTTATCGTTAGCACCCAGGAGGGATTTAACTTGGAGTCGATGTTGTTTGAGATGAATTTGAGAATCAAACCGCAGGCAAGCTCTGGCTTTTCCAATAGAATGGAATGGCCACAGTTGGCTATTGGAATGGTGATAGAGGCGACATTAATTGAGCAGAGGAGACACTCCATTTTTTGAGTTCCTTTGGAGTAGGGAGTGACATTATCGTTTTCGCCACAAACAATGAGAATTTTGGGCATATTCATGGAAGCATTGGAGTTGGAGGTGGAGTTGGAGGTGGAACTGGAACTGGAACTGGAATTAGAATTAGAATTAGAATTAAAAAAGGACATGGAGGAGATGAAATCAGATTCATTTAAAGGCTGGAAACCAGATATGTACTTCAACCAAGTGACACTGTCTATGTCCATATTCCATCTTAACTGTCTTGCTTTTTGGTAATAAGAGCAGGTGTTGATATTTAGCACACGTTTTAGTGAGTTTGAGTTAAACCCGCCTAGCCTATCGTATAGTCTTATGTAGTTGAATAGCTTGGGGAATTTCAAGAAAATCTTAAAGAAGGATAGTTGCAATAGAGTTTTGTTGATGGTTTCGTCGTTAGCGTTAACCGGTGGAGACAAAGAAGGAGGCGAGAGTAGTATCAAGGATGTAACAATTGATTTGTCGATTGAGTTTTTAAATAGCTTCAGAGCCAACTTGATGGCTATATGAGTGCCCATTGAGTGAGATATTAGAATTAGCTTTCTGTTTTTTAAAATTGGATCGGTTGTGATTATAGAATGTAATAGGTTGACTATTGAGCTGGTTGTAAAAGTGTTGTTATTAAGAGATAGGAAATTCCCAATGGAGGAGTTGATACTTTGAAATTCAAGATTGGATAGGTTTTGGATCAAGTTGCCTTTATTTTTAGATAAGCTTGATTTCCCAAAACCTGGTAAATCTACTGCAAAGACTTGAATGAATTGAGATAATAAGGCGAATAAAGACTCAAATTGCGATAATTGACCACCTAAACCATGGATGAAAATTACTAAAGGTAGAGTGTTCAAATTGGTTTTCAAATTTTTTAGAAAAGTTAGATTTTCGTTTAAATTTGGAAAATTTAAATTTCTAGAATTTTCGGTCAAGTTGATGTTTTGAATTTTAGGAATAAATCTTTCCAAAGGATGAGGAATTCTTAAAGTGTTCAAATAAACTTCAACCCCAAGTCCAACCCCAGCTTGATTAATATTGTTATCATTGGCTATTAAGAACTTTTCAATTGAAGAATATTTAGCTAATAAAGTACAATCGGCAGGTTCATTTAAGATTAATTTTTCAAATTTTGAATGGTTTCCTTTGTAAATGAAGATTTTCTTAAAAAACAAGGATAATTTGGATATAATGTTATTATAAGATTCATATTTTGCTTCATATTCTAATAACTGCTGGATGAAAGAATTCGATGTATCATTTTCTAAGTAAAAAGACGAGGATAAAGTCGCAGCTTCAATGATGAGTTTTTCCTCCAGTTCATTTCCAGACATTTTTTTATTTGTTTTTATTGGTCTGATAAGGATAAGGATAAGGAGATAACAATATGACAATTTAATAGTTGGAAAAAATAGAATTAGATATTAATTGGATAATAGTAAATTACATAAAAAAAAGAATTAGCAGAAGCGAAAGAAATGAAAGAAGTGAAAGAAGTGAAAGAAGTGAAAGAAGTGAAAGAAGTGAAAGAAGTGAAAGAAGTAAAAGCTGTATATTAGTCTAGATAGATCAATACCATGGATATATTTAATTGGAAATTTGGAACACATGTGTTGGAAGATCCCGCTTTTAGACACAGAAACACACACATGGCGCATGAGAAGGAAAGAAAGAGGAAAGTGGAAGCAAAGTGAGGAACAGCGGCAGATCCAGCAGCACAACCAGAACAAGCACAAGAAAAAAGACAATGCTCCTCTTCACACACACAAAGCGGCAGCGGTGCGCAGCAGAATCCGTGCTGTTGCGTCCAGCTCGTGCCCGAAATCCAGTAAAACGTGCCGACGCCCGGGAGCTCTGTGCACGTGTATTGTGTTTTCGGCCTAAACTCCGTAGACACGTACGCGCCACATCCCGTGACTCAAAGCACAGGCCCGTTCAGCCATTTCTGTTTGTGCAAACACACACGCGCATCCGCCAAGCGGGGCGACGCACAACGGCCTTAGAGAATAACTTCCGCGTGTTTCATCTGTGTCAGATATGCACAGTGTTTGCGGTTATGGGAGCCTTTGTTGTGCAAAAAGCAACAAATGCGGTATTTGCGAAGTACAGCTTATGTGATGGCCCTTCTCTGTTGAAACTCGTAAATACTGCTGTGGGTTGGCAGAGCCAGATCACATGTTGTAAGCGAGCAGACAGCATTCGTATCTCTCAGAGCGTCGTTCAGGGCACGTGTGTCAGCGTTTTGCTTGGGGCGTAACGGCGAATTAGCGCTCCACATCGTACGACTCCTGCTCTTTTTTGGCTGTTTTCTCCAATAGTCAGGCGACAGCTGCCGTTAGAAGACGCCGGGTAACACGCACTGATCTTTTTGATAACGAGCCGAATTTCCTGCACCGGTTTGACACATTTCGTTGGACAAATTCATTCCAACATAATCGCTTCTCCATTTCTCAACAGCCTACTTGGGCAGCTTTGGTGATCGAAAAGATTAGGTTTGTCTGGTTTTAGATACAACTGATTGAATTGATTAGAAATAGATTGAAACCGGATTTGAAATAGGCTGGATTGCAGCAAGATTATGGCTATAATTCGATTAGAATCCATGTTCCATCCGCTTAATATACACTTAAGCTTCGCTAAGTTTCAGGCAGAATTTATCTGTTTTATTTTAATTCGATTTAGCTCATTTTAACACCGCATTAAATTGTGTCCAGATGAATTTAATGGCTGTATCGATTTTGCGCTTCCACAGGCTCTTGTTGGACCATTTGTGCTTCCAGACCCACCTCTATCTGTGTCCTGTTCTTTCCCAGCTTTCCAGTAAATTGACAGCCGACGAAGGCAATTTTGGAAAAAACACATTTATCTACATAAAATTACTAGTATAGTTTAAAAATAATAATTTAAAAATAATCTGCATACTGCTGATTCTATCAGTTGAGATTAGAAATCTAAATTGGACCCACCTCAATCAAAATGCATTATTTACGCTATTACTTACGTTATTACTTATATTATTTATATTATTTATGTTATTTATATGGGGATAATTGCGATTCAATCCAATTTAAATTCAAATTCGCTCCAAAAACTAAAATTAACATTAAAATTAGCACTAAATGTACAAATCCAAAATCCAAAATCTTAAATCCTATTTCCGCTGCTCTTGAAAATGCTCAAAATAACAGAATAACTTATGCTATTAACCATTACCTGAATTCATTGCTTTTTAATTCCATAATTCAATTGTGTCCTTACAAAACGGATTTTATTTTCTTCAAAGCAAATATTAACACCTAAGCGTAATTCCCTATAAATACCCCATAATTTCTATGTAATTTTTACTCCCTTATTCTTCTACTTTCTATTTTTTATTTTCCTCACCAAACTATCCTCATTCCAATCTTATCTCTCTATTCAAACACTTCCTCTTGATTTCCTCTTGATATTCCAATGGCTTCCCAACTAGTTAGAACAAATTTAAAAAGATTCTACTCTTCAAGCTTTCGCTACTCCCAAAACTCCCAAAATTTCCAAAAGAATTTAGTATATCTATACATCACAATCAGTGTTACTTTGCCGTTTTTGCTACCAATCAAGTCCTCTTTAAAATCTGATAATATCGATGCTAAAGGAATAACTTCTCACCGTTGTTTGCTCTCCAAAATATGATATTTATACTGCTCTATTTGGTTATTTATCTTGCTTTACTTTGATTTACTTTATTTGACTTGTTCAATCTACTCAAAACCTAAATTCCACTTCAATTTCAATTTATACTTCAATTTCAATTTATACTTCAATTTCATTTCGTTTTATCTTTATCTATCTTTATCTTTATTTTCAATTTATCTTCTACTCAATCATATCTCTCAAACATCTCAAATCTCATCTCCAATAATGATCTCAACTACTTAAATTATATTCATTTCTTTTTCTTATTTTACTTGCCATTATTATCTTGAAATTCACTGATTAGATATCATAAAACAAAACCTCCAGATAACACAATAACATTATAATAACACAATAACATTATAATAACACAATAACATTATAATAATACAATAACATTAACATTAACATTAACATTAACATTAACATTAATTTTTCTTTTACGTTGCTTTATTAATCTTTATTTATATTTATATCTATTTATTTTTCTATTCTATTTTATGGGTTTTATTTACACTATTAAATTTTTTTTTTCTTAACTCTCAACTCTTTTACTACTATAATTTATAATGACTTATAACTTATGATGAATATGGTGGTACTTGATAGGTAAATTTCAAGTATATAAATATACATAAACACTAATATTATGCTTTTTTTTCTCTCATACTATTTTATAATAACTTATTTATTATCTATTATTTATTATACTAAACGAAAACATAAACTATAAAACTGAATATAAACCAATAGAACCATACAAAAACTAAATCAAGTAGAAAAATAACCCAAATATCCTTAGATAATCATCATTAATAAAATCATTAGAAGAAATAAAAAAAATGAAAATAAAAAAATTAAAGCAGATTGTAAATTTACAATTTAATCAATATAATGAATTATGGAGCTTCGATGAGTTCCAAGACCCTTTTCTGATAAACCCAACAATTTCCAATCATTAGCATTCCTTGGTCTATACACTTGAGCAGGTCGGACTTGGTAAATATTTTCAACGTAATTGCCATCATCATCATCATCATCACCATCGTTGTTGTTAATATTATTAGCATTTTCAATGACAATGCTATTGTTAAAAGATTGATTCTTCAAACCATTAAAGTCGTTGTAAGTTTTAACCATTCCATTGTGATCGCTTCCGTTAACCGTATTTCTAAAATTGGGTTTATTATTAATGTTCATATTCATATTCATGTTCATGTTCATGTTCATGTTCATGTTCATGTTCATATTCATATTCATATTATGAGATTGAAGTGAAGTCCTGCCATTGTAAAAACTATAAGTGAAATTGGTTACAAATTTTGTACTATTGATGAAATTGGCGTAATCCCATTCTTTTAATACCCATTTTAGTAGTTTGTAACTAGATATTCTATCATAGGGACAAACAATTATTGGTTGCTGAAACTTGATAGTTTGATGGTTGTAGAATTTTAGTTTGAATGATAATTCGTATCTGATTGAAAACAATTTTCCAGACAATGTAAAGCCTCTGATATGAGAAATGGGGATTCCAGTATTAACTTCATCTAACAATTTTGTATCAGTTGTCAAAGTTTTGGGGTTGACAGCAAATGATGAGTTGTTGAAAGTGTTGGATTTGATTGAGGCGATTGATTTAAAGGAGGTATTGTTATTTGTATTTTGTGACAAATTTGGGGATTTTCTTAGTTTTGAGGATGTTTTAGTTTGGATATTGTTTGGAAGAGAGCCATTTGAAATGCATTTTTCATTTTCTGAGGTTTGATTTGGTATATTTACTGATTTTGAGTGACCTAGTTGGGATGGGACTTTTTTAATTAGAGAAGAAGTTAAAGATGAATGGTTTGAGTTAACAGATGAATAAATGGAGGATAGATCATCGGGGAATTGAAATTGTAATTGAGCAGAAATTCCATTGGGCGTTAGGATACTGTCGTAGTTTGAATTGACTTCATAGATTTTGGTTTGTTTTGATAAAAGACCAAAATCGTGGCAATCTAGGATTTCCTGGATTGAGCAGGAGATTTTTTTTAGTTTGATTGTTTTATTTCTACCCATGAGAGATTTTAGTAAGGAGTTTGAGGAAGAACTCGAATTGTTGGAGGATGGTTTATTGGGGATATCGGATTGAAATGGGGATATTTTAAAGTATATTAGAATATCATCTTTGGGACCAACAGAAGTAATTGGTAAGGAGTAGTTGATTTGAATTGATTTGTCTAGAGATGAGATTGTTTTTGATACAGGTTCATTGAATTGCCTATAAAGAGGTAAAGTGTCGAATCTTTTGATTATAATCGGAAAGCCTATTATAAAAAGCTCATTATTTTGGTTTTGGTTTTGATTATGAGTGTTCGAGCTCGAGTTTGTGTTTAAGTTCGAGTTCGTGTTTAAGTTCGTGTTTAAGTTCGAGTTCGAGTTCAAGTTCGAGTCCAAGTTCAAGTTCAAGTTCGTGTTGGTGTGGTTATCCGGATTAGTTGAGTTATTGGTTATTGAATGGTTAAGATTTTTCAGTAGAGTATTAATTGAATTCAAAGGGTTTGTATTTATATTTGACCAAATGATCTTTGAGGTGATATTATGAATGGTTTTAGCGTTCCACCTTGAGTTTTTACAGCTTGAAGAGATGTCTTTATTTAGTGGGATTATAAAGGGGATGTCAAGACCCAAAATCTGTTCACTTGAATTTGAATTATCGTAGATTGAATTTGAATAGTTGTTGTAGGACTTTGTTGCATCGTTTTTGGAGCCAACAACAAAACCTGAAGATGGCACAGAAACTGATTGAACAGTGTTGAGCTCTAGCAAAACCGATTTGATTATGAATGGAGAGCCATCTTTCGATCTTATCTCCAACACACCTTCGATTCTTGGACAAGTTTTGGGAACACCAGGACAACCTCGGACTAATGAGTGATTAGATGCTCCCAAGCCGACAATAAAAGGTTCAATTGGAGCCATGATTGTTGGATAGATTGCTTGCAGAGAAAGACAATTGCTGATACAAATTGGTCGACAGAGCTCAAGAGAAGAGGCAGGTTGTGAGCAGGCAGTGTTGTAGGAAAAGGTATTGTTATTGCAGTTAGTGTTGGTGTTGCTATGTTGTTGTTGTTGTTGTTGCTGATGGAGTGGTTATTGCTGATGGAGTGGTTATATAAATTGGATTATGGAACAGATTTCTAGATGTTCAGGTAGAAAAAAGAGGACAAATAATTTAAATATAATAGGAAAAAAAAGCAAAGCAAAGAAAAGAAAAAAAAAGACTGGGGAGCTGAGAAATACAAAAGATGAATTTCGAATTGCAAGCTTATTCTTTTCTTTCTCCTTCCTGTTCCTCCTAAACCAGCTGGAATAGCCCAATGTGCCCAGTGTCGAGCCAACCTCCAGAGCTGTTCCACATTCGCAGCAAAGACCACTTGCAACTACTCGCTGGTGATCAGCTCCATTTCCTCTTGCTCAAAGGCTCGTTGTGTTGCTTTTGCTTCTTTTCGTGTGGGAAAACGCTGCTGTTTCAACCTCGAGTAGCACGTGCAGAGCTAGACGGGGCGTGTTTCGACGGGGGTAAACACAGCTTGCGGCGGCTGGGGCACGCCGAACAGGGCAGCGGTTTGTCGGTGAGAACCACCAGCACGGATGCAGTCCCAGAGCAGCGGTGCTCACCCAGCACTACATAGTTGTGCATGGCAGAAAAAAGAATGCGTAAGCCCGGAATCGAACCGGGAGCCCAACGATGGCAACGTTGAATTTTACCATTAAACCACTTACGCTGTCTGACGTTTGCTGAGGCGCTGTGTTGTTTATATACTTGTGTGTTCTGGCGCAATGTTATATAAGGATTGTTTTTTATTTTTGTTTACTATTGTATCAAACTGACAATTTATGCGATGAACACGATGTGACATCTATTTCTTACTTAAGTTCATTCGTCCTTGATGTGAGTTTTCTTTCCTCCAGGGTTTTCCCACATCCATGGTAAAATTACAGCGACAGTTTTTGTAGTTTATATACCGACTAATAAACAGCACCGTGCAAGAACCACAATAAGTGTGTTCTTAGCAGTTATTTTTTAAAAAAAAAATTATTGTATCAAACTGCAAGTATGTCAGCAGTCTTTTACCACAACTAGTCGTACGAGACTTCAAACGAATACTTGGGCTCTGAATTGCTCAGCAACTCATCATTCGAAGGAAATGTATCATCATATCCTCCCAAAATATCAAGATAACCAACCAAAATCATCGATATTATTATCATCAGCATCATTGGCATTAGTAGCATCACTCGCATTAATCTCTCTAAATTCACCACCAAAATCAAGATTATTATACGCATTGTGGTTAGGATCTTCAGAGTCATAATCAGAATAGTAATGATCATTACAGTGATAATATCGGTCAGTAAAAACTTCAAATTCCCTAGCAAAATATCTATCATGGTAATTATCATTATAATCATCATCGCTGCTATCATCGGAATTACTAATGTTTTCTAACTCACTCAAATTCATCTCATCTACTTCCTTTCTTAGCTCCTGATTTGATACATATCTAGGTTGGCAAAAATCAGTTCGACGTCTGGATTTTAAAAGATAACTTTCATTTCTTAAATGATTATCCAGACCACCTAAATCTGATACCTACTTAGATTTTTTGTTTGGGATTATTTTTGATTTTGATTTGTTTTTAAAAGATGATATTTTTTGTCTTTTGTAACTGCTTCTTTTAATATATTTGGGTTTATCATTCATTTTTGAATCGTAATAATTTAATAATTTAATAATTTAATAATTTAATAATTTAATAATTTGATAATTTGATAATTTGATAATTTATATTTTATAATATTACAATATCACAATATCACAATATAATATTAAAAGAGTTCTTTTTTAATTAATAATAAAAAATTAAATCTCTTAAAATTCATCTGATAAATACACATATACATATACATATACATATACATATACATATACATATACACCTATACACACATATATATAATGGTTCCAGTCCCATTGAGCAATCCTCCATTATTGTTTTATTCTTATCAGTTCCATCGTTTTTTTCTCTCTTATCGCTTTCTTATCACCTTTTCAAAAAACATAAAAAAACATAAAATACAAATAAAACAAACTTGAAAATTACTCCCGCAGAAATTCGAACCAGCTACCGTTTTTTCTCTGATTTGTTTTCATTTCTAACAATTCTGAAACATTTTCAATTATTCAATCACTAATCTATTCAATTTTCATTTAATAATCCCCCCAAAAGGCAAGTATTAATATCAATTAAACATTTTTTTAAATCTTATTACAAAAATAAAATACCTAGCACAAATCTTCTTTCTTTATTTCCTTCTTTATATATATTTGCAAATGTTGCTCGGCTTTTCTTTGGAAAATGTTCACCATTTGAGAAAAAGAATCAACTCCAACTTAATCAAAATTGTATAATAATTCCCTTAAAATGACTCTTACTCTCACTGGAAATGAAAATAAAAATAAAAATAAAAATAAAAATAAAAAAAGACATTTGAATTTCACTTTCAAAAGAAATTCAAAAATTAATTTTGCAACTTTTACAATATCTCAAAATTCAAAAGAATCAAATTCTTCTTCAATTAAACAAAACAACATTCAAACCGATATAACTAATGATAAAATCTATGATAAACTTCATGATAAACTTCGCGATAAAAAATTTAAAAACAAAAACCCTCAAAATAATTCAACTAGTTTTGAAAACAAAATTTGCAATTTAAATACCATCAATTTCAAAACAATCAATGACTGTAATTTCAAAACTGACAGTAATGTATACTCATTCACCGACCCAGAAAATAAAAAATTTGCTAAAAGATATTGCTATGATTTAAACTCAAATCAGCTTCAAACTGCTATAAAATTAAAAAATTGTGTTATAATGAGAAAAAAAACTGACTCTCAAAATTTCTTAAAAGTGGGAATCAATAAAACAAATTATACCGATTTTCGAAACCAACTTGTCAAAAATAATCCCCAACTTCAATTTCACAATCCATTCGTTCCACTCTATTGCGATTATATGACTATTTCATTGAACGCTGATAAAAACAATCTTTTTTTAAATATCAAAAACAGTCAAATTAATCTTCACGATATCCTCAATCAAATTTCAATTATTTCAAACTTATCAGTTGTTTTATGGTTGAAGAAACATTGTGTTGGGACAGAATATCATAATATGGATACAGAATGGCATATTAGTGGTGATATCATTCAACTAGATAAAACCCATCAGATATCTGAGACTGAAAAACCTCATTGTTATCCCAAAATAGTCTCTGATAATGTCGATGAATCATTTGGCAATCAATATTTCAAACTAAACCTTTTATCAGAATAAGTGACGATATTTGCATATGACCTGAATTTTTGATAATAAACGTATTTTGTATTTATTTGTATTTAAAGAGACAAAACAAAACAAAAGTCATAAATTCATTTTTGTGGTTTGAAGACTTTTCCATTTGTGGTAATTTGTATATTGAATAAATGATTATTACTGACTTTATTCTTTTTTTTTAAAAAAAAAAGAAAATCAATGTAAAATTAATCAAATCAAATATTATTTTGATACAGATTTTAGAAAATTGGTTGAATAAACAATGAAGACAAAACTAATTTTATTAAATGCTTTAGTTTTATTGTTAATAATTTTATTAATAATAAGCGACTCATTAGGCAAAGAGATTGATACACAAAATATTCAAGATACTCAAGATATTCAAAATGTTCAAGATATTCAAGATATTGTAAGTGATGGTCAAAGAAAAACCAGTGAATCCAATGGAAGCCATAAAGGCAATAATGATTATGTAGATTTCCCAATAAAGAGCAGTAGTACTAAATATAGCTCAAATTATGATAGAGGTAAAATGAGAGACACCAGTGATTTAAATAAGAATAGAAAAGCAAAAAGTCAAATCAATAATAAATCAACAAACTATTTTCAAAAAGAGTATAAGAAAAACTCAAAGTTTTTAAGATCTAGGCAAAAGGCACCAAAACAAGTGAATTTATCAAAGGAGTATCAATCAAGAAACAGAAAAATGGCAAAAAATAGAAAGATGAATCAAAACCCAAGCAGAAGCAAAGAAAAAGACTGGAAATATAATGATCATGATGATCATCACAAAAAGGATGAATATGGTAGAAGATATAAAAAAAGCAACAAATATGAAAACCATAAATCGAGTTATTATTATAACAGATATAATGACAGAAACAAAAATCGTGATGGTAGGGATATTAAAACCCATAGAGAGAATAATTATAGAGCATACTCATCAAAAAAGTTTCCAAACATCGGAGAAAACAATAATAAAACAGTAACATATCACTTTAATAACAAGAATTCAAGCAATTGTACAGTTTCAATGGATAATAAAAAATTATCAGCAGTAATTAAAGAAGAAAAATATATTGAGCTAAACTGGCCATGGAATAAAAATGATCAATTAGTTTATACTGTGCCAAAAAGCAAAAAAACCAAACTTTATAACGAAGGCAACAATAGTTATTATACATTGCTAGGAATTAAGTTTATAAATAAAAATGAAGAAGAGTACAAGATGATCAGATTCTCAAACTGTCTTATAAATTCAAATCCAGAGGAAGAGAATATTCTAGAGGCATTTACCTATAATAATCATTTATTCATTGATAAATCATTCAATGAGTTTGGCAAAGAGCTCTCATGGAGTTATGTTATAGATAATGTTAAATATAAGATCCAGCCAGGATTTAAATACGAAATTTCAACGTTGAATAACAAGAATTATTATACAATTTACCATGATAGAGGGATTGTATTTTATGAGTTTGGATTAAAATTTTTTATCGGATGTTTCTTGATCGAAAGAGAGAAAGGCAATGAAATAGTCAAGACAATGGAGAATCACTTGGTGATTGATCAAACCAATTCGCTATTCCAAAATGGACCAGTCAGATTAAATAGCCACGAGGATGTGGAGGAATACTGCCAGCCAAACATCTTGATCAAAGAGCAGCCAGGACAGGACAAATTGAAAATTGATGGCAATTCCATCGAAAACACAAACGACAATCACCAACTCAACCAAACGTTTGCTGGTTTTGACGTTGTGTATGATTTCAACGAGTTTGGGTTCTTCGACGTGGAAATTAGTAACAGCTTTGAAACAAACGTAGAGAGCCAGTAAACTGATGAAGCAGAGCAAGCCAAAGAATAGAATATCTATCCACAATATAGTCCATTCCAATATATCTTTTCAATATATCTTCTCAATATCTTCTCAATATATCTTCACAATATCCCATCACAAAAAGCCCTCGGATATAGGCTACACGTGATCACATGTTGAAGAAACGCGCACAAAGCCAAAACTGCGAGGCCTTGCCACTTCACGTCGTTTTAACGAAGCAGAAGAAGAAACAAAACCAACAAACTGCTTGCTCTGCTGCTCAATAGACGCTGGAAAACTGCAACAGAAATGTCACTCAACGTATTAACACCTCAATTGAAGAAAGCTTTCGACGAGCAGGACTATTCGCTCTGTCTAAAGCTCTTGCCCAAGATCAAAGTAGAGTTGGCCAGGTTCAACTTGTTGGTTCCAGTCACCAGCAGCGATGGCAAAAAGTTCAATCCTGAAGATTTGCTTGTCACCAGATACATCTTGGAGATTGGTGCTTTGGCTTCTATTAATTTGAAGGACTACAAGGGGTTTCAAAACTATATCAATCAGTTGAAGCCATTTTATAAGCAGAATTTTAAGAAAAATTTAAAATCTCAAAACCAGAAAAAAATCATGGCGTTGTACTTGCTATTATTACTATCGAGGGGCGAAATTGCTACTTTTCATATTGAATTGATTTCTTTGCCAAATAAGAATTTGGATTTGAAAGAAATCGAGAATGATTTATACTTGAATTATCCTATAAAGATTGAAAGATGGTTAATGGAAGGCTCCTATGACAAAATCTGGAAACTAATCAACGATAATAATTCATCGAAACAATTGAAAGAATTTCAAATTTTCAATAGCGATTTAATTAAAGCAATTAGACTTGAAATTATAGATTGCATTGAAAAGACATATGAAAATAAAAAATTGGCATTAAGTAACGTTAAAAATCTATTATTTTTAAATAACGAACGAGAAGTGATTGATTTAATTAATGAAGAGACAAACTGGGTTCTTCAAAATGGCTTTGTTTATTTCCATGACGATATTAATAATCACAATAATACTAATGCTAATGCTAATACTAATACTAATACTAATACTAATACTAATACTAATACTACTACTACTACTACTACTACTACTACTACTACTAATAATAATAATAATAATAATAATAATAATAATAATAATAATAATAATAATAATAATAAAGATGCTAATAAAGGCGTAATTGAAAAGGATGAAGATATGTTAATTGATGAAGATATTGATATCGATTTAGAATTTGATAATAACCTTTCGATAGAAAATGAAACCGAGCCAGAACTAAGTAATAATCAAAAATTAATTAAAAATTGTCTAATATTTGCAAGACAAATGGAATCCATTGTTTGAAACATTTTTTTGCCTCTTTTTTATATATCATATAGTAACAACTAAATATATATGAATATTTAATTATATTTCATACGTCATATGAAATAAAGTAAAAAACAGAAGAAAATAAACAAACTAAGCTAAAATAAATCATCATTCTAATGAAGTATAAAAATGCTTATACGCTGTATCCAAATCAAACAACAATTGCCTTACTTCATCTTCACTCAATTCATCATTAACTTTCATATGATTCAATTTAATTAACCATTCAACCAACTTGCCTCTACCTTCAAAATCTAATTTGTGTTTTCCACTTTGTTTGTTATTATTTTCATCGCTCTTATTATGATCTTCCTCGTCTTCGTCATCATCATCATCATCATCATCATCATCATCATCATCATCATCGTTATGAACATTATTTATTGAGGTTATCAAATCAGATAATAATGGATATAATTGATCTTTGGCTTTATAGTTCAATTTCAATGCATCCATACATGTTATAAAATTTCCTGTAGCTTCAGCGACTGCTCTTGAAGATATTTGATTTTTATTATTATTATTGTTAGCATTGTTATTATTGTTATTGTTATTAGAACTAGAACTTTCTTGATTGTTTTTCTGTGTCACATTCTTGTTGTTACTATTGTCATTTATGTCGACAGTACTACTATTATAGTTGGTATTATTTGTAGTGGTTTTATTTGAAACATCTGTCAAATCATTTATATCGTCAGGACCACCAATCTCCAATCTTTTAGTAGCCAATGGACAATCAATTTTATATTTTTTCTTAAAGTATTGCAAGTTTATAAACTGATCGGAGATTTCATCGTTATTTATCAACGCATTATATTGGTTAATCAATCTCTTTACGGTTGAAGTATACAATTCATGTTTTAGATTGTCTTTCAAATACGACTTTTCTATGTATTCCAAAGTTGTTAAAATTGAATAAATCTCTGCCAAATTTTCATAGATTTCTCTTTCTTTGGTGTTATAACTATTAGTTGAATACAAGGAGACCTCTTGATCCAAGTTGATTGAAGACAACTTCTGATTGGATCTCAACAAGTTGTAGGTTGGATTTTGTATATTTGAAATAGGAGCATAGGGAAGATAATCGTTGTTCATGTTGGTGAATCTCTGCTATTATCAACAAAAAAGTGAGCAAAGGCAGTTCTTATCAACCCCCGTATCATTTGCCAACGGACCGGAAGTGGGGTCAGATTATTTAAATCGATAAACGGCCACAATCCGGTTTGAAGACAAACTGCTTCACCGTAGCCGGATACGTAAACGTACTCGGAGCGACAAACAACTATTCGGAGGCCAAGAGTGCAAATTTTTGGAATTTGCACTCTTGGCATGCGCACTCTTGGCCCCAAACACTGTGCTGTTTTGCGCGCGGACCTTCGTAGGTCGTAACCGTAGGGCTTCCTGTATTCCAATTCTCAGGGGCTTACACTCTAAGACTGTAACTTAGGGCTTTTTATGTAAACTCGAAGAGAACTAGAAATATGCATTGGAAAACTTGATCCCTTTCTTTCGAAATTGGTCAAATTACAACGCCTTTTATATAATTCTATATCGGTCTAAAGTAATTCATAATGATAAAAATAAAATATTATAATTGTAGTTATTTTGCTTTCTCTGCTGTTCATGCAGCTAATTTTCTGATGTATTGTTTTTCTGGCTGCACGAATTGGCTTCGGAGCCATCTAGGACTATGTTGTAGCCCTAGAGACGAGCGGTACAAACGATACAACACTAGTTTGAAGTATTTTGCAAACAGTTCGAAATCTCAATCAAAATATATTCAAACAAGTTTAATACAGAACACTCAAAGAATTGTACAAACACAAACTCCAAATCAAACCAAAGACTCAGTGGTAAATCGGTCTACAAAAACAGAATTTAAATTATAATTGTATCATTGTATTAATCTCATTTAGCTAATGACATTAACATACCAGATAATTTACTCTTATCGTACTTGATATACTTGCTTGTATGTTTTGTGAAATCCCCTCCAGAGTGTTTATCGTGAAATCTATTGTATAAGGGGATAATGAAACTGATTTCTTGAACCAAATATTTTTTCAAACTTTGATCTGTGATATTATAACTTTTGAAAATTTTGATATTTTCTTCAATTTCACTATTAAAATTACGGAATTTTTCTTTGATAATTTCCTTTTCTTTACTATTAATCTTGCTGCCGGTCAATCCACTTAATCCTAATCCACTTGATGATGTTGAGCTTGTATTGACAGTGACATCCATTAAACTTGAAGCTAAATTTTTCCAACTGATTAAAAAGAAATTCAATGCTCTCTTTTTCAATTTTTCAATTCTTTCAAAACTTAATTTATTAAACTCAAATATTTTTTCAATTTCACTTCTTTTAATAATTTGTTCAATTAAAATTAAATTGGTAACTAAAAAAAAACCAATATGTGAATTATAAAGATTATTACTCTTTTTTATTTGGTTGACTGTGAGTATTATCTTACTTTTAATCTCTAAATCTACCATAATATTGTCGATTGAGTCCAAGAAAAAACACATCAACAAGTATTTAGAATTATTGACGTCTTGATTGTCATTATTGAAACTGTTATTGGAATTGCTAGAATAATGAGGATTACTAGTAAATACGTTTAGCCATTGGGGCTTATTGCTATCGATCCATGAACCCATTTTCATTCCTTCGATTATATTTAGGCAAGATTCTCTAAATTCACTAAATTTTCTTAATTTGGACATGATTTCAACAGTGATTTCACTTACACCATAATCCTTTGGTAAATTATTCATTGAGTTGACGATTTTGTTATCGATTAGTTTTAAGAAATCTTTGAACAAATTTTGAGCTAATGATTTGACAATTTCGAAATCCTTCAAGATGAGTATAATTATATCTTCATCTTCATTGTTGTCACCGTTTTTTTTAATGATTTCAATTAGTTTGATATCTTGATCAATTTTTTTTAAAAATTCGATTTTACAGTTAATTAATTCAAATAATAGTAAAGAATAGTTTGAAAAGTTTTTTTTAATAAAATTTGTCAATTCGATCAAGTAGTAAGAATACTTGGGAAATATTTTGACCTTGAATATTTTGATCAAATTTAGTTTAAATTCAATTTTTCCATTTTTATCATTATCATTATTGTTATTGTTATTGTTATTATTTTCACTTTTATTATTATTATTATTATTATTATTATTATTATTATTATTATTATTATTATTATTATTATTATTATTATTATTATTTTCACTTTTATTGTTATTATTATTCTTTTCACTTTTGTTATTATTATTATTATTATTATTATTATTATCAGTGTTGTCATTAAAATTTGGGAAATTTTTGATTATTAAACAATTTTCATACGTTAGATTCAAGTTTATATACCTTGTAAAACAGGTTATTAAATTAGAATTCTTTTGGTATAAATCATTTTTTTTGGAGTCGTTGATAAGGATATCTTCGTCATTTGCCAAACCATTTAAAATAACATTTGATCTATTTGAGATATAAATTTCATTAATTTTATCAATTGAAGAATTTGAAAATTTTAAAAAGTATTGAATGATATCGATATTGATATTGCAATTATTATTATTAATTTTCGCTAGTAAGTTGTTGACTAGATCGTTTTCATCGGTATTGGAATTGGAATTGGAATTGGTATTAGCATTGGCATTGGAATCCTGTTCAATCAATTTATATTCACTAAATTTGGGTAGATTTGGTAGGCTCTTGACGTTGTTTTTAAATATTTCAATCAAGTTGCTGTTCCCCTTTACGATCAAGCTGTTTAGATTGTTGACGATTCCTGTAAAGTTTTCCAATCTGTTTCGATTGATTTCCACTAGCAAGTTGTTGCAGTTCTTCAACACTTTCAAGTAGTTGTTGAATTCGTGCTTGTTATATTCATTCTTACTGCTGGGGTCGTTGTTGGTGCTGTTCTGCAAGATCAAGAGGTCGTTGTTGATGACCACCTCGTAGTTGGAGATGATTTTCGCAAAGTTCTTGATCTTCTTGGTGATATTGATGGAGTCCTCAACGTTCTTCTTGTAGGTGGTGAGGTTGTTGGAGACGTCGATGATGGGATTGATCAAGTTCAAAGAGCTTAGTGAGAGCTGGGACACTTTGTTCAACGACTTGCTGATTTGCAATATGAGCTCGTCAGACTTGGAGAGGTTTTCGTCAAGAACAGCGACGTCTGCCTCGTCGATGTCCACCAAAAACGCAGTGTGGGACATGTTCAGGAGAACTGGCTGCTGCTGATTCTGCTGCTGCTGCTTCTGGTGCAATGCTGGCAAATCCCAGGCCTGTGTTGCTGATAAAGAGCACAACTTGTTGGCCTTGAGAGAAGGCACTGTTTTTCGCTCGCTCCTCTTTGCACCTTTCAGCACCCTCAGCTATTGAGCTACTTTTATTGTTTCTGCTGCCTCTGCTGCCTCTGCTGCCTCTGCTGTTTCTCTAGTCTGTGGATAGGTGGTTTCTCCTGTTCTGCTGCCCTTTTCTGCTTCTCCATCCACTGCTCTGATGCATTATGGTCTATTCCAAGACCCCTCTCAATCCCTCTGACGTCTTATCTACCACCATCTCCAACCACAATGAGGCATCTCATCCAACAAACATCTATCTAGACCAGGTCTGCTCCAGCAGTCATACCAACACCAATGGAAACAACATCTCCAGTAGCAACAGCCTGTTTATTCGAAACTTGGTCAAAAACAACCTGTTTTCAACAAACAGCCACAGCAACATCAGCATCAAATCGTCTTCAAACCACAACATTCTATTGCCCAAGTTGCCTGAAAAGCCTCTAATTGAAAACTCATCATTCAAAGTATATCTTTTGCTCACTGAAGACAAGTTTTTTCTACAAAACAACATCTCATCAAACGCTTCCTCGGTTGTGACCCCATCCTCGAGAAGAAGCTTGAGAAGACAAGCCAACAGACCAACTACTTCTGCTCCTACTCTAATTAGCGAGACTTCTGATAGCAATGGGAGACCTTCTACGAGCTCAAATAACAGTGCTACTACAAGTAATAATAACAATAATAGCTATAACCATTTTACTGGGAACGACTTGGATATCAACGAAGCCCCACCATTACTACTAAGAGGCGTACTTTTGGTCAAGATTTTAAAAAACAATACAAAATTAAAACACATAAATCTAAACTTGAAGGGTATTGCAAGAACAAATTGGCCAGAGGGCATTCCTCCTAAAAAACAGAATTTCTTTGAATCTGATACAATTCTCAACCATTCATGGCCCTTCTTCAATTCCTCTCAAAGGGAATCCATAAATTACTCCAAAGGTGGTGCCAACCATATAAATCTACATAACTCAGATTTAGATTCTTTCACTTTGGATTCCTCCAGAGACTTGAAATCAACTAGATCAAAGATATTCAACGAATTATCCAGCATTAAAACAAGATCCAGCTCCCCATCTTCACGATTAAACCTCTCTTCAATCAGATCCTACAGCTCAAACGACTTAGAACCCTACGTCTTCCAGCCTGGTGACTATATCTATAATTTTGAACACCCAATTCCTCAATCTACTCCAGAATCAATTGCCGTAACCTTTGGTTATATAAACTATTTCTTAGAGGTCTCAATCGATAAGTTCTCAAAATTTAAGCTGCCCATTACCGCTAAGAAAAACATCTTATTAATCAGAACTAATTCTTCTCAATCAATTGAAGACAACCTTGATCCTATTCTAATTAATAAATCATGGGAAGAACAATTATTTTACTCGATCTCAATTCTTTCAAATTTCTTGATTTTAGACTCCTTTTTACCAATTAATATTAAATTAGTCCCAAATGAGAAAACCCTCAAAGTTTATAAAATCAAAATCTTCTTGGTTGAGATCTTGGAATACTGGTGCAAAAAGAAAAAAGTTCATAGATTAGAACCTCAAAAGAAATACCTCTTATTGGAACATAAACCAAAATCTGGAAATAATCTACTAAAAGATGTTGACGGCGATATCTCTTTTGATAATAACTTGATTAATAGTATAAATATTTCAGCAAACCCTTCTTTAAAAGCGAATGGCAAAAATACTTCAATATCAAATGAAGCTCATAACAAATTCAATTTTCCTCATAAATTACACTTGCCCAAAGAAATTAAAGAAAACAAAGAAAATAAAGAAAATAAAGAAAACAAAGAAAACAAAGACAAAAAAGGAAAAGGAAAAGGAAAAGAAAAATCAGATGCCGATAATGAGGATGATGATGAATATATCTCTTCAAAGGATTTTACTTATCAACTATATGTTCCTGAAACTCCCAGTAAAACTGGCGCAAAATTGCATCCTGATACTCAGTATGTTAACATTCAATGCCATCATTGGATTAAAATTACATTAAGAGTCTCTAAAAAAATTGAGAATACGGGCTCATCTAAAGATAAAAAAAAGGAAACGCCAAATTCAAATTCAAATTCTACTCCAAATTCTACTCCAAATTCTACTTCAAATTCCACTGAACACTCGTTTTTCAGTTCACACCATAATGATTCTCTGAATAAATCCGAACCTAAAATGGACAGAAAACACTATGAAATATCAATTGATTGTCCAATTCATGTTCTTCATCCATTATGTACTCAAGCGAATACACTATTACCTGCCTACGATGGGCCACGAATTTCCACAATTAATGAATTTGACACATTTAATGAATTTTATGGGCCAAATTTACCTTCATATTCAAAGGAAGAACCCATTTTTCCTAGTGAAATTCTAGTCAATCCAACGGATCCTCTGAATCCAAATATTCCAGCCATCAATCTAGAAGATTCGGCGATTCCTCTTGTTGAAACCGTTAGTGAAGCTACTGGTGGAGCACACGAAACCATACTAACCGATGATAACATTAAATCAACCGCCGATAACCATCACTGCAATGAATATACTAGTTTAGGTAAAGATTTTGGTGGTGATGAGATTACATCTGATATGATAGAGTCTAATTTGTTTAAACCTTCTCAGATTAAATTAGAAATGTATTCTTCACAAGCACAGCCTTTAAACAATCATTCAAATGCTTTTTCACCAGTAATTAGACCTCTAAATAATTTAAACTCCCCTAAATTTGCACCATTAGAACCCACTTTATCACCAAATTTTAGAGCAATGTCTCCAACAGTTCGAATTCTTTCTCCTCGTCTACAAGCAATGTCTCCAAAACTATCAGCTTCAAGATCTCCTAGTTTAAGAACAATTTCTCTGCCAATTTTAACAGGCTTATTATCTCCACGACTTGAAAGCTCTTCTGCATCATACTTTCAAAAAAATGCACTATCTCCAACTTTAGGGCCTTCAGCACTTGGTGATTTTTCTCTTTCTTCCAACTTTAAACCTACTTCAAATTTAAATTCAAATTCAAATTCAAGTCCAAACTCAAACTCAAATTCAAATTTAAATTCTTTTCAAATTTTAAGAAAACCTTCAATTAACCCCCCATCTTTTGATTTTGCATTAAAAAATTTAGAGGCAAACCAAATGGTCAAAGGATTTGAAAACTTACCGCCGCCACCGTCTTATGATCAAGTCCTTGAAGAAGAAAAGGAAAAAAAAATATTGAGAAAAACAATAAAGACTGAAGAGGAAGAACGTGGAAGAGTACGTCGAAATTTAAGAGCACCAAAAACTCAGCATGGATCACCTTTATCACTTCGCAAACAAAGAAACTTAGATTTATCACCATCAAGATTAGAATTAGAATTGGATGATGATGAAAATGATGTTGCTTCAAGTTTCAAATTCAGAGGAGCAAGTCCACACCTACCTGATAGCATAATCAGAGCAACTTCTCCTGACGTGATGAAAGCTAGAAAGAGTTTTTCTCCCTCACCATCAAGACTAAATTTTGACCTTGATAATGATGACCAATTTTCTTACAATGCTAAAAAGAATCTATCGAATTCGAGTTCCTCTATGTTTTTGGGTGTTAATGGAATGGATACAAATAACTCTTTTGAATTTAGAAGGGGATCTTTTGGTAGCATCAAAAGAATATCATCGGAATTGAGAAGAGTGCAAGATACAGATACAATTCAAAGATCATTGGATGCTGAAGTAGAGGAAAATTTTAGCAGAAAGAAAGAATATAAAGATAAAGGTAAGAAGAGAGTTAGTTTTGATGATTCGAGAAATAAATCATCAACCTTTGATTTAGCGCTTCCTTCGACTAAAGTCATCCCACCTACTCCAGAAAACCACTCGCTATCACCAAATGTTGATTTCCTGAAATCGCTGTTGGCGATCTTTCCAGAAGATGATATAATTGCGTCATCTTTATCTTCTTTATCTACTAATCTTTCAAGAGAAAACTATATTGAGAAAAAGCCTTTATTGGACGAGCTATCTGAAGTTTCTACTTTAGCATCAGGAGATTTTCCACATCTTGATAAAGAGAGATCATTTGGTGATTCATTTATCAGCCAAGCAGGAGATAGCACAGATATCACTGCAATGTATAAAGCAGTTCCTAACGTTTCAGACAAATTATGGCATCCTATGGCTAATGAATCTGCTTCTATGTCGATACCAATATCGGCTTCAATCAGCAATTTTTTACCTAAAAGAAGAAACCGAAACAATTCCGTTGTTTCAACATCTTCTTTTGTTTTAGATAATAAAGATGCCAATAAAAATGGGGTTTATAATTCATTTTTAAACAAAAAAGTTGGTTCTAACAGAATATTTGATAATAGCTCGTCCTCTTTGATAAGTGATTCAGTTTCAGTTACAACAGTATCTTCAGGTAGTGCAAAAAGTATTGGTGAGAAAATCAGAGCTCAAAAAAAGGCTGAAAAATCAGATTTTAACCAGTTTGAACTTAAATAACGTAAATAACACTTAAAGAACACTAATTTGAATTTTTTTTATACAATTCACTTTTTTAGAATTTTTATTTAATTTTTTATTTTTTTAACTTTATAATCTTTTTTCAGCTTTTTCAATAATTTTTTTTTTTTAATTTAAGAATTTTCGTTTGTTTATAACATTTTCATTTGCTTTTTACTTGTGATTCATGGGTTTTTTTATATAATTTCATACGCAATTAACTGATAAAATTTGTGTAAATTTCCATTCCATATAAGTACAACTATATAAGTATAAACTAAATTAAAAAAAAAGCAAATGTTCATTGATTAGAATCACCATGATTGTCTTCCATTTCCTCATCCTCCATATCACTGTCGAGTAGAAGATCATCATTCAAATCGGATTCTCTGGCAGTTAGGCAGTACTTCTCAGGAGGCAATCTTATACCCCAGGTTGGCATTATTGGAGGCAAAGGTTTTTTATTTTTCTCGCTTGCAATTTGCAATAGTAATTCCTTTGGAGCATTTGGTTTGAATTGGTAATTTGTTCTCGCAGCAATACTTAATCTAACATCGTCAATTGTGAGGTTTCTAAGAGCCGAGCCTGAATTTCCAGCACTAGATATGCTTGAGGATTTGGCGTTGGCATGGTCATTAAATATTACAGCATCTTTTAAAACACTTGTTGTATATCGATAAGCAAAATCCATCAATTGTAGAGGAACATGATCTTGATACGACTCAATGCCATGACTGTTAAATATTAAACGCAAGATACGGACATCCCTCGGGGTCACTGATTCCGACTGTTGTGTTGATTGGTTAGTGGAAAGATTGTTGCCTTGCAAATTTCCAGACGAGCTATTTTTATTCATATTGGATAGATTTAGTGATAGACACTGTTTGCTTTTGATGTGTGTTTTGAAAGACCCAAATATTTTTGAGCCTGGGATCACTGGAGATAGAGCCCTGATACATAGAGCCCTACTATTATAATCTCTACAGAACTGGAAATTCGGCGGTTAGAACTGTTAAATATGTTTAAAAGAAGAGAGTATATAAAAAAATAAAAACTTTCTCATTCAAAGTTTTAGACCCAAGTTAACATGATAGGCCTTGGTCTGTGTGTAGTTGGTCAATCCATACTCCCCAAGTTCTCTACCAATACCACTCATCTTCACACCTCCAAATGGAACTCTGAAGTCGCTATCATTACTTGAATTGATCCACACCATGCCAGCTTCTAACTCCCTAGCAACTTTGTGTGCCCTGGTGATATCCTTCGAGAACAATGCTGCTGCTAGCCCATACAGAGTGTCGTTGGCCAATTCGATGGCTTCTTCCTCAGTCTTGAATGGAATACACGACACAACTGGCCCAAATATTTCTTCTTTGAAGATGGTCATCTCAGGTGTAACGTCATAGAATATAGTTGGCTTCACAAAGTATCCCTTGGCCAACACTTCATCGTCAGTCACTTTGTAGCCACCAGTAAACACTTTGGCTCCTTCTTTCTTGCCGATCTCAATGTACTTCAAAATTCTGTCTTGTTGTTGTTTGGACACTTGAGGACCAACCATAACTGTGTCATCGCCGAATGGCAAGCCTTGTTTATAATCAGAATCAATGCATTCCTTTAGTTTTTCAATAAACTTCATATAAATTGGTTCTTGAATCAAGACCCTTGAGTTTGAAGTACAAACTTGCCCCGAATTAAAGAAAATACCAAAAGCAGCCCATTTGACTGCTTGTTCAAGATTAGCATCCTCAAAGATCACTAATGGCGATTTACCACCAGTTTCTAGTGTGACAGCCTTCATATTAGACGATGCAGCCTTTTGGATGATTTGACCAACAGCAGTTGATCCAGTGAATGCAATCTTTGACACCAATGGATGTGTCGACAAGGCAGAACCAGCAACTGGTCCAAGCCCAGAGATGATGTTCACGACTCCTGCTGGAAATCCGGCTTCCACAACCAAATTGCATAGATACAACGCTGATAATGGAGTTTGTTCAGCCGATTTCAATACAATTGTGTTACCAGCAGCAAGAGCTGGCCCGATTTTCCAACTGAGCATACACAATGGATAGTTCCATGGGATAATCTGTCCACACACTCCATATGGTTCGTGCACAGTGTATGCCAATTTGTTATCATCAACTGGAATTGTCTGGCCATGCACTTTATCGGCCCAACCGCCGTAGTATCTTAAAACGTTGTAAAGTTCACCAATGTCACCCTTTGCATTTTGCTCAAAGGGTTTACCAGAATCAATTGCTTCAATGGCAGCTAGTTTATCGGTGTCTCTTTCACACAACTCAGATAACTTGACTAACAATCTGCCTCTATCGCTGCCTGAGGTGTGTCTCCAGGTAGTTTTGAATGCGTCTTTAGCAGCTTTGACAGCCACATCGACATCTTCTTCAGATGCAGCATAGACTGAGCATATCTTTTCACCATTGGACGGATCTATGGTGTCAATTGTCTCTTTTTTGATTGATGGAACAAATTTGTTGTTTATGAATAACCCAGTTGGTTGTTTGTAGCTAAAGCCATTGGGCAAGGTTAATTCGTGAAATTCTGGTAGTTCAGTCATTTTGACTAGTATTGCCAATTTTTGTTTGTTTCCCAATGTAAAAAAGACGTCTTTTGCAAAACTGATCAAGTTTCCACTAATTTGTAAAGCTAGTGGGCATTTTATCCTTTAAGATCTCCAGCATGTCCACTATTGAAGCCCACCACTTCACCATTACCAATTTACCTTCCTTCCTCATTGAATCAATTCATTCAGCTCCAGACTTTTCCCAAAAGAGACAGCGCCTGTTTCCTAATTTAGCCAGAAATAGAAGACCCACTGAAGTGGCGTTGCTTGTTTTGATTGGCCAGAGCCTGCAAAGAAGAGCTCCTCTCAAAGAGACCAAAGAAGATTTGCTCAACATGATCATGGCGCCTCCTACTCCTGTTCTATCAAGAGATAATGCTCAGTTTCTCATTAAAAAGAAACACATATCGCTAACTGACATCTCGCCAGAGACCTTGAAGAAAGAAAATTGCAAATTGAAGTCACTAACTCAGTATGAGTGTTCCTATGATTACAAAAACGACAATATAATCTGTCTACCGTTTAAAAGGCTATTTAAAACATGCCAGAGTTTGGATAATTTTCACCAACTTGTTGAAGTTACAAACAATAGCACTAATCATCGTTTCAAGAATCAGAAAAAAGATGCTATCAGATATCTTAAAGCAGAAAAGGACTTGAAGGAGGCATTGGTGAATTTATGATGCTTGTTTTTTCTCCAGATTCTAGAAAAACTCATAAATTTTATAGATATGTTAATTTCAAATAACCAATGATAGTTAAGGATAAGTAGCAATAGATCTTATTTCCATTAAAGAAATGTAGTTTTTAGCCAGAAAAAATTGAAGAAATTTTCAATCTCGATCTCGATCTTGATCTTAAACATGCGTTCAAATTCATGTTGGAAGTGTTTTTTTCAATACTCCAATATATTTTGATATAAAGTTTTAGTGATATTAGTTACATCGAAACCTTATCTGACTAAAAGTGTCAAGAAGCTGGTCAAAAAGAACACCAAAAAACAAAATACGATTGTTGGGGATGATGAGTATGGAGTTGATTTTCAAGATCAATTTTGTTTTCTTTTAGGTAAAAGCTTGTTTTTTTGTTGGCTAATATTATCGTTGAGTTGTTCGAATAAATACTTCGATTGGTCTATTCCAAATACATTTTTTTGATTTTTTGATTTTTTAGTTTAGTTTAGTTTAGTTTGAATATTTTGCTGAAATGTTTTTTATGGTCACATTTAGTTTATTGGGCTCTTATAATTTTTCATTTGGTTTTCAGAGATAGTGAATTGTATTACTATATTTGATTTCAAATTTTAGTTGTAATTCTCTTTTTGTTAAGGGAGATTGGGTTGTTAGAACTTCTGAATCTCGATGGCGATATATATTGCAAATTTAGCGAGTGAGTTTCTAAAATTTCCAACATCAGTGATCAGTGGTTGGATTATAATTATTGAATTGTACATTTGCTGGAATCAGTTCAAGTATATCATTATATTCGTTTGCAAGTCAGTACCTTATATTGTTCATAGCCAAATTGAACAGTTTTATTGGTGGGCAAAACAACAAAATACTGTGGAATCAACAAATTTCATGCGATTATAAGCCTGTGTTTACTTATTAATTATGAACAGCCATTTCTTTGTAGTAGTAATAGTAACTTTATGAATGTCCCTATAGCTTGGTTCATAAATCATAACGGTTTTTCAAATATATAGGTACAATAATACACTTTTCACACATTTTTTTTTCCACAATATCTACACAGTTTTTTGTTTTTTTTGATTCAGCTTATTGGATTAGTAATTATTAAGTATTATTTGTATATAGGAATAGAAAATTATAACTAATACACTCTAAGTTACATACTCCAGGTTATTTATATCATATATTATATATATTGGTTGAAATGACAAAAGAATTGAAGATTAAATCGGTTGCTGTAATTGGTGGAGGGCCAGCTGGATTAGCAGTAGCTAATGCATTATCTCAAGAACCAAATCTGCCATTTGATAATGTAGATTTATTTGAAAGATCTGGATCATTTGGGGGATTATGGAATTACAATAAAAATAAAGTTGATAATGAGAAAAATTTCTTTTCACCAATGTATAATCATTTGGAGACTAATATAACCAAGTATATGATGGCATATAATAATTTTCCGTTACCAAACTCTTGTGATATGTTTCCTAAAAGACAAGAGATATTAAAGTATATTCAAAACTATTCAAATTCAATAAACAAGAGAAACAATCAATTACAGTTCCATTTAAACTCCAATGTTATTTCAATAATTAAAGACAGAAGATTAAATAAATGGTTTGTCAAGTATCAAAATCTCAAGAATAATCAAGTTGCGATCAAGAATTACGACGCGATAGTAATAGCCAATGGACACTATAATAAGCCATTTATACCCAGAGTGTTAGGATTGGAAGATTGGAAATTCTATGATCCTAAGTCGGTTATCCATTCGAAAGGGTTTAATGATTCAATTGATTTTAAGGATAAAAAAGTTCTAATCATTGGAAATTCAGCATCAGGAATTGATATTTCAACGCAATTATCTACAACAGCTAAAAGCATATATCTTTCGGTTAAGAAAAACGCAGAAAATGATATCATTAACCAAAATAAGTTCATCAAGTGTATTTCTCAAGTGAAAAAATACGATTATTTAAATAATAGATCAGTTATCACTATTGATAACAAAAAAGTGGAGAGCATTGATACAATAATATTTTGCACTGGCTACTTGTATGATTTCCCATTTTTGAAGAGTTATGTTGATAAAGTATCCAACGATGGTCTAAAATATCTGGAACCATTGATTACAGATGGAAAAATGGTGCATAGACTTTACAAACATATGTTTTATATCTATGATCCCACACTTTCTTTTGTTGCATTACCCAAAAACATTATACCAATGTCGTTCTCAGAGTCTCAAGCTGCGATCATCTCAAGGGTTTTATCAGGGAGATTAAAATTGCCAACTGAATCTCAAATGATACAAGAAGATAACCAGTTAATCCAGCAGAAGGGAGTTGGAAAACTCTACCATGATTTGAAGTTCCCCCTGGATTTGAACTATTGCAAGGCCTTGCAAAGGATCATAGATGAGCAGGGGCTCAACAGTGGGTTTCAAGCAGAGCGTTGGGATGACCAAAGATACAAATTGAGATTGCATTCGAGTAAGATCAAGAAGAAGAGATTTGGGGAGCTTATCGAATATGTGGGAAAGTTGCGGGAGAACAACCAACCTTTCAAATTGATGCGAAAGGAAACAAGATACTACTATCCCAACTGCAGGGCCTCCAAATTGTAGTTACTTTGTAGTCTATAGTTCAGCAGTTATCTAACAACCAACAGATACTCCACAGCTAATCAACAAATATTCAACATATTCAAGATACTCAGCAGCTATCGCAGTCTCTCGAAGCATGCACCCCTCTGCGGGTTTCTGCATGTAGGCGGATAATCACCAAAGCGGCAATTTCTACAGAGGTTCGGCTGCGTTTTGCTTCCTATCAAAGTAAAAGCGTTGCAACAAAACAACAGAACGAGAGCAGAATGAGAGCAGAGTGAGAGCAACACAAGAGAAGAGAAGCCAAACAATAGAACAACGAAACACCAGCCAGTAGATCAGTTCGATTGAGCAATCTGCATCGAGCTAGGGAAATGGATGGTTATCGCGTTTTCCCCAGCTTCCAGCAGCCATTGGCCAATGGGAGCCTTCGCTAGATAAGTCCTTTTAGCTTCCTGAACTTTGGAGGTTGAGACTTTATTGGAGCAACAAAGCTGATTTGATAAGAAATTGCAAAACATCTTCAATAAAATTGCCCAAAAGGGTTTCAATAAACTTTAGAATTATCTCAGACTGAGTATTTAAAGACCTACCACCCCCTAAAGTACACCACCTTCTCTATCCCCCAGCAATCTAAACCAACAGTTCTACTCTAGCACTATCATATTGGTTATTTATCATCAGAGATTTCTTTTAACATGACTGAACTACCAGAATTTCACGAATTAACCTTGCCCAATGGCTTTAGCTACAAACAACCAACTGGGTTATTCATAAACAACAAATTTGTTCCATCAATCAAAAAAGAGACAATTGACACCATAGATCCGTCCAATGGTGAAAAGATATGCTCAGTCTATGCTGCATCTGAAGAAGATGTCGATGTGGCTGTCAAAGCTGCTAAAGACGCATTCAAAACTACCTGGAGACACACCTCAGGCAGCGATAGAGGCAGATTGTTAGTCAAGTTATCTGAGTTGTGTGAAAGAGACACCGATAAACTAGCTGCCATTGAAGCAATTGATTCTGGTAAACCCTTTGAGCAAAATGCAAAGGGTGACATTGGTGAACTTTACAACGTTTTAAGATACTACGGCGGTTGGGCCGATAAAGTGCATGGCCAGACAATTCCAGTTGATGATAACAAATTGGCATACACTGTGCACGAACCATATGGAGTGTGTGGACAGATTATCCCATGGAACTATCCATTGTGTATGCTCAGTTGGAAAATCGGGCCAGCTCTTGCTGCTGGTAACACAATTGTATTGAAATCGGCTGAACAAACTCCATTATCAGCGTTGTATCTATGCAATTTGGTTGTGGAAGCCGGATTTCCAGCAGGAGTCGTGAACATCATCTCTGGGCTTGGACCAGTTGCTGGTTCTGCCTTGTCGACACATCCATTGGTGTCAAAGATTGCATTCACTGGATCAACTGCTGTTGGTCAAATCATCCAAAAGGCTGCATCGTCTAATATGAAGGCTGTCACACTAGAAACTGGTGGTAAATCGCCATTAGTGATCTTTGAGGATGCTAATCTTGAACAAGCAGTCAAATGGGCTGCTTTTGGTATTTTCTTTAATTCGGGGCAAGTTTGTACTTCAAACTCAAGGGTCTTGATTCAAGAACCAATTTATATGAAGTTTATTGAAAAACTAAAGGAATGCATTGATTCTGATTATAAACAAGGCTTGCCATTCGGCGATGACACAGTTATGGTTGGTCCTCAAGTGTCCAAACAACAACAAGACAGAATTTTGAAGTACATTGAGATCGGCAAGAAAGAAGGAGCCAAAGTGTTTACTGGTGGCTACAAAGTGACTGACGATGAAGTGTTGGCCAAGGGATACTTTGTGAAGCCAACTATATTCTATGACGTTACACCTGAGATGACCATCTTCAAAGAAGAAATATTTGGGCCAGTTGTGTCGTGTATTCCATTCAAGACTGAGGAAGAAGCCATCGAATTGGCCAACGACACTCTGTATGGGCTAGCAGCAGCATTGTTCTCGAAGGATATCACCAGGGCACACAAAGTTGCTAGGGAGTTAGAAGCTGGCATGGTGTGGATCAATTCAAGTAATGATAGCGACTTCAGAGTTCCATTTGGAGGTGTGAAGATGAGTGGTATTGGTAGAGAACTTGGGGAGTATGGATTGACCAACTACACACAGACCAAGGCCTATCATGTTAACTTGGGGTGGGATTTATAAACTTCTTGTTTTGAATTAAATAGATAAGTAAATGAATATGTACTTATAAGTGATTAAATAGCTTTTAATAATATAAATACGATTATATTTTATGGTTATTTTTTTTTGGTTTGCCTATCTAAAGAAACGACTTTTCATTTTTTTCAGCTCAAAGCAGTGTGGGTAACTCTTTGATATCAAAATAAAAAATAAGAACTGCAAATGAGAAAAGCTTTTTATTAGTTTTAGTTTTAATTTGGGGTTTTGTTTCTATTGGTTTTGTTTTTTCTGTTTTTTCTAGATCAGCAGGAAGTTAGATAGTCAATGAGTAAACCTCCAGAAATTACAGCAGTTTTCATTGACTTTCCCAAAGATTGGTTGATTGGAATTGATTTTGTTTTTTTTAAATCGAATGATAAATTTAAAGGCATTAAATTAATTCCATCTGGATTTCATATATTACATTATGGAATTGATAACGAAGGATTGAGAAATGGATACTGTTTTATTGGAAACGAGCAAGATGTGATTTATTTGATATATAATTCCGATGATGAAGAAGTGATGGTTTTCAAAAACAATATTCCAAATTATTTTTCAAATAATAATAATAATAATAATAATAATAATAATAATAATAATAATAATAATAATAATAATAATAATAATAATAATAATGATAATGATAATGATAATGGTAATGATAATGATAATGATAATGATAAATTGAAAACAAAATTTAAAGAAATAAATAATCAACTTGGAGATCTATATAAATTTATGATTGTGTATCCCAAAGATGAAAATCTAGAAAATTGGAAAAATCATTTAACAAATTATATTAATCGAGAATATATACTAGATAAAATCTTACCTCCAAACAAACAAGTTTCATCAATTGTTTCTTCTAATGAAGAAAACAAAAAATTAATAAATTCACTAAACAAAGCATCAAAAGATTCCCAAAACCAAATCAATAAGCTATTTGATACTTATAACTCAGGGTACAAATTCACAGAGTTTGATATCAAAAAAACAGTCAGGCCCAATGCTACACCACAGGAGATAACAAAGGACTCACTAGATAAGTCGTGGTATTTTGAGAATGTTTTGCTCAAAGAAAAGTACAATTCTGATTTAACAGGATTGATAGGAGAATTGCAGTTGTCGTATTTGTTGATGGTATTATTCGGCAACTATGCTGCGTCTGTGCAATACAATAAATTTGTTCGAATATTGAGTAACTGCAACGAGCTGATAATGAATATCAGTGCAAACAAGACCAATCAGTCCCACAATGAAGGAGCATTTGCAGAATACTTGGATATCGTTTACCATCAGCTCGACAAACTTCCTGAGGAGTACATGGGCGAGTTGCTTCAAACAGAGATTGTGGTCGAGTCGTTTGAGAACTTGGACGAGATTGTGCCCTTAAGAAGCACGCTCAGAGTGGCTGTTGACAGAGTCCTCAACCTTCTCTCAACCAAGTTCTCGATCGATATTCTAGCTGTTTCTGCTGCTTCTGCTGCTTCTGCTGCGTACGGACACGAAGAGGAGACGTATACGGACGAGTATTCACCGACGGTGGTTTACGAGACGTGACTTTCTCGTGGAATACCCGCCGCACCCCGTAATTGCTCCCGTGCTTGTCCGTCCGGTCTAACAAAGACCTGCCCAGCCTGAGAAAACCAAAAAGGCCCTCAGCAAGAGTTATAAAGACTCGCTATCACTTTTACAACAGGTCGATGTTTCTCTAGAATATACTCACCAAAATGAAGCTACTCTTGACACAGTTCAATTTGCAGTTCCTCGTCCTGCTCTTCTTGCTCTGCTCCCTTTTGCTGCATCTCTCACTCGCCTTTTCCTTCAGCAGCTATGTTGATTCACTCATCTCCATCAGCAACATCGGAAGCAGCCATGCTCCAGGAGACCCACTGGCTGCAAAGGTTGGTATCACCACTGCTGATAATGCTGAAATCGACAACCATTTGGACCCAGTCTCCAACTTATTGAAGCCATTTGCAAAGCTTTTCAATATCTACAACACAAAAAATACTGTCTTGATTTCTCTTTCTTCTCCTGCTTCTCAACAAAAAGACCCCGATTTTGCTCATTATTCGAACATATCCCCAAATGAGTGGCCTATCGATTTGTCCCAATATCAAGGCAAGATTGTGATAAGATTTGATTTATCTAACGATTATTCGGCATATCACCAGTCCAATAAATATAGCTACGATAATAACAAAATATTAAACTACGATTTGAGCACCGATATCCTAAGACAATTAATCATCAAAAATTCAAAATTGCTCAATTTTAATGTTTGGGAAAATAACAAAAAATTCGTCGATATTTGTTTATCGTCATCAAAATTAAATAACTTCATTTCTTTGATCAAATCAATTGTTAGCAATTATAACAGCAATTATAATAAAAACGTTTACATTCTTCCCAAAATCAAATATAAAATCATTATCCACGATTTACCTCAAACAATTTTTGAAACCTATCCTAAAGACTTTCATGAAAACTATATAATCGAACAAGAGAAAACATTTAACAACAAGAATGACAAAAATTTCTTGACTAAATCGGTTTATTCAAAAATCCCATTAAGAGAAAACTTAAGCGCTCTTTCAGTTAAAAACTCCTCTTATTCTTTCTTAAGTCAATATCATCCCTTAAGCTCAATTTATGATTGGTTGGATATTCTCTCTGAAGAATATCCTCACTTGATATCTCAAGAATGGGTTGGTCAATCCTATGAAGGGAGAGATATCAAAGCCTACTATATCAGTGCTTCTCATTATACAAACCAAAATCCTAAGAATAAAACTATCATTGTAACTGGTGGGATTCATGCGAGAGAATGGATCTCGACTACAACTGCTCTTTATGTAATGACTGAGTTAGTATCCAGGTATGGTGAAAGTAAAAAAGTATCGGAATATTTAAATAAATTAAATTTCTTAATTATCCCTGTAATGAATCCAGATGGTTATGAATACTCTTGGACAACTGAAAGATTATGGAGAAAAAATAGACAGGAAACTTTTCTTCCAAGATGTTTTGGAATTGATATTGATCATTCTTTTGATTATCATTGGACTCAAACCTCCGACAACGATTATCCCTGCGACGAAGATTATGCTGGTGATGATCCATTTGAAGCAATTGAAGCTGAACAATATAACGATTACCTCAACTATACCAAATCTCATTTCAATATTCATGGTTATATTGATTTACATTCTTATGCCCAAGAAATCTTATATCCATATGCCTTTTCTTGCAAGGAAATGCCAGATGATGAAGAAAATTTAATTGAATTAGGTTATGGTCTAGCAAAGGCTATAAGAGGTAAAACTGGTAAACATTATGGTGTTTTCCCTGCCTGTAAAGATAGAAACAGTAATTTAATGCCTGGATTAGGTAGTGGAAGCTCTTTGGATTATATGTACAATAAAAGGGCTTATTGGGCTTTTCAAATAAAATTGAGAGATTCAGGTTCTCATGGGTTTTTGCTTCCTTCAAAATTCATTATTCCTGTTGGTCAAGAAATATTTCGCTCTGTTAAATATTTCTCGGATTTTATTTTAAATCCAGAGAAAATGAGAGTTATTGATTAATCAATTACTGGAATTTGAAAATTATTTATTAAATATTCTTAAAGTAAAAAACAATTTGGTTTTAATGGTTTGTTATTTATCGTTTGATTTTCAATTTTTGATTTTGATTTTTGATTATTTTATTTTACTTTACTTTATTTTATTTTATTTTATTTTATTTTATTTTATTTTATTTTATTTTATTTTATTTTATTTTATTTTATTTTATTTTATTTTATTTTATTTTATTTT